TCGCCGGAAAACGACTAACTCGACCATGGTCGAGTTCGCCGGAAAACGACTAACTCGACCATGGTCGAGTTCGCCGGAAAACGACTAATTCGACCATGGTCGAGTTCGTTGGAAAATGACTAACTCGACCAGGGTCGAGTTCGCCGGAAAACGACTAATTCGATCACGGTCGAGTTCGCCGGAAAACGACTAACTCGACCATGGTCGAGTTCGCTAGAAAACGACTAATTCGACCATGGTCGAGTTCGCCGGAAAACGACTAACTCGACCATGGTCGAGTTCGCCGGAAAACGACTAACTCGACCATGGTCGAGTTCGCCGGAAAACGACTAATTCGACCATGGTCGAGTTCGCCGGAAAACGACTAATTCGACCACGGTCGAGTTCGCCGGAAAACGACTAACGTGACCATGGTCGAGTTCGTTGGAAAATGACTAACTCGACCAGGGTTGAGTTCGTTGGAAAATGACTAACTCGACCCATGGTCGAGTTCGCCGGAAAACGACTAACTCGACCATGGTCGAGTTCGCCGGAAAACGACTAACTGACCATGGTCGAGTTCGCCGGAAAACGACTAACTCGACATGGTCGAGTTCGCCGGAAAACGACTAACTCGACCATGGTCGAGTTCGCCGGAAAACGACTAATTCGACCATGGTCGAGTTCGCCGGAAAACGACTAACTCGACCATGGTCGAGTTCGCCGGAAAACGACTAACTCGACCATGGTCGAGTTCGTTGGAAAATGACTAACTCGACCCCTGGTCGAGTTCGCCGGAAAACGACTAACTCGACCATGGTCGAGTTCGTTGGAAAACGACTAACTCGACCATGGTCGAGTTCGCCGGAAAACGACTAACTCGACCATGGTCGAGTTCGCCGGAAAACGACTAACTCGACCATGGTCGAGTTCGCTGGAAAACGACTAATTCGACCATGGTCGAGTTAGCCGGAAAACGACTAACTCGACCATGGTCGAGTTAGCCGGAAAACGACTAATTCGACCATGGTCAAATTCGCCGGAAAATGGCAAATACGACAATGGTCGAGTCCGGGGGAAAACGGATAATTTACCATGGTCGAATAAGCCATTTTCCAGCAAACTCGACCATGGTCCAATGCTTTTACTGGTCAAAAAACTACAATTGTTATTGGTGAGAATTACAATGAGTATCCATACCTTCCGTATATATTTTCATTCGATAATATTTCAAACAAAGTGAATGCCAAACAGCTGGCAGTTGTTTCATGAGCTACAACAAAAAAACATCCAAATATGTTAGCAAATTAACGTCCGCATGTCTTCATTTGAATGCGTTCATGCCAAACGAGGTAATATTATGGTATCTCTTAAATAAGATCCAGATACTCTGGCCTGTCACGCAAGCAATCCTGCACGATATATGTGATTGTCGCGTAGATAAGGAATACAAGGGACCTTTAGGTACATCTGGTAGTGCTCTGGGTTGCGACATGATCTAATTGCGCCACCGAACTTACCAATAAGAGAAATCATGCATATATTTTACCTGCAACAAAAAACGTCACAATTTCGTCAATTTTTTCCTCCATCGCAAAGTTCGGCTCATTTTTGGCGATGTCTAAAATATGCGCTAGAATGTCCGTGTGGGATTCGCGGATTTCGCGCGGTTTGCGTTCCCGCGTTTCGATGACTTCGCGCGCAAAACGCCGAACCGTTTTTGCCGCCTCGATAAATTCACGATGTCGCGACGTCTTTCTCGTGAAGAATCTCGTGAGCGATTGTGGAAGCACGCTTGTGAGGTTTGCCTGGACGGCTTCGAGGCATTTCTCAAATGCATTAAGAATCTCATCAAAGTTCTCATGCGTTAACATTGAATCTTCGCCACAAATTGCCTGTAACAAATAGGAATTGGTTTTAGATGAAGTACTAGACTAGTCAGGCTAGCGTTGGTTGGAAACAGTTACTCAATATGACTAATGCAAAAAGTTGTCAAATGTTTCTCTAAACCGAAAATCAACCATAATATTTGAACAGCTTAATAACAACTTGAGTAAATATCCGTCAAGAGCCGGTTGTATAAAACGTTTAACTATATTTTGCATAGTTAAATCCTATAGTTAACTCAGAAATATACGACTCTGTCTCTGCAGGATTGGGCAATTCTGTCACTAACTACAGCGCGGTTTAAAGTTAACTTGTTTTTTATACAACTAACCCTGGAAAATCGTAAGGAACCGGTTTGAATTGCAACCTTTGGAAACAACGTCTCTTTCTTTACGAAAAGATGGCCATTACGGAATATTTTTACATGATCAAAGAAGAATATCATGGTGTGAAACAGACTTACTGTAGTATATTTTTATCAAAACAATGTCCACGATAAATTAGGATATTTCGTCTGGGTATACAAAAGGTGCCATTTTTATAGTTGCTCGCAATTTTCTTGAGATCAATTAGCAACCCTTTTCGGCACACGAAAGTTGTCGTATTTCATTTATCAAATGGAATTAAAAATTTTAATATATCGCCGAATTTTAATAATTTTAATACATTTTAATATATATTTATAGCCGGGATTATCACCGCGCTTTCAAACACACTCTGGCAACTAAAGGGAAAGTCCTATAAAAACTTACACAATCTATAGAACTTTTCTGTCATTTTCAAAGTAGTTTTCCCCTGTTCTGTTGCATGTATTTTTTGCGAACCATTAGCTGCAGTATTTTTTGAAACATGTAGTAAGATTTCTCTGCGTTTAATAAAGCTCTGCCTGTATATGCATATTTCAAATTATCAACGTTTACAAAGCAATCTTTAAACATTTATTGCTTTGTGTTTGACTATACCTCGTTGTCACTAGGAATTATTTCAACTGTCATTTGAACAATTTTATCATTTATTTTGGAATTACACTACAATTTTAGTACATGATAATAGCGTGGGGAACTGTACATGTATCGAATAGGTGCTAAAATGTAGACCCTTAGGTTAAGATTCTGTCACATGTTTCTATCTTCCAAATTAGGAAAATGAACAGTTTTATTGACGCATCGAAATATAACCGTTGGTTAGGGTTTTCATTGATAGAAAAGCTTTATTCGTGGGCTAACGTTTCGTTTTTTGAAAGTTTAACAAACAATAATAAAATGCGGGCATATATATATGCACGGGCGGGTAAACTCTGACCGGAATTTCGAAAGCAAAAAATATAATATTTGCAGTTTCTTCATGCAGAGAATTATGACAACCTAATTGCGAAAACCTCGTGGACTTGTGATATATATATGGTGAGATAGATTTAGAGATTTAGAGATTTTTATAGTTGAAACGGGTTTATACGTTCATTGTGCACTATGTACATACAGACTGATAATTCATCACTTTGACTTACCCGGTCGGAGGCTAAGAGTGAAACTTTTGCAAATTCATCCAGCATGAAAACTTTCGTTTCTCCGTCTGCTTTCGTTTGTAAAGTATTCAAAAACCGTTGCGCGCAGTCGTTGAAGGTTTTCACGAAATTTAAAGCGATATTTCCACGCCGAAACGCATCTTTCAGGCACCGTCGTCTCGGTTTCCACAGATCCTCGTCGGTATTTGTGACCAGACCATGGCCAGCAATCGGTTGGCCACAGAAGAAACCCAGTTTACGATAAACTCTTGGGTCTTTTGGCATCGCCAGATGGTATCGTAGAAGAAGCTCGCGGATCATCGTAGGCTCGGACACGAAAACGATCGCTTTGTGGCAAACAAAAACGACAAAAACATTCCCATGTTTCATAGCTTGAACCAGAAAATAATCGTAAAATGTTTTACCCTGTTTACGATACGCCGCGATATCTTTCGCGTTTCCCAACCAAAAATTTGATCGCAACGGACCAGGTAAGTGTTGAAAACGGTTGTGCTCGCGGTGCAAATAAATTGCAAATCCAGCCACGGCGAAGCACAGGCTAACAAGAAACGCCAACAAGAGAAGCCAAACGTAAAACCATGCATTCATTTTAACTGTCGAGAGAAACTAGTCTCTTTCGAAACTGTCGCTTCGTTTTAAAGCCACTTGTCACTGTAATCCGATCTGCACTTCGCTGCAGACACAAACCGTGAAATGCAAAGTACCGGCTTGGAACCGCATTAAAGTTAAAATTCTTTTCGTCTTAAGGTGGCTCCCTACAGTTCTCAAAGAATAACTATTTTGCGTTCACTTTTCGTTAAACCTAATTTGAAGGAAACATAATGGAATGCGGGGGGAATAATGGAATGCGATTAATTTCAAGATATTTTCGGAAGCTTCTAGTTTGTTTCACAATTAAAAGCACAATGAGCGTTGCTCTGGAAACTAAGTTGTTTTGGTCACGTACGGAATGTCCCAATCAAAGGACAAGATCTTTGGGATATTTTCGTAAACTTTTTTTGAAGATTTATAATTGATAGAGGTATGCCATGATAAAATTTGAAAGGTTGTCATAGCCGGCATCAGAAAATCTTTTAGGTCTTAATCTGCTGCTGACGCGTGACAAAATGTCGATTCGACGATATCTGCGCATGCGTGTAAATAATGAGGCGTGAAAGACTTCTAATAAAAGCAATAAATTCTAAAAAAAAACCAGCTTTCGGGGCTTTTGTCGTGCAAATTCCACACCTTGATAACCTCTGATCTATCAAATTCTTTGACTGTACTATTACCGTAGTGAGCCACCTTAAAACTTTTATATTCTGGTGATCTGAAATGGCGGGAAAGGACTGAGACTAGTTGTCAAATAAAACTATTTATCTGTTGAAACAATTTATTATCTCTTGAAATACACTTTATTTCAAGGGTATAGTTCTAAAACTAGAGTGTGATGTGACACCCATACTCATTCCCATACATCAGAATGACAATGCATAACACTAGCCTATATCACAGTTTCTATATACAGACCAGTGACATAAAAAATCTTCTCACAGATTACACAGAATATGTTTTGAATGTTTATTTAACATAAATTAACATAGATTATCATTAACAATGAATTTTGATATAATACTAAAAGTGTTCATTTAAGTTTCTGATACAACTCTCATACTGGAGGTATGTCAGTTATTTTTCCACTGTCATTGGATGTTAAAACTCCATTCTCAGAATTTTGCATGGCAAGCATCCAGCGTCTCACGACCGGGACCAACAATCCGCCAAGTAAAATTTGCGTAGGGTGATACATGAGTAATGGTATGGAGATAACGGAAAGATACGGATAACCAGCATAGATGATCTTCAACATTGGGATACCTAAAGTTAGGGAATTGTGTGTGGAACAGAACATAATTGCAACACTGTCTGCTGCCGAGAAATTTAGCATGGGTGTCCTTGAGAGGTTGAATGCTAAATAGAGAAACACTACTTGCAAAAAAAGTATAATTAAAGCCATTGCAATTAAGCTCGATCCATTTATCCCTAACGAGGCTTGATTGAACGTGTCACAAAATGTTGTATATATAATAAGCAGAAGAGTGCAACTGCTTAGAGTTCCAAATGGTGGTTTGGCCTGTTCCAACCAGTCTTTGATGTAAGTTCGTAGCCATTGGCCAACCAGGAGTGGTACTACAACTGTAATTGATAGTGTGGTGAAGACATTAGTGAATGGTATGGTTGACGACGAACCAATTATCAGGTACAACAGCAGTGGTGTAGCAACGATGCCAAGAAAACTACCGAATGCCGAGTTGAATATGGCTGCAGCCTCATTTCCACCGACAGCTTTGGTGAGGATAACCGCAGATGATACGGGTGGGGGCATGCAACTGACAACCCGCAAGCCTTGTACCAACCAATGATCCAGGCTCGTAAACTTCAGAACGGACGTAAACAGGTGGATTAGAACCGGGACAAACATTAATGTGAATCCTTGGACACATACATGAAGTTTGACACGTGTCACGGCCCTGGTCAAATCCTCCGTCCTCAAAGAAAGACCACTATTGAAAAATATAAATGAAACAGCAAGATATTTCACTGTATATTCCGGCTTCAGTAAGCCACCTTTTGCTCCGATGGACGGGCTTGCTTTTGCAGTCAAAATAGCCGCAACAATACCGACTAAAAACCAGTGTTTTTTCACTATGGACAAGGCCTCCATATTGTACACAAATTTTGCCATACACGTCGATCTCGGGGGGGGGATTGCAATGTTCTTAGGACAATGAACTTCATGAATACTGCTGATTTAAAAGAATAAAATACTATGCAACCGTGAAAACTCGTAAATATAAATCCCACGCTCTTAGGTTATGTATATATAGGGACAAAAATAAAAAAATTTTTTCAAAGGATTAAACTTAAATATTGTGAGGTGATTTTAAGTGTGCCTTCCCCCGGAATTTCTCACAGCTGAGCGGCGACACGTCACCTCCTTACCAGTCTATACCTTCATTTTACGAGCAAATTAAAGAGAAATGGCTTCTCTCAAAAACAAAATAACCTGTTGTTTTCATGGAATTTTATCGAAAACCCTGCCTCTTTTGCTTCTTTGGACAGTTGCTGTGCGCGGGACTGAGTATAAAGACGGGGGAAAGGTGTTAAACACGTTTCAAAAACTGTGTCTTCTTCGATTTAAATTCCTTTTGTGATTCACAAACAGCAGCATACTAATCTAATATAAACTTTTGTTTTTTGTCCACGTAGGTTCCTCTGTATGTGAATAAAGTTGGACCGTATTTTAATCCTCATGAAACCTACCATTACTATTCCTTACCAGTGTGTGTGCCAGACAAGGTAAAAAGAGTAAAAAGATTATGTTTTATTGATGTTTAAACCAAAGATTGGTCCAATATGATAGACCTATAGTTGTTTAGTTTGGGGGGGTGCACTATGCATTTTTATTACTGCATAGTTTTTTTGCTCTGTAACTCTGTAAGCTTTCCCAGGCCTTCATTAGTGCACAAATGCCTGTTTGAAAGAACAGAAGGTTTTGCAGACAGAAAACTGACCTTTTCATATACTGGGTATAGATGGTGTACTGACACACCAATTGCCCATTCAATATATTACTCCACATCTACCCATTATAGTTATATAGCTATAAAAACCGTATTGCCGTAGCCTCCCCACAAAAGTGTTCCTCTTCCCCCATTCTAAACTAGAGCATTGTGAATATTTCATGCCTGCATGAGCTTTCAAAACATAACAGTATGCAGTCTGGAAATGCTAGCTTTTTTTAAAACAAAATCCACTGCGCTGCAGATTGAACAACGAAGTCTAACCTTGGGCGAAGTGTTGAAAGGAGATCGAATGGCTAAAGCTGTGTACGAGATAAATTTTAAAGGTACTGCAATATTATGAGTAGTATTGCAACTAAGAACAGGAAATCTTTAAAGATTCTGGTTTTCTTTTGGTAAATTGATAACATCTCCAATTGAAATGTCTTAAAACTAGATGGATTTGAAAATAAAGAAGCTTGCTCTAAAAAGCTGACACCAGAAGAAATTGACAGTTTGAGGAGTGCTATTGAAGACCATTATTACTTCGAACTTGTGTTAGGTATGATACAGTATGTTTTATCATCCTCCCTGTTTGCTACTATTTGGTGATTGTTCAAACATTCTTTTGCAAGTCAGTGAATGGAAATCTCCTATTTATTATTATATATTTAATTCAAGTTCTGTGTACACCTATTTTCATGTCTAGATGACATTCGTCTCCATGGATTTGTTGGTCACTTCAGCGAAGGCCATCTTCTACCTCACACGCATAGCGTATCCTTGTTCACCCACCTCCATTTCTACATTGGTTACAATGGACAAAAAGTAAGTGTTGAAAATTTTGAACAGAAAATTTTGGTTTGCACAAAGACACAAACATACAATATTTGGAATATACAAGATACATCCTGGCTGAAAAAATAGATCTTTTCAAGTGCAAAAACTCAAGTAGCAAGGCAAATACAAAAATGGCTTGCGCTACATGCAGATTGTTTTCTTCTTTAGATTATATTTGCAAATGTGTCGACAGGTGCACTTGAATTATTGCCTGAAAGTAGCGAAGCGAAAAACATCCAGTTTACGTATGGAGTCGAGTGGGTTCAGACGAAGTAAGTTGATTGATATGCAGTAAAAAGGTATATGCCAAAGATATGTTGAAAAATTATAAACTTTTTTACTGTAGGATAAAAGAACGCATGAAAGATTCTGAAGGTGATTTCTTTCCACAGAGCTTGGAGGTAAAGCATGTGTGAGGGTGTTAAAAAGTCTATCACTATACCAGTAGAACTATGAACTCAAATGGTTTGAAACTCACAAAATTTATATATCTTTTATTCACAGATTCACTGGTTATCAATTATCAACTCAGCTGTTCTAGTTTTTCTCTTAATTGGCTTTGTAGCAATCATCTTGGTTAGTTAAACAGATACACGTACATACAGTATAAAACTACTTAACCAACTAAGAAATGAATGAATGAATGAATGAAGGCTTTATTTACACATGCCAGTTTACATTGATAAATTATAGTTGCTCTCAATTTATTCTAATAATCTATTAACCTATGAATCTATTAATCTATGAACCTATGAACTAATACTTATGTAACCTAATCTTGACAAATTGACATTTCAGATGAAAGTTTTGCGAAACGACTTTGCTCGTTATAATGTCATTGATGAAGATGATAGCGAAGGGGGAAATGGTGAGTATTAGGGATATAAGGGTACGCAGTGAATGTGATGGCATAAGCAACTTATCGTGTTTCGAATTGATTCTTAGCAATTGCTCCATTGCTCTGGGTTATTGTACGACACGAAAAGAAATTTAACTTTTCCCAACAGGAATATACTGTAGATTCTTTGTATATGCTGTGGGAGGAAGTCACATGTTTTTTCCAGTGTGAAAACATTGTTCAGGCAGTTTTTAGTCATAAGATGTGCCATATAATAATTTTTATATCTTCAGAACAAGATGATTATGGTTGGAAGATCATCCACACAGATGTATTCCGCTTTCCACCATATAAAAGTTGGCTTTGTGCAATTCTGGGTCAGTGTTTCAATTTCTTAAAATACATACAACGCTGTAAATATATCCCTGTCTTGTGGGAGAATGACTCAAAGATATTCTTATCTTGGTATTTTATGTTTACTCTTAGGAAATGGAACACAGTTTCTCACAATTTGCTTTGGGATTATTTTCATGGCACTCTTCGGAATGTTTAATGTTCACAGGTGCAGTGAATATGCAGAACTGTATTGAGTGCCTATTTACAAGTTCTATAAATGAGAATTTAGTTTTTTTATGCAACTAAATTTGTTTCATTTCCAGGCATGGGTCAATGAATACAGCAGCTGTTCTTATTTATGCTCTAACCTGCTGTATGTATAGATAATTTACTTATCAGTTTGTTGAAAACAACTAAATTTCATTTACCTTGTTCAACCACTTCACATCCTAAAGCAATTTGATTTGGTCAGGGCTACATAAGGTCCTATGTTTTCTCTAGTGAATTTACTCTTATGGTTTCTTTCATATTCCTCTGCAGGCGTGTCAGGTTATGTGGCAAGTTCAATGTACAAGAAGATTGGTGGACAAAATTGGGTTTGGAATGTTGTTCTGACTGCCTCTTTATTTACAGGTAAAGTTGTCCTTCAGTTGTCCTTTAGTTGTCCTTTTAGTTGTCCTTTAGTTGTCCTTTTAGTTTTCCTTTAGTTGTCCTTTTAGTTGTCCTTTAGTTAATGTCCTTCAGTTGTTCTTCAATTGTTTTTCTATTTTTTTCTCAGCACCATTCTTCCTAATCTGGAGTATAATGAATTCAGTAGCATGGTATAATCAGTCAACACAGGCCTTGCCTTTCACAACAATAGTCCTTCTTCTGCTGATCTGGTTAATTGGTAAGTTCAAATGCACTAAATTCACAAATGCTTACCTTGTTCACCAATTTTAACAGTCAATCTGAATCTTTCAAGTTGGTTTTCCTCTGACTGTTATTGGTGGCATCTTTGGAAGGAATTGGTCGTCTCCATTTAGTGCACCATGCCGCACCAAAAATATCCCAAGAGAAATCCCACCAGTTGTTTGGTGAGTGTTATTTGGCAAGAAAGTCATGATTCAAACAAGTTTATTAATCCTTATTCCATGTAAATTTAGGTATCGGTCAGCTTTTGTGCACATGTTAGTTGGTGGCTTTCTGCCATTCAGGTATTTTGAAATCATATTGTGTTTGTGTTTGTGATGAAAAAGCAGCAACACTCTTGCATATCAGTCCTAGAAGTTCTAGGCATGAACCTGTGAAACATTAGCCCTACAGGATATATAATTTTAGAATTAAAATGTCAATTGTCTCGCTGTTCAAACCTTGTTAATGTGATGATATATTTCAGTGCAATATCAGTGGAATTGTACTACATATTTTCAACAATCTGGGGTCATGATCACTACACATTGTATGGAATACTGTTGATAGTTTTCCTCATCCTACTCAGCGTCACCGCTTGTATATCAATTGCATTGACATACTTCCAATTGTCCAGTGAAGATTATCGCTGGTGGTGGAGGTCTATTTTTAGTTCTGGGTAAGTAAATTATGCTTTTTACAATGATAATACTAAAGACCAACTTTTAGAGCAATGTAGCTAAGTATCAGCTCAAGTGACAACTTCTTCTAACAACTAAAATATACAAAGCACTTCTCAACTAGCTTTAAAACATTTCAACATATTGTTGATAACCATGCTTTATCAGTCAAGCAATTTTGATGCTCCTTTTAGAGACATCTTAAATTTAGAGAGAACATATTTTTTTTAAATTTCAATCCTGAAACATTCCTGTGTTGACATATTTTTGCAAAATTTCTTCTTTATCAAGGTCAACTGGTATGTTTGTGTTTTGCTATTCAATGTTTTACTTCATGAAGCGTTCGAGTATGTCAGGTGCAGTTCAAACAACGCAATTTCTTGGTTGGACAATCTTGATCTGTTACATCTTCTTCCTCATGTTAGGAACTGTCGCTTTCTTCGTCTCACTCCGCTTTATAAAGTACATCTATGTCAATCTAAAAAATGACTAAATTTAGAACCATTGAATTCGGATAACAATGCTCAATCCTTCCCCATAAGTAACTCTTAGATTTTAGAAGGTTTAATCTGCCTTCTTATAAAGTGAATCTTAACTGAGCATCTTATTGAGATCTAGGACACAAAAAATATGCACTTTGTGAATTCCGGGTAGAGCATTCTCTAAACTTCTCTTTCCAATATTTTATTTTCTGTTAATTTTTCTGATAAAATCTGTACAAAAGTAGCTAATCTTTGGATGGGAAAGTATTTTCAGGTAAATACAGCATGAGTATAATTATGGACGGGTAAATTTAATTTAATTAAGGCCAGTTCAATTACTTGTAGTTATCAAGGATCAGGGGGGGGACAGGCAACACTATATCTTGAGGGGAAATCCTTCCAGATTCCTCAAGTTAAAAAGGTTAACTTTGTGTGTCCAAAAGAACCATATTGGACACAAAGATAAGATATGTTTTTAAAAGAAATCAGTTTTTGTAAACATATTTGATAAATAGACTGACTGTCATATGGACATAAATACTTTATGTAAGATTGTAATAAGAGAAATTGCTCTGCATGGTCAAAATTTATTATAGCCAGCACAAGTACCTTAACTGTGGACTTCATGTGTTATTTCCTTGTTCTCTTGTTGAGTGTATCTCAGCCGTTTCCTGGCAGCTTTACAGCAATTTATTAACTAAAATTCCCATAAAGAATATCCTTGGTAACTGTGCTAGTTCACACTACACTCAATTTTATAAGCTGTGTTCAGGTGACCACTGCAAAACTATCCAAGTACAGATGAAATTGGTTCGGGGAACCCATTTTAGCTGTGCTATGTAAATAAATGTGTGTAGTAGTCTTATTGCCTGAGTTGTTTTGACAGCGAGCGAATAAATAGGTAAATATTAGAAACCTTACCCTTCGTTCTTGTAATCTTTTATCACCCCTTATGCTTCTTGAAACACTTCTAAATGGGCAAAACAGAATGATTATGAGGAGGTTAATGACTGACCAAGTAAATGGTCGACTCTAGTCAGCACCTGATAATTCTTGAAGCTGCAACAAAACGCCCCCTTTGCATCAAACTGATTGACATAAACACTTTGCAATGAGCTGCCAGTATTGGATCACCAATCTTCACTGCTATGTACAATTGTTTCATGGATAACTCCCACGCAACTTCTGCCTAAAGTTGTGGTACATTTGCAAACTTTAGTTGTCGATCTGTTATCTTTTTGTCTAATGCTAGATGATGGAACTAAAGTAGCAATCTAAATATTTACATTTCTGTTGAAATAATCTCCGAGTGCGGAATGAGCTCCACCTAGAGTCGACAACCACGCAAACACAGCCTCCAGTTGTAGATGTTCAAGCATTTGACGTAAAGCTCTGATCGACCTGAAAAGATAATGCTGCAGCTTAGCAGCTGATAGTAAACTGGAATTGATTTGCTTGGTAGGATGTAGTTAGTCATATTCAAACTTTGCATATCATATAGTGATTACCCTTTCTTAGCCAAATTAATCACCCTGTAATTATAACCAAAGTTGGCGATACATCCATTCTAGTTAACCTATTTCTGTGGTCGAATGATCCACAAGTTACTTAATGGTCTAGCCCTGCAGAATCGCATTGGAATCCAGGGCAAACGGAAATCTGACACAGTCTTACCATCTAATTTCAGGTTCCATATTATGCACTGTGTTGTGCAAAGCAACCAGCTGCAATTTGATCTTTGTGTATTTTGAATGTGTTTTATACTTTCCTGGTGGTATGGTTGTTAATGAACTGTGTTCACATAACTTTACACAACGTTGTTTTTCTAGATGATAAGATCAAATTTATCACTACATTTTAGCATATATTGCGAAATGTTGCTCAGTAAGAGAGGTGTGTGATGGTCAGTGATGGTCACCAGTGCTGTTCAGGATTATACCACAGAAAGGTGGGTACCATTAGCACCAACCCAATTCCCCCTAAACCAACATATTCCACTACCTTTAACATCTTGCAGCATCGCCATTAACCAGCAAAACAACCGCAATTGAATGGCTTTAGATTTCCGCAGCTGAACAACAAGATAATATTTCCACAGTGGATGAAGATTCATTTGACAAACGTAGCGACGAACAGCCAGCGAAGCGGACATTTCAAATTTGACAAGGTAGGAATAACTTTGAGATTTGTTTTCGTTGATAAGTGAATCATCATAGTGTATAAATAGTTTGTACAATGCCGAGTTCATCATCGGGTTTGATATCTGTCTATTCATATGAGATTCGAGTTAAAATTCTGCACAAATATCAAGGTTATGTTGAAGTACAACATAAACTTCAAATACGTCAGTGCATTATCTCAAAAATGGCAGACCCTCGCAAAGATATCCTGATGATTTGTCCATAGCTGAAAGCTTGTAAGTTGTACTTTGAAGTTTGAACACAAATGAACTCAGCTTTGGGAGTAGTTTCGAGCGCTTTTTGATCGATAGCATGAGTGTCCTTTTAAAGCGAATTCATCGCTATAATTTTGGAAAGTTATAAAACTTGTGAAAGCTCGTGCAATGCTGGAAATTAAACAATGTCGGGATAGGATTTACAAAATATTTTTTAAAGAAAGAACCTCTTTATTTTTTAAATTGTGAAAAACACGTGTTTTGGGAGGGAAGCGGGTTTTTGAAAACGTATATCAAGAGTAAATTTGTATTGAAAATCCAGTTGTCAGGATGGCCGAGCGGTCTAAGGCGCTAGACTCAAGGTAGACACCTTCCTAGTCATTACTAGGGTATGGGCGTTCTAGTCCACGAATGTGGGCGTGGGTTCGAATCCCACTCCTGACACATTTTTACTTCTTTTTTCGTATCAAACTCATCTCTTTTACCTATTTCCGCAATAAAGGCTGCTGGTAGTCGGAGTTTTTGTGTGTTTTTAAAAAGAAATAATAATTTAATGGTCGCTTTCGCTAGTTTTCCGAAGCGCGCCTGCGAACAGGCGAAAAACACCCTCGGCCACTGACCTCTACGTTAACTGGATAATGTATATTCTTCATTACTCCTTTGCAAAATGAAATCAATTGTAATGTTCTCAGACCTTGCATTGCAAGCAAGTTTTGCAAACTGTCTTATTTTATCATCGACCCTTGTTTCTTTCAAGATGTAAAATAAACAAGCCCTCTTCAAACAGTTCAGTGAGTTAAATGGAAGGGAAAGTGTGTCAGTGGAAACACATTCTTTGTGTGTCAATATCTCTTACTTTTTTACTTGGCGTTCCACTTCTGATTCACCGTGGTCTATACGGCGAATATGGCTTCGACGTCCATGGTTTTAGCATCCTGGTCATTGGCCTAATTCCCTTCGTTTGTCTATTTCTTTTGAGAAGCAGTCGGTTTAAACCACCTATTTCTGGTTTATTGATTGTTGCACCGGTCCTAGCGATCGTCATGATTTGATTTTATCTTTCAAGAAATGGACTATGGTGCGCGCAACACCCTGGGGCGACGCGCGAAATGTGCGCAAAATTAAACCAATTTGCACTGTTTGCGTCATCTTCGAATTTGCATTCATGGTGGTTAACTTTGGGCGACCTGTTGGCTATACAACGTGGCCGCGCGATGCCAATGCCCTGGGAACACGATATCGATGTCTGCATATCCCGAGAGGAGTTCCCGCAATTCGAGAAAGCCCTCGCGTCTCGCGTGGGGTATTTTGAACCCGAACCAATCCACTACGAGAGAAATCATTGGTACATTCCAATTGATATGAAAAGGCTTGGTTTGAGAGCCAGAGAGGCCGAGGGGGTTATTATTGACGTATGGATTTGTTCAAAGTCATTCAAAGGAAATATAACCCGTGTTATGTATTGTAATGGTTTTATGAATGTTCCAGAATCAGCCAATGATCGACATGCGCTCTTGACCAAAAAGTATGGGGATTATACTGTGGTGCAATACGAGCATCATGATAACATGTGTAGACTTTGGAATGGATGAGAAATGACAATAAAGTGAAAGTCTTCACACATTAAAGTTTCTTATTCACAATCAGCCAGTGTACGAACTTGCATTTTTGAAAACTATTATTAAAAGATATTGTACAAAGGCACAGCTGTCCACGATGGAAATATTTCTTGCCGGGATCCATTCTCGGTTCAAGAACTTCTTTTTCCTAAGATCCTGAAAATCCGATGAACATCAGCCTTGATGGTTTTGGAGTCTCCTAATTCCTTCATGTCCGCCTGAAACAGCAAAATACAAGAGCAATAATCCTTTTCAAGACCTTTTCAAGGCTATCTTTAGAGAAATTCAAGGACTACCATTCGTATATGCTAAAATCATTATACATGTTCAGTCAGAGTACATACACCAAGCGATGTACCACTCCATGGTAAATTATCTCCATCCATTTCTTTGTTGCCATCAAGATCAGTGTGGGAAATCTCCCGCGCAAAACTCCTCCTTCTCTCTGGGTCGGAGAAGTCTGAGAAATCATGAATGAACGAGTTCTCACTTAGCCGTATCGTTTTAACACTTGGTCGAGTCTTCTCCGGCGTTTCGTGAACATTTTCTGAGAAAGATCTCGTTGAGTAGCTGGCGGAATTTAGTGAAGATGATCCTGCCGGAGAACTTTCGTATCGCCATTTTTTCATCAAAAATGTTCGAGCTCTTTCCGGCCAACCTGTAACACTGGAAAGGTCAAACATTTTACTGATAGATTCACGCAATGGATAAACGTAATTTTTAGTTTTTGAAAAGTCGCACGAGCGCCGAGGACTGTTAATTGTGACTTCATATAATCAGCTACAGCTCATCAGTAACACCCCGTTTACACACGAACGAAAGTCTCCGGATTTGTAAAATTTTCCGGAATCATTGTTACACACATGTATCGGATTCGTCAGGTGTTTACACAACACTTTAGTTGTCTCTGTATGCGGATTTGTCCGTTTACACTCACATTACTTGTTCTTGGAGAATTGTTTGGTCGTCATATTGAATTTCTTCGGATCCGTGGTGCAAAGCGTTTACACAAGAAAATTTTCCGGATTCAAATGTTTCTGGATACGAAGTTTCCACAAACTTTTACGGATTCAAAGTTTTCGGATACGGCTTAAAACCGAGTACATTTTCTATCGGATTCGTTGCTGCGTGTGTAAACAGCAACATGAATCCGGTACTAAAACATTCCGCTTTCGTGATGAATCCGGAAACTTTCGCTCTGGTGTAAACCGGGTCTAAGTCGCGTTCCTTTTGTAAATCTATACTTGGATTTTTAGGATCCTGATTTTTTAGATTCGTATAAAAAATGGAACGCAATAAAGTGCAGATTGATTTAGTCACTCATTTAGAGACGGGAAACTCGTCGAAGACGGAAACCTCGTCTGATATATTGAAATGCTTTAACGTTAGGGGATCTCAAAGAATTGACAGTATATAGCCACTCAATATGTCTTTCAATGTTGGGAACGTTAATTTGAACAAAAATCAGCGATTTTTTTCCACAAATTTAGCAATTAATATCAATTTTACATAAATTCATAAACACAATTCATAATTAATTAAACTTATCATATAGACACGTCCACATATCGTATCACACTTTTAAAAGATTAAATATTTTCTATTTCTTCCTCTCTCCTAGTTTCAATCTCCGACTTTTAAGTTTCCGTTTCCCGGCCGGTAGTTCAGACTCCGTTCTCATGAAACCTTTTTCGATGTATTCGTCCGTGTTCATGAAATCAACCTCCCAAAAATGGTCAGGCGTGCTGGGCGGAGGGGAGAATCGGGCGCGATGTCTTGAGCAGGCCTTGAGACGCTCTTTCATCTCATCTTCGCTCAATTTCAGACCTCCATAATACTGAAATGAAAAAAATGGAAATTAGTTCAACCTCGCATGATGCAAGCCAGGATTTCTGAGGTGTTTTTTTTCTGTTTTTAAATTTAAAATCTATTTGTTTTTTTAGTAAATTGACTAACTTTTTTTTCACAAAGCTTTTCTGAAGGAAAGCATGTGAAGTTCAGGTTAAACTATTCATTTCATAAAGCGTAAAAACGTTGGTCATGTTGAAGACACCTTTTCACAATCCGCACAAAAGTATCCGTTGAGCTTCGCGCGTTTATCTTTCCCTCTCACGACTTCTTTGTACTTAAATTGTGGAGTTTTCTCTTCCTTCCTGAAAAGCACGAAAACACGTAAGGAAAGAGCTGCCATCTTGTATAATTTCCAAATGAAATTTACTTGTTTTGCAACTCAAATTTCATGCAACAAGGCGAATGCTTCTTGCTCTTTGTATTTCTGCGTCTGGTTGAGCGTTGTGCTCTTCAATTTTTCTCAAATAACTGAAGTTCGGATAGATAAAAGCAATCTATGATACGATTGTTTCATATGTTTCTACCTCTTTTGAATCATCTGAGGGTCAGTGCTTCTTTCATCAAAGTTCAAATTTAACGCTATTCTCGGCGTTTCCTGTACGAAGGGAGATTAAAAAGAAGTCTGAGACGTTTGCAAGGTTAAACGACTGTACAAGCATGCTAAATATGCGAGTTGGCTCTCATTCACGCTATTTTAATTGAAAAATATATGATCAATGATTACAAGACGTGATTCGATTGAAATATAGAATAATATTTCAATTATATAACAATTTAATCAAATCATCGATGAATCTCAGTTATGGAGCCGGAACTATTGAACATTCCAAGATCTGTATTTGGTGATAAACTATAGATGAAAGTCACCAATTTTTTGAATTGCTGGGTCATTCATTAAATTAACCTTGATTGATGAAAGCTTATCGTATTACAATCGCGACTTCCTACATTTATTAGTACACGCATATATACGCAATTATTTTGAAACATTGGAAGGAGAAGTATCGTGAAGTGAAGAAGACTATTGTGTCCATTTCGCTGAGCTGACTGTATGTATTAACCAGAAGTATCAGATTCAATCAGCCAGTTTTTATATCAACCAAAATGATGATAAAGCTATCTGTTGTTCTCCTGATATTCACGTCAACCACAACAGCTGCTGTCTGGCCTGAAGGGCAATATTGTTTACCTATGCCACTAAATGAACAATGCCCGCTCGGTTGGGAACGAGGTTATCGTGTTCATTCTACTGAAGGCAACGACACAATACGAGGAGAAGTACCGTACGTAAAGAGACACGCTCACAGAAGCCTTGAGTGGGGATTTTGTTGTAAAACCAGAGTAAGTTATTATCGATCAAATCTTAAGTGGCCGCAGGGAAGATATTGCGTTTTTCGCAAAGGAGGATTTTGTCCGCAGGAATTCATAGAAGGTAAAAGTTATGTATTAATTTATAGATAAAGACTTCCCGGGGAAAATTGGGAGCATGCGGAAACTTTCTTGTTTTGGTTTTATTTTTGGTTTCATGACGTTTCATAAACGATCTTTCTTTGAACACAGGCAGTATACACTGGGATGACAGGGACGCTCAAAACACAAATCGGTTCGTGGGGACATTACCAGACGGCGTCTACAACCAGAACACGCAAATCTATTTCTGTTGTCGCATCGATGGATCGCGCATGCTCACTGGCCTACCGCAATGCTACAGCATGATTTTAATGCGATTCGGCACGTGCCCAACGGTCGATGGATATCTGGGGCCACATAAGGGATATATTGACTGGAATACCGAGGATTTGTTCAATAATGATCAAAGTTCTCAGGGATATCCAGACGGATTCTCGCGATTCAAAAGCGGAATAAAAATCGAGTTTTGTTCCTACACCTCTTCATATTCGTGCTAGACACTTGAATATCTTCCCGCTAAGCATATTAAAGATTTATAGAAAATAAAACGACGTCTGTGGCAGGTTTGTGTGAAGAAAGAGAAGGACAGAAAAACAGTCCTCAATCATCAGACAACTTGAAATCAAAGATTAATAGCTTTAGTCAATATTTATCAATCGTCAACAGACATTTCGTAAGCTGCTTATCAACCAGAATTCTTATTACAAGCATTTTTTTTTCAACATAGATCTTCAGGCCTTCCGTTTCGTCTCCTATTTTTTGTCATGAGGTTTTCAGAAAGCAATGAAACTTCTTGCGTCGAAATATTCGTCTTTAGCATGAGCCTTCCCTTTAATATCCGGCCCTCTAATTCAGCCTGCGAGCAGCCTAGCATGAGTCTATTGTTGGAAACTCACCTGGACATTAGAAAGTATCTTACCTCATCAGAAGCAGCCTTCTTTCCATCTAATTCCTTTGACTCATTGCTCTGAGCACTCGTCATTTTCTTTGACGAGAATGCTGAAAGAGAAAGCACCCAGTATTTGGGAGAGAATAGTCCATGTACCATTTACTTTACCTCCATGAAAAACCTAATTCACTGTTTTCGCGAGATATTGTGATTTATGCACAAAATATGTGATTTATTTTGGTTTCTCGGAAGACGAAATTCTTTCTGCTTGACGCTCAAACACAGTATTCGCTGTTTTGGAGAGGAAATTAGACCAAAATTTGATCATCGTTAATGTTTATCTGATGAAAAAAAACACATGACTTTGGTACCTGGACTGACACTAGTCTGTGGCGAGGCAAAAAGCAGACTACTTTTGTCCAATGACGATTCTTTTGTAACGGAGATAATCTTTGGTTTCTTTCTTGGTATTTCTGTGCTGCTGGGCTTTAAGAAACCGCTGTCATCCAGGAATATAAAATCTGGCGAGGGAGTTTTGTTCTTAGATGAAGAAAGCTAAAGATGAACAGAATATCACAGCGATTAAATCTTGGTGGAATTGGTAGTCTACCTAGTACTGGTATTGGTCAGACTCGGTCTTTGAATACTTTGAAAGTAATTTGGGAAAGTTAAAGTACTTGTCTTACGTCGGAAGGCTTTTTTCGATTTTCACTTTTGCTGGAAAGTCTTCTTTCACCCGAAGCTGAACTTTCATTCACTTCTTGTTTAGATCCTAAACTTTCTGAAGTCAAAATCGATCCAAATGAAATATCACTCCTCTTCCGCTTCTTTTGCTCCGGTGATGGTGATGTTGCCGCCAAAATTGCAGTTCTTGTGACGCTGTGTGACCGCGTATGAATGGTCGGGGACTGGGGCACAGTTTGTTCCGGAACCTCGCCTTCCATTAAGGGTATCTGAGAGAAAAATGTACCTCCAAGTCCCTCACCATCCTCACCTCCCAGTATAGACGGCGACGTTTGCGTGGGACTGAACGCTAGTGGAGATTTTTTCGGTTCTTCTTCAAAGCGGAGATCCTGAGGGGTACTACATTTCGACGGGGGACTGAGAGGGAGACGCAGGGTCAAATTTGGATCCAAGTTACTGTTATCGGTGGTTCCACTTTTGCTTGAACTTTTCCTCAGGAATTTCTCATTTTCCTGACTCGGGAATATAAACTGGGTTGTATTATCGAATATATTTTCGACCGATTTGATTTGAGTGCTAGTCTTAGCCGGGGATCCGATAGATACCGGAGTGGACGAACTGGCGTCTAAAACAGTTTGAATATCAAGAATATTGTAACTTTTGATTTTCCCAGATTGGTTTTTTAATCCCATCTGACCTCCCAAGTCATGTTCCTTTGAAAAAGTAGTTTTGCGAGGATCAAGAGTCTCGTCATTCTTGTTTTGCTTTTGAGAGACAAGAACATCTCGTTTTTTTTCTTCAGTATTTTTTGTTGTCAACGTGTTAGTGATGCTAATATTTGACGACGTAGAATTGTTTGTGTGATCTTTTGATGGCTTCACATCTTCATAACGCGTTCGTTTGTTCTCCTTGTTTAGCGAAAGCTTGCCGTGAAGTGGCTTTTTGTTCATTTCATCGTTTTCTATTTCGGCCAGAAGCGTGGTCTCAGATACACTTCTATTCAAAGAGAAAGCTTGTTGCTACTCTGTGATTTTAATCATTTGTCTGTCGACGTATAAACTATGAAATTCTATCTTTCTACTCCTAAATTTCTGTTTTCTTCTGCGCATTTTTAATTGAGAAAGAGTCGGTTTCTTTTAAACAAATACTCTGAATTATCTTCAAATTAAACCAGATTACTTTTCTATATAAAAGACTTTTAAAACGTTATCGGAAAATTAAATATGAAAGCGGGAAAGCTGCGGTGTTTGAAACTTGAAGAATTAAAAAAGCAAGGCTTTGTTTGAAATCAGGCTAAGCTAGATTAGGACAGGGTGAAAATGGAAGAGCTCTGCACCTTGCAATGTCACCAACCAGATACGAAAACGTTTCAGCGTTATAAATTCCATTCTTTTCAATCTCTAAAAGTGATCAAAATCGTATTGTGACAGAAAATGGAAAATTTCTCCCTTCTCCCAAATAACATAATTCCTACCTTTCATTCTAATAAGTTGATCAGCAAAATAGATTTTGACAAACTTCTTTGCCTTTTCATATTTTTCTGACAATCTAAAGACATGGAAAAATTGTTGATTATTTTCTCTGAATATTTTCAGTTACAATTTTCTAATAATAATAATATAGCAAATATATAGGAAGTTTATCAACAGATTAGGTCAGCAACCTTTTATTTTCCAATAAGACTTCTTCATTTTTCGCCTTTAAACGTTTTACGTCTTCCAGTAATCTTTCATTTTCACCTCTTAACTGCTCTGCAACTACAGATTTTAACAAACAGATTAAGTTAGGATTACGAGACTAATTTATATCCGGTTTATCATCGAAATGCCTGAGGATGTGGCCTCTTCTCTTGCTAAGGTTTTTCAACAAAGACTTCAACCAGAAAGCCGTCTATTATAAATACACTCACGTCAGATTGAACACAACTACCGATTAAACCGAGTAAAATGATTGCCAGTGCATATATTGCAGATATTTCTTCTAACTCTCAGCAAGTAATACACACCTTGTAATTTCTCCAAGAATAAGTCTTTAGCTTCTTTCAAAACGGACAAAAATCGTTCCTCGCTCATTCTTTCGTCCACTCAAAAATCCCGCGCCATTACGATTTTGTTGTTTAAACGAGATACTTCATCTTGCTCAAATATAGCTGTCCAAGTTACACAAGAATGCCTTTCTTCTAGGAAATTTTGACCGAAAAAATATTTGTATGTTGGAACTTGAAATTTGAAAAGCAAAAAAAACTTTTTCTATCCTTTTCATATTAGATAAGGACGAAAGTGTTTCCTAATTGAGTGAATAGAATTAAAAAGATCTGGATTAGGCAGGATATTGATTTTTCTCTACTGATTTTTCCACACTTCTTGAGAATTCCTCATAAATCCAGCCTTGTTCCCAGTTTTCAGCATGCGCAGTCAAAAGGTCACTCTCTGGAGGAATTTGGAGGAAGATCGTTCTTCTTCAGTTTATTTTTATATATTTACAAAATTTACATCCTATTTTTCATCGAAAACTCTTGAAACTGCGACAAAGGAAACAACATTATGAAGTGGTGGGAAACATATCCTTAAACTGCCACATCTTCGTTGAAAGAGGGATAAAAATACGCCCTCTTCGCAGTTAAACTTTGCGACTTAAACTTTGACAAGTTATCTTTAAAGTCAACCAAAAACTTCCTGTCATCATGATAGCTGGATTGCATTACGTTCTCTACCTTCTTGCGGGGATCTTCAGACGTATCCTCCCTGGACAAACTACTGTCAAGACCTTGGACAATGAAGAAAGCTGCGGAAGTTGTGAAAATGCAGACAGACGTCTTAATAACATGGAAAATTCATCTGGTAAAGAGAAGGCTTTACGAGGTCAACCGTCCATGGTGAATGTCACTGGGTTTGGACAGAGTATCGCAGTGCTCACGAGCGGTGGGGATGCACAAGGTGGGGTTTGAATCAGGGGATTTTTATATTTTCTATAGTGATTCTTTATCAAAATTTTTCTTGCAAGGGGATCATTAATATTCATGCTTTCTGACCTTTCTGTACATGCAGCTTTGCACGATTGCTAAAATATTACGCAATACAGTCACAATTTCTGCATACATCACTCTGAAACTCTGAAATATTTCAAGGTGCAAGAGTTCTTTGTAAAGTTCAAACCTGTACAATGAATTCAAAACTTAGTTATAATAGAATTAACTAATTTTTTTAATGCACCCTTTGATTATTAAATACCTTTTGGCCTGAGGCCTCGTCTTAAAGCTAAATCTTTCATATGATCAGGGATGAATCCTGCCATTAGAGCTGTTGTCCGTATGGGTCTTTACGCTGGAGCAAAGGTCTTTGCAATATGGGAGGTAAATTCTGTAAAGATATGTACATCAAACCATCCTATATCACCAGCATGAAAATTGGTGAAATTGGTCATATTTTGTGGGGGTGTGTGCATGATAAAATACAATTTTTTCTGGTCCTCAGGGATACGAAGGTATGCTCAGTGGTGGTGATTGCATCAAAGAACTATCATGGCAAGCTGTTTCAGGAATCATAGGAAAGGTATAATTATGATGGAGAGGTGGGGTGCCATAGATGTGTGCCACTCCCCCCCCTCCTCCCACCTTCAAAATGATAAAAACTGTTTTTAAAACTTGACTTTTTTGCCTCTTCCCCCATCTCATCCCCCATCAGGCTTATCTCCACATCCCTCTTTCTCTATACTCCTTCCTTCTCTCAAATCCAACTTGCTTTCTTTAAGTATTTGAGATAGTATCAGCATAACTTCAAGTGAAATTCTTTCTTTGCTCAGGGGGGTACAATTATAGGAAGTGCTCGCTCAAAAGAATTTCGCACCCAGGAGGGACGAAAGAAGGCTGCTTACAATTTAATCAGCAGAGGAATTTCAAACCTGGTAATTGTTGAGTACATGTTTATGTACGGAACTCTTTCAGTGAAGAACTTTTAGCTTTAGATATAATTGTAGAACTAGTATACTAAATTTGTTTTGCAAACATTTGTTCAGATAGTGATTGGAGGTGATGGCAGTTTAACAGGCGCCAACATATTTAGGCAAGAGTGGAAAGATTTTGTGCAAGAACTGTTAGAAGAGGGTAAATGCGTTTAGTATTTTTAATCATTATAGCTAGGTCATACTGCAAGTTCAAAATAGTTTGGTACCCAGGGGTTTTTCTCATAATCTATGCTGATATGGGCAACTAAAATTGAAACAAACTATGGGAAAATAAATGACAAAAACATTGTCATTCTTAAACACAAGACCTGGCAACTAATTAGGGTCATCTCAATGAATTTTAAAGGAGTTGTTTTTGTTTAGGAAAGATCAAGCAGAGTGATGCTGACGCTTGTGGCTATCTTAACATTGTCGGAATGGTACGTTATTGTTGGACCATTTGAATAATGGCACCTCCGGCGGGATCCACCCCTGCACTTGCAGCTGAATTTCGTACGAGCCTCTGCTGATTTTATGAAAGGAAAATCAATTGTCCATATTAAAGACAAAAGATAAATTTCTCAATTAATTTTGTCGTTCAGGTCGGCTCCATTGACAATGACTTTTGTGGCACAGACATGACCATAGGTGCTGACTCAGCATTACACCGGATCATTGATGCTGTGGATACAATCAGCACTACAGCCTCAAGGTAGATTAACCCCCCCCCCCGTTGAACTTTAAGAACTTTGGGGAGTCCCCCCCCCATTTTTTATGATTCACCATTGAGCCACCTTTACCTAGGTTTTGTTTTTTTTCAGTCATCAAAGAGCGTTTGTTTTGGAAGTAATGGGGCGACATTGTGGGTTAGTATAATGCCCAGGTCTTTCTGTGTGGCACTTGCATTGTGCATAAAGATGTTTTTTAAAGAAAGTGTAATTTCTTTTATCAATTTTCTCAGATATTTAGCATTGATAAGTGGGCTCGGAGCCGGCGCTGATTGGGTAGGTGTGTTTGAATTTTTCCACTGCTGTGTTTTGAAGCACACGTTTCATGACTCAACCATCTTTCAGGTTTTTATTCCTGAAGATCCTGTGCAGGATGGCTGGGAAGACGAGTTTTGTAATTTCCTAAAAGGGGTAAGCGAACTCAGGCTTTGTGAAGGCACTCACTGCTATCCTGGGTGTTCCAGGTTTTGTGTTCTAATCGGCTGGGTGTGTCGCTGATCTATGCTTAGCGTCCAGTGAAAAATATAAAGTGAATTTGATGCTCGAATATTTTAGACGCGAGAGGCGGGAAAAAGACTGAACATTGTTATTGTGGCTGAAGGAGCAAGAGACATTCATGGCACAGAAATCACCGCAAATCAAGTTACAAAGGTTCGGCTGACGCACCAAACCACGTAGCCTGCTCGCAGACCCCCTAATTCAGTCTGCGAGCAGGCTACAAACCACGACACTGTTCTTAGATCAGTATTTCTGACGTGCACTGACCTAGTTCCTGATTTTATAAAATCTTGAGTTTACCTCAATTTCATCGATTCATATGCTGTTGCAATGTAACCATTTTTACCAATTTATTATTTGGTTAATTAGTTCTAATTAATCAATTGGTTAATTTTAGTTAATAAAAGATCGTTTGCAGTACGACACGCGTACGACAGTCCTCGGTCACGTGCAACGGGGTGGAGTCCCGTCTGCTTTCGATAGAGTCTTGGTGAGCTTACCTATTTAGTATAGGATTAGCTAGGGATTATGTTCAAGATTAGGATTAAGATTATGTTTAGAATTGAAGATCAAGATTATGATGAAGAGATTAAGATTATGCTTATAGGAGATTATAATATCACTACGATTTGGGTTCGAGCATTATGTTCGGGATTAAGATTGGCGTTAGGATTATGTTTAAGATTAAGATTATGTGTTGGATTAAGGTTTGTACTGACAAGAAGCAAGTTGCTCTGATTTCTTTCTTATTGTAGTTATGTTTTGTTTTTCAGGCGTCACGTATGGGCGCTGAAGCAGCTCTTGCCGTTCTTGATGCTGATGAAGACTCTCCTCCTTCCGTGATTTGTATCGATGGAAACCAAATTGTGAAGAAACCTCTCATGGAGTGTGTTGAAAGGGTGTGATTTTTGATCTATACATACATTAACTTTGTATAAATGGATGATTTTTAATCTAAACTTGTGTTTTTTAACCCCATCCTTCGCTTTATAATCGGACTCCAAATCTTTACTTCGCTTGTTCAGTCTGAAGCCTTTTTTCATCGACCTCAACTGCCGTTTAAAAAGTTGTTTTTGTTCAAAATATTTGTTCTCTTGTATTATTGTAGACGTTGAGTATTCAAAAAACTGTTAACGAGAAGAAATTCAATGATGCTGTCGTCCTTCGAGGCAGGTACGTTCTATGAAATTTAAAGTATAAACATCCATTATCTAAAAACATAAACATACTGTGGTTAAAATCAGGTGAAACGTACCACACGCTAAGATCTTAGTTGCCGGTTTTCGAAAAAGAATTCGAAAACACACGTTACGTAAGAAGCTAGATTAAATAACTTGCGGCAACGCGGCAAATATTTTGAAAAATATTCGAAAACTACCGGCGTTTACCTTTGTTTTCTAAACATTTTTTCACTTCAAAATATGTTTTTTAATTCATTAAGTTTGATTTATTTCCGTTTCCGTGCAATTTACTTTATACCAATCTCTCTAACATCAAAACAAAAGCCAATATGTAAAAAGCCCGAGTGTCTAGACAAGACGGCGCCAACTCAGTGAATGGCTTCCAAGAAAATGTATCAAAATTAACAAAAGTCATTAGAATAAGAATAAGTTTCAAAACATTGTTTTCTCGAAATAAATATTATTATCATTTCCGAAATAATTTTATCCCAAAATATAGGATGAAAAATATATCAATTTTTTGCTAAATTCTAAACCGTTGCTTCGAGATGGTTCAGTGATATCGATTATACCTTTGCCAGAATTGTTCGAAAAAATTGAAATATTTTGATGACAAGAACCGCATGAATATTTTTAGATCGTTTAAGAATACGTTGGACGTGTTTCGTAAATTGCGACTTGTCGCTCCCCCGGCTGAAGGCAATTGTTCATCGACTGGAAAGTGCAAGGTAAACTATCTTTTGAATTACCTTCAAAAGTAGAATAAACTTTTGAGAGTATTCAAAGACATCCCAAAATATACGGGATGTCTCAAATGGAACGAAATCGCGACCTTAACCTGCCGTAATTCATTAAACATTGGGTCCAATTATTTAATTTTCACATAGTACTGTGAAAGAGGAGTTATTTAGCTTTCTAGTAATATCTTTCTATGATATAATGGCAAGAAATAATAAAATAATGATATGGTAATCGACAAGTCTGTATACTGTTAGTAGACGATGTGTGTTGAACCGATGATCCTGTTCTTACAAGAATATTGATCATCGTTTTTTTTTAAAAGGGATTCACGTTGGGTTTGATTAATGTCGGTGCGCCTGCTGGTGGTATGAACTCCGCTAGTCGTGCTGCTGTCAGGCTCGCGGAGTATGGAGGTCACACAGTACTTGGTATAAAGGATGGATTTGATGGACTTATCGCAGACAAAGTAATGCGAACGTCGACTTATTCCACTTTAAAAAATAGATCCCCCCCCTGGAACTGCTCCAGTTCTTCCACTTACTGTTCCAATTTCACCTTTCATTTCCACTTGAAACTTCAAAAATACTATATTTCAATACAGTTCAATAAAATACCCTTTGCACGGTGAATGTATTGTTTCTGGCAAGAGATTCAAAAGTTTTATATTTGATGTACTCTCTGTAAAGGTGAAAGAAATATCTTGGCAAGACGTGAACGATTGGGATAGCGTCGGTGGATCGAGAATTGGTACCAAAAGGTTCGAATGGTTTTTGAACAACCCTTCAAGCCTATTTCTAAATTCCTAATAATAACCACAAGCTTTCACCATCTTTTAGGACACTTCCGAGCAAGTTGGGAATTGAGAATGTCGCTCAGAAATTTAAACAACACAATATACAAGGCCTTATAATTATTGGAGGATTCGAGGTACTCTTATTAAGACCCGTGCGATTTTTCTCTTTTGATAGATGTGAACGAGTAATTAGTTACGAATGCTCTGGTGTATAAGAGCTTTTATTTAAACATGAGTAACTAATTCACTTGTTCACATCTATCAAAAGAAGAAAATCGCACATAATCACTGTAACTTAGCCAATCACCAATGCGCATATTTCATTTGTTTAGGCGTATCAAAGTGGTATTGAGCTCTCAGATAATCGCGAGCGATTCCAAGCATTTCGTGTTCCTATTGTTGTGATACCAGCCACGATCAGTAATAATGTTCCTGGGACTGAGTTTAGTTTGGGCGCTGATACAGCTCTTAATGTCATAGTAGAGGTATGTAGGCGTTTCTTGGATGTTACTACTCAAATTCAATGAAGTTCTCAGATTTCTTAGCAAAAGTGAAAACATTCAATATTTCAATTTTACTGGCAGCGAGAGTTTCCCATTTCTTGATCAGTGGCAGCAAGAAATTCTAATTTCTTAATTAGTGCCAGCGACAATTTCTAATTTCCTAATTAGTGGCAGTGAGAATTTCTAATTTCTTAATTAGTGCCAGTGACAATTTCTAATTAATGGCAGCGAGAATTTCTAATTTTCTAATTAGTGGCAACAAGGATTTCTAATTTCCTAATTAGTGTCAGTGATAATTTCTAATTTCCTAATTAGTGTCAGTGAGAATTTCTAATTTCCTACTAAGTTCTCCAGCGGTACCCACGATTCTTGTGCAAATTATATTTTTCGTATATTTCAGTCTGTAGACCAACTGAAGCAGTCCGCGAGCAGCGCAACCAAACGTGTTTTTGTCGTTGAGACGATGGGTGGATACTGTGGTTACCTAGCAACACTTGGTGCCCTAGCGAGTGGTGCTGACGCAGCATATATCTACGAAGAGCCTAGTTCCATTGAGCCCATCATGGTAAGTCTAGGCCAGCCATGTTGAGATGTACGAGCAAGAGAGAGAGAGAGTATAGTTTATGTCGTGATATGACTTCGTTCGTTTAGGATGACTGCAAACATTTGATCAATAAAATCAAATACTCGGGGGTTGAGCGTGGCATTATTCTACGGTATTTAATATATCCATCAATTATATCTAATATACTATTATTATCCATCAATTATATCCAATATACTATTATTATCCATCAATCATGTCTAATATACTATTATTATCCATCAATTATATCTAATATACTATTATTATCCATCAATTATAACTAATATACTATTATTATCCATCAATTATATCTAAAATACTATTATTATCCATCAATCATATCTAATATACTATTTTATGTATAATGAAAAAAACGTATAATGTTTTTAGCAACGAGAAGAGCAGCGAATATTATGATACAGATTTTCTGACGTCGTTGTATCAAGCAGAGAGTAAGAAAGTATTTACAGCAAGAAATTGTGTGCTGGGTCATATACAACAGGTGAATGTCAAGTGCTTACTTCGAAAATGAGGTTACCAGCATTACCTTTCCCCACCCACCTCTCCAAGCTCACCCACCCACCTTGGACAAGTTCACCCACCTCCTCCCCAGCTCTTCATCACTTGTATCTCAATCCCTTAGTGCCAGCTCAACCAACCCTTGGGGCAGCTCCTCCCTACTTCTCCAATCTCCAGTGGATCATAGCTCCTTTCTTTACTTAGGGTGGTGCTCCTTCGCCGTTTGATCGAATCCTTGGTGTTCGTTTTGCAATCCTTGCTGTTGGGTTTATAATCGAAAAGATCGAAGAAAATATCACCGAGGCAGGTAATATCCTCAACCAACCTTTCTGCTTTGAGAATTTAACCTCACATGTGGAAATTGGGATCAAAATCCAAGGATGTTCTGAGGGTTTCCTGTTAAAGTTATTTTTTCTTGCTATTAGACATCGTAGATTCCACAGCAGCGAATACTGCCTGTCTTGTTGGTTTGCAGAAAAAACAAAATGTCTTCACCCCTTTGAGCGAATTAAAGAGTGTCACTGATTTCCCGTAAGTATTCTCCTTCAGAGAAGCGTGTTTGCAAATTATAGGGTAAAGAATTAGTGTGAGGTGTTAAAACGTGATTTATGCTAAACGCTACCATTTGCTGCGTTCGATAATGCTGGTGTACCCATATATTCCCAGGCATCGCCTTCCAAAGCATCAATGGTGGTTGCATCTACAGCAGTTGTTGAGAATCATGGCGAAGCACCAGCACATCTATGAACGTGAAGCTGAAGATGAACTTTGATGCATTTCAAGTGGAAACGGTGAAGTATGCCGACGTGAAAGTGGAAGATGCATGTCCTGATATCTGGTGGGTTATAATATATACTCTGTGTTTGTGTGTCTATCAGGAGCCAGTGTGAGCATTTTTAAGTGATACACGATTGTTGTAATTGCGGAATTGCTATAAAATATCGCGATATGCTTCACCCACTGATATAAATATACCTGGATGGCGCTGACATCAAAGCAATGTTGAAGGCGTGAGGATTAGTGGATTTAAAAGTTTGCAGCGTTTAACTATGGCTTTTTTATGCAGTAACATAAAGTATATAGTTGAAACGATATACAAAATTATATATTGTTGGAACCAAAGGTGAAAACTGCTTTGACTGTCGAAACGTCAGTCACCAACCATTCAATATCCCCTCCAGGGCATTACCACCCTCGAAAAAATCAACCATGACAAACATGGTGACGGAGTGACAGTGAGTTTCGTGTTGTTGGAAAACCACGGGTGTTGTTAGTTATCAGCAAAGTTTTCGGTCTGTTTACCCGGGACTTCATAAGTGTAATTCACGGGTCACCGGAAGCTTTGCAGATAACGTGGTGTTATTCGTGGTGTTCCTAGAAATTGATGATTTAATTAAATATGGTTAAATCGCTATGCAACATGACAAGGATATTAGAATTTTTGAATCTAGGAAACTAGATTCGCAAACGTATGATGATGAACCAAATTCGCTACATCCTGTTGATTCAACAGGTTTGAGTGATGCGCGCTGTTCATATATGTTTATTCCTGTCTGTGGTCGCGTATAATATCTTTCCTTTTAAACCTGACGAAATTTGTAATCATCTTCCAACGTATCCCCCCATACATCGTTAAAAAATTATTACAACCTAAGAAAGAGCCAATCTTTCGACAGATTTATCCTCGTGTTTAAATTTACCCATAATAAAGTTTATTAATATCTCTTCTTAATATTTCTATCCCCGAGGGCGAACGAACATTGCGTACTTGTTATAGTCATAAAATTTAAAAGAATTGCAATACATCTTAGCTTAGTTTTCACTCGAAATTCCTGAGATAACCGTTGTTTATGAGAGCTGGAACAACGATTATCTCGCAGATATAATCTCAGCTCCTTTTTTTTACTGCATGAATGTGTTCTGATTTCGACTTCGTGGAGTATCTGAAAGAAGCTTTATCGCTTGTTTTGCGGAAATGCCGGCACAGAAGTTGAAAGTATACGTTCGTTTTTTTCCCGTTTCTTGAAGTGATTTCCTTGATGTCAGGATGAACTACAATGTCAAAGATGACCTTATTTCCAAGATGTGTTTCATCTTTCTTAAAATCTTAATGTCGCAAATATTCATAATCCCCAAAACACTTTCCCTGCACTTGATGGAAGAATGTGAACAATTAAAACGAACTAGCTTTCCTTTCTTGGTTATCACCCCATGGCAAATTTCCGAGCTTTAATGATGTTAAAATGATATATACAGACGAACTAAAGGTTGGAAAGGATATAATTTTAAAACATACTGCTTTTATTAGCATATTGATTTTACCAAAGCTATTTATGGCAGAGCGTTTGACCAGGTGGCGGCAACTTAATAAAGTACACGAAATACCAAAGGCAAGGAATCTTGAATGTTCTAACCCAAAAGGTGGCATTAAAAGCAACACATTTGAAGTGGGCACAAGAGATTTTTTTCGAAACCACATACATGTTGTCAGAAATATGATGGATGATAGTTTAAAGTATCTCAAAAGCGTCGACGTTTCAAAAGCGCCGTGTTATTTAAACTCTGTGTTCACAAGAACTTTTTTCGTTGTAAATTCTTTCAACTTTGGTGGACGATTTGTCGAAGAAAACACCGCTATTTGGAATGAGAACCACTTTGTGATATGCATGCTCGCCTGGGCAGATTTTTAATGCATGCGCGCTGAATCCTCCCTTCAAACGGCAAAGGAATTTTTCATGTGACCTGTTTGTCTGACCGCAAAATACTAAATGATTTGTATGTCAACGTAGCCAGCTGAGCCGCTATTTAAGACATCATGCATGCATGCCCTTCAATTTGGGATTAATAAAGATTTTAAAGCCTGCAGACGTACAAAATTTCCAAGAATTGTTCTCATCGTTAAAAAATACATATTGACACATATAAACTTGTTTAAGATTGTATCGCTCTTGCATGCATACCGCCCGTCTAAACAACATCTGTTTCTTATAAGCATTGTTATTTCTCAGAATATTTTCACGAGTAATATAAAACCGCGTGATTATATCACCACATGCATACATGTATGTAAAAAATACTTGTCGGAGTATGCGTCTGCGGTAGCGAAAACCATCTGTTTCGCGTTCACCTTTGCTTCGGCGATTAATAAAACTCCTTTTAAAGTTCTGACTTGGAATTTCCTGGAATTATTGTCATGTAGCAAGATAAGACGATTGAATATCATCACGTGTATTGTTAAAAAAACGAGAACGAAGATGTCGAAAGAGACAATATCGTGCTGTGCTAGACAAAACACCATCAAATTGAAGTTTACCTTTGTTTCTGAAACAATATATTGGCGCTTTTTAATTGATATCGCATGATCTAAACAACTATTATTCTTTGCGTTGTACCGTAGAATCAAATGAAAAGTGAACTCTTAAAATCATCTCTAATAAAAGTAAGAGTGATGTTTTAGAACAAACAACAAGATTAAGAGTCTCAAAAATGACATTTTTAATCTATTTTTATTAAATTTCACACACAACGTAATTTCAACTATAAATTTCAACCTTCATATTATTTTATTGTTTTTTTGTATGAATTAAGTACGACTTAATCTGCTTTCGTATGGAACATACCGTTCCTGGTTAAATAATGGTTCGTATATATGTATATGCTTGCAACGATTGCATGCAATGTTGAACAAATGAACGTTTGAACTATAACACAAAATGGTCTTGAGTGTTTGTTGATAAAAACGCTGTAACGCTATAATTAGTTTCTCTCCCACATATATTTGCAACGCCAGAACTATTGAAGAATTACTAGAAACGGACCCACTTTAGGTATATATATGAGTTTGTTCACAAACTGACAGCTACATTTTGTGAAACTGTCAAGTTATACTCAAGATATCTAAAGAAGAAATATGATATCTATTCTTAGAAAGAATATACCTCTAAACTATCTGTTGCTGGTATATCTATTGAATTATGCCGTAGTTAAAGCTATTGCAAGCATCTGATCGACCTATAGCGATATGCTAGTTACATTTTTGTAGAACGATCAGATTCTGTAAAATGTCCCCGTATACGAAAAGATGATGTTATACATGTATGGAGTGGGTGTTCGATTGATGGTGGGTTTTGCATTTACCCCCACCCTTTTCCAGAGCTGCGGCTCTGGCGTCGATATGCATGCATGGCCCTCAAACTTAAAACTACATTTACAGTCATCATTATAAAGCCCCTGATAATATAAATTGAGAATTTGATAACCGTAAAAGGTGGGGTTCCTGAAATCCCCCACTCCGTCCCAAGTCTGGCGTCTATATGCATGCATGGCCCTCAAACTTTAAAACTACATTTACAGTCATCAATATAAAGCCTCTCATAATATAAATTGAGAATTTGATAACCGTAAAAGGTGGGGTTCCTGAAATCCCCCACTCCGTCCCAAGTCTGGCGTCTATATGCATGCATGGCCCTCAAACTTTAAAACTACATTTACAGTCATCATTATAAAGCCCCTGATAATATAAATTGAGAATTTGATAACCGTAAAAGGTGGGGTTCCTAAAATCCCCCACTTCGTCCCAGGTTTGGCGTCCATATGCATGCATGGCCCTCAAACTTGAAACTACATTTACAGTCATCAATATGAAGCCCCTGATAATATAAATTGAGAATTTGATAACCGTAAAAGGTGGGGTTCATGAAATCCCCCACACCGTCCCAGGTCTGGCGTCTATATGCATGCATGGCCCTCAAACTTTAAAACTACATTTACAGTCATCATTATAAAGCCCCTGATAATATAAATTGAGAATTTGATAACCGTAAAAGGTGGGGTTCCTGAAATCCCCCACTCCGTCCCAGGTCTGACGTCCATATACGTCTCAAAGTCAAACTCGCTACATTTATAAAGCGTCTCAATAAACGATGTTTCCAAAGGCATACAGTCATATCTAGCCTACGTCGTTCGTGTTTCCATCTCATGGAAAAACTTCGAATGTGTCGGATAATGCATACAAGTTATCCTGTCGTTTATCCTCTTTCGTAACTCGAAACCAGTCCTCTAGCTGCTGCACGCGCCAGGTCAAACACTCCTCGTCGCTAGTCTATGAATTTTACGCATGCTTTCTTCCAACGGCATTGCGTACACCATAGCTGCTTGTTCTCCATGCCGAAAACTTTTCGACATTTTTTTCCATCGCCACGTGCTTTTCTGTTGTTTGTGTGAACCGTCTGGTGTAGCGGTCGCTTTGTCTTCGGCCTCCCCCCCGTCGTTCTCAACGGCCATATGAAGTTATCATCTAAGTGGAGATGTCCGCTCGACGAGACGGGGGGTTGTGTTGGCATGGATGGGTCGCTGAATGAACGACATCGCCTGGAGTTAGTCCGTGTCACGGGGGGAGCGGTGCATTCTTCGGAAGAGTTGTCATTTCTTTCATTTTCATTTCGTTCAACTTCGATGAAATAGAATTCTTCCTCTCCGTCGCTGAAACCATCGTCTTCTTCCCTTTTAGCTCTGGTAAAAATCATCAAAACAACAAAGCTTACACCTTACCCGTGAATAGAATGCAAATTCGATTTATTGACAATTGACATTCAACCTTTCATCTAATTTTGACCAAGCTTACCCCAAATGCCGAGCTCGAACATGCCTGACGATTGCGGCAGAATTTGTCAAGATCTTTTTACACCGAGGCCACGTACACTGAAATAATGTCTTCAAAGAGCTCTGTAAAAAAAGAAACACAAAAAAACATCATGTGAGTTCAATGAATCCATGGATATATGTTCATTTCCGTTTACTGCCATCTGGGCTTTTGCGGTGCGGAACATTTTTGTGTACAAATATTTCAACGCACTTGATATTTTAGACCATATTGTTATATTGGTTTTTGAGGCTGTCGATTATCTAAATTTGAAACAATTTAACTAGCGGTCTCATATCTCTTATAGCCTTATTTCATTGCGTTAATTGCTTAACTTTATCTTTTGCGATCTTGTAGTGCGAGGACGCGTTAACAGTTCCGAAAAACTCCAAAACGATGAAATCAAATTTGGCTGATTATCTGACGATGTACCTCCCAATGACGAAGTAAAATCGTTCAGCGTTAAGGTATGTTCACACGATCCAATTTTGTTGGATCTAATTCACTTCTGATTGATGTTTTATAGTCTGTTGTATTGTAATGTATACGAGCAACAAATCCACTGTAGCCAACGCAGTACTGCTTTATCAATAACCGACTATATTTCATCCGTCAGAAGTAAATTGGATCCAACAAAATTGGATCGTCTGAACAGACCTTTACACTGAGTAAAATCAGTAAAATCCAACGAGCTCATCAGAGCATCAGAATCATGCAGAAAAACGTGCAATTGTACGTTATGTATGAAAGGTATAAACCTTTCGTCGACGTAGTTTCGATTTTCTGACTTTGTTTTCGGAATCTGAATGTGGTGCTGTTGACGTGGCCTCATCGCTGACGCTATCCGTATTCATCACGTCTTCGAATATTTCGTCTAAAAGAAATGAGTTGAAATCCATCAACGATAGCAATTGAGGGCCTATTGCCATAGAAACAGCGAGATTCTCCTATTTAGTTCACCGTAGCTACCATTTAACGATGGGAAAAAAATAAGTGATTGCTTTAAAATGGAATGAAATTTTAACGTGTAAAAAATATACAAATACGGGACCCTTTATCGCCATTTACATAATAATGATCTTTTTTTACCTGCCATAATTTATAGGTAATGTAGATTCAAACATTGCTATTTGGAGAGCTTAAAATGTTAGGTTATTCATTTCAATAATTTCAATAATTTCTTCTATCAGGGTTGAAAGATCGTTGAGGGATTTGTCAATTTCCGGGAATTTGAAAGTTTGACGTGTTTTGCGGAAACGTAACTGCGAAACCTGAACTCCTTGTCTGGGGTTTGGTATCTCGACTGCGGGCGGCGCAGCCCTTTCTCACGATGACGTTTTTGGGGTACTTTCAATTTTCTCAAATGTGTTAAAAAAATTATAACAACATGAAAAGCAATTTTTTTTAGAATCAACAGACCATTTGAAGAATAAATTCAGCCTAAAAATAAAGATAGACCTCGAGGGTATGACGGTTAAAGGCAATTTTACGCTTGTATTTTTACTGTTTTACAATGTTACGATGCCAAATTCCACAAACGGTATTCTTTAAGACTTTGGAAGCGGAACTCCCACTCCACAAAACTCATAAAGAGGATGTTTTACTGGTTAAAAGAGGGTCATTTTCCAAGTGTTTTGGCTCGCTCCTTCGAGGACTCGTTTCGTCTTGGGGTAAGATAATCTTTCCCCCCCCCGTCCTCGATCATATGATTGCAGCGCGAGAAAATCGCGCTGCTATTGCATTGACATGATATTGCAACGGATACGTTTTTTAACAGGCCTTTTATTGCGCCAGCCAAGATTTTATCACGTGTGGGGAAAAATCGTGCGTGCGTTCGTTGCTAGATAAGATTGCCATGCACTCGTTGTTTTTAATTCCCATGCCAGTGATAAATTGCAAATATACTTGGTAATCTGTTGTTGTTGACGGGCAGAGGTTTCCTAATAATAATATTGTAAGCTGGTTTGAATCATATTATCGCCTTATTGTTTTAGCGAATCAACAAACACGCCTACTTCAGCGGTCACGAGACATCAAATGACACATGCAACAAAGCCGGGACTCAAACGAACCGTAAAAAGTAGCGACGTTACTTATATGAACAGCAAACACATTTTTGAAATATAATAACACGCACACTGCCTCGTTTGAGAGGAACACAAAGTAAATAAGCCATTAAATGCTTCAAAAACGTGCTAATTATAGTCATATTCGGAGAATTATTACATCGCGAACTCAATCTTATATCACGCTGGCAAGATTCGATCGCATATTCTCAAGTATTCTGCTGCTTTTATGGCGAGGATTTCAGCGTTGTTTGCATTTATGTTGAACTGAAAGTATAAGGCACATACTAGATTTCCCCTGCGTGCATATGCCTTGCAAGTTTAAATAATGTAATGTTGACAAAAATATGCTGTTTGCAAAGCAACAGCAGTATGTGGCACATGCCGGGGTTCAAGCTCATAAATTACAGCTAATGATCTTTTTACCCTGGGTTCAATAAAACAGTCCCTTGCATTCCTTTTTCACACGTATATCAACTTTAAAACTGTAGAAATTACTAGTTCTATATAGCTTATTGCACTCGCATAGGAAAACACCGCAAATTATCACAAAAATATGCTCTTCTGGGTTTTCACATGTAGGCATGCATAAACAAAGCAGACTTCCTGCGCACCGGTGATACAATAAATGTAGCAATATGGGTTGGTTTTGTGGGAAACCCATTTCATAACTGCGTGTAGTTGTTATAAACTTGAACAAAATATCAAATTAATAGACTTGGAAAAATGCAAACCGCAAAAAAAGTTCTTTTAAAGGCAAAACCGGTATAGCCTAGAAAATAGACTGCATGTGTTTGAATTTTCACGCAAGAATATGTACAAACGTCTGTACAGAATGCTTTTGAACAATTGCGAATTCTGAGAAAAATGTCAGCAGGGAAGGCTGTACAGAGACTCAAATAACTATCTGTAATCGAGGGTCATTTTATAAACCCTATTCATACTCGTTCATGGTTAGCTAGATCTAAAATTTTTGGTTTGAGGAACGCAATATCAACTGCACTTTTCAACTTTAAATTTTAAGTATATATATAGTACACGAACTCCTAAAATGGTCATAGACCACGATGCTTTCATATTTATTTCCTATACAGTTCGTGAAAGCGAAAAAACGTATGATGTGGTTTCCTTAACCGCAGGCAACCAGCTAGCTCGTAAATAAACACCCTTCTTCGGTCAAATCAGCGCAACTTTTCATCGGCTTAAGTTGGAATTTTGGAAATGTCAGTGTTCAAAAATTTCATGAAACTGCGTAATGCTCTTTGGTACGTTTAAAATAGCACGATTTCGTAGATTAACTTTGCAACAAACAATCCTGATGCTCCTGATTAGAAATGAATCCGGCCGTAACGCACGTTTGCAAACTCTTTGTCATTGTTGCCACAAAGATTAAAGGAAAAAAATATACACCACAAAATGACCGGCATCGAATCCTTTTGGCCGCTACAGTTTAGCCTTAAACATGTATTTCGTGGAATGAATCAGCTATATAGTGCTATAGTTCCGGCCCAGCAATTACTCCATAGAAAGAAAACTCCAATGCAGTTGTTACACTCAATATTCACGCTATATATATACCGGCTTTTAGGCAAAACGTTAGCAAGATTGTAGATTCTTTCTCCTTGTTTTGTGTAGTATATTGTATATCCATAAAGGAGGCTCTCAATATGAATACAAAACCAATTCGTACAAATATACGTATTCTAAAACAACTGGTGGGAAAGTATCGGCAGTACCGCCTGTAGCAAAAATGGCGACAAATGTAAAAGGTGTTTGGACGGATATTCCTGTAGACTCACGAAGCGAATATAGTTGTAAAAGCACCTAGTATTGGGCTAAAACAAAGTATAGATTACCATATGCCTAAATATTAGCTATACGGATAGGATTATGTCCCGAGAAAGCATTTTTAAGGAAAGTATATAGCGCGCAAATGTTCCGCGATTATCTTAATTTTTCGACGGCGAAAATAGCCGGTGTTTTTGCAATGCGCTTCTCCTTGTAACTTTTCACGATCATGCGCTAGTAGCTGTTTTATAAACGCTTTCACGCTCTTTATTCATACCACCGAAATTGCCGGCGAAAGAGAACTCAATGAATTTTACGGCATTCAAAGCACAACAACAAATTGCCAATAAATTTACTTTTCAGAAGGACTTCAACTGTCCACATGCATGAGCTGGTGGATAGCAGGTTGATGTATGTTTAGCTATATATATATATATCTCTATTTCAACAGCATGTAAATTTCAGATCAACTCAGGTGTAAGGAAAAGATTTATCTCAGGCTGTATATATACATGCACATAGCAATAGGTCACAAGACCGACCGGCTGACTTGCAGTGAGAACAACAGAATCTGCCATACCTTGCTCTATTTGGATATTCCTTAGAACAGGCGATAGAGAAAGAGACGTCAGAACCGCCGCAGCCATCTGCTCTTCTGCATCCTCCGAGTTTTGGCCTTGAAGATATCTGCAAAAAGAAGCAGCAAGCTGATTTACGAGTCATCATAGTAATCTGTTTAAAATGGAAGTCGAAACTCAATGTAAACAATATTGTCGAACGCTGCGATCAATTGTGCGGGTGTAATTCATGTACTGTACGCTAAAAATCTTGCTGCATTCGCTCTGCAAAAATCCTACGTCCTATAGACAATTCGTTCTCTTCGTTAAAAAAGCATAAAAACACGAGGAATCCCAACAAACGTGCAACCGGACATCGCGATTACTGCGGCAATGTGCATCTCTGCACTCGGTGCACTGGTATGTTTTCAAAGCATGTTTAAAAATGAAAATCATCTCGCCTCTCTTAAAGGGTTTTACGGTTCTAACTCTGTTATTGTTAAATGCATTTAATACTCTGTTGTTCTTGTTGAAATTTGTCAAGTTAGAAATGTGCCATAGCACGATTTGCCACTATAGTCCATAGTACGGCTGAACGTTTTTATATAGAATGGTCAAAGTGTTCCATGGAACGAACTATGGAATACCCAAATTGTTCTAAAGGACGTTCTAATTGCGCTGGAGTTCCTAGAAATGCTGAAAGTGTTCGATAGAATAGTTCCAACTGTTCTATTCGTTCTTCGGAATAGTTTTAAAGATACGATGGAATAATATCAACGTAATTTGTTACATACGCATCATTCGGTATATCAATAACAAGCGGAGCAGTTCGCTTCCATGAATTTGAGCTTGCATTGCCGTTTCTCAGCTGTGGTAAAGCATCGTAATTTTTTGTGTTCTGCAAAATATCATGTTGAGGAACACCGTCCCTAGCGCCATCCTGTGAACAATGTTCTACGTTGTGACTACTGTAATGCACTTCGTTCACGCCATTCCCTCTCAAATGCCGGCGACCGAAATTCGCGGTAACGTCTTGAGCAAGCTGCATGTATACACCGTTGCCATTCTCTAAGCCATTGCACACGCCATTCCCGTCTTTTTGGTCGTTTAGTCGCTCGGAGAGTACGGACCAAACCCGTTCGCCGGTTGAAATGCATCTACTCCTATTTTCAAAACATCCGCTGCGTATGCCGGCCCTGGACAGTCGATTCAAGATCGACATTTGCGAGTCTTTTTCACGAAATGCAGGCATTCTCTGAAATTTGCTCAGAACTCCTGCAGCTGTAGTAAACGAGATTCACTTTTACTGCCTTCAATGTAACGTAACTGTTGTTTTTGCCTATATCGCACTCTCTTGTATGTGTGATGCGGCATGAATGTTTTCATCGACCCCCGTTGTTGTTATTCGAAGCGTTCAAATTAAGGGGCGGGAACTGGGACGTAATGGCGTCTAACAGCCGTTCCAATTGGTAGTTATTTTTGTAGTTTGACGTTTGATTGGCTGATGACAATAAGCCGTGTTCGATTTCACGATGTAAACACTTCTATGAGCACTTGCTTTCGATAATAAGCTAAGGAAAAGCAGGCTTCGGTGTCATAAATGTACTAGCTATGCATTTTTGAGCCAGATTAATGTTTGCGGTATATTTATTTTGGATCACGCCAAAATTCCGCTTCATTCGAGACAAAATATAAAGGGGAAATGGGCCATTATAGTACGATATCAGAGCGCTGTTGTTACATTTTTGTTTTGCAAAACTTTGACCTGAACTGGGCTGTCCCTGCCCTGAAAATTGTTTTCCTTTTTGCATAAGAATTGCCCTCTTAAATACGGTGAAAGCTTCTGCTACAAAGAGTGGGTAAATACTGGTATTGCTTATCGAATTAACTCGACGAAAATAGAGCTAAAAGTTCTTTAAATATTGGGCTGGCCATTTGGCGCCAACTGAACAAATATTGTATATTTTGGCCTTTATCTAAATCATCTTCTTCAACGTTTGTAGTTAGCGGTTGTTGTTGTGCCCAAAATGGTCGACACGAACAAAAACACTATGAAAGGATATGGCTTTTGAGTAGGCACTTCAAACTTAGCATCATAATAGGCAGCAAATAATTGAGCCAATTTGCCATTGACGAGCGCGCCAAATTATAGGTATGTAGAAAATAGAAAAATTGTATAATCGCTTTTGTGATGTTGCCTGCGACTTTTATCAAAAAGGAAATAACATTTTAGCAGTGATATGCTGTTTGACCATCGCTTTTCTTCCTGTGTTGGAAAGAAAAAATTGTTTTAAATTTTTGTATTAATATTTGGTATTGTGCCTGTAATTCATATCAAATGACATAACTAAAAAGACAAGATGTCGAGCAACTATATTATACTTTTCACACGACCTGTTTTACCAGGCTTCAAGTTGTTCGGTAAATGAAAATTAGATACGTGTTAACACATTTGGTTACATAAAATGAATGCAATGTCATACAGAGCTGTATTGTAATAAATACCATTAAAAAATGACTTTTTGGAATTCTCCGAAAGCAATCGACCTCGAAATAAGGTTGATATCAGCCACTTCAAACATTTTGTTCTCAGCCAATCACAAGTTGCGAATTTTTGTTCCTATGTTAATTTACTGAGTCATGTGCTGTGTGAGTAATAGCGTAAACAACACACAAGTTTAAAACCGGTTTGACGTGTCAATTGAAAGTTGATTGAGGTATCAAATGACAAAGAAACAAGATTTCGCCAAAAATGCACACTTGTACTCCGGATTTGTGCTTCATATTGTAAAGTTGGAATTGAAAGATGACTTTGGATAAACACAGCCAGCCATGCTCGCTTTAATAATTGATGAATTGTGACACAGACGAATTCGTGCACTCTAACACTTACTGTAAACTAGATAATTACTGTAATATTAATCGTGTAGGTTGTGCCAAACGAAGTCGTTGATTATGTTACGTTGCTTGAATGGTGAGATAAAGTTTGTTGCGAATCCGCAGAATGTATACTTTGCGCAGTTGTTTCCAAGCCAGAGTTTACAGAGCGCCCTTTTTATGTCAAAGAAAAGCTTTCTTTGATAATCAAGTTGCTTGCATTTCTTTTCTTTGAATTCTCCTGTCATCAAACAAAAATGAAAGTTAACAACTCAGGCTTGTCAAAAAAAACGTGACAAAAACCACTAACCTGACTTTAATTACCGGTCACCAACTTGAGAGTTCACGATCATTTGCGCGCATCGTTGAACTCTCTTGGTGTTTTTTTAGACGTTTTCATACACAGAAATCAATTAAGTTCGGCGAATCAAACCCGTTAACCAAGAAATATTTGTTGATTTGAAGTCGAGCTTAATATCGAAACCGTACTAGTAAAATCTAATTTCTGCAACTTCTCTGAGGAAACAGAACAGGAGATATGTTCGGCAAGGAAATTCGGTTCTCCGTTTCGAACTTCCTGCCAATTCAACGGTTATCAAACTAAGTGGTCCTTTGATAGAAGCGCTTCAATTGAATAATGATTTTAATTCATAAGTCGCGCGTTTTTCGTGTGTGAGAAAGCCCTCAAATTCGGTTCGACAAACGACCTCTAGAAACAGGCCAATAACTCAATCAAACGAAACAAGTTTTGACCACAACTTGCAAGTGAACGCTTTATACCAGAAACAATGAATTCCTTCGTGTCTTTTAAATTGTCGCGAGATTCTGTTATTTGTTTTTACCATATTTTGGGAATATTGCGGCATTTTTATTTCTCCCTTTTTCGTTCGGTCAGTTATAGCAAATATTACACACATCATTGTCCAGTGTGCATCATGAACTCTGTTTTACAGCGATATTTTGCCTAAAACTGAAAATCAGTATTGATTTTTCAGAAAGGCCATGTTTTTGCTAAACATAAATCAAAAATCATCAAACGACAAATTCTACACAGGCAGCATCCCCTACCTGAAAGGTAAACTAGTTTCAGCTTCACCCAATCATAGCGCTTCAATACGGCTGAAAAAAGAAGTTATCGTTCCAGTGTTTTATTGAGTTCGTCGATAATAAGTGTAAACGGTCTGAAACCAGTCATTGTTTGAAACTCCAAAAACATATTTTTATTGCATCAACGTAAATTATTGAATTCATTTCGACTTTGCTGGCACTGACATCTTCATTGCCACTAAAGCAAAACAGGAAACATTAAAGTATTTTCTTTTTTAATAGATTTATAATTGATCAATTATTTTATTGTCACTCTTTCATTTGTGTTATGCTTTATCCATGGAGTAGGCGTTTTGGCGACATGACTGACTGTTGTTATTAATTTGTTTTCAATTTAAGTATACTGTAAAGTCTGTACTGGAGTATTCAATTTTTCAAACAACCTTTGTAAGCATCTATCAAATTTACAATTCAGAAACTATAGTGATTAGGATATTTCTTAAAAGCATTATCGTTCAAGCTTAATAACCAATAAAATAGCTGAGTTGTCTTTGCGAAAATTACACTGCTTGGGTATATAAACAACGTATATGATACCGTCTGTCATTTTGCTATGTCTGACAGAGACTATGATGACTTTCTCGTGTTTTTATTTCTCATTTCAGCAGCTGAATAATCACACACGATGAACAAAAACACATCTTAAATTGCTCTTATCTTCAAATATAATGAATATTGACATTTGAAAGACAGGAAAACCGCTACGAATTAAAATTACAATATAGTTTAATTTGGCTATATGCGAATAAATATTACAACGTTTCTCTTACAACTGCGACACAGCGAAACATAATATATTGTAAGAAATTTCTTCCTGGAAGAACAGATAGCAGGGTCAATCTTTGTGGAAATTCATTGATGTTTTTAGCTGACAGAAACATGCTCAAAAATTGAGTTTTTAAAACGGGCCAGCCACCGATATACTGATAAATTTCCAATCCGCATCGCACAAAATGAGTTTGAAATTCTCAAAGATTCTTGTTGTTTTAATTATGTTCTTAAACTGGGTGTTGCCAATATTTTCATCCGTTTGTAAACCAGGTAAGATAGCTTAATCACTTGGACTATAATATTCAGTTCGTGTAACCATGTTCGTGTCGTTTGCAGAAGTAAGAGCAATTCTGAATGGTCGTATATGCATGTACACGACTTTGATTAAAAGACATGTCATATCGACATATGGCTGTTAACACGTATAGACTTATTTAACCCGAAAAAACAGTCTCTATATAGATACATTTTGTGATATCTCTAAACATGGTCTGCAAATTCAAATCACAAATAAGATTTAAAACATGTTTTAAAATTGCATGGATCGTTTCTCTATTTAGTATTTTCAGAATGTTTATTTTTCATAAAAAAATAGGCTGCATACAAGAATGTACATTTTTACTGTATAACTACATGTCTATATATAGTCTTGCATGACAAGTTTTAAAACGATGCAATTAAAGAATTAAACAACTTGGCAGTTTTTTTTATGACAGGGCAATGAGCTTACTTGCATGTTTGAAAGCTACAAATTTGGACTTCGCCATAATGCTCTCTACTTGAACTTGCAGCTGCCGTTTAGTTAAGCATATTATATCATTATTAACCAGTTTACTGTAGGTAATATAGCTGAAGGCTTTACTGATTAAGGGACGTGCATATATGAAAGTGTTTCGGAGCCGGGTTGGCGAAACATTTTTTTCACACAAAATTAAAATGATTAAAAATTGTGAACCATTTAAACCAGAAAACGAATATAGTCGATATAATCTATAAATCACTAAGTACAAACACAAGGTAAATACCGATTTTTATAGTGAAGTTCTTACTTATATTTCTATCCAAGATTTGCATCGTACTTTCATGCTTAAAGTGGAAGTCAAGTCCGTATGTAATCAAACGGTTTGTTTACATTTTGAACTTCACTATTTTTTAAAATACGTTGTGCTGTCTGAATATCTAACACTATTTAGGTTCGTTACGCTTCTAAATTAATATGAACTAGAGTTAATGTAAAGAAATAATAAGAAACATGCGAAATTTAGGCAATTTTCACATCAGAGGGCCCATACTTGTTATGAGCAGAACCTATGCGCAGAACGAACTTGACTTCCACTTTAACTGTGTGAAAACTTTTATTTTAAGGCGAAGAGCAATTTGCCGTTTTTGATTGTTACAACAACAAAGTCTACGCAGATGGAGTTGAGATAACACAGTCGAGAATTGTTATACACGCGATTTCCCTATTTACTGAAGAAGTTGTGGCCTTTTGTGTTCCGGCCAAGACCCGCCTTATTGCAGTCAGGAATGAATTACAAATGCAAGGCGCTTATCTTCTCGCTTCAATCGGAAACAAACTGGTAACGAACAAGGAATGGAGATGCGTTGAAACCATGAACGAGGAGGACTGGTACAAAGTGAAATATATCGACAAGAATTGGCCTCAGGCCCATGAGAAATCACGCGGGTCGGTGGTACCATCATTACTACACAAAGATATTTACAACATTTCACGGAACGCTATGCCTATATCTGCGTCACAAGGGTCGTCTCCTAAATATTATTGCCGAGCCTGGATTGGCCACCGTCCTTCCGTCGAGGAAATACTAACACGTACGTAGAAAAACCTATCTGATAACCGCTTTCCATTGAAAATGAAAACTTAGGAAGATTTAAGCATGATTTATTTTCAAAATATCCTGTTCTCCCTTCATGCATTATTACTGCATTTAAACAGTCTCTCCTATGTATCTACGCTTTATATACCATGTCACGTATCCTGACTATCCTGTATCCTGTGTATTAAAGCTAAGAACAGAACTTAAGCAAAGCACCTAGACTAATCTTCGTGAATCTCATTTCCTTGTATTTCCATCCTGCGAGCATAAAGTCCGTGGATTTCTGCACCCTCTTTGATTTCGTTCCCAGACAACCGTTAGATCACACTTCTTGCATGGTCTCAAGGCATCATACTTCATTTAGTTTCTTTTATCCAGGCTCAGCGTTTGCACGAAAAACTGGGAAACATCAACGTCTGGATTTTCATCTCTTGAAATCATTCCTTGTTCATGATATTTTCGATTGCGTCACCCGCTGCCTGGATCACGAAGATTGCGTTTCTATGAATGTTGCAAATTCCAAGAACTCGGATATGTTGCAAACATGCGAATTAAACAGGAAAGTTAAGAGGGAAGCGCGTGGATATATGTTGATGAACAAGGACTATGATTATTATGATATTTTCAGGCAGTAACATTGTGCAAGTTAAAGACAAACATGCGTCTTAGCTTTATCTATTGTCAGTGATAAAATTTTGTATTTAAATTTTACACTGTGCAGTCTTCAGTGATTTAGACCAGGAATGCTAGATATATTTTGCATAATGGTTCTCACACCGTACTCTAGAGAACTGTATAGAACCTTAAAGTACTATCTTGTACCTTATAGTACCCTATAATAATGTCTAGTAACCTACAGTGACCTGTAGATACAGCACCCGAAAAGACATCAATAAAGAATCTAAAGACAAATCAGTTTTACTGTTTCTAGTACATTTTGCCTGAAAATCAGTAAATAGTGTTTTTGAAGTGTCTCGCCGGACACCGCAGAAATTGGTGTTTAAGACGTTTCAACCCGAAAATCTAATCGCTGGTTCACAATTGTGCATTTCTGTATCGCCCTATCAAAAAGAAATCTTTTGAATATCTTAAAAAAGTTCAATTTTTCTTCTGAATACGCATTCTGCAATCTTTTGACAGCTCATCATACACATCTGACCGCTGTGAAATGGCCATTTTGAGGCTTAAAGTATACACAAGGTTATTAATTCAGACGATTCGTTTTTACCGTGAGCAAGCTTCAAATCTTTTGTGCAAGACATATTTTCTTGAATATTTATAAATCTTTTTCCTCACCAAGTTTGAAGTCTAAGTATCGAGAATTGCGGCTAAGCCTATACCAATTTCCGCGGTGTCGTCTCGCCGTACAGTACAATGCTGCTTTTTACTGTACAGTACAATGCTGCTAATAAGCTGTTGTTTAGGGCGTTTGGGAATTGGGCTTTCATGTTCGCCTGTTTATTAAGAAGTTGTAGGAATTGTATAGATTTTATTTTGATCTTTAACTGTTGATTCCTATCAAAGCAATTGTATCTTGCAATGTTTTAACGATGAGAAATCCGACCACCGAACGCGCACTTGTTAATCTTAGATTATACTTCTAGTTATTAATCGTGATGCTAGTCATGCTCTGATGTGCCCAGCAACTTGATCATCAAGTCTTGTGACGACATCCGATATTGCGCACGAGCAACACGTCAACGTAATGTTTTATTTTTAAAATGAAACGCGATCTTCGATTGCCTTCGTGCTCGAATCCTGACGTTATCCTCGATAATAGCTTGCGAAAAGGATCATTCTTGGTTCGCGAGATAATTTATAACAGCGTCGTTGTACGGCAGAGGTTTGCTAGCGACCTTTGGCATTAATCTATTCTAAAACTAAGTTGTCATCTGTACAGTTTTGCGGGTACTTGAAATATCTATGGCAATGTCATGATCTACATGACAGGCACCAGTCATAAATTTTTATTTGAAAATATTGTTTTGGGCGCGTTCAGTGTATAATCTCTATGAAACGAAGCACGCAAAACGTCATGAATCTATCAATATTAGCAAACACTGCTTTCGTCTGCTTTTTTTTTCCCTTTATTTCATGCTGTGGGTCAAACTATGGTGTCGATACATGGAAGAATGCCATCATTGTCTCAAAGCAGTCGCCTTCCTTTCATCACGAAAGACAGCGTCGCGAAGTTGACAGCGTGTGTATCGGGAATGATACTGCATTTCCCGGGGTTGATTGTAGCTACGAAGAAGGTAAATATTCGTGCAACGAAAGAGCTTGCGGTCGGCTTGATTCACAGAAACCAAATTCCTCGCTGTGGAGATGCGTCTCCTACAATATCTCTTTATCGGAATCCAGGCCATGCCTTTCAAACGTTTGGCCTGGGTATTGGATGATTACTAAGTGCCCAATGAACTGGCCTTTGGATAATTTTAGAAGGAGATGTGAATCTGCGCCGTCAGAATTAACACTTCCCGTTGAAGAAGATAATATTCCAGTTGTTTCAAAGGATGCACTGACATATCGCAATCAATATTGTGCACTGTGTCACGGCATAAGAAATTACACTGCATGGGATGTAAAGGTATATTACATTGATAAACCTCCTGAAGGAGATGACTTGAACTCTCTATTAAAGTCTTTTAACTGGAGTCTTATTGATATCATCCCCAGATCTAATCAGCCTGGAAGGATTTGTTTCGGGAAAAATTATATTGACAGCTGTGGTTCAACAGAACCTTCGACAAGTTCTTTCAACAAGTCTTGTGTTGAAGATTCTGCTGAATTTTTAGAATTTTGGGGCGATGTTAAGCTTTATTTTAGAAACAAGGCTTGTGCTTTCTGCAATGGGTATCAAAGTTTTTCACACCCGTTTCCATTAAGATTAAGTTGTGGGAGTAAGATTGGTGGACTGCCTCTATCACATTCACTCGTGTTTAAACTACGTACTGTCAACGGACTACCGCCGCGTACTGTAGTCGCACAAACGTGTCCTTCCGGTACGGTCTACGACACGATCTTGAAATTTTGTCGACGAGGATATATTGATTCGTCCAGCGGTGAATTGACCAACGTGTACTTGATGATATTATGGTGTAACCAGTCTAGAGGAAGGCAGCCTGCGATCATTTCTGAGCTTGAGAATGTTTTAAAACAAGCGATTGTCAGCCAATTTTCACTTCACCGCAATCAAATCTCACAGCTTATTTTTCATAATCAAGATGAAAAAAACAATTTACTTGTCGTATCTTTTCATCTCACATTGACCCCGTCTCAAAACTTGATTTTGGAAAACCAAGACAATCGTATCTTTAATGTTACAAGTGAGGAAGGCGAATTCTTGAGGTTGTTGAACTCCAAAGGAAATTTCACCCTATCTTGGAAAGAAAACGGTTTCTTCGTTACAAAAATGATTTCAAAACGACTGTCTTGTTACGGTGGGAAGACTTTCAAATCACATGAATACAAAATTGCTAAGAAAAATGGAAGTTTTTTTGTAGAGAAAACAGGGGAAGTTTTTTCGCTAAAGGATTATGCTTTAGTTGAAGAAAAGGGAGGAAATATTACATTATGTCGTAAACTGGTTCCTTCGGACTGCAGAAAAGGTGCTTACGTGCCTCTCAGACCAAACGAATATGTTGTTCTTCAAAATTTATCTGTTTATTACAACGCGACAGGAAATATCTTCAATTTTGGCGAGTATCTAATTGATAAAAGCAAAAACGACTTCAACGTTTCAAGCCAAAATCTTACTTCATCCAAAAGCTCAACGATTTCCGTTTGCTTACCATTTAGAGACACGTTTAACGCAACCATAATAAAAAACGGCGAAAGTTTAACAAATTATGAACTACGAATTCTAACACTGATTGGTTTCATCATCTCCATAATTTGCTTATTCCTACTTTTGGTAACTTATGGATGGTTCCGAGAATTAAGAACTGTCCCAGGAATGAATTTAATGAACTTAGGCTTCTCAATGTTGTTGTCAGATCTCATATGGTTGATAGGAACCAGTCATTTTACTGGAACAATAACGTGCAAAGTGTTTGCGATATTGGAACACTATCTTTTCCAGGTATCATTCCTTGCAATGTCCGTCATTTCATATCATTCTTGTCTAGTTTTCGCTCGACCTTTTGCCGGAAGACATGTAAACACGTCTTGGCGAAGGTTTTCCACTTATTCCGGGGTCGTGTGGCTGACTCCGGCTGTATTTGTCGCAATCTGTGTAACCTTGGATGAAACTGGAGTATTCTCATTGGATTATGGTACGAATTGTTGGTTGGGAACTTTCAACGGTATCTTGTATCTATTCTTATCACCGCTGGCTATATCACTCCTCTACAACATCTACACGTTCATAAAAACAGCTTGTTTGTTACTTCGTGATGACGAGAGACGAGATATTTTACAACGCAAGGAAGGAAAACAAAATCTTCTCATCTGCATCAAACTTGCATCGTTGGTCGGTTTTCCCTGGCTGTTTGCGTTCCTTGGTGTCCTGTTTCCCGATGAAATAGCATTTGAATATTTGTTCGTCATCTTTGTTTGCCTACAAGGATTGTACATCGGAGTGGCGTTCTTGTTCACCAGGAAAACTTTGGATCTTTACAAAAAACGATGGAATATCGGCCGCAGTGGAAAAAATACATCTTATACTTCAGCACCAACTTTTGAAATGACTTAATCAATTTGAGTATGGTAAAGCACTAAATTTAAGACTAGTAGTAATGAAAGATTAGACAAGTGCGTCCGATTTTTTATTACCAAATGTTTTTTGTACTATAAATTTTACAAACAAAACATAAACAAACTAACATACGGCGAAATATATATCGCTCTAGTCTAGTGCATAATTATGGTTAAACGTAGGCCTTAACTGTGGAAAAAAAGGCTATACCTAGTCAATGTCCAAGTTTGTAAAATGCTTGGAAATTAAATATATATTTTCAGACTCTGCGGTTGGACCAGTAAAGCAACCTCTATCGTGTACTTGCAATTTCTCATTCATAACATATACACGCATTGTCAGAGACAATGAACCACTAAATGTGTACTTCTCGCCGGGAGATATCTTTTCTGATGATTCTTGGAATTTTTTGACTTCATTCTTAATTTCGTGAGCTCTAGCTTGGGAGGTTCGAAGAACGTTTGCAACAGCCTCATCTGTTGCACCTAGTAATGTCGCCACATTTGCCCAGTCGCCCTTTGTCAGGCATGTCATTCCCTCCTTATTTTGTAACGCTCCATTTTTCTTGCCTGCGTAATGCAAGAAGCCTTCACCTTTTGGGGCAATGAGTGTCCCAATGGTGGCCCCGGCCTGAAGAACAACAAACAAACCCCCAACCACGGTTATCACAACTTCCCAATTGACTCCGTGAGTAATCCAAACGTCATGTTGCGTATCATTAAAAATTGAACACTTGGAACCCATGTTAAACGTTGACTAACGTTTCTATTAAGAAAGAGAAATAACCCCTTTGGCTTTGCTGCTGCAACCAGCATTTTACAAAACGAATAGGCATATGGGCCAAACAGTATAGGGGGGACGAATGATATCAGCAAGAATTGTTTCCAAATATATAGAGAGGCTTCCCAGTGGCGACGAAATTTATTCAAACTAGCAAGCCACTTGATTGTCAGTTTAGTTCCGGCAACCTCTGCATTGATATTAAATATTTCTATAGTTTTGCGTTTGATATTTTCATTACAAATGTAATTATAAGGTACTGAGTGGAGAAGGGTGATAATAATCTGTTAATGTATAAAAGCTCTCGTCGGCCTTAATATAAAGGGGAAAAATATCGATATGAATAACATAAGCTCCTCGCTTACCAGATTTTTTTTAAATCATAAATATATTTGTCTTCACAAATCATAACATATGCTTCACACAATCTAACTTCTAACCCGCCGAGTTTGATAATGACAGACATATATTGTACGAATTGAAAGCATTAATATAGCAAAAAGCCAAAAACTTACCGAACGTATTTATAGAATTACTCTAGCCGCGTAAGAAAACGCTAATTCACTGAATTTGCAGACACTTCCGATGGAAGACAAAGACAAGTAGTAAATAATCGACGGTAAAGAGCGACAAGAAACGAGTCTGCGCTCTGACGACTTTAGGTAATATTTTGCATCATAATCACTCAGTGCGACCACTGACGAAGTTACCGAAAAATGACGAGCAAGTCCTCCAGGAATTATTATATAGCTCAGTGATATCATAATACAGGGCCCGAATCGTAAATTATGCTAATTTACAGGGGGGGGGAGCACGCTTTAAGACATAGATAATCCGCGTGATGAGAACTTTAGGAACTTTTGTACTTTGACCAGAAGAACCAGAAGTAATTGGCAAATACTCAATACAAATATTGCGAGATTACTACTGAAGAAAATAGTGAAAGGAATATTGCCTGAACGATTCGATCTGCCTCCGTGACACGTCTTGAATTTTATTTTCAAAGGTAGGTTCGTGTTTGTTTATTCTTTGGATTAGAATTTTGAAGAGTCGATATTGAGATACGTAGTTTATATCTGTGCATATTGTATGGATATCCACAAAAGTTAAGTTAAGAAATACCTAGTATTAAAGCTGAATGATATATGATTACGATTATAACAATTATTGCCAACAAATGCGCAAGCATTTTAGCTTGCAAAATCGTTGAATATTAGCTTTTAAAATATTTACGACATTTCTCAAATTTAAAGATATAACTTGTATTGATTCGTTTTGATTTGTTGTGGCTTGCTTTCCTTGTCATAACACAATCTTTTACCATTGTCCAGTGCTGTGTGTTGTAACTTAAACAAACTTATAATTATATTGTCATTTATCAGAGAGTATTTGGTAATATTTTAACACTGAAGATTCCAGATTGGTGTATACTCATAAATCATTTAAACTGATTAAAAATGTATCATTTGTAGAAATTATTTTATGAAATTACATACTAGAATCAGTTGATCTACTCATTCTACTGTACTGTGAAAGTTGAAACCAGTCTCTCATTTGTCTAATTACCATGAATTGAAAGCTGTATTTAGAAAGGGAATTTCATTCTCTTATCTCTTTCTGTATTTAAAAATGTAAGTTCTGATATTCACATCTGAATATGGGGGCTGCCATCACGGTGATTAGATTGTCTAGAGGACTTTTAAAACATTTTGACCAAAGGCATTTTGACAAATATTTGACATAACAACAACACTCCTCTTTTGTCTGGTAGTTTATATTGAGGTCAGTAAGTTATATTGAAAGTGATAGTTTCATTATGTACTGAGGTCAATAAATTGGTCCAGCTATATACAAAGTCAGTGATCCAAAATAATCACCCACTGACTTTATTGAGATAGATGATTCAGAATCGTAGTCCAGTTATATATTTAAGGTTGTAGTATATTGTGGTCATTGATCCAAAAGAATGGTCCATTGACTTCTATTGAAGTCAGTAATTTAAGATAATAGTGTGATTGTATATTGAGGTCAGGGACTCAGTCCATTTAACATATATAAAGAGAGAGGTCAGTGACCCAAAATGACAGTCCATTAACTTCTATTGAGATGCATAATTTAGAATGCAGTTCAATTATATCTAAGTCAGTGACTAAACTGATTTATATGTATATTTCAATGGTATATATCAACCATTGATCCTAAAATTATCCATTCACCTCACTCATATAGTTCAGTGTATAATTTGTATATATGATCATGATTCAACATTGTCACACATCCAGCTGTCGTATAGAGGTCAGTGCGAAAACGCGAGACCTGTGAACAGGCGTTCTTTAGGACATTTGAAACGTTTGATTCCTTGGATCTGATCCAATTTCGACCATATTTGAGCTTTTCCACCATTTTCTATAAAGCTGAAGTGTCTTTTTATTGCATACAAACGCCATTCCGATATACGTTCCTTGCAGAGAGGTAAAAATGACAAATAAGTATTCAAAAACCTCCACTTTGGGAAAAATAACACCAAAAAAAGCGAAGATCCAGGGGAAGCCAACTAAAGTTGCAAGTTTTGCACAAACTGCTAGATTTTTCTTTCTGTCCTTTCGTAAAATCCTTGTGTCTTTGTCAAAACGAGATATTGCTAGTGCTGTCTTGATGAACGTGTAAATATTACCCACCAATAGCACTGCTGCGGGTAATAAGAATAGATATAACACTGCCTTATCGGTTGATAACCAACATGTATTACCATAAATATCGAAAGCTGTTTCAGTTCTGTCCAGGGTAACGCAAACTGCAACGAATACTCCAGGAGTTATCCAAACTATGGTTGAATATTTTGCAAATTGTTTCAAACGGTTGCCCGAAATTCTGCTGAATATTTGGGAAAAAACGACACAGGAATGATAGGAGATTATTGACATGCTCATGAATGTAACCAGAAATAAATAATGTTCAATTACGGTCAACACTTCGCACACTGTTGTTCCTTTGAAATGGGCCGTGCCAATCAACCATATCAGATGAGATGACAACATGGAGATGCTTAAACTCATAAGATTCAACCCTGGAAGTGTTCTTAAATCCTCAAAGATCCCGTAGGTTACCAATAAAATGATCAAAAACAATCCAGAAATACTTAAACCGACCACAGTTAAAACTCTCAACGCGAAATTCGTTTCAGATTTGATCGAAACTTTCTCAGTCGTGTTAAAAGTTCTCCGAAATGGCAGACAAACAGAAATTCTGGAATTTTTTGGAAACGACGTATTCTGAAATTCTTGAAAACTGGTCGGATGTGAAGGACGTTCTTCGTTAATATGATACTCCCCAAAATTATAAGTCCTATTCGTTCCATGATGAAATATCGATAAATTTTTGTACATGAAATATTCTGAATTATTTAACGTTACATAAGCGCCATTTTCGCAACCGCTAAGCACCAATTTTCTACAAATTGTAATATTCTCACCAATATTTCCTAGAACTTCGTACGCGTTTCGTGAAAATGTCAACCCGGTGTTGTTCTGAAATACATTCCCGGAGATTTTATCGATTTCGTATTCGTGTGGTTCGAGAATTATCCCCTCGAAACACGCGAGTTGACGCGAGACCAGTTTGATCACGGAGAAGCGAAATCTTTCAGAATTTATTGTAAAGTTCGTTGTAAATTTCAAAAGTCCGAGAAATTTTTGGGACTCGGTCGAAGCATTCAAAGTATTGTTTTGATTGGCCAACACTAATGCTTGAAGAGGTGTTAAGATTAGCCGAAAAGACGCTGCTAGAAATGTGCTCCTAGAATTTTGCCGATGAAATTTAACCTCCTGTATCTGGTCTTGTCTGAGGACAAATTTTCGCACCAAGCCTGATTTCAAGTGCTCAGTAATGTTGGCAATATTTGGTATTTCCCCCAAACGCCCTCGAATTGGAAATAGGGGAATCTGAATCGACCCCTGCTTGAACCATAACAAAATCAGAAATGCATCCGATAAGAGGCCATCTGCAGTAGTTACCAGTCCTTCGCGGCAGTAGGCAAAGGTCGTGTCGTAGACCAGGCCCTGGGGACAAGAGTTTTCAATGACTTTTGTTATAGTCGATGGTTCTTTACTTCCAGTGCTGAAAACTATAGAGAGTCCTTCGGAGAAGCCTGGTCCTGCGCATGCCCAGTTTGATCTCTCCTTGCGAAGACCGCTTGCCCCATTACAGAAGGCGCAAGCGACATTCTTATAGTACAGGCGGTTAGTACCACTCACAGTCTCAACGGGTCCATTAATACACGTAGTATAAGCCGGGTGGAAATCATGGGTACAGTTGTCTATATATTTCTCTCCTGCACAATAACGACGGGGTAAATTCACCCCCGGGGCTATGTACCGTATAAAACCTTTATTCGCCAATGTAAATCTTAATTTCTCGTCAAAATTGAAGCTCTCTGGAGGTGTTATAAAACTATCAACAGAAACATCCCAAGTTTTGTATATCTTCTCGCCGTTACACAAAGCGCAGTGTTTATTTCTATACGTGAATTCATTTTGTCCAACTACTGGTAGAAAATCCTCAATCGGATGGGAAAACTTTTGCGTGGAATTTTCGCATTTTTGTCTTGTTACGTCAAATGGCCATCGTCTCATACATTTAACCACCATCCAAATACCAACAGGGCCGTTCAAAAAGCAATGCCCAGAACCAAGTCTTGTTTTATCTAATCTCAAGCATTTCCACAAAGGTTCCAACACGGGCTTCGGTTTAGTCATGTTTTGTTGGCCACAATTTTCAACGTAATCCGAACAACAATCTTGAAATGTTTGATAACACGCGCTGTCGCAGTGGCAATTGTAATCCCTGCTTGTTGTATCGAATATCGTTTCGTTTTTACTGCATTTAGAACTTTGTTTACAACTAATTGTCTGTCCCGAGCTCGTTGCCCTTCGAAATCTTTGTCCTTCGTCTTTCTGAAGTGATAATTTTGTTGCATAGCTGTTAGCATGGATTTGAACGTCAGAATCACTCTGAAAGTAGATGGCATCGCTCAGCATAACTTTTAACACACAGAAAACGATTGAAATGAAAATATTAACTTTCCACATTTTAAAGCGTGTATCTTTGTCCATACAAAACCACCAACCAAATCGGCAATATTGGTGGACTAAAGCCTGAGGGGTATTTTTAATTATACCTGTGACATTTACGTAGAATATTCTTTGTAAGAGGTTGTGTTTAGAAACTCTTTCATTGTCCGTTACCATGGGAAGAGAAGATATTTGGTCGTGTGTTTTTGTGGTAATTCGAAGGTCATTATATAATCATATACATATCCTCTCTAAACATATATGGATTTTTTTATATAAATCATTCAGTTTATTCAAGTGTGGATTGCTTACGTAGAGCTCTCAAAATTTGCTAAATATTATCGTTTACATTGTATGAATTCTTTGTCACCTTTTCTAGTTCAGCACTATAAAAAAAGATTGCGTGCGTTTTTCTTTCAAAAATTAAGTACAGTATCGATTCGGATCATCAACCTTTTATTTTGTGCTGTTACAATATTAGTTTCCTGTTGTTTTTTTTAAACATGCGTTTGTGCGAATCATTGTCATGGCATCAAAATATTTTCCTAAAAAGGAATCATCCGTGTCATCCATTTCCCTCATGTAGAAATACGAAAGGAAAGGTATCCGATGTCAAGTGAAAGTGTTTTGAAGTTTCTCAGCGAACCAGCGACACTTGCTAGCCTTGCTGCAGTCACTGCCGGCAGTATGATGTACCTAGCGTCAAGACCTACCCCACTAGTGTGCCCTATTGACCCAAACCAGCAGTCCGTCGAAGTACCTGTAAGTAGTCGTGACGAGCCTTTCGCATCGGAGCTGTTCGTATGCTCCCGTCAAAGTTTTTTGCACCGTCAAAGTTTTTGTAGTCTTTGTTGGATGTTTGCGTTGACAAATCATATGATTCTGTGTGATTTTTGCTCTGTCGTTTTAGGGAGAAAATGGAGCGAGAAGGAATGCCTTAAGCGAGCAACTTGTTGAGCATTTTCATGAAAATGTCGACACTCTTTACGAGGGTTTCATGAGAGGCGTGAAACTGGCAGGTATATATATATAAAAGTGAAATTCATCCTCGAAATCACTCCTCGTGAGTTGCCGTCGTTGCTCGTGGCTGCAGCGAGTGTCTCGTCTGTTTGTGTTTCTAGGTGATAAACCTTGTCTTGGATGGAGGAATGATTATAATGAGGAATACCAGTGGCTGACTTATAATGAAGTAGGCATTGACTGGAGTTGTAATTTGGGCGTGCTAGCTTGCAAAGGATAGTTATATTAAACTCTTATCGAAGTTGTGATTGATTAGCCTTCGCATAAACTAGAGCTAACTTCAACTACAAGCAGTTCCAGGTGTGTTTTGATAACGTCGTTTTATTTAAGCACAAATTGACGTCTGTTAAGGTCGATGAACGGGCGCTGTGTTTTGGTTCTGGTTTACGAGAGCTTGGAGCAGAAGCTGGCCCTGAGACCTTCATTGGCATTTATTCCCAAAATAAAGTCGAGGTTTAGTATTTCTTCACTCGTTTTCTCTTATCTTCAGTTTTTCTTTTATTTATTTGGCAATGTTTGATCACTTTTAGTGGGTTTTAGCTGAGCAAGGTTGCAATCGTTTCTCCATGGTAATTGTTCCGCTATACGACACACTAGGTCCTGATGCTTGCTCATTTATCATCAATCAAGGTAATGTCTAAATCTCAAACGTGGTGGTTTAATGTAGGTAGTATTCTACAATAAGCTGTCGTGGTTTGTGTCTGAACTACCTGTGAAAGATATCTCAAACGTGGTGGTCTAGTGTAGGTAGTATTCTACAATAAGCTGTCGTGGTTTTTGTCTGAACTACCTGAGAAAGATATCTCAAACGTGGTCGTCGTCTAGTATGTAGTATTCACTTAAAAAGTATTAAAATCAAGCGCTATTTTCGCCTCAGCTCGTATTGCGATCACTGTATGCGATGCCTCAAAAGTTGACACGTTACTGAAGAACGTCGAGCAGTGCAAAGATTTAAAATTCATCATCAAAATTGGCCCCAGTGTCACTGAAGAAGAGCAAGAACGAGCCAAGAAACACGGAGTTGAAATACTCACGTTCAACGATGTAGAGGTAAATACAACATCTGAATAGCTTTTAGTATGAAACAACGGTTGATTCTTTATTCACAGCTTCTTCACCGTCATCTTCTGCTGTAGTCGTTCTTGGTTTTTATCGATCGTTTTGCGGAATCATCGTCTTTCAATACGAAATGCTTCTCAATGATCGCTAAGTCTGTCTCCCATCTTTGAACGTATAAACTAGGATCTAATTGGCCTTGTATTAAAATTTCTATTCAGGAAAAAGGCAGAAAAGCGAAGAAGGAGCCTGTGGTAAGTATTGTTTGAGCTTAACTTTTCATTTCACCTAGACTATACGTTGGGATTAAAGATTTGTATTTCCTTCAGGTTCCCAGTCGAGATTCGTTGGCAACCATTTGTTACACCAGTGGAACAACTGGTAAGTCATGGCTGCATGTTGGATATTTCCTCCTCATTTGCAATTTACTTCTTTTGATAGGTGCGAACGAGTGGATAAGTTATACATGTTCAGACAAGGGCGCCCTGTACATCAGAGCATTTCTAACTATTTGCTCGTTTTCATCTATCAAAAGGCAAAAATCGCTGGAAAAAGGTCTTTTTTTAATCACATCTCCGTAGGTGCTCCAAAAGGTGCGATGGTCACTCACGCCAATATGATATCTGAAGTCTCGGCAATACAGTTTATATTGGCCAAGGTTTGTTTTGATTCATAATTCCTTAGTGGTGATGATTGATCAACCAGATTCAGCCTTTTTTATTATTTCAGTGTGGTCATACAATCACTAACGAAGATGTCCACATCTCCTATTTACCGCTGGCTCATATGTATGAACGGGCTTGTCATGTGAGTTATAATTTTACATCAAATAACAATGAAACTAAACTAAACTAACTTTATTTATACTGGATAGTTCTATCAGTTCTAAACTGTTCTTCCTAGAGGTCCAGTAAGGATCATCTCTTATTGATCCAGTGTTACTACAGGAGGAAACCTAAACTAAACTAACTTTATTTATACTGGATAGCTCTATCAGTTCTAAACTGTTCTTCCTAGAGGTCCAGTAAGGATCATCTCTTATTGATCCAGTGTTACTACAGGAGGAAACCTAAACTAAACTAATTTTACATTAAAACTCGTATTCATTATTGTCGTATTCCTTCATCCACAGCTCATGATGTTTTCAAATGCAGCAAGAATTGGTTTCTTTACAGGCAACGTGCGAAAAATCACTGAAGATTTGAAGGCTTTGAGGTGAGGAACTTCCTACACGATCTGGTTCTTTTGATAGATTATTAAAAAACCTTTTCTTTTTTTCTTCTGTAGACCAACAATATTCATTTCAGTTCCACGACTTCTAAACAGGATACACGACAAGGTATTGGTCATTGTTGGGTCATAAAATACTTGTCCTGCAATCTGGATGAAGGAGAATCATTTTTGATTTTAGGTGATGTCTGACCTGGAGAAGAGTTCCGTCAAAAAGTTCCTTTTCAATATGGCGTTGTCTTCAAAAGAAAGCGAAATAAGCAGGTTTGTTGAACTTACTGTTTCGCAAGTGTTTCCCGCTAAACTTCGTGGGAAATTCGTGAAGTTTTATCCTGTAACATGACAAAGAATATAACATAGTTTGATGTTAAAAAAGACACAAAATACCACGTAGTTTATCATTACAGAAAACACGAAATAGGCAAAGATATGGATTCAAAATAAGCCTATTTGTTTCTAGGAATATCGTACGAAGAGACAGCATGTGGGACTTTATTGTATTCCGAAAAATACAGGTACGTGACGGGATAAACTGCCGCTGTGGCTGTGTGGGAAGTATTTTCAGTGGCGTGGCCAGCCTGACGATTTTGTCCCGCTATGTAAATTTCGAGTTTTTATCATTTAGAAATTTAGTGTTTTCACAGTCAATGAACAGCAAAATATTAGCATAGCAGGACAAATCGTCCGGCTGGCTACGCTACTGAGTATTTTTACACCCACCTTCGTATCTTTAGCGTTAATATCAAAGGAATATGAAGTGTTTTATTTTGACATTGTTTGTTTATCTTGTAGCAAACTCTGGGTGGTCGTATTCGTTTTGTTCTTAGTGGTTCAGCTCCACTTTCTGATCGCGTCATGAAGTTCTTACGAGCATCGTTTGGATGTTTCGTAAGTGATTCGATTTCATCTGTCAAAAATTGCGCAGCTAAAGAACTCCTTATCGTTTATTTGCAATGTTTTGTTCAGGTATTCGAAGGTTATGGTCAGACTGAGACGACTGCTGGTGCAACATTGCAGCTCATGGGAGATCCAACCATAGGTATGAGACATGTGATGTTTATACACAACAATAATAACTTCCAATGCTTCGTATTTTAATTGATTTTTCAAATATTTGTCAACATCGTCAGGACATGTTGGACCGCCTTTACCATGTAATATGATCAAACTTGTTGATGTTCCTGAAATGGATTATTTTGCCAAGGATGGCACAGGAGAGGTATAAACGTCAAGCTCAGGATTCAATAATATTCCTATTCTCGATAGCTCAAGAGTTCCAGTAAGGATCATCTCTTATTGATCCAGTATTACGACAGGAGGAAACCTAAACTAAACTAACTTTATTTATACTAGATAGTTCTATCAGTTCTAGAATGTTCTTCCTAGAGGTCCAGAAAGGATCATAATATATTTCCAATTTTTTCAGGTGTGTTACAAAGGCCCGAATATTTTCAAAGGATATTTGTATGATGAGCAGAAAACCAAAGAAGCTTTTGATGAAGATGGCTGGCTGCACTCAGGAGACATCGGAATCTGGCTTCCAAATGGAACTTTAAAAATTGTCGACAGAAGAAAAAATATCTTTAAACTTTCCCAGGTTTGTGAAACTCCAGGCTTGCCACCACAACAGCTTATAGAGGCGTTTCTGATGATGTATTTTTGTACCAAGGGTGAATATATTGCCCCTGAGAAGATTGAGGAGATTTATCAATCATGTCCAACAGTTCATCAAGTTTTCATTACTGGTATCGGTACTGAGGTGTGTGTAAGACAAAGTCTGTCAAATCTCTGGTAGCTTTTCAATAAAGATGTTTCATTGATAAAGTTTTGTTTATCTTTCCTTCTTCAGAGTTGTGTGGTCGCGATTGTTGTCCCCGAAGTTGCGGAGTTGAACAAAACTTTCCCAGGAGACGTTGCTGAACTATGTAACAACGAGGTATAATCTGTTTGTTTGTATTTTATCAAAGCGCTTAGATGCTATTCTCAGCTGTAAACATTTAACTTTCGTTTTCAGGAAGTAAAACAACATATTCTCAAAGAGATGACATCAAACGCTAAGAAAGCTGATTTGAAGTCTTTTGAACAGGTAAACCATGTGTGAATTGATTGTGTGAATTGAGTGTATTTATCTTAATATATTTCACGATAGCTTCACCAACATTCGGCATCTCTTCTTAGGCCAAAGCGGTCCATCTTCATCCAGAACCATTTACTGTTGAAAATGGATACCTTACGCCGACATTTAAGATAAAGCGACCTGTTTTGAAGAAACTTTTCATGGAGGAGGTGAAAGATATGTATAAAGTTTTGAACTGCTAAAGCTAGTCCGTTTGAAAAGAACGATGCAGTAAACCTTTTTAAATATCTTTCTATATCCGCATAATTGCCAGCCAAATTATGATAATCTGTGTTGTTGGGAATCTAGGAGTCCCTAATTGTGATATTTTTTGTCATTGAGGATACTTTAATTATATCTTTATTTTGAATCAAAATCCCAAACTTTCCCATAGAATTTAGTACGAAGATTTCTGCAGAGATCTAATGATCTTCATAACTTTTATTGATCTTATGAATCCTATGATATTACACGTATAATTTACCACTTTAAACAATCGACTTTTGAGCAAAATGCTCGTTTATCAATTATCTGAATAAAAGATAAATCATTAGTGAATATGTAAACTGATGTTGACAAGCAAAGCTATTTTCAGTTTTGTCCAACTGAAAAATGTTAACCCAAATTCCATGACATTTACTGAACTATATCTATTCTAGAAATATTATAGTATAAATCTTCGAGTTAGCTATTTATTATCTGTGTTTACATGCGTGTGTTGTGTTCGTCTTTCTATGAATGAGTATATTCACTAAAGTCTTTAATCTATTTCAAAAGCCAAGCTCAGCAATCAATATATATGAAGGCTATTAACTATGTTGCTTCTGAACGGTCAATAGCAGGGATTTCAACATTTTCATTTGTATTGCTGCTGGGTGGCTTGTAATAGCGCCAGGCTAGGAAATAGAAGGTCACTGCGACTGCTTTGCACGTTGCCATCCCTCCCAGGAAAACGTAGCTTAAAATAAAAGAAATTTGGGTGAGTATATTTATCAGATAATGCAAGTCTTGTACGCGTTTTTGAATGTGGGCTGTATACATGTATTAAATTGTTCTGATAAACAGAACTCACTGATGAATTATAGGCATGATTGAACTATGCAAATCTCTGTGGATGTTTTTGAACATGAGTTGCCCTAAAGTGATCTGACGTTGCACAGAAAACTTCAGTTGATCGTGCAAGGCACCGTATGTTTTTGAATGCGAGTTGCATCAACTGCTTTGATCTGCTGTTCTACAGAACTCATTACTTGACTAGTAAACTTGATTTGCGGAGAGACTACGAGATACTATGCAACTGGTTTCTCCTAATCTCACCTCAAATGATCATTTCTGTATTCCAAGCAATTTCTCTGGCTGTTGTCGTCACATGGGTCAGTCAACGATAAGATACACACGGAGTCTAGTAACGCTCCAAACACAATCGGTGCAGGAATGAAAGCAAACAGCTTCAGAATAAACATCTGTACACCGAGTGCAAACGATCCTTGGCTCTGAGGAACACATCTAGAAGAATCGATAATAATATCATTGGCAAAAAAGACCACCTGCACTCGCTATGCAATCACTGTGGATTGTTAATTTGAGGAGTCTTTCTTCAATCAATGGTAAGATCTTCTTCTTTTGTTTGCGAATTCGAGGCTATTGTTTGGTATATGAAAAAATCTTCATCTTTTTAACTTATCTCTCTAATTTACCTCAGTGTAACGGTTACCGCTGGAATGCTGTTCATGAATACAACTACTACCAGCAGGAATATCATGGTCATGAAATATGCCAAGGAGTTACAAACGACACTGCAACCTCCGTCGTAAGCTACAGTCAGATTTCCAGGTAAGCAACTGCAGTTTGCGTAGGCCTACAATAATAAATAGATAGTCTTTAGATGTGTTTTATGAAAGTATCTTTCCGATACCGCCCTAAAATTTATTATTATTCTCAACGTAAGTTTATGTGCTGTTATTGAGATCCCCGCCATCTGCAAACGACCAGGCAAGCAGGAAATAGCGGAGGAAATCAAACCTCTGCTGCTCCGATTTGCTTTACCAACTGAGCTAAGAGGTAAAGTTGTATACATGGGTAATGTCAAGTTGGTTTGATAGTTGTTGTGTGTCCTAAAGCTTCCTTTCTTCGCCACTTTTTGTAAAGAAAAACGTACCTTTTCTCCGCCAATGATTGTCTGTTGTGTGCAACCCGCATAACAAGGGGAGAAATACGTTCTCTGGTCTTCTTTGGTACAAACTGGGATGTAATTTTGATTACAAGTGCAGTTGTTTGTGAAACAACTCTTCACTGAGTTCTCTCCGGTTCTGTTTGAAGACGTTGTCATCCCGACGATATCTCTATTCGGACAATGAATCAAGAATACAAACAATGCTAGCGTTGATATCGCTCCAACCAACACATTTACCCTCACGCACTCCTGGCATGCCCATTTAAACCTACGAATAAGATACCCTCCGAGGAGTATCCCAACTGCAGCGCCGGGGACCGCAACTCCCCCCATGTACAAACTGGCATCGCTGGAGCTCACGTTGTACTGAAACTCGATGAATTTTGGGAAAAACGTCGCCGCGTTGATGTGAAAGGCTTCTGCCGTGATGCCAATGGTGGTGAAAAGGAACACTTTATTTTTCAACATGGATTTCAGCGCTGGCAAAAACAACTTTAATGTGCGAGGTTTCTCCTCTTCAGGGATGAAGTCTTTAGCGACTTTCCTTTCTTCTTGTAGTGCTTTAGCGTCTGGAAGCTGGTTCGGGAAGCCGAGTAGAGGAATCGAGGCTGCTAACCCCACGATTCCCGCGAAAACAAAACCTAACCACCAAGCACCGACCCAAGAGCTGTCATCTGGCGAAAGATTCACGCCCTCTGGCTTTTAAAATAGAATTTTTTGTCTTAATTGAATAATTCTATGACTCGGAAATACTGTATTTGAAATAATTCAGAAATACTGTATTTGAATAATTCCATGAGTCAGAAATACTGAAACTGTATCTCACTACATTATGTAACCTGGTTATATGACCCTGGGACTGGGGACACCCCCGTAAAGTCAAAACCATCACTAACCTGTTCTATATCAACCCAAATGGTCAGGAAATATCCTGCAAGCAGAAAGCCCAGTGCTGGGCCTACAGCAGATATGGCATACAAGATTGCCAAATACATTCCAGAATTCTTTCTCGAAACATTCTCGTCAACATAGGAAATAGCGAGATTGTATATCGGCGAGGCTCCGGCACCAATCAAGAGTTGCCCAAGGATAAAAATAAATATGTAATACCATTCAACACTTCTGCATTTCTCTTCGGTTAATGCACCAGCATCTTCGGTGGAATTCACTTGGCAAAGATCACTTCTCTGGGATATTGTTGGAGAGTATCTGTCGCTTAACCATTGAGGCATGGCGAACACTAAACAGCCAAAACCCAGTGCTATCGCACCGAACCCAAGCCATTTTGCTTTGTGGACGTGTCCGTAATAGCTTACAATTAGGGCCAGAACGACTGAACTAACTTCATAGCATGTTAAAATGCCACCGACTTGAAAGCTTCGCAAATAAAATTGCTTTTCAAGGGAGGTTATTGTGACTCCACTCAAACCAGTGGCAATAAAACTCTCTGTAGCGATTAAAAAGCAGCAAGCTGCTGCAACCCATTTTGACGTCAAGCAACATTGGAGAAAACCAGGCCTGTATCTTCGCCAGCCGTAGGATGGTTGCTCAACCAAGTTTGGCGACTCCTGACTATTCATTTTTCAGATTATAAACTCTCGGCCTACAGCTAGTGATCACGTAACAATTTCTACTAACAAACAGCACGCTGTTCAAAATTAAGCTAGTGTTTAAGTATAATTAGTAACTAGGATGTGGGAATGACGTTTTCCAGACCTCATACTCTGTCCAAGTGCATAGTGTACTTAAACAACGGGATGACCTTCAACTTTTTATAGGAACTTCTTTATTTGAAACAAACTTCGAGAAAACAGCTAGACGCAAAAATTGCGACGGAAGAGTCGTTGTTTATTTTATGTCTGTTCTGGTTTTGACTGAACGACCACTTTGAATATGACAGTCCCTACGTCATTCAGATGCCAAGATTTGATTGAGGAAAGTCAGGATTGTTTCATAACCATGATTTCCACATTGGTAGTTTCAATCCTAGAACTTTGAAAAAGGACGCACTGCATGTACTGTGTACGTACACCAGTTGTTTTGTGAGAGAAACAAGGTCGCTTTCGATATTGTGTTGTTGTGTGGACACCTGCAAAGTTGATCTCTGATATTGACAAGATCGATCATACTGTTGTATATCGGATGAATTGTGCCAGATCATTCTTCAGCGAACTAAGATTAAACAGGCGCGCTAGGATTCTATGTTGAAGTATGTTCCTGCATTTGCACGAGTCAATTGAGTTCAATTGACCATCAGTTGCGAAGTTCGGTGACGAGAAATTCTTATCATCCTCATCTTGTTCCTATCTGAGATTATCTAGTTTTCCCCACATGCACATGCTGAAATTCACCGATTAGATGATCATTTGACGCGCATTTTCTCGCTTCTTTCTGTCAAAAACAATTTGTTTTATGTGCGAAGATGCGTGAAGTTTTAAAAACATTATTGTGTGGGTAACTATTTATCAAATTCAATCATAAAATATGTTTGTGTCTTCGTTGTTAAGCTTTGGATAATGCCAAGAATGAAGCTCACATAAACTACCATTTAACTTAACATTTTGTTTCGAGTTTGGACTAAAAATTCTCATCGAACAGGTAACACTAACGCGGGTTCAACATGAAACACGCATTCTCGTTTGACCAGGATCGAAGGAGGTGCAAACACGATCCTAGTTATCTGATATTTATGACAATGGATTATTAAAATTATCTGATGATAATCTCAGAATCCACTTCATTTACATGCCCGTGGCTCTCTCCACTTCCAGCAGGGCGCAGCTGAAATAATTTGTCGCTTTTTTGCTGCAATTTGGTAGGAGTATAATGTAAATTTATTTTCAAACGGGGGTCACTGCGATCACCGGACAATAGCATTAGCAAAGAGCTTTGTTTCGCTCTATGAAACTTCTTCCTTGAAGCTTCCTCAAGATATTTCACGATCTTTCAGTTTCTGGCAAGTGGAATGTGAAAATTCTTCAAGGAAAGGGTTATTACTGGATTCGATGAGTTGTAATCCGCTGTTAAAGATAGCCTGTCACAACATTTAAAATCACCACGGTAGCCATTTGTGGAGATCAAATACAAACTTAATTAATAGACCAAACACTTGCGCAATTAAGACTTGAGACTGGCAAACAGAAACATTACCCACCGTGTCTCAAGTTGCACGCGATGGTTGATAAGGAAAAACCCGAGCCGCAGTCGACGACGCCACGTCCACCCAACAACGAATACGTGAAATATGGTTGGGGATGCTGCAGACCTTCGTTCCTACAATCCTGTCTCTCGCCTGGAGGGATTTTAACTAGTTGTTGCTGTTATGTGTTTGTACAACAATTCATAGTCGCTGGAATTTCAAGCGTGGTCGTTTCCTCCATAGAAAAGCGATTTTACCTAAAGAGTTCTGAAGTCGGGACTATATTCTCGTGTTTCGACATTGGCAATCTGTTTCTAACCATCATCGTGAGCTATTTTGGCTATCGTCATAAAGCGAAATGGCTTGGCAGTGGAGCTCTCGTGTTTGCATTGGGCTGTTTTGTGTTTATTTTGCCACAATTTATAGCCGAAAAATACAAGCCTATTGTTTCAAAAAGCACAGACGTTTGTCGAGGTATTTCCACTACAACTAACTCAACTAAGAAATCTTTCGCAGCAGAGAGCTTTGCCGCCAATCATATTGGTATCATGTCTTCCTGCTGGTGGCAGGGCAACTGATCATCGGAGCCGGAGCCTCTCCGCTTTTCAACCTCGGGCCTTCGTACCTCGACGAAAATGTCACCCAAAAGAATTCTGGGTTGTTCATTAGTCTGTACTACTCGATCGCCGCGCTGGGAGCTGGTACTGGGTTTATCCTTGGTGGTTACTTTCTCGCCATATATGTTGATTTTAAACAGGTATTATAATTTATAAATAACCTTTATAGATAAAAAAACATGCCTCATCAATATTAAACTATTTATATTAGATGCCTTTATCAGTTCTGGACTATTCTTCCTCTCAATACAATGATTAGACAATATAGATAGAAGTGGATTTAAGATTTCTTCAATTCTAGCTTAGCCTTAGGTTATTAAATTATTTTAGCTTATGTTCACTTCATATTGCGAGTTTTTTAACATCTTCTCTTTCGTCTTTTTGTGTCTTTAATAGACCTTTTATCTATCCTTTGTCGTGAACCATTTCTATGTTTTATAAATTATATATGATCATCTCAACTGTCCAGGAATTCTGCATTATTTTCCCTTACTTGAGACAGCATTCTTTACATCATCTCTGAAAAGCTGTGCAAACATTTTGCAAAATGCAAACACATCTCTCGAAAGCGTGTTTAATTGAAGTAAAAAAGTATCACAAACGACTGTACGATTTTCTTAGATCACTTCATAAGCCAACCCTTTCTTAATCCTGGTTCCCTTGGTAGCCGACTGTGTCACAATAGACGAAATATTCTCGCCTGCAACGAAGAGAATTTATTTTTAAATTGCTCTTCTTTCATCGGCACCGAACAATGGCTTTTCTCGTCGATTGCGACACAGAAGAAGTCAAGAACTGGACTTAAATCCGGATTAAGGCTCTTTGTCTAAAATGTCAACATGTCATATGCCCGTGCATATATTTAAAACGATAAAAACAAAACCAAAAGACCTGTAGTGACAATAGTTCATAATATAGTTACTCGTATGTTCCCGGCAGAAACTGTCGCCGACTCGTTGTGGATATATCAAATTTCTGTATACAAGTTTATAGTTCTAGGGGGCATTAAAAGCCGAGACAGTAAACGATTGAATTACTCGGTATAAGGCAGAGAATTGTTGAAAATATGTATTGATGTTGTTTTTACAATGAAGTGGACGTGACATGGTTCATTCCTGAAACCGCGCTAGAAGGAATGAACCTTGCAATACTTGAGGAGGAAAATAACAGTGGCGATATGGTCGGCGGTGAACAAGTTGAAATTCCTCAAAATCCTGAGGGGATAAAGACGAACCAGTATGGATGGTTTAGCGTAAGACCCAGCTTTTTACAACGATTCTTATCATCTCGATGGATTCTAGTATTTTGTTGCATTCTTGTTGGCACGCAAGGCATGATAGTAACTGGCTTATCTGGCGTTGTTATTTCGTCAATTGAAAAGAGATATTATTTACGCAGCAGTCAAGTGGGAAGTATTTTCTCATGTTATGATATCGGGAATACGTTGGTTACTCTACTCGTTAGCTATGTCGGCCATTCGCATAAATCGAAATGGTTAGGTGCTGGTTCGGTTGTGCTCGGGCTGGGCTGCCTGTTGTTTTCGTTGCCACAACTAATCGTAGGCGACTACGAACCAACTATTGCTAAAACGAGTGACCTTTGCCGCTACAACGAAACGTTACGCAATGCAACACATTCGTTAGATAATTGTCGCAAGTCACAATGGTATCATATGTTCGTTTTTGTCCTCGGTCAATTGCTCATAGGAGCAGGGGCTTCGCCTGTTTACAACCTTGGCTCGGCCTATTTGGATGAAAATGTAACTCGAAGGAACTCCGGGATGTACCTAGGAGTATTCTACGCTGTTGCCACGTTAGGCCCAGGTATCGGGTTTCTTTTTGGAGGTTATTTTCTTACAATATATATTGACATTGACTTGGTAAGGCTTCAGATGTTACGACCTTCGTTGACACTTATTTCGTTTTATTTGCATATGCAAACTAAATCGGAAATTAATTTCTTTTTATTGCTAGTTTAGACAAATTAATTTCTTTTTATTGCGAGTTTAGACGAATGCCACAGGCTATTTAAATAAGAACAAACATTTCAATTCTTGTTTTTATTAAAAGCTTCGTGTTTGCAGACCTTTCTAGACCTGCAAATATATTGCTATTATCACGCGTTATCTACCGACATGCGAATGTGGGCTGACATTTTATACATAATATGCCAAGGGCCTTAAGCTTATCTCATCCGCTCCAATCAACAATCTCCACCCCCTCTACTTCAATCCTCGTAAATTCTCATCCATTATCATCTCACTTTCATCCATTATCATCCCACTTTCAATCATTATCATCCCACTCTCATCCATTTTGATCGACTTTCATCTACCCTAATGAACTCCTCAACCCTTTAGGAGCAGTTTCGCTATTCTTGCACACAGCAAAGACTAGTTCCTTCATTTCTCCACTCTTCAATACAGGAGCGAATAGGAATCATTATTCCCGTCCAAACTGGTCCTGGTGGATCACTCTAACTAACCTGAATCGCTTTTTTCTTCAACAAACCTTTTACCTTTTTTTTCAGCCGGATGGTGTTGAGCTGACGCCAGAGGATAACAGTTGGATTGGGGCTTGGTACCTAGGCTATATTTTCGGTGGAATATGCGCTCTTATAGCGAGCATTCCTTTGTTGGGCCTTCCTCGCGAAATACCTCGGGTGAAAACTCTTCAAGATCAAAAAAGTCGCGCCCAAGATCGAGTACCAGACGACCAGAAGCCACACAGCGCCAGCGAGTTCCTACCGTCGCTCAAATCTCTCTTCACAAACAAAGTGTTTCTCTTCACGACGATAGCAGGGACGGCAGAAGGATTTGCCGTTTCAGGAACTTCCACCTTTCTTCCAAAATTCTTGGAATCACAGTTTCACCTGAGCTCGAGCGATGCCAGTTTCTCGGCAGGGGTGGTTATAATCCCAGGAGGGATTGCAGGAATGATGTTGGGTGGATTCTTGATCCGTCGCTTCAAATGGACCTGCAGTCAGTGTGCCAAAGCATGCACCATTATTGCCTTTATTGCAACACTTCCTATCTTCATCTATTTACATCATTGTCCGAACCAAAATTTTGCTGGCGTCACCACATCCTATTACAACAGGTAGTAATTTGATTTTATTTCTAAGTTTGGGTCGCAAGCGAGATGTTGTTTTTTGCAAAGTGTAACGAGCCGAGCATACTTCACACAGACACACAACAGGTCTAGATCCAACTCTTTTATTCTTATTTTACATTGGTTAATAACAATTTGTTATTTATACTCTAGTTCTATACGGCGTGTACGCTTGTTTTAATTATCTACAATGCTATTTTTATTATTAAATGCTATATTTATGTATGAATCTCGGAAGCACTTGCAATAGTGCATCTGCGGCAACTTATTTTTCCTTATTCTATTAGTATTAGCCTATATTTACAGTTAATCCATTATCCGATATCCGTTACAGAAGTCTCCCATGTGGAAAGAGTTTTTCTGAGGTGCAGGTTCCTGCATACGATCGGTCCTATATTGCAGCGCAAAACTCCTGCAAATACACAACAAATCTTTTTCAAATACACAAAAAATTGCTTGTCGTTTCGAGCCAAGGGCCTTTGTCATGTCAACTCTGTTGACAAAGGCTCTTTAATAGATTGAAACATGGATTATCAAGTTATGACCGCTTGTCAGACATTGTTGACATTATATCGTCTTTGGCTTTTTAGATCTGGCGGGAATGCCATAGACTCGTGTAGTTCTGTGTACAACTGTAGCTGCAAACAGCATAACTACATTCCTGTTTGTGCAAAAAAAGATAAAATCACTTATTTCTCTCCGTGCCACGCTGGTTGCTCAATGGAGTCAAAACTCGATGGCGATAAGGTTAAAGATTATTTGTTTTGACGCGTTAATCAGGTGATGGCCAACTTGAGGTTATCAGAATTTGAAAATAATTGTATGTTTGGTTTATTTCTTGTTAGGTGTTTACAAACTGTAGCTGTTTATCACCGAACATAACCATGGTTTTTGATGGAGGTTGCGAGGAAAAATGCGACTTATTGCCCTATTTTCTTGCCGTTTTGTTTCTCTTGATTTGTTTCACGTTTTGTAACAACATTCCAGCCATTACCGTAACACTGAGGTGAGCCGACTTTGCCCGTCTTATATTGTGTGCAATATCTACCCACCACATCTTCTGATCTCTTCATTTCATAATATCTCTGACCAACTCTCCTTCATCTCTTCTTATTACGTCTCCATATCATCTCAACCTTGCTTCCCTCATCTTCTCTGCAATGTCTACACCTCACACCTTCTTTGATCTCTTCATTCATAATATCTCTGACCAACTCTCCTTCATCTCTTCTTATTACGTCTCCATATCATCTCAACCTTGCTTCCCTCATCTTCTCTGCAATGTCTACCACCTCACATCTTCTTCTGATCTCTTCATTTCATAATATCTCTGACCATCTTTCCTTCATCTCTTCTTATTACGTCTCCATATCATCTCAACCTTGCTTCCCTCATCTTCTCTACAATATCTACCACCTCACATCTTCTTCTGATCTCTTCATTTCATAATATCTCTGACCATCTTTCCTTCATCTCCTCTTATACATGTCCATATCATCTCAACCTTGCTTCCCTCATCTTCTCTACAATATCTACCACCTCACATCTTCTTCTGATCTCTTCAATGTTATTCACTTCACTTCATTCTTATCCCTCCATTCTCGTAATTAGTATTCCATCGTTCTTAGCTAACCTGAGATCTCATTCCTAGATGTGTCCCTGAAAGTCAAGGCTCCTTCGCTCTTGGCGTGCAACAAATTATCACCAGGATTCTGGCATTTATCCCTGCACCAATAGTGTATGGTGCTCTATTGGATTCAGTTTGCATCTTGTCTGAAACTGATCCTTGCAATAAGAATGTGGATCGAAACTGTTTAGAATATCAAAACGATAGCCTAAGGTAGGTATAGGTACACAGGAAGAACAGTTTAGAACTGATAGAGCTATCCAGTATAAATAAAGTTAGTTTAGTTAGGTTTCCTCCTGCAGTAACACCGGATCAATAAGAGATGATCCTTACTGGACCTCTAGGAAGAACAGTTCAGAACTGATAGAACTATCCAGTATAGATAAAGTTAGTTTAGTTTAGGTTTCCTCCTGTAGTAACACTGGATCAATAAGAGATGATCCTTACTGGACCTTTAGGAAGAACAGTTTAGAACTGATAGAGCTATCCAGTATAAATAAAGTTAGTTTAGTTTAGGTTTTCTCCTGTAGTAACACTGGATCAATAAGAGATGATCCTTACTGGACCTCTAGAGGGAACTGTTTAAGAGTTGTCGTAAATAAGGTTATTTTGCCAAATTTTATTTAGTCTAAATATCAAAATACTCTTTTCTGCTTTCAGTTATGTGTTTTTCGGAGCTACGATGATATGCAAAGCATTGTCGTTGCTTTTCTTCGCCTTGGCTTGGTTCGCGTATAAATCACCAAGAAACCTCTCAACGGAAAGTCAAGTGAATTTGACCGACAATTCAATTGGAGTTGAAACACCGAATGGTCGCACCGTAGAAAACACAGTACATTCAACTCCGTTGTAAAATAGCTGCGGAATGGAATAATTATAAAAACAGAAATAAATGATTATATTAATTATAACATATATACCTGATAGGTGTATAAATACATAAGAACAGTAAAATGATTGCTTAATATAAGTTATTTTTTCAAAGAAAATTTGGAATTGCGACAATCTAGCAATATGGACGTTTTGCGTACCTATTTTCTCGCGAAAAGTCACCGCTTCAGTGGTGCGTATAGAGTTCAGTGCCAACGTGTGTTCATTTCGCGCGTGCGTATTTTGCATTCCTTTGAAAGCTCTTCAATTACAAAACAGGAGCAGACCTCATGTAGACAAATTTTGTCCACTTTTGAGAAAGAAATTTACAAAAGTGTGGGGTCTCCGTCCAGTTTTAGACACAACAGATCTTTTACGGTGTGCTCTTGCTTCACTTGCTCGTCCACTTGCAAAAAAATACACAAAAAAAGCCGGGTTTTCGCGACGCTAAAATCGGGTCCTCGGAGCAAATATCAGCTCCTCATACAGCTGGAAGGTATTTTCATTTGACAGCCGTGTCACAATGATATGCAATAAGACGCCAATCAGTTTGATGAACGAGTTGTGCAAAGCCAACAACGTTGTAGCAGAATATAAAGTGATCGAGGAAACTGGTCCACCTCACGAGAAGACCTTTAAAGTTGAACTGACCTTAACAAACGGTGGTTCATACGAGGGGGTCGCTTCGACCATTCGAGGGGCTAAACACAATGCGGCCCAGTTGGGTCTTGAGACTTCGGGTTTGACGAAACCAGAACGGAAACCAAAGCAGTTAAACAATGCACCGGCAGTGGAGCTAAATAGCCTCGCAATGAAACTTGGAAAACACATTGAGTATTGTGACCTAGCCCCTATGGTGAGACCTCACCCTGGTCCCTCTCCCATACCAGCTAACACCTATGGTGGGTATCCCTACCAAGAGTACACAGCTGGAATAATGCCATACCATCATCGGCCACCCTTGAAGATGGTTGCTTCGGTGAAGGTCGACGACAAAGAGTACTTTGGTGAGGGTTTCCGCAAGAAAGAGGCGCGCCGTAATGCGGCGAGCAAGGCATTGGTTGAACTCCGCAAAGAATGTACAACGGAATCTATATCTGAACAAAACGAGATTCCTGATCCAAAGGTACAACATTAAGTTCATTACTAACAATTGTCTCACATTATTTTGCTTAACTTCAGCAGAAAAGTTGTGATGTTATAGATTGTGATTGTCTAAATTTTCAGGTATATACAGTTGGAGAGACCAGCGAGCTTATCAAATCCCCGATAAGCGAAGTCCATGAGATTGCCAGCAAACGCAAAATGAAGATTGATTTTGAAGTTGTATCTTCAGCTGGTCCACCCCATAATCGCATGTTTGGAACAACCGTCACTGTTGGTGAGTTCTCTGCATCAGCAGAGGGGCCAAGCAAGAAAGCTTCAAGACATTTAGCCTCGGCTAAAATCTTGGAAGAGCTTAGAAAATTACCTCCTCTTCCAAAAGCTCATGCTATGAGTCGACTTTACAAGCACAACGGTTATGGAAAGAAATCTCCGAAAGAGTTAGACCCAAGTCTTAACCCTATCAGCCTTTTGGGTCAGCTTCGACAGAAGCGGAAAGAGACCCTACCAGTGTACACCCTCGTCAGCGAAGAAGGTATTCGCAACAAAGAGTTCACCATGCAGGTACAAGTTGACTCCCATATTGGCCGAGGTTCAGGAGCCAATAAAAAAGAAGCAAAGAAGAATGCTGCAGAGGCTTTGTTGCAATTGTTGGGAGTAAGAACTAGCAAGCCTGTATCCGGACAAGAAACTAACTCTGAGCAAACTCAGGTGAACATTTGCATCGCATTAAATGTAGTAGGGACTTTGTTCACATGATCCAATTTTGTCTGGTCCACCATTACTTCACCATAATTATAGTAAAATCATTTTAAGCCTCTTGCTGCATATTTAGAAAAAAAGTGAAGATGAAGAAAAAGGAACTAAAGAATCAACCACAGAAGGTCGGTCACTTCCTCCAGGTCTGCTGCCAATATTACCTGAAATGGCAAATAGAAACATGATGTCAGCGCCAGAGGTTCCTCCACCTGCGAAACCTTTGCCGAATATTGCACAACCTGTAAGTATTATTGTAGGATTTGTACTTACAGTATCTGGTACCACAATCTTTAAAACAATCCTAGATGAATTTCTTTCTTATGTCTGTATATTCATGGGCTAATCTGTGTATATATCTTACAGGTTGCTCCAACAGTTACAGTCCTAAACAGGGCCCCTGGTGCTCCGGTTGTTAAACCAATGTCAAATGAAATACTTCAAAATGGGAATACACCCTCAATGCAAAAGCTGCAGCAACTTGCAGAGTCTGGTGGCTTTCAGGTCAAGTATCAGGATGCTACACAGGTCAGTGAGTGCTTCAAACATTAAACAAGTTTTATTTTGAATTTCAAAACCTTGACTTTCTATTCTTCTGCCTATTTAGGAGAATAAAGAAAAATGCTTGGCGGTTGTGACAGTTTCTACTGTGCCGCAACTGGTGTGCCATGGCTTTGGTCCTTCCCTTGAACATGCTTTCGAGCATTCTGCCCTGCAAATGCTATAGCCCACCTGTTGCAACCGCCTCCAACAGCAACGAATGATCCTGCGATTGATGCTGCATCTGGAAACTGATGTAAATCAAGTAGGACTTGTTCAAAGTAATATAGCAGCGTCACTTGTGGGATTGTTCAAGGTAGTCCATCAGAGGCTGCCTTTATATTTTGTGTGTATATTTTGTGACAGCAAATACTAGCAAGTAAAGCAAATTTATGCATATGTCCATTGACAAATGTAATTTATGATTTTAAAAATAAATTCTCATGCATCAAATTTTTGACCTTGTATGGTTGAATTGTTTGATTTTCTTGACAGAACTTAGACATCCTACTGATAGCCATTGAAGTTTTAAGTGGGTAAGTGATCTATGTATGTTATAACATAAAGTTCTTCCTTGTTGACTTAAGCTCAAACAAATTTAAACAGGATTCAATTGAGTTTTATTTCTGACATATTTTTCTATCCTACTAACTCATTAACAAATTGTGATACTTAAACATATAGCAAGAAACAAAATGAGAATAATTGAGTTTTTAATTAATTAAGGAAGTCAATTTCAATCCAAGGCCATGTCTTCCTCTTCATCCTTGGAATCAGATTTTGAATCATCATTTTCTGGGTTCCCCTGAAGAGCTTGCGCCACCTCGGTCACATCTATTAATTGTTCAAGATTCTAGTTAAATTATGGCGATGCTGAAAATTGCCAGCATTTTCTTCCAGATCTTATGCTATTCATGAAGGTAAAACAAGCAGTTTGTAGTAAAGTTCTGACCTCCTCTGGTGAAAGCCTGCACAGCACTATCTGGCAGTTGAAACTGACTCATTATTGGTCCAAGTTGTCCCGACTGCAGTGCAGTACTGAATGCTTGCAAACTCTAATGAAAAAATTGGCAAAATATACTATCACAATATCATTTGTTTGGTAGATATATCATTAGAAGCCATGTTTCCCAGACTAATTCATGGCCTTAAATAGAATAGTGCAGCCAACTGGTAATTTCACCAAATTTGTATACCTGTTGAAAATGGGGTGACTGCAGAGTTTGCAGTAATTGGGACTCATCCTGAGGGAGATCTTCACCAGCTGGCAAAAAGGGTATTAACTGGTTCCTTATTTCAGGATTGCTTAGCATTGGTGCCAGGTTTTCTGGAGTTATCACAAGATTCAGGTCCACAGCTATGAAAATACAGTAGACAACCTTTTGAGAAAAAACTCTCTTCCTAAGAAACGCAGAGTAAGGCTAAAACATGCAATATATTCAACGAAGATGCATGACAATTTGTATGTGCTTTGCTTGGCATTACCTTCTGGTAATTGCTGAGGAACTGGAACTAAAAAAAAGAATGAAGAACATTTTGTTGGTTTAGGATTTGCAAGATCAAAATAAAAGATTAGTTATAGCTTAACATCTCTCACCAGCCATGTTAGACAAAATGTTTTGAAGATCACTGAGCTGAACTGCAGGACCAGGAGTGGCTGATGCCGGTGTATCCTTATCTCCAGTACCACTGGATGACGTCTTGTTTTGATCACCCGAAGACTGGTTATCAGAAATTGACCTGGAATGAATATGTTGGTTTTATATTTTTACCATTTGGATTGGTTGAGAGCTGATGCACTTGTGCACAAAACTTCAGTCCTCACACAACTGGTTAACAGGATGTAAGGTTATGGTAAACTAATGGTGGTATGTATATGAATACATACTGAGAGGGTGCTGTGGTAGGTGGTTCACTATCACTTGGTCTGCTTGCAGGCGTGCTTCCAGCACTTGAACCACGGGACGTCAAACCAGCCAGACTAAGGCCAGACATACCCTGGCTACTGCCGAGCAATTGTAACAACTGTTGTTGATCCATGTTGCCGATCAAACCCTGAAGACTTGTGTCACCTTTTAAATCATAAGAAGATTGCTTTGAGTTTGACGTTAGGTTATCTAGATTTCAATCTAGTCTGAGAGTGGAAATTATGCCTACCTATTAATTGGTCACCTAAGTGCCTCAGACCGCCACCAGATGATCCTGGAGCAGGAGGGTTGTTCAAAAAATCATTCACTTTCTTCATCAAATCTTCATCTTTGTCTGACTTTGGCTCTTGCATCCAGAAGAACAATTTACGTGAGGAGTTTTTGAATTTCAAAATGAAAACTCGTCCAGTTGTACACTGCTTTACGGCTTTATATTCCACGTCATCAGGGAAGATTATTAAATCCTAGAAATATTGAGATTGTCATTCCACTCTTGCTATAGTATGCATACCAACTATTCTGTTCAAAAGAATTGTGTTTTGGTAGAGAATTAAAGATATGACTAGACTAATTTTACTAGGGTAAATTTTTAATCTTGGGTAGGTGAAAAGTTGGCCTTGGCTTAATCACACAAAATTATGTTCTCCTGAGAGATGTTATTTCATAAAATCAGTGACGCCGACAATATTTGTACAAAAATAGACCAATAGTCTTTAACGATTGAGTTGACCTACTAATTCATGGCACTCAGAAGACGAAACTTAATTTTATACAGTAAAACGTCAGTTTACGTCACAAAAGCGGTGAAAAAATGTATAAACTTGCACCACAAGCGTTAGCACAACAAACATGGCTATTTAAACCGAACGTACATCCTCAACTTTCCCCGATCCACGATCCTTCCAGCAGAAATGCATCAAAGAGTCTTCGCCTTGAAAAACGTACACCAAACCTTTACGTTTGTCAGCTGTGACTGTAGTGCCATTTAGTTTCATCTTTCCTGCGCGAAATTCAACTAAATTCTTCGAAGAACTGCCGATATTTGAACCAAAAAGAGCCGTACCAGTAGAAGCCATTTTTTCAAAGATTTATTTTTTCTCTTACAAATTCTTTTACTCGTGTAAAGTGAAATTTATCAGACTTCCACTTTTATGAAAATCCCATCGAATGTAGCGATAACTTTGCTCCTCCCCCCCCCGTGCAAGATCCTGCATTTCTATTTCCGCAGATTGTAATCTACGAATTGCTGCCAGAAAGCCAAATTCCGGGGGAGAAAAACAGAAGAAAGTCATGTTAATAAAGTGAACAATGCGCCTTGGAGATGATAAATCCTAGACATACCATGCATTACGAAATATTTGTGCAGTGATTTTTCAATGTAATCAACGTTAATTTGAGCAGCTTTTTGCAAACGAAAATGAGTAAAATCGTGAGTAGAGAAGCCATTTTAAGAGTTTTGAGGTTGCTTAGTGAAACACAGTAAGTGAACACTGCAGAATGCACAATAGATCATAGATTATTTGATATTTAGTACAATTTGTAGTTGCAATGTTTTCCTAAATGAAGTTTATCCTTTTTAGATGTAGTTGCCCAGCACATTCTCAAGCATTTACTCACCATGGTAAATAACATTAGGTAGTTTAATGGTTGGCTGGGACAGTAATCTTCGAGTGTGCTCTCATGCAGTCTCTCACTTGATAGTTAATCCAGCATCTTAGACACTCAGATATTTACACCTTGCAAAATTTAGTCTCACTGTTCTTACCTCACTTTCCCCTTCCCCCTCACCCATCACACCTCTCCTCACCCTTTTCATTCTGTTCCATCACATTCACCCCTCATCACAAACTCCACCCTTTTAGGACATCGCCATGCTTCCGTACCATCGGCTGAGGTGCAACAAAATAAGGAATATGCATTCGAGGTAAGGTTACAGCAAAAATTAGGGCATAGGGAAGACAATATCCAGTGCAGTGGTTGATCACTAAAAATAGAAAACTACCTAGCTTGCTTCCTATATATTATACCCATTATCTTACCACGTTTCACCCTCTGAATTTCACCTGAAAAACTTTATTGACAAGAATACTTCCCTTGCAGATGGCATCATCCAGTATCAGATATGGTGCAGGGGTAACACAAGAAGTCGGCATGGTATGTTCAGAGATGAAGTCAATAAACTCAAAACTTCTTCACATTTCCTTCATCTAAATTCACATGCAGATAGCACTATTCAGAGGGCCTAATTTACACTTTATAATAAACATCTGGGTTTTTTTCATTTATAGGATTTCAAGAACATTTGGGAGCAAAAAATGTTTGTGTTATTACTGACAAAAAGGCAAGTTAATGTTCATGTAAATTTCTTAATGCCGACAATATACTTTCTACATATTTCTAAATATATTATTGTATTTTAGTTGAGTCAGCTTCCTCCTGTATTTCAAGCTCTGGACTCCTTGTGTCTTAATGGTGTAAAACATGATGTTTTTGACAACATCAGGATTGAACCAACTGACAAAAGGTTCGAAACAATATTCTTGTCAATGTGCATCTGATTATATGGCCTTGAACACATATTTAATACTTTAATCAGTGTATGATTAACTTTAATTTTCTAAATCTTCTATTTGTTTTGCATTTTATTAATCTATTTATCTTTCAGTTTCCAGGAAGCCATTGATTTTGCAAAGAATGGAGATTTTGACAGTTTTCTTGCAGTAGGAGGCGGCTCTGTCATGGATACAGCAAAAGCTGCAAACCTTTACTCAAGCTGTCCGGAGAATGAATTCTTGGACTTTGTTAATGCACCAATTGGGAAAGGTCTGCCTGTCACCAAGCAACTTAAGCCACTGATTGCAAGTAAGTTGAGTTTAATGTTTTTCATAACTCATGTGTTTAGACTCAATAATGCAGCGTCTAAAAAGTGTAGGAGAGGTGGCAACTTGTATGTTAGCTAGAGGGCAAGTGTCTGTGTTTATATAAGGAAAGTATCTTGATTACAGAAGTGCTGAAATTGTTGTCAAATTGCAAGAAAGATACATATATTTAATGTATTTGACTTAACACAAACTAGTGACATATAGTACTATTTCAACTCTGAACTCACACAAATATAACCAACATTAACGTCAATCAACTCTTAAGTTGACATTTACCTAATCTTTTTCTACAAATGAATCTTTAATCATTAAAAAGCTGCTTCTAGCTGCTTTTTGTTCCTCACTTAAAGAGGATGTTCCTGCACTGTGTTAGCACTGGGTTATGGGTGCAACCAAGTGATGCCGTTTCTTTGGAAATAATTGGTTTCTGCGTTGAAATATGCCCGATCTGCTGGTGTAGCACTTCTTGCTCTGTTTTGGTGTGTGTAGAGGTAAAATCTAGTGTTTGCACAACCTGGGAGATTTTGTGTTCCAGTTTTCGCAGCGTTGATCATCTCCAGGCAACGATCGCCTGAACCACGTATTCGTGCACCGGTCTGGACATTGATAGGTGCCATGCATGGCAGGAGTCTGGAATAGATAATGATGTATTTTGGACAGGCGTTGTTCTGCCTTCGTTTAAAAGAGTTAACCATTGTCTCGAGGCCATTTCTTTCCAGCAACTTGTACTCTGAGTGGTGGCTGTTGTCATTTCCCTCAGGTGCAGGACCTCGATATGCCATTCTAAAATTGGTATTGTCTCGTGCTCTACCAGCTGGTCGAGCAGGAAAAGGATTGCCGTCTTTCAGGTTCGCCGCAGAACCTCTGGCACCAGTCAGGGAATTCAAAACAGCTTGGTTATCCAAAAATCGAACAGCTTGTCCAGTTGGTTGTAAATAAATGAATGCAAATTGTTGATCGCCTAAAATAGTCAAAATCCAGCTGATACATGTATGAAAAAGCATAGCTTTGAGTAATATCACTGATAAAAAAATCCCAAAAGTCGGGGGGGGAATTTCATGTGATGGCTTTCACTAATTAAAACATCAAAACTAATCACTTGCTAAATCAGGAAGGTTTTGGCATTTAAAGCTTTTCCCGAAGATATTTTGAGCCTTTATTTGTGAATCTGTGGTTTAGTCATGGATCAGAGGTGCTTACGTCATGGTAATTATATTAAGACGAATCTTTTCATCTCTATATTGTGAGAGTTTCTACCAATGAGGCAAAGAATCATATCTCAATTAATGGCAAGACTTAATTGTAGCCGAAACATTTTAAAGCAAGCTCTCATTTGTGTGTCCTGTCAAAGAATTAGTCACGAGGTAATCGTCAATGAAATGGTCTTGTTTTAAATTCAAAATAAGACTGATCTGACCATTATGGTCGCAGAAAATCACTCTGAATACCTGCAGTTCTTACGGCAGTGTCGGAAATCGTGGTAATTCTTGTTTCAAGATCTTGTGCTATCGTCGTTGCCTCAGCCACTTCACCCCCTGCTGCTGCTTTCTTAACAGAGTTGGAATCTTTTTCAAGGCATCGACTTTCCACGAAATTGGTTGAGTAGAGAAACAAAAGAACGCACAACGCTTTCCAGAACATCATTTTCCGCGATTCAACTTTTGTTGTAAATAACTGCTTTTGTAAGTAAAATCTTCCCCTTGCTTCTCGTCGATTGACTCGATTGATTTCTTTGTGATGTTTTTTTCGAATTTTTTATGTCTTTATATGATTGTTTTATTTCTCGTTGCTGGTTAGCCATTAACGGTACCGGTGATAGCTTGTTTGACACCCTTTATGTGAACGTCATGCTATTTGATTATGTGAATTTAACTCCGTTTTCTCAATTGTTATAGCATAAATGAACAAATCTCACCCAAAAAACTTCCGTGGAAAAACAATATCAGTCACATATTAATCGACAACATTTCGTTTGATTTTCATGAATATATACAAGTCGAACAAAAAATTGTGATAGCATGAAAAAAAATCGGTCCAAGGTTAAAAAAAGACCCCGAGAAGGCATTGCTTGTGACTTAAACAAAATATATTAAAGTCGGTTTCTAAAATGTGTGTGAAAAAATCGGTCGGGTCATCATAGCTCATGCACAAAAAATTCTGTCAAGAATATTTGCACCTTTATCCATTGCAATATATATTTATTTCCAATTGCTTTTTATTATATATAATTTATATATCAATGTTATTATTTTACAAGTGAATCTTCTAAACGTTGTTGTCATATACTCTTTCTCAGAGAGTTATCCATTCAATTGAATGTTTTTTCAAATACCGTTTCTCTTTGTCTGAGAGTAACTTTTGATGTTTTGGGATGTTGTCCGCCTCGTTTAATTCTGTTGGGCTCATTTGTCCCGTGTAAAGATAAAACTCTGATTTTATATCATCACATTGGCGGTGTTTGGAGACAATCTTTGGGATGTTTCTTCTAGCTTTTCCTATCATTTCAAGACCATGATGTTTACCATGGTGACCTTTCAAACGAGGTAGATTTGTCGAGTACAAAATAATGTACTTTGGGCACAACTTTGTAAGCACAAGAAACGACTGCAACATATTTTCAAGTCCACGGCCAGAGAGTATCTTGTATTCCGTGTGGTCTTGGCTGAGATTGTTAGATTCATTTCTTTTCGGGTCGCGAAATGCCATTCTAAAATTGCTGTTGTCAGTGTGTCCAGGTGGTGGTAAAGCGGGGTAAATTCGACCGTTGTTGAAATACGGCGCGGAAGAAAAGTTACCTCTAAGCTTGTTCGATACAACTTGGCTTTCAATGTACAATTTTGGCTCTTCATGTGCTGGCTGAATGTACATGTACGCAAAGTGACCGGCACCTAAAGAAGATTTTTGCCAAATATGTGACAACGGACGCTTTATTTCACAAGGGAAATACAATCAATCCTGTATTATATTTCTCATTTCTGGTGATGTACGCTTTCTGTAGGAACCCAGAAATGAAATCATAGACAACCCAGAAGACATCGATATGAAATACACACTTGTTTACCCGGGAAATGAAGTTTTATCACCACCATTAAGGTCTGTTCAAACGTACAATTTTTCGGATTCCATTTACTTCTGACGTATTGAATATCGTCTGTTATTGCTAAAGCAGTACCGCATTGGCTTTAGTTGATTGCTGTCTATATACATTGCAAGTCAACGGACTATAAAACATCCATCAGAAGTGACTTGGATCCGACAAAATTGGAACGTAAGATCAGACCTTACAGGAATTACTCCTATTTTAAATTCAAAATAGGAACATGCTGACAATTTTGGGAGCTTAAAGGAAAGTCCCAAATAATAATAGATAGAAGTAAATATTTTGCCGGATACAGGTATATTATTTGGATGGCCTACCTGTGACATTTTGTAGTCTAGGATCATAGGAGACATTCACAATCAATTGTCGAAGTTCCTCTGCATTGATCTTTGCTTCATCTTTGTATAATAGTCTCGAAGTTTCTTCTGTTGTTAGTTGTGTTGTCTTTTTATCAGAAGAAGAATCTTTTCCTAGCTTACGACCTTCACTATTAAATTCTGTTGAATACAAAAGCAGAACAATGCCGAGTGCTTTAATCCAGGACACCATATTGCTTTATCACCACCGTTCTTGTTTCCTATCTGTACGAGTTATCCGATTAAGGATATCTTTTTAGTTATCGTGAACGTTCTTTTTAAACTATGAGTTTTGTGTATTTATTTTTAGGATTATTTGACACTTAGGCTGGTTTCTGCTGGTTCGCAATTTACAATACCCGCGAAAAAATATTTGCATCGTTGCGCATTGTGATTTTAAAGAGAGCATTTTTGACATATCCATTAACAATTCATTGAAAACACAAATAAATCCGTGCGATGTTAGTGCAGGAATAAACTGGCAAATAATTGAAATAAAAATACAAGAGAGCAGGGTTAAATAATACATGAAAAGATAGATTTTTATGTTGTTTTTTTTCTTCTTCACCTTCCATATTATAACACTGTTTTCCCGCCAAACGTGCTCGTTATAAAGAACTGATAAATTGAAAATACTGTCAATGCATATATGAAAATATACATGCAATATATACTAAAATGCCCCGGTCTTAAGTCTAACATATTTATGAATTTGTGAAATCATGATTTTCGTTACAACTCTTGGCTTTTTATTTTTCAGTTCCAACCACCGCTGGAACAGGTTAGTTGATTTACAATTTGAAGTTTTGAACTGACGAGATCAAACGGAAACAAAACTCGCCTTACAACGCGAATATTTTTAAATCTGATTTAAAGATTGTCGAGACGGTTTAGTGGCGGTAATGAGAGCCAGAAAGGCTCGTAGACTTTCAAAGATCAACCTCAGTACAATCCTCTAACCCAGTTGATTCTGTGACCCGGCCAACCTGTTCAACATCATCCTAATTGAAAAATGAAAATGTTTTCTCGTGAGCTAGGTTAAACCGCGTAAAGCTTCTTCAATGTGTCAACTGATTCTGTGATTATTTTCAACGCATTTTAGGCAGTGAAACAACTGGTGTGTCCATCTTTGATTACGAACCTTTGAAAGCCAAAACAGGTTGGAATCATGTGCATATCTTTTGAGACTTAACACAAATAACTAAATAATGCTCATTGAAATCTAATTAACTCTCCTCCTACAGGGATTGCTAATCGTGCTATTCGTCCTACGATGGGTATTGTCGACCCACTCCACACTCTGTTTATGCCAGAGAGAGTCGCTGCGAACAGTGGTTTTGATGTGTTGTGGTAAGTGAAGGTTTGACAACACATTTCATCCGCCCTCTCCAACTCATGTCTTTTTCATCTTATCAACCCTTACTACTTTTATTAACTTGTGTCAACTCCTGTCAGCTTCTATCAATTCTTATCCACCTCTATCTACTCATATTATCTTTTATCCACCTCTATCAACTACAATCAACTCTCATCAACTTCTATCAACTCTCATCAACTACTATCAACTCTCATCAACTACTATCAACTCTCATCAACTACTATCAACTCTCATCAACTACTATCAAATTCGATCAACTACTATCAACTCTCATCAACTACTATCAACTCTCATCAACTACTTACTCTATCAACTCTATCTGATCTACTATCAAATTTGATCAACTACTATCAATTTGATCTCTATCATTTGATCAACTACTATCAATTTGATCAAATTTGATCAACTACTATCAAATTTGATCAACTACTATCAAATTTGATCAACTACTATCAAATTTGATCAACTACTATCAAATTTGATCAACTACTATCAAATTCGATCAACTACTATCAACTTCGATCAACTACTATCAACTTCGATCAACTTCTATCAACTTTGATCAACTTCTATCAACTTCTATCAACTCTCATCAACTTCTATCAACTCTCATCAACTTCTATCAACTATTACCACCTATCAGCACTAATCAGTTTCCACTGAGAGTTTGAATGAATGAGAATTTCTGCATATTTGACTTCAGTTTTAAAATCATAATACTGCAACTTTTCAGTCATGCTCTAGAATCCTACACAGCTATTCCTTACAATGAGAGAAGCCCACGTCCTGAAAACCCAAATCTTCGACCAGCTTACCAAGGAAGTAACCCCATCAGTGATATATGGTCATTGCATGCATTGAGAACAGTCAATAAATATATGAAGAGGTTTGTTTTACTGTTCTGTGTTATGCCACATTTCATTTCTGTGTTGCACTTTCACTCAGTACTCATTGAATATAGTTCTTTGTGTTCCAGAGCAGTAAAAGATGCAAACGACATTGAGGCCAGATCTCAGATGCATTTAGCAAGTGTGTTTGCTGGCATTGGCTTTGGAAATGCTGGTGTTCATTTATGGTAACCTTCTGTTGCGTGCTATCAACTCATTATAATCTTCCACCAGTGATGTTGTGGTATAACACTTTGGTGGACTCTGGTACAACGCTTGGTGGATTTCCTAAAGTCCCTTCTACGGTTTTGTGGTTGAAATTTTATTCTTGAATACTATTTTTTTCAAATTTGCTAGCCATGGAATGTCTTATGCCATTTCTGGACTGGTGAAATCTTACCACGCTGCAGATTATGAAACAAAGTATCCAATCATTGTAAGTGATGCATGTTATGAGAAGGTGAAGTTCAATCTTTGAACCAAGCAAATATTAAAATGTTTTATTGTGTTTCAGCCACATGGACTGTCCGTCGTTCTTTCAGCTCCAGCTGTTTTTTCTTTCACATCAGCCGCCTGTCCAGAACGACATCTTACTGCTGCAGAAGCATTAGGTAGTTATTATTGACTTAATTTATATTGGATAGCTCTGTCAGTTCTGAACTGGTCTTCCTAGAGGTCCAGTAAGGATCATCTCTTATTGATCCAGTGTTACTACAGGAGGAAACCTAAACTAAACTAACTTTATTTATACTGGATGGCTCTATCAGTTCTAAACTGTTCTTCCTAGAGGTCCAGTAAGGATCATCTCTTATTGATCCAGTGTTACTACAGGAGGAAACCTAAACTAAACTAACTTTATTTATACTGGATGGCTCTATGGGTTCTAAACTGTTCTTCCTAGAGGTCCAAGAGGATCATCTCCTTGATTGATCCAGGGTTACTTCCGGAGGAAACCTAAAACTAAAATAGAAGGTAGTTATTCCTTCTTTCATGGTCAATAATATCACCATCTCCATATTCACTTCAGGTGCAGATACAAGAGGTGTCCACAAAGATGATGCTGGTAGATTGTTATCAGATCACCTCATGCAGTTCATGTATGACCTTGGTGTTGATGATGGGTTAAATGCTGTTGGTTATACCACCGATGATGTTGGCGATCTGGTCAGAGGCACAGTACCTCAACACAGAGTGACAAAACTTGCCCCTGCTGGTGCTCCTGGGGAAGAAGAACTTGCCAAACTCTTTGAAGCATCAATGAAAATTTACTAACTCACAAACAAAGGTATTATTTGATTTTATTGTGATTTTTTATTGATCATATGGGGGGAATCAATTAAAACCAATCAAATAGAACAATTAAGAATTCCGCTAAAATTGACTCGTGTGAATTTGTGTGATAAAAACACAAGTAAATAAATACATGGAATGTACCCTTTTAGTCACAACAATATCTTTATTTCTTTCAACAACATACAGTGAAAAGCAATGGTTAAACTGAACTCTTAAAACAATATGAATAATTGTGAAGTTACATATGTAACTTGGTATCAAGTGATTTTGCTTCAGTTATATTTTAAATAACGACCAGAACAATGAAGAAATTAAACAGGTTTAAAATTGAGAAGATATAAAGAAAAATCCTAAAATTGTTGACTTCACAAGGATTTCAATCCAAATTTGGAAATGCAGCTTGTGTTCCAGTGTTTCATAGAGTTCAGTGGTTTAGTTTAAAGGCAGCATGAGTGTTAGGAGAGTTTTTCTTTGCCATTAACAATTGGTTGTTCTTCATCATCAGCATCACCATCTTGTTCTACAGCTGCAGGTTTCTTTTGACCCTTGCCTTTCTTTTTCACTTCTTTCTTCTTGGCTGACCTCTGACGTTTTGATTGCACGACGTCGCTCCAATAACTGACTTGATGCGAGATGAAAATCCAAGTGAGCCATGCTTGCATCAGAATTATCCCACAAAGAAATATTACCCTACGAAAACCATATGTCATGCTTGAGTATACATTGTATGTGCTAGCTAGCTCTATCAGTTTCAAATTGTACTACCTGGAAGTTCATTATCTCTTATTGATCTAGTGCTACTGTTAACTTTGAATGAGATATATATTTCTTGAAGTTTGAAACTAGTCTCGCTGTAGTCACAATACCATACCTCAATGGTTTCTTGTTAAAGTTTGGGACAATGTCATATCTATCAGAGCTTTCTTGTTTGGGCAAGCCAATCCTAACAGAAATATTATTAATATTAGACAAACATTGAAACATTAGAAAACTACCATATTGCATGTACTGTAAATGGGTTAGTTAGTTCATTAAGTGCATCGCATCAAGCCCCTTACCAGATTGTAACAATTGATAATATAATAATCGCCACCCTAACAGCGGCATATAACAATCCCCAGATGAACATCAAACTAAAAAAGTAACATAATGAATGAATTACAGATACTTATGCATTGGGATTGTAAATTAGTATGATATATTCTTACATATTCTTAGTGGTCTCTGTTTTACCCATGTAGTTCAGAATCTTGAAAGAGTTGAATAGGAACTCAACAAAATAATGAATGACAAAGCAGACCAGAGCGAGTCTTGTGAAACTAATGAGAAATATGAATTTTAATATGGCAATGCTTTTGTAAATTCTAATATTTAACAACAGAAGTCAACATTCTTGTACAGAGCACTTGCTTACTTGCAGACATATGCTGGTATAAGAATGACAAGGTATTGCAGGTAAACATTCACTCTTGGCACTAGTTCTTCCTAAGAGAAGCAATAATTTGTTAGGTATGATAAGGCATACATATACATATATGAACACCGCATGCTCAAATGAAAAAACAAATTTATATATATAATTAGGATACTAGCTGAAAGGTATGACACAAACCTTCTTAGCTTTAAGAAAATACAACTCTGGGAAGCAATGAATCCAGTATGCAATTTGTAAAAGAAAATAAAACTTGACGATAAATGTCATTTCAGCGTGAGGATATTCATGCCACAAATTAGAAAGTTTAGGAAGCAGGCCCTCCTAAAAAAAATTAAAAACCAATTTAGTTTTGAACTTGAACATCGTTTCAAGATGGTTAATCTCTTCTTGTGGGGACTCCTACCTTTAAAATAATATCAGCACCCCATGCAGCTGAGGCAAAGTAAAATGGTATGTGTCCGCCAAGGTTGTTGAAGCGACTAATTTTTGTCTTGGACAAATGGAATTTCCGATTGATTTTCTGCCAGAGGAAAACAAAAAACAGTCACAATCTTGTCAGCTCAAAATTATCATAGTCTATCTGCAATTCTAAAGCTATTAAGAATTTAAACATTTTTGATGAGCTTAAAATTATTTCTCATAATTTCAGAACTAGGATAAATCCAATAGCATAATTGTCTTACATCAAGAATATACTCCTGGATAATCGCATGGATAACGATCCATGCAAGTGTATAAAAGAAAATGGTACAGATGTCTTTCTTCCCAACACCATAATGAACCTCCTCCGGCTCGTTAGTATCTGTAATGAATTAACAAACATTAGTAAAAGTTCATTTCGGGAAATTAGGAGAACATGACCCTGGCAAGGTTAATAATTAACCTTGTGAATTAGAATATCAATATGACAAAATATATCTGCATTGATTTCCATATATAATCTGTTACAGTTCTACTCCCACGTGGAAATTGAATTATATACACAAAGCTAACCATGCAATTACTTGAACTCCCAAAAGTATTCCTAATTTCTAGGAAGCCGGTAATGTAAAAATCGTTCGATTTCATGAATTGTTACAAGAATGTATGCAAACCGCAGAATTCTTGCGCTGCTTTACTGTAATTTTAACTCATTTAAATGTTGAAATAAATACCGTTGTTAAATCTTGTAATGTTATGCTGTGGAGCCACGAACACGCTAGCAACCTTCTGTGTTGTCTGCAAGATTAAAAAGATTGATATTTCTTTAAAAACATATGAACTTTCCTAAATTCTTAAATGTTTACAGTTCTACATTATACCTTGAAGAGCAACCCGATCATAAAGACCATGCAAATACAAGACACTATATCGCCATGGTTCGTAATGATAAATTCATGGCTAAAAACCGATGCCTTTTTACTCTTCTTCCTAGGAGCAGGCATGCTGCTTTGCTTTGGAAAAAACCAAGAGCGATCCGCAAAAAAATTGACCGAAAAATGAACAATATAAACTCCCCAGAGGATCGTTTCAAATGATCGCTATTCAATCTTTTGTCGGTCTTTCACAGGAAGTACACGTTATCATACGCATGCGCAGACATGTTTCGTGCTGCAGAAACGAGCCCAAGTGCGGAAAAAGCAAAGTTCTAAATTTCATTTACCTTCTAGAACGTTTTACAGTATGTTTGTTTGCGTTTTTCTGTTTGTGGGGCAGATCCGGGCAAATTTGGGGGTCACCCCATGTTTTGGCGCAGCGATCGTGAATTGTTGTATAGTATTTTTGTACAATATGCCTAGTACGCGTAACAATTTTTTAAAGTTTCTTTTGTTCGAAAAAGTCTATAATTACATGTAAACGTGCGTGTTCTCACTTTCTGGGCTAATTTCATGCAAAATGGCTTCCATATATTATGTTACAATTCTGAAGTGTTCGACAACCAATCAGAACGCAGATTAAAATTGTCCGAACAATATAATCATACGGAGTAACAATTTATTGCTGTAAACATTGCGCTTTGTCAAGGATTTTGATCGAAAGCGTTTCTGTTTTACATCGTTGGAGGCCATGGATTAAAAGCTTAGCTCCTGTAGGTATTCAGCTCTATTCATGCAGGATAAAACAAAGATATTGCCGTTGGAACTATGGCGTGTGATTCTCTCGCATCTCAGTATTGTGGATCTATGTCATTGTTGTCAGGTCTCGAAAATTTGGGCAGAATTGGTTCGGAGTTTAGATAATACGCGTTGGAAAGAGTTGTACTTGTTCAGGAACCCTTGGCGGTATCCATACTGGCCGAACAATCCGAAAGAAGACCCAGAATCGTGGCAGAAAGCGTACAAAGAACGCTTTTTAGCTTCGAAAGAGTGGCTCAAGTCTGGCGCAGACGAGAAATGTGGTTCTGGAATATGGCATTTCTTGAAGAAGCGTAGCCAAAAGAACTTGTACGTTGGATCAAATCGCGGATTTACCCGTTTAAAAGACGCGATCGCCGCTTCTTCTGCGTACGACACTATTTACATCGACGGCGAAGGAAGAGAAGAGCAATCACCTTTAATCATAAAACATCCATTAGAAATTGTTGGCAGAGGAAACGAGGGAAAGATTAGACTAAATGCTATCGAGATACAATGTCCTACAGTGCGAATTTCAAACGTATGTCTTCGTCCGAGTTCCCACAGGCCCCAAAACCCATTACCTACTGTTTTAAAGGTAGGTTTTTGACAGTGGACATAACGTAACTTTATACCACTGTTGTTTTCATAACTGCAAAAAGGGTAAAGATCATATATTTCATAGCTAGATTGACCAGACATTAAACCAAACAAAAATTATTCATGTTGTATATTTAAATTCTGTTTACGAACTAAAGAGCCGCCAGCCATCTTTCATTTATTCAATACTGCTCAACAATACAGACATATTTACACTTTTACTTCCCTCGTCAGCCTTTAAAAACTCTGCGGGAATTGAATGATTTATCAAGATTAAATTTTCAGAATCGTAGAATTGTGGTTTTTAAGAAGTTTACCTGTAATGCCAAGGCAAAAAATGAAATATGAATGGATAGTTACTTTAATTTTTCCATTCCTGTTTGTCATTTGTAAATAATATTTTCACTGGAGCAGGTGCTAGCTGCTTTCAAACATTTTAATAAAAGCGCTTGGCGTTAATATTCCATCCTGAAGTTATTGTTAAATTAAATTTCTCAGCCTTTTTGTTTGAGTGAAGTATTTTATTTTCGAGCCATTTTGAGTTGAATTTGAGCGCAAATCTTTAAATATAATAGCAAGTTTCTTTCAGTTGACTGAAATGAAATTTTATATTTCAAAGTTGTTGATTTTTTCAATGTTTTCTATTAACACGTATTATATTATCATCCTGAAAAGGTGTTTTTATATCAGTGCCTTGCAGGTCAGGTTATGTGGGGGACGGGATAAAGACCTGGGATATTGCTACTCTATCCAAACCCTTCTGGGATTGTCTGGGATTGAATAAAATACTCTAATTATAATATAAGTAAAGAGAAGCATCTCACAACTGCATCGTATTTCTGATGAAGGCCCTTAGGTGGAAACATTGTGAAGTGTTTCGTCTGTTTTATCCAGTTGGTATACAACATTTGATACTCTTGTAGGCAAGCTAATTCACTAACATGAAACCCTAAAAGTTTTATTCATATTAATGCTAGGAAACATCCAGTGATATAGTAGTTGTAGTTCAATCACTGAGCAATTACATTGTTTTTTCATAGATAACTAGTGGCAACTTGTTTCTGGATAACTCAACCATTGAACATGGTCATGTTCAGGTGACTTCCCCTGGGGGAGTTTTCATCACTTACTGTTTGTTCAACAATGCCTCCGTTCAGCTAAGAACAGCAAGCATGTGCAAGATTGAACACTGTGAATTCCAGCATGGCGAGCATTCAGCTATTTTAATAGAAGGTACGCAGTCTCTTGGAAAGTACATGCCCCTAGGACTTCATCTTGCAGACTGGACTGCAAAACATAGTTCAATGAAATTTAACACAATAGCAGAACTATACAGTCGCATTGTGCAGGAAAACTTGCAAAACACTTTCAAAGCTCCTGATGAGGAAATGACTGATTGCCATTTACTTGTGAAAGACCTAAAAGGGAAATTGAGTCTTTCAGGCAGCGAGAATGTTGTCGTACCAGCTGAAATGAGCGTGCCACTTTCCCAACGAACCAGTTTACCATTGAGAGTAGGGGCAGAAACGACACTACGGAATTCAACAGGGTGTGTGATACGCGAATGTTACTTTCACTCGAAGCGAGGGGCCGTCCACATACGACGGCAGGGGTCTGCATGGGTTGAGGGTTGTGAAATCACCAACGTTGCTTATGGTATCCGCTGTATGGGCAGTTCCAAAGTTGTGTTGCTAGCGAACACCATTCATGATTGTAACACATCTGGGGTCTTTTTTCGAGACCGTGCAGGAGGGTTGGTTGCAGGCAATGTAATTTTTCAAAATGGGGAAGCCGGCGTGGACATCCGCAATGCATCCGACCCATTTTTGCAACACAATCAGATTTTCAATGGTCGGAGATCAGGTGTGGTAGTCCTAGACGGTGGTCGAGGAATGTTGATGGATAATGATATATATGACAACAGAGAAGCTGGTGTCTACATCTTGTATAGAGGGAATCCAATTGTCAGGTACATTATGATGTAGTTAAGTACACAAGAGTACAAAAAAAGTCAGGTACATTATGGTGTAGTTAAGTACACTAGAGAACAATTAAGTCAGGTACTTTATGGTGTAGTTAAGTATACTAAAGTAAAATAAATTCAGGTACATTATGATACATTAGGCTAAATTATGGCACTTGGCATTATACTGTTTAAAATGGCATACAAAGCGTGGTGGTACTTTACAGTAACTATCAGGAATTGAATATCATCTTTTTTGCCTTAGGTGCAACCGTATCTGGGCAGGTCAAGCAGCTGGTGTTGCTGTGACAGAAGATGGTTTTGGTCATGTTTACTTCAATGATATATGTGGAATGGAATGGGGTGGTATTGACATACGAAATGGTGGTCACCCTGTTATCATGAACAACACCATACACAAGGGTCATGGTGATGGCGTGGTCATAGGCAAGCGAGGATGTGGACTCATTTTTGAAAACGTCATCAGAAGTAATGCCTATGAATAATACTTACACAACAAACATCTGCAGATGATGAGATATGAACGAGATGGATTGCTTGAGGAGGATTCAAGTTTTGTTTTTCTCTCTTCATAGGAAACCGAGGTTGTGGCGTCTGGGTGTTATCAACCTCACGTCCGGTGATATTTGGTAACGACATCAGTGAATGTTGTGATCACGGCGTTGCCTTCGTTAGCACCGCTGATGACAGGAGGGAGAACCAAAAACTCAGCGCACAGTTTTTACAACAAGATCAAGAACAGGTAAAATCATAAACGGCAGTATTTCCGTACGCAGAACACATCGTCTATTAGTAACTTACCTTACCAAATCAAGGCTTTTTCATTGCGCAGAATTTTGCGCGCAAAGCGGAATTTTTTCTTCATTGCTGAAAACTCAGCTTTGCATTTTATGCGCGCGCGAACACCCAGAGAAAACTTTCAAATACCTTAAAATGTTCATTATGAAATACCCTGGGCCTGGTGAATAAATGAACGGAACAGAATTGAGCATTATAGGACAAGATGTAATCTTTAACAATGCCTGCTCTGGGTGGTAACATCAAGACGAAAATTAAAATGAAGCATTTTCTTTACCAGGAGCAAGCGCAACCAGTTCATATCTACGACGAGGAACCTTCATCCGGGTCCTTCTTTGAAGAAACGGATTCTCTGTCCATTGAATTCCTGAGTAAGTCAAAGTGCTGTGGTTATATTTAGAGATTGGTTTCTTGAGCTGGTGAAGTTCTAATTTGTGCGCATTAAAAAGTCATACCTTCGGTCCATTTTGCACCGTTCTAATTTTCTCAGAATTTAGTATTTTCTGCTTTGATTTGCGCAGTTCTGCTGGTAAACAGGTTTAAAGAACCATCATACAAGCTTTGATTTTCAATGAATGAAAGTCGTACAAGGGTTTAAAAAAACTCTTGTATTAGAAGCCATTTTCATACAAACTATCTCGTTTTACACCACAGCTCCACAACTGGAAAAAAACAGCGCAATTGTCGACAACAACAAAATCAGCTACAACCATGGCTGCGGTCTATCTTTCGCTGGCTCAGAAGACGTCATCATTCGGGGTAACACGTTCAGTGGTAACCACGGCAACGGAATCGCCATCGAGCAACCAGTCGACGCCGTCATTCATAGCAACCGCGTGCTTGACAACGGTGGAACAGGCATAATCCTAGACGTAAGTACCTTAACCTGCTTGCGTGATAACTGCATACGTGGTAACCTAGGCGATGGGATTGTCGCGCAGGGCCGAGGACGCATTCGTGAAAATGACGTCATCGGGAATTCGGGGTCCGGTCTCGTGATACTCGGCCCCGGGGATCCGTTCGTTGCGAAGAACCGGATACTCTCTGGGGAATCGACGGCAGTCGAAGTTCGTGCTGACGCAAGAGGTTGCGTTAGCGAGAACGAGGTTTATAGTAAAAATCGAAAAAACATCGTTCAGGATTTGAGCAGCACGACCATTGTTGAGAACAACGAGGTTTTGACGAACCTAGAGGGAGAAGTCGATGGAACTGAGGTGGCTGCAAGACCTTTACAAACAGGTAACGCAATTCCCCGTGGAGATATTGCTCATATCGTTAGGAAACTGACAATGCCACAAGCACAGAAGATGTACTCCAGACGAACAATGAGTAGGTTTTGTGTAATAATCTGACCCTCCCCCCTGGAATATCTTATCGCAAGTACATTTGAAGAGTGGTGGGTTAGGACAAAATGCTAGAGAAGGGGGGGATGTACATTGGAAGAGTGGGGTGGGTTAAGACTCGACTCTAGACAGGGGAGCGAATGTGCTCTTGAATTTACTCTCTGTGAGAGGTTATGAGAAACGACACAACCTTTGTGACTCCCCAGTTTCTAGTTTAGAATTCATTGTTAGTATTCGCTACACACACATGAAGTACTGGGTTTAAAAAAGCCGTCTAAATTAAATTCAAATCAATTACAGAAGATAAACTATGTTGTCATTAATATATTAAAAGAACGTTTAAAGATTTGATGGTGCAGATGATGACATCAAGTCGACCGCTGGTTGTGCCAGTCACATTTTTGTAAATATTTTAACGCGTGTGCATTCCTGTTGAGTGCAGCAGAACTGTAGTGTTCATCATTAAATTATTCGACCAAGAGATAGCATTTTGTTGCAGTGTTGGTTGCCCTGATTAGGTTTTCCCCTGTAGTAACACTGGATCAATAAGAGATGATCCTTACTGGATCTCTAGGAAGAACAGTTTAGAACTGATAGAGCTATCCAGTATAAATAAAGTTAGTTTAATTTAGGTTTCTTCCTGTAGTAACACTGGATCAATAAGAGATGATCCTTACTGGAACTCTGGGAAGAACAGTTTAGAACTGATAGGTTTCCTCCTGCAGTAATACTGCATCAATAGAAAGTTATCGTTACTGGACTGATAGAGATACCCAGTATAAATAGAGTTGATTTAGAGTTAGTTCAGTCTGCGTAGGTTTCCCCTGTGGCAATTCTGGATCGCAGTCGACATTCGCCTATTTTGATTTATTCATAGCAATTAGAAGAATATAATTACAGCGGTAAAGCGACAGTCGTAATTACAATGAAGAAGTGGAGGATATCGAACGATCATTAGAACATGCGGTTGGGATGATTAGAAAATGTTTATGAAGTGGTTTCGCATAGTGAAAGTAATTATTTTTTTTCATGTATATGAACATCTGGCGATGCATTGTTCTGTTTCGCTTAGTTTTTGCCGCCAAGATAGAAAAAGGTTTTAATATATTTTATCTTTCAATTAATCTTTTTGTAAGCGGTTTTCCGACAAATTTAACTTTGGAATGAGCACGATAGACCTTAATTAAATTGAACCTGCTCGACAATGTGCTTTTAAACTGTGCTGCAAATCACTGCAGATACTTTCATGGCATATATACTTGTTTATTTAGCGTGGAATTTCATTCTTTTCCTAAACTATATTCCTTTTACATCCAGGGCTGTACCGGGCGATTTTAGCTGAAGATTTCTAGTTAAATATATACTCGCAGGCCGCAGCGAGAGAAATCCTGTGAACAAAACTCGTTAGCAAATCTTGATGTTTTCAGGGTTAATTGATCTCTTTGTTTACAAACGAGTTCATTACATTTGCCGCGGTACATTTTCCGCACAAGAAGCGATTGCTAGCCTAGAAATTAACACGCTGTTTTAAAGGTGGGATGAAACCAACAATTGTTGCAAATGAAACGACTTTATCAAATCATTGCGTATTATTATATTGCTACAAATTGATACTAGGTTTGCGAGAGATTTTGACTTGTTTAGGGGCGTGGAGAAAAGTCGAATTTTTGAGGAGGGGGGGATCAGCCTTTCCGAGCAATCATCAAAACACAATATATCTTTAAAGATCTAAATTTAGCGGAAGAGTTCACTTCTACAAAGGGCATTTTATGATCGCTTTGATAGTTGAGAGGGGGTGTGGGCTTGTATCAAATGTCACCGCTGTTCCTACGTAGACCCTACAAATGGAATCAATACAGACAACACTCCCACCCCCACCCCCCCTCTTAAATTGAAGCTGAACAGACAAGCGAATATCGCTAAGGTTACATCTGAATGTCAGTTGCACCTGGCCAGCATATGAAATGACCTGGTTTTCTTTTGCTGAAAGATAAATCGCTTTGCAAGAAAATACTGAATGTTAATGAAACTGAGCCGTAAAGATATATGATGTGGACTCGTAGATTGAAATAAAAGAAAATAAGTATCTTTCATTTAGGGGAAACGCAGCCGGAAAATGGAGTGAAAAAGCATCAACCGAAACAATACACAAATTGCGGACCAGGTGTTTCGTGACGAAAAAAACAAATCAACCGCCATCGTATACAGTATATATATTGAAGAGCACTTCAAATACTGTTTACTTACAACGCAGGGAAGTTTTGAGCGTCTCTTTCCCACAGAAAAGAACGCGAAAGCCTAATCCAATTCAACGGTCGAAGGCTGAAAGTGTCGAAGGTAAGTGTACTACTTTTAACGATTGTAATAATTGATATTATTTCTTCAAATACTATTCTACAAAGTTGCGATAGAATTGGAAATGTTGCTAAACGTTTCTAACAATCGATGTATTTTGCAAGTTTGTTTCTTACTGATGAAAATTGGGTACGCTAGTAAAACTCAATCTACACAGAGATCTACTGACTTGTCAAATTTTCGCTAGCAAGGGACGGAAAATTAGAGAAAGGCCGATATTTCATTACAAATTAAAAAAAATTCGAGATATTGCAACCGTCTTTTTGTTAATTTGAACATGTTTGAGAAATAACGCTTAAGAATGCTTTGTATTTCGTAAAGATATTGCCACCAAGACTGCGTTTGAAAGTGACGAAAAGAAATCTTCAAAAGATGGTCAACATTACAGCATCTCTGAACTGCAGTACGAACACCTTAACTCATCCTCAGCACTCTAAATTAACGGTAGCGAGCCTTATCATAATGGCTGTGGTGATTTTCATCGAGAATATTACCGTCTGCGCGCTTTTTGCTGCCAACCAGAAGCTTCGTATAACCACCAACGTGTTTGTGATATCCCTTGCCATCTCCGACCTGTTCGTTGCTGTTCTGTTTGTCCCTGTATACCTCGCGACGCCCGTCTCCCACCAGGCAAACCTGTATGTCGTTACCTTTCTACTTTTTACTTCCCTTTTCAACCTCTGTGGGGTGACCTACGATCGATACCACGCTATTCTGCAGCCGTTAACCTACCGAGCTGTCTTCACATCGTGGCGAATCGCTTTGCTCCTATTCGCAATATGGTTTCTTCCTATCCTTCTGATCCTTCTTCCGGCCACATGGAGTGGAGAAGATCTGAAAACGCGCAAAACCATTGATCGCGTTTACCTCGGGTTCATGGTCCTGATAGTGTTTGCCGCCTGCGCGATTATCTCGAAGGTCTACTTCAGCATTTTTAAAGCAATTCGACGTCAATTACGAATGACGCGATACGTCAAGGGAATGTTTGCCCCCTCCGAGATATCCTCCATGACGAGCATCGAGAAACAAAGTTCTCCCGCAACAACCGTTTCAAGCCTTCGTGCTGAAAGCCCGAGCATTGCCCAAAGCAGGGCCCTATGTGAGGAAAACGCTATCCAGGAATTCGACGCAACTACTTTTGGCCGCGAGCCAAACGCCCAACCGAAAAGAAACCTGCGTAAGTTGAGAGTGCTTCGTCTGAAAAAATATACCGAAAATGTCTTCAACGATGTCCGCGCCGTGAAATTATTTGCTATCGTGATTCTTATCTTTATCATTTGTTGGCTCCCAGCAATCATTATCAACTTTATGGTAGCGATCAATAAACTGGCCTCGATCCCACAGTTCATTTTCGATGTTTCTGTTTACGCGTTTGTCGCAAATGCCATGGTCAATCCCCTGTTGTTTACATTCTATAAACGCGATTATCGACAAGCGTTGACGGAGATTATGGCGTGTTCTACCTGCAAAGACTTACAAAATAAATCTGTGATCAATTTTGACGCATTATTTGTAGTGTCGGCTTAACGTAAAAAAAAGATTTGTGCATGCAGATTTTGATATTCACTTTGTGAGGATGATAACAGTGTTATTCCCGCGCTTTTTAATGCTAGATTTCCTCTTTATCTTTATGGAATTGAAGATTCATTGACAATTGACATTATACTAGACATGTTATAATGTTATTAATAAAAAAATTAGCGCATTTACTAAAATACTTATCTCCAAATCTCTTTACGCTCATGCTATAGAAATCTCGCCTTCGTTTTTACCAAGTTCAATCGGTTATAATTTCTATTTCTAGGCGACCATCTGGGAAAAACTCGAGAGCTTTTGTCCAAAAAGGCTCTCCATACTAGAGGTGGCCGGTGGGCGAGTACCGATTACTTTATAGACGGCAAAAGATCGTTAAGTGGGGGGATTAAATAGGGATTTGAGGATGTTTTATTAAAAATGTCACTATTGATTAATGGTGAAAATAATCGCTTCTATGACCACCCTAGCGCGTGGAACCACTAATAGATTTAAGAGATTACATGGCGGGGAGTGCAATCTTTGAGATCAAAATTAATGCCCATCAAATGAACCTCTTAATAAGCAATATTTTCATGAACCTCTTAGTGAATAATACTCGCTTTTTGTGGCTTTTTACGCGCGCTGCATATGCTAATTCCATTTGAATGTGCGTCAGAAGAATCGAATGGCGGTGGACTAGTGACTAGTCTGGTGTTTATGAAATGAAAACATGGCTTCTGCAAATGCGAGTGTTTTAAAAAACACGGAGAAAATAAACGGTGTTAAAAGGAAAGCGGAAATGCAGATGATTTACTGCAGCGTGTGTAAAATATTCCTAAACTCTAGTTCGCAAACAGACGCTCATTTCGCTGGAAAAAGTCACAAGAAGAAAGCTACAGGACTCGGACAAGATGCGACTCAGGTAAGTGGTTTAAACTGGTTTTGTTTTGCTAGGATTAATTATGACCGAAATAGTTTAATTCCTAAAAATATCCTCCGGCTACTTGGGCTATTTTATTATCTTTACTTCAAAAAAGTGTATATACCGGCTCAGCAGTAGAATAATTGATATGAATTAATCTGACATTGATGCAGATCTGTTTTATTTAACCCCCCCCCCCCTGGACACACAGTTGGATGAAGTGAAAAGAATTTTGGCTCCTGATGTCGAAAAAAACGTTTCCCAAACATCTAAACCTTCATTGTAACATGAAAGATTTGAGAAAACAACTTGTGCAACAAAGTGGATGAAATAATAATTTGTTTCAAACCAGTTGGTCTTGTGTTTGTCTGTTGCCAAAAATATAAATTGAGCTATTAGCCCTCAATCTTCAGTATATTACAATCATGACTGATCTTATGATTTCTGTCATTAGCATCATACAGCATTTAGCTTTGCTGACAATTCATATCAGAATGAATTGCTTGTGTCACACTCAATTGGGTGTAATTGAATATTTGTCAATTAACAATTCCTCATATATGGTAAATCTTCATTAAGCTTTGATTTCAGTTTTAATTTTCATTCATGCCATCTTAACCTTACCTAAATTGGATTATGCTGTTTGGGTTACAAATAAAATTGATATGATTAGCTGTAATTGCTACCATAAGTCCACAAATTGATAGTTTGACCTCAACAATTGCATAATAACCTTCTGGAATTTGGGTTTTGATTATCAAGAATGATTTCAGCTTGCTGCTTGCAGTAGTTAAGTCAACTTAAAAAGTGATATCTGAAATAGATATGGGAATATTGGGATAATGATTTTTTTTATAACCACAGTCTTGAATTTCATCTTTAGGGGGAACTTTCTTTGGAATCTGAGAGTTTTGTTGCGAAGTCAAGCAACATTAATTTTCACAAATGTGAAGTTTGTCAAAAAATGTTCAATTCCTCAGTACAACTAAGAGACCACATGTCTGGAAAAGTACACCAACAAATGGCGCAAAGCAAACTGGAAAGTAGATCTGTTGGTACTGTGTACCCAGGAACATTGGACCCAGGAACATTTACTCCAGGAACTATTCTCCCAGGGAGTGACAGTACACATACTCAAAATAAAACAATTGTACAGAATACAACAAATGAACTGGCTGAACCAGTCAATCTGAGTACAAAAGTTGGGAAAAACCTGTCAGACTTGTTTCACTGTGAAAAATGTAATATAACACTGAACTCTAAGAAACAACTGGAACAGCATAATAAAGGATTGCGGCACAAGATTATCATTGGTGAGGCAAAGCCCCCTGGAGTAAATGGTAAATTCATTTGTGTCTTGTTTGTGGAATATGTATTTTAGGCAGTTGTTGTTGTACAATGATGTCTACTTTAGAGGAAACTGCTAATAAAATATTTTTCTATACAACAAGAGGTACATATATATCAGGCCATGTTTTAGTTCCAGATCCTTATTGGTACCTGTTGCCCCGTTAAATATTAAGAAAGGTTTCTACTCTATGTTAATTGATTTTGTTGGTCATGTTTGTTAGGTGAGAAATGGGAAAACGTGCGATTCTCAAAGATTTCAAATGCGATTCTTGGGATAAACAAGGACACTTCAACTGGCAGCGGAGGAGGAATGAATCTGCGGGAATTTCATTGCGAGAAATGCGACATCACAGTCAACTCTCAAACACAACTTGATCAGCATCTTGAAAGCAATAAACACAAGATGAGGGGAACGCAACTACCACACAGTGAGCAGAAAAGAAGAAAACAGATTACTGTAACAGGTATGTCTTCAATATGATTCTTTCCAGGGCACCAGAAGCAGTCTAGGGAAGTGGAGAAAAAGCTTAGTAAAAAGCTTACTTTCATTTTACCTTTCCAACCAATGAAATAAGTATAAGTGTGCAAAGATTCACACTTCTTTCTGTTGGAAAATGTATTTTTACTGAAACATGTTTAATTGAGGAGAGGGTTCATTATAATTAAAACATGGCATGATAAAAACCATTATAATTAAAACATGGCATGATATTTGGCATGATAAAAACCATTATAATTAAAACATGATATATATGGTTGTCAGTGGAACAGGAGGCGATGATTTTTCTTTTAAACTTTTTAGAACAAGTAGGTAGGAACACACCTAAATGGAAAAGCGAGGGACCCATGCCTTTATCCAACAACTTCCTTCATAGTAACACATGCATTCCACCTGGAGGGGGTGCACCTGTGTACATATTACCGTCAGTTCCAGATCCTTATCGTACAACTGACATACATAACTGGGATGCGGGAACTTTTGGTTTCAATACGGCAATGTTTTAGCACTCCAAAAAAGATATGGGAGGTGGAGTTAATCCGTCAATACTGATAAACCTGGACGGCCTATTCCCGCAGTCAAATGTATGGCAATAGATTGAGACAATTTAGTGTTCAGATGAGTCACTCTACAAAAAACTGCACGACTGACAATCTCGTTCCCCAAGATTCCTCTGGTGGGAAAACAAATAATTGAAAATCGAAATGATTCTGATTTCTCAATCATGCTGTTTCAAGTTTGAAATAGAAAAAACTGTTTTACAAAGTGGAAGCCAGGATTTGTGGCTTCCAGTTTGGATTATCTCAGAGCCTTTGTTTTCTCGCCAGAGGAATTGAAGGTTCGGGGAACGAGATTGCAACAATTTGTTGTTACGTGTAATTTGAACAAAGAACTATAAACTGTTGCTGTGAGCTTTAATTCACAAAAGAAGTATGACTGAACATACAGTTACAAATATTTGATCGTAATTTAAGAATCACATGAGCCATTGTTGAATTCTTTGGCTATACTGTGTATGAACTTCAAGTCATGGTCATTACAGTTAAATTTAACAGAATATGAAGACTGTGGTGTACTGCAAACATATTGTAGGTAGTTGCTGAATGGTTATGCATGGGGCATCTTTCACTTAGGGTGGCCTGGATGGTGTCAATCACCTTTATGATGGTAGTTTGGGGGGCTTCTTCGGAACAGGAGATTATGGTTGATGGGTACCATAATAACATGCCAGGCTATGTTACCGCTATCATATGAATATAAGTTGCCAGCCTTCCTCCTCAATCCTCTGACTTTACATTAGGTTGTGCTTTATCAAGAAAATGGGCAAGATCATCAGGTACTGTTCCACTGTCAATCGCCTTTGCCCAGCCAACATACTGAAAGTTTCAAGATAAAACATTAAAACTGGACTGATTCATTAACGCCGTTTTTCACAAACCACTCACTTATTTAAAAAAACCAAAGCAAAGCATTCATCTTAATTTATAGCCTTGAGTGAACTTTGACCAACATTATTCTTAAACCCTTGAATGTACTTCAAATCGACTCGAACTGGATAGGACAGGATGTACACAATACAACTTTCAACTTTGTTGCCATAATTTCAGTGTTATGGTATGATTGTCGTATATATTTCTGCTTAAAAACGTCACTTTAAATTCGATTTTTAAAACAAATTTAATGATATCCGGTTTGAGGCAACAATTGCTTCCTATGTTTTGAAGTTACCATGCCAAAATTTGAGTTGAATCACGAAGTAATTTGGCCATTTTAATGTGTAAATATTAAAATAATACAATTGGTATTTAATCGCACTAAACAAACCTTGTTAACTTCCTTTCTCAAAGCATATACTCTAGCTTCTTTTTCAGCAATCGTATCTTCAAGGCCCTGGTAACGTAGTTTCTTTCTAGCTCTGCATTCTCGTGCCGACTGTCGACTCCTTTCTAGTTTCGCTTCGAGGTTCATTTGCGTCGGCTTTCTACCACGCTTTTTGCCAGTTCTCTTTGGCGTTTCGCTTGGACTGGCTTGTTCAGGCTGTTCTTCATCGATTGAAAGTTTTCCAGATGAATTACTGTCCACACTAGACATGCTATCCCGTTTTAAACGCCTCGGTCGTAAGGGCAAAGCCAAATAGTTATATTCCATCGAGGTAGAAGGTCTCTCATCATTGTGCCCTGTTTCTGGGCTAGAAACGTTGTCATAAAGATTATCTTGCCGCACAACTATTTGCGGAATGTCCATTCTTTCACACTTGCCAACAATTCGTTCAAAATCCTGTAGTTTTATCGTTGTTTTCTTTGAAAATTTGAACGAAGCACTCATTCACAATGCCTGGTTTGTTGTGCTCCCGAATAAACCATAACAAAGATGATGCAATGTTTTGATGACGTCAGATTACATCATAGGTCACGTTTTTAAGACTGGGTTAGGTTAGAGCAGTGAACTCAAATAAGACTGGAACGATAGGAATAAGTCTTATTTGAGTTCACTGGGTTAGAGGGGGTAGTAAAGGATAAACCCTAGCCGTTCAGCCCAGTGAACTCTAATAAGACTGGAACGATAACTCGACAATAAAGACTAGTCATTGGCACTGGTCATTGGATGAAGCCGATTTGAATATAATTTGCTGATTAAGGCGGCAGCCGCGCGAGCAAATCAAGCCTTCAAAAGAACTGGAGAGAGTAAGAATTCCGTAAAAATCGTATTTTTTGGCCAAAAATTGCCAGAAAAGTGCAATTTTTATTTGACCACTTCAACTTTAAACAACGAATTTACCCTTTTTGGATAGACCAAAGTAATCCGCATCATCTTACTGTAAAAACCGGTGAGGTACCAGCTTTGTACTTGAAATATTTAAAGAATTTGAACGGGCCGGAAAAAAACTTCGCCTTCAACTCGCAAAAAAAATAGGTTTGCACCTTTTCACGTTCATAAAACTTGTTTTTTAGTAAAATCTAAGTGTCGATGCTTGTTTTAAGCTTTTATTCATGATCAGATGAGATGGATTTGTGTATAAAAACCGGCGTTGTTTTGGTGGTGTAATTTCAACTCTTGGCCTTCATGGCGGCCATCAGTGCTGGCTTCAAAGATGGCGGCCAAGTTATCGTTCCAGTCTTTTTAGAGTTCACTGGTTCAGCCCACTGAGCTATATAATGCACCCAGAGAGAATAACAATAATATTGACCATGCCCATGGTCGTATTCGTCATTTTTCGGCCAATACGACCATGATACGACCATGGTCGTATTCGTCATTTTCCGGCCAATACGACCATGGTCGTATTCGTCATTTTCCGGTTAATACGACCATGATTCGACCATGGTCGTATTCGTCATTTTCCGGCCAAAACAACCATGGTCGTATTCGTCATTTTCCGGCCAATACGACCATGATTCGACCATGGTCGTATTCGTCATTTTCTTGCCAATACGACCATGGTCGTATTCGTCATTTTCCGGCCAATACGACCATGATTCGACCATGGTCGTATTCGTCATTTTCTTGCCAATACGACCATGGTCGTATTTGTCATTATCCGGCCAATACGACCATGGTCGTATTCGTCATTTTCCGGCCAATACGACCATGATACGACCATGGTCGTATTTGTCATTTTCCGGCTAATACGACCATGATACGACCATGGTCGTATTTGTCATTATCCGGCCAATACGACCATGATTCGACCATGGTCGAATTCGTCATTTTCCGGCCAATACGACCATGATTCGACCATGGTCGTATTCGTCATTTTCTTGCCAATACGACCATGGTCGTATTTGTCATTATCCGGCCAATACGACCATGGTCGTATTCGTCATTTTCCGGCCAATACGACCATGATACGACCATGGTCGTATTTGTCATTTTCCGGCTAATACGACCATGATACGACCATGGTCGTATTTGTCATTATCCGGCCAATACGACCATGATTCGACCATGGTCGAATTCGTCATTTTCCGGCCAATACGACCATGATTCGACCATGGTCGTATTCGTCATTTTCCGGCCAATACGACCATGATTCGATCATGGTCGTATTCGTCATTTTCCGGCTAATACAACCATGGTCGTATTCGTCATTTTCCGGCCAATACGACCATGGTCGAATTCGTCATTTTCCGGCCAATATGACCATGATTCGACCATGGTCGTATTCGTCATTTTCTGGCCAATACGACCATGGTCGTATTCGTCATTATCCGGCCAATACGACCATGATACGATCATGGTCGTATTCGTCATTTTCCGGCCAATACGACCATGGTCGTATTCGTCATTTTCCGGCCAATACGACCATGATACGACCATGGTCGTATTCGTCATTTTCCGGCCAATACAACCATGGTCGTATTCGTCATTTTTCGGCCAATACGACCATGATACGACCATGGTCGTATTCGTCATTATCCGGCCAATACGACCATGGTCGTATTCATCATTCTCCGGCCAATACGACCATGATACGACCATGGTCGTATTCGTCATTTTCCGGCCAATACAACCATGGTCGTATTCGTCATTTTTCGGCCAATACGACCATGATACGACCATGGTCGTATTCGTCATTATCCGGCCAATACGACCATGGTCGTATTCATCATTCTCCGGCCAATACGACCATGATACGACCATGGTCGTATTCGTCATTTTCCGGCCAATACACCATGGTCGTATTCGTCATTTTCGGCCAATACGACCATGATACGACCATGGTCGTATTCGTCATTATCCGGCCAATACGACCATGGTCGTATTCATCATTCTCCGGCCAATACGACCATGATACGACCATGGTCGTATTCGTCATTTTCCGGCCAATACGACCATGGTCGTATTCGTCATTTTCCGGTCAATATCAATATTAATCAAGTTGTTGAACTTTTTCGCTGACACATTGTTTATATCATTAACATGAAAATTGAAGTCGCCCGCTAGTAGGACATCTCCAATGCCTTGGCTCGGAACCAGTATTTCCAGCAAATTAGAAAATTCATTAAAAAAAGTAGCTTCATTTAGTCTGTTCTTTTTTGACATAGGAGGACGGTAGACAATAATAATTCTCACAGTCTTCGATACCGATTTCATAGTTAGATCCATGTATTCGAATGATTCGAACTTTCTAATGCTCGGATTTTCCTTGATGTATAAGGTTCTTCTAAACACAATAGCTACACCACCATGCACCACGAGATTCTGGAGGAACATGTAAGAATGAATATCCATTAGGAGTAGCTTCACTTATTTCAAAATCATTATTTTCAGGGGAGAGCCAGGTTTCTGTTAGCACCAAAATATCCAGTTTGTTATCTACGATAAATTCATGAACAAGACACATCTTGTTTTTTAATGATCTTACATTCAGCATGCTCATGCTGAAATGTATCGCTAAGCTTGCTTTAGAGGGCTGAGCCATGGGTGCACAGGCAATTGTAATCAAGTGGTCGAATACGCCATTTTCCGGCGAACTGGACCATGGTCGAATACGGCATTTTCCGGTGAACTCGACCATGGTCGAATAGCCCGAATACGGCATTTTCCAGGGGACTCGACCATGGTCGAATACGCCGGAAAACGGTAGACTCGACCAGGGTCGAGTTTACATTTACTCCAGTTGAGTTCTCTATTTATCATCCAGATTCAAACGTTTCCTTGACAACTGCTTCCACTGAGCTTTGTGGCTTTAATATCACTGGATAAGTGAGGCTTACTGAGCTATAGCTCAGTGGTGAGGCTAAAGAAACAATATTAGCTTATTGCATATTTATTTTACAAACTGTCTATGGGAAAAATAGAATTTTCTGGGTCTCCTATTTCTATATAAGCTTGGCTTTATCGAAACAAACTATTCTTTTGATGTATTTTATTTCATTTGGTTCTGGATATAAATGAGTTCAGTGTTTTGAGCAAAAGCCTGGGGTAGTCTACTGCGCATGGGTAAAAGACGTTTTAAAGTTAGCGGGATTCAATTCAAAAGATCCACCAGAAGGAAAATAAAGGCCATTCTTTGCTTGTGTTTTTGTCGAAGGAATCCGTAAAAAACGCTCAATCGTTGTATTATCACAGTATATGAACTTGTCTTTATCTTAACAAGCATTTCGACCAGAATTATACACGGGGTTTGCCTAGAATGGTTTTGAAAAGCGGGCAACATTTCATCTCGCTCCTTGTCAAAATATGGTTGTCAAGTTCATTGTGAAACTATGGAAGGAGATAGTGGATTAGACGTGCTATCAAACGATGGAATATTGGATATTATTCCACCAAGTGAATACGACCCATTTGAGGTAGGAAAATACGATTTTATTTTAGGAAATACAAGTTGTTTATCATATATATTTCCTCCATATTTCACGACAGATATGAAAGTTGTTGTTATATATCAGTCACTATTAAATACGCCTGAAAGGACTTGATTTTTAAGTTTATCGTATATAGTTTAGCTAATAATGATCTTCATTATAAAATAATATTTCTAGAATCTATGTTGTTTTTTGTACAATTCAGGTACTATCAGTTTATTTAGTTAATTATTACACATGTGAAATTACTACAAGATAATTTGCTTTTCATCAAGGTTACAACGTCCAATATGTTTTATTTATCTATATACAATATTCATCTATAAACAGCCAATGTCATCCCCTATATTGGAAAAATCATTGCTAATATCAGAAATGACAAAGAAAACACACAAAAATTCAATTCTGTTGATCGCAAGCAAATGCCATAGAATTCATCACAGATATTATTAGGATTATAAATCATATCAAAAAAGTTTTGAAATGTGTTGAGCTATGATTTATTTAATTGCTTTACACAAGGCTCGTTGCATCATTAAAATTTACTCAAGCATAAATAAATGAACTGTCAAACCACAAGTTGACATATGGTTTTCATCTTGCATTTGATAAGATATGATTTCACACAAGCATTCAAGAACAACAAACAGGCTTTACATTGCAATGATCGATAAATAGGCACCCTTATAGGATAATCACAATGCTATCATATAAATTTCAGGCCAAATTTTGTGCTTCACTTTTCTGGTTGGTTTTCCATGCCACTGAAGATGGTGGATTAGAAGATGTTCCCTCCCAAGTAACCAGTCCTATTCAAAGGCTTGATAAGGTTGGTGAAAATAACAAGTTATGTTTTTGTTGATTCACAACAGCATCCTTGAAAGAAATGCTTCATTACATTTGTTTTAATCCACAATATTTTCATAGAAAAATGGCTTTGTTGTCCATCCTGAGATTGTGGAATTTCTCTGCAAGGGAGAGGTTTATTGTACAGTATGTGCTAGAATATTTCCTGGAAAAGTGATGCTTGCTGGTCATTGGTCGGTTATACAGACTCTGTCTAGGAATGGCGTTTACGTCGTTGATCACACAGACATTGCCGTCACCGATGCCTCGTTAGAGAAAATGAATCCTTTCAACCAGGTACCTAATTAAACAAGTTTTGCATTATTGGTTTTTACTGGAGATTTACTGGAGTTTTCTGGGAAGAACAACTAATTTAGTTAGTTATTTCTGGTAAATTTTACACATTTGTATTATTCCAGGGTGCGCATATTGCGCTAATGGATGCATTGATGACTGCGTATTCGTCACAAGTTGTCAGTATCCAGAGTGTAGTGCAGGCTGTCAGGTAAGTGATTAGAACTCTTCACAACTTAATTATGGAAACCAACTAAGTAATAGCAATTGAGGCTGGCGTCACTGAATAAGTCTTGTATCGAATTGAAGTTAATGAGTTCACAGCAACCAGGTATATAATCCATCGTAATTATCGCTACACTGGTTTTAATAAATGAAAGTAATCACTACACAAAGATTAACTTTCACGACCCAACGTTTCGACACTCCAGTCTAGTGTCTTCATCAGGTCTTCACTCTGGTCTAGACCAGAGTGTCGAAACGTTATGTCGTGAAAGTTAATCTTTGTGTGATGATTACTTTCATTTATTAAAACCAGAGTAGCGATAATTACGATAAGTCTTGTATGTATATATGTATGAATAGTTAGATGTGGTTATCGAAGACTAGAAGATAACATAAAACCATTTTTGTTTCATTACAGGCGATTTTCAACATTCAGTGCATCACGTGAACTACCCTTTGACCTCGAAGATGCTCTCCTGCTCTGGATCAACAAGACCAACATGGCTGTGAATGCCAAATACACTCAACCAAACCAAAGTATGACAGGAAAACTTCTGCGCAATCGTGAACAGGTGAAAAAGACTGGACTGAGGTCAGATGACGATACAGTGATAGTATTTCCTATTATTGAAGACCTCTTAAAGGGGCTCTGCAATGGCAGATCTCTCCTCGGAGTTCTGATGTTTTATGAACCGAATGTGATAAATTTTGAAGGTATGCAACAACTATTTTAAATATCGCTGCTGTGGGTTATTTATTTTACCAGAGCGCTTTTGACCGCGTGGTCAAAGTCGGAGGAGTGTGTAGAATAGTTGTGATTGGATAACCTACCAACTCTTTCTCATTCCTACTCTGGCAATCTTGCGAGTTTGCAGAGGAATGTATTTTTTCAACACGATGCATTTCTGTCCTCAAGATATCCGCTGCTCCGCCGAGATCACTACAGAAGATTCAGTCCGTAATCTCGACGTGTTTCTTGGGCTCTGCAGTCAATATTTCTGCACCTCAGTTCTGGCGCTGAAGGTCGAGGATATTCTCTATGGCTCTCCGTCATTGAAGATCAATATTGTCGCTTTGTTAGCTGAGATGTTTTCAAAATGCGAGGGAGATGCTGCAGGAAACGTAAAACCAGAAAAAGAGCATGCGCGAAGTAAAACAGCGTGTTCTCAGAATGGTGAGGTGATGGTTAATGGTGGACACAATGCTGGTGCTGGTACCAGAAGCCATAGCGCACCCATTACCAGGTAATTTAGTAAAATGTCCCGAAAATTATGTACCCTTCAGATTTACACCAATATCTTAAACTAGTTTCTAACCTTCACTTAACCCCGTCTTGTTTCTTAGAAAGCTGCACAATTCTGAGAAGTTTCCTGCTAGCAACACCTTGCCCGAGTCCGGGAACACGGCGACTGTGAAGAACGCGAGATATCGTCATGACGACAGTGACATTGCGCTGAAGATCCAAAATTACGTTGAGAACGAGTCTTTGAACGTCGGAATCCCATCACGTGAAAAGCATGTGCCAGCGGAGAATATGACGTCAGCAATGGCGACATCATCAAATGTGACATCGACAGAAGTACCACCTATGACGTCATCGTGCTATATGACGTCATCGGATGACCTCACCCCAACTGACGAAAGCACGGTGGAGGTCCAGGGCGTCGTAGTTAAACTGCGTAAGAAGGTTTCGCGGAATGTTGAACCAGGAGGCGGTCACGAAGCGTTGCTATCGAGACGGATGAAGAAGAGTTTGTGTGACTGGAGTCAGGAGAATAGCTCAGGTTTGTTGCTTTATTTTTTCATTTGTTTAAGTTGTTTTGCTCTGGGCAAACCTAGATCCCTTGTTCTGGCTAGTCCTTTTGGTACCTCTGGTAAAAACCTGGGTTATATTCATTCGTTAGAGATGCCATCTCAGACGATCTCTCGTGAAGAACAGATTGATCTTGAATCAAATGAACTACCACCACCGCCAAGCGTCACCCCTGATGATCCCATCTATCCACCACTTGGCCTTACAAACCACCCGGAACATGAATCACCCCGCGACACGGAGCATGATTTCAATCTTGACCTTCATTCTCTACCAGAAATCGACCCCCCTGTGGATATGCTCTCTCCCATATCAGAAACCACAGAACCGGGGGGTTCTGCGGGTAACTCGCTCAATAACTCCATGTCATCAACGCATGAACAGCGAGAAGCATTTCGCCAAAGTTCTGCTGGAGAAAAAAGCTTCAATTTTAATCCACCCAAGGCCCACACCCCACGGAAAGCTGAAAACAGCCGCCAAAGGGATGATTTAATGCCAAGAGGGAGTTATATTATCACGGAAGTTAATCACACTCCGGAGACTGCATTCGCCGCTGGCATTCCCATTGTGGAACGCGAGTCACTAAAGAGTACCGCGCAATCCAGTGATGCTGCTCTATTATATAGATCATCGTTTTCCAATGGAACCAACTTGACCAATGGTGTGTGCGATGAAAAGACGCACGGCGAGCCTTCCGATTTCAATGACCAGCGGTATGTAGATGGAGCCCGCAGTTCCGACCAGCAGTATTCATTTCCTGACAGTGCCCGCAAGTCATCGACTGGTGCAAACCAACCATATCCCACCATCGACATGGTCCGTGCATCTTCAAACGAACGATTTTCAGATGGTGCCCGTGAACAGCCGAATACTGCTGATCAGCGTCATCATCACAAAATTTATGCGCATTCGAACAACAACGATCAACGTTTGAGATCAGGAGGGGGTGAACAGGGGGCAAAAAGTGGCGCCCAGGGGGACTTAGAATCAGGAGACCAGCGGCATCAGGTGGATCTTCGGTCAGACGGAAGGGATGACAATCGTTTCCTGACCTACACTAAAAAGAAAAGTTCTCGTAAAGAGAACGGCACAGAGTCTGGCTCGTCTGACGCGAAATTGTGGGTGAAAGATCAAGGTGAACAGATTCATAGAGAGAACAGTTTAGGAACAGATCGTGAGGATGATGGTGATACGGGACCATTATTGGTATCATGGTTTGGTCACGCGAAAAGTGAGGAAGAATCCATGCGTTATGGTGAAGATCATTTAGCCTCGGAGTCCCGAGTGAAAAAGACAAACTGGGGAGAAATGGCATTTGAAGTGAATGAAAGTTCAGATGTGATAAAAAGAGGTAAGGCTCGATTCTTTCTCATCCTAAACGACACCATCTTTCGTTACACAAATGACAAATACCATATCAACCTACACTTAAATGCATGTTCTGGACTTCTGGCTAATCGCGAGATGATTCAATCGTCATTCGTGACTGATATATTCACTAATCGTTTCATCGCCTTTTAGAGTTGGCTTAACAGCCTTTTGTCTAAATCACTGTCTAAATTTAACGATGAACGTAGGATTTCCGTTTTCCGACCTAAGCTCAACGAGGCATTGTTTCGAAATTAATGACGCTTGCATTTTAGTGGCATTTTAGCGTTACCATGAGCGTGTTGCTTGAAATAAATATCTTGGCATGCTTAGAAGAATTAACGAGTATTTTGAACAATTAAACGCTATTTAGTTTGCATTGTCAACCCACGTTTAACAGGTATATGCGCTCAGGATTTAAGTCTCAGCAGAGAGATTTGCAGATTTTTTTTAGTCTATTCCGTTCAAAAAAGGTCACAGTTGAGGTGTGAAATACCATAAAAATTTCGCTACATTGTATGCTCGGTTAATTGTACATTGTTAGCAAAGGCCACCCGTCGCTTTTTAATAAGTTATGCTGGTTAGATTCATGTCTGGCGTCGCCTTGTTATTTATATCTCGCAAACAAGATAATTGCACAAACTTTTAACAAATTCAAATTAGAGTATAATCCGTCTAAACAAAACGTAAGCGACGAACGCGTGTTTTGTAGCAATTTATACGAGAGAACTTTCGAGAGAAAGCTACATTCAATGTGTACGCCTTGGAATTTCCAAAGATCGTATATTCTGCCGAATGAGAGTTCAATATAAAGTGTACACAGTGCAAAAGGTTCAAGTGCTTGTTTGATAGACCGTAGACGTGGCATTTCAATTTTAGCTTATTAAATTTACAACAACTGTGGTTAGTTTGCATACAGGAATGTTTAAGTTGCATTTAACGACAGCTGGATTTCGTCTGGGTGGTCTTTGACACAACAAATGTCTCTTGAAAGCTTGCATCTGATTGCCGCCTAGCGGGATTGTAACTTTGCCCCATCAGAAGGCAAGAGTTTACCATTATTTTCGCAAGAAAAACTGTGTATTTTGGAACAAAACCTCCTCATCGCCTCACAGACAAACTGCGACAATTGCAAAGAAGAATTTCGCACGTGTTGTGTGTTGATCGAATGAAATTGACATATTTTTTGCAAGATCGAACATTTTGGAACAATCTACGGTTTGATGAATTGCCATCATCGAATATTTTGTAACGATTAACTCGAGGCGTCTGTATATATGTGACATTTTTCGTATCCATATATACCAAGTAGGTACTTTTGAGATAAATAGATAAGAGCAAGAAAGCTTTGTTGCTAAAGGTTTTTGCAGCGCTAGAAATTTAGGATTTTATCAGATAGGCGGATATTGATAATTACTAGAAAATTCAAAATCGATACGAAACCCGAAGAAGTGTGAAATGAAATCGACAATTCTATTTTGAAATTGATGGAAACTTTGGAAGAAAACGTGTCAGAACATGGAGTCTCACATGGGGTAACACAATGAAGATCATCTCAAACAAAGTGGAGTGATTTCGTGCACCAGAAAGCAAGATCAAAGAGCAGAACTTTGGGGACTGATTTTGTAATCGACAGGTTTGGAAACCAGTCAAGTGCAGTTTGTTTACATCCGAAATTTTACCACGAGATTTCCTTTGTACGGGAAGTCGATCAGATGCGAAGGCGTGCAATATAAAAGTAATATGCCCTGGTCTTTATCATGTGAAAAAAAGCTGACAGGATTTAAAAGTTAAATTTGCTCAGTCATCAAAGAAACGGGAAATCGTCGTATCAAATTTGAAATAATTCCAGGTAGATTGCTACAGTTTGGAACCGAACGGTCAGAAGGCATCGAACAGTCGTATTCGAATGAACTAACAATTCTTTGTTACGAGTCAAGAAAAAAGAACTTACATATGCCGAATTGCTCTCGGAAGTTCAAAGTGAACTCTCTGGGTTAATTATTGATGAAAACGTCGTCGATATTTCGCTTTGGAAAGGGCTCGAATGTGTACGGATTATTGATGCAACAACGGACATGTTTTTCTCCAGAAATCGACGAAAGTCTGAGAAAAGGTCAGGGAAAAAGGAGAAAGGAAGCGACGCAGATTTGTCGATAAAAGTATGTAAACATAACACAATAACAAAGTCACGAACTACCGCTGGCTCGAGCTCACAGGCCACAACAATATTGATCTCTGAACAAAAAATCGGTGAAAATCAAAACAAAACAAAGAGCTTGAATACTGTTGAACATTGTGTTAATATCCGGACAATATCGAGTCATGTTGCTAACTCGAGTGACTCGATTACAAGCCATGCTACATCAGGATCTAGTAGTGATGGAGTTGGCGATGAAGAGAAACCAAACAGGCGAACATATTCCTTGGAGCAAGTTTCAAAATCTTTAGATCAGGTCATGGCGTCGGGCAAAGCTATTCTAGACGCACTTGCGTCGGTTAATAGCAAAGAATGTGGAAAAAACAGCGACGGAAATGGGATTTTTGATGCATCGGGCACGAAGAACGAAAGAGATTTGACCAAACGTGGGACATACGATTTGGGAGATGTTTCTGAATTGTTGGACGCTTCTGTTGCTAGTGATAGCTCTTTGGTGGTAAGTTTGAATCATGTTTCGCAAGAGTTACCAAACAAAGGTACTTCTACTTCAAATATAAAGAGAAAAACGTACGAATTGGAGGCTGTATCGACGAGATTGGACCAGAGTTACGTACAGAACACCTCAGTTGAAGATATGTTGTACGACCTCAGCCAAGATGCCAGCCACAACTCTCAAAACGACTCACTCTCCAATTCAAATCTAAAGCGAGAAACCTATGATCTTGAAAAGATTGAAACAGCCTTAGACGAGAGCTTGAATGGTGACGTGGAACAGACAGAAGAGTCCGAGACTGGTACAAAGCCTACATTTAATATGAACAGACGGGGAACATATGACCTAACTGATGTGTCAAGTCAACTAGATCATGCCAGTGATATGTCAGCATTGCTTGATAATTCTGAGAAGAATGCTGCAAACGAGCCATCCTTAATAATGACAAGAAGAAACACTTATAATCTCAATGATGTTTCAGATTTGCTTGATGAAAGTGGTTCTGATAAAAGTGTTCAGGAGTCACTAGATAAGATCTCTTCAGAGAAGCTTAAGCGTAAGACATATGATCTTACAGACATAGATCTGGGTCTTATAGAGCAATCAATTGATGGACATATGCTGGAGAACAATAACACTGTTACAGCAGAGAAACAGTTGTATGCGGGCGTGATTGGAAAAAGTGAATGTGGACCGTCGGATTTGGATGATTCTTTGACAGAAGTTGGGAGTGAATCGAAGAAACGCAATACCTATGTTCACGAGGATAGTAATTTACCTGAAGACAACTCCAATTCTAACAAACTTGCTGACGTGTTGTCAGAGTTTAGTTTGGACAACGAAGATGGTGTGGAGAGACACGATGTGGGCTTGACCCCTTGTCAATGGATAGACCAGATGGACGAGCTAAAACCGCCTCCAACCCTCACAAAACCGCCAACACTTTCACCCCTGAAACTTAAACTGAAACCTAAAAAGGTGGGTGCTTCCAAAGCCAGCAAACACATTTCAGATGATACTGCTCAGCTGAAGCTAAGATCGCAAAGTATTTCTGGTGTTTTGGATTTGAAATCATCAGCTGAGATACAACCAAGGTCCATCAACGACTCCAAGACTGTATCACAATTGAAATCAAACTCCGAACCAAATCTTGTAACAAGCACTCCAAAAGCTAGCAATGTTTCCAAATCCGAGGGCATTGAAATGGATATTTCACCGGGAATACGTAACTATCTTGCTAATAAACTGGGTCTGTCTGAAGAGCAATGTCTTGCTGTGCATCGTCGCCTCAGTGGTAGTGGCGTTGAAACCTTACCAGATGCTACAAAATTTGCCAATCGTAAGACGTACAGTTTGGATGATGTTGCACAGTCATTGGATATCGCAACTAGTCAAGGATTACCAATGACCAAAGTTCTGGACAACCTTGATACTGAGAATACTGAGGATGATACAAATATTGCTCACGAAAGCATTACTAAACAGAGAACAGACAGCGATTCTAACAATCTGGAAGTTGGAAACACCACTGCTCAGGTGGAAAATAGTTTACTCAGCCCTCCCAAGCCTCAAACACTTGATTTGGAATCAGCAACACAGAAGTCTTCATCGGATCAGAAGACTCGGATTCCTGCTAGTGGAAGTAGTTTTGTTAATGGCAGCCCAACAGCAAAGGTGTCTCCTTTAGAGGAACAGTTTAAGCTGGTTCGGAAGAAAGCAGTCTACAAACCTTCCGCAAAGCTTCAAAGTTTCTCGCACTTGTTGGGTGGCAAAGGCAGCCTGGTTCCACTCAGAAGGACAAGAGGGAAGAATGATCCATTGAAGAGAAATACATACACATTAGAAAGTGTTGCAGAAAGTTTGGAGAAAGCCCAAGATGCTGGAGTACCCATGTTGGACGCATTGAAAAGATTGTCAGGTATGTTTGAAAATATTACTAATGTTTAGAATTGGAACATATTTGACACTTTATTTATCTTCTCCCAACCCCCCCAACCTGGCCTCCCCCCCTCCCTAATCCCTCTTTCCCCTCCTCTTTCCTTGAGCTTCAACCCCTACCTAACTTTCCCCCTTTTTTCCTACCTCATCAACCTCCCCTCATCACCCATCCTTTTTTGATTAACCCCTTGCCCCCTTAACCTCTCTTTCCCCCTGCAATGCCTCCCCCCCACTCAAACCCAAACCCCCCAACCTGGCCTTCTCCCCCTCCTTAATCCCTCTTGAACCTCCCCCCACTGAAACCTCCACTCCCCTCATCTTACCCCTCCTCTCTCCTTGTTCAGTCCAACATCCTCCACTCCAATCATTCACTCTCCCTCCTCCAGGGTCTTGTCAAAGTGCACCATCAGAATTACCTGCGGAGAAACGCAGAACCTACAACCTCGAAGATCTCTCAAACACTCTGGAAACCGCAGCGGCCGAGGGGGTAACCATTGTCGACACCCTCCGAACAATAGCGGACCCTCTCCATCAAGATGACTCTGGCAAAGATGTAGTAGCATCTGATGAAACACTAAGACGACAAGACGAGATATTTGAATCGTCGAAAACCCCAGACAGCGTTCCTCAAACAACAAAATCCTCTCCCAAAAAGAAAGCACCTCCGAAGCCGAAGAGGACTTTTAGTAATTCATCTAAACATGAGATAAAGTTTGTTTCTGACTCGTTTGTCATCGAGTACTACACGTCGCCGCCTGCCAAGAGATCGCAGTCAGATAGTTCTGTGCAGGATCTCAAGTCTGGGAACCGTGAGAATGATTGTGTGGAAAACGAAGAAAAATATCATGCTTACATCAATCATAATATCCTGGCCGAGACGATTGCCGCTGGTGGAGAAACGCCGGAGCTCTCAGCTGCGAGTCAGAGTGGAAAGGATAAGGGGACCTCCTCGATCAGGAAAGATGGGAAACCAACTGCAAGAGTTGTTAATGATTTGGATTCTTTGATAATGAGATTAGCTGCTGAGGTTGAGAAACCAACCAGTGTTGATATCATTAAGTCTAAGAGTAGAAAATCCATTCCTAGCAGCGCTTGTATTGACCACGACGTGAGCTCTTCGAGCAAGGCGCCTGAATCTTCCAATGAAAAAGCGTCTCCGAGCACGAAGGAAGGACTTCCAGACACGGAATCGAACCTTTCGGAAACGAAACCTGAGTTTCCCAGCACGAAACGTGACTTCTCGAGCACGAATCTAAGTTTTCAGAACACGGAACCTTGGTTGCCCAGCACGAAACTTGATGACGAGGGATATTGTTCTCTTTCACGGAAACCAGGAACAAGGTCAATAAGTTTGGAAACTTCCTTGGATGACCTTTCCAAGAAAGAGAAACTCGTGACCACCGTGGAAGAAGACGATAGTTGTGTTGAATGAAAAGGAGTGTGATGTGGATATTATTTGTTCCTATGCGGATGATGGGAATGAAACACAGGAAGTTTTCATGAAGTTGACGGCTGAGGAAGACAGCGAGACCGCTGACACAGGTGAATTGACAGGGGGAAAATCATTTCGTAAGGGGTTCATCTTCTATAGTATTTGATAACGGAAGTTTAATATGGGAGTGGGTGTGATAATCTGATCGCAACCCTCGTTATGTAAACATGTTTATGATTCTGGCATGATTGTTACGTGATAGAGCATGTGCGTATGCAAGACACATGGCTGGGTTTTAAATTTAGTAATTTTGAATGTTAGTTATGTGAAAGACAAAATGCGCTATCACGGGATAATCATCCTGCATGCACTTGTCTCATTGTGATATCACATGATAGTCACGTGTTAGGGGAGTGTTCGCATACAAGCGTTAACAGATAAATCTAACCGTTTATCCTCGAATCTAAAGAAAAAATTGTTGTAATCTTAAACTTTCTATAGTTAAAATATTGTACTAAAAACACAATGCTGTTAATCAACAGTTCTGAAACGTAAAAAAATTCTAAACACTCAAGCACATTTTAGTTGATTAACAAAACTTTCTGATTTGCAATAAAATCCAATTAATCTTGTACCAATGAGTAAATAATCTTTAACAATACATATCTACTCTCAACACACGTAAAAATTGCTTCATTAATCGTAAAAGAAATGCATTAAACTAACAAATATAAGCCTGAGATAAATTCTGTGAGAGGTCAAAGAGAACCTTTTCTTGTAATCATCATTGATCATGCGATGTTTTGCGCCAAGTGCTTCAAATATCCGGCGCTCGGGTTCATTTCCGTTTTCCCGTCTCGATTTTAACAAGATGTGTATTAAGGCGTGTCCATTGTTTCATTTCATAAATCGTATTGGCCTTTAGAGGAAACGTCCGTCATCTAGGATATTCTACGTTGAACCACATCAAAAACTCATGACACTCTCCCAAAAGGATGAGTCAAGATTTAGGTTTTTTTAACTCTGAGTATCTGACCGTTCCCACGAAGGATGTGGATAGAGCGTGGGTTTCGAGAGGCTGTGACATATCCCGTCAATCATAACACGCATTACGCATAATTTTCCACGATTACTGGCCGAAAGAGCTGTGTTTGCACTTTGCTCTTTTTTGGTGATATCGTCCTCAGCCATGTAGGCGCCTCTCTCCAAGCTATCCAGTTTACCTTCTTAGCTCAGCTCTCAGCTGCCTGATTACCCCACCCGAAGAAGAATTATTAACACGTCCGGTTACACGTCCATATATATACCTTCACCTTCATCATTACATCTGACGAAATAATATTAAATATTAAGATATCTATATAATGTCAATATTATCAGCACACACATACGTCATCTCTCTAACTGTTATGACTGACCAATAAACTAAACTAAAGAAACTATATACTTGATAAACTCCTGTAGTCAACTTCTATTTCTACTGAAAGAGTTTGCTTATAGCGGAGGTGTTTCACTTTTTTGCTCATAAATTATTGACAGCAGTAATTTTGCCTTCATCTGATAATAACGCTGACGAATGCCTAATCTTCTTAGTAAATGGAATAATAAATACTATTCTTCAGGGCATGACTAGTTAATAATTGAAAAGAAATGTCGGGAAAGCCCCTGTACATTACACCGCCATGTCTGAGTTATCTTTCTCATGTAGTTCAGACACAAACCACGACAGCTTATTGTAGAATACTACTACACTAGACCACCACGTTTGAGATATCTTTCTCAGGTAGTTCATCTTTCTCAGGTAGTTCAGACACAAACCACGACAGCTTACTGTAGAATACTACCTACACTAGCCAACCACGTTTGAGATATCTTTCTCAGACACATAATCTTTTTCAGACTCTTTTTCGCATAAACCACAGCAGCTTGAAGTTTTATACATTTTGCTCTATATATTTTATAACATTTTTTTATTTAGGTCCATCTAACGATTCATCCAAGCCTGATCCTGTGTCACGTGAACTGAATCTACTGCGTTTGCGATTGGCTGAAAAACAACGCGATATCGAGGCTCAAAAACAGCGAACCAAAGAACAGCTTGATGAAGAGAGAAAGAGATTCGGACAGAATGTATTTTGGTTGGCTGTAGGGAAGGGTAGAGAAAGAAAAGAAGGAAATGAGGTGAAGGGATATAGGACACATTAGAAAAATACCTAAACTAAACTAACTTTATTTATACTGGATAACTCTATCAGTTCTAAACTGTTCTTCCTAGAGGTCCAGTAAGGATCATCATTTATTGATTTCTTCCAGGCAAACTCTCTCACAAAAGCCTCTCAGCACCGACAAGATTTGTTGGTCAACCAGAACAGCAACGTGCAAAGGTCGGAACCAACAAACAACAATAAAGTCGCAACCTTTACTAAACAGTCATCTTTGGATGGGGACCTCCCCCCGTCCATGGGCAGATTACAGGATAGGAGCTTTGACATAAAAGCGAACAATATAAACAGCTCTAAACCATTACCCGAAGACAAAGCATCGCAGCGTTTCGTCGAGAATCGTAATCCCTCGTTGGAACATCGTGTGACTTCCGTGGAAGATCAAAACACGTCGGAAGACGTCGTACAATTCCGTTTATCCCGGCAAGCGCCAACCAAAACTCTTACCGATAATTCAGATTTACAGAATTCTGAGAAACCAAAAACTCCTGTATTAAATTACAAAAGTAGGATGAATGTACCGGTTAGCATCCAAGCGAAGCCAGTTTCAGAGAACTTTGCGGATTCTCAGAATTCTCAGGATTTGGCTGTTGATGGATTGGGGCCGGATGAGGGTGAATGCTCAGAAGTCCAGTCACAACGCAAATGCTGGGATACAGGGACAGCCAATAACAATGAATCAAACGCACGTTTGTTTGGGAAGAGCTCAAACAGCAACGTGGAAGCACCGCAGAGCCTGGTAATGAGCGGTTCACCTGGAGTTTCGGATAGTTCGGCACAAGACGAGCAAAGTCCTGAGGGAGGGAGTGAGAGTCCTCATTCGTCGCCGGTTGAAGACGATCGTGAGACGCCCAAGAAAGGCCTGGCACTATTCATTGGCGAAGAGAACGCAGCAAGAAATAACGATGTAAGTGTTTGTGCTGTTTCTTTCTAACCCATTGTTTCCACAAGAGGGAAATAAGAAGAAATTCTCCCCGGCATTTCGCACAGTCGGCTCAAGTTCGGGTTTCTTCGTGATCTGCAACTTGATTTAACTCAAAACCTGTGCTAAAGAAACACTCTGCTCTGCAACTCATGAATATCACCTGGTTATGTTCGTGTTACAAATGTTCAGAGACACTTCTGTTTGTCACGACGCTTGCTTGCTTCCCAGGAACCTATCAGTTGATCCAGAGCGACTTGCAATTTCTCTATATTAACAAACATCAAAATCATTTGCAGGGTTTGACTCCGGAGCAACTAAGAAAACGAGAGAAATTTTTAAGAAACAGACAGCAGAAAATTGAAGAGGAAAAGATTAAAAAAGAAGCACTCTTGGAGAAGAAAAAAAGGTTTGTGTATTTGATGTATTTTCGTACCAAAACTTTATCTCTCCCAATTTGTTTTATCGATATTCCCAAAGCGATTTGTATAAATTGGCTTAGTCGAAAGAGCCTTTGTGTGATTCTTCTTTGTTCACGCAGGAAAGATGAGAAGATGAGGGAGATTCAATTGAGACGTGAAGAAGAAGAGCAGAGCCGTCAAGCGAAGCTTCAGGAGAAGAGGCACCAAGCAGAACATGCCAAGCAAGAACGAGAGAGATACGAGTTGAGGAAGAAAGAAAATCTACCTAGAACGAACATTGTTGATGGGGGTTATGCTAGTATATCGCAGGGTATTGATAGAGTACCTGGTGGTAATGCTGGATATAACAAGACAACAGTTGATATTCTGGGGATTGAAGGTGGTAAGGGTGGATACACGAGGACGGTTGCGAAGACTTCGGGAGAGAATGCGTTTGAGATTCATGCACCCGCACAGAACACAACATCTTCAGCTTTTTCGGGTTTTACAGGTAGGAGAACATCTCCGGAATAAGGACTTCACATGATGCATGATTATATCATTTTGCCTCCCAGAAACATGAGCTTAATTGGAACCACTGTTATCTTTGTTAGGTGTCCAGTCCTACGTCAAACCAAGCGGGAAAACGAATCGAAAATTAATAATCAATGCAATCTCGCACGTCTGCCTGCCAGGAGTTGTTAACAAGGACACAAAGGATAAATGTTTACAGGTATTCACAGTGAGAATCATTCCTAGGCAGTTCCAGACAAACCACTATCTCTCACGTACCTGCCACGTATCTACCACGTACCTACCACGTACCTGCCACGTACCTGCCACGTACCTACCACGTATCTACCACGTATCTACCACGTACCTACCACGTACCTACCACGTACCTACCGCCTGTCTTTGATACGAAGGACAACATTCAGCGCACATGAAATTCTAAAACATTGCTTCTTCTCTTTGCAGGCCATGACGGAATCCAGCGCTCAACATTTTCTTATCCTGTTTAAAGACGGCTTGAAATTCCGCGCTCTTTACTCGCTGGACCTCGAAAGCAATCAGGTACAGCAAACCATCCTTATTTTTTTTCATTCTGGATTACTATATAAGGTAGAAACTGTTGTATAAAGCTCTGTTCTCCAATTTTGTTCGATCCAATTCATTTCTGATGGATGTTTTATAATATACTGACGTGTAAAGTATGTATGGGCAGCAACTCAAGTAGAGCCAATGCAGTATTTACCAACAACAGACTATATTCCATACATCAGAAGTAAAGTGGATTTGGCAAAATTGGATCGTGTTAACAGACCCTAAACTCTCTCTAAATGTGACGCCTCTTTCAGGTATTGAAAGTTTACGGAATTGGTCCACGCTCAGTAACAGAGAAAATGACTGAACAGTTATACAAGTGAGTATTAGTTACGATTTCCGTCGATCATCAGGCCGTGATATTCTCGCAAATTCTTCTTCTGATATTCTTGCAAAATAACTAAATGGCACTTCCGACTCCTCAGATACAACAGTGGTGGCAAAGAATTCTCAAAAATTCCTGCCAAAGGCTTTTCCCTGTCGGTAGATGGGTTTACTCTGCACAAGAGCTGTTGGCAATCAAATAAACCACCAGTTGCTTCAAAAACGTCCTCGAACTTTAAACAGTCCTCATATAGACCGACGAGGTAACATAGCCATGGAATGGGTAGATAAATAATCATGACCTCGCTCTACCATCCTGGGACTGCTGGAAAAGCATTTATTTGATACATTAGTCAAGCTTTATGAAGATGGTCTAACCTGGATCATTGTTCTTGGTCATCTTTTAAGATCAAAATAGATGACAGCCTTGTTGTGAAGGCGAGAAACCTGAAGACGTTGTTTCCCAGTCATGAAACCTTGTTTTAAAGGTGACAAACCTAGAAACATTCCTTCCCGGTTTCATTTTTTGCGGATTAACAAAAGAGAGAGGTTCTGCGCATAGACTAATTATCCCGAAGTAACTGATACCGATTGAAATATGGCATCAAATGTGGTACTATAACAACTGCCTGAAATAGACAAAAGCACTTCTCGACGTTTCGACCTGAGGGCCTTCGTAAGGAGAGTTATGCCTGTTTTCCACTTCAATCGTAGCGAAGCGTAGCGTATTCTTTGTTTCAAAGCCATTAGTTCTATCCGAGTGCTCAGGAAAGAATGAAAGAATGATATACCCTACACGACCAAAAATTGATCAGGTTGTCGCATCATGGATGAACAATGCTATGCTGCACCCTGTGAACAGTATTGTTAACAATGTTGTTGAACCTTGTTGAATCATCAATGTTGACGCAATCACGATGCAATGTTGTTGTAACAAGTTGCAACAACATCGATGATTCAACAGGCTTCAACAACATTGTTAACAATGCTGTTCCCAGGGTGCAGCACAATATTGTTCACTCCTGTTTTTAACAACTTGCATCAACATGATGATTTTCACTCTCCTGACGAGGGCCCTCGGGTCGAAACGTCGAAAAGTGTTTTAGGCAGTTGTTTTATCACATTTGAGGATTAAAATATAGATTCGTTTATTTTGATTTTTGCCTTACCAATCTTGTCAATATGGCAGGGGCATATTGTGTTATGTGCCTGCCATTCTTTCATGTTTTGAAGTGTACCTTATGTAAGAAATATGAAACTTTAGTTTATATAAATAACAAAACGAAATGTAAACCATTATACAATTGTAAATAGCAAAGAATGATAATATTTAATGCGTTAATATCTCGTCATAATATATAATAATTATCTGCAGTTCACTGGTTATGGAATGCTGATGTCAACAAGAACCAAATTAAGAGGTCAAATTTTAAAGACCTTTTTTCCCCGTTACTAGACACATTAAGCCGATTTGGTTTGTTGAAAATTGAAATCAAGAACAAAGGTACTGATATGAAATCGAAAAAAAAATTATAACGACTAACAACCACCTTAATTAACCCCGGATTTTATTTTCTTTGCAGGGAAGAAATGTTCAAGCAAGAGGTGGAAGCACGGGGAAGAAATTTGCGCGCGTAAAATTGCAAAGTGGCGCGAACCACTGACGCGAGCGAAGTATAGTGGCGGGAACCTCAAATATTTTCGTCCAAAATATAACCATATTTCTCCATTGGTAAGTTACATTGATTTCTTAGTTCGTGTGTCTTTATATGTTAAACCTTGAAGTGAAATATATAGAAATACATTGATTTCTTACTTCGTGTGTCTTTATGTTAAACTTGAGGTGAAATATTTAGATCGATGATGCTGAGTGTTGAAGTTAACTGCGGTCTTGAGAAGTCTGATGTGTCTAAAGGGAACACAACGAGTCGTGCAGATCATGATGAATACCAGTATCTTGATCTCATTCAGAGGATAATGGATCATGGAAAAATAAGAGAAGATCGAACAGGTACCATCAATAGTTCGCCATGAATCATGTATAGCGATGTAAACTGTGTGTCACCATACCTCAATCCACCTTAACTTTACTATTAATCGTATGACATTATGGACCATCAATATACAGGCTTCACCCAGAAATGTCAGACTTGGTAGTAATGAGGGCAGCAGTAACCTCTTGGGTATATCAAATTAAAATTTGGACTTGCACTTTAGGAACTGGTACCATTTCAATGTTTGGCACACAGATGCGTTTCAGTCTGAGGGACGGAGTATTTCCGTTGCTTACCACAAAGCGTGTGTTCTGGCGAGGCGTGGCAGAGGAACTGTTGTGGTTCATACAAGGGTGCACAAATGGGAACAAACTTGCGGAAAAGAATATCCACATTTGGGATGCCAATGGTTCTAGGGAGTTCCTGGATAACAGAGGTGATTGCTGGGATAAAGTTCTCTCAATGAGTTCTCTTATGCAGTGGATACAGTATGTTGAATTCATTAGGCCGTAGCTGCACAGGCAATTTTTCTTTGCAATTTCCTCTTTCTAGCATATATAATTGAGTAAATTATGTTTCCGGTAGTAACACAGCTGTATAAGCTTGGCAAAGTAAAGTAATATACTCTGTCGCTTTCACCCAATAGCATACACCAGAAGGAGAAAATCACCAGGCTTTAAGAATGTTGTGATTTTGATGATCATTTTATTGTCATTTTAACAAAGGCTTGACGCATTACGAGGAGGGAGATCTGGGTCCAGTCTACGGCTTTCAATGGCGGCATTTTGGTGCAGAATACAAGAGCATGCATTCAGACTATACTGGTCAGGGCGTTGACCAGCTGAGGAATGTCATTCACACAATCAAAACCAACCCTTGTTGCAGACGTATCATAATGTCAGCATGGAACCCCACTGACCTGCCCAAGATGGCATTACCCCCCTGCCATTCGTTGGTTCAATTTTATGTATGTGATGGTGAACTCTCAGCTCAACTGTATCAAAGATCTGGTGATATGGTAGGATATATTACATTGACCTAATTTCAACCAACAACTATGTATATTTGTAACTATATACCTCACCATTCTAGGGTCTTGGTGTACCATTTAACATTGCCAGTTATGCATTGCTAACATACATGATTGCTCATGTTTGTGAACTGAAGGTACTGTTCTGCAAGATTTTACACAAATGTATTGTACATCATGTGTACGTCAAATTTAAACGCTTTTTATTTTTCTAGCCAGGAGACTTTGTTCACACTCTTGGTGATGCGCATGTTTACTCCAACCACTTGGAAGCACTTAAAAAACAGGTACCATCACCTTTTGAATGGTCTATTTTGCAATATGGGTTGATATTAAATTGAATTTTTCTTTCTATTGTAGTTAAAAAGAACCCCAAAGCCATTTCCTAGGCTTAAAATCAAGAGAAAAATCACTGAAATCGAATACTTCACTTACGACGATTTTGAATTAATTGATTATCAACCTCATCCAAAAATTAAAATGGAGATGGCAGTCTAACATTGGTTAAATAACCCAAGAAAATCACTTTGATATTTTCATATATGTATATATTTTGTTGAACACAGTATGGCCACCTTGCACGGTATATACCTTGCAAAATAAACATTTATTTATACTGTAGATGAATTTGTATTTTTTAATAATATTGCTTTAGACAAAGGGGATATAATTTGAACTTGTTTTTCAATCTTAATCTATTAGAACTGCAACAGCTCTTCTTTTACAGTGATATGGCTGGATACAAATTAATGATCAAAATCAGCTAAGTATCACTAGTCTAGCTAAGATTTCTTAAAGTAATGTTCAGCTTTGATTGTAAACAAACATTTTGCTTACCTTTTTCAATTTGCTACATTTCCAATATTCAACACATTAATGACATATTACATGAAGTTTCTTAGGTGCTTTTGAATATAACGCGGGCGTATGTTGAGTTAAAAAATACGAAATGAAAGTAAAAATAAAACTAGATTAAAAAAACTCGATTTTTTTCCAAGAACTTTGTGCTAAATGACTTTGAAATATTCTCTTAGATGACCAAAGTCAAACACCTAACTAGTTGCAAGACAACGCAGTGAAATATGGCTTCAAAAATTGAAGACAATATGGGTGTTCACATCAAGGTGAGATTCCAGTCCAACGTAGAAATATTTTCTGATATGGTGTATACATAATAATGGTAGAATATAGACGAAGAATGCTTTTTCTTTATGTTTAGTGTGTATGAACAGTATAAACTAGTTGTAAATATAAACTAGCTATAAACTTCCTTATTAAGTTAGCTGGAGGAAATGGATGTAAATCGCTTGAAATTTTTAGCTGCGGCGATGCCCCTATTAAGATATCATTGTATGTCTCCTATGAAGGCCAATTAATTTCTATAACTTTGGGTTGATCGTTGGTACAAATGAACATTCCTGGTGCTTATTGAGTTAAGACCTTCATGTCTGTCTTGCAGGAGCGCCCAATCGAATTGGACTATAGGATCCACTGGAACAAAAAATTGGGATCTGGTATTAGTGGCCCTGTTAGGTATGAAATATCTTAATCCTATCAATCATAAAGAAGCTAAGGAACTCTATCAGTTCTAAACAGTTCTTCCTAGAGGTCCAGTAAGGATAATCTCTTATTGATCCAGTGTTACTACAGGAGGAAACCTAAACTAAACTAACTTTATTTATACTGGATAGCTCTATCAGTTCTAAACTGTTCTTCCTAGAGGTCCAGTAAGGATCATCTCTTATTGATCCAGTGTTACTACAGGAGGAAACTTAAAATATGAATAATCAAGTTGTATGTACAACAGTACAAGACTCATCATTTCACCTGGATGTTATTTCAGATTATGCACAAATAAAGAAACTGGTCAGATGTTTGCTATGAAATGTCTAACTGACTCCACAAGATCCCGTCAAGAAGTATGAATCTCTAAAGTAATAATATTGCAAAGAAAGTTGAATATTGAAGTTTTCTGGCATATCCAAGATTGCGATATCTCGCCCTTTTTATATTTGCTGCATTTTATCTGAGACTGAGAGTTTGGACACTCTGGTAAATTGTCGGCCAGCAAGCTTGACTTTTTCCATTTAAAGTCAGCTTCTTCCAGATTTTTCCTAATTATAAATAAGTGGATTTTTGTTTAAAAGGCAAAAGTACATTTCCTGTGCAGTGGTCATCGGAATATTGTTAACGTGGTTGATGTTTACGCCAATGCTATGGCTTTACCAGGTGAAACACGACCCATGTAAGTTTCATAAGAGAATGTTCTAATTAATCTATTATGTTCTAAATTTCATAAGGTAATGTTCTAATTAATCTATTATGTTCTAAGTTTGATAAGATCTTGTTCTAATTTATTTCATCAATCATGTGTAGTCATCAATTATTGGAGGTATTTTTCTTGCATTTAGAGCGAGGATATTTTTGATTATGGAGCTGATGGAAGGAGGTGAATTATTTGAGAAGATAAGAAATCATGTTCGTTTCACAGAAAAAGAAGCTCAGGAGGTTGCTAAACAGGTCAGTTTTTCTATGAACTTGACCATGAACCATCTCCTACCATGGAATACTGAACTAGATGCAGATGATCATGTTTTAAATATATATGCAATTAAATATATATATGCTGAGATAACTAACAACCATTATCTGGTTCAGTGATACTTCTTTTCAGTAGGTCAAAAATTAAAGAGGTGTAGGTCATTATAATACTGGTAAAGTGAATGCAAATACATCAGAACATATTAACACTTCGGTTGCGTATATTGCGTATTGTATATATCATATTATGTCCTTGTTTTCTGACTAGATTGGTGTGGGTCTACAACACATTCATTCATTTAATGTCGCTCACAGGGATCTGAAACCAGAGAACTTGCTTCTGAAAGAAAACACACAAAGCATTCATGTAAAAATTGCAGATTTTGGTTTTGCCAAAGTTGACCGAGGAGATCTTGTCACTCCACAGTTTACACCATATTACGCCTCTCCCCAGGTACTGGATTGTACACTTAATAGAACAATCCAGTATTGATAAAGTATAGATCAGTAATTGATCAGTCGTATTGATAAGTCGTATTTTCAGGTGATTTTCATTGAACCTCGCAGGGCAAATTTAAATCTATTAAAGCTGTTCTGAACATTAACTTTCAGGTGCTTGAAGCTCAGCGGTATTTAAGAGCTCAGAAAAGTGGGAAATATCCGTACTTGAAAAAGCCTTATACATATGATAAGGTCAGTCTTTATTTTGGTTTTCTTTTACGGTTTGGTTAAGGCTTTGTGGAACTTATGCCCCATGTTTTTAGGCATGCGATCTTTGGTCACTAGGGGTCATAATCTACGTGATGTTGTGTGGTTATCCACCATTTTACTCGGATGTTCCCAGCAAGCAAATGTCCCACGGAATGAGACGAAGAATAGCAGCAGGGGAATACGACTTTCCTGACAAGGAATGGGGCAAGGTGTCGAACCAAGCCAAAGACTGCATTAATAGGTAATGATGGCCACGCCCTGATTATGACGGGGGGTCTGGGGAGCTACATGCACCCCCTTGTATCTTCCCAGGGAATATTTGCAGCTCTCCAATTTGATAAATGGGAATTATTTTGTTGATAACAGCTGAGCAAACGTTTCTTATCACAAGGTTGTTGTGCGTTGAACCAAATCGAAGAATGACAATCAATGAATTTCTGGAACATGGCTGGATACAGAATGATGATATCCCTGATACTGTGTTGTTCACACCAAAAATGATTGGAGATGATGTAAGAGAAGTTTGATCAATAAGAGATGATCCTCACTGGACCTCTAGGAAGAACAGTTTAGAACTGATTGAGCTATTTCTACTGGACTGAGTGGAGGATGAATTTCTGATAATTTCTGATCTGTTTCTCAGGATGCATTTAAAGACATGATGGATGGTCACGCAACCGAATTGACCAACATGAGGTTGGTGAGCAAACAGATTCGACTGAAACCAATTGAACTCTCAAGTAATCCAATTATTAAGAAAAGACGAGCGTTTCACATGGCATTGAACGAGTGAGTAGGCAGAATAACCTAAACTAAACTAACTTTATTTGCACTGGATAGCGCGCGCTATCAGTTCTAAACTGTTCTTCCTAGAGGTCCAGTAAGGATCATCTCTTATTGATCTAGTCTTATTACAGGAGGAAACCTAAACTAAACTAACTTTATTTATACTGGATAGCTCTATCAGTTCTAAACTGTTCTTTCTAGAGGTCTAGTAAAGATCATCTCCTATTGATCCAGTATTACTACAGGAGGAAACCTAAACTAAACTAACTTTATTTATACTAGATAGTTATATCAGTTCTAAACTGTTCTTCTTCTGTTCTCGTCTAAAGGAATTGCAAAGCGAAGTTGAAAACAAGCGATGATGACGACAATTCTGCTGCGCAGTCACAACAGGATAGTTCCCAGTTCTCTCCTCCAGCTGCCAAGTCACTCCGTGATGTCATCGCGTTTTGTCTGATGATGAAACCGGTGAACCCAGTCATCCGACGTAAGTGTAAGAATATATTTTAATCCAAACAGATGAAACAGTTTATATTATCATTGCCATCGTTGCCGCCGGAACAAAAGTGTTTTCTTAATTAATTGTCAAACCACTGAAACCAGGAAATCTTGAAACGATAAAAGTGTCATAGACATGCTCCATGATATTTCCTGAAGATGGGGCAACCAAGAAGCCCTTTTTATGACATACTTTGTGAAGCTATTTAAGCATAAAACAAAGCCGCTAACTTTCTTCTCTGGTAGACAAAATTTATTGGTCAAAGCGCAAAGCTAAGAATTCTTTTTCCACTGTGAGTTTGAAATATATTTTATACGGTGTTTGCGCTGGGCATTATACGTTGATGAAACTATAGTAACCCTAAATTTGCTTTAAAAATCTGTGTTTTTAGAGGAAGGTTTCACGGGCGACAAATTAGCCCTTTTGGTTACGGATGCTCTGCAGAAGACACAGGGGAACCAAGCTATAGAGAACGCGTTTTTGACGGAGTCCTGGGACGGAGAGCGATTCACGTCGTCCGTGAACAAGTCACGATTAGCGAAGACTCTCAGTGAAATCATGCTTCAAGCCGAAGGAGTATCCTCTTAAAATACAGTAGGCTGTTCCATTTAATATCCACACATCTCCCCCCCTTTGAGAATATGGGAATGCCTCTAGTGTCGGGGATTTCCTGAAGGGGGACGTATGGATATGAAACGAAACAGCCTAATTTCCGGTTATACTGTGAGCTTCGTATTCTAGCAAATGCCATATGTTTGGTATCAAACTATAGACAGCAATCTTCTCACATGAGAGTCACGAATTTCTGATCTTAAGAGGAACTAAAACGACCCCCAATCAGTAAAGAAAATATATGTCTGTCAGCGCAAATGAGTATAATATGCCTGTCTGTAAATAGAGAGATTTTCGGGTGATATATGTATGTAATTGTCTTTTGAAATATTGGCCATTTATGATCACAGAGCCTATGGCTGTTTATCACAACTTTTCACTGCTTGACATTGCATCATTCTCGGCAATCTAAATTATTCTAAAGAATCGCTTCCCAGCTGTAGCTGTCGTGTACCAATAATATACATCCATTTGTGGTAGTTCTTCGTCAATTGACCTTGCAATGCGTAACCTTTGTGGTAGATCTTCACTGTTCCAAACTTGAAGCTGTTTGTTCTCCGTGTAGGTAGTCTTCCTATGATTCTTCATTCCTTTTTGCGGTGGAAAGACTCTTAGTGAAAACGTGAAATGATTGGTCGTTATTCTCGTAAAAAACCCCCGTATTTTAGTGTCCCACTTTGCGCCTAATTCTTCACTAATTATGTTCTCAGCGTAGGTATGGAAATGTTGAAAATTGCATACTTCGGGTTTGTGTTCCGATTTGTGATTCCTGCTGGAGTATATCCTTTAAAAGGACAGAACGACTGTTGTTTTCTTAGCGTTGGTATTGAAGATTTAGAGCTATTCTACCTGTTCTTTCTTCAAGATTTTGCGGCTTTGTAGCATTTAAATATCCCCCTCTGCATATTCACTTTATTTTCAATTGATAATATAGAAATTAAGGTGATTAATTTCCTAAATTATGTAAGAGTTAAAACGTGCGGCAAGTGCAGAAATAGGAAACAATTTATTGTCTTCATCAACACCCTCCAGCATGGGTCTTATGCTAACAACTTTTTGGCACAATGGAGCGCTCGGGGATACAAAACACACAAATATAAAGGCAAGCCCTAATTAGGTCGGTCAGAAATAAAGAATTGCATTGAAAAGAGAGACAAAATGTTTACTGAACCAAATTTCCGTAGCGCGGCTCGACACACTGCTTCAATACCGGGGAAGAATGTTTTCCATTTGTATTTTATGCATAAGGCGCAACGCAGGTAACTTGTGATTTTCGTCGCATGAGAAAGGAATTTTTTAATACCAAATACTTTTAGATGCTTTTCAGACAGATATTGAGAACTAAATCAATCCGAGACAATCAACATTTTGTATTGGGAAAGTGGTGTCCTATCGCTTTTGCTATGTTCCCCCATTGCGAAGCAGAATCAAATGAAAGTCCATTTTAGGAATGAAGTACTAAATAAAGTACATTTTTGCCAAATAACTTTTGAAACAATCACGAGAGTTCATATGTGTATATATATTTTTTATTTTAAAAAAGATTTAAAACAGTAGAAAAAAAATATCGCAATTTAGGCTACAGTACTCGGGAATAATGCCCAAAGCAACTATATTAGTTGTTAGTACTCATATTATATTATATATGTAATATGTTAACGGGGTAATATTCAGCTTTGAAATTTAACAAAAGGAATTATATATACACACACGGTACACAAACTACAACGAAGTAACCATAATATAAAATTCGTCGACGTCGAATAGAGTCAAACTCTTAAAGTTCTCCTATCATCTATACCTTATAGCGTGACAGAGACTCCAAGCTAATCCAGCATATTTCATATTTGAGTGGAAAAAACTGTCCGTTTCTAATGATACAAACAGATACCTAAGTACTTTATATAGGATTACAATATACCAATATGGTCGTCTTTTATAAAGCATGATGTTTTTCAAATAATGCCGTACATATTTCGAACCGTAATAATCGGTACAAAATATATTTCATTCTAAACGATTAACCCAACGTCGCGCAAAACAAGTTTATAAAATTCATATGAAAGCCTCCTTGTCAGATGGATGAAGCTTCTTGTAATCGCTTGGATACGCGCTTGATTCATCCAAAAGATAACTTCCCTCGTCTCTTTTCTTCAATCTGTACATAAGGAAAGCTATCAGGAGCAAAGCCAGTAAAGCACAAGCCACAACACCGGCTATAACTTCGGTTGTAAGCGTAAATCCTTCTTCTTGTTTCTCGCCCTTACGAGCCATAACATGAGCCTTGGATGTCGTCGACGTATCTTCACTTTCCTTTGTCGTTTGTCGGGTTGTATAAACCTTTCCAGGCCTTTCAGTAGATTCCTCTCTGGATTCTGTTGAGTATTTAGGCTGTCCAGTTGAAGGTCTTTCTGTGACAGTTTTCTGTGTTTGTTTCTTTGTCGGCGATTCCGTATCTTGAGCTATCGATATCGTCGATTTCTCTTTGGTTGTGGCAAACGTAGTCGTCTTCTTGGCCGCCTTCGTGGCGACAGAAGATGTAGTTATCTTCTTTGTGTTTGTCAAACTCTGTGACTGTGTGGTTTCAGGACTAGAAGTGGAGCGAGTTATCGCGCCTTCAGTTGACGGCTCACGTTTAGACTTGATTATTAGAGTGTTATCAGTTGTGCTAACATCGATGAAAATATCAGGAGTAGTAGGTCTTGTAGACGTTTCGTCCGTTGGATCTGTCACAACAATACCAGATCCACTAGCACTACCACTGCCACTAAAATCATCATCATCCGTTGATTTGACTGTCCCCCATATTGTTGTTGTGTGTTCGACAGTCGTCACTCCTGCGGTTGTTGTTGGTTGCTTCGTTGTAGATTCCGTCGAAGTTTGTTGCGTTGTAGTTTCCGTCACTATCGTCGTATCTTGTACAGTCGAGGCTTCGGTTGTAGCACTACCACTACCGAAATCCTCGTCATCTGGGGGGCTTACTGAATTTGGTGGGCTCGTACCGCTCGTACTAGCGACCACACTAGGCTCTTCGTCCCCGCTACCCGAGCCATAGATTGGTTCTTGCAACGCGCTTGTTTCGCGGCATATCACAGCTAAATAACCGAATAACGCCAATAAAAGAACTTCTCTCATAACTGGAACTTGTAGATGGTATATTTACTATATTCTTGTCCGTCTATATTTATCAATTTCTTAGCAATAGCCTTTAGAACTGCTTCAATCAATTTGCCGTGTTTGCCGAAGGAAATTTTACATTTTTTAATGAAATACTTGACACTTGCGCAGACCATTAGAACTGCCAATCAGCTACGTTCTATTTTTATCTCAACCAATCAGAGCACAGCAATTCAAGTTTTTGTCTGACGTCATTTCCGCCAACTTAACCACCCCTCTCTTTGACATGCTAATCTGGCGCCTATGAGGTCACGGCGCTGTTTTAGATTATTTCGAAACTTGAGAAAAATTTACTTTCCCTGAGGGAAGTGAATTTGTACTTTCGTAGTGTGTCGTATAGTTCCGCAAATTTCCCTCTGAAGGTGTCAAATTCCCCCTCGTCCTCTGAATAGTTAGTTTATCAGTCCTATAATTCCAGGGGGATTTTTCCGCTTTGACACCTGGGGATTTTCACTTTCGATGCTCTTTAGAGATTGTGACACCATTGCCCAATATATTGAAGTGCATTTGGAGCAAACGGCTGCTTCAACATAGACATACTTAGAAAAAGGGCGTTTGAAACGGCAATATACTAAAGTAGAAATTCACATTGTGAAAAGTTTTCCTATTTGAAGCATTCGAGTCCAGACACTTCAATATATAGGCACGCAATCGATATCTCTGCCTCACGGTTTAATAAAAAATCGTTATTTCTTGGTGTTGGATTCGTATATATGTTACAAAACCTGACAGTTTATTGCTGTATCAATTCATGCAATTTCTTTGAAGTTCAACAGTAGACTTTGCTGTGAAAGCAGTCTTTCATATATAGTAACTGTATTGTCAACTTTTACATGAATTTTTTTCTTATTCTTCATTGTTTCAACTGAATAAAAGAAACATCTAAAGCCGTGCCAAAGAAAACACTTCAGTTCACAAGTACCCGTGGAATTATTCAGCTGGCAACGGTTATGAATTTTACAAAACTTGCCCATTGTAAAAGTTTATTTTGAACTCTAACATTTTGCATCTTTGTCTTCAGCTGTGTCACAAGTTAACAGCCCGCGTTGCTCTGCTGTATCCGGATCGTTACAGGACCTGCTTTCAGCAATGTTTAAACGATGATTTAGTTTCCCCGCCGGTTATTCATGCATTTTAATTTGTATTTTACAAAGCATTTTTGCAATTCCTTGAAAAAAGTGGTGGTATTTTATTCTTGAAGTGTTAGGTGGGATGAGGAAGTATTGTACGTCACATTCGACAGGATGATTGCACCACACTTCAGACCATATCAGACACAGGATGTTGGAATCTTTCGCTAAATTATCAACTGATTTTTCATCCCTTGTCTTTCTTCATGTGCTAAAGAAGTTTTGGGACATTTGAGGTCCGTATAAGTCAGATATCTCAACAAGTACTTCAGTTAAAGGCTGTTGAGAAAACAGCGAGAAAATATTTCCTACTGATGATTGACTTATTATTTCAAACAATGTAACCATTTGCTTACAACTTATCTAGTGAAAAACAGTGTGTTATCGTATATACGGCCTTTCTAAGCAAAATTGCTTCTATAGACTTTTGCGGCAAAGCCTCAAAAATGTATGAATTCCAACGGAAACACTTCATCCTAACCGTCAATACGGCACGTTCTTAACAGGCAGGAACTCTACAACTTGCCGAAGGAATTTGTTTCAATCACTCGATTTTAGACAATGCAACCGGCCAATATAGACGAAGTGAAAAGCAGCCAGGAGGAATGGAGGTCTACGCCCCCCCCCTCTCCTGTTCCCCCCCTAAAAACAACGTGCTTGGTTGGAAAGCGTTCCTAAGGGTACATGCCCCCCCCCCCTCGAACATGGCCCCCCCCTCAAACATCAACTTCTTCCCTGACTGAATTGAAAAAAATTATGAAAAATTATTATAAATTACCGGTAAATTATGCGAGTCTTGAAAATTATTTCGAAATAATTTATGTGACTAACGTTCGTATTGCGAATAATTAACATAATTTTCATAGTCACAATGTATCATCTTCGTGAAAATATTCCAATGTTTCTTGGCTAAAAAGTCCAATTTTTTGCCTTTTTCATCGTTGAATTGCCGTAATATCTCGTCCAGAAATAAAAGAAACTATATGGATGTCGTAGAAACGGAAAATAGCAACGATAGCACGGACAAAATTAAGGAAAAAGTGCGTGTTGTTAGTTTGGAAGATCCGAGTATCATAGCTTCGGAGTTTGCTGGGAATTCGAATAGCAGTGTTTGGTCGCTTTGTGGACTAAATTCAGACGATCACGATGTGGATTTAGGGGACATTTCGCCTTCGATAAGTCCCATATTCACGGAGCAGCAAATGGCAGACCATTTACGAGAGAGGCTCATGAATGAAGATCATATATTCACAGGAGAGCATGCGTCCGAAACACGGTTAAACGATAATTCTAGACCTTCGTCTGATTTGCAAAGTCATTTGGAGCTTTTTAAACGCGAGATGAAGAGCCTTGAAAGCGACGATAGCGGCGATGAATGTAAATTGAAAAAGGAGGGAGATTTGCCCAGAGACGGGGGTCATTTAGCAACCAAAATACCGGGCAAAAGTTCTCCCCGTAAACGCGGGGTAACCACGAGTGCTGAACAGGAAGCTGGCATCGCATTACGGACCAGAAATCGGAGAACCAAGCAAGCTGGTGGAGTGAAAGTTGACCCAGATTCTGAAAAGAATTATAATAAAATTGAAAGCAAAGATAAGGAGAATTTAGGCAAAGGGTTTGTATGGCTGTTACATTTGATTTCTCCCTTATTTCTGGCACAAATAACCATGTAAATTATTACAAATTAGTGCTGGCTTTTATTCTGTGATTTGTCACATGGTGAGTAATTCATGAGTGGTAACACTCTACATCTGATGAGTAAAATCATATGGTGTTAGACAGAGTAAAGTACCATAACATTGGCTTGAAACTAGGTGTTATTAGGTGTGTTGCAAGCATCGAGGAAATTGTAAGTCCAATGGTTAACCTGAAACACCAACAGTTGTATTGAAAAGCAAAAAGCAAGCAAAGTTTTATTTAATCATTTTGTGTGGTGCATTTTGGAACATTGTCAGTTAAATATTAAGCAGAGTTCAGGGGCCGGTTGTATAAAACTCTAACTAGTCTTTATACAACTGGTTCCATCAATTTTGTTTAGTATTATGTTTAAAAATAACCAAAATACATGCTAGAAGTTTTTTATTTTTGTGGTAATTTAGGAATGGGATGGATGAGAAATCAGAAAGGGCAGATGAGAAACCTGAAACTGTGAATCAAACTGATCAGATCAAACTCGACCAAAGTGATAAAGGTACAGCAGAAGGTTCTATATCAAACAGTTTTGCTGAAGATATGGAAAGTCAAACAAGTGGAGATGCTGGTGTGAACATTGCCAAGCCTGGTACGCAAGCGAATTCGCCCAATAAAAGAGTCACTCGGAGCACAACAGGAAATTTGAAGCCAAAGCAACAATTTGATGAGATTCAGGAGAAGGAAGAAATGAAACATAACAAGATGAAAGAAGGAAAAGCAAAACAAATTGGGAAGAAAGGAAAGAACAGTGATGGAGGTGAAAACAAGGATGATGACAAAGATAAATCAACCAAGGAAGGGAAGAAGGGGAAAGATGATGGAGTTTTGTCAGAGAAGGGAAGTAATGATAAGGAAAGTGGCGATGAGTCTTTGTCTGATGGGGATGAAGTAGATTTTCACGAAGATGACTCGGACTATAGTCCTGAAGATGACCCTGATAGACCCTGGTGTATCTGCAGAAAACCTCATGGCAATAAGTATGAAATGTTGTTGATTCCTCTCAATTTAATTTTACTTTAAATACTGTTATATATTAGTGTGGTAGAACCTAAAATGTCTAGAGATGTCTGAGGCTGCCCGAGGTGAAATTATAATCAGACAACTGCATATTACAGGAATCAAACCTCAGTCACACAGATGAAAGACACATGTACTAACCACTGTGTTTGGTAGAGTCAAACTGGAAGAACTCTTCTCACATGTGACTGAGGTGAAATTATAATCAGACAACTGCATATTACAGGAATCAAACCTCAGTCACAGAGATGAAAGACGTATGGACTAACCATTGTGTTTAGTAGAGTCAAACTAGAAGCACTCCTTTCATATTAGTGGAATCAAACCCCAATGTAAATTGATGTCACATCACCATACAACTAACAATGTATTGAATATCTTGTGTTGTAAGGTTCATGATTTGTTGTGATGGTTGTGAAGAATGGTTTCATGGGAAGTGTGTGGGTATCACAATGGAAAAGGGAAGAGTTATGGAAAGACAAGGAAAGGAATATGTCTGTGATAAATGTAAAGGTAAGTTTAGACAAGAAAATGTATAGGAAAGTTAGTACTGGAAATTGACTCAGGATTGGGATGAAAATGTTAAAAATCTGCCTGAAAACATCGTCTTGCAAACTGGAAAGTTTTGTCAATGAATTCAAGCTTTTTTTTGAATGCTAGTGTCTGTGCTTGATGCAGCGAAATCTCTCGTTATGGCGAGGTGCGTGTACAAATGTACAAATGTTTATAAGAGGAAGACAAAAATGCAAATGGCCTCGTGAAGGCAGATGGCCCAACAAAGAAACGTGTATTTCAAGACACTTTCTGCACTAAAGACCAACAGTTTAACGTGTAGCATAGTTTTAACGCGATGTTGTCTACGCAAAGTGTTTTTTATATATAGTTTCGTTTTTGTAGAGAAAAAGATGAAAGAGTTGTTGATGGCTGAGAAAGCGAGGGAATTTGCAGAAACGATAAAGATTAAACCAGACACAACGACACAGGAGGAGCCAAAGAAACCCAGACCGAAACGGAGGTTTTCTTCAAATGTAAGTCTTGTGTTTTATACAAATTTTCCGAGGGATTTCCGACATAATTTGGATTTTCCTGTCGAGGGTTGATTACATAATCTCGGTTGCTGGAGGTTAAGCAAAGCATAATATGATTTTGAGGCATTGAAATACGTCTTATTGGAACCAAACAAGCAGATATTTTTATCAAGATGACTTCACCATTGCCAGGATCGTATTATATACTCATTTCAATACCTTAAACACAAGGGTGGGTGGCCTTAGCTAGGGTGTTATAGCCCTGTTGTTACCTGCCTATGTATGTGTCGTGGTTATTCATGTACATGAAGTTTTGAAATAAATAAATTAAAATCATGTAAACGAAAATGGTTCATCTTCTCATTTTAACAAGACTTTTATTTTCGAAAAGTTTTCCTGTGTTGGATAACTGAAACTCGACTGTCAATTGCTTTTGTAAAACACAGTGTTTGTCTTCTTTTCAACCAGAATGTCGTTGAACCCGACTCCAGCGAGAAACCAACGCAAGATTCTTCGCCATCACAATCTGATGAAGTTAAGAAGAAGAGGGTAAAAGATCCACCTGGATTTAAGATCCCGAAAAAGGTGCGAACGACACCCACACCTGTGTCCCACTCCACCGTTCAAGCCCCAAAGAAATGTATTGTCGAAGGCTGTCCAAAAACCTCATTTGAAGGCGCTGTTTACTGCGGGCGAAGTTGTATTGAAAGGTATTGACAATAACACAATTATCGCTACTCTGGTTTTAGATAATGAAAATAATCACCACGCATGCAAAAAGATTTATTCACGACCACACTTTTCGACACTCCAGTCTAGTGTCTTCACTCCAGGGTCGCTGGTTTTTTTCGCGAGTTTTAATCTGCGACAATTAGATATTTCTGATGCACGAGTAATGTGTGTTTTGCAGCCATATTGCCATTACATTTTCCAGAATTGCTTGCACTCTGCCCTGGATTGCAAGAGATACCTTCAAAAGGTCTATCTTTGAATCACTGCGGGATGAATTTGCGCAACTATTTCACGATATAGGGAATGTCTTATAATTATATAGTCCAATCTTAAATATTTGCTTTTTGTCAACAGTATAATGAAATTTTTGTTTCTTACATGTAGGCACGTGAGCGAAGCTGTTAAGATGTTAACCTCAAAGGTAGGTTGATCTTATGCATAGTCACACCGCTGACACGCCAGACCAGGGAACTCTAAATACCCTGGAACGGTATCTTCATTGATTAAGTTGGTAATCCCTCGCGTTTAGGCCAAAATCACACAACGTCAGTAGATATCTACACTGTGTTGTTTTAGAAAGCTTTTAATGCTGGGTGTCAGGGTTCATTCCTGGTATAAAGTTATTGATTTGATGGTATACCTAATCTTTTAACCCTGAGATATCCCGACTAGGGGTATGTCATGATGACTCAATTTCTTTATCGATAAAGAAATTGAGTTCAGTGGCTTACGTACGCACACGTGATCTGCTGACGCGTACGCGCGCGTAATTAGAAGTATAATCACGCAGTGTCAGCATTTTACTTATTTTGACCATTCCACGCGTGGATCCCGTCGAAAATTAATCTTTCGATAAACTTTGAGTGCTTGAAATAAAGACGCGACCGTTGTCTCAAAAACGTTGGTTTATAGTTTAAACTGGATTAAGATTAAGGATTGTGATTTTAGATTAATCAGATGAAGAGCCTTTTTAGTGGATACTCTGATAATAAATCATTATTATTATAATCATTATTATTATGTCACTGTATATCTCAGGAATACCAGCTGTCGCTTTCTTGTCGTCATTTCTTTCGACGACGAAGTTGCACGATGGATCTAAGCTATTTTATCAACATGATAATCATCTTTTCTGTGAACACATTGTTCTTCCTCTCAGGAATATTTTTAAATTCTGTGGTTATTCTCAGCATCTGGCGATCTGCGCAACTTCGAAAGAAATTATGTTACTTCATGATAATGGTCTTGTCCTGTTGCGATTTTCTTTCGGTTTTAATAAACCATCCACTGTCTGCCACTGTGGCGATGTTATGGTTGGTTGGAAAGCTCGGAAATAAATTTGAACCATGGGTGTACATTGTCGGAAATTTAGGAAATGTGTTCATTATTTTTTCTTTCCTTGCTCTTCTGAACATGAACTTTGATCGATATTTGGCAACATCTCATCCAATCTTTCATCGAACGTCCGTGACGAAGAGATGGCTTTTAACGTCTTTTGCAATAATCGGCGTCGTACTGGTAATTCTGATGCTCATAACCGCACACATATTTTACAAGTCTGCAATTTTATTCGCAATTTTACTATTGGTTGTTTTTACTTTTCTCGGTCTCCCATTGTTCTTCATCAACTATAAATTGTTTACAATTGCTCGGAAAAGTCGTAGGAGCAAAGGTATATCAGCTGAAACGAAAAAGTCATTTTCCCTAAAAAATATCTCAAGTTGCTTGCTGGCAGTCGCTTGTTTTGTGGTGCTGTCGATTCCAGTGTTTTTCTACACTGGCCTAAGAATAACATCGAATGTTGGAACAGTTAAAATGAATGATGCAGAACTCACAGGAATCTGGGCCAGAACCATGTCTTCCCTGAATGGTACCTGCAACTGCTTAATTTTCTTCTGGAAAAACAAGATTTTACGTACCGAGGGAATGAAAGTTATCAAAGGCATCAAAATATGGAGAAGAGACTGACTCCTGCATGGCTGCAGCTGCCTAATACACGCACTACACAGACTCCTTAGAAGGGAAAATATCCACTATAAATTGCAACATTATTGAATCTTTTTTATTGTATCTCAAGTAGGAACTCGCGTTTAAACTTAATGTACTGTCGATTAACTTGGACGAATATTGTTCTTAAAGATAGTTGTTTTTGGCAGACTGCAAACTCGTAACTACCGAAACAGATGTTTTTTTTGCGACGTACACGAATAGCACTATACGATACGTCTATAGCTGTATGATATTATATCTTAAAGCCCTTTTTAACGAAATCGTTGGAAACGCTAGAATTTGGTGTAGAATAATCATTAAGGTTACAAATAGTCGTTGTGAATATAGAAATTGACTCAAACAATTAGTATACGTTTAGAAAGTCAATGTTTAATGATTAATGGATATTATAGAGGAAAGAGGAAATACACTTGTGTTAATAAATTATTCGTGTATTTATTTCAAATATAAACTTAAAATTGTCATGCACTTCAAGAATCACACCAGTTATATTCATTGCACTCTGTCATATCCATCTCTTTATACACGAAATTGCACGATGGATCTAAGCTATTTTATCAACACGATAATCATCTTTTCTGTGAACACATTGTTCTTCTTCTCAGGAATATTTTTAAATTCCGTGGTTATTCTCAGCGTCTGGCGATCTGCGCAACTTCGAAAGAAATGAACTTTGATCGATATTTGGCAACATCTCATCAAATCTTTCATCGAACGTCCGTGGCGAAGAGATGGCTTTTAACGTCTTTTGCAATAATCGGCGTCATACTGATAATTCTCATAATTATATATATATATATTTAATAAGTCTATAATTTCATTCGCAATTTTTCTATTAGTTGGTTTTACTTTTCTCGGTCTCCCAATATTATTCATCAACTATAAATTGTTTACAATTGCTCGGAAAAGTCATCCGTCAATAACGAACAGTTACCGTCAATAATGCAGAACTCACAGGACTCTGGGTCAGAACCATATTCTCCCTGAATGGTACCTGCAACTGCTTAATTTTCTTGTGGAAAAACAAGATTTTACGTACCGAGGGAATGAAAGTTATTAAAGGCATCAAAATATTTAGGATTTCAAGCAGGAACTTGTGTTTAGAACTGATTGTACTTTCAAATAACTTATCATTAACTGCGAATATTGCAATGCGAGGCTTCCTGCTGTAGTAACTGCACCGACGAAACAAGAACCTGTAACCATAGTTTTTTTACGATATGTATGAAATAGACTAGCTATAGCTTTATATCTCAGCCGCAAATAGCTTGATTTGTACCACGTGATTACGTTACATGTGGTCCACGGGGTAGTGTCGCAGCTCCTCGCAAGAATGATTTTCATTGGCTGAACTTTACAATACATTTCTGTTTCAACCAATAGCATAGCTTCGCTATTTAGAAAGCATAGAAAACATTATCGAATTGGACGAAAGCTTCCGAGCAATGCGACATGACCCGGTCTACGGCGTTGAATGCTCAAAACACGTAAAATGCTGTGTTTCCACGAACTTTACTCTTTTTTTTCCCCCAGGAACACGGTGGAAAACTGCATACATCTGAAGGAAATCGTGTTTCCATGATTGAGAAATCCTCAGGACGTCTTGTGGCGGGAATGGCAGCGCCCGTCGTTACGAATTTGACGGACTGGATCCTAAAGAATCCTTCGTTTCAAGTTCTCGTCTCGGGTATTTACAGTAACACGTATCTCGCAATAGATCTCAACAAGCATGAAATTATTCCCCTTTAAATGCCTGAATATAACTAATTCTTACTAACTCTCCTGACGAAGGCCCTCAGGTCGAAACGTCGAGAAGTGTTTTGTCTATTTTGGCAGTTGTTATACCACATTTGATGCATTCCTAATTCGTTAAATTTTCATTGTAGGAACCAGTCCCACAACGCAACCGTCATCATCGTTTTATAACAAAGTTAATGCAGGTTTGTGTCCCCATTTTTGAGCTTGTTAAAGTTCGTATGAAACAGCAGAATATTTATCTGAATAAGTTCTTCTTACAAGCAACAATTTGTCCTGTGTTTTTACGGGAAACCTCTCGTCTGCCTATAATTAAATCGTTAACTTATTGTCTTGTTTTCAAAACTCAAATCTTGGGCTCACAAGATGTTGCTCTTTGGAAAATGTCCTTTCTTACACTTTCTATAATTATCACGATAGTTCTTGCAATTTATGCTCGTGTTGTGTTTGTGATAGTTCGTTCATCTTGTTTCACTTCGTTAGAGTCGAAACAAAAGAAGGAAATCGACAAAAAAAGCGAAGAGGAAACGGTTCGTAGTAATGTGCGAAGAATGATGAAGGATATCTTAGTGGAAAGGTGAGTGACGGCTTCCAGCAACATCAAAATCTTGGAACTGAATCTCAATGAAAGAACTAGACGGATAAGCGGCGCTAACCAAAGCAATATTGTAGGCTTAACTTTCCTGTCGTTTCAGGAAAAAAGAATCGAGCGATATTCGCATTTCAGTCGAAGAAATAATGAAGTTGGTTCGCAAGATCGAGGAAGACATGTACAAGGCATTCAAGGATACAAGCCACAGATACAAAGCGAAATATCGGACGTTAATGTTCAACCTGAGAGATCCCCGTAATAAAGTAAGTTGTGCAACGTTCAACACGCAATTATTTGTAGATATTTCTTTGCAATGAACTCTAAAGGTTTCGAGAATGGTTGGAGGGAGAAATACATGTTTGCAATCGATAAACGAGGTGTTTTTTTAGGTTCTTTACCGGCGTGTTTTGACGGGTGATATTAATCCTGATAAACTAATCTGGATGACGTCAGATGAACTGGCCACAAAAGAACTCGCTCAATGGCGTGAGCAGGAAACTAAACACGTGAGTCTAGTTTTGATTGGCTCTTTCAAATACATGGTGTAGATATTCCCCGGGAAGGTGAAAATCACTGATCTGAGATTACACTGGATGTGGCGACTGTACTTACGAAAATAAAAGCCAGAATCAATGAAGTTTTCTGAAGACAAAAAACAGGAAATCCTGGAATAGCGGCCATGTTAACTTTTGTGTGATTTTAGATGATTGACATGATCAGAAAGGAAGAGGAAAATACCAACAAGGCACGTTTCATCAAGAAAACTCACAAAGGAGAAGTTGATATGGGAGACGACGAGGACTTGAGCACATTGGAGGTTAGTTTTCGTGAAATATTTTGTGGAATATCGTCACACGATAGCCAGATGTTTATTAGAGACGGATGTTTGCTCTCTTCAAGGCGACGAATATCAAGGAAGTTCAGGAAAAGAAGCCGAAGGTGGAGGAGAAGGTGGAAACACCGGTTACCGACACGACCGAGGAACATCGCGCACATTTGTTTGATCTCAATTGTAAAATATGCACTGGAAAGATGGCGCCTCCGGGTGAAATTGCAGGAAAGTCGCCGTCGATGTCTAATGTTCCGTAAGTATTTCTTTTTAAGTGTTTCAGTCTTCATATATCTAGTAACAAAGAAATTAATCGTATTGTGCTGGTAGTTATGACTGGCAGATATCGTCTGGCGTGTAATACATGTTGTTTTTTTGATAGAATTCAAGCCGCTGCTGAAAGCTCCATTCCTTCCCCACCTCCAGTTCAAGAACCTTCCACGTACACAGAGCCTTTGTAAGTATTTCAACAAGCACACAACTGTTTTTCCTTGAAGTTGTTAAACGTTAAATACTTTCCTTTCTTAGATCGCCAGATTCTCGAAGCACCACTCCGGATTTCTCCAACGCCACAAGCAAAGCAAAAGAGACGAGCGTGTGGAAAGGTTTTGTCATGATGCAAAATGTTGCTAAGTTCGGTACAAATGCTTTTCTTGTGTCAGGATCTGGAGACAATCTTATCCAGGTTCTACCAGACACCTTGCACGTCCATGGTCGTATTGCCCATAAACACGTCTGGGATTATGTTAAACAATGCAAGACTTCATCGTCACGGGTGAGTTGAACATTTATAATGCACACTCGTGCTTATAACAACAAAAAAACCTTGTATCTGTTCCTCTGTAAACACCAAACGTTGCCAGTCAATTTAATAAATGCTGTAAAAGCGAAATATATCTTGCATCAAAAGTGCTGGTAATTTCACAGTTTTTGTTATTTTTTTCAATCATTTTGTTTTCTTTTCCAGGAGTTGTGTATTATTCGTTTTGCGGCCGCTTCTGACGAGGAAAAGATCAGCTATGTTTCATTATATTCGTACTTCCACAGTCGAAAGAGATGTGGAGTTATTGGAAATTGCTATAGTGGTGTGAAGGACATGTATCTTGTACCTCTTGCCTCTCACGAACCAATTCCATCTCATTTGCTACCATTCAGTGGCCCAGGTAAACGAGAAATCACTTCATAATCTAGACCTATAAATCCGAAATATTTGAGTTCCATTTTCTTTGATAATGATGCATTTTATCCAACTTTACTACAGCTAAAAGACGAAAGTTGCTACGGAGTGTTTTTTGCGATAAACCGAAAGTACTTCGATTAAAGATTTATTCTATTTTCCCAGGTCTTCAGGAGCCACGACCCCATATGTTGCTTGGTTTGATAGTGAAGAATAAGAGCATTCCTGCCAAGCGATCCCGCTCTGGGTCAGACCGTGTCTCCTCCAAGACTCAGTCGATCGAACCGCCTACAAAACGTACGAGTATCGACGACCCGTCCCCCAAGAGCAGCACCTCATCTTCCCAACCCACGACTGCAAAACCCAGCGACTCCCCAGTCGATGAAATTGAGGATATAGTGTTTCATTATCACAATTCGCAAGGAACAAAACCTGAATCGAAACCCGCACAGCCTGCAAAACCTACACAGCCCGCGAGCATTCCTCCTATGATCTCCGCCTTGTTGAAAATTCAAGAACAGGAAAAGAAGCTTCGAGAATTGCAAAAACAGTCGGAACTTTTGGAGAAAGAGCTCGCGCCGATAAACAGTGTCGGGACTCCAGTGGGTTTGGGACAATCCAGTGCTGTTAGCGGTCAAGGAGCTGATCTAATGCCTACCGCTTCTAATCATCTCCCTGAAGAAATACCAAAGATGGCAGCAGGACCGGCCAAAAGTTCTAACACTACGGCTTATCCCCCTGGGGCTGGCTTTTCCCCCGCCGTTCCATTTCTCTCAGTTGATGGACCTCAAAGAGGCAATATTTATCCCATTGAAGGAACGTCCAATATTCCTCAGTCTGTTGCAAGTCAACAAGTTACGAAAGCGAACGATGCTGATAACGAGCCATACGATCCTGAGACGGCGAACAACGAGGAGGCACCGTACGACCCCGAGGATATGGATACGATGGATTTAGGTTTGGACGAGACTTCTAGTCCTGAAAAGTGCGCCGCTGTTTTAACTCAGCCACCGACTTCTTTAGACAACTTGGCTGTGGCAAGTCAAATTGCGTCTACAATTGTTAAGCAAACTCTAGCAGGGTCAACGGTTGCTGGAAGTTTACAGCAAAGCATCTTATCAAATACTATCGGAAAACCACAGGCTGAAAGTTTGGTTAAAACTTTAGTCGAGCACGTGAAGAAACAGCCGAACGCGACTTCCGAGATTTCACTAAAATCGTCTGAGCAAAACATTACCCAACGTTCAATCCCGAAAGAGTTGGAGGAGAAAGTACAATCTCTTCTCAAACCTGAGCATAGCGGATTGGCAAAACAAACTGACAAAAAATCTGGAATACCATCCAATAATCTTGGCGAGTCAGGAGCAGATCGAAGGGACCCAGGGCCAGGGGTCTACCATCATACTAGAGACTTTCCAGAAAAGCGAGATTTCCCAGAAAGGAGAGAATTCCTAGAAAGGCGGGGCCCCAGTTACAACGATGGTCGGGATGATCCGAAGTTCTATTCGTCAAGATTTTCACTGAGACACGGTGGGGATGAGAGAGGTGGTCACAATAGAGGAGGTGGCCACGTTAGAGGAGGGGGCAGTCACAGGCCAGGATATGACCGGGATTATAGATCGAGGGATGATCGTGAGGATGAAAGACATTGGGACGATCGAGGCGATGGCAGACGAAGAAATGATCATTTTCATAGAAATAGAGATAGATACCAGCGGGATCGTAATTGGAGGCGGTGACATGACAACAGATAAGAAAATATTTTAAAATGTTTGAAGTAGAGAGGTTAATGGGGAGTACGTTGGGTAAATGAATGGTTTTATTAGGATGCATGAGATTTTCGCTCGGAACTTCCTTAGGTCAATGAGGAATATCATAGGGTAATCAGGAATGCCAACGAGTAACCAAGGGTTTAATAGGGCAACGAGATGATAATGGGGGTTTTCCAGCATGCCAATAGGTTTTCTATGGTTGTTTGGGGATATCTATGTTAATTCATGGATTCCTAAGGTTATCAATGAATCCCTAGGGTGGTGGGTGAATCTTTAGGAGCATAAATTGTTTCTTAGGGGACATAAGGAGTTCCATAATTCCATTCAATCCATTGACAAAAAAGAACCTTCATTTTTGCTTAAAACTTCAACCTGAAAAAAACAACTTAGTGGTTGCTAATCTGTGCTTCAAACTAGTTTTAAAAGATGTTTTATTCCGTATATGAACTCCTCGTTCACCTCTCTTCTGAAAACACTAAAAGTAAATGCTACAGCTAAGCAAATTCATATTGTAAAAGACAAAGCTATTTAGATGTATCATCATAGACATGGCTTTTTAGGACATTTTATGCAGCAAAAAAACTTATATGAGTTTATCTCTAAGACATATAAATATCCTATAGAGAATAGTTATAGTTATAACATTAACATTGAGTCTCAGTTTTATCATGGCAACATATCACGTTCATTGAAATTCATCAATAAACAAATCAAGAAGACGATATTCCTTTTTAAATAACTCGTGTTTTAAAAGACCTTCTGGAGACCACTGTATTTCTTAGTTTAAATGACAGTTTATAAAGTTTTCATATTTAGGTAATGATAAGGAAAAAGGAACCAACTTTGACCATGAAAAAACGACGACAATGAGGTATGATATATTTTATATTCCTCTTCGTAATTGATACAAATCTACAAATATTTTTTATATTTGCTTGTTTGTTGGTACACAAGTTTTAATTGTGATGTACAAGGTACAGTCTGTTGTACAGCAATCACAATCTATGAAATAAATATTGTTTATATTGGATATAAATAATGAATTATCAGGCTTATATAATTAACAAAGACCAAATGATAATAGTCAGTAATTGTTTCGTTATTTTACTGATTGGCCTAACTAAATGAACTAACATTCTAATCACCATACATAATACATAGTTATATAATTTATTGATATTATTGATCATATTTTGTTCACTGTCTGGCAGACTTATGCAAATGACTTGCAATGCCTAAGGCACCACCAATCCCAAAACGCACAAAATTGTCCCCAACCAGAGGCCCCATTGCAAACATATTTTTCACTCTTTTACACTCGTAGGTATAAGGGTCAATATCAATGGGGTTATGACGGCAGTCTACGTCTTTCGTTGGGTCCACTCCAAGGGGTGGGATATCTTTTAGGAAGGAGAGTTCAGGTCTTGACCCAATCAAAATGAAAACAGCCGAGACTTGAACTGTTTGGCATTTTCCATCTTGCATTTTGAGTTTGCATTCTTTGTGTTTAGATATGGAAAGAAGTTGGCATTTGAAATAAGCATGATACAAGCAGTCTCCTTGTGGTGTAAACACTGGTTTTGCCATCATATCCTTTACCTTGGCGTAGTCATGGTAGACTTGTGTTGGCATCTTGTTCAAAACAAGTTCCTCATCATTAAGATCATGTCGTAAAACATGGATAACAGGTATTTCATGAGAGAAAAGTTCTAACACAACATCAGCAGCGCTGAGACCATCGCCCACAACCAACACTGGCTTCCTGATTTTCGTGCTTGATTTTACGTCTGGTTTCGTCAACTGCACAACTTTTCTGGCATGGTGGTGGACAAAAGGTAACCCCTCGCCATCAATACTCAGTTTTTTCGACTTAGACAAGCCGTTTGCAAGGACAATGTTTTCCGCGAACACCCTGAATGATTTTTTGCACGAAGAAAATTTACAGCACACTCTCTTAGTGCCGCAAATTTCCCAGACATTGTCCTTTTGTGTCACTGATGTTATCGTGGTATTATTCATGAAATGTTTTTCTAATCCTTGCTGGCTGACATAGTTTTCATAGTACTCGGCCACATGAGAAGTGGAAGCACGATCGTATAAATTACCCATGCTAACGACCTCATTTCTTGCAAGCTGACAACATGATGATGTTTGCTTGATTTCCTTATGATGCTGTTTCAGCCATTCTGAGAATGTCCAGCCTGGTAAATCAAGCCATTTGTTAAGGCTGACTGTTAGCTGAGATCCTTGCATCTGGTGCCAACTGCCACCAGAGCGACCACGCCCAACAACAAGGTGATTGATACCCCTGTCGTGGTGGCGACGCCATGCGAGTGTTGATTCTTCGTGTAGACCAGTGTCAGCATTTGGTTGGTTGAGATGATCAAACAGTAATCCCACAGGATTGGTTGATCTTCCCTGTAAACCTTCGCTCAAATACTCGAGATCCTGGTGGATTAGAAGACAAACTGTCAGTAATGAAGGTACTGCATCAAGTTTTACCCTTTTGATAGATGTGAACATGTGGAATGATTAAGGGCACTTTACGTCAGAGCATTCTTAACTACCTGCTTGACTGCATCTATCAAAAGAGGAAGCTTGTGGCAAGAATATGAAAAGACTTAACAGCTAGATAACTTAGTTTTTATTTGACCTTCAGGCTTTAGGATGAACAGACTTTAGTTTATTTTTAAACGATTCAGATATGTTTTAAGTCAAATTAGTTTGGTTTGTTATATGGTCACTATCTTGGAAACCATAGTTACATACCTGCTCAATAATGGATACATTAATATCACGTTTGCACTTGTCATAGAGAAAGCTTTCCTCTGGTTGGGGGCATTCAGGAACTTTACCATTGAAGTACGGAAAATTTCCAGATAAGATATTTGATAGGGAGATACCAGATGGCCCATTACCTAAATTAGGACAAAAATTAATCCCATGCTAAAAAAATGCAATAATTTGCCATAACGGTTGGGATTAAGACAAGCACACTCATTAGTAGCACATGTTTTGATAAGGAAAGCTCTTAATCCAAGTCCATCACATAAAATAAAATTCCTACTTCATTATAATTAGTCAGCCCTGCAGCATCTTAGAAACACCTTAATATTATCTGCAGTGAGTGGTCACATCATTGCACTGTACTGTCCTTTTTTGTTTTAAAAATTTTAATTTACTTTGAATCAATCATGCGTTGCATTTGAAGGATAGCCCCCGCAAATATGCAACACATCCTAGCTATTCGGTGAAAAATATATGGAAAAGATTGGTAAAATAAGTCTCAAACACAATATTACAAATATGTTATTCGACAGTATATTTTTGGTGTTGCAATTCGTACATGATGTTGCAACCCTCAAATGCCAAAAAAGATCCCAAAAATGCCTTGAAATATTCAATAACTTTATGAGATAATTGGACTTAACAGCAGGAAACTTCTTTAAATTAGAAATTTCTACAGTGTACAATTTTCTCAGCGAACACCTGCGTTTTTTTAATGAGCATTTCGCGACTCGGCGTCGTTTGAATATTGGAATAGTTTATGCGTGCTTTGTATAGCCCTGAGAAGGATATGGACATGCAATGTTTGTGAAACTCCAATTCCTAAACAAAAACCTTGAAATAAACTGCATGACATAGTAACGACTCGATATATATTAGGATTTGGAGAGCTTTTAAGTAAGGATAACTTATAGAGATCCTTTTTATAGTCATCTTACCGATTATAACTACGGAATAGGGATTTTCGTGTGGACTGTTCATACTTGCTTACTGTAATCTCTTTTGGTCTGCACGAAGCGAAACCTCTAGTAAAATAAAAGAACAGATTCATGCATATATACACTTTTAAGCATCAAAGTTATTGCAATTAGTATGGTCTAACCACATTAAATATAAATAATACAGCATATTTGAACTCGTTCAAACTTATACACCATTTCTGAGTACCGTCACAATTGCTAGTCTAGAAACCAACGCAGTTTAATACGTAATTACACAAGAAATATTTCCGTGTTTAGGTTCACTTTAAAGAACACTCAAACCTACCAGATATATTTACACGATTTTATCCTCAGTATAAAAGGAAACAGTATCCAAGCATTGTCTTTGAGGCTATTGTGAAATCAACGAATTGGATTTTATTTTTACGTTGTAAAATTCCAACAAAATTATTCGAGTGTTCCACCATAGAAGATAAACTTTGTGATGTTCTCAAATACAAAACGTTTGTTTAATTTTGAGGAGAACGATCGCAAATGCCCACTCAGGTCATCGCATGATACGAGGCAACAAGTTTGATTACTTTATGTCAACTAATGAGGATATATTAATCCTTTCTTGTACAGTAGAAAGTGTGTAATAATATATTCAAAATACATAATACATGCCCTTGTTTGTCAAGAATATTTCTGATGTTTCCGATTTCGCACGTGCGGAATGCATGGCAAGAACGTGATTTCTAATTATGAGATATAAAAACTTGTAAAATCATTAAAATGTTGCATTTTTTCACAAATGTTTCGCAAAATTGGCTTCAGAAAGCCATTCTCTAGTATTTTCGTGTAATAACTTTATGTGTAAAAGACAAATTTGGTTACATTCGTGATTCAATTTTAATTAAATATTCAAATGACTTGCATAAATTTGCGTCTGTGATATTCCGTTTTACAGGGAATCTATTACATAACAGACTTAAAATTGATGACTTCCGAGAGACAGTGAGGGTGTTTTATTTTTTCTAGCTTTGTGCTTTTACAAGTCATCGAGGTTAAAGTATTTCAGCTATTTTAAACAAAGTAAATATAGGAGGTATATTTATGAGTTTTGACAAGTGTTTGTTTTTTATTTTTGAAACCAGCTTTTCCTATTTTCCCATCCGTGCCTACTTTTTTTAACTTCGTATGCGTCATAGTGATATCCGTCTTCCGGTGAAAGAGAAAACAACGAATGAGAAAAACGTAAGAAAAACTTTAAAGATCCTTTGTCTAATTATTATTGCCTCTATATTTATTCACATATGTCCCTTGATTTTGTTCCAATATACCATTCCTCATTATCATACTCAATGGGGTTACTCAATGGTAAGATATCAAAGTTACGTAACCAGAAGTGTTGCAATTAGGGGCAAGCAAAGATAGAAATCGGTAACAACCGTTTTTCCGCAGCTGCTCCATCATCGTTCCGCAAATCCGGATATCTGATATCCGCAATATCATCCCAAATTTCTGCGGTACATTTTGGTCAGTGCTTGGTGAAGAAATTCATTTACTTTGTGTAAGAGTTGAGTTGTGTTCATAAAAGAATTCATTTCCCTTTTTATAGTTCAAAATATTCTTCAAAATTGAAGAGAAATTGAGGATTTATGGGCTGAAATTGAACTGGAATAGTTCATTAAAATGTGGTATCATTCGCTAAAAACACGACAAAGTGTGAAGCGAATCAATGCAAGAAATAGCGGAGGTGTTGCTGTTGCCTTGGAATATGTTGATAAGAAAATTGAGGTTCATCATTTAACGGTAAAATGTAATTTGGTCTTACGTTTTTATTGTAGTTTATAATGCAGACTTTGCTACAAATACGTCATGCATCTCCCAGAAATGCTGGCAGGGGGGGAGGTGCAAGGTGCAGCAGGAGGGGAGGTGCAAGGTGTGGCAGATAGGGAATAATGCCAAGGGACAGGTGTAAGCATTGTTCCTAAGACCCAGAGTGTTCAAAGTGATTATATTTTTAGAGAGAAGCAAGTCCAATGATATTTGATGAAGGAACTGGTGTGATTTTTGTTGCCCCTCGAGATGGTTGCTTGGTGATGGTTGCTGTCAATATTTCATCCAAAGGGAAATTTACTTATGAATTCCGAGTTTGGGAACTCACAAGTGGAACAGCTTTTGTTCAGCGAGATATCACAGTGAAGGATACTCAGGGTTCATTTACCAATGATGGAAAATCAAAGTAATTGAGATCATCTCTTATTGATCCACTGTTACGACAGAAGGAGGCCTAAACTAAACCATTATTTATCTACTGTAATTTCCAGAGCATTGTTGACTCTGCCAGAAGTAAGTCAGCATTCAAATCAGCTGAGAATGGATGGTCTTCAAGATCTAATGGCCATTGCTTTGGGTGTCAGTGTCATTTATATGTACAAATGCGCCAAGGTCTGTGTAAATTAACTTGTACTTATAATTACTTATGATTGTAATGAAAGCAAAATTACTGATATGTATTGAGCTTGTTCTCTTTCTTTTCAGATAGACAATGCTTCAATCAACTGTGAAGTTGTCATGCAAGTCAATTCTTCTATGTCTGCCTTGGATGTTCTGCTTTTAAAACCACAAAAAGGTCAGAATAGTTGTTGCATTTTTGTAAAATGAAAGAAGACCCAAATTGAACCTAAATTTTACTAATCTGGTATTTCTATGATGGAGTGTGACATAAAACTTACTTTCTTCGTCTAATTTAGAAAATTTTCCACAGTTGCTAGTATGTGAAAGTGGGGGTATTCGTGTATGGCAGGAGACCACGGGTGAGATTAGTTGATTCTGATGATCTTTTAGCCCAAACTTATTCTTTCACCTCTTTACTTCTTAATAAATAAGAAATGTTTCCACTCAGAAATAAGGGAGTCTGAAGAAGTCGCATCATTTAAAGACACTTTCTACTCTGTCCAACCGTTTGATGCTGGAACAAGCTTGGTAACTTGTCAGGGTAAATTTTAACTTAGCTGTTGTGATTTATTACAGGAAAGATTAAAATCTGGCCTTCCTTGTGGAGAATTCTTTTCCTGGTAACCTTACATTAATTTGTATCTTTTAGACTTTCAACGCATTCATAATGGTGCTTGCATATTTGCTAATAATATTGGAAATTTATATTTATTTTCTTCGTCACGAGTTGTGAATCTAAGGCTCCCTGTATCTCATGGTGGTCATGGATTATTTGCTGTTGAAAATGTGGATGAAAAATGCAGTAAAGGTGAGTGAGTGAGTCTCTTGAAAAATTTGTAATTAATCCAAGCCCTGTGTACGTATATGCAGGAATTTTTAGTTTTCTTCTTAATTCTCTTGCAGTTACCCTGGCTGTTGTATCGAAGGGTCACACAGTGAATCTCTATCAGTTAGAAGACATTCACAGCTTGTCGGATTCTTGTGAGGATCTTGTCTTAGTTCCTCACCATGCACTGTTTTCAACTCAGTCGCTCGGAGCAATGTCCTTCCTGAACAAAGCGTCTCTGATAGCTTGTTCATCATCTGGACGAACACTCTCCATGTGGGTTGGGGTGTAGAGGAAGAGGAATCTGGCACTTGCCACAGATAGACCCCCGCCTGGCCCCCCACACACAACATAAACTAAATCCAGGGGGTGCTGGAGAATGCTACAGATTGCTACATCAGTGTGCTACAGTTCACTCCCCCCCCCCGGCACAATGAAATTTCAATATTTCCAATATGGCGGAAATTGCCGGTGTTTGAAAATTTCACTACAACCCGATTATCTCATTAAATTTTAGTTAGAAATTTTGTAATTTTATCCTTAATTTAAACACGATGCAGACGAACGATATTCTTAATACAATTAAACGATTTGATGCCTACCCCAAAACGCTGGAAGATTTTCGAGTTAAAACTCTTGGAGGTGGCGCAGGTTGGAAATTTGATTGTTTTGTTTTTGTTAAAATCGTTATTCACGAACAGTGTTTTTCGTGTTGATTCGGGGTGTTTGATAAAGGAAAATTACACTTGGTATAAATTTTTTGTGTGGGAATAATATAATACTTGTATCCAACCCTTTTTGAGCGATCTACAATTAAATAATTGTCATTAGGATGCATACATAGCAACGTGGCAGGGGTCGGTTGTATTTAACTCTTCAACTACATTTTGCATAGTTAAATCCAAGTTAACTCAGAAATACACGACTCTGATTAACCAATTCTGTCCTTAACTATAGTGAAAAGTTAACTAGTCTTTTATACAACTGACCCCTGGTGTGTGATGTAACTTTTATGATTGTAAATAAAAAAGCTGTATTGCAAATATAAATTATAAACTTTCATTTCTTGCAGTTACTGTTGTGAGTGGCTTACTCATGTTCTTGCTTTTTGTATCAGAATTGAGCTACTACTTGTCAGTCGATGTAAGTTGACGTAGTTATATCTGTGGTTTCATCCAATATACTGGGGTTGATGGTATGAAAACTGGATAGCACTATCAACCGGATGGTGTATTTAGTAAGCACTCGCTGTAAAGTTGCCTCTTGTTAGGCAATGATTGCAATTGCTTTTCTAGAAAAGCACTTTTAGTATTTACTTTTATAGACAAAGGTTTAGATCTGTAGTATGGCAGCTTAATATTCAAAGCCTTTTCTATTACTCCCATGATCCAGGTTTCTCCAGAGTTATTTGTTGATACGGCAAGAGACCAAAAGACAAGAATCAACATGGCTGTGTATTTTCCAAAGTTGCCTTGTGTTTGTAAGTTATATTTGTCAAGGATGTTTCCTTCCAAATTCAAAACACTAATTACTATAATATTATACCTAAACTTTCATTTAAACTTTCACTTCTACAGATATAAGTATTGATGCAATGGATATATCTGGTGAACAACAGGTATTGCATTGTATTTTGATGCATTAGTAAAACTGTAAAACCCAGGCATAAATCCCAGTTGAATTCTGTCATTTTTTCACAATTATCAGATTGATGTTGACCACAATGTTTTCAAGAGAAGAATGGACGAACATGGGAATCCTATTGATAATCATGAAGGAGAAAAAGGAGGTTGGTCTTCTTTATGAACTGGTTTCACCTTCGTATATGGAAACTGTAGCCTCTTAGCAGTCTACAAATTATTACACCCCCTTTGCTGGGCTCTGGGTAGGAATAAGACATTGTAATTATGCTTAGTCCATTGAAGAATTGAAGTTTAATTTTTCTTTAGGATTGGGAGATAAAAGTGAAGAAGCCAAAGAAATATTGAAGGTAAATCACAAGTGAAAATGACAATAATGGTTGCTCAAGATTTTCACAAGAGATGTTCACTAGTAGAAATGCTTCACAACTGTTATGATGTGGAAACCTAGCTATTTCATCTGCTGTTCTCAAAATATTTCTCCAGCTTGACAAAGACAGATGTGAAAGTTGTTATGGCGCAGAGACGATTGAAAAACCGTAAGATGCTACTTGTGAATTCCTTGATATGAAAATATTTATGTACAAAAGTGAAAGGAATTTCAGGATTTACTCATTGGAAATCTCCAGAAAGTTCCCCATTTACATGTGCAAGATTTGTTCAAGATCCATGCAACCATATCGCTGGTCTCTCCAGCCTTCTTTGTTATATAAATTAATTTAAATATTTCCCAGGTGTTGCAATACCTGCGCTGAGGTGCAGGATGCGTATCGGAAGAAAGGATGGGCCCTTAAAGATGCTGACTCAATTTCACAGGTACAGTATTTTTCCAGCACAATTCTCAAACTTTTAATAGAAATTGTTCACAAGTACATCCTCTTGATAGATTTAAAACCTTTTAAGAGATTCTTCTGCTAATTGATTATAAACACATGAGATGTACGTGCATGAATACTTTAGTATTTTACTATTAAAATATTCTCCGGTTAGTGAAACCCCAGTTTATGATGTTTCTCTCTCAAGATGGTTTAGCTTGGTTTCCACCGTCCTCCAGACCAGCAAACTATACTCACCAACTTTTATTTCCAGTGTTCTCGTGAAGGATGGAAAGTTAAACTGGAGGCCCAGAAGAATGAAGGTTGTGAAGTCCATGGTTATCTTGAAGTTACTAAGGTACATAGCCCTGGTACATGACCACCTCCTTCCGACATTTTTTTCTGTCTTCACTCATTCCGACCGACATCTTGCAGGTCGCAGGAAATTTTCACTTTGCTCCAGGAAAGAGTTTTCAACAACAACATATTCATGGTGAGTAAGGTATTCTACTCTGGCAAATTCACACTCCAGGGAGAAGAAAATCGCTGACGTTTTACAATTTACAATTTAATGTATGCCTATATGATGTATGCTTATAAACTGAAATAAAATATATCTGCACTATTTATTTTAGCATTAAATTCACCGGATTACTGACTTAATAAACATATTCATTTAAGGTGGAATAAATTTTCCATGTTTTTGATCATTTTTAGTTGCACTGTTAAAGTTAAAAAAATCAAATATAATCACAATTAATAGTAAGTGGTAAAAATGTCGTAAAGTATAATCATAATCAATATTTTAACCAATGTTAAAATCATTATTGTAATGGATATAATTGAAAGAAAATTTTAATAGTAAAGTACTTTAAACTGCAATTTAACTAGAACATGTATCACTGTAAAACTAACTTAGAAAATATAAAAAGTATAAATTAAATAGAAAACACTAATACTGAACTATAAATCGCCTGGTAAATGCCCTTTGGGTTTTTGTTTATTTTAGCCAGTTTTTATGCCAAATTTGGTGAGGAAATAATGCATAATGTCACATCCTATTGTTTTAAAGATATATATTAATGTCTAAAATCTTTTCTAGTGCATGATTTGCAACCCTTTGGTGGTCACCAGGTCAGTATATCAATCTCCGAAGTCTGTTTGAACAAATTCATTGCTACTTAATCCAGTCAAAGCATTTTTATCATTTTATTTCTTCCCTAGTTTAATCTAACACATCACATCAGACATCTATCCTTTGGTGAAAAATACCCAGGGATTAAAAACCCTCTGGATGATAATTTAGTTATTTCAGACAAAGGTGAGTTGATTTTCATCATGCAGATCCAAAACATTGTGTTTAAAGATTCCAAGCTTCATGATTTTCATGTTATGAAGAAGAACGCTCGTGGTTTTAAGCTATGTTCAATAGTAAATCTGTGAGGTAATAAGGTATGACATATTCCTCATGAGAAAGTGTTTCTTTGATCTTTTAGCTGGAAGTATGTACCAGTATTTTGTCAAGATTGTGCCAACGGTTTATAAGAAGCTCAATGGCGAGGTATATTATTTTAGACTAATGACTTAGGCCTAAAAAATGCTATAAGAATTATTTAATTGTGCCTTTGGTTACAAAGGAAGGGATCATAAGAATAGCCTAATCACATGGTATGGTTGTATTGTGATTATAATGTTTGTTTCAGGTTCTTCATACTAACCAGTTTAGTGTAACTAAACATCGTCGAACGGTGAAGCAAGTCACGGGAGCAAATGGTCTTCCAGGTTTGTGGTTAGATATTTTCCAATCAAGAAACGTCAAATTTACTCTGATAATGTTATAAAATAAGTACAGGATAGTTGAGTTCATTGATGAGTAATTGAGAGTCCTTTATTTCAGGGGTGTTTGTTTTGTACGAGTTCTCTCCAATGATGGTTCAGTATACTGAAAAGAGACGGTAAGGGATATACCTGTACACTGGCATCTACTGTCATTACCTGTCACCTACTGTCATTACCTGTCACCTACTGTCATTACCAGTCCAAGGTGGTCTATTGATTTTTTAATTGTTTTGTAGATCATTCATGCATTTTTTAACCGGTGTTTGTGCTATCATTGGGGGAATATTTACTGGTAAGTTTGAATTCTGTTCCATCTAAGCAAGCTTCTTTATAATCGTGCAAATTCGACAGTTTTTCAGACTTTTCAATAAACAACGGTTTATTTTCTTCTTCTAGTGGCTGGTCTTGTTGACTCATTCATTTATCATTCCTCAAAAGTCCTAAAAGAGAAGATTGAGCTGGGAAAAGCTGGATGATTCGGTTGATTTGAGGCAGGAATTCAGGTTGAAAAGAATATTTAATAAACGCTATGGCTGGTTGGTTCAATTCATCTTTTCAACAAATGATTATTAATGGATGAATTGAATCAATCAACTGCAGAACAAAGAATGTAAAAAAATTTTCGTAAATTTGTAGCGATGTTGGATAAAATATAACATATTTGAAGATAACCCAGCGCTGCCTGGATCTGTTCAGAAACCACCTGAAATGCATTTCACCTCTCAGCTTCTTGTATATTTTAGGCAGTAAATAAAATAGGTCCATTTATATATATTTTGCATCAGTTAAACTATATAATGCTTAATCCAATCCTTTAAGGTTTGGTTTTTGGATAAGGATTATGGTCTGATTTAGGATTAAAGAAGTAAGGATTATATTCTTGGATTCTGGACATGGATTATATTTGAATAAATTTATTATTCAAGCTGTTCCGGGGGGGAGTAATTTAGGATCAGGTTAGCTTTTCCGACGGGGGGGGGAAGAAAGAATTAAAAGGATCGGATATGAAGTGAGCGAAAATGAAATGGGTCATTGATTTTGTCGATTATTTCTGTCTCAAAGCAACAAATGTAAACATGAATTATAAAATACGGTAGTTTCATGTGTCAATTGTGTTATTAATCATTTATGTCCTCAAACGCCATTCTATACCAAATTAAAAATGATCATCAATTACATTGCTCAGTCTACCAATACGACTGTTTTTTCCTTGTACCTTTCGCCTTGATAAAGTACAATAATGAACTAGAATAATTGTCAAATGGCTGCAACTTTATGGGCGCATCTGCATGCGTGGTCCCTCAGAAGACTTGTGGTGAAAAATTGTAAGTGTTTGGAATGTTTTATATTAGAATTAATGATTGGATTAATTTTATATTAGAATTAATGATTGATTAATTTGGAAGAGTTTGGAAGATGATTGTAGTAATTGTGGTTTAATTTGTAACTATGTAGACGATCTTGGCGTTCATGTCTACCACGACAAAACAACAGGTACAATAAACTACAAAATTGCCAGGAATAGCTTAATTTCAGTTATATATTTGTTTTCCCCACTAATCATCAAATGAACAAACCACATAACCTTGCCTTAATTCCTAGGAGTCAAAGATGATATGTACAGCCTCAGCAGGCAGAAATGGGAAGAAAGTATGGAGATTTTTATCACCGTTTGAATCCTCAATTTGCCTTAATATTAGTGCAATACTATTAGTTCTGAGCGTTGTTGTCATTATCAAGGTCGTGGAGTTCTGTGGACTTTGAGAAACAAAAGACCAGAACGATTAAAAGACTGCTTAACTGAAGTTGAGGTATGAAGAATTACTGGAATATTATCTTGCAGTATTTCCTAAGAGGCAATGCTTTAAACTAGGAATACTGTCCATTTTTTAAGGATCTGATTCAAGCTTTTCAAATTGTGCAAGTCAATTGGATCAGTGCAAGATTTGTGCAGGTATGAATATAGTAGAATATATCATTAAAGATGACAGATTATGTAAGACAGATTTGGATTGAAGACTGGGACATCAAAAACAGAGTGAAAATGGTAAATCAATGGAGTGAACTGCTTATTAATGTCATGGTATGACATGACATTCCCATGCATCCTCAATTTAAATCTGTCAATTGTTGACAATAATAGAACTTCAACAAACTTGTAATTCATTTACTTTTTTGTAGATTTTGTTAAGTAATTGTGCTTTGGTATCGTTCATGGTTGCCAAGAACTCTGGTGATGTTGAGAAAATATTTATTGATAAATCCCTTTGTGGGAAAATAACAGACAAAATTGATGCTGGTTGGTTTACGGTTATTTTATTTACACTATTTCATATGATTGTTGTTAAACCATCTCATCATTGAACATCCTGTATCATAGGTATTTGGGCAGAAGACTTCATGTTGCTGTCATTTTGTGATAAACCCAAACTCTGCTGTATCAACTTTGCTCGAAATCTTCCTACTGATTTCAGAAGGCTTGAAAAATTAGTAGCATTGGATATGAAAGCTACTTTCATTGACCTTCCTGGTCAGTCGGGAAGAAGGCTGAATCGTTGCCTTAGTTTGAACACAAGAAAAGACATGGTAAAATTGTTTTTCTCCTGACTCAACTCTGCTGATCTGCATGGAGATTATGATCATAAATAGTCTTTCAGTTTTTGAACAAGAGTTTCTTCTAGGTGTCTGTTTGGTGGTCGTTAGCAAGCGAGGAAGCGTGGCCTTGGTCCCCTGTTGCTGGGGACAGAGCAAGAGCTAATGTGGTTATCGTTAGAGTGAAAGGGTGAGAAAGAATTTGTAAGAAAAATTTGAAAAAATCTTTGTATTTCAACATCATTGCAAATCCTTTCATTCCAGGGGGAAATTTGATGATTTGGCGTATCTACGTACAGATTGTGACCCCATATATGTTTCATTTAGGTGAGACTATATATTCTCATGAATGTGGTCAGAAGCTCAAAGAAGATTCAATTTTGAATGTGGTCCAAACACCACAGGATCTAATCCTGCTTTCCTATCTTTTAATTCCAGTTCTCAAAATCCTAATCATATTCTGACAATTGAATCGACTCCAAAGAATGAAGGAGATCACACTGTTGATAGCTGTGTCTATGAATTTAACAAAAATGCTGTAAAAAGAGATAGTGCTGTATCTATTCCACTAAAAGGTACATTATCAAGTAAACTTGTAGTACAATGTGTGTTTGACAAATACATTTTAAAGAATACTATTTTGTCTTGTAATTGTAGCTGCAGTGACCTGTTTAGCCTGGAATAAAGCAGAGGATAAACTTTTGATGGGATGTAAAGACAAGACCTTGGTAACCATCTTTTATATATTATTATTGGTGGTGTCATATTTCAGAGTGGTTAATGTTGCCAAACCTCAAGAATATTCACTCATTATTGAGCAAAGGCATGTTTAACTTATACCTTTTCTGTTTTAGATTTTGTACGACTGCCATAGGCTAGTGACACAAATCAGAAATATACGTTTTGTATGTATTGATTTTCTTTGTAAATAGAGTTTGTTTTACCCATATAATTAGGATTATTTGATAATGATTTAATCTTCCTACCTAAAGCTAGGATAATCCGGATTATCTTGTAATGAAGTTTCTAATCTTCTAGATTCCATCAAGAGTATCCTGGCATCCAGCAGGTTCTGTTATTTTCATCTTCAGTTCCCAAGGTGATATTCAGGTGGGCACTTGTAATTGAATGTAAGTGCTTTCATTTGGTTAATTCCCATATCTACTAGGTAAGAAGGACATTTTTTTATATAAGACTTCATTGTTTTAGGTATTTGACATGGCCTTGGCTCCCCTACGGTTCCAACTTGCTACAGAGAGGCCATCTTCAGACTCACAAGTCTTTATGTTTCAAATGTCAGAATATTTTAGGTCAGCAATTATTTAGTTTTTATGTGTTTGCTCAATTCGCACCTTGTCAGAAAGATAAGAGATTTGACCCTCACAGAACCGGCGGCTGTAGGTCCAGTTTGTTCTAGATTGAGTTAATATATAGGACATAACACTGGATCAGTAAACGATAATCCTTCTTGATGGGCTGCTTCTGTTATCTTTCAGAGGTATCAAACTATCTCATGCAGAATGGTCATGTGATAGTCCTCTCAACTCAGTAATGGATGGCGATGTCTCATGTAATGATAATCTTTTCATGGTGTTTCAAGATGGGTGAGTAAATGAAGTTCTTCCTATGGTCAAGTTTAAGGTTATGATTTTTCTTTTGTGTAAATTACTGGAAGTTCTTCCTGTTTGGTTCACCATTGAGTTTTTCTTTTCATATATGTAGAAGTTTGTTATGTAACTTGAGGGTAGAGTTAGGATCATTGAGTCTTGGTCGTCTTGGTCCTCAAGAACTCATTGAAGAATACATCAAACATGATCAAGCAGAACAGGCTGTGAATTTTGTGAACAGTATCAACTGGAATGCTGATGGAAATTCTTGTTTTGTTTGTCTTTCTGCTGTTATGAATTATTTATTGAAGTCTCCTTTGACTGATGACAGAGAAGGTTAGTTATATTATAAAGATTAGTGAACACTCATTCACAAGACCTCGATGGTTTGCTGGTTAATACAGTGAACATGATATTTTTGTAGTTCTACTGGAAGAGACACTTGGCTGTTTCTACACACCTTCCAGGCCTATCAATGACGTTGTTGTGCTTCAATATCGAGATCCGTTAAGTCGGTATTCAAGAAGATTTTTCTACCATTTATTGAGGTAGATGCAAACTTTTTTATTCATAAACTGAAACTTTGTGTCTTAAATTCACCATGAAAATGATTGCTTCTAGGCACAAGAAGTTTCAGAAAGCATTCATGCTTGCTGTGGACATTGGAGCTGGTGATTTATTTATGGTAATTTTGTTTGATTGATCATAATGTTGAGAAAATTGTGGCCAAGTTTGACTTTTCAAATGCTGCTGTTTCAGGATATTCATTTTGTTGCTTTGGATGCAGGGAACATTTCATTAGCAGAGAATGCTAAAAACAAAGCTCTAGAAATTGACAGTGAACTTCTATCAACTGGTAAGTTTGAAAGTATTTGCCTTTCTCCTATGATTTTCCAGAGAAGAGGTCATGATGAAATCCTGGGCAATTTTGTCTGAGAAACATTTTCTTATAGACACGGACAGTTCCTCAGGTGTTGGAGATGATGCGTCCATTGATGATCAAGATTTCAGAATTGAAAATAGTTTTTTGAATGATCCAAGAGTGAATATAGCTTTGGGTAACCAGAATGGCATAAGGAATGATGGACAGGTTTTGGTGGAACAGACTGAAGCAACTTGGCAAGAGAGGAATGCAGTTGACAGGACCGATGATGAAGCAGACTTACCAGATGGTCATCAAAGCAATGCTGTTTTACCAATTAATACAAATATCACACAAAACCCAGATGTTTGGGCACTCGCAAATAATATTGGTAAGTATTTCTGGGATGTAACGTGAGAGTTGTATTTCATTTGTTTGATGATATTTTGAACAGAAATATCTTGGTAGCCCAGATAAAGGTTTGTAAAACTTATCAAATTTCGTTGGATCTAATTTGCTTCTGATGGATATTTTATATGACTTGCAAAGTGTATAGGCAGCAAGTCAAGTAAAACCAATGCAGTAGTGTTTTACCAATAGCAGACTAGTCATCCCCAATACATCAGTAGTGAATAAGATCAAACACAAGTCTTACATGCTCAAATAATACTTCTTTTGCAGACCTTGTAACCACAGAAAATGAAGATGAAGATGTAATATATCTGTAAAGTTTATCCTAGCTCTGAAGATTGACTGAGAATGATGCTGAATCTCAAAATAGTAAAAATCTTTGGTCAAACAAAGAAGGATAATAATTGGTTATGTAAATATCATGCAACACATATTCCCTATTTATTTCAAAATATCCAAATATTATTGCTGATATCTCTTGTCATTTTATCAGACAACTCTTTCATGTTTGTCATTGCTGCATCACTTTCTTCAGAAGAGTTAAGTACTTCAGTTATGTTGATTGTATTTAGATCATTTTCAGAGGCTTCAGATCTCAAATCTTCATTGTCATCTTCAAAATTTGTTTCTGTTTCCCTAACGTTGTTATGCAATTGATCAGGTCCTTCACCTTGATGTTGTTCGTTGCCAATAAATTCCCCAAATTTATAGCTGTGTGTAAAGGAAGCTGGGCATTTCTGCCAAGCAAAAATTGATTCATCTGCTACAGTTTGTTTTGCCTGAATTTGTTGTCCAATGATTGGAAACTGTTTGTTCAAAAGTTCAAAATTTGCATCTTTATTCTGAATATAGTCATTCAAGCTTTGGGATTTTACTTTTTCAAATAAACCTTGGATGGTGGAGAACCTATGGAGTTTGTCTTTGAGGCCCTGTGCTGGTATTTCAATGTTATCAACAATTAATGGCAGAAAGAGTTGGCCATATGTTGATGGGTTGTTAAGACAAACTTCCAACAAACTGATATAGTCCAGCTCTAACTTGATCTTCCATTTTTTTTGTTTGCCATTCAGGATCAAAAACACCCAACAGGCGTGGAAATGGGTGACTACATCACCTGAGCTTTGGTCAGGTTTATGAATTCTTTTTAACAGGAATTCTACAATGTTTGATAAAAACTTCTTGTTTGCTTTGTTTAAGGCAACCAGCAGCAGCATCAGCCATTCACAAACATCTTTTGGTAGATCTGTTGAAATATTTTCAGCTTTATCACCAGTGGTTTCAGAAAATATATTTTCAAGAGTTTCAAGGGTTGGGACCAGTAATCCTTTGCTTCCAAATGCCAGATCTAAAAACAATTCCCTATAAAATGAAATTGAGCGATTATGGTATAATATGCTGGGCAAGCTTTTGACTAGTTGCATGGTTGGCAAACTAAACCTAAAAGTCTGAGTCTTACCACATATTATACTCTTGAACAAGATCCGCAATATCTTGAGCAATTTGCTTACAGATTCTTATTGTTTTCTTGCTGCTGGTACTATTATTCTCAAAGTGCTCAGCATATTTTCGCAGAAGAGATATCAATCGTTCGTCCCTTTCTTGTAATTCTTTGATCTGGGACTCCCAATAATGATCTCGGAGCCAATCTAATGCAACCTTGAACCCAACCCTTAGAACTTCTAAAGAAGGCAAGTTTGCATGCGTTGCCTCGTGACGCAGATCCACCAGCCAATCAGGAATCCCAATTTCGTCCGCAATGGATTGAACCGACCTAGCGTAGGCACCCTTCTGTTCCATGTCAACCATGCCATTAACAAAACGTACAATCACCATTGCCATGGTATGACGAAGTACATAGGGAGTGATGAGAGATCTCACATCTTCAATCCCTGCAGAGATTAGGCTTGCAGTTGCTTCAATGGCCAATGGCAGTTTGCTATGACTTCTGCTTCTCCACATTTCCACGTGTTGAAGACCCTTTGTTTGCTGTTCTATGTTATCAAAATTGTAAAGGTTGTGGTATGTTTCAAGCCATTCTTCGCGACACAACCAAGGCACAATTCGCAACATGTTAACACCTCTATAAGAATGTTTAACCAGTTTCCAAATGGTAGTCACCAGATCAGTGCCGGGTTACCAAGAAGTGGGAAATTTTTGTGACACTGAAATTATCTTAAAAGGAATAAGCTATTTTCACTTCTATTCTGTTGTTTCCTCATACATAAACCAGTATATTATCACAGGAACAAATACATATAATCGATAGAAACTCTATATGAAATATATTTTAAATTCTAACGACAAAAATCATTAATTTTCTATAACAAACTTTTGAATTCCAGTTCAAATTCAGGACAAAATTTTCCTTTGTGGAAGCACACGTGAGCCTCGCTTGGCCTGCCGGGACTTTATTACACGAAGTTCGAAATGTTTTGCAGAAAGTGAAATATTTCTTTAGATTTTGCTGAAAAAAACGCTTAAAATCACTGCTAAAAAGCCAAGCAATGGACAGTGACGACGAATACGAACGCCGGCCTCGCGGTAGGGATAAATTTCGTCGGGAACGAAGCGATTATCAAGAGAGAAGCGAAGGTCGCAGAGAGAATAACAGGTCCGGTGGAGGTGGGGGAAACAGGCGAGACGACTCGTGGCAGGATAATCGGCGGGGAAGACAGCAACAGTGGGATAACAATCCAAGACGAAATAGAGATAATTATGGAGGAGGTGGGGGGAGGCATCATGAAGGGGCTGGCCCCCCGATGAAAAGGCAGCGGAGAGATTGGTATTCTCAAAATATTGAAATATTCTTTAGATGTGATAGAGAGATATTTTGAAATATGAATATTTAATGAAAATTTTTGCTAATTTCGGCCATTTCACGCACTCATGCACGTGGTTTAATTTAGACACTGATCTCAAAAGACACTGGATTGTCTGCACAATAATAGTACCATAATTATTTATGGTTTATAGGGATAACTCTGGTTATAGTAATCAGCAAGGTGGGGATTATGGTGGATACAGCAATCAAAATGCAAACCAATGGGGTGTGCCTGCAGACACCCAGCAGCATTCGTTTAACAACCAGCAGTACGTATAGTATATATGCTTTCTCACCTTTGAAACATGTTCATTGGTTCTATCAAATACTATATGTTTATCAGATATAACTTTAGGACATGCATTTCTAGATATATGAGCAACTAAAAATCTGCCCCTATTAAAAACCCTGTTTCTAAATGAAAAATCCATTTTCCATTTTTTAACAAGAGTCTAGATAAATTGGCCTATTTACAGTATACAATTATTTGTATGTGATTATTATTCTGATGAATGAAAACAAGTGTTTTTGCCACAATCCTGCCTATCTCATTAAATGCTAAATTAGAACTGTGATTTTTGTATACTTGTTTGCACATTCACACATGGCACATTCACATATGGTACACAGCAAAATGCATGATGTAAATGGGTTTTGATAGTGTGATAGAAGAGTTCCTTGATCTTCTAGGCAAGCGGAAGCCACTGCCGGGCCAAGAATGCTCAGTTTCAAACAGTTTCTCAACTCTCAAGCAGACGACATTGAAGACATGGAAGCTGTGCGTAAATACCAAGAATATAAACTTGAGTTTCGAAAAACTCAAATTGCTGACTTCTTTACCTCGCACAAAGATGAAGAATGGTATGTATAATTTGAGGTGTCTCCTAAAATATCTCCAGCTTTATTATCTATGCAGATGAATCTATATCTATAGTATCTTAATTGTGTTACTAACCTTGATTCTATGCAGGAAAATTATTGCAGTTTTCCATGCTGACGTCCACTATCTTTGCTTTTATTAATGTAGTTTTTTGGTTTTGGCAACTTCAAGATTTTCCGAAGTCTGTTTATGTTTGTGCATGGGGGAGAATCCCTAAAAATATTTAACATGTAATCTATCTCATCTGCCAAAATCAGTTTATATTATACTGAATGGCAAAGTTTTATTGTTTGAAAACTGTTACTGCATGTTTATTGGGACATTTTCCCAAGTTGGAGATGGCTTTTAGTATCTTGCTCAGCAGCAGTAAGTTTGTTATAATGTAAAAAATACGTAGTTTATGTGAATGCTGTGTTGTAGATTGATTCAAATAGTGTGTTTTCTGTCATGATTGCAAGTGTTTTTCAAATACAGCTTTTGGTTTTCTTTGAGTGTGTTTCAATGAAAGAAAAATGTGTAATTCAAACCAGAATCTTTTGGATTCTAAATTGTGCAAAATGATTCACAAATCTTGTTGCTAACTCAGTTTAAATGTATTGCTAATGAAATGTAATGTTTTAGGTTTCGCAACAAGTATAATCCAAGCGAGTCTCTTGCCTACCAAAGTAAGTTAAATCAAGCAGTGAAGAAACGAGCGTCAGTGTTTGTTGACCTCTTCCAGTCTGGATGGTTCGACAGGTTTACTTTAACAGCTGAACAAGGCGAGGAAATCACAAAGTTGCTTGACGCAGGTATGGTGCAAGCTTTGGTGGTTCTTGTATCCTCAGTTGTGGATTTCCCCCCCCCCCAGATGCTAAGTGGCATCCCCCCCAGATGCTAAGTGGCATCCCCCCCAGATACTAAGTGGCATCTCCCCTAGATACTAGTGGCTTCCAAAACAACCAAAATTATCTGGCTTTTAAAAACCACTACCAAGTGAAAGTTTATAATAACATACAGCAAAATCTTCGTAGATTTGCCTGGTTATTACAACCATAATGCTCACCTTCCAACACTATTATTAGCATTTTACACAACCATTTGTTTGTTTAGCTGTCATAAAGTTTGAGGGTGGAACAGATTTTGATTTGCAAGTGCTTAATGAGAAGGCCAAGCGTGCTGAATTACAAGCCAACCAGGAAAGTCAAAGCAATGAGGCCAAGCCACAAACAGACAACGCTGTACAACAAGACAGTTCAACAGATAAAGGTGTTAACCCTGTCTCCCCCACTTCTGTGCCCTTACCCGAGACCCCTGCCCCTGCATCAGAGCCTCTGAAGTCAGACAAGGAGGGGAAACCTGGGGATGTTCCTGATCCTGCTTCAGAACAAGTGAAGGTGAACGAGGATCAACAACAGGAAGGACAGGATGGAAAGGTACATTAAGGGTTATAATTTTCCCAGTTGGTTAGGGTTCCCCCTTTTACCAGGAATGCTTCAAACCTCAATATTGCACCATTCCAGATTACTGTCTATTTGTCAAAGATTTAAAAAAAAACCCAGAATACATCTACATTTGGGTCTAGTTTAACAATCTCTGCCTTTTAGAAGTGAAGGCACCTTGGCTAGTTTTCTGTGAGTGAGCATTGGAATTAAGTTTGGTATTTTTTAAAATTTTTTCATAAGTCTCGAAAACGCAAGCATCGTCACAGGGATGCTTACTACAATGATGATAATGGTGAGAGCGAGAGTGAGTCAGACTCCGAAATAGAACCTCCACCTGCTGGAGGAGAATCTTCCAAAGAAGGAAATCAGAGTGCACCTAAAGTGGAAGCAATCTCGACGGATGATGTCATCTCCAAGGAGGCTGGTGAAGAAGTTAAAACAGTTGATGAGAAGACGAGTGATGATGGACAGGAGAAGAAACCGAGTGAAAGTGAACAGCCTGGGAGCGAAATACCAAGCGATGACGTCACTGAAACAACACCTGAAGTTGCTGAAAGTGCACAAACTGCAGACATGAAACTAGAGGTATGGTGACCTCTCCTTGGTACTTCATGTTGCTAGCAATATCAGCTTATTACTTCATGTTAAATATTTATAGCAGCAGTCAACAGGATCAACACCTGTGACAAATAACAAACAAGGCGATGAAAAAATTGAAAACATGTAAGTTACACCCATTGATACACCTGACAGCGAATTTTAGGTTGTTTTGTTTAAATTGGACATCCCTAGCAATCCTCAACTCTTTTTGTCAATTCTCATTTGTTCCTTTTAATCCTTATCTGTTCCTAAGCAACCTCATCTATCAATTGTAATCTACTACCTGTCTATTCTAATCCTAAACTGTTCCTCTCAACCCTTAACCATTCCTACCAATCTGCAACGTTCTCTAACAATCCTCAGCTGTTCCTCCCAATCCTCAACTGTTCTTCCCAATCCTCAATTGTTCCTCCCAATCCTCAATTGTTCCTCCCAATCCTCAACTGTTCCTCCCAATCCTCAACTGTTCCTTCCAATCCTCAACTGTTTCTCCCAATCCTCAACTGTTCCTCCCATGACCCAGTCTTTTCGTCATCCTTTGCTATTCCAGTCGCACGACGCACTCCATTAAGAAAACCTTGTGTCTTTCATGATTCAATACAAAACCTTTGGGGTCTTTTAGGGACACAACAGAGAATGTAGAGAAGAAAGGGGATAATAATGAAGAAGACGGCGCGGAAGAGGAGAACGCTGAACCAGAAATAACAACACCTCGGGCCCTGCATCTTACAGTCTCTTTGTTCGTACGAAATGTGCCACCAAAGATCTCCCACTATGATCTGGACTCTGTAAGTTTGATACCCGATATTAAAACCAACTGACAAGTGACTTTATCGTATCTTATTGTATCGCTGAATCTGATGAAGGGTTTATATTAGAACAACAGTTTCTGTGAATAGAGTTCTGCTTTAATAATCTGTCGTCATCTGCGTCTGAACTTGCCGCAGAACAACTCGAAAAGATTCAGAATATTTCGTGCAGTCATCTCTAGTAACACACACTCTTACATGTATTTAATATCGTTTCAGCTCTGTACTCGTTACCCTGGGTACATGCGAGTTGTGTTGTCTGATCCAGCACCTGAAAAAAAGTAAGAATACAAATATCCTTATCTTTGATAATCTTTGAATATCCTGGAACCTCTAAAAAATAATCGTTCTTCCTCTAAGATTCACCCGACGAGGATGGATAACTTTCAAACCAGACGTAAACATCAAAGATATTTGCTGGTCTTTGAATAACATCAAGGTATGATCTTGATAATTACCTGTGGTCACCTTAACCACTTGGTGCCGGTTGTATAAAGCTCTTTAACTCTCTAAAGCTCTTTAACTCTTTAAAACTCTTTAATTTTGCATAGTTAAAACCTAGTTAACTCAGAAATATACGACTGATTGCTCAATTCTGTCCTTAACTACAGTTAAAAGTTAACTAGTCTTTTATTCAACTGGTCCCAGGTAACACTTCACTGTTTTATTTTTTATCCACTCTCTATTAGCTTAAAGATGTCGAGCTCAACCCGATGGTCAACCGAGAACTTGCGAAGCGCGTGCGAACCGTTTCGGGTGCGGCCGTGTTGAAAGGTTGGGTCGAGAGCGATATTACCATGGCAACTAAATTGATCCTACAACTTGATGAGAAGTTTGAAGTGTGGAAACAGGAAGTGAAGCTCGAGGAAAAGAAAGTGGAAGAAGTCAAGCAGGATGAAACAACGGATGAAAACAATGAGGCGAGTCTGTAGTTAATAACGTTCATTTCGCTTTTTTTTACCCTTGGAGAAGACATCTCAACATTCACACTTTGCTTCTTACAGAAAAGCGAGGAAAGCAATGAAAAACCTTCAGAAAACGAGGAGAGCCCATCCAAAGTAGTGTCTAAAATCAACATGCCTCAGAGTAACCCAGTACTAGACTCCATTCCTTCCAATATCTCTGAAAAACTCGCGTCTAAAAGCACCGCTGACAATCCGGGTGTGATCCCGGAGTTTGAAACATCCGAGGGTAACAAAGTCCCTGGACTGGACGGCTCCGAGCATCCACCCCCGGAGATTGATGAAAACTTAGTAAAGTTGCTCGACAAACTCTTGTTATATCTGCGTATCGTACATTCACTGGATTACTACAGCGGAGCTGAGTATTTATATGAAGATGATATGCCAAACAGATGTGGAATCATTCACATAAGAAGCCCTCTTCCTGACAAAGTCAACTATGAAGAAGGTATGTATTCAGCTTGGGTTTCCTCCTGTAGTAACACTGGATCAATAAGAGATGATCCCTGCAGGACCTCTAGGAAGAACAGTTTAGAACTGATAGAGCTATCCAGTATAAATAAAGTTAGTTTAGTTTAGGTTTCCTCCTGTAGTAACACGGGATCAATAAGAGATGATCCTTACTGGACCTCTAGGAAGAACAGTTTAGAACTGATAGAGCTATCTCTCTTCTCAGTTACGGAGTGGCACAAGAACTTGCATCAAAAACTCGATCAACATTTACAAAAGAAAGAAACTCTCTCCGAGGAGGAAGCTGTGAAGTTGGGCAAGAAAGATCAAGAGCAATATCCTTTTGCACTTTTTCACACTTTTTCGTCTGACCTCGCTTTACCGTTTTCCCTTACTCTTGATCTACCTTATTCTTGTTTTTTGAATGATATTTATTTCCTTAACTCCTATTTACGGAGGTCGAGAAGTTTATCCAAGCGAACACGCAAGAGTTGGCAAAAGATAAATGGCTGTGCCCGTTGAGCGGCAAGAAATTCCGAGGTCCGGAGTTTGTTCAGAAACATATCTTCAATAAACACGGAGATAAAGTTGAGGAGGTGAAATCTGAGGTATGGAACCGTCTTGATGGATTTGTCTCGGTGTGAAATAATAATCCAGCATTTATACATCACGGCATTCATAACTATTCACTCGTTTGCATCTATCAAAAGTAATCAGGCCTTTATCTCGCTGCACAGTCGGCTCAAGTTCGGGTTTCCTCGTGACCTGCAACTTGATTTAACTCAAAAGCTGTGCTAAAGAAACACTCTGCTCTGCAACTCATGAACATCACCTGGTTATGTTCGTGTTACAAATGTTCAGAGACACTTTATGCATTACTCTTCCTAAACAGTTGAAGACAATCGCTATTCCTTTCGTTATTGCTGCAAAAGGTTTGTAATGTTTTTGTTTCGTGTGCTTTTAAGGTGACTTTCTTCAATAACTTCGTCTACGACCCGAATCGACCGAGTGAAGTTGGGGTGAAACCCATATCATCGACCACGCCCGTGCAACAAGGTTTCCAGGGGGGGATGCAACAACAGTCTGGTGGACATGGTAACACGGGGGGCTGGGGACGTGGTGGTATGCATTACAGTGAGTAACATATTGATAGCGGTATTATTAATGGTGATGTTATCAAAGGTTTTTTTTTACAATATTTCACCACTTGCAGGTAACCGAGGTGGATATAACAATCAATATGGCGGTAGTTTCCGTTCTGATCATTACAACAACAGAGGAGGTTTTCAGAAACCACGCAGGTAGTAATGTCTAAAAAGCTGATATTCGCTAAATATTCACAAAACTGATCGATCATTCAAAATTACTTTACTTAGGGGGAGCTTCAGCGGAGGCGGTGGTCCAAGACATGACCCACGACCCATAGTGCAGTACAGGGACCTAGACGCACCCGGGGATGACAGCGAATTTTTTTAGTTAAAAAGCAACGTACTTTGGTAGCTTAGAGACCAAATATACGCGCATGCATTCACCAATTTCTACCACAGTAACTAATGGCATTGAAACGAATTGTTTCGTAACAGCGAGGCACAAACAGAATGCAAAGGCGTTATTGAGAAGAATGGAAGAACTGTCTTGATTTAATAGTAGACATTAAATATCTGTCGATCGTAGTTTTTGCGTCTATTTTAAACCGAAAATAAAGTTTTAAAAAATGACAATGTGGGCATGGTCGGTTTTCTACAAAACAACTGGTCCTAGGAACCAGTATTGGGCGATTACCTGGTATTGGTACCAGGCATAGACCAGAAGTAATCGATACCGTTTAAAATTTAATTTTCTTCCATTACTGGAACTAGACGCTCGCAGGAAGCTATGCTTCAAAGAAAAATGTTTTCATCCGCTTATAGCCACCTTAATCGAGGCCGAATATTCGCGCTAGTCCCTGCGCGGTCAATTCAAAATGGCGAAGAAGCGCTAGTTTCTTGTGCTTTCTGTATTTGTTATAAAAGTTGTATAAGTGCTTAGTCTTACATTGTTATATCATGGTAAGTACGCTGAATGAAAGCTTGAATAATAACCTGGGAACTCTGTTAAGCTGCATGCGTCACGTTTAGGATATAAGGAGATTTTTCTGTGTACAAACGTCGACGAAGAATAGCGACTCAAACGCGGGAAGTTCAAAAAAGAGCAGCGAAAAAGCAGCAGGTGGGAAATCTGGAAAATCAAAGGAAACTGCAAAACGGAGAATATCTAAGGTAGGTTGTTAAATTATCTTTTACTTCACACAAAAATATAGATGGTGTTTCGTGAGTTATCTGCATTTTGCTCGCTGCATATAATAAGCCTATTAAGACTAGAGTATCAATAATATCGTTATTCCTACTTTTAATGTTCTGCAATTTGTGGAAATGATCTGGAATGATTAGATGCAAACTGCGAGTATATTGATAGTTATCTCCTGTTCGAGTTGCATCAAAATTTAACTACATATAAAATCAAGCCAAACATCTTCTCCTAGGTTGGAAAGCTCCTATCAAATTCGCCACATTTAGTTGCGAGTAATTTGAAATGATCGATTGCAAGCTGCGAGTGAATATGTAGTCTGATGCAAATTGCAACTAAGCTGACAAGCAGTAAACTCAAAGTGTAAGACTGTTGTGTTACTACTTTGTAACTGCAATTAGAAGGAACCTGCCAGGCTGCAAGTTTTCCAACCTGCCATGCACATCTACTGTATGTTTATGTTCGATAAAGAAATCCTGGCTGGAATTAGGTCACAAAAATTGCTGTGTACTACATCTAGAAGACGCTTACAAAATATAGTGGCGAATTCTTAAACTTGTGTTGATTTTTGTAAACATTTTAGTCATCCGAGTCTGAAGAGGACAGAAAACACAAAAATAAACGCAAGAAAAGTAAAGTTATCGTTGAAACAGGTTTGTGGTGTTTCATTCAGGGATTTGGGCAGAGATTCCTAGCCCAAGATGGAATTTTTTTAATGTTCATTGTATGGGTATTGTTATATGATTATTTTCTTGGTCTCTTCCCAACAAAGTAGCTTGATTGATTTTGATTACCATAGATTCTGAGGAAGAACCATTACCAACAAAAATAAGGTTTGTTGGATCTTTCTGATACTTAATTGCTGATAATTACCTCAGAAGATATCCAGTGTGTGTGGTATATATAGCTCAGTGCATGCATTTATAGCTCAGTGTTAATTTGTGTTATTTGTTGTTTGGCATACAGAAAAAAGGATTCTGGAAGAAAGAAAAATGATATTCGTATTAGTTCAGGTACTGTGTTTATATAATATGGCAGTCAAGTTTAGTTTCATCAAAAATATGTGATAAACAAGACTTCCAATTTATATGTTTTTCAGATGAAGAAGATGCTCTTCCTCAGAGACTTCAAAAAACTGCAAAAAATGAGCCACAAAAGAAGAAACCATTATCCAAACCAAAGTACAAATATGATTGTCAATCTCTTCCAAGTCATATTATTCTAATTTCATGACTTTTTTACCATTACAGAGCTGCTGAGGTAACCCCAGCCAAGAGAGTTACGACTGCCTCGGAATACTTTGGTGCAAAACCAATCGAAAGAAGTTCAAAAAAGACACAGAAGAGAAAAGAGGTAAAGCTGTGATGCGCCAGTTCCTACATGATGTTAGCGTCTTCTCAACAAACACTTTTACCAAATGTTTAGAGACCTCAGGAAGTTTCTGAAGAATGTGCTGTTGTTGAAAGTAACAACAACAGTGAACCTACCACAAATCATTTATCTCATGAGAATGAATTACCATCTGAGAAACCATCAAAAAAGGTACGTATCCCACTCGCACCTTGCCTGGGGCCGGTTGTATCAAGCCCGTTTAGTTTAAACGGTCGATAAGTCAAATTTAAATGACACTCTTACATCTCTCTTGAATGAGTCAACTTGAATATTATGCACTGAATGTGTAGTTGTAAACATTATCTTTGTATTAAGGTTAAAAACATTTAGTTTGCTTCTTAAATAAAACGATAGACTTGCTTTCTATTAATTTGAACTTAACCACCGTTTAAGCTAATAATATATATGTAACAGACAATGTGCAATCATATTTATTTATGACATTTAAAGGCAAAGAAATGCTTGCTCGAAGACACAGCTGAAAGGGCAACAAAAGTGGAGGATAAGATTGATTTTTTACCAAAAAAGTCCCCATCATTAACTCCGAAAAAATCAAAAAGCTCACAAAACAGGAAACAGGCAACTTCAAAGTCTGAAACTCCAGGAAAGTCTCACAATAGTGTGAGCGCTTCAAAGGAAATGAGTAAAACTAGTAATAAGAACAAAACTAGAAAGACTGTTACTCCTGAAAAACAGAAAGCAAAGGAAATGTCACCAAAATCTGGAAACAAAACAACTGAATGTAAACAGCGAACCTCGAAGAAAAACATTACCCCAGAAAAGGTAACATCTGCAAAGTCAAAGTTGCCTGTCCCAACCGCAGATGATAAAAAAGCAACGCCTAATGGAAAAATTGCTACAAAGAAGGATCAGGTTAATTCAACGCCAAGCAAGAATGAAAACAAACATTTGAGTGAAGATGTCGTCCCATCCTCATTGGAAAGAAAAGCCTCAGGTTATCGAAGTTTTATGATGCGTGAAGGACCGCAAGCTCTGGGCTCCAAAGAAATTCCGAGGGTAAAATTCTAATGTCCAGCAGTAAAGTAGAGTAGCGGATCATTGGTTTAGGCTTAAGTTGTGTTTTTGTTTGTCATAGGGCAGCGAAACATGTTTGGAAGGCAAGGTGTTTGTGATCTCTGGTATACTGGAGAGTATCGAGAGAGAAGATGCAGTTGACTTGATCAAACGACATGGTGGTAAGGTCACCCAAGCTGTTAGCAAGAAAACCAGTTATCTTGTGGTCGGCAGAGATCCTGGCATGTCGAAAATTGAGAAGGTTGGTCGATCATCCCAGTTCTGATGTTTCTGCACAGCAATGTTGTATTTTCTCTCTTGCCCTTGAAACCTTTAAACTCGACTGTAGTAATCCACCTGACAACTCCACAAATTGTTTTATGTTTTAGGCAGAAAAGTTTGGAACAAAGCAAATTGATGACGATGGATTGTTTAAAATGATTAGAGCGTCTCAACCGACAGCCACCAAACCAGATTTGAAAGAAAAACAGAGCAATTTTAATGACGAGGTATAATTACTAGATAATCATTATTATTATTGTTTTAAAACAATTTAATTAGTACTTAATTAGTAATTATGCAATTGTGGGTAATTTGTATGTTAATTATCACAAGCTACATAAATATACATTAAAAGCAATGATGATATTTTTATTTTCAAGAGTTCCATTGATCTCGAGTCCTCTCAATTTACGGAGGAAAGCGAAAGTCAGGCGTCGGTGGATCAGACCCAAAGTCATGGCGGGCACAGTCAATCATCCGTTTTCTCATCATCTGCTTGTTCAACTCCTTCAACCAAAACACCGATATCTTCCCCTCTTCCAGCTGGTAGGATGAATTCCATGTCGAATGTGTAGTTCTCGTTCAAAGAACGAATAGTTTTTTCTTAGAACGAATAGTTTTTTCTTAGAACGAATAGTTTTTTCTTAGAACGAATAGTTTTTTCTTAGAACGAATAGTTTTTTCTTAGAACGAATAGTTTTTTCTTAGAACGAATAGTTTTTTCTTAGAACGAACAGTTTTTTCTTAGAACGAATAGTTTTTTCTTAGAACGAATAGTTTTTTCTTAGAACGAGTAGTTTTTTCTTCTGTAAAAAAAGACTTGCATTTGTTTGAAATTCTCTATTTTCCTCAACCATACTCATCCAGGTAAGGCACGAGACAGTTTGCTATGGGTTGATAAATACAAACCAACATCAATTAAGGATATCATTGGACAAAAAGGGGACAAAGGAAACGTGAAAAAACTTCTACGTTGGCTGCAAAACTGGCGGGAAAATAATCAAAAATCAACAAAACCCAAAGGAGGTGAAAAAATTGTTTGTAGATGTTCATTTTTCGTGGTTTTTTTTGCTTAGGAATAAAATATCATTTTGTCGTATCCTTCTCTATCGTTCTGTTTGATTTTTTCGCTATGATAAACGCCATTTCACGTAATTCTAGGATATTTTGCTGGTAAGGAAGACGGTTCGATCTTCAAAGCAGCGTTATTGTCTGGTCCACCTGGTGTTGGTAAGACCACAAGCGCTCATTTAGTTTGCAAGGTAGGTCGGTCGTATTTTGTATTTATGGACGCACAATAGTCATGGATGTAATTTCAGCAAATGCAATCATGGATTTTTACCCATCTGAAGGAGGCTGGCTTCTCGTTTGTCGAGTTCAACGCAAGTGATTCTCGCAGCAAGAAAACATTGGAACAGCAGATTTCTGAGTTACTCGACAACAAAACTATGGATGGTTACTTCGGCGCTGCAGGTTTGTAAGCTGGACCTGCCTTGGAACCTTAAATCGCCCTAAATCGCTTTAAATCGCCCTTCAATTTAGATGATTATCCCTGAAATCCCTTAATCGCCGCCTCAAATCGCTTTAAATCGCTCTTCAATTTAGATGATTATCCCTGAAATCCCTTAATCGCCGCCTCAAATCGCTTTAAATCTTCACCTTAACAGTCTTTATTTCTTGTTTCTTGCTCAGCGGGGAAGTCCTCAGGTACAAAACACGCTCTGGTTATGGACGAGGTTGATGGTATGGCGGGAAATGAGGACAGAGGAGGAATGCAGGAACTTATTAACCTCATTAAATCTACAAAAATACCCATCATCTGCATGTGTAACGATAGAAACAGTCAGAAAGTTCGTAGCTTGGCTAACTACTGTTTTGATCTTCGCTTCCATCGTCCCAGAGTGGACCAGCTCAAGGTTTGAAATATATATCCTTATATACTGGACCTCTAGGAAGAACAGTTAAGATTGATAGAGCTATCTAGTATAGATAAAGTTAGTTTAGTTTAGGTTTCCTCCTGTAGTAACACTGAATCAATAAGAGATGATCCATACTGGATCTCTAGGAAGAACAGTTTAGAACTGATAGAGCTATACAGTATAAATAAAGTTAGTTTAGTTTAGGTTTCCTCCTGTAGTAACACTGGATCAATAAGAGATGATCTTTAAAATACTGGCACTATAGGAAGGCCAATACAAGACAGGTAAATGATATCTGCCAAACTGATATGGTTTCTAGGCAGCTATGATGAGCATTGCATTCAAAGAACAGTTGAAAATCTCGCCTCAAGCCATGGAGAAAATAGTTGTTGGAGCGAATCAGGATGTTCGCCAGGTACAGCCGGTTAATTGACTCCTCTGTCTCTATAGAATGCTGTCTTCCTCACCAAATGACTGATGAATATTTTCCTTCAGGTGTTGTACAACCTTTCAATGTGGACATCAAAACAGAAATCCATATCATATGACGAGGCGAAGGCTGATGCTGACCGAGCCCACAAAGATATTAAAATTGGACCGTTTGATGTCACGAGGAAAATCTTCAGTGCTGAAGAGAGTTCAAAGATGAAAATCCAAGATCAGTTTTCTTTATTCTTCAACGATTATTCGTTGATTCCTTTGTTTTCGCAAGAGAATTACCTCCAGGTTGTTCCGTATCGCGCAGGGTGAGTGACTTCGTTCTATGATGACGGCTCAATCATTGTATCAGAATCTTCAGCCTTAGGTTTTCAGCCAATTCACTTCTGACGTATGTAATATAGTCTGTTATTGATGAAGCAATACTGCAGTGGTTTTAGTTTATTTGCTGCTCATATACATTGCACGTCACAGGCTATAAAACATCCATCAGAAGTTGCTTGGATCAAACAAATTGGGATCATGTGAGCAAACCTTTACAGACTGGTTTAAAGGATCGAAATCCTGTGGAGACAGTAGAGCTTGAAAGTCATTGTTTCTTATGCCGGATAATTTGGCTATGTTTCGATCAAAAGAGATGGAATGATTCTAGCCTCTTCTTTATTTAGAGGTGATCTGAAGAAAACCTTGAAGTGTGTCAGCGATGCAGCGGAGTCGTATTGTCACTCTGATCTTGTTGAGAAATCTATTCGTAGTAATGGCAGTTGGAACTTACTACCATTACAGGTGAAGATTAGTTCGAGAATACGCCATATTTTTAGCAAACTTTCACTCGACTTCAATCATTTTTAGGCTTTCTTCTCGTGTGTTTACCCTGGCGCGGTTATGAGGGGAAGAATGAGTCAAAGAATTGATTTTCCTTGCTGGCTTGGAAAGAATTCAACGACTACAAAGAATTCACGAATCCTCCAAGATCTCGTAAGCCATGCTCAACTCAGGTATGCCTTCAACTATAAACACTCGGATTATATTCAAACGCAGATGCATAAAATATATTCTCAAAAATTTTGATAGCATTTCTGGCAGTAAAAATGAGTTAAACTTGGAGTATATTCCGCATCTCCGGAATGTTCTCAGCAGACCATTAATAAACGCGGTGAGTCGTCAAATTTCGTTAAATACTGATCTTTTTTTCTTGAATCAAACTTTGTTTGATCGTTCTCGACGTTGTTTTTTCAAGACCTCGGAGGATTGCTCATCAAAAGTTTCAGAAGTGATTGATGTGATGGATAGTTATCACTTTGTGAAAGACGATTGGGATAACATCATGGATGTTGGGTATTATGATGGAAAGCGAAAACTTCAGGGAGATATTGATTCGAAGGTGAGTTTGTTAATGTTTTTTAATTGTATTTTATTTATACTGGATATAGCTCTATCAGTTCTAAACTGTTCTTCCTAGAGGTCCAGGAAGGATCATCTCTTATTGATCTAGTGTTACTACAGGAGGAAACCTAAACTAAACTAACTTTATTTATACGGGATAGCTCTATCAGTTCTAAACTGTTCTTCCTAGACGTCCAGGAAGGATTATCTCTTATTGATCCAGTGTTACTACAGAAATTATTTGTTTCACTTCAGGTAAAATCGGCATTCACTCGCACATACAACAAAGCGTCTCATTTAACGCCTTACGCCATGAATGTTGGCGCGAAAAAAACCAAAAAGAGCGCGGTGGATCTGGAGACAGAGGGGCTGGGTACTGGAGATACGCCAGAGGTCAGCGATGACGACAGTAATGAGGAAATTGACCAGAGTTTTAAAGTGAAAAAGAGCGGGAAAACTGGAGGTAAAAAATCGGGCAATGCGCCCGCAGGAACTAGCAGTAAACAGGCCCGAGGAAAAGGGAGCGGAAAAAGTCGAGATAAAACGAAAAAATAAGTCGATGAAATAATAAAATAAAACCGAAGATGGGCGGAATCCTTCAGAATGTTGACGCGAAAAACTAGATCTCTGAATTATATTTTTTCTTCTCAATTCAAAACTAAGCCGATATCTAAGATGGTACTGCACGATACGAAAGCGATGGGGTTTAGTTGACCCGTATAAAAATAGCTCAATTTCAAGCTAGAGTAAATTATATTGAGAGTATTTGAAGGAAACCAGACTTTCATGCTTATTTCGGGCTCTTAAAACGATGTTGATCAGGATCTGAGTGGACAAGTAAATATTCCTCACGGCAACGCTCGTCTTCTGACCAACATCCCTGGGAACAAGTGTAAACAAACACTGTCCCAAATTCAATACATTCCGAACTCCAGTTCCTATACAGATCAGTATCTTGGTTATCGCGTGTGTTTGTTCCCTGGTCTTGTGTCTCGACTCTTAACAATGACACCAGTGCAGGCATCAGTTGAAGTTCAAATACTCGCTTTCCCCCGCACGCATTGCAGGACGGGATACTCCCTGGTCCTTGGGATGTCATTAATAATGGCTCTCCATCCCAACTGTACCTAAAATGAAAGGTGACAGTCGATTTTACACAAAGGAATCTTTCCTATCTGTCCCCAGGGAAGATTACTTTAGATTACTTTAATTTAAACACTCTTCATGTTTACGTAATATTTTCTCTAATTCAACTCATGTCAACCCACCTTAAACATTGCTCAGGACACAAACTGATCTGTTTCCTAAACTTCTGGAATATCCTATCGCCATGCTTCGCTACACTCGTTTCGTATTTCTCCTTCCCCCATTGACTATCAGCAGCTGTGGTGGCCATCATTTCTTCAACACCTGGCAAGCCTTCTCTGGCAGTATAGTCAGCAAGCAATCTCTTTTCTGATGGAGTCAATTGCCCAGCTTCCAACACTAAGAGATCTTCCTCAAGTACTGTTATATAATAAGGAATAAAGCGAATTCTGTTTGAGTTTTGAGCCGCTGTCTGGGCGAAGGTGTTACTTCTCTCATGTACAACTGCTTCAGTTGATTGCAGCTTGTTAACTGAAGATGATTCATTGTTTAGAGATTCTGTTTTGTTCAGATCTAAATTCTTGGTCAGACTTTCAAGATGGCCCGTAATTGTTTCCTCTTTTTCAATCACTTCTTCCCTGGGTCAAAAATGAAAAATGAAATCTGTATTGTCGTGTCTGAGTTAGGAATATAACGCAAATTTCATGAGCATATCTTATGACCAGTGTTCCTATTTAAAACACCTGTTTAAACCTAGCTGTTTTAACCCTTTTAACTCTAAAGTCTAAACTGTTAATCGAAGATAGAACAACATACTCTCCCCAGTCGTCAGCGTCCTCACACCAAGTATCTTCATTCTCAGCTTCATGAGCTGTTTCCTAGAAACGTTTCGTAAAGAGCTTAGTTTAGAAAGAAGTTTAAAAGATTTTTTCCAGCACATATTACCTTGACCTTGTTAACATCGTCTTTGATAAATAACATACATCTCAAAACTTTCCAACTGTTGAAAATAGAAAAATACTGTTTTGATCCTATTATGTCTTATATTTCCCTTTGAAGACTTGGATTAGGTCGCAGGGGTTGAGTTTTGCGTACATCCAATCATACCTCTCTCTCTTATTCCAACAAGACATTTTGACGCAAGCAAAGATATATAAAACTCTGTGAGACGATGAGTTCTCCAATGGACAGTAAATCTGGGCTACCATAGGCAGTTGACCTTCACACAAGCAGCACTTGGGGCAAACACTAGGACCTTCATTCATCCAGTTCTGAATAAACAAGGAAAGCTCTGTCAGATCTCTCCCTCCGTAGAAGCCAGTTAAAGTTGTCTGTACATAGTGACTCTGTCTGATAACAGGCCCTGGGGTACTTGGCACTCAAGGACAGTATTTTACTTTGTATTTTACTTACTGGAAAACCACCAAATTTATTTGTCATCCAACTGCTGTTCAAATCGTCCCGAGGATTGACCATTTCGTCCGGCACTCCTAACATCACTCCTTTGCGCGACGCCATTTTGAAAGTTCATAACAAGGTGTCGGGCTACGACGGAGAATGACGGACGACGTTCGTACCATTTCGCTAACTTCCGATTCTCTCTCCATCCAGTTTTCGTTCCAAGATCAAATTTCTAAATTTGTCTATAAATATCATACATCGCATGTAGTTGAAAGGGGGCGAAGTGTAACCGAAAAGAGGTCGAAAAGTTCCGAAGCGCGCTCCGACGTTGCCAATGGATGCGCGGTGCATTTCAAACAAAATATTTATTCATCATGGCGTCCCAGAAAGAGTCGAGAATTTCTCCTTTGCCTCCTCGTGCAAAAAGCGTGCCTTTATTGAAGAAATCTACCTCTTTGGAGGCGCTTTCTCCGACGAATAAAGCAAACAGAAAGACATCCGAGGTAGGGAGGCGGTAATTTATCGATATAATCCAAACTCTTGGCAAAACAGACTTTGTTTATACTTGTACTACGGAGTTTGAAAAACTTTATTAAAAAGACCTTAGTAATTTAGTGTTTTATACCTGAGTAAATAGTCTAGTTTTGCAAGGAATATTTCAGTTATGCTATGGTTATGCGTAGCTACAATTTAATAGTAAATTGAAGAGTGTTTGTTCTGCTAAGTATTTTGAAAATGCGATTCATTGAGGCTTGGAAAATGATTGCCAAAAACGCAAACATACGGCAGCTGCATTTTGCAAAGCCTTTCTTTCTTTTAATTCGCTTGGGTTTGCTACAGTTTCCAGGATCTCAAGGGCTCTTTGAAATTATCTTCTTTTGGATTTCTAGTAGATTTTAACAATGTTATCTCCTAACTATGTTATCTAGTGTTGAGATACCTACTTCACACATTTCCCGTAATATATCAAATTGTGGGTTTTTAGCGTGCGTATATTTTCACCGCACTCTGATTTAATTCTCGTGCACTAATATAGTACTGCGTGCCTTATTTATTATTCACAAACTGTAGAAAGTGCTGGATGTTTCATAGTTGAAATATTTCATGTCAAAAAAGCATTACAAACGAGCACTACAGTATAATGTTATTCAGATGGGAAAGTGCAGTTGTTGAAACTAGGATGCAGACATTCACATTGCTTGATCTAAACATTTTATCTGATTATTTACATAGCTTTCATTTCAATTATTTACATCAGCAGCTGTGATGCCCTGTAAGTCAAACTGGAAGCACTCTTCTCATATGTGACTGAGGTGAAATTATAATCACACAACTGCATATTACAGGAATTAAACCTCAGTTACAGAGATGAAAGACACATGAACTAACCACTGTGTTTGGTAGAGTCAAACTAGAAGCAATCTTCTCACATGTGACTGAGGTGAAATTATAATCACACAACTGCATATTACAGGAATCAAACCTCAGTCACAGAGATGAAAGACACATGTACTAACCACTGTGTTTGGTAGAGTCAAACTAGAAGCACTCTTCTCACAATTGACCAAGATAAGATTATAACCATACAACTGCACTGTATCAGAATCAAACCTTCCTGAGAAGTAGGCATGCATAAACCAGTTAGCAGAACCTAATACTTATCCCAATATATAGGATTTGAACAAAACAATGCCGACGCGATGTGTCAGCATGTTGGATTCCAGTGGACCGGTGTTTGGTACGCCGTCCCACCCTTCTCCGCTGGACAAAATTAGAACATCAAAGAAGAATCTGTTTTCAAGTGTGGAGTTAAGCCAATCCATGCCTGATCAAAAATGCTTTATGAATCGTAGCTTGCCAGAAATATGGCGGGATATCAAGAACAAGAATGACGAGATTATTGAAGAGGAGGATGGGGAGGTTAAGGATGAACAATGGACAGGTGTGGTTACATGGGGTGACTGGGAGACTCTCTTAAGTTTGTGGGGGATTTTTAGGGTTTATGAGGGATAAGAGTTTGATGTTATTAACAGAGTTGGTAGATATGCAAATATTTGAGGCCAAATTGTCATTAGTGCTATCAAGAAAACAAAAAAAACAAAAGGCAAAGACAAAGGAAACAAAGAACTAGTGTGATGTTGTTTGGCCTCAAATATGCAGCTATTTACCAACCCTGGTTATTAACAGTTTAGATAACTTTTTTAGCAATTATTGGTTATAATTACATTGTTTTCACAAGAGAATTATTGATAGGAGGATGATAGTTTCTGATGCCAATGGTAATGGCCACAATTCACAAACAGATGTTGACTAATTGATTGCCATCCAAAGAAATATTATATATATGGGGTATTGCCGAACAACTGGGCATTCGCTGGTTAACTCTATAACATATTGAATGATCTTGTTTTCTACCAGGAAATGCCCTTCACAGCTTCAGTTTCGCTGCTGTCCCTTACAAAGGAAGTTTCTGCAACATCCCCGAACCAGGAAAACTCCAGGCATCCATGAGTGCTTCCTGGCAATTCTTCAACTACGTCAGCGGGGCTGCCACACCAACAACTGAACCAATTGTTGTCCGTAATCCAGTGAGTGTTGGGATTTGGGAACATTCTATTCATCCTATCACCCAAAATATTCACCTACAATCTTATGCCAAATTAACGCGACGCTACATACTCCCGCACCCTGTTTCAATGTTGGGTAGTGATGGTTTTCACTATTCGAGGTGTTAGAATAAGAGGTGTTCTTCATTAACTGTTAAAATACAACATTAAGATAGGGGGATAGGGGATCAACATTGAAAACTTGTGGCACATATTGTTTTGCATAGGATTATAGACTCTTCCACTTATAAAGACAAACCATCACTACTAAATGCATTCACATGAACCTGTTCTTATCTATTCCTAGAACAAAGCTGTGTTAACATTCAATGCAAAAACCTCAGAAATTCTAGTCGCCAATGACGTAGCATGTGACATGTTTGCCTACACTCATGATCAGCTGATTGGTATGAAAATGTCGAAAATGTTCACAAAGAGCGACGAGGCACGACAGGAAGCATTGGTTGAGCAGCACATTGAAGAAAGCGGTGCTGTTGTCATGGTTAGCGGCAAAGTGGTATGGCCTTTGGATTTATTTTAAGACCAATTATTTTTGATAGTTTCATCAAGTGTATGATGCAAACTCTAATGCTCTTGTTTGATATAGTTTGAGGCTGTGGACAGTAACAATGTTGTGTTTCCTGTGTCGCTATGGATGAAGAAAGTGACTTGGGATAAAGAGCCAAGATGCATTGCAGTCTTGGAGCCAGTTGAGAGGCAAACAGCGCACTTGGTATTTGATAGCGAGGTGAGGAACCAACTAAGATCTTGGTCACTGGGTTATGAAATAACCTGATACAATCAATCAATGAATATGGATTCTTTTTTAATTTCTGATGATTTTTTTCTGATGCTATTTCCCTTACTGTATTCCAGGGCACCATCTTAGAATGTGATCAAAAACTTGCAAGTCTTTATGGTTATTCCTCACCTGATGAACTGGTTAACATCCACGTGAGACAACTCATTCCTTCTCTCATCCTGCCAGTTCCTGGTCAAACTATTGATAAAGTAAAGATATATTTTCAGTTAAAAACAAGATAACGCACACAAGAGCGCTATATTAGCTGAGCTAAAGACCTCGCGGGGCTGTTAACTCAAGGAGTTTCTTTCGTATGCGGATGATTTTCGGGCTGAACTAACTGCGTTGCGAGGTCGTCACCTCAGCTGATAGCTTTCGTGTGCGATGGGCTTAAAGCTCATCTTCTATGAAATGAAGTTTCTTGCTTCTTTGTAGAAAACGAAGAAGCAGCAAGCTACTGGCAGGATAAAAGATGGTCCAGCATTTCCTATGAGTATCTCAATCAAGGAGAATGAGAGTGAGAGGTTCACGTATACTGGTGTAGTCTGGGTGTTTAGCAATATCAGTGGTCTAGTCAGTGTTCTTCCTAATGGTGCGATCTACAGCTGCAATAAAAACTTCACATTGACGCTGTTTGGTTACACAGACGATGAACTGGTTGGCCAGGTATGGAGAAGTTTAAGAGTTTTTAGTTAAGAGTGTTTGGTAAGAGTATTTGTTAAGTATTTTTTGATTGAAATCTCCCTCTAGCCCATCACTCAGCTGGTTCCGGCATTCTACGATCATATGGATCTCGTTGACGACAGCAGTATGCCGTTTCCCCCTCTGGACGATGATGATGAAGAAGGCGAGATCATGACCTCACGTTTATCTGGCGTGGTCACTGGGAGAAATTTCACTCCTAAAGAAAGTGCTGTGATCTACTCCAGGGAGATTGACTCACAGGCTAGCACGAAGAGTAATGACGGTGAGTTCTATAGAATTGAATTCCTAGAAGCTATGATGAGTTTCATGGAATGAAAACGATACGCTCGTGTTGAATTTCTTAGAAAATGTTCAAGAGGATGAAATGAGATTACGTTGTTACGAAGTTCAATCACCTTCAGAAGAGCAGCCAGCAAGAAACTATTTTAAATTTACCTCAGGCAAGTGACTTAGAAACTTCATCTAATGTGTTCTCTTGCCCTTGAAGTTGTCTCGATCTAATCTTGTTTTGATCTAATCTTGCCTTGATCTAATCTTGTTTTGATCTAATCTTGTTTTGATCTAATCTTGCCTTGATCTAATCTTGTTTTGATCTAATCTTGCCTTGATCTAATCTTGTTTTGATCTAATCTTGTTTTGATCTAATCCTGTTTTGATCTAATCTTTTCTCGATCTATTCTTGTTTTCATCGAATCTAATTTTGTCTTGTCTTGATCTAATCTAATCCTGCTATATCAGGCTCTATTCTGTCTCATTATATCTCATCTAATCTTGATCCAGATCTTAATCCTAGTTAGTCCCCTTCTTGATCTGATCAAGTTCTAATATCATTCTTCTCGACCAAGGTTTGATACCGTTCTCATCTTTTCTTAATCCAGGTTTAATCCTAAACTGATCCAGGCTTTATCTAGACTTGATCTTGCTTAAATCTGATCTGATTATCCCCTGATCAAGTATATCTTTTCTTTCTCTGCATACCCAGGTGATCTAGGAAATCTATCAAAGACCGCAGGAAGTATCCATCCCTCGGAGATCGACAGTACTCGGGCAACACTCGGCGACAGTTCGCCAAGCACGATCAGTCTGAGCAGTCTCATGAACGCGGAAGATGGCACCGAAGAACCTGGGGAGGAGAATCTAGAAAATGATAATGAATGCGAGTTCGACGAAGAGGATGAAAACGAGGCTCCAACTACAGGTGTGTGCAGTATCGCCAGACTCCTATGAGAAATAAACGTCTTTTATCAAATTCTGGATTAAGGACGTTTCATTTTAGATTGTGATGACACGAAAGAAACACCCCGCGCTGACTACAGTAATGTCTGTACTCATAATGATTCGCTCAATGTTAACGAAGGAAGTGGTAGTGACCACGCGAACGTTAGCCCGACTGATCAGGTTACACTCAATGTTATCGAACAAACTGAAGAAAACGATGCCAGCCATGGGGATATTCAAAGTGAACATAACAGGACACCAGTGGCGACGAGGGGTAATGAAGGACATAGTGGGGATTCCGTGCTCTCGTCAGGAGGTGCATCACGTGACAGACCAGACATGCTCCTTGATCCAGATAAATCACCAGACGAGCCACTGGCTCTATCGTCTCCGACCTCGCCGAGAGATCACGACTCTGGCGTGTACACTGCCGAAGATCTCTTTCGAGATATGTTGGCTAAACGAGGCAAAGGTTGGTCTTCAAATACGCCTGGTTTCCTTCGTAAGTGTCCTGCATGAACATGTCAACGTGGGTGATGTGATAGAGTATTTCTATTATGTGTGTAGTCCACAATGCCAGCTTTCAATACGGAAATAAAGACAAATTTACAATCAAGCTATTTCACATCGGCGAAAATGACTTGTTCACGACAACTACGACTTATTGAAAACCATTCTTTACAAAGTCATTACTTGTGAAGACGCAGTTCAGCTTTTTCATTGTTAGGCCTTAGAGTAGATTACTTTCCAGGATATCTCATCTCTTTTTTTCTTATTTGTTAAGATCTCCATGATTCGAGACCAGGTTCCTCCGCCGAGACCGGGAGCACAGATACAGATACACATCGTTCGACACCAAGCCGACCATCCAGGCCTCGTTCTGATGTGCTCACGTCAACACCTAATATGTCCAGCGCGGGAGATACCCCTCACCTCCAGTCCCCCGTACAACCGATATGCGAGGGACTGTTTGTAGGTCGAGCTCAACACAAAGACGGATCCTCGCTTGGACTGCTGTTTCAGGTTAACTAAACTGACTTTATTTATACTGAATAGCTGTATCAGTTCTAAACTGTTCTTCCTAGAGGTCCAGTAAAGGTCATCTCTTATTAATCCAGTGTTACTACAGGAGGAAACCTAAACTAAACTAACTTTATTTATACTGGATAGCCCTATCAGTTCTAAAACTAGAGGTCTAAGATTGGTTCTGTTTCCTACTAGATTAAGAAAGTTGAACTCAAAGATGGTCAGGTGTTGTTTTGTATCTGGATATCGAAGGATCCCGAGGACGAGGATGGTGGACAGACTCAGGGAAATCACACTTTAGGATCAAGTCACAACAGCCTGTTTGTCTCTTCTGTCGGGGGTATTAAAGAGGTAGGATGTTGTCATACATAAATGCCAAGTCATACAAGAGGGAAAAACAAGTTCTTAAATGTTAATTTCATCTCTTTGGCAACCGTCATTTTATCACTAAAATCGTCTCGTCTTACAGCTTAGTCAGTCCATTAGTGAACTCAGTTTAAAAGATCAAAACTCTCCTGGAAGAGGCAGATACGATGAACGATATCTTACGTTGGATTCGATTGGTAAAGGAGCGTTTGGTTTTGTTAAACTCGCAAAAAGAAGGTCGGATAACCGTGAGGTGAGAAGTTGGTTACCTCTATATTAGCTCTTCGAGCCTTTCTTCCTAGAAGTCCAGTATGATGAATTGTTGTGTATTTTTAGGTTGTCGTGAAGTTTATTCGGAAAGACAAGGTTCTGAAAGGTTCTTGGAGAGACGATCCTGTGCTGGGAACAGTTCCTTTTGAAATATCTCTGCTTTCAAAACTAAAACACCCAAACATTGTCAAGGTGCGGAAATTAAACTAACTTTATTTATATTGGATAGCTAAACTGTCCTTCCTAGAAGTCCAGTAAGAATCATTTCTTATTGATCCAGTGTTACTACAGGAGGAAACCTAAACTAAACTAACTTTATTTATACTGGATAGCTCTATCAGTTCTAAACTGTTCTTCCTAGAGGTCCAGTAAGGATCATCTCTTATTAATCCAGTGTTACTACAGGAGGAAACCTAAACTAAACTAACTTTATTTATATTGGATAGCTCTATCAGTTCTAAACTGTTCTTCCTAGAGGTCCAGTAAGGATCATTTCTTATTGGTCTAGTCTTACTACAGGAGGAAACCTAAACTAAACTAACTTTATTTATACTGGATAGTTCTATCAGTTCTCAACATCAGGAAACCTAAACTAAATGTTCTTCAGTTGATAGATGCGTTTGAGAACGAGGATTTCTTCCAGTTGGTGATGGAGAAACATGGTGGGGGTATGGACATGTTTGAGTTCATTGACAGACAACCAAATATGGACGAAGCCTTGGCGAGTTATTTGTTTCGACAGGTATAGGAAACTCGTCACTCGTCACGTTGTCAGCTCAACCGACAACAAGAACGGGAATGAAATGATATAACGAGAAATATTTTCAATCTCTTACTCCAGGTTGTGGATGCTGTGGCATACATGCATTCAAAGAATATCCTCCATCGTGATGTGAAGGTATCCATTCTCAAATAAATACGCTAAAAAGCCCGTTAACACTTGCGATTTCATATGCATCGACATCCGTTTTGTTTCCGTCTTGGAGAGCTTTCTTAAAGTCGTCGTCTAAACCAACCGTCTTCTTTGCTTTAGGATGAAAACGTCATTTTAGACGAATCGTTTACGGTCAAACTGATTGATTTTGGTTCAGCTGCCATGATGGAAGAGGGGAAATTATTCTCGACGTTTTGTGGCACGATGGAGTATTGCTCTCCGGAAGTTCTCCTCGGCAACAAGTAAGTGACCTTAACTATCGTTTCTTCTGAGATACGATATATTTTAGCGTTGTTATCGTCAGTCATAAAACTCAATTCTCAAATTGTATTTCTTCAGGTATCGCGGCCCGGAGTTAGAGATCTGGTCCATGGGTGTCACCCTCTACACTTTGATCTTTGGGGAGAACCCATTTTACGATGTCGAGGAAACAATTCGATCTGAACTTCATCCGCCATTCTCCGTTTCACAAGGTAAGGATTTGCACCATCGGAAGCATATATTGCAGGAATCAAACTTCAGTTACACAGATGAAAGACACATGTACTAAACAGTAAACACTGTGTTTGGTAGAGTCAAACTAGAAGCACTCTTCTCACATGTGACTGAGGTGAAATTATAATCAGACAACTGCATATTACAGGAATCAAACCTCAGTCACAGAGATGAAAGACACATGTACTAACCACTGTGTTTGGTAGAGTCAAACGAGAAGCACTCTTCTCACATGTGACTGAGGTGAAATTATAATCAGACAACTGCATATTACAGGAATCAAACCTCAGTCACAGAGATAAAAACACGTTTACAATGGTAGCTAAATTAGCTAAATACTCGCACAAACTGTGTTCTTACAGATTTGATGTTCCTCATTTGTTGGATGCTCCATCCTGATCCAAATTTCCGCATCATCATGCAAGATCTTCTACGAAATCCGTGGCTGACGCAACCCGTCGATATTCACCTGTACAGCTTCACCAGTGTTGTTGGTAAGTTGATATGAATGTTGTTTTTTTTTATGAAATCTCCCTTGCCAGGCCTGATTTTAAAAATGTATTTAATCAAGGTGGTGTTGAAGAAAATCTCCAGGACATATTGGATGAAGAGCGAGCAAAATTGGAGCAACAAGACCTTGATTTGATGCCTGCTGCTGCAGGAGATCATGAACACAAATATCTACAAGCAGCTTATCAACAGTATCTTGAATCAGTTGATGATGATGATGAAAGTTGATAGAAATGTAGAAATATTAAATTGAGAATATAATGTATTTAGAAAACTATGTATAGTGTAAGTATAGAAAAAATATTGCTGTTTTTTGTTTTAAAGTGGTTTTAAAGTGGTTTTAAACTTTTAATGCATCTTTAACATGGAAATACTCTCTGGTAATTGTGTCCAAAAAACGACTTGATAAAAAGGTATTAATCCTATGTTCAGTGAATACCAAATACACGAATTCAATCCTTGAGATGGATTAGGATTAGATTTAGAACCGAACCCGAATTGACCATTATCTAAGTCTTAATCCTAGCCTAATCTCAGGGATTAAATTCGTGTATTTATGATCTACTAAACATGGAATAATTATTGCCATGAAAGGGACTAAATGAATCAAAATGGAATAAATCAAGTGGAAGCATTTATATTGAATTATGGTGGATATTTTTCTTGAGTAGATGTTTTCAACTCCTGACTACAATCATGTTTATTTATACAAAGATGTCTACGAACCGAGCGAGGACAGCTTCTTACTGCTGGACGCATTGGAAAGCGAAGCGGATTTTCTCTTAGGTTTAAAGTGAGTGTCTTATTTGTGCATTGTCAGCATATAAAGTAACATTGTATTGTCGTTTGCATCACGATGAACAGCTGTGGAGTACTGCACTGTTTTATCACGTGAACATTGGATAATTATTTTGAAGTGTTTATGCTTGTCTAGAGAGGTAGGGTATTGTTAGTTACAAAGGTTTTTATATCATCTTTCTAGGCCTAGTTTATGCTTGGAGGTTGGTAGTGGCAGTGGTGTTGTCATCACATTCCTGGCTTCAATTCTTGGAAATGATCTTCATTATCTGTATGAGAAAATAGTTGTACTTTAGGTCTTAAACTGACCAGTATATATTAGTATACTATCAATGCATATTCTCATATATACATATGAAGACTGCTAGCCCAATTAGTTCCCCATGCACCATCATTTACTGGATTTACTGATGAAAAGTGTTAGTATGCAATTCTCAGAAACCCATGTGCCATTGTGGACACATAGTGACCTCAAGCACTCTACATGAACTGATAAGTTGGGTCAGTGGGTCTTGCCCTAGAGTTATTTAGTATATATTTACACATATTTCTAGGGCAACAGACATCAATCCAAATGCTTGTATTTGTACCCAAGAAACAGCTCGTAAGAATGGTGTGCCTATCAGTGTGGTGAACACAAATATGGTAGGAATGTGATGGTGTTAGTACAAAGGTGTTATAGCATTGATATTGAATAGGGAATAAATATATTTCATTTATTTAGTGTGATGGATTAAGATTTCCTGCAGGCAGACAAGTGGATATATTATTGTTTAATCCTCCTTATGTAGTCACACCTTCGCATGAGGTACGAAATGATGCAATATCATAAGAATGATGTGGCTATGAGGATAGCTACAGGTAGAAGGTAGCACTAATGGGGTCAAAGGGTCAGTTGACACCACCAACACCAGCAGTCCTTTCCACAACTGTAGACACCAGTCATGTAAATCTACAACAATACACCCAGGTTCAAATCATTTATCTGAAGTATTTTTGTATCATTGCAGGTATCTGATAATGGGATTTCCGCTGCTTGGGCTGGAGGAAACAATGGTCGAGAGGTGATAGAAACTAAGTTGAAACATTGTTCACTACAATCAAGATGCAAGCTATGATTTTTGTTGAAGGTCATGGATAAACTCTTTCCAATTGTACCGAAGATTTTGTCAGAAAAAGGAGTATTTTATTTACTTGTTTTAGAGGAAAACAAACCAGGTAGCATGAGCTATTGTTTTGTATTGTATCTCTACTGTTATACCTTGTGTCATGAATGAAAACATTTTTAAAATATAATTTCAATTTCTAGCTGAAATTTGCAATATCATGGCATTGTTTGGATTTGAAACCAAGACTGTTTTGAAAAGAAAAGCAAGGAATGAGCATCTGTTGATATTAAGAATACATCGACCCTAGGTTTTAGGATATTTATTAAGGTTGAAAGCAGGGATTTGTGTCTCATGCATGTTCCATAATAATTTTAGCCAGGTTGAATTTTATTCATGAGCGTACAGCTGTTCGATATGTCATTAACAGTAGAGGAATATGTTCGTCTCAGTCTCGTCGATGTTCTTTTACGAACAATGATAGTTGATATTTCAATGTACAACGATGGTACTTTTCCCATGTTATCTGATTCAGGGTGTAATGGAGTTGTTGTGGTTGTTCATCCTAATGATAAATGACCTAGAAATTAGTGACAGCAATATATGGAAATTCGTTGATGACGTCACTTTAGACGAAACTGTGAAGAAAAATGAAGAAAGCAATATTCAATCGATTTTAGATGATCTATCCATACAAATTTCTGAGGCAAAATTTAAACTTAACGAAACCAAGTCCAAGTGTAAAGAGTTACTAATCGGGTTTTGTAAACCAAGAACAAGGTTTGATCCTATTACGGTAAATGATAAGAGCTTGGAAGTGGTTGATAGTGTGAAAATCCTTGGACTGAATATCTCTGACAACCTGAAATGGAACAATCTTATAGAGGTACTTGTTCTATACTTTATAACGTGTCCCTCGTGATCCATACTTGTCCTTACCTCCTTTATTTTGCGCATGCGTAAATGAACGTTCTCTTCAAGTCAATCAAGTGCAGTGAACTCTGATCAAGTGTTGATCTTTAAAGCCATAATTTGGCCAAAAGCCTGTGTTTTGAATTGCGAGAAATAAGCAATAATATAGTAACCTCATCGAATGATACAAGTATTTTGTTTTAGTAAATGTCAGTTGTAAAAGTACGATTGGAAAGAAAACGTTTTGCCATGTGTGATGTTAAATGCTCGCTATTTATAAACTTACATATCGACGCATCAAGATTCAAGACAACACAGAGGTTTGTGAATTTCTTTGAGCTATTTGTTTTAATACCTGGTCTAAAGTTGGCACGCTGTAGATTGCGAAAAACTGCTTTGTCACCACCACCTGACCCTTTGTGTAAAATCTGATGGTCTGAACTCTGGACTGAAGCCGTGGTTTCCCAATATACACAAGTGACAAGTATAATAAATATTCATGATTTTTAGAAAGTCGATCATCAACTCAGGCATGGCTACATTTGAACAGAGAGATTTAAATCTCCTTGTACCTCTGGTTAAAATTGACAAGTTAGATTTAACCAAATTTCAAGACACAAATATCAAAGAAAAAACAAACATAAACTGCAAAAAACGAAGTGCTGTAAACAAGAAGAAGAGGTTAAGGGTACTAAGAATGAAAGCAAAGTACAACTGTTTGGACTGTCCTGAACAATTCAGTAACAAAAGGATCTATTTAAAACACAAACATATACATGATTCTAGGAAACCTCATCAATGTTCAACCTGTCACAAAATATTTCCAAAGAGAAAAAACTTGCGTAGACATAAACTCTTACATGCAGATAAAAAGCCGTTTTCTTGCGATGTTTGTGGCAGGGAATTCATTGATTACTCGTCAATGAGGAGACATAAATGGTTACATACTGGAAAGAAGCCTTATCATTGTAAAATATGTGGGAAATCTTTTCCTTTTGAATCATACTTGACAAATCACAACCGGACACATACTGGAGTAAAGCCTTATTCATGTCCTGAGTGCGATCAAACATTTTCTCAAAGTGTGTCTTTATTGCGGCATAAGAAAATGCACAGTGCCGAGCGACCATATTCATGCGAGTATTGCTCCAAAAGGTTTAAGACACCCAGGTGTCTAAGCGTACATACGAAAATTCACACTGGGGAAAGAAGATACATTTGTGAAACATGTGGCAAGGGTTTCATCACTGCCGGAGCCCTCGGGAAGCATAAACCAGTTCATGCAAGGAAAGAAATCCCTAAACCCTTCAAATGCGGTGTTTGCCAGCAATCGTTCTTTACGCATGTAAGGCACAGGAAACAATGTCCAAAAGCAACGCTTTTCAGTTGTAATGTCTGTGGAGAAAGGCTCACCAGGATTGTTGATATGTGTGTGCACAGGAGAATGCATACTGGGAGAAAGCACTTGATGTGTGATTTTTGCGGAAAGAAAGATTTCCCCACTGCAAGATATCTACGAGCACATGTGAATGTTCACACAAAAGAGAAAATATATCGGTGTGATTCATGTGTGATGAGTTTTACCAGTGAACAGGCATTGAAAAGGCACAAAAGGGCGCATTGTAAGAAATTAGGCAAAAAGCCGAGGAAGAAATGTAATGTTTGTCATCGGTCATTTTGTCGGGTTGATGTTCTGCGTGCTCACCAACAACAAGAGCATTCTTTGACGCAAATTGGCGGTGGAAGAAGTGGGTATGTTTGTGGTTTATGTAGAAGAGAGTTTTCCACATTCAATCTCCTGGAGGCGCATAAAGAATACCACACTGGAGAGAGAGAGTCTGATGTTGTACCACACAATGAGTTTGGTAGCAAAGATGGTGAACTCGAGCCAACTGGAACAATGTATGGCTGTTTTGAATGTGGTGAGGAGTTCAGCCTGGCCAACGATCTTGTTGAGCATGACAAGCTTCATAAAATTTAAATGTGAACTTGTTTAGATGAGATTAACATTTTTAACTAAGATTTATTGTATTTTCTGTCACTTGAACTATGTGTTAATACATAATAGTTTAGTATTTTAGAAGAATAATTTTAATGTTTTTATAGTTGCATGAGGAACTTTAGTTATTCATACTAAGTTTGTTTATACATTTGATTAAACATTGGAAGTTCATTAGTGAAGGACATGTTAAATATCATTTGAGTCATTTGATTTCATTAGACTCTCTGTGAAGTTTCATTTGAAGGTCTAAAAACTGATAATCCACAATATGATTGATGGTGACTCCCACTTATTAGACAGTAATACTAAATGCATAAAATTAATCCTTCAGATTACGTTGCAATCAGGTTTTAGGTGTATGGTTGTTAAGGGTTAATCCTAAATCTAATCCTAATCTGAAGGATTAAATTCATGTATTTAGGATTTACCAACAACTTCGTCCCAAGGTCGAGGCTGTGTTTAATGGTTTCAAGGGGTATAAAGAGGATTATTGGGGCTCTTGGAGATGAAGAAAGGACATATTCAGACGACTTAAGCACAACGATACATTATATTAATGAGTCACAAAGTATTAAGCGTTTGTTGTTACGGGCTCAATTTTTATTTCCGGAAATTTTTGCAATTTTTTGGTTCCTTTAATTAGACCATCGTTGTCTTGTCATTTTGTAATTTTCAAGTTTGTTTTCTCCTTTTTCGATGGATATTCTTGCAACTAAGGATGCTGATTTAAATAACGCCAAAGCAGAAGCCTTGACGAACGCTATCAGAGCTGTTGCAAGCTATTTACAGGTCAGTAATCATATAAAATAACAATGATTCATGTTTGACTCAGACGAGGCAGGCTGTGGACTGTGGTCAGAATTCGGTATAAACGAGTTAAATAGACTGAAAACGTAATTATTTATATCCACAAACCGTAGCAACTGAAGCTAATTTCCACTCTGTTTCCACAGACAGCGTGCTAAATATGAATTATTGTAGTATAAATGAAAATTTTAAATAGCTATTTATTTGGAGAAGACGTGTACATATTAAGTGACAATTTTTGTGAATAATGGTTTAAGTTACGCATGTTTAAATAAAGGTCTGGGTGAATCAGTGCATTCATAACTTTCTTCTCAATTGCGTCCATGAGGTAACAAAAGTGTAAACTTGTAGTGATCTTTAAGTGCATAGTTTTACCAGGATACTATGCCAGGATCCTGTAATGCAGGCCTGTCCGCAAGGTATGCAAACTGCACAAATGATATTTCAAAAAAATACTAGCAAATATATAGAAGACATTAAAGTTGCATGTTCCCCCAGCATCTCAGTTGCGAGATACATACTTTCCACACTGGCAGCTGTAATGCAATTCTTTTAATATGTCTATCGTCACATCTTCAATAATAATTTTTGTGAGCTTGTAAATGCTAGATCTGGTCAGGTCTGAATGTTTGTCTGGATTGATTGCATTATTCAACATTGTTGTCTAATTGTTAATTAGTTGTACAATAGAGATAATCTTTTTTTACGTATTATCCATCTTTCAGCATCCTGATCAACTTGATAAAGTTGAGCAATATCGACGTCGAGTTATGAGAAACAAGGTAAACATTTGAGTCAACTAAAGATTATGACACCCTACATGAATGGGGTTGTTTTTTACAATGGTCATTGCTGTCGTCATACTTGACTTCCAAACCTCTTGGAAAAAGTCATTTTGTTATCTGTTAGTGAAATTAAGAGAAAAACAAATTGTGATCTCTATATTGTTACATTTGCACCAATATTTAGGCATCTGTTGAGGCTCGTCTCAAAAATGCAGTTCAATCACAGCTGGATGATGTTAGATCTGGCTTACATCAACTTCAAAGGTAATTAATCAACATTGAAAATCTCCTCTTTCCATGAACAACATAGAACCCCCCCTCTTTCCATGAACAACATAAGAAATCTCTGACTTTTCAATCAGAAATGCAGGTACAAGTGCATTAACATCCATCTTGATTTCATTTAGTGCACTTCAAGATGTGAAACGTATAAAAAAAAAGTATGTAGTAATTGAAAACTTTTATATATATATATATATATATATATATATATATATATATATATATATCTAAGAGATATCAGACCACACATTCATTTTCCTCCTTCTCAAGTCTTGAAAATTTTTCACTTCCAGTATGGTGGAAGTTGATGAGACCTTTCGATCTTGTACTCACCTGGGTGAGGAACTTGATGCAATCAAACGATGTCACATGAAACACAGCGAGGTATGGTCATATGTATGTATGTAGCAATGTCATTCTCTGGTCACAAGCAAACTGTAAAGCCTGAACTAAAAGCAATTCAATTTCTCTGACTGGGAAATCACCTGCTTACAAATGCAGTATGAGGTGAAATAAATTGCTATGTGTACAGCTTAAATTTGAAATTGCTGCACATGGTAGATTTCAGTTCCAAAATAATTCTTTAGAAGTCCCTAGGAATTAGCACTGTTATCTTTTATGGTATTTTAAATTTGAAGTTAAGTTGTGTCATTTATTCTGCCTTAATTACCTTTGATCTGCGACTGATTAAATGGATATTGTCCTCTGGGTTTATTTATTCGGTCATACGTATGTAGTACTGATGTGTAATATTGTTTTGTAGGCTGCCAAAGCGTGCCAACATTTAAATCAAATTTTTGAGGTTCCTACAACAGTTTCTTATACCGAGAAATGTATTGAAAATGGGAAACTACTTGAGGCACATCAAAAGTATGTACTTTGTAATCTTTGCGAGAATCTTATTTCATTCTGAGTGAGACTAAACTGGGACACTGGATTAATCCAGGGTTATAGAACAGTAGAGTCGCTGAGAATTGCTTCGTTATCCAACACTTTACTGAAGGAGCTACTTAAGGAAGGTTTTGCTGGTGCAAGATAGATAATATTCATGATCACATCTCATGTTTCAAGTTTCAACCTAGATTGTCAGAGCTTGAGGCGACCAGAGATGAGGTTTTGTTGGAAGTTCACAAAATGGAGAAAACAAATACAACCTCGAAGAAAGAAGCTCATGTACGCAATGAATGCTTTTGATCTGTAGTTTAGCTTTCAGATTAAATGTGTGGTGATGGAAAATATGGGGAAATTTATCCAGTATTGATGATGAATATATTTTAATTTTTTAGCTTGTTGAAGCATACTTTGCCGGAATCCACGTTCTGTCGGTAGGTCTGAGTTTTTTCGATTTAAAACAATACAACTTCTTGATATTTTCTTTGCGTTGTTTTCAGACAAAACTTGCCAAGCAATTGGTTGTTATCTTGGAAAGAATATTGAGTACTGTCCGTGTTGATCCTGCAAAGCTTGTCACAGCTCTCAGAATTATTGAACGTGAAGAAAGGTTTGTTTGTTTGTGTCTACTAGACCAACCACCCTGAAGAGTGTAATAATATTTCGAATTTGAAGTGAAGATGATGGTCAGCAATTCTCTTTCAGAGCTGACAAACTCTCAGAAGAGAGGCGACTTAGGACAGGCTTCAGTCCTCCTGGACGACCAAAAAAATTACGAGCAAATTTGTACGAGACTTTAGAAACAGCAGTGGACCACAGGTGATGATGATATGTGATTGGGTCTGTCATTAGGTCGAAGACTATCTGCTTGCAATATGCCTTAATGAAGTGACTTTTGATGAATCTAGATTTGAAAGTCTGCAGATTAAACTGGAAGAACGAAATGAGGACAAAATGTGGTTGGTAAAACATTTAGAACGAACAAGACAGACAATGGTGGAGGATCTGATTGTTATCAAGGTGGGTGATCGATTGAGACTCTTCAACATGCAAAAATATCTTCAAATGTTGATAATTATTCTACAAAATCCATACTTCTAGACTTCCTGTCAGCCATGTTTTCCTCCAAGTTACAATATTTTCGATAAATATGTGAAAATGTACCACAAAGTTCTGTCAAAAATGGTAAGTTCTAGAAAGTGTTATGCAGGTATATGTTTTTAAATTACCAGAAACTGGAACGTTTTTAGCCCAGCTCTAGAACTTTTTATCATTTTAGCTGGAGGATTTGGTATGCATGCAATCTCTGGAGTCTGATGAATGTGTTAGCATACTGACTTGGTTGAAAGAATATGAGTAAGTACGATATATGACAATGATTACTACGGACGCTTTTCTTTAGGCAGCAAAAAAGGTCAGACCGGTCATATTTTGAATTGAAATAGAGTTTGTTAAGAATATAACGGTGAAACTGCATCTCCCGTCAATCTTCAGATGATTAACGTTATTATCAGAAAGGTACATTTGGTTGTTAATTGATTATTAATTGTGACTTCTTTTAGTGGTCCAGATCTCATGATGCATCCAGAGTTACAGATTGATACTCACACCTTGAATCCATTACTAAAACCACCCATCCTAGAGGACCTCAAGAAAACGTGAGTAAAACTTCTCCCCTAAAAATTCTGGCAAGTTCTGCTGAAATGAAGGATAAGTCAGAGAGTTTTTTAACCGTTTCGCTATGACGTTTCCAGGCAGATGTTCAAAATTCAAACGTTGATAACAAAAGTGACTATAATGTCACAACGTTAAAGCCACGCCCTAGAAACGTGTCAACGTCTGCCTGGAAACATCATCGCGCACAACGGTTAAAATTTACGCGATAACTATTCCCATTTACGCTCTACCTGAATCCGCAGTAAAAGCATGCAACCTTGCTCTTTAGCAAACCCGAAGTAAAGTTGTTGATATTTTGAATTTTAGGTATTTCGAGACGACTTCTAAGAACATCGAGGAATGGATGAACAAATTAGCAGAAACAGATACAAAGGTACAGCGGTAATCAGCGTAAAAGTAAACATCGAAGGCTGGATGGCTCTATCCACTGGACAGGCGTAAAACGTAATCTAATCGAAGACCTAATTATCACTGAATTTCAGGATTGGGAGGAGTCTTCATTACCTGACAGTGATGGCGATGGTTATTTTATTACACCCCTTCCTGTTTTCTTGTTTCAAATGGTTGAGCAAAACGTGAGGATATTTTTCATTTGATATCACATTTCATGCGTTCGTGCGAAAAATACCGGACATGCGCACTGAATATCTTCGAATATTTTAGCTTCAAGTTGGTGCCCAGGCCGGAGAGGAGTGTCAGATTATTGTAAGTGAATAACATGGTTCATACCTCACGCAGTGGTTAACCAACCTTGGACATGTATTCTGTGCCATCATATAGACAATCCAAAAGACACTACATCCAAAAGACTGTCTTCTGGATTGTCTATGGTGCCATGTACTAGCCTTACAACTCTGGTCTTCATTTATATCGTATTTCTATCTGAACTAATTGTGATTCACTTTTGGACGCAGTTTTATGTGTCTCGGGCAAGCTTCTAAACATTATAGTTGTGCTTTGTTGCAATGTATTTACATCATACATACTCTAAGTCCAATTTCTTTTAGGTGTTAAAAACGTGTATTGAGACGATGCAACAATTTCAACGTAAATACAAGGGTAAGTTTGAAAAAAATGCTTCAAAAACCTATGTGAATCGTAACCCGAATTCCATGATTAACTCTCGTTCGCTAATATTGGCTCAACTCTCAAGATTTGTTTTCTTTCAACTTTTTCATCGACTGTTTTCCAGAGTTTTCAGACGTTTTTTTTTTGCTAATATTTGCACTTTGCTTATTTTAATCAGAGGCCGTTGAAACATATCGAAAGAAACATTTGCTGGAGCGAAATGAGCCTCAATACTTCGTGCAGTTTGTGGTAAGCGCATGAGGAAAGTTCGCGGCAATCCTGGTGTGGACCTGATTCCAGTATTAATAATATCTTCATCACGTATTGCAGGTGGCCATTGCTAACAATTGTCTCAAATGTGCTCAGTTTACCAATCAGTTGAAGGTAAATCACAGTTAAAGCCTAAGGTTGAACCTAAACCACAGAATACCTATCAGAAGTAGAACTCTGTACTTTTTTCGTAAGCACAATTCGTCATGATTCGTCACTTAGCAAGTGCATTTTTTTGAGGCAGTCACCCCCCTGCGAATACTAAAAATGGGCTGATTTCAGACATTGGCAGGGGGGTGACTACCTCAAAAAAATGCACTTGCTAAGTGACGAATCATGACGAATCACACTTACGAAAAAATAGTATAGAGTTATTCTTCTGATAGGTATTCTGTGCCTAAACCATGTACATCTTTGCAGATTGCAAGTCCAAAAGCTATATTTTCAGCGGGCAATTTAACCCGAAGGAGAAATCTGAGTTTTCAGGATAACAAATTAACCGGGATATTTCCATTTCATTTTGCTTTAACAACAATTTTAAAATCGAAATTTATGTCGAAGCTGGCTTTGGTTCATATCACTAAACATAATCACAAAGTTTCGACGACTTTCATAACGAACAGCAAAAGATATAATTATATTTATAAAGACGATTATATTTCGACAACATTTCTGATTCCTAGGAGCGAATGATGAATGAATTACAGCCAGGAAAATTTGGGGAAGATGAACAACAAACTTTCAAAAGTATCGTTGAGTGTTTTCATCGAATGGCAGAATTATGGTGAGGTTTTCGATTACTCTAATTCATGTTGTTTTCTGATGAGATGTTTGTCTATAAGTCTCCATGTTTATTATTTTAGCTGTAAAATTTTATTGGACGAGGTAGTCTTGGATACTGAGGATCATTTTAAAAAGATGTTGACTCGCAGCGACTGGTAAGCAACCAGTATGTTCTGTCTCTTGTCATGAAACTATTTACTGGATGATCTTTACTGGACCTCTAGGAAGAACAGTTTAGAACTGATAGAGCTATCCAGTATAAATAAAGTTAGCTTAGTTTAGGTTTCCTCCTGTAGTAACACTGTATAAATAAGAAATAATCCTTACTGGACCTCTAGGAAGAACAGTTTAGAACTGATAGAGCTATCCAGTATAAATAAAGTTAGCTTAGTTTAGGTTTCCTCCTGTAGTAACACTGGATCAATAAGAGATGATCCTTACTGGACCTCTAGGAAGAACAGTTTAGAACTGATAGAGCTATCCAGTATAAATAAAGTTAGCTTAGTTTAGGTTTCCTCCTGTAGTAACACTGTATAAATAAGAGATAATCCTTACTGGACCTCTAGGAAGAACAGTTTAGAACTGATAGAGCTATCCAGTATAAATAAAGTTAGCTTAGTTTAGGTTTCCTCCTGTAGTAACACTGGATCAATAAGAGATGATCCTTACTGGACCTCTAGGAAGAACAGTTTAGAACTGATAGAGCTATCCAGTATAAATAAAGTTAGCTTAGTTTAGGTTTCCTCCTGTAGTAACACTGTATAAATAAGAGATAATCCTTACTGGACCTCTGGGAAGAACAGTAAATTTAAGAAGAATCATATTTAATCTAGGTATAAAAAACCGCTTCACGTTGAGACAATTCTAGCGACGGTAGAAGATTACAATAATGATTTCACACATATCATGCCGGAGTAAGTCTGCAAGGTTATGTTTCCTCGCACTTCAGAATAAAAAGCATTTCTTTGATATGACATTTTTCATTCATTTCAGACATCACGAATTTGTTCTGCTCTCCTGTCTTGATCGTGTCATAGTTGGTTACATAACCGCTATGACCGAAAGGTAAGCATTGAATATCTATTGACGTGAATCAAGTGATATGTCGGATTGTGTGCCGTTGTTGATAGCTATGACGTACAATTTATCGTTTTATATTCTCTTATTTAGACGCATGAAGTTTAAGAATTATGGAGAACGAAAGCACGCTGCCGAGCAAATCAATAAAGAGTCTGGGAAAATCTCAGAGACGTTCATGAAACTTGGAATCAATGAAGACAAGGTATAATTGATAGAGTTAGTTTGGCTGATGTTTGCTCCAGTGGTAAACACTGGATCTGAGTAGTTTAGAACTGATAGAGCTATCAAGTATAAATAAAGTTAATATAGTTTAGGTTTCCTCCTGTAGTAACACCTGATCAATAAGAGATGATCTTTACTGGATCTCTAGGAAGAACAGTTTAGAACTGATAGAGCTATCTAGTATAAATAAAGTTAGTTTAGTTTAGATTTCCTCCTGTAGTAACACTGGATCAATAAGAGATGATCCTTACTGGACCTCTAGGAAGAACAGTTTAGAACTGATAGAGTTATCCAGTATAAATAAAGTTAGTTTAGTTTAGATTTCATCCTGTAGTAACACTGGATCAATAAGAGATAATCGTTACTGGAGCTCTAGGAAGAACAGTTAGAACTGATAGAAATATCCAGTATAAATAAAGTTAGTTTAGTTTAGGTTTCCTCCTGTAGTAACACTGGATCAATAGGAGATGATCTTTACTGGATCTCTAGGAAGAACAGTTTAGAACTGATAGAGCTATCTAGTATAAATAAAGTTAGTTTAGTTTAGATTTCCTCCTGTAGTAACACTGGATCAATAAGAGATGATCCTTACTGGACCTCTAGGAAGAACAGTTTAGAACTGATAGAGTTATCCAGTATAAATAAAGTTAGTTTAGTTTAGATTTCCTCCTGTAGTAACACTGGATCAATAAGAGATAATCGTTACTGGAGCTCTAGGAAGAACAGTTAGAACTGATAGAAATATCCAGTATAAATAAAGTTAGTTTAGTTTAGGTTTCCTCCTGTAGTAACACTGGATCAATAGGAGATGATCTTTACTGGATCTCTAGGAAGAACAGTTTAGAACTGATAGAGCTATCTAGTATAAATAAGTTAGTTTAGTTTAGATTTCCTCCTGTAGTAACACTGGATCAATAAGAGATGATCCTTACTGGACCTCTAGGAAGAACAGTTTAGAACTGATAGAGTATCCAGTATAAATAAAGTTAGTTTAGTTTAGATTTCCTCCTGTAGTAACACTGGATCAATAAGAGATAATCGTTACTGGAGCTCTAGAAAGAACAGTTAGAACTGATAGACCAATATAAAGTTATTTTCTTCTTATTTTTAGGTAACAGAAAAATGCGCAGTGATTCTGATGTTGTCGGAAATAATCAAATTGAAAGACGCTCAGCTTTTATCTCTTGAAATATCCGTAAGTGTTTTCTTAATAATTCAGCCGCTAAATCAATATTACCTCTGCGCATCAATAATTGTGACAGTGATGGCGTGACAAGTTGAATATTGCGTCTAGGGTGTGGCAACCAAGTACAAAGATTTCACCAGCGATCATGCAATGGCGTTACTGGCAATGAGAGAAGATATTGGCAAAGGGAACATTAGTGAAGTGAGTCCGTAGTTAATGTGAGAGTGATGTCCGTATGTGGACAAATGGTTTATTTACATCTTGATGCTTCTATACAATGGCTGTGGTAAGATCTAATACTGTATTCAGGTTCACTACACCTACAAGTACATTATCATTGGCATAATTGCACGCTCTCTTTTCCAGATTCTGGGAGAGGCGGATTTGAGCGCTCGAGCGGGCGATTCACAAAAGGAAGAAGGACTTTTTAGTCAAATTCAGATTGCGTCGAGTTCGTTGTGGGATAAATTAAGCAAACAATAGACCTTTCTCATAATCACGTCAGTGCGGGAAGTCTCATATTACGCAAAGTTTGATTGGCTCGTTAATTTTGCTGAGCCATTTAAACTTTGTGTTGCATCCTACTTTCCGCGTTTGGACGTCGTTATGAGAAAGGATGGAAACAAGAGTGCAGCTGGGTCGTGGAGTAATCACCAGTCATAATCCTTATACAATTGGAACAATAACTCGATTGTACGTCTCCATTTGATACAGTGTAACATTGGATACAGCAACGATTTGACTCTCACAAAGCGTCAAGCGCGCACGAGAAAAACACTTCCAAAAGACCTTTCTCATAATGCCATCAAAGATGGGATGCAAATACGTATCATGCACCCGAGTTTGATTAGTTAGCTGAACATCTAGTTTATTACACGTGCTTAAACGCTATTGCAAAACGATAAAAATGAAGTACTGAGAAACGTTGCGCAATCGCAGTGAACGCGGAGTAATAATCCCACAATCGCCATATTGAGCAATGTACATATTTTTATTATGACCTTGAAAAAAGTTTAAATTATAGAAAACATAGGCCATCATCCGAAGAGCGAATAGTCTAGGGGTGCCCGTATTGGTCGAGTTCGCCGGAAAATGGCGTATTCGGCCATGGTCAAGTCGTTTTTTACCCAAACACGTAGGCAAACAGATTTTTATTTTGAAATAAGGAAAAAAGATCGGAGTGAATCATTCTTCATCTTCATTATGACGTCATTCAACGATGAGTCAGCGGTAATCCAACAAATGACATGCTTGCTTTTAAATAGTAATTTACAAATTTTTATAACCAAAGTTATTTTTTTTTTTTATCGTTATTTCAACCTCATATTTACTGCTTTTTACACCAGAAGTCTTTCCTATATCGGCATTTTTATTCAGTAAATATAATGCCGTTCTACACGGGTTCATCTCCGCTAGACGACATTGTCGGTGAGTCAGTGAAACTTGTCGATTTTTTAGATGTTATTCGTTTCGTAATAAACCTTGATGACAATTGTATTTTGTTCCTGTTTGACTGTGTTTATAGAGAAAGCAACGACTGAGACGAATACCAGCGAAGATTGGGGAAAAATTATGGATATTTGTGATCGCGTTTCGCGCTCACCGTCAGGGTAAATTGAATAACATTTTTGTGAATCCGTGATATTATATGAAATTTATATGTATTTTATTATGTAACTATAAATATTTTGTTGTTGGGAATGTTATATTTTAACTTTTACAGTACAGTACTATAAGCTGTAAAGTATTTAAATGAAATATTGACATATTAAAGGTGTAATTGCCAGAGTTTTTAAATAGGAAAATATATAAAAAAATGTATGCTATATTGATTATTGAAGTATAATATTGCCTGCTAATTCATTTATAGATTACCATGTTGAGATATTTACGATGATAAAAATATGCTATTGTTTGTTTTCTGACAAATTTGAAACAGCATACCATCGGTTATCCTAACCTATTTTTTATTTTATAGACCAAAAGATGCGCTGAAAGCGATCTTAAAGAGAGTCGTTCACAGAATACCCCAAGTGTCACTTCAAGCACTTTCTGTATGATGAGCATAATTTTACTAAATTATTGCTAACCCATTTGAATGTATTTCCTCCTATATTTTTAATGTTTGTATTGTTTTTCTAGCTTCTCGATGCCTGCGTTAATAACTGCGGAAAGTCTTTTCATTTGGAAATTTGTTCGAGAGATTTTGTTAGTGAAGTTAGAAACATCTTAAAAAAGGTAGAAATGAATAAATTATTGAATAGCAAAATAATATCCTGAAGAATTGAACCAAGATCATAAACACACCTCACTTGGTCTGCATCGTTTCACAGCTAAAATCAGCTTCACCTTTGCTGTGAGATATTTTTTGTCAGAATATGTAAATGAATATTAACCCTTTTCACCTTTATATTAATTATTATTGCTTCTTAATGCTTCATTTATTATGCATGTCTTGTTGACGATATAATCAACCTGATCAAGATTGTTCAGGAAATGTGGATATTTGGCAGTTTAGTAATAATAGTAAATAGACATTTAGAAAAAATACACTTTTTTGTGCAAATGCTTTTTTTCTCGATTGTATCTGCAATGGCACTTCTAGTATAGAATAATACTAAATTATCAATGTCAGGTTGATTTATATGTTAAAACTATATTCCACAATTTGATTCAACTCCACAAAAATATACTTAAAACTATATTCCTCAATTTGTTTTATTTTTCAAGCTTCATAGAACAGCGGCTTTAAAGATGAAAGGCATGATCAGAGATTGGGCAAAATTATTCAAAAATGATTCACAATTAAAGTAAGTTTATTCTTGCATGGTGATATCACAATTAATATAAATAAAGCCAGTTAACAGTTAATGAGTTTTCTATCCTTGCAGCCTTATTCCAACACTTTACGAGGAACTTAAACGTGAAAAAGAAGATTTTCCAGAAGGTGATGCATCAAGCATTGGTTTATCCTCCGTACCAGCGAAGAAATCAACATCGAATGAAGATGACGACTTGGCATTAGGTATGAAAGAATTAAGAACTAGTTTTGTTTATCACAAATGCATGGGTTCTTGATTTGCACCAAATGTTTCAATGATAGTGAACTTTCTCTACAGCCATTCAGTTATCTTTAAGTGAAGCAAAATCCAGCCAGGTATTGTAATATCTTCAACAAACTCCAGAATTATCGACTTGTTCAGTTCTTCAGGGAAAACCAAGTTGCAAATAAGTGGAGTTCTCTAACCTGCAGATGTTGTTTGTTCTTTTAGCCCAAAACTCAGAGTCTATATCCATCTATTTCATCATCACAGTCATCTTCATCATCAAAGGTATTCTATGTCATTACTTGATATTGACCTATGTCATTACTTAATTAGCAGCAATTAGCAGCAAAATTAACAGATTATTACTCAAGAGGATTATCTCCTGATTTTAGTCACGGAAAGTACGAGCGTTGTATGATTTCGAGGCTGTTGAAGACAATGAACTGACTTTTAAAACTGGAGATATCATTACAGTGACAGACAACAGGTAGAATTTAATTTTACATCATGCAATTGCTAACGTTTCACCTGCGTTCATTCTATGCTGTTGCTAACTGTGACAATTTGAAACATTTCCTAGCGATGCTAATTGGTGGAAAGGTGATCTTAATGGAAAGTCTGGACTATTTCCTGCAAACTTTGTCTCAGCAGATCTAACACCAAAACCTAAGCAAGGTATGTTGGTACATGTAATGTTTTGTTGTGGAGTTTTCCATGATATTTTTAATGATAACTATACACTGACAACAATTTTTTATTGTTTTTTCATTTTACTTTTTATTATTCGCCTCGTCCAGTCAAAAAGAAAAATAAGAAAAAGTCTAAGAAAGTGAGCTTTTCTGAGAAGAACTCTGTCAAGGAATTTGAAGGTGAACTTTTTTACCACACAAATACTTTTATTGCGGGAACCACTGAGTATTTTAATAAATTAATAAAAAAAACAATTGAAACTTCGTAAAGAGTAAACATTTTGAAAAATATAATTTTCGATATTTCATCCAGACTTTCTTTCTGTTTAGCATCAAAGGCTGTTGTGGAGCCTTTAGTGATAAGTGAGGTTGGTGATTTAGCCTGAAATAATGTGGATGCATTTGAAATTACGGTCTGGAAATTGTGCTTTATCTATTCAGGAAAAGATTGAGAAGTGTTTGGAAATGTTAAAGAACGCCAGCGTTGAAGATGAAGAGGAAGATGATGATGGTTTAATTGAGCTGGAAGGTGTGTTGTGTAAGTCCACGAAACTTGTAAACTAAGCTCATTTAGTTCACCAACAAACTGTTCATTTTCCTAGAAACTTGCAAGAAAATGGCTCCACTTATCGCAGAGAAAATTCAAAGTACACAGAAAAGACATGATGACCTCACAGATTTAAATGACAGCTTTCTGATAGCGATGGACACATATCAAAAGTAAGCGCCTTTTTGTTTAAAAAGAGTTTTTCTGTAATTTGCTACAAATCTTTGTAATTCACTACTTGGAATGTCATTGTTGCTGTCATTGACAGAACAGCATCGATCTACCTTCCTCTGTTGTATACAGTATACTCTGTAAAAGTGTACTTAACAATGTTTTGGTGATCTTCTTTAGAATGTCAAAGGAACCGATAGCAGTAAGACAAACATACCCTGTCGTTGGTCAGGTACCACAATATACAGGATATAATGCGCCCATGGTAAACAATCCTACCATACCTCAGTCGTTTGCTGGTTATCCAACGGCGCAGTACGTACCAGGGGCTACACTGCAACACCCACAGGGTTTAGTGGTTGCTGATGGCATGGTAAGTTGAAATTATCGTTATTTTGGGACTTCGTAATATACATTGTAGTCCTGGGTGCATGGGAGGTTTGCACCTGTTTGTGTGTGAGCTACTTGAGAAAGATATTTCAAACGCGGTGGTCTAGTGTTGGTAGAATTCTACAATAAGCTGTCGTCGTTTGTGTCTGAACTACCTGAGAAAGATATCTCAAACGTGGTGGTCCAGTGTAGGTAGTATTCTTTTATACAATTCTATCATTAGCACATTTGTCTCTGTTTTAACTCGACACATGAGCATAGCAATCTCCATAGTGGCTCACTCATTTTCTTTACTTTTAAATAGGGTGCAGCATATTCGTCTCCGGGCCCTCCAAATTACGCAGCTCCTCTAAACCAAGGTCAGTACGTTCCACAATTACAACAAAACCTTGGTTACCAGGTTCCAGGTAAACCTCCAAACGTGGCGCCAATGCCTGGCCCGACAGAATATTACTCGGGTGCTCCAACACATGTTGCACAATATCAACCAGAATATACTGCAGCTTACGGCTGGTGATTGTTAAATATACATAGAAATAATTACAGAATTAATCACAGAATCACAGGTGATAGGTGAATAAGTGTTTGTGCCATTGAGCTCTATATATGTACCTGGAGTAGGAATGCATGAAAGGTCTCATTCTGTAATTGGACTGCCGGATAAGGACTGTTGACTGGACCTCTGGACAGTTGAGTGAGGCAAAATTCATACTCCAGGTAAACATATAGAGCTCAGTCATCTGATCGTTTTCTGACGGGGGGGGGGGAGGCTTGAGAGAAGGTTTCCTGCGAATGCTAGAGTTGTCAACAACACGATAGTGTAGTGTAGTGTACCGTGGCGTGGGATGAAATGTATTTAAATTTGTATATAATGCTGTCTCTTGGGTGCCATAATTTGGAAGATGCTTGCTCTGATCTTCTGCAATCATAAGAAAGAATTCCAGTCAACTCTAGCTTTATAAATAGTTTAACATATAATTAGGATCGCTTAGTGCTTACGTTCAATTTACCAGCTGAGCAAAATCAATAATCTTCGCTGTCTTAACTAAGACAAAGCGTGTGTGTAATCATTGAATTGAAGTAAAATTTTATTAAAACCAAACAAATATAATAAAATATAAATAACAAATATAATAAAATTTAGTTCATCTTGAGACTGCAGTATTATCCTATACACTCTATGTACACTCCTCACTCAAAACTACTGACAGAAAATCCCAGTATTTTTTGCTGTCATTTGACGTGTGATATTGATTCGGGACGTTGTATTTCGTTTTAAAATACCTATTTACACTTGCAATGCTGGCCGTGTTTTTTTAGAAGGAAACAAGGGTATAGTTATGAATATTTGAATGTGAAAATGCTCTCACCCAATATCTATAACGTACGTGTTAGCATCTCAAATTAAAAATAATCACAAAAATTGTTCCGCATTGTCTCTTTCAAATATCATAGCTTTCTTCCAAGCTCTTCTTTGAAATATTTCCATTTTTTCTTCCATCCAATATCCGGCCCTTCCTCATTATCATACGGCAGGTATTCGCGCAGCTGTTTTGCCAGCACCTGTCTGTTTCAAGAAGACGATATTCTTCTGCACCTTGACTACCCAGTGTTGTTTAGTCCTTTCAGTGTCTTTCAGGACTCAAATATATTGTTTGTGTTTACCGTCCATTCGTCAACTGCTCGTGATGAAAGCATTATTCTGGATCATATCTCTGACCAGTTTCTCCTATACTACTTCAATAGGTAAGAATCTTAGAGAATATGTAGACTTAGGTTGTAGTAAAACAAGTCAGTTCGACACACTGAAGACAACAGGAGACGACAAGAAGCTACGCTTGGAGTTGAGCACTCTAGCTCGTGCATTGCTAGATCAAAAACTAAAGCCGGTTTTCCACTAGCGATATTTTTCGCGCGAAGCGACTTTATTTCTTTGTATTTGAGCAATTTGTTCCAGATGGTTGCAGTTAGGAGCTCTGAAACAAAAGTAAAATGTCGCTTCGTGCGAAAAATATCGCTACTGGAAAACCGGCTTAAAAATACTTGCTGTTTGGTTATTTGCAACTTCTTCAAGCAATGCCTGTTTTGTTGTCTTTGCTTTGTATTAATTTTTTTATGTGTGCAAACAATGTTTTCTTGTTTAAATATTCTGGCAGTTTCGACTAAAGATGGTCGTCTCGTAATCGTACATCTAAACTGTCTTTTCTAGGAGACATAAGCGGAAATACTGAATGGCGTCTTATGAATACTCTGATTGAGAGATACAAAAACAGACAAAGCCTACGAGCAGTCTCCTCGCCTTCTGAGGCTGTCAACGTCACTCTGAGTATGAAAATGGTTCAAATAATTGAGCTTGTAAGTATGAACGAGTTGTAATTCTTATCGCCTCGGTTAGTCATAGTCCGTTTCATGTGTTTCCATTTGTTTTAGAAAGAAAAAATTCAGATGTTTTCGACCAGTGTCTGGATTGAACAGGTAATGGTGAAGAGGTTAAGGTGTTTAGTTTTCCTATATAGATTCACTGGATCAATAAGAGATGATCCTTACTGGACCTCTAGGAGGAACAGTTTGGAACTGATAGAGCTATCCAGTATAAATAAAGTTAGTTTAGTTTAGGTTTCCTCCTGTAGTAACACTGGATTAATAAGAGATGATCCTTACTGGACCTCTAGGAGGAACAGTTTGGAACTGATAGAGCTATCCAGTATAAATAAAGTTAGTTTAGTTTAGGTTTCCTCCTGTAGTAACACTGGATCAATAAGAGATGATCCTTACTGGACCTCTAGGAGGAACAGTTTGGAACTGATAGAGCTATCCAGTATAAATAAAGTTAGTTTAGTTTAGGTTTCCTCCTGTAGTAACACTGGATTAATAAGAGATGATCCTTACTAGACCTCTAGAAAGAACAGTTTAGAACTGATAGAACTATCCAGTATAAATAAAGTTAGTTTAGTTTAGATTTCCTCCTTTAGTAACACTTGATGAATGGGAGATGATCATTACTGGACCTCTAGGAAGAATAGTTTAGAACTGAGAGAGCTTTAAAAGACCAATGAATCTCTAGGTATGGCATGATCCATTACTCACCTGGAACACAAGCGAATACAGTGTATCCGAGATCAGTATTCCTCCAGTTAAAATCTGGGTTCCAGATATTGTCTTGGCCAATAAGTAAGTGTCATAACTTCTAGTAATTGGTTCAACTGTAATCTCCCGTCTTGCTGGGAATGTTTATTAATTAAATTTGCAGCATTTTAACTGTTCGAAATAATCTTAAACTGTTGTTTCAAGGCCCTGTTACACGGTTCAATTTTTCTTGCAACTTGCAATGCAATTCTTCTTTTAAGAGATGTATATTTGGCAACTACCGAAATTTTGTCTTTATTATACCCTCCATGGCGTTTCTCACACTTACATTTTGAAGCCTCTTCACTAATTTACATCTCTTAAAGTGTGAATCAAGATTACATGGGTCGTCCTATCGGTCTAAACGAGCCTGTTGTCGTTTCTTCAAACGGTAAAGTGCGCTGGTTAACGCCGACGATACTGGATGGGTTTTGCAAGCAGTTTGTTCGTTACTTTCCATTTGATGATCAATACTGTCCGTTGAAGTTTTATTCCTGGAATTATGATGTGAAGAAATTGATGTTGATTGGGAATGATGAGAACATGTTATCCAACTATACTGGTATGAAGTCTGCAAGAAAAGAAGTAAAATAATTAATAGTTTAGAACTTATAGAGCTATTCAGTATAAATAAAGTTAGTTTGGTTTAGGTTTTCTCCTGTAGTAACACTGGATCTTTACTGGACCTTTAAGAACAACAGTTTAGAAGTGATAGAGCTATCCAGTATAAATAAAGTTGTCGACGTTGTAAGGTAGTATTTTGTCTTGTTAGAAAGCGGAACCTGGACCATCATGAATATCATTAAAAAGGAACATACAACAAGCAAGGGTGGAATTGACAAAGCGACAGTGACCTTCGTCGTCCATATTCAACGAAAGGTCTTCTATTATTTCGTGTACCTGATTGCCCCCTGTGTTCTCACCGCAATCCTGGCTGTCCTTATCTTCTATCTTCCCGCTGCGAGTGGTGAGCGAATGGTCGTCGGTTGCACAATTCTTTTGGCGTTATCCGTTTTCTTCCTGCTGGCCACGAACTATATTCCAGAGACCTCAGAACACGTTCCACTTGTTGGCAGGTCAGTGTGGGGATCACTGCATGTGTTTTAGAGGGGATTGATGATGCAGCTTCTCCTTTCTCCCCAACTACCCACAGCTACTCCTAACCACCCACAACTACTCCCAACTACTCCCAACTACCGACAACTACTGCCAACTACTCCCAACTACCCACAACTTCTCTTAACTACCCACAACTACTCTTAACTATCCACAACTACTCCCAACTATCCACAACTACTCCCAACTACCCACGCTATCCTCAAGGCATGGTAAACCGAGGAATGAGGGTTGACAAGAGTTCTCTGTATTTCAGATATTACTCGCTGGTGATAGTGGAGATATGCGTCGCACTGGTTTGTACAGCCTGGGTTCTGAGATATCATTATCGTAATCCAGCCATGGGCAAGATACCAAGGTGGATACGGGTGGGTGAATATATACTAAGATTACCGATGAGCTTGGGGATTTGGCTTGATCTGAAGTTAATCCTAATCTTACAATTTTTTAGGTGTATATTTTTGGGTACATCTCAAAACTGGTTCGGATTAAAGTACCTGAAGAAATGTTGGCAAAACATTCCACTGCTGACGAAGGTAAGAGGGTGTTAAGGTGGTGAAGAACTTCGGTGTTCGGTAGAGTTTAATTGTAAGAATTATTTTCTATGTTACTGAGGTGAAATTCTAATCAGACAACTGCATATTACAGGAATCAAACCTCAGTCACAGAGATGAAAGACACGTGTACTAACCACTGTGTTTCGTATAGAGTCAAACTGGAGGCACTCTTCTCACATGTGACTTACTGAGGTCACAGACGACACAGAGAATGAAAATACATGTCCTAACTATTCCGTCCATATCTTTTCAGATACAGAAGAAGGTCGAAAAGAGACCGTTGAGAAGAAATACGATCCTGCTGAGGACAACTTGAGAGGACTGGCTCTAATGGCTGCACAAATCACCGAGGAAGAGGAGCTTGGCAAGATTCAGGAAGAATGGCAGCTTGCAGCTGAAATATTAAATCAGTTTTTCATGATCATTTATATGCTTGCCGCCTTCCTCACGTTTGCCGTCATCTTTATCAATGCACCCGGGATAATTTACCCTCACCCTGAGCCCTCCATGGAGGAGATTGTCAGAGTATACTAAACAACAACTTTCTCTTCAAACGGAGTCTTTATACTTAGTTTTTCTAGTTCAAAAATGACGTCGATTTCAAGTCTTGCGAGCACGGCCCATTTTAAGTCCCAGTTTTAAAAGAACCGAGTTTAGTCAATTTATATCATCACGACATCAAGTTCACCTGCATTAAAACGATGGTAATGATAAAGAATTGAACAGAAATGGAACCTCGTTGACAGAAATCTGTTCTCGTCGAAACTAGGCAAGATGACGTGATTGAACTGTTGTGTTTGAGTGATTAAACTTGATGTTGCGTTCATGTGATCCGGTATCGTCCGGCTGAGGTGTTTGCCGGTGCTTTCTGGTTTAAGTTGATGGTATTTAACAAAGCCAGAACAAAGCCAAGCTCCAAAGGTAAAGAAGGAAGATTGGGACCAACCCACGGACCACGTCAGCGACTGTTTCTCGCTTTCAAAAGGAACCTAAATCGATTTTGTTAACTAAGGTCGCACGTGTGCGCTGGATTTTAAGCACTCTGCTTTTAAGAGGTTTATAGTTTGATATATTTATTTATTGTACAATATTTGCACTTTGTAAATACAGTCTTTGTATTAATGACGTAATGAAGACATGTGTGTTTATATAGTGTGGTTTTGTCGAGTACTGAGGCGCTTGTAGAGCTTGCTGTACACTCTATCTTTCCTTGTTTGCTAGCGTAGGAAGAAATTTGCTCAGAGGTTGTGCGAATGCCAGTCATTTGGGAGAAAGTTGTAGCTTATTTGTAACAAAAGATGTGTCTGACAAGTGTGTCCATCCTCAGTGCAAACAACGGAAATGCTTTGTTTACGAATACTAATTACTGTTGTTCCCAGTTTCTCTGGTTCGCGCGATTATTTCAGAATGAGTTCATGGTTCATTCTCGTACAAAAATGAGCCATTTTGCGTTTAAAATGCTTTTTTTTGCTAAAACCTCGCTTTCCTTCGGATTTTGAAAGCGTGGAGATTACTTATGACTTCATTAAGCAAACGAAATCGGATTTTAGCTGGGCAAAAGAGGATTAATATGGAAAATGCAACAGCAATTTCAAAGTGCAGGAGCGGAAACTTATTAGGAGACATTGTTTATTGTGAATTGTAAAGACTTGTTCAGACAAGCTATGTCTAACTCAAGATCTAAAAAAGAAAGTGAGTTGGTTTACATAAATACATTTCGTATTTAGTACCGGAAAATTGCTTTCCAAATGAATTACAATTGTGTAATATTTACCGGAAAAATTATATAGCTCGTATCATGTTTGTTTCAACTTTTAAGTTAGTTTTTCCACTGCTAATGTGTGGTTTAAATATTTCTACTTTATTCTAACATATCTGAGAATTATGTGTTTGTAATATTCATTCTTTATAATGCATCGAATAGATATGCTCGACGCGTTTTAATATATTTATATATGTCAAGTCTCGAACAATTTGATATTAAAACATCGATTTTTTTTCTCAAGTGCAAATGATTTCAAGTTTATATATTCTCTTAGACTTGTTTTGTTCGGAGTAATTGAAAATTTTCGCGTTGGGTTTCGATATATCGTTGCTAGAACATCATATGTCTCTTATCAGGAATAATCAAGTATAACTTTACCCATATAAACAAATTCATTATTTAGGACGTCCAATTTTATTGGGAATCTGATTAGATTGCTGGATTTTTATCAATATAGACAGACATATGGAGCTTGTTATATAATTGTACATAATATATTTTAATATTTACATACACTGGTGAATATTATTCTATCTTCGAGTGAACTCAAGTGGGCTAGCTGTCTTAAGTAAAGTTTGCTCTGGAATTTGTCACACAGAAATTTTATCTGAAAGAATCTCAAAATAGTTCCATGAAATCTAGAGAAGCGGAGAGATATGACCTAAAAACATGCTTTCATTTTGGTTGTTTCTTCCTTAAGCAAGTCATTCTCAGTAATAGGATCTATGCTCTTGATCATGTCTTTGTTCAAAGTCTTGGTTGAATGAACAAAACTAGCAACACTCCATGACGTTGGCGACCTTGACACGTTCGGACAATACCAGCTGAAAAAGCTGGTCTTCATTTGCGTAGTGTAAATGTAAATTAGGCAATCAAGCTGTGCTCGAATTGTCATCTTTAGTGATGTTAAAAAACTCATTCTTTTAAAAGGCAGTTAGGCTTGCAATTTATTTATGAGAAAACAGCATACTTTATCGCCATGACCTAATTAGATATGCATAAATTGATTTATTTACAGTCTATGTTTTGTTTTATCATTAAAATTATTCATTTTAAAAAACCTCATCAACCACATATTTAAACCATGACATAACAGAACTGCCCAAAACTTTTGGTTTTTGGTGTTTAAATTTTACTGAATTAAGAATTAATTGGATAATTTGATTGCTGTGATGTTATTGTGGTTAATCTTATACCTCAAGTTTTCGCTTTGTTTCCCAGCCTAGTAATTCACTTAGGATGGCTGTTGTCTTCTGAAGGCTAGTTTCCTCTTCTTGTGACAGATGTGACAGAGTGAAGAAGGTACAGATGTTTTAATGAGGGCACTTATACACAAAGCATCTGTAATCGTTCCCTCATTTGCATCTGTCAAAAGAAGAAACTCAAAGACTGCCTTGAGAGTCCCACGTCTTACCACAAAACATTGTTTTCCTTTTTAGATCTGGACATACCCCAGGTGAAGGTGAATGACAAACATGGCAGCTTTTCATCCATTGCCTCCTCTGACAGGAGTTATTCACCTGCTGGTTCACCTCGTCATGGTCGGAAGATTTCAGGTAAAGATGCTAACACCATGCTGTTTCTTTTATGTTATTGCAACAAACCAACAACTCATTGCAACAAACCAACAACTCATTGCAACAAACCAACAACTCATTGCAACAAGCTACCAACAAATTGCAACCAACCAACAACAAATTGCAACAAACCAACAACAAATTGCAACAAACCAACAACAAATTGCAACAAGCTACCAACTCATTGCCACAAACTAAAAACAAATTGCAACAAACCAGCAACTCATGGCAACTAACCAACAAGCTAACAACTTGTACAACAACTGAAAATGTTTACAACTGTTTAGGTTTCAAGAAAATGATTCCCTGGAGACGAAAAGACCAGGATACTGATCCAGTATGTATTATTTTCACTATCTGCATTCATTACATCAAAGTCTCTTTGTTGGTGCAGATTTTTCACCACTTATAAACACGTTGATTTAACGTTTGCATCGGAAGAGGTCACGATTTTAGCAAGAAACGGACTTAAACGTAACTTCATTCAAATATTTCATGGTCGCAAGACTTCAGCGAGTTTTTATCAATTGTGGTGTACAAAGTCAACAGAATTTGGACGCAACTGCCAGCCTTCATCACAATATTGATTTATTTGTAATTTAAATAAATATAACTATTAATATTTAATCAATGTTTGGCCGAATACAGACCTTCTAAAATATGCTGATCTTTTCCTAACAATTCCTTCGAGGCTTCAAAGACGTCATGTTTTCTATTGAGGTATATGTGTGTAGAGTTTTACTATTGTATTTCTTCGAAGCAATTTTAACATCTATGCATGTTCAAGCATAAAATTCAGCGTAGCCGTAGGTAGTGTTCCACTACAAACAGCTGTTGTTTTCGTTATAATTATCATAACCGAAAAACATATTCCCTGAACAGCTTCTTTGCCACTGTCTATAAAATCCGAGAGTGTTTTTATGTAAGCTAATGACGATAGTTGATTTTCAATATACGGTTTGTTTTCATCATCGTTGTTGTTCTGTTTATCGTCCAGTCGTTGTTATGGCTGGCACTGGCAGTCGTCTTGCAAATTCTCCACGTTATATAAACACCGTAATGCAGGAGTCATCAGGCAACATTTTGAAAACAAAACAAACTCGTGATTTCATTTAACAACCTTGAACTTCTATTTCCGTCTTAAGCTGAGATTTTATTGTATTACTTACAAAATCCTTCGGCGTATATCCACTAAAGCGTTTCAGTTTTGAATGTTTGAGACTTTCCTTCTTTCCAAGGATATCCCATAGGATACTTTGGCGAAATAATAATCCTTTAGCATTGAGATTTTTTTAATGAAGAGACTGAACCTTCTGTGGGTTAGCAGGATCACAATTAGGACCTTTTAATGTGAATTAATTGACACGTTTTCAAGGTAATTGCAGGCTTGCAGCTCTGGAGAGGGTATATACACTTTGGTGAATGATGAATGTCTTTTTTAGGAAGGAGACGAAGGAAGGGATGATGATCTGGTCAGAAAGAAGAAGGTGTCCGTGGAGGTTGTTCCAAAGAAACCACCGTAGTACGTGTTTGTGCAAGTATATCTGCCGTTTTGAATGAATAGATAGTGTCTAGGATTTCAGATTAGAAAAGTAACCGTAGCCAGTGTTTGCAAAACCACTGGTTTATGCTGCGGGTTTTGGGTGCAATGTTCTTCTTTTAACAGATGCAAACAAGTGAATAGTTATGAAACTCTAATGTTCAAGTTCCTTTATTTTGAACATAAGTAATGCACTCGCTCGATCCCATCAAACAAAAGAAGAAAATCGCAGCTTGAAGTCACCAAACTGTCCTTAAAATTTGTGTCGTTTTTCTTTTTAGTGCCGGGCGCAAAAACAGAAGTCGTTCTGTGGATCATTTGTTAACAGACAAGAGTTTGGCGACCAACTTCGAAGTCTCGCCCCATTCTCTTCATAGTGATATTGAGGCGAGGTTACACAGCCCAGGACGATCGTCCATCACTGACGAGGACATCAGCGGGGACTCGGTACGAAGATGATGAACAATCGTGTCTCGTGGCTCTGGTCTGGTCGTTGGGTTGCACTAAGCTGTGAGTGCATCCTCCTGGGTGTTTGTTTCGTACTGAGAGAATGTTTGTCTTTTTTAGGGGAATGAAAACTATGATGTCCCGGATGGCATGGATAATACCGACGTGAGTGGGGGGGGAGAGGGGGTGGAATAGGAGGGCAGGGGAGGAGAGGGAGATAGAGGAGTGAGTGAAGAGTTGATGAGTGGGGAAGTATGGAGGGGGGAGGTAAGGCTAGAAAGAAGAGAAGGAGAGAGATAGAGGAGTGAGTGAAGAATTGATGAGAGGGGAGGTGGGGAGGGGGGTAAGGCTAGAAAGAAGAGAAGGAGAGAGATGAAGAATGATGAGGTGGGGAAGAGGTGAGAGGGAGAGCTTGAAGGAAAGGGGGATGGGTAGAGATATACTGTGAATCTTCATTATATTTTTAGAGGTTTCAAAAACTTAAACGAAAAATTGAGAAAACGAAGGAGACGATAAGACAACTCCAGTGCACGATGGATGGTTCGTCTTACAACTATCATTATTTCTTTTACGACTCTGTTTTAAGACTCTGCTTCAGACTCTCCACTGATCGTGTCTTTTCGTTTAGAGAATATCACAGGCTACTTAGTGTCATTTGAAGGAAATTCTGATCCTGAGCTCACTAAGAAAGCGTTCGAGAAAAGAAACTTGAAGTCCAACGCCGTTATTGGTCAGCTGCAAAAGAAATTAGATAAATATCAAAAAGCGTTGAAGGTAGAAAATGATCTGTAAGACAGAGCTTGATGACTTTAACTAAACTCCGAGTTTAACTAAAAGATTGTCCTTTCTTGTAGGATTTAGAGACGCACGAACAAAGAGCAAAGACGCACAACACTGCTAAGGAGGTTTTCAGGTACTGTTGGCCGTTAATTTCGCTCATTGTGACTAAGGTTTGAATCCTGTAATATGCAGTTGTCTGATTATAATTTCACCTCAGTCACATGTGAGAAGAGTGCTTCTAGTTTGACTCTACCAAACACAGTGGTTAGTACATGTGTCTTTCATCTCTGTGAATGAGGTTTGATTTCTGTTATATGCAGTTGTCTGATTATAATTTCACCTCAGTCACATGTGAGAAGAGTGCTTCTAGTTTGACTCTATCAAACACAGTGGTTAGTACATGTGTCTTTCATCTCTGTGACTAAGGTTTGATTCCTGTTATATGCAGTTGTCTGATTATAATTTCACCTCAGTCACATGTGAGAAGAGTGCTTCTAGTTTGACTCTACCAAACACAGTGGTTAGTACATGCGTCTTTCATCTCTGTGACTGAGGTTTGATTCCTGTGAAATGCAGTGGTCTGATTATAATTTCACCTCAATCACATGTGAGAAGAGTGCTTCTAGTTTGACTCTATGACAATATCACTTGAGTCGGGCACATGACAGAAAGGAATCAGCTTGTCCTTTAGTTCATTACGAATATATTTAGCTCGTTGATCAAGCTCATGAACTAATCTATCATTTTCTTTCTGACAGAGGCGTTCGGACGAGCGTCAAAGAGATATCAGGGTGAGTTCTTTTATCGTATAAGTTGTATAATTGAAGCCTATCTGTTGTTTCCTATCGACATCTGTTCATATATATATTGAAACGTCGTGTTTATTTGCTAAGAACTCTGATAAATCATTAATATACGCGTAATTAGCATATATAAAAGTGTTTATCAGCGATACCGGGGGGCATTTATCATAAATAATTCACTAAATATTCATAAGTTCGCGAGCCGGTACCAGAAAACTGTCTTTACACTTTGAAAACTTCGACGAAGATGAGACTGTGTAATCATCTTCTGTGATGCTCTCCAAGCAGCTCAGCGCTCCTCCGCTTATGACGAGCTCTCGTCGAGGGGGCAGCGAGCGTGATACGAAGTCCACACGACCACGATTGCAGAAGAGAATTCGCTCTTTGCCGCCACAAAGGGATGCACCGAAATTTTGGCTGTAAGTTTGTTGTTTTGAGCTCGCCTTGTGCCGAGCAAGGTAGCATACGTTGCCTTACTCCTTAGGGCCCTAAGGAAATTGATAAAAGTTGACAAACGACTGAAACGAGTCTAATTTTTTCTATAATAGTTTTGTTTATTCGGCTAATGTCCTGATCAAACGAGGCAAGATTTTTAAGCAACTGTCAAAGGTGAATTTAAGAGTGTTTCATCAGCTCCTTTCTTGATCAAATGAACTGGCCAGTCGCCAACGATCAAATGATAAGCGAGAGTTCATCAACACTCGAATACTGATGGAACAATATTCGTGTACGGATCATTTACAATCGTGCGATCGTTTTCGTGTGTTTGATAGTTTTATCAACTCTTATATCCCGATCAAACGGGGGTTGCATGAGAGTTGGATTTGATGGAGAGTTGAGAGGATTCACAGACACTTGTAAAGAAAAAAACCCACTCATTTCTGTCAACGTGATGACGGAACTGAGTGTTTGGTTCAAGCGATCAAGTATAGTTCAACCACAAGCCACCGCAGTTCATTTCATTTTCACTCACGTTATCGACGTCATCATAGAATACATCCTGTGTTCATCAACATCTGTATTTACGCTTTTATTTAATTTGAGCAGCGAAAAAATAGAAATCTCATCATGTAATAGAGTTGGTTATACAGGATTCAACATATATTTCTAAATGTATTTGACCCGTATTCACGATAGCATGGGAAAGAGTTTTAAAGTTTCGCGCAAGCTCTAATGTTATGTTTCCGATCTTTTTAGCGGTGTGAGGGATGGCGTCAAAGCCGGGCTCTCAGGGTAAGTCCACCTGCGATCAGGCGTCAAGCCATCTTGTCTTGAGGTCCAGTAAGGATCATCTCTTATTGATCCAGTGTCACTACAGGAGGAAACCTAAACTAAACTAACTTTATTTATACTGGATAGCTCTATCAGTTCTAAACTGTTCTTCCTAGAGGTCCAGTAAGGATCATCTCTTATTGATCCAGTGTCACTACAGGAGGAAACCTAAACTAAACTAACTTTATTTATACTGCATAGCTCTATCAGTTCTAAACTGTTCTTCCTAGAGGTCTAGTAAGGATCATCTCTTTCTCGTATTGATCCAGTGTTACTACAGGAGGAAACCTAAACTAAACTAACTTTATTTATACTGGATAGCTCTACCAGTTCTAAACTGTTCTTCCTAGAGGTCTAGTAAGCATCATCTCTTTCTCGTATTGATCCAGTGTTACTACAGGAGGAAACTATATCTTCAACTTTTTATATTGCACATCAGTTCTTATAAATATTTTAACAAATATTTTTCGTTCCAGCGCTGTTTCAAAATTTTACAAAAGCAACGAGAATATAACAGATGCAACCCCAACGTTCTCAAGTAAGTTTCATTGTTCTTTGCTAATCTGATCTCTTTTTCTCGTGTAAAACTGGACAACGTCTGGAGAAATCATTATTCGGTGGACAGCGCTATCCAGGCTTTTTTACAACCGTCTCGTGATAACAATAATAGTTTATTTTGTGTTATATTTCTGGCAGAAAGCGATTCAGAATGTCATGAGCTTCAGGGGGAAGACATTGAGTCCCTCGTTGGGTATGACGTCAGGAAAGTTCTCACTCCAAGGTAAGGTTACGTATTAGAGATCAGCTGGTATGAAGAAAAATACAACTATACAGTAGTTATATTTGGATGAACGGGGCACATTTCTTTCTTCTTTTGTTTAGTCCGAAATTTGACGAAGATAGCGTCATTTTTGGTAGTCAAACGAGGTAAGTCTCCGAAGTCTCGACTACACTTGCGATTTTCTTCTTTTTGAGAGATGTTAACGAGTGGATGAGGCATGAATGTTCATGACTGAAGGAGACCTCCTAATCTGAAGAAGACACTGGAGTGTCGAAACGTAGGCTCGTAAATGTAAACTGTCTGGTGATTACATTCATAATCCACGGTGCATAAGAGTTGTGATCAAAGTGATGAATTATATACCTGGGGCTGGTTGTATAAAACTCTTTAACTACATTTTGCATAGTTAAATCCTGGTTAACTCAGAAATACACAACTCTGATTGCCCAATTCTGTCCTTAACTTCAGTTATAGGTTAACTAGTCTTTTATACAACTGGCCCCTTGTTGCTGTGTGAACTTACAAACTCTCTCGCATCATGTTTAGTGCTCCCACCTCCACCTCCAGATACAGCGATGGCGAAAATCCACTTGAAGCAAAACTCAATGAATTACTCGAAGCACAAATGGCTTTGAAAGAAACAGTCGATAAGGCAGTGGTGAGAATTACTCTGTTTTTTAATTGCACCTGCTATCTGTGGAATCTGCATGTTGTTTACTCTTTATATTTTTCATAGTTTGACATCAATGCTATCGCAAAATCTTTACAAGAAGAAAGATATAAAACACAGGTGACGTGAAATAACTGAGTTGTACTTTTAACAGATCTTACTTGTCTTGAAAATTTCAAGATATTAACATACATTTTTTGTTCTTTCTAGGATTTAGAATGTCAGTTTAACACACTTCGGAGTCATTGGAATGATTTCTCAGAATTGCACCAGCACGAGGTGGGACGATTATTTTCCAAGAAAACTTTACAGCTGTCTGGTTAAGATCTTCTCTTGTAGAAAAGTTGGTTTAGTTTAGGTTTCCTTCTGCAGTAACACTGGATCAATAAGAGATGATCCTTACTGGACCTCTAGGAAGAACAGTTTAGAACTGATAGAGCTATCCAGTATAAATAAAGTTAGTTTAGTTTAGGTTTCCTCCTGTAGTAACACTGGATCGTTAAGAGATGATCCTTACCATGGACCTCTAGGAAGAACAGTTTAGAACTGATAGAGCTATCCAGTATAAATAAAGTTAGTTTAGTTTAGGTTTCCTCCTGTAGTAACACTGGATCAATAAGAGATGATTCTTACTGGACCTCTAGGAACAACAGTTTAGAACAAACTGATTGAATAATTTCATTTAGAACATGCAATTACGTCAAGACATTCAACGCAATGATGAAAGTATTGCGACAGTTGATTATCGTCTTGTTGAAAGAGTCGCTGAAATTGACGAATCATTTGATACTTTTGACGCAAGAGTAAGACGATGTGAAATAACTCGAACATGGTTCCCTGCGTGACCTAATACTATACTCCATTTTTTCTTCCGTAGATTTCCAAAATTGAAAACGTTCATCAACAGCAACAAGGCCTGAATGTCGATGATTATTTTGAGCAGAATATTCAAGCCAAGGCCGTCCTGACGAAGTTTCTTAGTGTTGTGCTTGCTGTAGTCACGTTATTGTTTAGTATTTTTACTTTAATTATTCACGGCATTGCTCCATTAACTAGAACAAGGTATTGTGAAATTTACTTTAACTTTATACTGCATAGCTTTATCAGTTCTAAACAGTTCTTCCTAGAGGTCCAGTAAGGATCATCTCTTATTGATCCAGTGTTACTACAGGAGGAAACCTAAACTAAACTAACTTTATTTATACTGGATAACTCTATCAGTTCTAAACAGTTCTTCCTAGAGGTCCAGTAAGGATCATCTCTTATTGATCCAGCGTTGCTACAGGAGGAAACCTAAACTAAACTAACTTTATTTATACTGGATAGCTCTATCAGTTTTAAACTGTTCTTCCTAGAGGTCCAGTAAGGATCATCTCTTATTGATCCAGCGTTGCTACAGGAGGAAACCTAAACTAAACTAACTTTATTTATGCTACAAATATTTATCTTCATATTTTTCTTAGGTTACGCTTGCTCATAACGACAATAATAGTAGTTTTCTTAGCCATGTGGTGGCACAATCCAAATCAATACGTAATCAGGCATTTTCAACGATTAATCGTCGATCCTACGTGCGAAATATTTAATTATCTTACGAAAAAAATAACTGGTTTTAGAGGCGGTGATTCTGGCAGTAGAAAACATGGCCCCGACGTCACATGACGTCATATGACGACGTCATCATACGTAATTTTATTTTAAAGATTAGGAAAATGTAAAAATGTGTAATTTTAAATGCCAATGGCAGGCTCATTGTGTATTCGTAGACGTTTAAATTGAAACCGAAGACAAAGTAATATAATATTATTATGCTATATTAAAATATATAAAAATGTCGGCTCACTGTGTTCATTATGATGAGATATGAGACATCAACCTCGTATCCAGGGTTCTCCGCTCCGAGCAACAGAACGTTCGAGCCAAGGACCACGCCCTAGAAACGTTAAAACTGAAGCGACAAAAAAGCGACAACTATTCGCATTTTACAGTCTACCTGAATCCACTGTATATTTATGTTACATGAAGTCCTCATTCGAAACATGAAATTTGAAAATAGAAAGATTGAGAAATCATGAGAAAATTTCATCGTTTCTATAATTTTTGTATTTATGTATTACCAACATTATGTCTTTTAATAATGTTTTTCATGTACATAAGACAGAGACGCTTTTACGAGAAAAAATTAAAGTCAATAGGTAAGGTATTGAAATTTATGAAAAGCAGTTTCAAGTGTATTTGATTTACCATTGAATATTGACGTCTTATTCTAGGATTGAATATTTCCTACATATTTATCAGTATCTATGATATAGTGTTTATTCTCCTAGGCAATATAGGAATATCTGCAATGTTTCAATTTATTAATCTGGTTCCAATAATATATAATTAACTCTCAATGAATGAATTAATTATTGACTTAATTATAGTAATTAAACAATTTAATTTTTTAGGAGGTTTATTTCAGTTGGATTTCTCTGCAGTAGACATAAAAGAGTTAGAAAAAAACTTGACATTTGTTCAGAAAGGTGGTTGGTACCAACCTACAAATTGTACATGTCATCATGATAAGAAGGTAATCTATGGATGGTGCCCTGAATTTTAGGTTAGGCTCAGTTCATACGTTGCATTTTGGTTGAGTTGAATGCAAGATAGTAAACCTCATTCAGCTTCATTATCATCTTATTATCTACTGTTTGAATTGCATTCGACGAGACCAAAATTTGACGTATGATGCACCATCAAAATTATGTACATGATGGTGGTAACCTGATTCCATATTTGAAGCAATCTTATTGCTGTATTTATTATAGGTGGCTATCATAATTCCTTATCGCAATCGCTATAAACATCTTGGTGTGTTCTTACGATATATGCATCCATTTCTCAAGAAACAAGAATTTCATTATAGAATTTTTATAATAGAACAGGTAATTCATGTTATTTCAACAATCAACAGTTATCACTAGTTATCAGTCAGCGTAACTTTACCATCATGATTATTGATCATCATTGTGGATCAAATATTAATCCCATCATCTTTTATCACCATCATTATTGATTACCATACTTATTGATAATTATCATTGGTAATCACGATTGCTGGTCCAATCACCACCACAAACCAATTTACCTGGTATTCACCACCAATGCTGACTTACCAGCTAATCCCATTCATTCCCTTTGTAGGCAGACAAAAAACTTTTTAACAGAGCAAAATTACTCAATATTGGTTTTACAGAAGCTAGCAAAGTTGACAATTTCAACTGTTACATATTTCACGATATTGACCTTCTACCCTTGAGTGGAGGGAACGAATATTTCTGTCCAACGTCACCAAGACACATGTCTGTCGCAGTTGACACTATGGACTTTGGGTACGTAATTATTATACCAGATTTTTGTGTATTTATTTTGTGGAATAATACGGTGTAATGAATGAATTGGTTGTTTTGTTTATTTCAGTATTCCGTATGAGGGAATCTTTGGTGGAGTGTCTGCTGTTACTGCAGAACATTTTAAAGCAGTGAATGGTTATCCTAACAGATATTGGGGCTGGGGTGGTGAGGATGATGACCTTAGTGAGAGGTAAGTCACAGGTATATTAGTTTCCTCCTGTAGTAACACTGGATCAATAAGAGATGATCGTTACTGGACCTCTAGGAAGAACAGTTTAGAACTGATAGAGCTATGCAGTATAAATAAAGCTGGTTTAGTTTAGGTTTCCTCCTGTAGTAACACTGTATAAATAAGAGATGATCCTTACTGGACCTCTAGGAAGAACAGTTTAGAACTGATAGAGCTATCCAGTATAAATAAAGTTAGTTAAGTTTAGGTTTCCTCCTGTAGTAACACTGGATCAATAAGAGATGATCCTTACTGGATCTCTAGGAAGAACAGTTTAGAACTGATAGAGTTATCCAGTATAAATAAATTTTCATTGAAGTCTCTTGTGTCATCGTTAGACTTCATGCGGCTGGCCACAGGATAACGAGTCCATCGTCTATCAATGGTATTTATACGATGATGTATCATTCGCACGCGATTTCAGAAGAATTCCCAGACAGGTATAATATCCCAACGGGAAAATCATCAAGTCAATGACTGCATAACTCTTTTTTTAAAGCACCAAATGTGAAGACGAATGCTTTATTTTTCCCTTTTTTTTCAAGGTACAACACTCTGAGAAAGTGGAAAGATTTTAAAGACACTGACGGACTAAACTCTCTCAAATACGAAGTTTTAAAAAGGACAGACGAGCAGCTGTATACGATCATCTCTTGCAATATTTAGTTAGGAAATCGTAGCATATTTCACGGTAGGATGAAATTGCTTATTTCTTAAGTGTTTTGAGATCAATGTGTTCAAAAATCCTGTGTGACATGATAACTCGTGAACTCATAATATGGAATATCACATGAAAATCATGGAAAATCATCGAGTTCACTCTTGACATTTGATATTTGGAGCTTGTTTTATATTTCATCAAATGCTTAGCTACAGTCGTGGAGAAACATTTGATGAGATTATGTTTTTCAAAATATCGAGAATGTCATCTTCTCTGGCATTATAAGTATCACATGTGTTCCACGAGGACGCGTTAATCTTTTATCATAAAACCTCTATTTATATTATAAAAACCCGCCGAGCAGCTGGTTAAACTTCAATGTAATTTTCAACAGACAAAGAAAGCTTTTATTTCATTAATTATACATGAATACAAATTGTGCGGTTATGCAACGTTTCCCGAGCAACGGCGCTGATGCAACGACAGACAAAAACACTAACAAAATGAAATACTGTCTTGGCAACCATTTGAAAACGATGAAGATATTGACCGACTTGTCGCTCAAATATGACGTCTAACATTGCGAGGTAATCCTTTCGTGTTCCTGGCAACAAAACATTCAAATATGTTTGTTCTTGGATTATTTTTAATCTTTTGTGGAGTTCTGAATGCTGCGTCCTTGAGCGGTACGTTTTAACTTTAATGTTTTGAAATAATAATATATAAATATGGATTATGGTATTTCATTTTTTCATCTTATGAATACATACTGTCACGTTTCACGATGAGCAATTTGGAAGAAAAATCTTTTTTTGCCATATCTTTCCTTCGCATCAGGCACAGCGCTGTCACATACTGTCATGTTGACTTTTTTAAACATCACTTTGGACACATGGAAAACAGACGCCAAAGAATCGATTATGAAAGAAACGATAGCAAATCTTACAACAGATTATTGCCAAGGAAATGCTAATAAGTGTGATGTGTCGTCGTCTAGTACCAGGTACGGAATGCAAATTTATGAAAAGACGTTGTTTAATAATTATCACCGCTCTCTCCCCCCCGTGTAGAGCTGGGAGTTGAAGATTGAAGTTATTTTTTTCTATGTAAAAACATGTTGTTTTTAAAATGATTATAGCACGCGTTTTAAACCAGAGAATGTTAAAATGGTAAGCGGTTATCCAAAGAACACCCACAATGATCTTAAGATGCTTGTTTTTGTGGAACTTCCGGGATCTTCCGGCAGAATTTCAGGTGATGCGTTACTGACAATCGTGAGGAATGGGAAAGCAAATTTGAGCTCAGAAATTGGTTATGAAATTGGATCAGTCGTCTCAGGAGAGAGTCTTTCTGGTTCGGAAGAGAAAGAAATTAACCATAAATGGAACAAGATTATGATTCCTCTGGCCTTTCTGATCTTGTTGGCTATTGCCTTGATTTGCTGGATACTGCATCGTAGAAGGTAAGTTGTGGGCGTGTGAAGTGTGAAATGTGGAAATTCCACGTGTCTTTCATCTCTGTGACTGAGGTTTGATTCCTGTAATATGCAGTTGTGTGATTATAATTTCACCTCAGTCACATGTGAGAAGAGTGCTTCTAGTTTGACTCTATCAAACACAGTGGTTAGTACATGTGTCTTTCATCTCTGTGACTGAGGTTTGATTCCTGCAATATGCAGACTATAATCTCATTTATAATTTCCTAGAAAAAAGAAGCTGGCCAGAGATGAGGTAAAGAGATACCAGGCGTTGAAGAATTCTAAGAATAAGGGATCAAATTCTCGAAATAAAGCAGGAGCTATGGTGACTACAGCTGACGATCTACCATCAGAAGCATTTCACCAGAAACCGACAGATGTGCCTGAGTTGAACCCGCCTGAGAATCAGGCTGTGATTGAGGCAAATAACAATGTACGAAGGCACAAAAAGAAGCGATCTTTACCCAAGAAACCGCCGGTCAAAAAGACCTCGGATGACGATAGTGATGACGTCTTTGATGATGACCCGGATGTGCGGGAAAAACCGAAGAAAAAAGGCCGTCGCCGCAAAGGACGCCGGTCGTATGATTTCGATCGTGACAATAAGGAAGAGTATGAAATGCAGGCTGCTAAAGTGTTAGCTTGTTCACCGGCTAACAATGAAGGGACAAATGGTGTCTCGCATGAGAACTCCGGGTATCAAAGGGATAGTGAGAAAGGCGAGAGTGATCCAGCGAGGAACTCGAATACAGATTCAGCGGTCGAGTTGAATTCGTCCGTCGCATCTTCACGAGCGCGATCCGCTCGGACTTTGCCGCCAATCCCGAAAACCAATTAAAACTCAGCGGTATGAAGCATCGTTGATTAAATAACTAAATAATTAAATAAGAAATAACTGAAATAATATAAATACCGCAAATTCAAGTTGTCATTAATTTTGTATCAATACTTGCGATATTTTAAATACTTGTATAGTGGAATACCTTTCTGAAAATATCATTCGTAAGGAATGACTATGTAAATAATGTAAAAAAATATGTGATATTTATAAATGGCATGTAAATAAACAAATTTTTGGTTATTAGTTGGCAAAGTGATTTGCAGGCTACGAGAGGATATTTCGCTTCCTTTTTTTTCGAGGAGCAGTGTCTGCGAATAGCTTCAAACTGCCTCTAGGGATAAGGAAAAAAAAATCCTTGACATTTCGACCCAAAAATCCTCACCAGGAAAATTGGCATAAACCATGAGAGATATGATTCGTTTGTGATATGATTTAATTAAACACACATTATTTGAATTCCTATTTCATCCTCTTAAGGGCCGTTTATACTTGCGATTTTACGTTGCGATTTTCCTCTATTGATAGATGTGAAAGAGTTAATTAGTTACAAATGCTCTGATTAATACGAGCTCTTATTTGAACATTAGTAATTAATTCGCTCGTTCACATCTATCAAAAGAAGAAAATCGTACGATATGTATAGGGTATACGATATTATGATGTGTGATTTCCTGCTAGCTGCGTTGAATAAACGAGATGACATTCCTAGCGTAACTTTGATTGTTTTTATTCTGAGAGTTTGTTCCTCTCCAGTCTTCTTTTCAAGTGTTCACAGACTTTCATATGATTTTATTGCAATAAATCATGGGACGATTGTTTTTTCAGAATATTTTTTAGTTTTTTTAGTGAAAAAAATTGCAAAGCTGCACGTTTTGTGATTGATTGAGGATATAAGAGGCTGGTATCTTGAGTGTCTGAATTATAATAATCCCTATTATGTTCTAACCTGTTCTTCCTAGAGGTCCAGTAAAGATCAACTCTTATTGATCCAGTGTTACTACTGGAGGAAACCTAAACTAAACTAACTTTATTTATAATGGATAGCTCAATCAGTTCTAAACTGTTCTTCCTAGAGGTCCAGTAAAGATCATCTCTTATTGATCCAGTATTACTACAGGAGGAAACCTAAACTAAACTAAATTTATTTATACTGGATAGCTATCTCTTAGCGCGAGGTCATCACAGTAAATGAACAGTTCTATCACACGACTGTAGTCACACGAATGACACGATGGTGACGGGTGGTCTGCACTTCCTTTGAAGACCGGCATGGTGGAAAGTGCGGAGTGCGGAGTACGGAGTCGGAGTACGGAGTGCGGAGTACGGAGTCGGAGTACGGAGTCGGAGTACGGAGTCGGAGTACGGAGTCTGAATTAGACTCCGTACTTTCCACCGTGCCGGGGGGATCGGTGGAAAACACGGAGTCTGTGCTAAAAGTAATTGTAAACGCTTGACATTCGATTCTAACTTGACTCCGTATTTTCCACCGTGCCGGGGGGATCGGTGGAAAACACGGAGTCTGTGATAAAAGTAATTGTAAACGCTTGACATTCGATTCTAACTTGACTCCGTATTTTCCACCGTGCCGGGGGGATCGGTGGAAAACACGGAGTCTGTGATAAAAGTAATTGTAAACGCTTGACATTCATATAAATGAAAGTCGATTAAATAATATAAGTTACAGGAAACATCTGGGCAACTTTAGTGAAAGTGTTACTCTCGCAAGTTAATGTGCGATGTCCGTTTAGAATTTGGCATTTAAGTAGCTCATTAATCAAAACATTGGTTTTGAATTTCACTCAAGCTAACTGTTAGGTACCTCGTGTTGTTAGTGACCTCTAGCAATGGCCTTTAAACTGCCATCAATACGCGTTTTACCGCGCAAGCTTAATTGCAATCTACCGACTTTTGATTATAAAGAACTTAGAAGCATGGAATTTATCGGACAAGGTGGTTTTGGTTTTGTTTACAAAGCCCATTACAGGAAAGAAACGGTCGTCGTGAAAAAGAATGCCGGTGAGTCAAGAGAAGACGAAGATGTGTTTTTAAAGGAGGCGAAACTCATACACTCCTTTCGTCATGAAAATATTGTTGGTTTCAAAGGATTTTGCCATTCACCATGTGCCATGCTGTTAGAGTACGTGTATTTTGATTTCTCCCCGTTTGGAGACTCAAAAGTTATTAGCAACTTGGGTGACTTCTTAAATCACATGGACCGTATTGATGGCTTCGAAAATTTTGATGATAAACTTCATGGTAAGATTTGTAGCGATATCGCTAATGGACTTTCATACTTGCACGAGAGAGATACGGCCCATAGAGATTTGAAACCGAAGAACATCTTGGTTTGCAACAGTCACTACTGCCACATTAATGAAGATGAGCAGCGATGCGTGATTTTTGAAAAATCTCCTATAATTTGTAAACTTGCTGACTTTGGCGAAAGCAAATCTAGCCAAATACAAACTGCGATCATTAATTCAACAACAAGGCGCGTAGACAGGTAAGTTTTCATGTTGTGTATTATTCTTTGTCTGACTCGGATAGACCATTCCCATATGGTTTAAGTATATAAATAATAAAGAGAAAAAAACAGCGGTAAATGCTGTGTAAAAGAAAATCGTGTATATTCAATTCAAATACTCATTTGGACATGTTCAGTTCTCGCGTAAAATCTCAGAAAACGCTAAAAGAATTGGTAAATATTTCACTAACCATAAAAATAACCCAAATAGCACCCATTTAAGGCTCTATTAATATAGTAATATAGAGTTGAGCATGAGCCGCAACGGACTTGAAATAAGTCTCATACATGATTTCATACGTGACGTCATCGTTTACTCTCTCCACTATGCGTAACCGTACAAAAATAATGTTTCGCCGAAACAACAGTAAAGCAATGAGTAAAGGTGTATTTTACTTATTTCGCTATTGCATTAAAACCTTTAGAGGGACTCCTTTGTTCATGGCGCCGGAGATTTTAGTTAAGGCTTCAAGATTGCAGTCTGCTTCATTCAAAGACCTGAAGCAAATCGATATGTGGGCATTTGGCATGATTTTGTTCTGCATAGCGAATCCTGATTTGAAGTATCCGTACCAGTTGGATATTAATCATGGCACAAGCTTCATCGACCAACTGCAGGAATTGTTAATAAAGAAAAAACATCCTACAGGATCTCCCAAGTACAGAGAAATGCGAAGTACAAAATGGCTACTTATTCAAAAAGTATTTGAAGCTTCTACCAGCTTTGATCCTTCTCAAAGACCATCGGCGGAGCATGTGAAACAGCAATTCAGTGCTGTTCAACAGATTAATGACCAAGACCAAACAATCAGTAACAGAAACACAGACGAGAACACAAGGTGCTAAGATTTGCATGCATGTTCATTTAAACATTTTTTTCATGTTGGTTAGCTCTTTATTGGAATATGTGTAGTCCCTTTAACTTCGAAGCATTCTATATTAATTCGACTGTTTTGATTTTTTTGTTATTAATAGCAAGAGTACTGAGCAACGTAATGAGAAGGAAGTTACAGGTCTAAGTGATAAATCAGAATCTCCAATGTTATTCAGGTACTGAATAATATAGAAGTGCGTATCTAAGACTAAGACTTATTGTCTATATCCTGAGTGTTTCTCCTCTAGACGTAAAATTAAATTAAAATTATTATTAAATTTCCTGATTTAGAAGCGCTAGACAAGTGATAGATTTGACAAATCCGTCGAGTCCTTCTGAAGATGTCAGGTATATATCAAATTTATTACTCTCTCTTGGATGGCTTTCTATAATTTCTTGGAAAAGCTTCCGAACTTTCCTCGGTAACACATGCACAGTTTGAGCTTATTAATTTATTGCTTGAATTGAACGTTGAAAAAAATACCATGAACCAAGTTTGCATTTCTATTTTATACGCTAGAAGCAATTTTGAAAGTTCATCTCGCATGTGACGTTGTCAAAATTGTAGTTAATAATGAGGCTGGAAAACTGTAACTAACTGTATTCTAACTGTAAAAGGAAAACCTCAATGGCTGAATCCAAACTGATTGATGTCGGGGGCTTAAAAAGTAGAGACGAAGATGCAGCGCTAACATATAGTGAAATGGATTTTAACAGCAGCAATGAGTCTACAGATTCAATTTTCGAGAATGTCTTAAGGTAAATTAGATTTTAACTTGAGAATTAACATTATGAGATGTATGCCGCAGGACGAATGTTATAAAGTGCACTTTTTCTTAATTTATTTAAAATGATGCTTTGTTTTAGAAGAAGAACGAGAGTGGATAGCACCGATGAAAGTAGCGATGCAGATACATCCGACAGCATCGACTATTACAAAGGAAATCTTCTTCTTCCTGTGTTCTCTAGAAACAAGAAAGTTCTTTCTCCTCATGATGAGATGCACTTGCTCTACAATATTGGAAAGCCTAACAGCTCTGTCTCTTCTGCAATAGTGTGTAGCCATCAACCAATGTGCGTTGAGCACCACGTCTCCTTCATTGTAGACCTTGAAGCCTTGAAGTCAAATAGTGATATCAAGTGTGACGATGCAGGAAGTTGGCAAAACAACAGTAACGACAAATTTGGGTTTCAAAGAGATGGCGATGAATGGATTCAATGTGCTAGGTCAGATGAAGAAGTTCATCTCAAAAGGGAATATTATTGTTTAAAAGATGGTATGAAAGACGACTTCAGAAAACGAATCGATACGATAATTTGTAAGTACAAACATATTTAATCTTCTTCCAATAGTTGGACGTTTAGTATATAGAAGTTAGTGCATAATACCACGATCACGCAAGAGATGTGTATGGGCGCAAATACTGAGAAAACAATTTGATTAAATATACTGTATGCATGTTATCACGTCGCAGGGCCTGAAGGTGAAATCCACAGATATTGTCTGGTCCAATACTCGTTCAAAGGGGGAAAGGAACATCCAATTCTTCAACGACAACATAAAAACGCCAAATCAGAGTCACGTGGTCCATACGTCCGAACATGGGAGAGTACGAAAGCCCTTCTGAAAGAAAAAATGGGTGAAATGAATCCACGTGAGGTCGTGCACAAGACCGTAGCAGAGGATTTTGGAGGAATTTCCAGTTGTTCTGGTATAGGAATGGTGCCTCGAGATAGACAACAGGTAACTCATAAATACAAAATTTCCATATTGCGCGTTAAAGAAGAATTTAATATGTAATTTTACGTACAGGTTAAGGATTTTTCAAGAAATAAAAAGAAAAGTAAACGGCAAAGGAAAACACTATCAGAAGACGCCAACGACGATGATCCTTGGTTTCGCCTACTCGGAGAAAGCAAAAAGCAAGCGTCAAATAGAAGTACAGCCTTTATAAGAGATGTAAGAGTCGCACCTGAGCCGCTTTGTGTTATGACGTCGGACAGGCAATTAAATGACCTAAAGCGGTTCTGCTGCAATCCCGTAGAATTTCGTCCATTTACCGTGGATCCAACCTTTGATATTGGACATTACAATGTCACGCCAATAACTTATCAACATCTGCTGCTCGAAAACAGACGCGACGGAAAGCACCCATCTTTAATCGGCCCAGTTTTACTTCACAATAAGAAAACAGAAGAAACGTATTCAAGCTTCAGTGCAACACTGAAAACACTGGAACCAGGTTTACGGGACCTATTGGCATTCGGCACGGATGATGAACAGGCCCTCATCTCAGGGTTTCGAAACAACTTTGATCGATCAATTAACTTGCTTTGCGAATTACATTTGCAGAAAAATGTCGAAAGGAAGCTGCAAGAATTGCAAATCCCAAAACAAAGTAAAGTTGAAATCATCACCGATATATTTGGCAGGAGGCATAGCGATATTGTAGAAAGTGGATTAACGGATGCCAAGAGTGCGGAAGCGTTCGATACAATGCTGGTTAATCTAAAGGAGAGATGGTCTTCCCTTCATACTAAAGGCCAAGTCTTTTATGACTGGTTTGTCTCCAGAAAACGTGATGAATTCATCAATTCCGTTATCAGTATAGTACGCCAAAGAGCTGGTCTAGGTTGTCCTCCTGATCGTTTCACAACAAACCGATCAGAACAAACGAATCGGTCGATCCAAGAATTTGTGAAATCCGAGTGCAAAAGCGCAAAGAAAATCGACGAATTCACCTTCTCTGTTTGTTTGTCGAAACTTGTCAATCAACAGAAACAAGAGGTTGAGTTAGCTGTTCTTGGCCGTGGAGAGTACAAACTTAGAGAGAAATTTAAACATCTCGAAGTATCAAGCCAAGAATGGGAATCCATGAGAGAAGAGCAAAAGAAAAATGCTTTGCAGAAACTCCACACGGTTCCTTTGGAGGAAGCGTCTTCCAGTATAGTCAGCATCACCGAAGTTGTCCGAGGTTCCGACAACGCCATATTGCAAATGTTCCTGGAAAAAAGGATAGATTGGATTCCACATGAAATTCTCTCAAGCATTGTTCAGAAAGCTCTTGCTTTAATCGAGAAAGAGGGAGCAGTTTTATCGCATGGAAGTGATACGATGGTTGTGGAATCTGCAACTAATCCACGGAAGCCTCACGTCGTGAATCTGTTTCCAAATGGAAAGGTGGAATGCGATTGTCCCGGCTTTTCTTCCTCGTCCGTTTGCGCGCACACTGTTTCCGCCAGCATAAAGCAAAAGAAGATCGCGGACTTCATTAAGTGGCTTTCGTGCACCAAGCGCAATGCTGGTGGAGTTAATTTCTCCAAAGCTATAACTTTTGGAATGCCAAAAGGTCGAGGGAGAAAGGGTGAGAAAGCGCCAAGAAGGGTTGGTAGAAACAAAGCGAGCAAAGAAGTTTCGAGAGTTATACCTCGGGTCAGTGACAAGAGGAATGAGACTGATCGCCATACCCCCGATGATTCCACTTTGGCACCACAACCTTTTGTTCCCTTATCCTTACATGCTCCATCAATAATACCTCACCCTGCGACGCAAATATCTCGACTTGAGAGCCAACAACCATCTGTGAGTTATATCCGCCAGCGCCGCAATTCCCTGATGGACCACACACATCATCTTGGGTTCCTCAGTTACTACCTTGCACACCAGGCTTCCCAACACCAAATCCTGGGCAATTCATGCTTTATCTTCTGCAGTTTTGTCCAAGTCAAACGTCTGTTTGCTTTGGATGCGGGAACCCACTAAAACGCAATGGTGTTGTACCTGAAGCTCCGAATGATTTGGTGATTGTGTCAAAGATGGCCAGAGAATGGATGTCCCAAGGGAGAGTATGCCATAAACTTTCAAACGTTTACTTTCATTGCTTTAGAGGATGTGTTCTGAGAAAGGAGGCTAGATTTGTAAGAGGAATTTGCGTCATTCCACAAGAAATCAAGCCACACCTTCTTCCCATTCACTACCACTTCATTGAAATGAACTTATAGTTTGTCTTTCCTAAATGTTTGCATGGCAACTTTAATAATTAAATTAACTTTTAGGTACACCACGTAAGTATTCAATACTGCAAAGCTTTCGGTCCGTTAACCCGGACCTTCATCCTTTGCACTGATAAGATCCGGGTTAACAGACCGAAAGCTTTTCACTATTTAATATTTACGTGGTGTACCTACAAGTTAATTTAATTATAATTGTTTATTTAAATTATAATTATGTCATTTATTGCATTATTTTAAAGATTGATATTCAGTGGCGTAACCAGCATTGATAATTGGGGGGGGGGGCATATTCATATATTCATGTTAACAGACTGTGAAAACAATTGCCGGAATAGAAATTTAAAAGAAATTAATCCTGCGTATCACAAAATATATGAATATGCCCTCCTCCCCAAATTATCGTTATGGTTACGCCACTGGCAGTTGAGATTATTACTCCATCAATCAAAACGAATGGCATTTTCGTACATAAAAAAAGTTCTTGTTATGTTCAAAGTTGAGGGTAATATAATGCTAAAATAAAGAAACTTTTCCTTAAAGAAAGCAGCGCTTGCCCTACAAGTACTTTAAGCAGAAATACTGCGTTTTCTGACTCTATAGTTAGAATCTAATTATTAGTTATTACACTATTTTAAACATTGAGATAATTACTCTTTTAATAAACGGAATAAACGGAATGATTATTTTCATATATAATTAAATTAAAATTATTTATATATTAAAAGCCCAACAATTACTTTTATCACAGACTCCGTGTTTTCCACCGATCCCCCCGGCACGGTGGAAAATACGGAGTCAAGTTAGAATCGAATGTCAAGCGTTTACAATTACTTTTATTACAGACTCCGTGTTTTCCACCGATCTCCCTGGCACGGTGGAAAGTACGGAGTCAAGTTATAATCGAATGTCAAGCGTTTACAATTACTTTTAGCACAGACTCCGTGTTTTCCACCGATCCCCCCGGCACGGTGGAAAGTACGGAGTCTAATTCAGACTCCGTACTCCGACTCCGTACTCCGACTCCGTACTCCGCACTCCGTACTTTCCACCATGCCTTGAAGACCCTCCACTCGTGGTAAACTGATGGCAAACAATCTGTCATCGCGTGCGTGGGCACGTTATGACAACAGAAAAATGTATATTCAAATATTCCGACCGATAATGCCATATTATATAAGCTTCTAAAAGTTCTTCCATGGTATCTTTCTCTTGAGAAAAATCAGGGTTTCAATATTCTCTTCTATAAAGTCTAAGATTTCGCCGACCAGTCTCAGGAACCGAGCGAGAATAATTCAAAGGAATTTCAATTATTTCCGTTGGTGTGTCGCGATAGCGTCAGAAAGGAACCAGAACATCAATACAGACCCAATAACAGAATTAAAAAAATTATTCACTATTAACACTTCGACTTATTTTGAATATTGGAAAAGCAGTTCAGACGAAAATGCAATTGTTTAGATTGCGTTTGTTTCCATTTGTAATATGAGAAGAATTTACCATCGACCCTTAGGCATTTGTCCATCTTTCCAGCGAAAAACACCTTGTTTTCATTAAATTTTTCGGCTTTCAACCAGTTCGAATCAGTTGAGTTCGGGTGAAATCGAGTCTATTCTATGTTTTGTAATCCCAGTATTTGCGCTTATGATTTCGGATGTCGGGTATTATAACGAGTCATGACAAGTTAATCCTTCCAGATCTTTTAATACCTTAATATTTACGAGATTCATTTGCTCTAATTTTTGTTCAACCAGCCGACAGTTTAAAAAATAAAATAAAAAAGAAAAAACCGATGAGACCATCTTGAAGACATGCGGGCATACCATACCATATGATATGGATAAACGCGAAACATCTATTGAAGTTCGTTTGTTTTCGATCATATTTCAAAATCATCAAAATCATCGATCAAACATTTACTTTGGTCGGTTCTTATCCTTACGTTTCAACGACCTGAGGCCAGTTGTACAGATGTGATAACCTTCGTATTAACCGTGCACTGTCATGAGTTTTTAGGCTTTATCATTCGTGTCAATCTGTGAGGTTTAGTCGGGCAAATATGCATTCTATTTACGCTGTGAAATGATTTGAACTGATCGGATAAAGTAGGCGTAAGGCGTGACAACTTGGTATGAAGATTGCCCTGGATCATATGACAGTGAAGGTCATTTCTGTCAGTTTAGCATTCAGTGTTTATGTCAAAACATAAAGTCGTTTATAGATGAAATAAGAAGGTTTCGGTGAAAAAATTTTTGACATTTCATTGCATATAATGACTACTCTTTCGAGTTCCGACTCTATGAAATATGAGCCTTTGGGCCCAACAGATATCACAATTCTCGTTGAAAGATATAAGGCAAGATTTCCAGATCTTTGTCACTTGAAGCACCAAAGTTAGGTTATATGTACTTTTTGCATCCATAGATACGATTGTCTGCTGAAAATAACCATATTGTAAACATTGCATGTAATCTACGTCTTTGTCTAGGACAGGCGTTTTAGATATGACAGAACTATACAAATAAATTGAAGCTAGCGTCGTTTTTGGAGAACGAGGATTGCCAGAAACCTTTTAGAGGAAGTGGGAAGAGTCGTGAGAAGACGTGCAATTCTTTTTTCTTACATGAAAGAAAAGCATCGTGACACTGTGACAGCTGCTTGTAATATCTAATAGTCGGTTTTGTTTGAAAAATTCAGCCTGAAATATGCAAAAGAAAGCGCTCGATGTTTTGGACCAAGTGTCTTGTCGCGAGACTCAGTATCACGTCAATATTTGATCTTGGATACGAAGATTTTAACCAGCATTCTCATGTCAATATGATATGTTTACCACGCTGTTATTATTATTCATAGACTAATAGTATCTCATTTGGTAAGGTTTCTTGCAGGAATTTACTGCCCAATAGTGTATCGAAATCTTCACTATCATGTTCTTGCGTGTTTGAAATCGTATTTCTTACGAAAATGAAAAAAAAGGTAGTATTCCAAAGTTCGATTTCCCGGTGTTCATGCATGCCATATTTCATTTTCACAGGAAGTCAATACGGTTTAAATTATTGATTTCGGCTGACTTGGGATAGGACTAAACACGAAAATCGATCTTTGTTTGACTAATGTTCAAAATATAAGCCATGCAAAGTATCATATTTACCATAAGCTATCGCGCATTTGAAGTTCAAATGACTACAACAATGTCTCAACAATGCTGGACAATTTCTTTTAGCGATAAGCATGTATAATTTATTGCGTATATTTTGCTTAATGAGCTTTTTTCATACGCAGTTTGACCAACTGACATTTGAGTTCAATTTGCGCAAAAACCGGGGGTGACTGGTATTTGCACGTGCTTGTCAGCTGCGCATAGTTTTGTCCGTTTAGCCAATCAAATGCGGCGTAGGTCATGTGACTGGGTTGGGAATTATTGTGGAATTGTCTGCGCGTCGGTCAACGATCATTTTCAACGCACACCCTCAAGTCGTCGTTTGTATTCGTATCGCAGAGAGCTTTTGTCGTTTCCTCAACAAACAAATAAGGTAAGGATACTATGTATTTGGTGGTATATGAATCCAATAGCTAATAAACTTGTAAAATATATGATTAGCTTATGGGAATAGGCAATGCTAAACGTTCTTGTAGACGCTGTACTAAAATCTGAAAGCCGGTGTCCTTCAATCGAGATTATTTGATTTTAAAATTATCTTCGTTTCTATTCCCACTATTACATCTAGTGCTGTTGAATTTGTACAAATAGCGTTGTATATCGACATTCACGCGTTTATTCCTGAGGTTTCCGCAATTTGTTTGTACCTAGAGGATTTGCGCGCAAAAATGCTTGACATAAATGGGGTGTTGTCCCATGGCGATCTCTTTGTTGCTGCTTGTACTTTCTACACGACGTTGCATAGAACTGCTATTGTCTAGGATATTTATTTCGAAATAATCCTGCTGGAATATTGCGTCAAATATCGTCTTTTTAAACGATACGTGTATCATGGGAATTTGTAAAGCGAGGCCCGAGAAGCACATGGTGCTTAAACTATCAGTATCGGAAAGGCAATCCCTCAACCGTTCGGCATGATTGGGTCTATTTTACTTTCACAGCAGCCGGAATTAATGTTTATGGGATAAAGAAAATGTTTTCGATGAATGATTATTGGAGCAATATGTAAATAAGGCCTTGTGTTCAACATATTGAATATCAGATAAGCGCTGTTTTGTAGCAATCTGGTGTTCTAGTTTTACTATATATGACTTTAATAATCATCAAATTCTTCATATTTTCAAACACTTACCATGTCTGAGTCTTACTTCATTTTGCTTTTTAAATTATTTTTCCTTGAAAGCAAATACAGGTGAAATTTGAAAGGCCCTCTTCAATAATCGCGCTACGAAATTGTGTTTTGACTACGGTCAAGCATTAAGTCTTCACGAAAAGATATATAAACGGTTCTAAAAATTATGGCTTGGTCATCCTGTTGTGTAGAAAGAAGATTGTTCATTGACTTTAGTCCTTCGTGTGTTAAACAAATTAGTGAACCAACGCTTTGAAGGCGTGTTATTCTTCCTTGACGAACGCGCAAGTTAAGGGTTGAACAAATTGCCGTTTTCTTTTAAATCCTTTGTGTAAAACCGCGGGAATGCTTGCTATGCCTAAAAGCTTTTAAAAATGCGTTTATATTCAGTATTCGTAAAGTGATATTGACTTTTGAACTTGTGGATTTTGGACGGCCCCAAAAGAGACGTGCCTGTCACTTTTTCAAAGGTGTAATGTTACAAAACTATTTCTTTCACTTACCCGACAAGCATTCAAGAGCGCACTAGAAACTACACTAACATAATAGCATTGTGTAAAAAGCGACAAATTTACGATTCCCTTGTTGTCCAAGTAAAAGCTATGATGTTAATATTCTTTCGTCGCAGCACATACTGTAACAATTGTAGAAATAGATTTTACTTCGCAGGTTTTCCAAATTAACATTTAAATTTCCTTTTATTTTAGATGAAGACCTCCCTTGTAATCTTGTGTATGTATTCCTTTAATTTTGTATTATTTATGTAAGAGATATTGAGATAAATATTGAGAAAGCTTCTGAGAGCTTTACAGCACTTAAACCAGGCTTTCAAGGCATTTATATGATTTATTGCACAAAGATGTTTATAGCAATATTTAGACTTTGATAAATACTGTAATTTCTGGCAAAGAAAACTGCTTTGATGATTAAAGATTGGGACATTTTAGAAGTGTGAAACATCATTAAGATGCATCCTTCAGCACTTCAAAAAAGACCCATGCAATTGTTATATAAACAAATCTGTGTCCAAAAAGCTTCATTTTCATCCAAGTGAATTTTGTTAATGCTCTTTCTTTAAATTATGATTTGCAGGTGTTGTCCTATGTATGGTTGTATATGTTAACTGCCAAAATGGTACTACTACTGTTACTGGAGGTTTGATAATCCTTTATAATCATTTATAATCATGGATCTTATTTTTGTTGCAATGCAATACCAAACGACCCTCTCTGCTTCTATGTTTCAGCTGCTCCAGCAATGAGTCCTATGGCGTCCTCATCTGTAGCTCCTACAAACAAAACAACAAGTAAGTCATAGTTACAACTCTAAAAAACCACTAGCTTGGTTATTTTAAACCATAAAGCAAGGGTTTTTTTAAAACATTAGTTTCTGATACAATTTTTCTCCACACAGAAAAAACAACAAAATCTGGTGCTGATAGTGTGAAATCGATGTTTGCTGTAGTTGTACCTTTTATATATTTTCTTGGTATGTATGATATTAATAATTTCCTATTTTTCTTCCTATATATATTTTTTTCCCTACCAATTTATTTTGTGTATTAATATTATATTTCTGTTTTTGTTTCAGTCTGCTGAACTTGTAATTCTCTAGCGAGAGTTTGAACCACAATAGCTTGTATGATACAAACTTGAGTTTTTAATATTGTGCTTGATATTATATATACATAAATATATATAAATATGTGTTCATATTATTGTCATTTGTGATAGCAGAATTATTACATAATCTTTAGTCATTGGAGAAAATTACAAGAAAATACTAAGTTTGTTATCCTATTTTGTTTCAATGTTTTTGATGCTAATATTGTATGTATGGAAGAAATCTACTTAAATTTGTGCTGTATTTTTCTTGAAAAAGCAGTGGGGTAAGTTATGAAGGTGTTAATTATCTTGGGGGAAGGAAGTATTAGACATTTCTCCAAATTAATTTCCTAGATGTGAAGTAAATTAATCTTTTTAATAACTTTTTTACATCAAAATCCATACAGCAATTATCCATTTCATATATTTATAAGATTGTCCTTGATGAAAGTTAATTGGTACTTGCTTGTATGTTCATATTCTCCTTCACTTTCAAATACTAAAAATAGGAAATATATAAGAAATGTTGACACCTTCACAACAATTCACCATAGTTGTGATACATGCTATTAAGGAACTAGCTAAAGGTTGTGGTTTCGAATCCCACATCGTTCAACTCTTGTGAATTGTGTATTAGTAGGCTGGGCAGAAAATGGTATTGCAAATGTATCTTGATACTTGCATTTATTCTGCTTTCAATTGCTTGCTCAATCCAGAGTAATTCCATAGTTAAATCTTCACGGAGTTTAAACAGAGATGTCTTGTTGTTTGGATAAAATATTTCATCTGAAATGTTGAAAAGCAACGTTTATGCAAGGGATGCAATTAAATGTATAAAGGTAATTTATAAACATTCTCAACTGGAGGGTCTCTCATCAGAAGAGGTTTTGAAAGTATTTGAGAGGACTCTTAGGCATATAGAAAGTTAGCAGTGACTGGAATGTACTTCAGTAATCTATCATGAATTGTGACTGTACTGTACTTCAGTAGTCTCATGAATTGTGACAAGGTATTGGTATTGACATCCTCTTTTGATGAAGGTCCTTAGTTTCATTTCTGACATGGTAATTATACAATATATTGGGGTGACAATAGAGACAATGAACTTGGATATATGTACACCTTCAGCAATGCAAAGTGTGAATGGGTATCAGGAAACAATGATCGACACAAGATGAGAGGAGGGATATCCCACCTTTTCTGAGTCTGGGTATGGTGTCAATGTTCATTTGTCTAGAATCATTTGGCAATACTGATCCAACAGTTTCATTATCGCCAGAACTTGTATTTTCATTAGTCTGTATTTTGCTGTTATTTGAAGTGAAATTAACTATATTGTTTGTACTTTCAAAGTCTCCCTCAGGAGCCAATATATCTTTGTCACAAGTTTCATTTTTGCAAAATTCTATTTTTGGTTTGAAATGATCTCTTGCAATATCAGTGTCCACATTTGACTCGCTAACTGTCAATTGCTGTCCATTCTCAGGCAATACATCATATTTTCCCGTAGTTTTAAAATCCGCATGATGTACAGTTGGTAAACAAAGTTTTGAATCGGTTTTCCAACGGACCTTAGCACTGTGCCCCTCAAAACACATTACAATCTCATCGTATTCCTGTTTCAGCCGCAAAAACTTTCTTCTGACCAAAAACCCACGAACAACCGCCTAAATACGAGAAAACCACATCAAACTACAACAGATGAACAAGGGGAGGGCAGAATTGAGAGAAATTATACCTGTATTTTTACAACAGGATTTCGTCCTTCAAAATTCGCCATTTTTATGTACAATACCTGTTACTACTTTCGATGTTTCCCCCCGGTATATTCTATTATTTCAGGTATATTTTATTATATGAACAAATCTTTCAGGGGGGTGAATACTGAAAAATATTTCGAATATGGCCGACGAGGAAAGAGAAATAAAATATGAGTGTAGGTATATTCTGGTGTTTATTTGGCGTTTTTGTGCGTAAATATATTTTAATAGAAGAAACTGTTTCTTTTGTTTCAGATCTCGACCACACAGCTGATGTACAGTAAGTGGTTTTTGAATTGTACATTTTGTATTTGTCTCAGTTTATAAATTTATTATTAAAACATTTCTTTCATTTGTTTTTCAAGATTACATGCTTGTATCTTTTTCTATGCCCGAGATTTAGAATCGGGAAAGTGTAGAATTAGTGATAGGATTAGACTGAATCTTTATGAAATATGAAGGGGCATGTTTTGTTGACTTAAATATCAAATGACAAGGGTCACATTTTGACATTCTGTTAAAAGTTATGCATGTTTGTCAGACATTCCTCCCTGTGAGAAAAAGGGTTAAATTTTCTTAACAATGCTCAAGGGGGCGATGATCTGAAAGAAGCCTTTGAACAGGTCAGTGTCTTTGACTTGTTCAACATTTGTGTGTAAGGCTCTACCTGTTTATATTTAGATATATATCAACTTGTTTTATAAAACAAAATCTCCTTTATATACAGTAAACTTGATTTCTTATTCCTCATGACTCTAGGTTGGCCTGGCTATGTATGGTTATATGACTGAACTATCCACAGTTGATGTGGAAAGGACAGAAACCATCCAAGCAGAAGGTTTTGTTTATTTCTTTATGTATTAACAATATATTCATTTCAAAGGAGTGTCAAAATCAAGTTAAAAAACAATGATTCATGTTTCCAGGTGATGACATCTTGTCTCTTCTCTTCCATTTTCTTGATGAATTGCTTTTCCTATTTTGTGCTGAGCCTTTTTTCATTGGAAAGGTAGATGTTGGATGCTTCGTTTTGTTTCACTGCTTCGTAAAAGTACATTCTCTCATCTTTCTAGCGACTCATTCAATATTTTTTATTACCAAGGAAATTGAAATCACAGAGTTTGATAAAGAAAACTTTACAATCAAAGCCACTGTGTAAGTAGTATTTGAATGATTGTCAACACATTATACTTTATTAATAAGATATTCTGTCCTTTTTTTAGACAAGGAGAAACATTTGATTTAGACAAACATCCACAGGTATTGGATTGTTGGAGCTGTTCATTCATATCTCTGTACATCTTAAAAGATTTGATCAGCATTTTTGTGTTTTTTAGGGAACAGAAGTGAAGGCTATAACATATTCAAACATGCAAGTTTTTGATGATCAAGAAAAGCATGAAGTCTATGTGATTATTGATATTTAACAGGAGAAATAATCAAGTATCACTGAAATGAATCAAGTTTTTGAATGCCACATCAAATGAGGCACTCATTTGGACAAACATCAGCATCTCCCTGGGAGGAAGCTGTGATCTCAGGACTCCCTTCAATATTCTTCCAATTTGAAGTGGATGGAAAGAAAATAAAGGATGATGAAAGGTGAGCTGGAAAACTCTGAACAATGTGATCATCTCCAAGAATTTATGAAGACATTTTCATGAAATAAACTATAGTATTACTCAAACACTGACATTCTTAAAAATTGCATCTGATCTAACATAATACTAACATGGGTTGACCATTCCAAAAAATTGATTTTTTTAAGAGAGGGAACTCAAGTGTAGTGACTGTAGTCTGACTGTAAACTCTAATAATTATTATTAATATCAATAAAATTTCATGCAAATTGTTACTTTTAGCCTCTATTCCATGTTATTCCCCGCTACCTCAATCCCCCATCGGTATTTGTCCTCACATACCCTCGGGCCCCGGTTACTCTGTCTTTCAATTTTCGCGCGGTTTTCCGGCAAAATATCCAAGTGTTCCAAAATGGCCACTTTGCTTGATTTTTTCAAAAAAATTCCGTCGAAAAAACATACGAAAACTAGCCCTATTGTGGCCGATTCTCCAGGCGATGTTAAAAGCACTTCTCCTCAAGAAAAGGCGAAGGTATTTACGCCAAAAGGAGGAAAGGAAAATCTAGAATTAATCGCTAAACGTGAGTCGAAAGCTCACGTGGGAAATAGCTGTGAAGACGAATCGCCGGGAAGCGGCTCTGCAAAGCAAGATTTGAATGATAAACGAGCGATATCTGACGAGAATAGTGATGACAATAGTGATGATGATGCTGTAACTGGAAGAAAAGTGAGTTGTATTTTTTTAAATGGGTTTTGTTTTGTTACAACAATAACAATTTATTATACAAATATATTCTGAATACATGTGTTTAAAGGCTAGGATTATTAAAGCCCCAGATGAGATAAATCCAGGTATTTTGCTAATATGATCCTATCAACCTCTTCCATTTAGTTCAATAGTAAAAGACCCAAGCGTAAAGCAACCTCGTCATCAATCAAGCCTTCTCGTAAGAAGTTGAAATCTGCGTTAGATTCTGATGAAGATTGTGATGATATGGAATCTGGTAAGTTCTGAAGAGTTATAGTAGATACCTTGGACACTCGGTAGAGATCAATCTTTCTTTTTAAATATAACTAATATTGTTATATTGTTAACATATAGGGGATGAATATCATCCTCCAAAACACGAAAGTTCTGATGAATCATGCAGCAGCGGCGTTGAAGAAGTTGAGAGCGAAGGAGAAAAAAGTGAAGATGAAAGTCCAAAGGTATTCGGCATCCACATGAATTGTGCATCTTATATCTTAGTTACCAGTGCCATAGTTAGAGGTGTATTTTCCACTGGGTTCATATTAATTTTCATTCATATTCAACTGATTTTTCTTGAAAGTGTCTGGTCCTACAGAATGAAAACATTCATATATGAATATACACTGCAATAAACTAGTCTAGCTACAGCTCTATTGGTCACTAGTTGACTTTGTTGATGTATATCATATGAGCTGAATGAATGGCCTAAGAGAAAAATCCATAAAATAAAAAAAAAAAGCTATAAAACATTGTAAAACTTCACGTGTAAAGAATGAATGGTTACGTATTCTGATATACTTTGCTCATGCTCGCATCACAGTCACCTATTTTACTCTCTTCGAAAGATTTCAAAGAAAAGAAAGCGTGTCAGTGCTGGTAATTCAAGCACCCGAAAGTCTGCTAAACTGCCTTCAACTCCTTCTCAGTCCTCTCCTCCGACAACACCCAGCAGTCGGCTATCAACCTCCTTAACGAGCAAACTTGCAAACAGTGTTGGTAGGGCGTCGACAGTCCTGTCTCGATTCCAGGCATCCCCGTCATCTTCAACAGAGCAATGCAAGATGGCGGATGAGGTGACTGTTTACACACATGAGAAATTAGAGTGGCTCACAGATCAGAAAATAAGGTTTCAAAATAATTATTTTATATCATTAATTTATTATTTGTTTCTCTTAATAATGTGCAGGGATTTTCTTGGGGTGTGCTGGTTATCATGTCAGTCCATTTTATACCTTCATAACTGTTGATATCGGAATATACGGGTAGTTACTTTAAAACAAGTCGAAATTTCGGAGTGTTATGGAGGTCTATGGAGTGTGTGATCCTCCCACCTTCTTTGTTATCACCCATCATCCCTCATCATCCACCCTATGTCATCATCTTTAATATCTTTCCAGGGATAAAGAAGGACGACGTATGAATGACCCAGATTATGATCCCAGGACACTTCATGTAAGATTACATTCATAGTACGGTATCTTCCTTCATCATTCTGCGATAACAATCCTGGTAACACAATAGTCATTTCTCTCTCTCTCCAGGTTCCATCATCTTACCTGAACTCCAAAGAAGTAACCCCAGTATGTAAAGATTATATTATAAAATCACCTCTTAAGCTAGTTCACCTCACAAGCAATCAGCTCGTATATGACTCAAACTCATTTCTCAATTGTTTCCTCAGAACATTGTTTTATTCTTGTTTCCAGGGAATGAGACAATGGTGGAATATTAAGATGAATAACTTTGATACAGTTCTCTGCTTCAAGGCAAGAATGACTCTGATGTTAGTTGGTTATAATGTGTTTATCCCCGTATCCTAATCACCTCTCTCTTCTTAGGTTGGAAAATTCTACGAACTGTATCACATGGATGCTGTTATTGGTGTGAAAGAACTTGGATTGACCTACATGAAGGTATTGCGAAGCAATAAACTAGTTTAGGTCGAGTAAAACAACATCAATGTGAATGCGTTTGGCAGGATAATGTTCTGGTAAACTTAGATTAGGAATATCGGAGAAAGGATAGACCTTTCCCATGGTTTAATTGCAGAGTCAATCAAACTTCGTGTAACGTTAGGCTTCCTGCGTTTGACGTGATTATGAGAAAGGTTTATTTGCAAAGTTTGGATCCTATGGTTGAACCAGACAGGACTGACACGAAAGCGAGATATATTGCTTCCTTGAAAGTTGAAAGGATACTACGAGATTTCTGAACCTGCATGACTCGTCAATTTCTGTTGTCAATGATGCAGTCCAACCTCGATCCCAGAGTCTCTTGTTTAGAGCTTGGCTGCAGTTATCTCTCAGCCAAGATTAAACTATGGTGCAATGGCGGTGTGTGTGCGGTGCAGGATCTCACCGTTTTTGGTCTTAATTTCAGGGCAAGTTCGCTCATGCTGGATTTCCTGAGATTTCATACGCTCGTTATTCTGATATGTTTGTGCAGAAAGGATACAAGTAAGCAAGCTTCCTTACTGCATGAAGACGATGAAATCTTGACTGTGTTTTGTCGTATTTCAATACAAAATCTCGTTTCTTTTCAAAGAGTCGCACGGGTTGAACAAACAGAGACGCCACAAATGATGAGCAACCGTTCGAGTACGTTCAAAAAATCAATTTTTTAGGGACAACATTTCTCTTTTGTCTTTTCACCACTGACATCGCTAAAATAACATCCCTAAAACTGATCCTGGATTTATATTCTTTGTTTTCAGGTAAAGAAAAAGTTGTTAGACGCGAGCTTTGTGCTGTTACCTCAAAAGGTTTGTTCTGTGAAAGTATTTTCTCCGATGTATTCTTCGTTGATCTTTATTTCAACATTCACCATCACATATCATATTCAACCGCTTTTCTTTTCCGTTCGTAGCCACAAAAATGTTTAGATTCAACGAAGGTGATATCGCCGACGATGCGGCGGCGTATTTGCTGGCAATCAAAGAGTCTGTACGTAGAGTTTTTCACTTTATTCAAGACAGCAACTTCATTTCCTCATTTTCAACCTTCCATATTTTCACGCAGGGTTTTGAGGACGTCAGCGGTGGAGAAAGCAAATATGGAGTTTGCTTTATCGACACTTCCATTGGAAAATTTCACGTGAGTCTTCTTCTTTTCTTTTTAATCCAATTTTACCAGGAAGACCGTAAAATTAGTAGATTAATGTGATATGGTATAGGAAATATAAGTATCGTCTCTAAAGATGCAGGGTTTCGGCTCTGAGCTCCCACCAATGTTTTCCTCAATATCCAGCATTTAAACGATTTCTAAAAACTTTTTTTCCACAGCTGGGAGAGTTTTCAGACGACAGGCAATGCTCAAGATTACGAACATTAATTGCTAACCATGTCCCGGCTCAGGTAAGATTTTTCTAATGAAGTTGTCTTTCTGTGAAACTTTTAACACGCAGTTATGTTTGCTTCAAGATCTTGTTTGAACGAGGCACCATTACAAAGAAAACTCAATCTGTACTTCAACACGAAATGGTCGCCACCTTAAAGGAACAGCTTTACTCTGGTGCGTTATTATACAAGTCCAGCTATTGAATGGGGGAAGACCCAAAACTCTCAGAGTTTCTTCCATAAAGATTTGAATTATAAATGTTGTTGAGATTTGAACAAAATTTGATTTTTTCCCTCAGGTTCTGAGTTTTGGAATGCCGCAAAAACGATCAAATTTTTACAGGAAAATGAATATTTTCTCGAAGAAGGAGAGCAGGTACGAACTTGTGTCCCAGCTCTTGTGAAGATATATATTCATTTTGTACCATAATTTATTCTCTTTTTCATGTCTTTCCCTAGAAATGGCCCGAAGCGTTGAAAGAAATAGCTAATGGTGGTAAGTTGATGGCAGGAATTGAACGAAATCAAGGTATTTCCTTGCAAATAGTTTCATACTTTTTGACCAAATGAACCTTTTTACTCTTTCTCTGCAGATAATGCTGTGCTTTCTCCAGGCGAAGATTCTGAGCTCGCGTTTTCAGCCTTGGGCGCTTGCATTTGGTGAGTTTTTCGTTAGTTTGTTCTGTTTAAACATCACTCAGAGTATCGATGATTAGCGGAGTATCGATGATTATGAGTATCGATGATTATGAGTATTGATTATATTTCATCTTGTTAAGGTATTTGAAAAAATGTTTGATTGAAAATGAGCTGTTATCGATGAAGAATTTTGAGGTAAAGTTCGTGCAATGAAATCGTATTGCTTTGTTAGCCAACAGCTGCTTGCAAAGAAACACTAGTTTTAAGAAACGTTTCTTTTCTCTTTATGTTTAGTTGTATAAACCTTTGGATGAAAACAACGTTCATAAAAAAAGCGTATCTTTCACACAAGGAAGGAATCACATGGTAATGATTGAACTAAAGGCTATTAGATGCAATCACTTCCAGCATCAAGGCTTTAGCTCTGTCTGTCCAAAGATATAAGAAGAGTCATCTTTATCGATCCAGTCTTACTTCGTGTAGAATATCGAGTGAAATTTCAGTATATTTTAAGAATGATTTCGAGAAATCAGTTTCAGTAGTATTCTTGTTAGTAAAAGCCGATGATCTCAAAAGTATTTTGTGTGATATCTTCAGATGCTGGATGGTGTGACGTTGACAAATCTTGACGTGGTACCAAATGGTGCCGACATACCCCTGGAGGGGACGTTATTAGACCAGGTTCAGAACTGTTCTACCCCTTTTGGTAAACGACTTTTCAAGCAGTGGCTATGTTCACCATTGTGTAACCCAAAATCAATCAATGACAGGTATTAAAGCTATAATAGTGTTCTCTCAATCCCTGTGGTCTGGGGAGGATTAAACCCAGTTCTTACACCGCTGATATTCATGGAATTAAAGGTTCACGTTATCATTCTTCGTCTCTCAAATTTTCTTTGCCATTTCGTAGACTGGATTCTGTGGAGGACCTGATGTCGAGGCATTCTCTTGTATCTGAGGCGAGAGAGATCTTACGAAGTTTACCTGATCTTGAACGTTTGTTAAGAAAGTATGAAATGATGGCGTTGAATGAACTGTGGATTTTGAAAGATATTTTCCTAATTCATTCATTTTTAATTCTAATTTTATCTCTACAGAATTCATAGCATGGGGTCTGTTAATCGTAGCCAGGACCATCCTGACAGCAGAGCAATCTTCTATAACGAAGTCACATACAGGTAAAGAAGTTAGGTTTCCTCCTGTAGTAACACTCGATCAATAAGAGATGATCCTTACTGGACCTCTAGGAAGAACAGTTTAGAACTGATAGAGCTATCCAGTATAAATAAAGTTAGTTTAGTTTAGGTTTCCTTCTGTAGTAACACTGGATCAATTTGAGATGATCCTTACTGGAACTCTAGGAAGAACAGTTTAGAACTGATAGAGCTGTCCAGTATAAATAAAGTTAGTTTAGTTTAGGTTTCCTCCTGTAGTAACACTGGATCTTTAGCGAGAACAGTTTAGAACTGATGGAGCTGTCCTATGTAAATGATTTTACGAATTATTTTTACAGTAAGAAGAAGATTGGTGACTTCTTGTCGACATTGGAAGGCTTTCAAAATGCAAGAAAACTTTGTTCATTGTTTGAGGATCATTTGGAAACTTTCAAGTACGTGTTAAATCTCTCTGAATCAAGAGATTTGATAGTTCTAGGTGGCTCTAATCTATAAACAACATTAGCTGTATCGTATAATTGTGTTTCCTACAGATCCAAGCTTCTTACAATGACAATTGGTATGGAATCGTCAATCGAGGGGGGGAAGTTTCCTGAATACAAGGATGAACTTCATTTTTTCAAGGTACACGTAACTTGAAGTATCACGATTACGCTGGAGCCCGCTGATCTAAAGAGGCGGGAAAATAAAATAAAATGTTGCTTCACGTCAGTAAACGTTCCTAAATCATCTTTTTTCTCCCCTTGTTCCGATCGCAGAATGCTTTTGATCATAAAAAAGCTAAAGAAGAAGGAGTCATTTTACCTAAACCTGGTGAGGTTTCCTCCGTAGAAGAACAAGGAGTTAAGGATTAGTTCAATTGTTCCTGCTTCGTCGTGAAGGACATTACTATCCGAGTCACGTTCTCGTTATCTTTTGTCTGTTTTCTTTGAAGGAGTCCTAACTCGAGATTTTTGTGTTTTACAAGGTGTCGACCCAAATTATGATATGGCAATACAAGATGTCACTTCAACAAAAGAGAAATTGAACAATTATCTGGATCAACAGAAGAAGAGACTTGGATGCAGGGTGAGATGTTTAATTTTTAGACAATTTATACTGGGATAGCTTTATCAATTCAGTTCTAAACTGTTTTTCCTAGAGGTCCAGTAAGGATCATCTCTTAATAATCTAGTGTTACTACAGGAGGAAACCTAAACTAAACTAATTTTGGTTATTAACATTCTTTCTTTAGTCGATTTGCTATTGGGGTACGGGAAAGAACAGATATCAATTGGAGATTCCTGAAAATGCTCTTGCCCGCAACACGCCTTCTGAATATGAGCTTCAGTCCTCAAAGAAAGGATTTAAACGATATTGGTCACCTGAGATAGTCAGACTGAATGAAGAATTAACTGACGCCGAGGAACGCCGGGACGCCAGTTTGAAAGACACGATGAGAAAAGTGTTTTATCAGTTTGATGAAAGGTACCAGTATAATTTAGTTTAGTTTAGGTTTCCTCCTGTAGTAACACTGGATCAATAAGAGATTATCTTTACTGGACCTCTAGGAAGAACACTAGACTATCCAGTATATTTGTCTAATTGTTGTTTACTCTTGAAATCACAGTGAACTCTTATGTATATACTTACTTTGTTTTCTCTTTCATTTCACCAGATACGCCATGTGGGAGAAAGCTGTTCAATGTGTGGCTGTTCTGGATTGTTTAATCAGTTTAATGGTGTACAGGTTAGATTTCGTCTTTCTAGAAACTTTCCCCCATGGTGACATAAAACTCTGAGAAGGAATGTCTGAGTTTAAGTCTAGACTAACCAGTAATTTCACCTTTTCTTATATCAGTTCTCAAACCGAAGGAACAATGTGTCGACCAGAAGTTATTCCTATCAAAGATGGCGATGAGGTTTGTAGCTAAACCAAATAGAAAAACACGACTTTGACTAAGAAAGACCCCGTGGTTTTAATGATATATTTCAATACTGATGTCAAAATCTTTTTTATAGCCATTTATCGAAATTCTCGAAGGTCGACATCCCTGTGTGTGTCGGACGTACAGTGGAGGTGATTTTATTCCGAATGACACGATGATTGGTCGATGTAATCCTTCTGATAACCAGAGTTCCTGTGTCGTTGTCACTGGACCAAATATGGGAGGAAAGTCAACATTGATGAGACAAGTTGGTTTGATTGTGATCCTGGCACAACTGGTTAGTCATGTTTGAGGAAGACTAGTTTTATTGTGCAACCGTTACACCCACTGTCATTCACTGTCACCCACTGTCATCCACTGTCACCCAGTCACTATAATGCTTCTTTCTATGTTTTTCTTTCAAAAGTTTTTAAAAGCAGTTTTGGGAGGGTAAATCAATTTAGATTTTGTGGCACTTCACTCGCTGTAGGAAAATCTCAGTAGTGAATATCACTCCCCATCTAAACATGTCAAACAATTTCCTTTTCTTCTACAACAAGGGCTGTTATGTTCCCGCGGAAAAGTGTCGGCTGACCCCAGTGGATCGCGTGTTCACACGGCTTGGCGCTCATGACCGAATCCTGTCAGGTATTTGAATAAAAGAATCGAAAATTTGTATGATTTATAGACAAAAAACTAATAATTAGTTTAATCGTTTTCGTCCCAGGAGAAAGCACGTTTTTCGTAGAGCTCAGTGAAACATCATGTATATTACGTCATGCAACTAAGCACTCGCTGGTTTTACTGGATGAATTAGGTAAGTCATTACAGACTATGAATATATTTATATACATGTATAATACACTTGTCTTAAATATATCAAAGTTTTTTAAATACAAAATGTGTGTTTCAGGTCGTGGTACAGCGACATATGATGGAACCGCAATCGCATCGGCAGTTATCCATAATCTATCCCAAGATATCCAATGTCGTACCTTATTTTCCACTCATTACCATTCCTTGGTTGAAGATTTCAGTAATGACGCCACGGTCCGTCTTGGACACATGGTAATTATGTGAGCTTTTATGTAAACTATTTCAATAGTGGCTTTGAATATTGAAATATCGTGCAACACGCATTTTATAAACGTTTTCTCGCTTTTCGTGCAGGCGTGTATGGTGGAAAACGAAGACGAATCGGGTGACCCGAGCAAAGAGACGATAACGTTTCTGTATAAATTTGTCGAAGGTGCTTGTCCAAAAAGTTATGGATTCAATGCTGCACGATTGGCCAGCATCCCAGAAGAGGTATTATTTAGTCATTTTAGCAATAAATTGTGCCCATTTTGTTTATAGAGCTATCTAGTATGCATAAATTTTTGCTAGACCTCAAGGATGAACTGATAGAGCTATCCAGTATAAATAAAGTTAGTTTAGGTTTCCTCCTGTAGTAACACTGGATCAATAAGAGATGATCCTTACTGGACCTCTAGGAAAAACAGTTTAGAACTGACAGAGCTATCCAGTATAAATAAAGTTAGTTTAGTTAAAGTCTCCAAATCATGCGACAGGAACCACATTTCTTCGACATCGGTGGAACAAACGCTTCAGTCCTTGCTTATAGTTAGCGCAGAGAGTGAAGTAGACCAGTGGAGTGAGACAGCTGGCGACACACGTACTTGTCCATGCAATCTCAAACGTGCAATACAAGCTGTTTTCCACGAACAAAGCTGCAATTAATATCGCTGGCGTTGGAAATTTAGAGACAAGGATGATAACCGTGACGATAAGGAGCATTTTAATTGTCTTTCGTTTTGACTTCATCTCTTCTTCGTTTGTTTCGCCCTGACCACAAATAGTTTTGGTAACACAAATCCCGATAACAATCCTCGTGTAACAATATATTGTTATAATGGCTGGAACGAAGGAAAACATCATAATGAAGGAGTAGAGGTAGATGATTTCGAAAAGTGACGAGATGTTTGCCCGGAAGAAGTAGGAAGGAATAAAGGTTGCGAATGCGACAAACCAGATTAAAGCAATCGCCTTTTTTATTCCTCGCTTTGTAAGTCGCCGTTCTGGGTTCAGAGGGTTGAATAATGCTCGATAACGCTCAGCAGCCAACAGAGCAACTGTGGCTATCGAGTTGATAAACATGACATCTTGTAAATACTGTACGATTAAATAAACATACCAGCTTTTCTGGTTGTTCTCGTAAAGTTGTTCTCTAAAGACATAGGCGACAGTTGCTGGGGCTTGTATGAGAAGATACATTACGTCAGACGCAGAAATATTGCTCAACAAAATATTTGTCGGATTTCTCATCGTCTTGTTTTTCCATATCACAATCAAGACCAATGCATTCCCAACAATTCCGGCGAGGAGAAATGGTAATAACGTTGGCATTACCGCTTCAAACATATCCCTTGCCTTGCAGAAGGTGAACTCATATGAAGACGTTGTGTTGGTCATTGTGATTTGTGATATAACAGTCCGTTTCTGTCGTTGTAAAACTCTCGATTTCAAGTCTTTATTTCTTCAAACTGCAGCTGTTCTTACTTCATCAAGCTGTCTTAATATTAGGGAGCAGGTTTTGTTTGAATTAATATTAAGCTGCCTTACCTTTTATTAAACTTCCCTGCAGTCACGACAAATATTATATTCAGTTTATATTATTATATATACCCCTGTATTTCGTGAAATAGGAAGTGTATAGATCATTGGGCGCCTCTTGTCTTAACATGCAATTGCATTGGAGTAGAGTTTACTAGATCTATAGGACACACGCAATCATGCAGAATGAATAGTTTTTAGGTAGCTCAGGTACAACGTACAATTACGATGTATTTATTATTCTTGGCAGCAGAGCTCAACACTTTACTTCTTTGCTTCACAGATTATCCGTGTGGCCATCAATAAAGCGAAAGAATTTGAAGACAATGTTGAAAGAATTAAGCTATTCAGGTTGGTTTTGTCTTTAATGTCGTTCTGTTGTCAGCGATAACAATGATTATTAAATCTAATGAGAATCTTCATATATTTCTAGAGCTTTAACGAGTGAAAACAACAACAACAGTTTGAAAGGATCGATTGCTTTAACATGCAAAAGGTTGAGGTAACAAATCGTTGTTTGAAACGCGTATCTTTAAAAGGTTTTTTATCAAAATGATATCAAACGTAACGAAACGTTGTTGCTGTATACTAGAGTATATTGTTTTGTTCTGATGTGGGACGTTACCACTGTACAGTCATATAGATTTTAATATCTGCATGCAGTATATTAACAGCAGATTGTGCAGATATACCGCTGAGATTCACTACATGGATCTTCCCAAAGCTTTAATGAATCGAATATTTATTAAGAAATAATCAAAAATGTTTCAATATAAGATATAATTTCGTATATTGTCGTACAATTGTTTGGGCTTTGTGAAATATATATTAGTACTACATTGCATAACAACATGAAATATTCTGGTCGTTCAAATAAAATAGAGCGTGTCACTGACTTGCCACTCTATTACGAACACCACATCTCAATAAATCCTTTGCACCGTCACGGTAGTTTGAACTGAACGCTATATATATAACAGGACTGAGAAACGAAGAGACATGAGCCAAGGTTTCGAACAGAATGATAAGACACTTTACTTCATCGTTAGAGATATTTGAGATGAGAACTATACTGGTATAAATAAGCATTGGAAGTTTCGTGGCTAAAAATGTCAGAGTTATGGAGAAAAGCATTCTGAGAATCTTTCGTTTTGATTTCATATCATCTGTTACAGTGACACTACATGTCTGAGTGAAAATAGTCTTCGAGACATACATGCCGTAGATGATGGCTCCATAGCAATAAATGATTGTAAAACCGCTCAGAATTGAAACACTTGCAGTTACAGTACAGTAAAATACCAAAGATTCCCTATTGAAGTACCAGCCGTTACACCCAACAGCAATAGTTATTATTAGGACAAAGATGAAAGCGATGGACCACATTATTATCGTAGCTATTTTACCACTTCGTTTCGCTAACCTGCGATGAATCTTCATCGGATGACACAAAGCGTTGTATCGTTCAACTGCAAGCAATGCTAGGCTCATAAGTACCACCAAATAAGACATAGTAACAATCATTACAAGCCAGCCTCGTGCTTTCATTATGCTCTGAGGTCGAGCAAAAGTAAAATATTGTAATCCTAAAATGTGAATTACTGAATCTGTTCCTGAAGCCAGCAGGAAGATGATTTCAGCAATCGCGTTGTTTGAAAGAAGCAAATTGGTCGGATTGCGCATTGCTTTATTCCGCCATACAACTAAAACAACTAAGCAGTTGTTGAACAAACCAACCAGCACAAAGATCACATTCAAGGTTAAAAAGGTGCACATGATTGAAAGATCACCGCAAAATCCTTCAAAGACAATTGCAGTATTTGATAAATTTGTGCCGCTGTGTTGTGCTTTCATACGAGATTGTCCGGACATCTCTTCAATGCTGCCCATTTTGCTCCGTTTACGTTATCTTTCCTCGTATAGCCAGCGATTTATATTTGATGAATTTTAAAAGCAACGAACTTTTGATATAACAGTCCGAAAATGCAATGAACAGTACGAAAACATCGCAAATTATCTTTAGACATTAATAGCGAAGTTAATATGAGTTTTAGAAATTAATACGTAAAAAGTTAAAAGTAATTTAAAGTAATTAAAAAAGTGATCCATTTGCGACATGACTTTTTTACAAAACGCGGCAGAGCCACCTTTATAAGATGCCGTTAAGTTCCGGATATATATATCCAAATATGGCAATCGTCGAGTTAATCAGAGTCGTCAGATCGAGTATGACGTCATTCGGTAATTGCAAGGTTTATTAGCCGTGTCCTAGCAACGCCAATTATCACTAATTACTTACAGTCTTGCTGTAATGAAGTGGTTCCTTTCGCGTCGCGAAGCAATGTTGCAAAAATGAAAATATCGTTCATTTTTTGGCTGATGGCCGCATGCCTAGGCATGGCGGTGCTCAGCCACATTGGTGACGAGTCTTTGTCACGCGATCTCAAGTGTTACATTGGAAATTCCACCGAAATGTTTGTCGAATGTAAGTAATTACAGAGTGTCTTTTAAAGTTCAGTTTATACTCGTTGTTTTCTCATTTTTTTTCCGTTTTTTTACAGGGGATTTCTACAACTTAACTTTGAAAGATGTGCGTTGCGGACTAAGCTATTTTGGTAAGGAAAACAAAGTATTCTTTTTCCCGCGGATGCAGTTTGAAGGATCATTTCACTGTTTGATTGCACGAGCTATCTTTTGGAGCAAAGTGGAAAAGAAGTCTCCCTAAAAGACAGCACGCTGGTTTCACTGCGAATCAAGGGAAAATTTGTAATGATCAATGTCGATAAGGCGATTCATAAACTCACCTTTTCATTTTGTATTTATCTAGGTAACATCATTTACCGTTTCGGTAATTACACCTGGCTTACCTTGAAGTACATCGAACACGCAGTGCAGTCATCTTCTTTTATGTCAATCATGGTCGAAATCTACTATGTAGTGATGCTGTGTTTGGCGTTTGATCTTGTTTATACAACATGTATAAAACCAAGGTTAGTATTTTACATCCAGATAGAATACTGCTTGCATGTGCGTGTGTTTGTTTCTTATTTTGTAGGAGTGAAACTCAATGGAGATTAACTAAACACAACGCAAATGAACTAAACACAACACAAATGAACTAAACACAACACAAATGAACTAAACACAACGAAAATGAACTAAACTCAACGCAAATGAACTAAACACAACCCAAATGAACTAAACTCAACACAAATGAACTAAACTCAACGCAAATGAACTAAACACAACACAAATGAACTAAACACAACGCAAATGAACTAAACACAACACAAATGAACTAAACTCAACACAAATGAACTAAACTCAACGCAAATGAACTAAACACAACGCAAATGAACTCAACACAACGCAAATGAACTAAACACAACACAAATGAACTAAACTCAACACAAATGAACTAAACACAACACAAATGAACTAAACTCAACACAAATGAACTAAACACAACACAAATGAACTAAACACAACGCAAATGAACTAAACACAACACAAATGAACTAAACTCAACGCAAATGAACTAAACTCAACGCAAATGAACTAAACACAACACAAATGAACTAAACTTAACACAAATGAACTAAACACAACGCAAATGAACTAAACACAACGCAAATGAACTAAACACAACACAAATGAACTAAACTCAACACAAATGAACTAAACTCAACGCAAATGAACTAAACACAACGCAAATGAACTAAACACAACGCAAATGAACTAAACACAACACAAATGAACTAAACTCAACACAAATGAACTAAACACAACACAAATGAACTAAACTCAACACAAATGAACTAAACACAACGCAAATGAACTAAACACAACACAAATGAACTAAACTCAACGCAAATGAACTAAACTCAACGCAAATGAACTAAACACAACACAAATGAACTAAACTCAACACAAATGAACTAAACACAACGCAAATGAACTAAACACAACGCAAATGAACTAAACACAACACAAATGAACTAAACACAACACAAATGAACTAAACACAACACAAATGAACTAAACACAACGCAAATGAACTAAACTCAACGCAAATGAACTAAACACAACACAAATGAACTAAACACAACGAAAATGAACTAAACTCAACGCAAATGAACTAAACACAACACAAATGAACTAAACTCAACACAAATGAACTAAACTCAACGCAAATGAACTAAACACAACGCAAATGAACTAAACACAACACAAATGAACTAAACACAACGAAAATGAACTAAACTCAACGCAAATGAACTAAACACAACACAAATGAACTAAACTCAACACAAATGAACTAAACACAACGCAAATGAACTAAACTCAACGCAAATGAACTAAACTCAACGCAAATGAACTAAACACAACACAAATGAACTAAACTCAACACAAATGAACTAAACACAACGCAAATGAACTAAACACAACGCAAATGAACTAAACACAACACAAATGAACTAAACACAACACAAATGAACTAAACACAACGCAAATGAACTAAACTCAACGCAAATGAACTAAACACAACACAAATGAACTAAACTCAACACAAATGAACTAAACACAACGCAAATGAACTAAACACAACACAAATGAACTAAACACAACGCAAATGAACTAAACTCAACACAAATGAACCAAACTCAACGCAAATGAACTAAACAGAACTAAACTGGAAAGCTCCATTAATCACAAACTCTTATTTCATATAATTTACTTCTTTTTAGACTTTTTCCGCCTCGAAGAAGGCGGTTTATACTCCGCCGATTTATTCCGCGGAGAACTGAAAATCCTGACAGCGATAACGATGCGTATTCGAGCAAATCAAGTTCTACCATCTCAATTGCTTTGCTCTTTCGTAGCTCGTTGTCTAGTCTCTCTGACGTAAGTATTCCTCACTTACACATGATATGAGCTATTTCCTATCAAAGAAGTTTGTATCGTCTGTAAACGAACTTTATTATTATTTATTCAGGGGCCAGACTATGAATCTGGCGTCATGGGCAATGAAGAACCTCGCTTGTTTCTGGAAAACAAGCAAGAGCTAGGCTCAGTACATCAGCCGGGAAAGCTCGAACTCCCTGGAGCAAAGAGAACCGAATCTTCTCTTGAAGGGTTTGAAAGACCTGTTTGTTGCATCAGGCGATGCCGAAGTTGGCCAGTGTTGACCATCAAAGATCGTGGTTTTGAAGGTAGGAAGGCCATTGCATTGCTTCCTGCTGTAATTGACCACAAGTATCGACTATTATCACCATTAATATCTTCTGTTATAACGAAAATGCCTTCCGTTGGATCAACTTTCAGAGGAAGCATTTATACATGAGGCGTGAACGTTCAAGTCTAACAAACAACAATCATTGTCTTTTAGGATCATTCCTTCTTCGTGCTCTTAACATCAGCATGTTTAACCTCCACCGTTTGGTTGAGTCGATGAATGTGATTTCACCAGCCATGTCCTTAACATCAAGCAACACTTCCTTCTACACCTCGAAGAGCAGTATTCCTCAGTTAACCACCGCAAGGAGTTTCCCTTTTAGCCCTTTTTTGCCCCCGGGCAGTCGTTCCCTCTCTTCCCTCTCTGGGAGCAGCGCGGGTTTGCTGTGCGGTAAAAACTTTGAAGGAGAGCTGGCGTTATCCACCCAGGCCAGCAGCTCTTCTCGATCATCTGTATCCGAATACAGCGAAGGATTTGCTTGGACAGTGTACGACTATCCTGTACCGGCGTCCATCACATCATCGGATCCCTTTCAATACCAACTGCGGCGATCACAGCAAGAGTACATCTTCGTGCGGAGGCCATTTCATCTGCTTCTGCCCGCAGTCTGTGATTGGCTTCGCGACAATTTCTTCCCAGTGCGTGGTGAAGAGTCGAGCGGTGACGATGGTGACGACTACAACGCTACCCGTGGCGGTGGTAGCAAAGATCAACTGGCTGACGCGCCTGGACCTAGTGGGATGATGATGTATGGTACTCGATTCTGGGTCAGCGAAGATCGTTTCAGAAGTGGTGGCACAAGTTACGACACAAGACGAGGGTTGAGCAGCGAAGATCCTAGCTACCTCTGTGTCAGTCAACTAAGCCAGAGCAACCATTCCATCCCAAGCGTCAAGCGAGATACACCTTACCTCGTTAATAACATCAAGACCGAGGTGATTATGTGCGGTTACCCTGGAGCAAAACCCAACACAGTTCACCTCAGACCCTGGGGTTCGATGACAGAACTTCACCATCGGAGAAATTTAAGATCTCGAGTTCATTTCTCTCTGCCGAACATCTTTGAGGAGTTTGGATTCAAGAACGGAGTCGCGTTTCATGTCCAGAATTTGGAGAGCTTTGCCGTCAAGATAGACAGTCATTCCTATGATGAAAGGAAGTATATCATCACTGAAGATACCTCGGACAGTATCAGTGTTGTCATGGAAAGAGTTGAGAGAAGAGACCAAATGCTGCGCGATGCAGCTAGAGGTATGAAACACTTTCTATTGCATTCTAAACTAACTTTATTTATACTGGATAGCTCTATCAGTTCTAAACTGTTTTTCCTAAGGATCATCTCTTATTGATCCAGTGTTAATACAGGAGGAAACCTAAACTAAACTAACTTTATTTATACTGTTCTTTTTCTGCAGCTAAAATGGAGCAAAATAGAGAAAGGCGAAGACGGCTTCGGATGTTCAGAGAACACGAGGAGGTTGAAGCAATAAGACCAAGACCAGTGCAGGTATCCATCATTTTTAATAAACAAGGTGCTTCTCTATAATTTATGATTTACGACATGAGACAAGGGGGTAACTAAGGATAAATTCGTCTCAATTCACAGGTTCCTCCCTTGAGCTTTGTGGATATATTCAAACACGAAGCATACAAGCAAGTCTTCATTCCTTTCTTGTTCCACACTGGCAAAGAATTGTTGCTAAGCGCAATTACATGATATTGTCAAGTTCGTATCCTGAGCAACTTTTTTATATACGACCTTGAATATATGTGGAAAGTCCTATGCATGCTAAAACTACCTTGTGTATATGTGAAATAAGTGTAAGCAGTATAAATATCCCCTGGGATATATGTAATATAACAGTATAAATTCTACCTGTAATGTAATGTGTAATATTTGTATTAAATCTTTACGATTTAATGATATTTTTGTGTGTGTTGATTTTGTGACAATTAAGGTTGCAATTAAAGTTCTCTAATTTAGAACTCCATTTAAAGGGGCGTGGTGTGACTCTAAACGATCAATTATGTCTATAGCTTTTAATTTAAACCCTAAATTGAAACATCTTAATACAAAAAGCAATTTAATTCAACATTTCAGAGTACAGTTAGACATGAATATTTCTCAGTCATAGTGTACAAGCAAAATTCATACAAAATACTGTGCGAATTTGAAGGTAAATTTGGTAAAAAAATTAAATTTAAGCCACATGATTTGTGTATTCGTATTGCAAATTGTGTTCATTTCTCTTCTTCTAAGTTGATTCTGTGGGTACTGTGGTAAATCCTTTGCCATTCCAGGTGGATTTGTATTGCTCAGGCAATGCATACTCAGTCTACACAAATAAATTTTAAGTAAGTATTCATGTTCAAGCCTGCGAGCACCACCATTGCGAAACAAACTTACAAAGTCTCCATCAGCACTTGGAACTAAAACATTCATCTCCGAGGACTTGGCAGTGACAATTCCTGCATCTCTTGATTTCTCACTGAGGTACACTTGAATACCGTCAGTTTTATCTATGGATACCAATGGAACTTCACCGTTTATCTACAAAGAAATATGTTTAAGTTTTTAACGTACATTGCTCAACCGAAACGTCATCTAGAACATAGGTACCTGTGACTGTACGCTTTGACAATTGACAAACTCTAGGCCAGCAATCAGATCATCAACAACCACAGCAGTTTTCTTGCAAGAATCTAAAGTTGAATCAGGATGCAGTTTTCATCTAATAATCTGATTTCCAATTGCAGGAACTCTCACTGAAAATCACCAGATTCCTAAATGCTTACCCAAAGTGACAGTGTTGAGTTTTCCCTTGATGATAATGGTGCATTCCTTGCAGTTGTAAATGTACACAGTTTGTTTTAGCGTTGTTTCAGCGATTACAATGTTTCTATCATTTTCAAAGTTTTCCTATCAAGATAAGTTGTGTACATTGTCTGAATGAATTGATATATTTCCAGATGGGGAACAAACTTTGGTTAAATAACGCAACCTACCACAACCCATTTCTTTTGGGCTTGTAGCTCTTTCTTGGGCGGTTTCTTGACACTGACTGGCCGTGTCACAGAACCACCAGGTTTGGATGCTTGGAATGGTTTAGGTGCATAAGCAGACGAGGGACCTGATTTTGGTGGCCCTGAGGAAGCGGGGACCTTGCTGCTACCTCGTAAAGCTGGGTTCTTGTGCGTCTTCATGTCATTGGTGACTTTCTTCAGACCTATGGTTTGAGATTGTTGGTGTATCAGTGGGCGAGATAGTTGGGGTGACAAGCAGACAAGAGATGTTATTACCTGCTGTGACTGAGGAGCCTTTGCTTAAAGCATCCAATAATGCAGACCGGCCTCCAGAATCACCACCATCAGATGTGACAGGAGCTGGTGCTGCGACAGGTGGAGGAGGGGGAGGTGCCCCACCAGGTGGGGGAGGTGCGGGTGCACTGCCACCCTAGGAATGAAAAGTGATTAGAAACAAACAACTCAAAGATTGGGTGGAATGGAAATATTAGGGAAGTATAGTGATGAAATTACTTGAGAGTTCCATGTTAGACCAGTCGTATGATGTTGTTTAATGTATGCTATCAATGCTGTCCAAATGCCTTGGTAGTTTCTCACCCAGCTCACATGATCCTGATCTCTGAATGAAATATAAATTTTTGAGCAATTGGATCATGTATGCATATGCAACAAGCCATTGAAAAGAATGGAATAACTTTTTTGTACTTTTCTTTGTACTCTTTGAGCACTCTGTTGCCATAAAACTGGCCAGCATCTGACATCTCTTTGACATAGGGTCCTGGTGTTGGAGACTGAAAGAAAAATAGCAGTGATGTTTGCCTTCAGTTTATCAAAATATCAAACTACGAGTGTTATCTATACTTACCACACTAACCCATCCCAAAGCACCAATGGCTTCGCTTACAGTTGATAAATGGTTAAATAAAGCACTTTTACGATTCTGGTCACGGAAACTCTGGAGTTGGGAAAAATGAATGAAGATAGATTAATCTGCATGACAATATGCAGGTATAAACATTCTTTTTGTATTATACTTACAGACACTTCCCCAATAGAGTCAGCTAATGGTTTTAGTATGCTTGGAAGGTTTGCCTACAGTAAATTAAAACAAGTTTTGGCTATTTAAATATTTTATTCAAGGAATCAAAAGTGATTTAATTTACTACAATATCATTATCAATTCGCTACGATGTTAATTCTATAAACAAATGTGATAATATTAAACCACGCCACTTTATCAAATCATCAATGCCTCATGAACTCACTAAAATGTACAATTGAAATATTTGTGTATAATTTAGAAAGAAGACTCACATCAGATGGTTTAGCACTGCTTTCAGCCGTACACAGTAACTGTCTAAGAGCTGCAAACGCTTTCTTTACAAGCTCAGCCTTGATAGAAACAAAAATAATTAAAAAATACGTTAATCCTTGCAAAAAAGTATATCTTCCGGTTTAAAAATGTTAAGATACACAGCACTCCACAACACTTAATTTGAATTAACTAACCTAATATAAACTATTTCACAATTGTTAGCCGTATAACTTATGTGTTTATATGTATTTTGTTTTGAAATGAGTTTAAAGGGACGCTTTAAGCTTAGCGTGATGCTTTGGGAATATTAGCTTCAATCAATTCTATAGCAAACTAAAACATTTGTAAATTTTAAATTAACCCCACCTGTGTGTTGACATCGCCTCCGATTTTAGCTGAAAGTTCCAAATATGCGGCTACTTTGTCATTATAGACCTAAAAGCGAAACAAAGCTAGTTATTTTCGAGATAAAACAACTAGAAATTACTATTGAAGCGAGCGTAATATATGACAAACGCGCACAGATTTTCCCCCAGTGTCAAATGCTATCAGCATTCACACCATTGCAAGATACGAGGAAGAAGCATATTGGATATTTGCCTTACCTCGTCAAAAGCGGCCACAGATACACCTGCCATTATAAAAGATAAGTTTAGGTGAAAATTACAGAAGGAAGTGCGGTCCAGGAGTTGTCACAGAGCACAGCAAGAAACCTCAGGAAAGGACAAGCTATAAATGGCCTTCATGAATATACATATCATAGCTGACGTCAAAAACATGGGAAAGGGGCTGGTACCTGCTTCATACTCCTCGCTGAAACTCGCCGAATTTACTCTCTCGGAATTTCCTGCTAATCCCTGAACATTTGAGGATATTTCCTGCCTTTCTTTTTCATCTACACTTGTGTTTTTAACCAGGGATTCTAGTCTATTTGTAACCGCTTCTAAACGCACTACTAAATCTTCCAAAGGGGCTGCCATTTCTCTGCGAAATGAAAGCAAACTTGCGCTTTCCTGTGTTAATATTTTACCGGAAAATACACAAGGGCCTTACTTTATTTGGATCGTTTGCAAAACTGAAATATTAAATAACAAATGTCGACTAACAGTCCGGCAAAACAAGTAAAAGTCGGGCACGAGCGTTCTTGTTAAAGTTTTACACGACCTTTGTCAAATATCCGCTATTTTGCGTCGCGGTGTTTCAGATCTCGCCACGCATTGCCTTGCAAAAAAAATTAATTTCAAATTAGTTGTATTTGATCTGTGCGTGGTATAATTGCGACATGGCAATCCGATATTCATATTTCTGGAAATGTTAAGCTCGTTGACATGGCGAGACTGTCGTCTTTAAAGCGTCTATACTGTTATAGAAAGGTTATACTGTTATGAGAATTGGTAATTTGTACTAAAATGTGTGAAAAAGCAGATGCCCTGGAAAATATTTTTTGCTAGAGGAAGCCATAATGCTGAGTGGTAGAAATTAAAAAAAAATGGGGGGAATGTTTCATTTCCAAAGCCCCCAGGAGTGCAGGACGCTTTCGGGACTAAGAAAATACTTATGCATTCAATAAAGATGATAACAGTATAAATCATGCGAGAAATTTGCATGTTTATGAGGGTGCAATCTGAAATAACAGCTGATTTGAATATAATCATCATGTTTCGGACACTTGTCGTCCAATCATTACAGTTTGTTGACAATTAACTGACAATTACTAGAGCATTTACAGCACATCTTATTCAGAAGATGTTCCCATGGAAGCAATCAGGATTATCCTACTATTGGCCAAGAGATTTTCTTTCTTTAAACTGCAGACTTTAAAAGTTTGCTTTCTGCTTTACTCAAGTTAAACTTGCCTCCTGGTCGAAGTGCACACGCCGAAAAGCCGTTATGTATCGACGTTTTTACTGACAAACTCGTTTTGAATGCCAAAAGTTTATACAGGCCAAAATCCTCATCATTCTTCAAGGAACGACAAGAGTTGTGTTTTGGCTAGTCCCGCGCTGAATTCAAGTATACATACAACGAACTGTATTTAAACTTTACTTCGTTTGTATAATGAGCAAAGGGCCGAAAAAAGACACGACGTATACAAAACTCTTCGTTGGGAATATTCCTTATGGGACAAACGATGAAACTTTGAAAACGTACTTCACCCAGTTTGGGGCCATTGATGAAGCTGTGGTGATACGGTCGAAAAATGACAACGCATCAAAAGGCTATGGTTTTGTAAGTGGTGTTCATATTGTGTGCTTTTCTCTTTAAACCTGTCATTTGCTTGACTCTAAAGTAATTGAAATTATAAATTACTGACTCATTGCTTTTTTATTTGACTTTTTATAGGTAACAATGAGGGATGAACATGGCGCACAGCGAGCATGTGAAAACAAGAAACCTTTGATAGACGGACGAAGAGCTAACGTTCAACTGGCATATCTTGGTGCCAAAAAGAAGACGAAAGAAGGTAAAGTGTTTTCTAAAACTTCATTAACTACAAATATGTTTGTCTTTGTTATTCACCAGTTGTTCTGCACGCGTTAAAACCTAAAAGGTAGTTTGAACTGTGAAAGAATTTGCATGCCATTTGCAGAAAGCAAATGTTAATCGTTCCACACTTTTGCACCTGTGTTTGGCGACGTGGTTTAGTTATAATTAACGAGAACATAACAACATGAAAATTTAAAGTTCCTTTCCCAATTGTAACGTTGCATTTACCAATGTAAGTTTCATTTACAGGTCCTGGCAAACTATTCTCAAATGGGACAATCGGCAAATCATACGGGTAAGTTTTAAATTAAAAATACATGCATTGTTCAAATCAATTTAACTGATCCAAAGCAGAGATACTCAGTTATTTACACCTGAACTTAGAGCTTTTCTCATTTCTTTGACCGTATCGAAGTTTGTTTTTAAGCTGAGGGTAACAAAATTGAACGCAGATATTGTTTTTTCAGCGGAAATGGCTCGGACTTGTGTTTACACAAAAGTCTTTCTACCAATTCGGTCTAATTGTCTTAAATCCGCGGGGAATTAGTTGCTAACACATTGTCAACAGAAGCAAGCCATGGACTTGAAATCTGTCTGATAAAACGTCATCAATCGTCTTTTTAAACTCCAGTGTATATCTGTGTTTCACCTCTTCGTTTTTTCAAAAAAACGTTCGAAAAAGAAGCAACCAAATTAAAGAGCATTCATGAACCACCATCAAAGTGACCGCTTTGTATACGGCTTTTTTCTTTAACTTTCTTCGTAGCCGCGATGTTAATGAAATAACTGTGTTTATAACAGTTAATTTTCTAATATTTGTATACAATTACTGCTTGTATCTAAGGGAATTCACAAAACGTATATACTTTGGTAAAAAAATGGATGTCATTTTGAAAGCGAAGATTTTTGCATTTAGAAAACACTAATTGCTTCAAATTGCTACATTTCAGTTCTAAATTCATCGCTTCATTTCATTATTGCTACACTTGTATACGGCTTGCAACATTATTTTAAGGCAAAACTTAGTTTTTTTTAACTTGAGTTAAAAAAACAACACTTATTGAAGTTTCGAGAGCAATTCACATTAAGTTCACGGCCAATTTATTGCACGATTTTATGCTTATTAATGGCTAGAAATTACGTTCATGAGCGAAATACTTTACTAGTATTTAAGTATTCTTAAACCGTATGTAAGCGGTTTATTAAATGTTATATTTTTTACCTCATACAAAGATCTGGACAGCGCAATAATTAGGCCCAGTACACTGTCACTTTTATCAGTATTTCACGTTAATATCCTACCATACTAATATCCCTATTTTGTCTCTTTATTTCAGAGTGCCACCCCCTCCTTTTGTGATTCCCACCAGTATGGTATTTCCTAACGGACAACAAACCTACGTTATGGCTACGTCACCAACGTCACCCCCACCTCCCATGAGTCCAATAGCGGGACCCATGAGCCCCCCGAACCAGGCTCAAGTCTTTTTTGAATACTCTCCATACCTCGCTGGCCAAACCGTATTCTATGGTAGCACGTTGTACGACCAAAATTTCGTACCAGCTGGTCAAGTCATTCTTAGTTCACCAGCGTTCCCACCACAGACGTATATCCAACCCATCTCCTCTCCTCCACCGCCTGGCCCCGTACCCATGGCACTATCAACCTGTCAACATGCACAGTTCTATCTCCAAAATGGTGACCAGGGGCTCACCCCTCCCCCTGGTAATGCTCAACCAATGCTAGTCAACCAATGATCCACAATCCAAAGGCAAAAATTTTATATCCTGATGAATTTAATGGGCTACGAATCATATTTATTCAAAACCAATTTTAATGGACCAAGGTAAATCTTTCAACTCATTGGCCTTGATGCTCTCAATTCTGCAAAAATTATATTATGTTGTCGTAATATCTGTCTATTTGTAACATGAAATGTCGAAATTGTAAATTCTGTCCTAAACGTCAAAAGTCGTAGACTATTCTGAAAATTTGTCAGATTTTGTTCAACATCGTTCTTAGCAATGTTTAAAGAGAGGCCAGATAAAGCTATCTATTAACAAACGCCTTCTCCCTGCTTTTAACCTTTCTGACAAATCTCAATGTGAATATATAAATGTTAATCTGAATTGTCATTAATAAATTATTGTAGCAATTTCAAACATGTGTTTTGATATTTTTCCCCCCTTACAGAGATTATTGATTTAAACACTGCATAGTATGACTTGAGAGATTTTTATGTATTTATTTTATGAGGTTTTCTGTTTAAAGCTAGTTATTCAGAAGTTGGTGAAATTCTTTTTAATATTCATTTCGGTGATCTAAATCAGTTATACAATGAACACACTCTTGGTAAACTGCGAATTAACTGCCAATGAATGGTGATTATGTGAATGTGTATCTGAAAAATGAAGTTGTAATCTACATATAGTTGGCTAAAACTTAGATGTATCTCGTCCAAATACAAAAGCTCTCATCCAATCAAATGGCACCTGTAGTCTCAATCGAAAGCTTCCCAACATTGTGAGATAAGCAGATCTCCACAGCACCCAAGTCATAAACCCTCTGAACTTTGATGTTTCAAATTCAGCCAAAGCTTGGTAGTCACCAACATAGGCTAGCATTCCAGCATTTCTCCATGAAAATGGTTTCAGATTTGCATCTTGTTTTCTCTCCTGGGCAAAACATTTAGCAAGATATCTGCCTTGACGCTCAGCCACTTGTGCTGTGCATGCCAGAGGATTTTCTTCAATATAGGCACAGTCACCAAGGGCATAAACATTGCCATCTGAGATGCCTTTCACTTTGAGGAATGGATCAACAAGCAGTTGTTTTTGTTTGGACTTTGGAAGAATGGTGTTTTCTAGTAAAAAAAAGAAATTTCCTGGATGGAGGATTGTGTGCTTAAACCTCACCATTATGGGTAAATATACTTATTGTAGTTATTATGCTTAGTGCATGCAACCAACTGGTGTTGGACTTAAATGGGAATAATGTTATATGCAGTTAGACATGTGTATTACCAATAAATGGTCTTGGTGCAAGACCAGTTGACCAGACAACCAATCCACATGGTATTAAGGTACCATCTTGTAACTTGACAGATTTCTCATCAACCTCAACCACACCACTTTGTATCAAATTGAATCTCGAACGTTGTTGAATTTTCTTCTCTGCAAATGTTCTCAACTTCTTGTCAAATGATGGCAATATTTGATGTGGCTCCACTAGAGTAACCTGTACTTTGTCTTTCTCTTGGAAGTATAGTCTGGACACATCTTCACGAAGAAAGTCGTACAATTCTGCACCAAACTCAACACCTGTTGGCCCTCCACCACAGATTACAAAATGTAACAATCTCTTCTCCTCATCTGCTGTGATATTTGGGTGAACTGATAACTCAAAGTTTGTCAAAATCTTATTCCTGATTGCTCTGGCATGAGCTATTTCTTTCAGGAAGAAAGCATGCTTTTCCACGCCAGGGACATTGAAAGTATTACTTCTTGCACCGACTGCTATAACAAGTTTATCATAGCTTATTTCCTGCTTCTTATTGTTTAAAACACTCTTGCATACAACTATACGCTTGTCTGATTGTAATTCAACTGCTTTGGCCAACTGAAAATGATGATCATCTCTGAATTTTGTGTTCCGAACTGGTTCAATGATACTTCTAAACTCCAAAGTCCCAACCGTAGTACTTGCCAACAAGGGGGTGAACAGGAAATGATTTCGAGGACTGATTACAATCACATCAAATAGTTTTTTGTCAATGTTTTTCAAAAGGCTGTAACCACCCCATCCTGTGCCTAGAATAACCAATTTTTGTCTACCATTCTCTTGCTGGTTATGGCCAGATGAAGAAACCAATCGCTTGATGAATTGTTTGCCAATATGTTGATCAAAGTGGACATGCTCTGGTGCACCTTTTCTACGAAATCTTGGCCCCTGCTGTTTCAAAACGTTCTTGAGAATATTCATGTTTAATCAAAGTAGTTAAAAAAATTAATCAGCTTTTAATCATGAACAAATCCAACTAACCATGAACTAAATCCAAATCCAACATGTTATCCTACAATGACCCTCCAATATCAACCTCTACTCACAGCTATACATGGTTTATCAAAGACTATCCCTAGATACTCCTATCATAGCCATACCTATCCAACAGATTCCTTTCATGTTCAAATTTATCCATACATACCCCAGTTTTCACCTACTATACCTACTTACTCCTATTGTGCCCCAATATCCCCCGAGTATTCCTAGGTATCCATATACACTCCTCTGTAATACCTCTTGATTCTCTTGATCAAACGTTATCCCTCTTCTTCAGGAAATAAAATTTGCTGAAATTAGAATTTCTGATTTATTTACAATTTTTCCAATCGAAAAGAACAATATTAGGAATGAAAGATGGATGTTTCTGTTGAAGTAAGAACTGCAATAAACGAAGCAAAGAAACAAGTCGTAGCTGCTAAAACATCCCGTGAATTGTCAGATGTTATTTTGAAATTTGTTCACTTGTTGGATAAAGGTTCAATATCTAGCGAGGACAGCTTACAAAAGGACCGTATTTTAAGAAATGGTACCTGGTCAGCCACTGGTATCCCCTCATATTCAGCTGAGTTCAAGAAAGAGTTTCTATCCCGACAATATGGTCATTTTTGTGAGCATATTTTGAGGCACTCTGACCCCAGTTTTTTGAAAGATGACAACTTCAGGACAGTATTATCCAGACTATTCCTAGAAGGTCCTGCAGATCTTTCTTTCCTTGCTCTGGTGTTGGCATTTGGATCCCTGACTCACACTGATAAACTGAACTTTACTATTTCAGTGCTTGATGATTTTGTTACCAGAAGTAAATTAACTGAGTTGTTCATGCTGCAATGTCTGAGTGACTCAGGAAAGCATTTAGGCGAAGAATTATTAACAGTTGTGACCTCGTTACCTGATAAATTAGCCAATAAGATGAAGCTAGCATTGAATGGAAGATTTCATCCAAATGTGTACTATAAAACTCTTGGTGGAGAAATTATAAAAACTTTAATTGAAATCCATGAAGTTGCTTGCAAAACAAGTAACTATTCAACGTCATTTTTGTCCAATCTCATTGGTAAAATTGCCCTACGTGGTTCAATAGCCACCTTGTTTGATGTGCTTCTACCACAGTTGAAAGAATGGTGTTACAGAAGCCCATTATGGTCAAATATTTGTTCAAAGTTGCTCACAGAAGTCCCAGAATCTGCCTTGGAGCCTGTCATTGAGTGTCTCTTAAAGAAGATTGCATTTTACCCATTCTTCTCGAAGATTTTGAGGGATAATGTAGTTACAAATTCACTCATCAAACATCTCATAACACACAAATTCTTGTTGGTGAGATTCTATAAAGAGCCAAGCGTACTACAAAATATTGTGGGTTACCTATGTGCAGACACTCGAAGGCATATTCTTGTTGATGTACTTAAAACAATGTTAGAGCAATGGGCTAAATCGAACATCATAAAACACATGTCGTATGAGCAGCATTTTTATCTAACCCAAGTGATTATTTTGGCCACAGTTCAAATGAATGAAAGTGAAGTTGTTGAACATAAAAGTGAAATACTTAATAAAATGTTATCTGGAGTTCAGGCACACTTGGATAACGCAAACAACAAGATACGTCAAATTGGAATGGTTGTCGCTGAATGTATCACAGCACGCTTGCATCCTGATACAGAGAAACTGAAGTTTGACATTGTTGTGGATGATGATGTTGAAAAGTTGCGATCTCTGGCCTCTATGCCAGCATTTAGCCCTGACGTTGAAAAAGAAAACTTTTTGACAAAGGAGGATGTGATTGTGAGTAATGATTTGGAAGAAAAATTGGCAAATGATAGTCAGAGAAATCATGATGGAAAAACACAGATAAATAATCATATTGAGGATAGTTATGATGATGATTTGCAACCGTATGAATTGTCTGAAGGTGATGATGATCTCATTGAGGGGATACGACCACCAAAATACATATCCCAATGCATTGATGGATTATTATCTAATGATGATCCTAAAAGACACATTGCATCATTACGTGTCCTGACAAAGGTTTTGAAGAATGATGGTCATAATCTTAGTCATCAATGTGTTCAGCTTGTTACCATTCTCCTACACTTGCAGGACAAGTACTCGTTAGAAGATTATAACGAGCTCAGGTTTGCGGCAATGGTTGAAATCACTGTCCAATGTCCTGTTGAGGCAGCTGGTTATTTGACGAAGGAATTTTATGCTCAGAATTACAGTTTAAGACAAAGAATGGATATACTTGATGTGCTTGCCAGGGCTGCAACTGAGTTATCAAAGCCAGAGTTCAGTAGCAATTCTTCTGCAATTCATCCAAAGAATGGAGCTTCACTTGGTTTTTCACACAACTCCGAGGTCTCTGAACCTGGAAATTGGAAGACCATTGTCCAAGAAAGAATTGATAAAAAAACAAGACGATTTAGCAAGAAAGCGTCAATTGTTCCACCCAAAGCGGCACCGAATCGGTTTGCAAATGTTGCTGGGCATTTCTTTTTTCCACTTCTGCAAGGTTTTGATAATCGTCAAAACACATTTGATCTTCTTGGTGAAGATTGTGTGATACTTGGATCTCTGGTGAGCACTTTAGGGAATATCATGTACTGTGCACGAGGAACACTTGTAGCTCAGAACATGTCAAGGTCATTACTTGAGGTTGTGTGGGTGTTAAGGTTTCATAATGATGCCCATGTTAGACAGAGTTTGTTGTTCTCTTTGGCAATGGTTGTTGTTAGTGTGCCAGCGTTTTTCCTCATGACTGAAGTTCAAAGTGAGTTAGCTGAGTGTCAAAGTTGGTTAGAGAACATCCTTAATAATGATCCAAGTGCTCAATGCCGTGAACTTGCACTGCAAGTCCTCGTGTCGATTAGAGATGTCTTCAAAAAACATTTTCAAAGTGAAGAAAGCTAGTGTAGTGTATTCAATAGTTAGTGTATTCAATGTTTAGTGTATTTGTTGGTGAATAAAATAATGTTGCAATTAAACTGTTTATTGTTTTCTCAGTTGTTACTTTGATTAGTTGTAGCTAAGTTGTTACTTTTTTTTGCAAATTCTTCGCATAAATTGCGCTCAATTTATCATAATCAACGGTAATCATAATTAGCATAATTATGTTAAAATAATACGTAACTATTTTATTTTTGATCTTTACTAAAATGCGGAAGTCAAACTGAGATTTATCCAAAAAAGTCAAAAAGTCCTCGTGAAAATGTACACAGAATACTAACCAAATCGTACTCAAATGTAAGTAGTTGTCAAATTTATCACAATGTCCAGATTAGTTTTGGTTTTAAAAGAATTTAGGGATTATACGAAGGAAATAATTTGGTGTATAAACGATGCGCTTCATAGCGGTTGTAAATTATTGATAATTGTTGGAGATGTTTGTATCGGAATAAAAAGAGATTCTCTTTTTCTTTGAAAAAGTTATGAACTTTCCTTTTAAGCTTGAGATTGCGTTTTTGTACCCAGATTTTTAACTTTAATAGAGTAGGTTTTTTATTGTTTACGAAATTAATAAAGGTGCTTTTTCTCTATCGTGTTTGGTTTATAAAACAAATATTAATCGTGTCTGAAATATTTTACTTTTTTTTAATGAAACCTTATATTTATCTGTGATTTTTTTCTGAATGCTCGTTGTATGAATTAGAAATATAATGAACAACAGTATAAAAACACTTTGTTAGGCTAGCTTCTGACCAGATAGACTTGAAAAGTCTTTAACATATTATAAAATACTGGTAGACATAAGAGGGTTACCACAGCATGGTGCATTGTCTGGGTTAGTTTACAAGGGTATTAAATCTGTCACCATGATGCTAATAGCCAGTAAAATATCTTAGGTAAGATTGAGACTTGACAGGATACCTCTCAGATTAATGGGGTCAGCTATAATTTGCCATAATTCAATATATTTTAATGATTTCACTTTTAACTTTCACTTCCTGTTAGAAGGCAGGTGTTTTAATTCAAGGTAACTTGATACAGAGTCTATGGAAAGTTATATATGTAGAAGCAAAAGTGAATGTTTTTGTGGTTAATTTGTTTACAGTAAATTAAGCGACTAAGGCATAGTGATGCATTTTGTAAACAAATACCGTAAATTAACAATGCCAATATAACGAGAATGAAAATGAATGATACTCATGTTTAAGTGTTTCTGTTGGTTAATTTGTTTAGTAAAGTGGCCAAGAAAATGTCTGTGACAAGCGATTGTAAGGTTGATCAATCATTGTCACGAAACAGTTCAGAGTTTTACTGTACTGAGGAAGAACTATATGATAGTTTTATGGAAATTGTCAATGACCCTGAGCTTCAAGGCAATAGCAGTAACCAAAGTGGGATTTCTTCTGATTCCCAGACACACAACAATAGTGGAAACTGCAATAACATGTCTGAGAAGACAGTTGGTGATAGCTCTGTGACAATTGAAGAGAACCTTGACAAAAGTAATATGGCAGCTTGTGATAGCGGCTCTAAAGAACATTCAGACCAAGTTATGTTGGAGGACGACAGGTCAGATAAAGTTTCAAATAAACCAGAAAGTTGTGAAGAAAATATTGATTTAAATAATCAGTTGCAGGAATGTTCTAATGTTCAAACAAATGGAAATGCAACTCAAAATGATTTGAATGACTCAACTGATGGAAATGTGCAAAGTGAAAAATATGAACATGATGCTGATTTGGCAACAAATGCTCAGGAAAATCCAAAACCTGCTTTGGTGGATAGCACTGATAAAGAGAATAATATTTCAATTTCAAACACAGAAGCATCGAATCAAAGTGAAACTATGGATCATGGGTCAGATTCTGGTGTAGAAAGGTCTTCTTTGGCCTCAGTTCAGGCACCTGTGAGTCCTAGCAAAGCTGATGTTGTTAGTTCAATATTAGTCCCACAACCGTCAACAAAAAAGAAAGCCAAAGATGGAGCCTCAACGTCCACTCAACCACCCACCAAAAGTCCAAGCAAAGCTGATATTGTCAGCTCAATCATACTTCAAAAGCCATATGAAAATGGTGAAGGTTCCAGATCTGATCAACCGTCAAGTACTTGCAGTGAAAGTGCGAGTCCAGCCAATCAGAGTGAAGACATTAGTCCAACCAATCAGAATGAAGACGTTAGTCCAACCAATCAGAATGAAGACGTTAGCCCATCCAATCATAGTGGAGAGGATGCACCAACCAATCAGGATAGAGATGGAGAGGATGCACCAACCAATCAGGATAGAGATGGAGAGGATGGACCAACCAATCAGAGTGCACTACAGAGCATTGAGAATGACATAGAAGAAGGAATACGAAAGGCAAATGAAGTTTGCGAAGAACTTAATTTAATCACACAAAGATTATCACGATCCAGCGATGAACTGTTGGATGACAATGACGGAGAAGTATCACAAAATAAGAACAAGGGATCAACAGATGAAACTAAAATAAATAAAGCTGATGTAACAGGTAATGAGATGGATCGACCAAGTTCATTGCCCAAGCTGGTAGTAACCAGCAATTCAAAAAGTTCAGAAGCTGGTGTTTCCTCTGACAGTACCACCCCCTCATCTGTGGGGACAACCCCATCACCCACAGTCCCCCTGGGTAGTTCCCCCACACATGTGGTACATCTTCATGAGCCCCTTGACCGGAAACCAAGTGTATCAGACTCAATGGGATCGAGTGGTGGTTCCTCTGGTGATGCTAAGAGTCTTCGGGCATCACCCTCTCCCACACAGGACGGTGGTCCAATCAACTGGGAGATCTTGAACACAGCATTTGATAATCCTGAGACAGACGATGATGATGTAGTTTATGCAACTAGTGGCCATTATGGTGGGTTTGGGTTAGTTCTTGATGATGATGATGATGAAACACTAACAACTCCAGCTAATGATGATGACGTTCGTCTTCGTTCAGTGTCGCAGTCCACAACCATGTCTGAAGTTGAGTTTCAAGAAGAATACAGAAAGTCTCACAGCGCTGCATCACTTGAGAGAAATCCTGGTAAGTACTAAATACTCACGTTTTGAGGTGTAGTAATTTCACATCCAGAATCCACAAGTATAACCCTAACCTGTTGCTTAATATAAACCTTAACCTGTCCCTAACTCTTGTCCAACTACTACCATAAAGAATTAGATTAAGAATCAATGATTATACTCCTGAATTTTGAACAGTAAATTACTATCACCTGTTTTATTAGGTTGACTTTACAAACATACAACATGGAGACTTTGAGAGCTATCACAATTAAACAATAGCTAGATACAGTGGTGTATATATTGATTTGTTTCAGATGGTTCCCTGTGTTCTGGCTACCTTTTCAAGCTGGGTGGTACCGGAATCACACCAAAAAACTGGCGTAAAAGATGGTAAGGTTCAGACATGAAGTGTTAATCTATCACCAGCTACTCTGGGTTTGATAAAACATGTTTACTCTCCAGGTGTATGGTGAGGCAAGATCGCTGCTTGTATTACTACAAAAGTGCAAGGGTAAGAAGTGACACTCCAAATCCAATTGCATCGCTGGATATGATTGAATATAAACTGTGTATTTTAGGACAAGCTACCTTGTGGTATTATCGTTCTAGCGAGCTATATTGTCAGTCACAGTTCAGAGCACAACAAGAAATATTGTATCAAGCTCAGTAAAGGCGGTGGACGAACGTACTTCTTCAGTTCTGATTCATCCAAAGATATGCTGAGGTATGCTTGAGATCGTTTGTTACGCCCTGGATTCATCGTTAGACATGGATTTTGAAAGAATTCCATGTTCACTAAATCCTAAATACACGAACTTAATCCTCGAGGTTAGGTTAGGATTAAACCTAATTCTAACCTAATCAGAAACAAAGATATTTTTCAGAATCTCTCGATGACACTTTCTACTGTTTCTCTCAGTTCTTTCTCTGGTTTAAATAAGGAAAGTAATCACCTCACAATGATTACATTCATAACCCAGCGTTTCAACACTCCAATCTAGCGTCTTCATCAGGGAAGGTCTGCTGTTGAAACGTGGATCTTTTGACCATTTTTTTTTTTTACTCAGGTGGATGGAGGCTTTGCGTAATGCTGCTGAAAACAAGGACGAAGGGGTGAGAAATATAGCTTTTCTTCTTCGCTTTGTCAACAGTGTATGGAACGTGTACACAGACCTTTATATCTCAACTCAATTGCTCATCTTTTTTCTCTCCAGACAAGTTTCGTGATTCGTAACGAAATCATTCACAATGTTGCCATTCCCGCGCTTTCCATCAAGAAACCCGATTGCCATGGTTTCCTGACGAAGCAAGGCGCGAAAAGTAGGCGTTCATGGAAACGGCGATACTGTGTGCTCAAGAACGGTTGTCTGTACTATTATCGCGAAATGGCGGACACGACAGCGCTTGGAGTTGCTAAACTTCATGGATATACTGTGGACGAAGTTTCATCGGGAAATGGGCGACGAAATGGCTTCCGTTGCATTCCACCTCAAACTGGAATGAGAACATTTTCATTCATTGCTGATAATGAGTATGATAAGAAGAGGTAAGCGACACTAATTAAACCTAATTAACTCTAATTAAGTTCTTATCCTACATCCAAATTTATCCAAAATGAAATTCTGGCCTTGAAATAATTGGTTTGAAACAACAACAATTCATTCAATTCTTGGCAGGTGGATTCCGTGTTTCAGAGAATCAATTAGTGCGAACACGTCGTCTCAGTGAGCAACTTTCATCTTAGCACTTTTGTAACATTTTCATATTTCCAATAATTTCATAATATTCTTCCATCAAGTTGTATATTAATAATCTTTATACCCGAAGTTTGTATTTCAGTTGGAATAAACGTGTAACAAAATGTTTTGCGAATTTTGTTATGGGATCCAGGTCCTCTCATAACTTTAACTCTATTTAATTTCTGTATTTATAATATTCACATTTGAGTGGCTGTAAAGTAGAAAACAAATACGACAAAGACGCAGAATTTTTGACCAGGAATAAGGTATCTGAGCATTAGAAAATCGACATAATTATGTAATGATTAATTCAAATTAAATATTCTTTGTTCACATCAGGGTTGGTAGATTTTATGAATAAATAAGCCAAATATATTAACATAACATTTGTTTTTTTTGTTTAAAACAAAGGAATCAAAGGGCCGCCAATAACAATGTTTGGCTTATTTATTCAGTAACTTACCAACCCTGGTTCACATGCTCTTGAGAATGTTATACAGTTATAATATAGTTGAATAATAATAATAATAATCTAAGATTGAATATCGTGGAATATTAACGCCCCAATTCACGCCCCTGGTAATTGGAATTTCGAATAAAGAAATCCCATTGGCTGTGGAACGAATTTTCGCGCCATTCACTACCTTATTTGGAATCCCGCCAGACCATGTGACCAGACAGAACATCCAAAGAGCGCGCCTTGGAATATTTTTGGCATTCTGGAATATTTGAAGTCAAGGGTGGAGCTAAGAAACTCAGCTTCTTGTAAAATCCCACTTGATTTCGCTGTAAAACAATAAAGGAATAGACAAATGGACGTATTTCATACACCACCACATTCTACAAGTCCTTTGTCCTATTTTGGCGAAGCACCCTTCGTATGGGCTCCCAAGAAACCACGGGCTTATCGCAAACCACAGCAGCCGGCGCAGCGAAACGGTCGAAAATCGTCTAGAAGGAGTCTGGATTTCTCTGCGATAATAGTCCAGGAAGAAGACAACGGCAATTCAAGTTTCACAGACGGCTTTAGCAGACGAGAAAGACAAGCTCTCAGAAGAGGAACCCGACACGAAACGCCCGTCTTTTCTTCTCAAAATGTAGACAGCTTGGCTCGCGTGAATGGTTCACCACTTGCCTTTGAGAATACCATTGCAAGACGAATTGATTTCGCTTCACAAAGCCTGACACCTGGACAAGGATTGAGAGAAACAAGCGACAGTCCTCCTGTATTTTCTCCTGGTTTGAGCCCAGCTGCAAGAGGTATTTTATCACAACTAAGGCGCTCAACGTCTGGTAAATCTTCCGCTGAAAAACGTTCAGCAAGCAAGATGTCCGAGCAAAATACTCCTGAAAGCTGCTCGCCTCAAAAGCGTGGAAGATGGACACGTTTAATTCGATAAACGGGTTTAATTTGCTGTGAAACAGCATTCAGGACTGCGCTGAAAGCTAGTCTAGTTGTGTGACAACTATTTAAATAATCGTCCGGAAAAAAACACAATTTAAAACACAAAAATATCGTTCGTTCTCGTTGTTTTGCGAGGTCTATTGTGGACAAAACTTTATTCAATATAACTTTAAATTTGAATAGCTGAACTGCAGGGCAGTTTTAGTATTAAGTGTCCATTTGGGACCATTTAGGAAAAGGCAAAAAATATAAAATATGCGTTGTACAGAATACATAAATGCAATATTCATAAATCGTTATTGAGTTTGTATATAAATGAAATTGTGTATTTATTTATTTATTTATTTCGATAAAAATGTTGTACATTTATATATATATGCATATATGAAAACGTTGTGTATAAAGTGTTATTCAATAAAGTGAAATATTTGCTCAAAAATGTTCTTGTGTCGGTCAGTCGGTTAGGGAAAAGTTTGCAGACTTTTCGTCTGTGTCAAGGCTTCCCAAAATGACTGAATATTTTGCCTAAATATCGTTGAACAGTTTAGAAAAGCTATCGAAAACTTCTTTAAAGAGAAAATGACTACTAAATAATATTTATCCAGTGAATTAGGAAAGTTTGGGAGAAAAACTTTCGGTTTTTTGGCGGTTTTTTGCTAAATTTTTAGTTGACCTTGTATCCGAATGATTTAACCTTGGGGTCGTATACTGTAAGAAACTTGTCATAATGACTTGTGAAAAATGTGACTTGGCATTTATGACACGGGGATCATCTTCTTCGGTAAAACGCCCTTGATTCAAAACATTTTGCGAAAATATCCCTCTTTGTGATTCAAAAATCGTACAGAAACAAGATCGACGAAGACTGAGGAGATACCAATATTGAGAAGCTTACATGAAGAACCTCGCCGATTTCTTGTAACTAATCACAGTGGGTTCAGATATTGCTCATTAAATTCAAAATGGTGAACGCAGATGAAGAATTTAGTAGATAAATTTACGTTAAAATTCCGCCAATTTACTGCAAAAATAAGTAAAATAACCGGGAGTACGAGATAAATAAAGTGAGAAAGTGTTTTTGCTGCAAGTTTAAACCATGGCTGAGAGAAATAAGAGTTTTGTTGAGGACGAAGATGGTAATTTTGAGGTGTCTGTGAAGAAAATGGTGGCCAGTCATAATAGGAAGAAGAAAAAGTCAGGAGGATTTCAAGTTATGGGTGAGTGTTGTAGAATGATGAATCAATCCAATATCTTTTCAACTTAAGTTTCTAGCAATATTCGATGCAGTTTTATGGAGGTGTCTGGCCAGAGAAATGGAGTTGAAGACAAGCCAGTTCACCTACCTCACCAATTTTATTAATCAACCAGAGAGTTGAAAGTTTTATTAATTGGTCAGAGTGATAAACATCTTCTATTCTCTTTATTTTGTGACCAGGCCATGTTCAAAGAATATCAAATAAATGGCATGACACATCCCTATTTGGGCCAGTCATACTATTTATCATTTGTCATTCCTCTCCTTAATCTAAATCTGCCTTTTGAATGGAATGGCCCAACCACTTCACATCTTGTATCCTGCTTCCACTCCACTCCATAATTATTTTCTCTCTTATTCCAGGACTTAGTTACCCAGTTTATAAGGGAATTATGAAAAAAGGTTACAAGGTTCCGACACCAATACAGAGGAAGGTTTGTAGTTTAAAGAATATGTCTTCTTGCTTTATGATCAACTGGCTCAAACCTCATTCTAATGTCTTGGGGTATTGAGAAAGAACAACAATGTAAAATATATTATAATTCTTCTCTGAATCAGGCAATCCCTTTGATATTGGATGGAAAGGATGTAGTTGCGATGGCCAGGACTGGGTCGGGTAAAACAGCAGCATTTTTAGTTCCAATGTTTGAGAAGCTTCATGGACATTCAGCAAAGGTATGAGGCTTTCCAGAAATAGATTTTTTTAGTCTGAAGTTAGTGAAAAATACAATTTTTCTTTATTTTATTGCAGACTGGAGCAAGAGCATTGATTTTATCACCAACACGGGAACTGGCATTACAGACCTTGAAGTTTACGAAAGAAGTAAGACAAGAAAATATTCACAATGGATTGTATTATGGTGATTCAATACTTAGATAAAAGAACCTGATTAATTGGGATCTGTTCGCTTTTAGCTTGGTCGTTTTACGGACTTGAAGTCGGCGGTCATTCTTGGAGGAGATAGAATGGATAATCAATTCTCAGCTTTACATGAGAATCCAGATGTGTGAGTATTTTGAAATAAGTTGAAAAAGAAATATGTGATGTGCATTGTAATTTGGTTTCTCTGGGTTCAATATTTGTTTATTTGTTTAACATTATTCCTTATGGTCAGGATAACAGAACATTAGTTTCTAATTCTAGTGTCATTGCAACTCCTGGTCGCTTCTTACATGTCATCATGGAAATGGATCTGAAACTGACTTCTATAGAGTATGTTGTGTTTGATGAAGCTGACAGGTAAACCATGTTAAGACTCACTGTAACTCAGAGCTGTGTACAAGAGTAATATAATGGCTCAACATATCAGGTTTCATCCCCCAACTCTTTAATCATTTTCTTTATTCTTGTCAGGTTATTTGAAATGGGATTTTCGGAACAACTTCATGAGATTATAAGCAGACTTCCTGAAGCACGGTAAGACAAAGATCACCTCTTATATCATGTACTTTTGCCAATGTTCTTGATTACATAGCTTCTGATGCAATATAACATTTTTCTACCTACAGACAAACATTGCTGTTTTCTGCAACATTGCCTAAATCACTGGTTGAGTTTGCTAAAGCAGGTACATAACATCAAGTCAGTATTTACTGTGGCATACATGATGTAAAGACTTGAATGAAAACTTCAATGCATGTGTACAAACTACATTTGGGTGCCTGGAACTGGCATTGCCCATTTCCTTTTGTTGAGGTCATATCAAGCAGAGTGGTAACTGTGGATAATGTGTCAGGCAGCCAGTCTGAAAGTTTTCTGAAGTGTCTCATAATTTCATTATAAAGAATTCACATGATTATTTGTGGCAGGTCTGAATGATCCAACGCTATTACGACTTGATGTGGACACAAAGCTCAGTGAACAACTGAAGGTAAATCCAATTTCTACTTCTGAATCTTTGGACTTCACAAGCTTTTAGACTAAATAAATCTTTCTCTTTAGCTTGCCTTTTTCTCTGCAAGAGCAGATGATAAAAATGGTTAGTTGGTTGAAAATATGTTTTGTTTTGTGGCCTGCTTGATAATCCACTTGGGAATGCGAGGAAATTAAACACTTTTTGTACAAGTTTGATAATATATTTCTCTGTGATATTCCTCCAGCTGTTCTGCTTCATCTCTTGCAATCTGTTATCAAACCAACAGAACAGACAATGATCTTTGCTGCAACCAGACATCACGTGGAGTTTTTAAAAACAGTAAGATAGAAATTACTCCTCAGAAATTATTCTTTATCAAGTGAAACCTCGATCGCAATATCACAATATGTTTTTCAAATGGTTTAAATTTTCTTTTCTCAGCTTCTAGCGCTTACAAGCATACCATGTTCCTATGTCTACAGCGCACTGGATCAGGCAGGTTGGAAATCAGAAAAAAATTTTCACATACAAAAATTTAGTGCTGCGCGCTTTTTCATCAACCTAGGAAAACTTGTTTTTAATTTTTTAATTCTTATTTTTCTCTAGCACGAAAAATCAATGTAGCAAAGTTTCGAAAGAAGAAATGTATGGTGCTGATAACTACGGATGTTGCGGTGAGAATGCTTGGCTGGTTCTATTAGGATTGCCTTGCGAAGTGAATTACAAAGATCTCTCGAATCGGGGACATGATTCTTAAGGACGTTTTATTTTGAATATTTCAGGCGCGTGGTATTGATATACCAATGTTGGATAATGTCATCAACTATAATTTCCCCGCGCAGTCAAAGCTGTTTGTCCACAGAGTGGGTGAGTGTGCATGCTGTCGCAGGATTTTAGGCAAGTCTTGTGGTGTGTACATACCACAGCATTTGATTGCTGATAATCATCGTTCTCACAGGTCGTGTTGCAAGAGCTGGTCGTATTGGTACAGCGTATTCCATCATTGCTCCTGATGAGGTATTTAATAATAATTTCCAACATACTTCTTCAAAGGTACTGTACATACTCTGCTATCTATTTTTTGCAAAATCGTGTATTTTTTGTTTGTTTTTTATTTGACAACGAGAGAACGTATAATCTAATTACATCTCTCCTGTCTTTCCCAGGTCGCATACATGCTAGATTTGTGTTTATTCCTGGGCAGACCTCTAAAGACAGCCAGAGAAAGTTACACAGAAAACGGTAAGTTCATACACGAATACCCGAAGATTAATTCTCCATTATTATTCTCTGGTGTACCTCGGAAATAGTTTTGGAACATGGTGCTCAGTCTGCCGACCAGAAGCATGCTTTATCCTACTAAATTACAGCAGAAACTATTTTAATGATTGATAGAAATTGAATGTGATTTTTTAGATGATAAAGATTTTGTGTATGGCCGAGTTCCACAAGATATAATTGATGAACAAGAGGACACGTTACGAAATATTCATCAAAACACAGACGCGGTATATTGTCTTTAACTTCTCCATAATTTCCCTCAGTTCTGAGAAGAAATAACACACGATGCGGAGTTGTCTCACAAACGTTGCCAGATGAGTCTTGTTTCGTTCACTTCACTTGCATCCGAGGTTTTATATCGTGTTTTCTTCTCGTAGCAATCTGAACATGAGACGTGTACGAAGGCATATAAACAGTATTCCAAGTCAAGACCTGCACCATCGCCAGAGTCAGTGAAACGTACAAAAGAAATGAGTTTAAAAGCCCTCAACTGCCATCCATTACTGGGTAAGAAAAGTAAGGTTCTTACTGGACCTCTAGGAAGAACAGTTTAGAACTAAATCCAGTAGACGTACAATAATGCTTTGTTTTTTGCGCTGTGGATTTTTATATCACCTGTAATCCTTATACCTACCAGGAGGTGTTCAGGAGGTGGCTCACGCCAAGTTTCTTGATGGTGTAAGAAGCTACAAAGCGAAACAGGTAATGAAGATATTTTTGGAATAGATCTTGGCTCGTAAACGATAATTTAAGGTAACGGTTTTTGCTTCAACAGACAATATTTGAGATTGGTGCGACGTCAAAAACGCGCTCTCAGGACATCATGAGGTTGAAGAGACGGAAACACGGGACAGTTATTGAGAAGAATAAGCAACAAATGATGAAAAGTCACGAAGACAAGAACATGGAAACGAGAGGAAGTAAAGTGGAAGAAACTACCCAGGATGAGATCAAGGTGGGTGGAGAAGTTTCATTTCGGGTTTACGATTTCATTAGATGCTGATTGCGTAGATCATCTGTTTCTTCTTAGTAGAGGTGAGAAATCTCTTATTGATCCATCTTTTTTTTGTAGAGTGTTTTCACAACGGTCATGGATCCCAGTCGCAAAACCCGAAGGCCAAAAGGTAGATGAAATTCAAATGCATTTACCATCATTGTGTATCTTCAACAAAACAAAGGATTAGAGAGTTTTGAATGAATGATTTTAAATTTCTCTCTCAAAGGTTTGCCACAATTCCGAGATGAAAACTACATTCCACATCGAGCGCCAGATCATTTCTCGGAACGAGGGTATGCTTTTCCATCTTAAACAGCGATACTGTGCTTTACAATCTTGCTGGGTGTATTTTCACCTTTTAAACTTGAAGATCTCGTTGTCTACAGGTTGGGCATCAACTCGTTTCAGTCCCAAGCTGAGAATGCCGTGTTAGACCTGGATGCTGACGAGGCCGTTGGATTGACGCGTACACAGAACAACAAGCGATGGTAGGGGAGGGGATAGTGAGCAAGTATCACGTATCATAGTTTATAATGAACAGGATTGATTCATGTCGTGGTTTTAATATTTCTAGGGATCGCAAAAGAAAGAAATTTGTTGGAAAGGAAGAAAATACAAAGAAAAGAATCAAAACAGAAAGTGGGCGATGGATTCCAGCCTCGTATAAGACAACTTTGTATCCTTTGGAAACAAAATTGAATAGTTTGCCTGGAAGAACAGTTTAGAACTGATAGAGCTATCCAGTATAAATAAAGTTAGTTTAGTTTAGGTTTCTTCCTGTAGTAACACTGGATCAATAAGAGATAATCCTTACTGGACCTCTAGGAAGAACAGTCTGGAACTGATAGAACTATCCAGTATAAATAAAGTTAGTTTAGTTTAGGTTTCCTCCTGTAGTAACACTGGATCAATAAGAGATCCTCTAGAAAGAACATTTCCTTGACGTGATGCACAGGTACAAAGATTGGCTGGATAAAAATGCGGTGAAGCATCAGAAAAACGAGGATGACAACGAAGACAGTAATCATCCTGGAACATTCCGGAAAGGTACGAGTCCAAGTGTTGGTAGTTTTCAAGTAAAAACAACGAAAGTTCTCATGGATGTTTTACTTCAGGTAAAAAGAGAGGCCGAAGGAAAGATGGCCGTCTAGAAGGAAGAAAGAACGAACTACGGAACAAAGAACAGATCTTGAAACAAAGAAAAAGAAAACAGAATATTTTAGAAAGACAAAAGAAAGGAAGGGAGAAAAATATAAAGAAAAAACAAGACAGAAATCCCAGACGAGAAAGATAGGTCTTGTTTAAACATGTTGAATTAATGCGATGCTTCCGTTAATTAATTTCCTCACAGACCTCACTTGTCTGGAAATAAACCTTTCTCGTAATCGCATCAAACGGGGGGTGCAAATATCACACGAAGCTTGATTGTTCCGCAGAACTACTTGAGCCAATGAGACTTCGTGTTACATCAGGTTTATGTCATTATGAGAAAGGTTTATTGGAGAGGTATATTGGTGTATTGGTGCATTTAAACGAAATATGAGACGAGGCAAATATTTGCAATGAATTAATCGGTAATTCTGTTGTAAACACACTGCTCTGGTGACAATATAAACAATACCACGTGTCCTCGATTAGGTCGCCTTAGTAACAAAAATCAAACAAAAACACTAGTTTTATTCCCCTAAGTCAAAGCTTGGTGCGCGGCCAAACATTCCATTGCATCCACGCGCATTCTTTAACCATTTTCTGTAAAAATCAACAACTTTTATCGTTTTGTGAAGCGTTTACTACACAGAAAGACCACCAGGTATGTTCAAAATGAGTCTGTTTCTTTGTTATACTAGCGTCGCTTGATCCTTTTAAATTTATAAACACAAGCGTTGTCAAGCGACCATGATTATTGTTGATTCATTTGCATATACATCGTTGCAAAAATTTGATCAATTGACTTTAAATTTTTGTAGACGTATCAAACTTGACGCGAAATTCATTGAATTTGAATACAGTGAAGAGGTCTGTGTTTTACGTTACGTTCTGTTGGCAAACTAGTAGGATATTTTAAATAAAGCAAACAAGTGGTTTTTAAACCAACTGGATTACAAAGGCTTATGGTGACAGGTTGTGATGAAAGATGATGTATTTCAGCTATCTGTCGTTATCAAACTGAGAAAAATAGGTTAAAGAAATGAATAGTTTATTGTTCTTTGGCTTGTTGAGCATATTGTTGACAGGATATCCTGCATCAGGACAGAGGACATCTAAAACTCAAGGTTTTGTGTTACCAATATGTGATACAACTTGCCCTGTGAACAAACGTTGTGTACAAGATAACGCCACAGTCGTTTGGGAGTTATTTTCAAGTAATGAGTGTAAGAGCTACCAGGCTTGCTATGGTTCAAACTCTGGCTATCCAGATGATACCAACACAAATATATTTGCTGGTCGATTTTATCCCATTGTTACGGCTCTGGGATCCAGCGTGTATTTTGAAGCGAAATACTCTGGTGGATTATTAAAACCGTTTACAGTGTACAATGTCAACCAAGGGAATTTTTTAGGCTGTAAAAATGCAACACAAAGTGTTGGTACATTACTAAACACTGTTAAAGTCCCCGACAAGTATATTTCCAGTCTTGGGTATAAATTCTTTATTGCAAAGTCAAAAGCAACATATCATCCTTGTAATTTTGGCTTACGACTTCATATGAATGTTAAGGATGTGACTAATTGCAGTGGTTCTCCAAGGGGAAAGCTGTGTTCAGGCAAAGGAAGTTGCATCTCTGAGTCATTCACTGGTGATATGCATTGTGAATGTTGTGCGGGTTACTCTGGACGTTTCTGTGAAGAGTTGGATGCTTGCTATACAGCTCCCTGCAAGCGTGGTAATTGCTCGGACTTGAAAACTGGACATAGCCCAGATTTTAACTGTACATGTGATGTGGGCTTTACTGGACAATTATGTGATATTGATATCAATGAATGTAACCTACCAGAGAATGACGGTGTTTGTCAACATGGTGGATTTTGTGATGATGGTATCAACTCATATATTTGCTATTGTCTTGAGGGTTTCCACGGACAACACTGTGAATTTATATCAAACATGTGTGAACTGATTAAACCATGTAAGAATAATGGAAACTGCAGTAGAGTTGGTATCCACAAGGAGTCCTATGTCTGCCATTGCGCTTCAGGATTTTATGGTCGTAACTGTACATTGAATATGACTACGAGCAGCATGAAGCCTCAGATTTCTGATATTGCAAGGACTTCATCATTTGGTACGGCCACTACTATCATTTTATCTGTTGGACAGAGCTTCATCAGTTCCTCGCTCTTTGGTGTGACTGCAAGCAATGGTTTTACATCGATGTTCTCAAGTACAGCCAGTTTTTCTGTAGCATCCCAGTTTTACTCAAGTTTAGAAACTGGTCCAGTCACAGAGTCAACTACTAAGTGGAAGAGTTATTTATCATCAACCAGTATATCACCATCAACCAATGCATCACCATCAACCAGTATACCACCATCAACCAGCGCATTACCATCAACCAGTAGACCACCATCGACCAGCACATCACCATCAACCAGTATACCACCATCGACCAGTACATCACCATCAACCAGTATATCACCATCAACCAGTACATCACCATCAACCAGTATACCACCATCAACCAGTATACCACCATCAACCAGTACATCACCATCAACTAATATACCACCATCATCAACCAGCACATCACCATCAACCAGTACATCACCATCAACCAGTACATCACCATCAACCAGTATACCACCATCGACTAGTACATCACCATCAACCAGTATACCACCATCAACCAGTACATCACCATCAACCAGTACATCAACCAGTATACCATCATCAACCAGTACATCACCATCAACCAGTACATCACCATCAACCAGTATATCACCATCAACCAGTATATCACCATCAACCAGTGTATCACCATCAACCAGCGCATCACCATCAACCAGTATATCACCATCAACCAGTGCATCACCATCAACCAGTGCATCACCATCAACCAGTACGTCACTGCAGACTAGTACATCACCATCAAGTTACCTAGATTCATCGCTGAGCAGTCAGCAACCATCTATTTATACAATAGCTTCCCCAGTGATTGAACCAAGTCTCACCATAGCCACAAGCATGGTTGAATATGGTACCTCTTTGATGCAATCTGCAAGCACACCAGCCCTACCCTCAATTACCAATCCATCACCACAACTATCATCTTCCAGTGTAATATCACCATCAAACACCATAGTCACAGCACCCTCATCAACTGTTGTACCAACAGAAATACCACTTCAGAACAAGACTTGTGCAGATAATCCATGTGGTGAGCATGGGATATGTACCAACAGACAGAGTCCGTCATCTGATCTACCATTTCACTGTGATTGCCAGTATCCAACAGTTGGACCTGTTTGTACCACAGGTATGGTGCAGTGTGTGAATCATCTGTTCAACTGAGGCAGTTACTCAGTTGTAGAGACTTAGTTTGTTAGGGGTAGTGCCCGTAGTGGTTAGCTATTGGATATCTTGTTCATCACTCTCATATTTATTTGACCAACACCTGGTCATTTGTTTCTGTCATTTTGTAACTTTTCTCTTCTCTTCACAGATCTGGAACTTCATTTTCCATACTTCAGTGGCAAATCCTACATCCAATTCAAACCAATTGCATTTGGTTCAAGAGTCAACAAGTTTGTTATCTCGTTCTATTCCAACGCAGATGGTGTTATATTGTTCTCTGCTCACAAAACATACCAAGACTTTATCAAACTTGAGGTGACTGGGGGACACCTGAGGTTTTCTGTTGATGCTGGGGATAAGGTTGTATCTGTCACAAGTCGAGAAAACGTAACCAATGGTAATGCTACAGCAGCTAGTTTTGGGTGAGCTTGTTTAAAGTGTTATACTTTGTAGCTAGGTCATTTGTAGATTACGTCAACTAGAATACCACCTGATGACAACCACTGTGCATGATTATTTTACTGGATCAACTGTGATTTGACCTATAAAACATTGCATTTATTTTTCACCTTCCACGAGCAATGTTCTTCGTAGCAAAGAGTTGATAGCACTGCTCCCAAATCACAGAGGTGTAGGTTTCATATCTGCTGGGGACCTGAGTTGCATTTTTGCAAAGTTTACAGTCTAGTCTTAAAGATCACACTGTTCTGATCCTGACTATGACTTGACACTGACTATTGCTTTTGTAGATATGATACGCGTACTGGAAGCGTGTTTCTGAGTGTGAATAATGGAGTTGAACAGCGAGCTAGAACGAGAGGGAAACTGAGAGATGTTCAGTTATATCACCCTCTTTACCTTGGAGGAATTGTTCCTGAAGTTTATACCAAGAATAAACGTGATATTGGTGTGATTACACCCTTCGTTGGCTGCATACGAGAGCTTGAGTTTAACGAAAGAGCCATTGAACTTTCAGGTATTGTGAGGAAGGTTCTTTCTCGTGGCCTGCGCCAGAGTTGTACTGCGCGTTGTTTGTGAGAATTCTTGTCTAAACAAACTTTGTTTCTGAGTCAATCCATGACCCGGTCATCCCAGACATTCTGGGAGAGCAGAGTATTTTGAATATAGTTTTGCAAATGAATAATAGAATTCCTTTGTTTTTTCATTTAACAGCTGCCGTAGACTGGCAGAATATTTCTGAGTGTGATCTTCCCGCCTGCAAAGCAAAGCCTTGTAAGAATTCGGGAATTTGTGTTCAAGATTTGGAGAATGTAAACGAGTATTCTTGCCAGTGTGAATCTCCCTTCTCCGGGAAGAACTGTGGAGAGAAATATGCTTGTGAAGTGAATGTTTGTAACGGTGGACAATGTCTGAACTCAAGCAGTTCCGGAGTGAACTGTTTGTGCCCGTTTGGAAGAGCTGGTGTGTCCTGTAACAAAGGTATAAACTGTGCGTTAAAAAGCTCTGCTGCTTTTGTAGGATGTTTCATTTAAATTCATTCAATTTATTTAGTTTCAGTGAATATGTTTTAAACGTTAATGCTTCTCGTTTATATTTTCACTGTTATTATTGTAGATATTCAAGTGAACATCCCTATGTTCAGTGTTGTCAAAGAGAAGTCCTCTTATCTGCGGTACCTCGCCCCCCGGGCAGCTGTGAGTCAACTTGATATCCGTATGGAAATAAAGTTCGCAAACGATTCTCAATCCAGGGGGGACGGACTGCTCTTTTACGTCGGTCTCCACGATCATCTGTCTGTCGGAAGTGATGGTGATTACCTCGCGCTGGGTGTGATGAACAATCGTATGGTGTTACAGTTTAACCTTGGTTCTGGATTTGCTAATATCACCAGCGATCTTCTAAGCTCTGAGAACAAGTGGTTCACAATCTTGGCTGGTAGGAAGGGGAGAGAGGGGTATTTATATGTGGATAATGATGTCAATGAAGGACGCAGCCCTCCTCCCTTGGAGGGCTTGAATGTCTTTGGCAATCTTTACTTAGGAGGAGTCCCTGAGTTTTCAATGCTCAATAGCGAGGTAATATATCACTTTATTTGGTTTTATCACAATATTCTAGAGTTTACATCATTACAACTCTTGCATTTCATTTCTACATGCAGGTGGTGTTCACAGAGGGATTTAGAGGGTCAATAAAAGATCCAAAGGTACGAACAGGGATATCAAACTCATGGTTATCGCTGGTAATGGAACATTCAGCGAACACTACAGGTCTAGTTCCCGTTGAGGCTGGTTTAAACATTCAAAATCAGGAAGTCAACACATGCGTAGTTGGAGCATGTTTGAATAACGGTACCTGTCAATCACTTGGTGCTTCGTATTTCTGTCGATGTACGCCGGAATGGTCCGGAATGACGTGTAATGATTCATCGGTACCTTGTCGGGATTATAACCCATGTCACGGAGTGTCCACGTGCCGTATGCTTGATTCTGGATTCATGTGTGATTGTCCTCCTGGCAAGGCGGGAAGATTTTGTGAAAATGGTGAGTTACGTATGAAAGACTACAAGTGAAATATTTCATGATAGATCTGTGACTTAACTAAATAGGGTTTTGCCATTGCCATAACACAATCTTATTATATTCCAGCTATCAATATAACCACGCCATCGTTTAAAGAGTATTCCTATCTAAAGTTCTCATTGGCAAAAATCAAGATTTTCTCTCAAACCTCTGTCAATCTCGTGTTCTCGACGTCAGCAGCCAATGGTATACTGTTTTACGTTACTCGTGATATCACGTCATTATCCGGGGATTTTCTCTCAATCACTTTGCATGAGAGGTGAGACCTTGTAATCTTGATTCAAATCATTCTCAAACTAGGAGAGCTTATACGAAAGCTAGATAGCCCTATCCACCGGATAGTTATTCTTTCAATCACTGTAAAAATGCAATAAAATTACATCTTTGGAGCTGACAAGAGAATCCCCATTTTTTGAATACTAAGGTTTAATGAAAGTTATCTGGTATAATATGAGTATAGTTTAATTTTGAATTTTGCTTCTACTACTTCTCTTTAGACATGTGTATCTTATTTACAACCTTGGCACAGGAATTGCTAAATGCAAAAGTTTAAATACAATAAGAATTAACCAAAATAATGACATTACTGTGACAAGAAATGCAAAGACAGCCGACCTTGTGGTAAACGGCAATCGTACGACATGTATAAGTCAAGGTGGGGCGACACAACTCAATGTTGCTTCAGTGTTTTATCTTGGAGGAGTGCCTGATCTCTCGTTGGTACAACCCAGGGCATACGAGAACTCTAAGGATCTGAGGGACTTCACTGGATGTGTGGAGACGTTAAGGGTAGGTTTTACTGCACTTTTGTAGAAACAACCATCGAAAAAATGACAAGATACTTCTTTTTATTATGTGAAATGATCTCGCGTAGTCTCGTAGTTCATATTAAGATTATTCTTACAATGTTTTTCACAGGTGAATGGTCATTCTTTTGATCTCACTCAACAAGCAGTGCTGGGAGGTCGTAATGTTGTCAACTGTGATACAAGTCTTCTTCGGGTATAATTCAACCAGAATAAACGTTTAAACTTCAGACAGCTTTTAACTATATTGCTTACTAGGCAAGCCCGTGGAAAGCATACAAACCGTGTCTAGCATTTCTGTGTGTACACCATTGTTCAACATATTGAATGAAAAAATACTATATACCGTAGGCAATAGAATATATTTATATAATTCATCAAAAGGGCAATTAAAAAGGGAAATATATTTAATTTTTATACGTTGTTATGATGAGTAAATGATGAGTTTTGGTGACCGCAAAAAGCATGTTCAGGGAGGGGCAGTGCTTTGAAAAAACGCAGGGGAGAATGTCAAACTACACAACACTGATTACGAGATCCACAAAAAAAACAGCTTGGAGTGAAGGTGGTTGGGATGAGGGTGAATTTCTCTAGGGTTTCTGGGGCGAGGGTTGGATTGATGGTGGGGGTTTTAGTGCTTGTATGTTGAACCACTTCAATGAACCATAGTGGGACTGGGATGGTGGGACAAAATGGGACGATGGTGGGACAAAAAGGAAGAATGGTGGGACAAAATGGGACCATAGTTGGACCATGGCTGGCCAGGTTACCAAGTCACAGGCGCCATCTTGGAAAAGTTTGAAAAGGAAGCATTTTAGGCTTTCATAAACCTTAGAATAAATATGGCTTTTCTTAACAAGAAGAAATCATTTATTGGTGTGGATGCCCCGTTAGGATATGTTCCTGGTCTTGGCAGGGGGTATGTAGAGTTAAAAATGTGTTTATGTTTTTTGAATGTTAAAGATGATGATGATGCAGTGATGTACAGTATATAATATCCTTTGTCACATGAAGATGTCTTTTCAATTTATAGGGCAACAGGCTTTACGACACGTTCAGATATTGGTCCAGCTCGTGAAGCTACAGACGTGAGGTAAGAACATCTTAAACTGCTCTGTACCCTAGAGCTTTTCCACGGCTGGTAATTGGAAATATGTAGAAATTATGTAGCACGTTATTGGAGGGTTAATTTGGACTAAAATTGTGTTGCAAGTAGCAGAGTGTATTGGCAGGCTGGAAAGTGTGCGAATTATATTCCTGCAATTTGTGGTTTCTCCAAAATCACCTGTGTGCCGCAGGAATAAAGAAATAGAGAAAACATCAAAACCGCTTCCCCAATATCTTGGTTGAGGGAATAATATCTGGTTCTTTTTTTGAAATAGTGATGAACGTCACATGAATGTTCAGAAGAAGAAGGACGATGATGATGAGGAAGATCTTAATGATACAAATTATGATGAGGTATGAAAAATATTTGATTGAAATAAGTAGGGAGATGTAGAACAGGTTATTGCTAGCCTCAAGGTCATAGCTACCAACCAGGGTAGTAAGGCAACCATGTTATGGTTAAAATGTATGTTATAGTTTGCTGGTTATGGTGGTAGTTTATTTACAAGTGGTCCATATGAGAAAGATGATATTGAAGCAGATGCAATATATGAAGCTATTGATAAGAGGATGGATGACAGACGAAAAGAAAGGAGGTACTCTTAGCCACTTATGTGTAACTACAATGTCTTAACAATTTCATTGCTCTGGCCATCCGAAAAACCTTTCAATTTTCCCGACATGACTAGGAACTACAGTGCATTGCTTTGACAATAAAAGTTTCTTCAACAGTAAAAGTTCACAATGTTTTAATATCTTTTATAGAGAGAAAAAATTCAAGGAAGTTGTTGAGAAATATCGTCAAGAAAGACCAAAGATTCAGCAACAGTTCTCTGATTTAAAGGTTATTATACGTATTTGCCTTGTGAAACAACCTTAGTCTACTTGATCTAAATTTCTAATTTGTTCATATTTTGCATAATGATAATTTTGTATCATGATCATATTTTTCATAGAGAAAGCTTACGGATGTTACAAAAGACGACTGGGACAACATTCCTGAAGTGGGCGATGCAAGAAATAAGAAACAGAGAAATCCAAGAACTGAGAAGTAAATATCATTGCTTTATCATATTTTCTTTACCTACTCTCACAGCTGTTCCACAAAGCAAACAACTGAGTTTCTGCTGCTGCAGTCATCTACTACAAGCCTAACCTTTTTTAAAAGTAAAATCATTGAAATTGTCCCAAAAACAAAGTACTAACAATCCATAAACCTCAAGTCAGCAACTTACATACGGTACTAAAAAACTGTCAAAACTATAGTCATCACTGTCTTTAGTCATATATAACACATATTCCTCCAGTTTTTTCATGATAAATTTCAATTGGGATTATCTTTTTACCTGCAGATTTACACCAGTTCCAGATAGTCTTATAAAGAGTACAATCAGAAGTGGTGAGACTCATGCTGCACTAGATCACAGACAGCAGGTAAACTCAAATATGGTCTCCATACATTATTCTCTTAACATGTTACATAGTGACAGAATATTAGGTAGTAAATGCCTTGTGTTTTGCTACTAATTTTTCTGTCTAATTTTTCTATCCCTCAGCTCCTCGCTGGCTTCCAAACACCATATCCTGGTGCGGTCACACCAGGTTTCTCTACGCCATCTGGTGACCTGGATCTCACCAAGATTGGCGAGGCTCGTAAATCCTTGGTTGGCGTCAAACTTGATCAGGTAACATCCTATAATAAAGAAATTTCACAATGACTCCCCTATGCCTTGTGGCTATTCAAATCTTTGTTGTTGCAGCTTTTTACACTTTTTGTCAACAGGCATCAGATTCGGTGACTGGGCAAACTGTTGTTGACCCAAAAGGTTATTTAACCGACCTTCAGAGTTTGACTCCAGCTTCGGGAGGAGATATTGGGTGAGTTAAATACTTTAAAGGCAGCGGTCATCTCTGCAGGTTTTAAGAAACTTGTCAGTGTTTGTTCAAGCAGGTTTGATAAAGGACTGGTAATTACTTGCATGTAAATTGTTTTCATTTTAGTGACATCAAGAAAGCTCGTCTCTTGCTAAAGTCAGTGACAACAACCAACCCTCACCATGGTCCAGGTATGTTGTCCTTTAGTTGTCATTTTAGTTGTCCTTTTAGTTGTCTTTTAGTTGTCCTTTTAGTTGTCCTTTTAGTTGTCCTTTTAGTTGTCCTTTTAGTTGTCCTTTTAGTTGTTCTTTTAGTTGTCCTTTTAGTTGTCCTTTTAGTTGTCCTTTTAGTTGTCCTTTTAGTTGTCCTTTTAGTTGTCCTTTTAGTTGTCCTTTTAATTGTCCTTTAATTGTCCTTTAGTTAAACTATTCTTAATGATATTTTGATGGTGTATATCCAGGTTGGATAGCGGCAGCTCGCTTGGAAGAGGTGACTGGTCGAATGCAGTCTGCGAGGAATATCATTATGAAAGGAACTGAAGTGTGTAGTAAAGATGAAGATGTTTGGTTAGAGGCTGTGAGACTACAGGTATTCATTCAAAGAACATCGTTTGAACAAATACAACTGATAGTAGTTGATATACGGTACATTCAGAGCGAGTTATAATGTTCAATCTTTTCCGATCAAATGGTAATAATGAGTGAGAAATACAGAATTACTTGTTTTAAGTCTTGCGTTTGCTGGGTTTTTGCTTAATTTGGGTTGATGATGATGTTATCCAAACTCTAATATCCTCATCGTTCCGGATTGATCCGACAAAAAGATTGAAACTTATCCTTAAGATCCTGGATTCTTGTCCAACTTTTTCTTCTGTGTTTCAGCCGTCTGAGAACAGCAAAGCAACAGTAGCCCAGGCAGTTCGAAATCTTCCGCACTCTGTTCGTCTTTGGATAAAAGCAGCTGAACTAGAGACGGAGATAAAGGCGAAGAAACGCGTTTATAGAAAAGGTTGGGCTTGATTGTGTCGTGTTTGACAGACTGCTGAAAACAACATCCACAGGAGATTAAACCATGATTTTTATTTTAGCCTTGGAGCAGATTCCCAACTCAGTTCGACTCTGGAAGTTGTCCGTTGAGTTGGAAGATCCTGATGATGCCTGCATCTTACTTAGTAGAGCTGTTGAGTGTTGTCCTCAAAGTGTTGAGGTATTTTATGCTTATATAATACTTTTACTCTAGTTTGGCTTATCCGTGATATGTAGCTCTATCAGCCCCATGTATGTAGCTCTATCAGCCCCATCAGTTCACTAAACTAAACTAAACTAAACTGTGATGTTTCAATTCCGTTTTTTTAACCGTTTTCTCTGCTTTTTTTTCTAGCTGTGGCTGGCTTTGGCCAGACTAGAGGTGTATGAAAACGCGAGAAAAGTGTTAAACAAAGCTCGTGAAAATATCCCAACTGACAGACAGATTTGGATCACAGCTGCTAAACTGGAGGAAGCCAACGGCAACACCAACATGGTCACGAAAATCATTGACAGAGGTAAAGATGGAGTTATCGCATCTTATTGGTTCCTGTTCCATCTCTCGCTGATCAATTGCGCTCGTGATTGGTTAATCTAATAGATATATCGCATCTGATTGGTTCCTGTTCCATCTCTCGCTGATCAATTGCGCTCGTGATTGGTTAATCTAATAGATATATCGCATCTGATTGGTTCCTGTTCCATCTCTCGCTGATCAATTGCGCTCGTGATTGGTTAATCAAATGGAGTTATCGCACCTGATTGGTTCATGTTCCCTGAAAGATAGCGATTCAAATCTGAATCTCGCTGATACAGAAACATGTAGGGTCAGGATGAATGATGAATTCTAAGCATACAATTTATTCTACGTTTGTTCTTTCTCAGCTGTAACCTCGTTGGTAGCAAATGGAGTGGAAATCAACAGAGATCAATGGATCAAAGATGCAGAGGAAAGCGAGAAATCTGGAAGCGTCGAAACATGTCAAGCTATCATGTATGAATATTGTAGCATCACCTTAGACCCATGCAGCCCATGGTCTGTCGTTTGATACACAACGATGTTAAAACTTGTCTTTTCTTCTCACAGTCGCGCTGTCATTGGAGTTGGTATTGAAGAAGAGGATAGAAAACACACGTGGTTGGATGATGCTGAGAGTGTGAGTGATCATGTGACTGTCATGTGATATTTCACGTGTTATTTTAGTCGTTTAATTACTTCCTTATTTCCTTTCTCGTTCATTCGCAGTGTGTGGCAAACAACGCTTACGAATGTGCTAGGGCTATCTATGCCCATACCCTGACCGTGTTTCCAAGCAAGAAGGGAGCCTGGTTACGAGCTGCTTTCTTTGAGAAGAATCATGGAACAAGGTTGGTGGATATATCTTTGTTGCCAAATATCCCTAGTTTTCCCTGTTAGTCCCACATTGATGATGCAGTAAGAAACTGTTGTTGATATATGTCTCTCGTTAGAAAGCAAATGTCTTTCTTTGTATCGCAGAGAGTCTCTTGAAGCACTCTTACAGAATGCTGTGAAATATTGTCCAAAGGCTGAACAACTTTGGTTGATGGGAGCCAAATCAAAATGGATGGCGGTGAGTGATTGCTGCTGTATTGTGTGTATATGTTTGACTGTCGCTCATTCATATTTGCGTCAAATTGTGGTATATAACAACTGCCTTTGGTAGACAAAAACACTTCTCGACATTTTGACATTCATCATACGAATTCTCCAGGCAAAGCCGCTTAGGTCGAGATGTCGAGAAGTGCTTTTGTCTATTTTAGACAGTTGTTATACCACATTTGATGCGAAGCTGTTTGAAGACGCTACAACGCTGTTCCCTGGTTATCCTCTGGTTTATTCATTTGGAATGAGATTTGAACCATACGATGAATTCCAAAGATCGTGGTTTATTATAGGGAGATGTTCCTGCAGCCAGATCCATCCTTGCTTTGGCTTTCCAAGCAAACCCAAACAGCGAAGAGATTTGGTTGGCGGCTGTGAAACTGGAGAGCGAGAATAATGAAGATCAGAGGGCAAGGTTTGTATGTGATGTGCTTTTCAAGATTAGAGGATTGATTACTCTTGTGCTTGCATGTTTGTTGAATACTTCACTGCCTTTCATTTCTAGGAAATTGCTTCAGAGAGCAAGAATGAACGCTTGCACTGCTCGCGTGATGATGAAGTCTGCGAAACTAGAGTGGGTTCTAGGAAACATTAAAGAGGTGAGATAAGTAGATTGCTAACTTATGAAAACTTCTTTAATTATTGGATGTCTGTTGATCAGTAATCTCTCACGATTTAATGTTTATCTTTATATTTTTGTACTTTGTAGGCCATCACATTATTGACTGAAGGTGTCCAGAAATATCCAGACTTTCCTAAGGTACACACTGAATATACCATTCTCATAATCACATAAAACGCGAGAAGTCTGATGTTACCAAGTTTGAGATCATTTGAGGCATTGAAATAAGTCTTCATGAAATCAAACAAGCGCATTGTCAGGATGGTCACACCACTGTCAGATCATGTTATTTACTCATTTTAATACCCCAAAGTCATTTCACAATTCGTTTAATCTCGGCTAAGCGGGATCGTGTAGACAGCCCCTAGCGTGATTCACCAGTGTGTTTCTGTCCTTAATGAATTTTTTATCGTAATCTTCATCTGTAGTTATGGATGATGAAAGGACAAATTTACGAACAAGAAAATAACGAGGAGGATGCCAGAGAGACGTATAAACAAGGGGTATGGCGGATAACTGACCATCGTTTTGTTTTTCGTATGAATCTCGAAGTCCTTTCACTAGCTTCTGTTTGTTTCCAAGGCAACGTTCACACGGAACTGGAGTGATTTAGGACCGTGCTTGGATTTGTCTGGCTCAAGTGTTTCCTCGGTAAAATTGGATGAAAATTTGACTGGTGTTAGCTGTGTGTTTACCGGAGGAAACTGGACGAGTTCAAGCACGGTCTAAGATTCGTCTAAAATAAACCTAAAGTTAGGCTCCGTGAACATTCAAAACGTGACTATTGCAGAACTGGGTTGTACGACTAAAGCAATTACATGTTTATGATTTAGGTGAAGAAATGCCCGACGTCCGTTCCTTTGTGGATTTTGCGCTCACGAGTTGAAGAAAAAGCAGGTAAAATGACTTCGTTGTTTTGGCGTAAATCAAAGTGTACTTTAATGAGGTTTTGTTGTATAAAATGATTTAGGTTTATCGACAAAAGCGAGGTCTGTGTTGGAGCAGGCGAGACAAAGAAACCCAAAATGTCCTGAATTGTGGTTGGAAGCTGCCAGAATTGAAATACGAGGAGATAATAAGGAATTCGCGAAGAAATTAATGGCTAAAGGTTAGTGAAGTTTTACTTGATACAAGGTGTCTGAGCTCTTAAACCGACCATCTCTTGCATGATTAGTCATCTGTCAACACTCGTTCAACTCTTAATCTTTCTTCAGCGATCCAGGAATGTACAACTTCAGGAATTCTTTGGGCCGAAGCGATTTTCATGGAAGCAAGACCTCAGCGAAAAACGAAAAGCGTCGATGCTTTGAAACGTTGTGAACACGATCCTCACGTCCTTCTGGCTGTTGCAAAGTTGTTCTGGAGTGAGAGGAAGGTGACAAAGGCCAGAGAATGGTTCAACAGAGCGATCAAACTAGATCCAGATCTTGGAGACACTTGGGCTTACTTTTATAAGTTTGAATTGCAACACGGCACAGAGGTGAGAAGATTGCAGTTAATCCAACCATCTCGGAAGGAAAAAAAAAAGGGAAATTGAGCTAGAAGATTAAGCAAATGTCCGGTTTCAGACGATGATGCTAGATTTATTATAAGTCAGAGTCTGCCAACAACGATGAGAGCTTGACTAAAATCATCCGCATTCCTCAGGTGCTGTGGTTCATGAATTAATACCCGGAGCTTAGGCGAAATATACCAAAACATGACACCGTAAACTATAGGTTGCATGACAAATCAATGCTTCCTGCCTTCCAGGAGAATTGGGTGAATTTTATTAAAAGCGAGAGATATGGAAGTAACGACAATTTTCGGGGACTCCTCGACAATTCGTGAGGGTTGGAATGTCAGGGCGATTGTTTTATTTGCTTTAGTATCTTCATCAGTGCATTTTGTATTGCGTTTGTTCTTTCTTTAGAGCCAACAAGAACAGGTTTTGAAGCGCTGTGAGGCTGCTGAACCTCATCATGGCGAGACCTGGTGTGCTCGCTCTAAAGCCGTTAAAAACTGGAGGAAGAAAACTAAGGACATTTTACAAAACGTCGCAAAACATTTGAAACCAATTGATAGAGAATAAGTTAGTATTAATGGTGGTAGTGCCTTTACGTCACCAGGGCTTATGCTGATCAGTGCACTAATGATGCTAATAGGCTGGTAATCCATTGAAATCTTGCGGAGAACTATCTAGTTTAATCAACTGTCTTTGGATTTATCTTCTGGATTTGTCTATGATGGAACAATTTGATGGAACTATAATACATCGCATCATTTGTAAATAAAAATAAAATTCAATTCAAAGTGAAATCTCTCAATCCCCCCCCTGAAAATGGTTTCCTCCATTTTGATTGGTTAAGAATTTTTGCGCTCGAAGATAAAATCATGAATTGCAAACTTTACTAAATCTGCAAAGTTTCCTTGAATTAACCTGAATAAAATGAAATATTTTCATCTATGGACTGTGAAAGGCGAAGCTAAAGTCCACAAAGAGACAAAGTGATGTAGAAACGGTAAGATTTATTGTATATCAGTTTTGCATTATATGGAAGTTTTAAGCTTTGAGATAATGGGATTAGTCTCATTTCGAAGTGAAAATTGTATTAGTTTGATCCAAAATTTTAGTGTAAATGGCATTCTTGTAGGTCTATGTCCGTTACTGCATGTGGAAGGGCATCCGTGGCGAAGTTTACGAGCGTTTTTTTATGGATAGTGTAAAAATCTTTGTACATTTTTGCGAATGAATTGTTCAAAATTTGCCGCCATTACGAAGTGTTTGCGCGCGGACGGAAGTCTGAGACTAGGAAATCAAATTTTCAACTTGATGGAGATATTTGAAGATGCTGAGGAAACGTAAAATAATATTTATATTTTTAGTTGAACTAGTTATTATATTTGCTTTATACATATGGGGTCGAAGACTAGCATTTGTACGAGAATTTTTCATTGAGAGACGATGTGGAATGCAGAAATACAGATCTCTGCCTCCCAAACAAGAGGAACCTATGAATCAATGCCAGGAATTAGTTGATATTGCAGTTTCCATGTTGAATGGCGAGAAAATTAAACTGCCTTTTGATACTTCGAACACTAGATGGAAATTTAAGCAAACTGTGGATCTTGAGAGTTATCGCAAAACTAATTTCAGATGGAATTATCCATGGGAACAAGCGAATAGTCGGCAAACTATGAAATATTTACAAATATTTAACGTTTCTGCTAAGAGTCTTCCATTTAAGAAACACTTTATAACATTTGCTGAAAGTTGTTGTGATATTTCAAAGAAACGTGCTTTGAAACATGCGCTTGGTGTTGGCGGCTTCGATGTTGCAAAAGCTCATGATATGTGCTCAGTGAAACCTGCATTCAGGCAGGCACACCGGAATATCATATTTCGACGGAAGGGTGCAGGGTATTGGCTTTGGAAGCCTCATTTGATACTAAAAACTTTGCTTGAGGACATGTCTTATGGCGATGTTCTTATGTATGAAGATGCTGGTAGTTATTTACAAAAAGATGCAGGACCTTTGCTAAAACTTGCAAGTGCATCATCTCAAGGGATAGTTGTGTTTACCCTACAACTTTTAGAGAAGTATTACACCAAAGGTGATACATTTCTCGTTATGCAAATGAACTATCCAGACTTCATTGAGGTTGCCTATCAGAGCTTAGCTTCGTTTGTCGTTATTCGCAAAGATTGCCAGACCTTGCAGTTTGTTATGGAGTGGCTTGCGTATGCGTCTGACGCACGTGTGGTGACGGATGATCCAAATATTTACAATAGAAAAAATCATGACGGATTTATCGGACATCGTCATGACCAGTCAGTGCTGTCTTTGTTGTCAAAAAAATGGGGATTGCTGCAATATAGAGACCCCAGTAGTTTGTATATGGAAGATAGTGATTATAAGGTTTACGGTTTTGCATCTGGACCATATGAACAGGTTATTGTGCATGATAGGTTTAGAGCTTAATATGATGTAGTACTTAGTGTTAGATTGTAGTTATGAACAGAATACTGTGCATGACTGTCTAAATTGTAGTTCTGTCTGTAAATATCCTTAATCATAATTTTAAATATGTGTGTAAGAAGAGATTTATTAGTATAACTTCTGTGTTTAATAGTTTAATTAAAGGTTACTCCACTTTGCAGTTGAGAGCTGAATTGTGTGGTTGCATCTGAAAAATACTACACTATATATATCCCCTATGAAAATCACTCTCAGTTGATGAAAAAGGTTAAATAGATTTGAGCAAAAAGTTTCACTCCCTGTCAGTTGAATATTCATCTATCCAGCCCCACCAAAAAGAATTAGGCTGGTATGCCTATACCCAACTGATCATGAATTTCAAATCCTAGTGGTAGACAGAATTAGCCTTTCTTGTGAGAAAGGCTAATTCATTGCAAGCTAATGGTCTAACATGAATCACCAACACATAGTCTTATTTACCACCAGAAACTGACAGTACTCTGCCACCAATGAGTAAAATCATCTGACATTACTGAAACATAGGAAATAATGCAACAGACAGTAGGGCTGATCTTGGTGCATCGCGCGCTCACAGGGTTAGCAACTAGTCACTGGCTAATGGCGTTGTTACCTAGCAATATTCTTTCCCAGATTATTATATTAAGTCGTATGGAGTTCGCTAGAAATCAATTTAGTTACGTCTGAATGCATCACCAACTTGCAACAGGAAATATTTGCAGATGAACTGACAGTATTCATGTCGTGCTGATTAAAAAGAGAATGCAAAATATTCCCGTTTATTGACGTTTATTTTTTCTCTTTACTTTAGAGTTAATGAAATAATGGAGTATCAGATGTGACCATTAAACACACGACATTCAACCCTCGCCTCCCACATGATGAATAATTCAATTCAAAATTGAGTGGGTTGACAGACTGCCTCCACGCCCATATTTAACATGACGTCATGCTGGGTTGATTCTATATCGTAACGCTCATTAGGTAAGGAAATATTTAATAATATTAATTTACACATCAGAATGTGAAATATGACGAAAACTTATCTATTAAACATTTAATTTTTTACCAACGGCAGTACCTTTCTTCGCCGCTTTTCTAATCTGAGGAATTACTGTTCAACAGCATTTAAATTATCCACATATATTCTAGAAAAATACTTCAAAAAGGTATTCTGTATTGCACTTTAATGCGCATGATGGGCATTGTGATTAGGGCGACGGTTTCTTGGTATTTTATCGTGGGCGATTTCATTCATTGCTCTTAGCGTAAGTTAATTGATCGACGAAAGATAATTTCTACCGTCACTCGTCAGATGAAAATGATACGAGATTGCTAAGGCTAGGTTAGTGTGGTCGTGTAAATATTGGAGATAAATATTGAACATTACTAGCAAACAAACGGGCATCAGTAATGTGAGTTTGGAAAGCAGTCAAAAATGGTAAAATTCTTGCGCAAACCTTGAGCCTTTGCCTCGATACCTAATTATCGATCTTGTGATGTAAGTCGCGACTATGCGGTTAGGTTCTCTCTCGTTGAGTGTGGGCGAGTGTCAAGGTTCGATTGACGAGATTTTGATGAGAGATTGTGTTACAACAGGCATTTGGATTGTTGCTAAGTACTCTTGTGTTGATCGAAAATAAATACTCTAGTTTCATATGGAAAAACAACTTTAGTTTCATATGGAAAACAACTTGATTTTTATTGAAATACATGTGGCGATAAGTTATGTTATTAGGCACAATGTCGCCTGTTACGAAATTTAGACTTGCAGAAAATATTTATGCAATAGCAGGAATGATCAGCTTAAAAGTTTTGCAACTCTCGATGATTCCATTAATCTACCTTCACACATCTTCACATGCTCTGGAAGGGCTTCCGTTTCCATCATGTGAAGTCATATCTGATCCTAGCATCCCTTGGTATGTCTACCACTCCAAATCATATCTTCGGATCTCATCAATTTCCGTTCAATTCATTTAACGTATACATATGTCTTGTCTGTGGTTGTTAGATTATAAATATAAGAAAACCTCTGTTAGAATTAGTATATTAATATGAATCTATAAAATAGAAAGTTCTAGTAAATCTCGTGACTCTTTAAAGCTGTTGATTGATGGCTTTCAGCTATTCACCTTTGTAAAGACAAACTGCAGTCTGTTATAACACGATTGCATTCAGAGTCAATGAACGAGATGTATGACAGTATGAGAATGAACATGAATTAAATGTATATTTTATTATTGCGTTATGCAAGAAATGTACTTATTCTTTAGTATCCGTCTGTGTTCTGAAAATACTTGTCTAGATTTCATTTCACATTCAAGCTTTCTTTCCAATCTTGGCTACATGCAGTAATTTAATCCTCGTAGTAAAACAAGTCAAAATTTCACATGATCATAAATATTATGAACGTCAGCACGTTCAGTTTTCACCTTGATTTCGTAAGAAATAAATTCAGATTAAGTATTAAATGACGGTTTTCCTAACTCGTATAAGACTAAACAAATCTATAGTTCGTTTCCTCTCAGGATATCATCATCGTCCGGGAACATCCCCATACGACAGAACACCGTCAACGATTGACAATGATTTGACAGATTCAGCAATCTCTCTGTATGTAAGATTACATCGTTTCTTATTTTGGTAACATGACATACTGACATATGAATCATCAACTTTTTCAACAGAATTTAGCAGCATAGTCACATGGCGACTTTCAGAACATATGGACCGATGCCAAAGGGTCAAATGCTTTTTTGTATTACGCAATATACAGTATACAATCTTATCTATATATACTTATTGGTAATTGCATTCTTAGTAATTGCATTCAAGAAAAAAATAACAGCTTTAAGGAGACAAAAATTATACTACAGATTCTAGTGTTTTATAGCTAGATTTCACGTTCCACACACGCAGTGTCTTTCAGTATTTGAGAGTTATGCTTTAATTTAATCAGGTCTCGAATCGACGTCGGGTTTAGAGGTTTTTCAAAAATGCGTTAAGTATCAGGTCGATTTTTCCAGCAAAGATCTTCCAAGGTTGTCTAATGTGCGAAATATTAGTTGAGGATTATCTTCCTAGCAAGGTTTGTGGGTGAGGCATGTATACCAAGCACCAACCCACGGGAACGGGAGAGTTTCTTGTGTCTTCGTTCTCGTGAAGACGTCAACGGAACCTCGAGGCTACCATAATTGATCGATCACGGGAAAAAAGCATTCAAAAGTCAGACAATAATTGCAATTATCCCGGCATCTTAAGAATTTTATACTTCCTTAAAAATGAAGCAATTCCCAGTATTGAGAAATTCCCATTATTATCAAACGTCAAGCGCATTGCGTAAACGGAAGATATATTAAAATAAAACATCGATAATGGAGGCCTTGGATGGGCGATTTCTAAAAACAACTCGAGTTCCCACTGGGTCTTATAGAATATTATAAAAATAAACACAGTTATTGCTTCCTAGCTAAGACATATGACATACATTTAAAATACTAAATTGCTTTTCTCATTCAAATTTCTGTCGACAACGAAGTATGTTTCTCACATTACTATCTCAGCAGACATTTAGATTCTACAAATAGACTTTGTTATTGCGACAATGACGGCAGCCATTACGTACGACGCGTGACTGCGTGAGCCATGCAGTCATGGATTTTCTTCAGTTAGTATCAAGCCATCTTTCTATAGCTAGCTCTTACACCACTCAAGGAATAAAAAAAGAAACTAGATCAATGAATGATTCTCGAAAAGATTAACTTAAAATTAGGTGGAGTTCTTACAAAGGCTCCCTGAGACCCTGACCTAAGCTTAAAAGGTTAAAGGTGATGATATTTGGGTGTTTCAACCATCTACTCACTCTTCACGCAAGAGTTCCCCAGCTTGCAATCCTCGTGTATTTGTGGCCCTGCGTGTCGGTTTTCAATTATACCATTCACTGCGAGGAATCTGTGATTTGATTCTTACGATATACCTCGCGCAGCTGACAAGAACGTCTATCCCCATCTCTGTTGAATCAAAGATATTCTCTAAAATCTGATGACAACTAATCAGATACGTGATTTTATTTCGTCTATTCTGATAGCAACGACTGAAATAATTATTTTCAGCTGCAGGTTCTGCCGGTGACAAACGGGAAAGCTCATTTCCGATCTTAACTTATCAGACTGAAAAAGAACAGGTGGATTCTTCGCCTGCTAAATTAATCGCCAAAAATCTAATTATAAAATAGTATTTCAAGATCTAGGAGAGAGATTTTTATCGTTGGCACGACATGCACATATCACATCCCACGTTCCTCAATTTCCCATGAGCAAAGTCTCTGTAGCTTACACCACGTTCACGCCAGCAATTTTTCGTACGATTTTCTCCCTTTGGTAGATGTAAACAAGTGAATAGTAACGAATTATCTGATGTATAAGAGTCTTATTCGAACATCCGTAACTTGTCCACTCGTTAACATCTATCACAAGAAGAAAACCAGCAAAGCTTGCACGTGTAAATTGTAAACCTAGAAACGGAACTCCGGAAGCCTAGAAACGTTGGTTTGAATTCCGTCGTAGGTCTGAGTGGCACTTTCTTAACGATCCCTTTTGGCATTTTTAAACGTATATTTCTACCCTCGATTTTTTAACTCTTCGTATTGAAAACGCCAAGTCGTATGATCCTCTGTTTACTAGACCGCATGCACAATTGTTAATTCGCTCTGTGTGATTTAGGTTCAAAGTTGACAGGTAATTCTGTAAAATTGTTTATTGTTTTTCTGTTCCAAAATGCCTTATAAGTACATGGGGCCATGGGGAGCGCAAATCATTCATCACGCATAGACATCGAATCAACATCTCGTGCGCGCTCCCTGTGGGGACTGTTATTCACCTTACAAAAAGGGATCTTACCTGTAACATGAGATATGGTTGCGAGGCATTGTACACACACTTCTGTACACTAAGGTGTGCCTGACACTTCTGTACACTAGGGTGTGTGCGTGACACTTTTGTACACTAGGGTCTGCGTGCGTCTGGCAATTAACACGACAGCGCAAGGTGGGAGAAAGTGGAACTCTTCGGATAATATTTTGTAGATTATAACTTTATATATAGATTGACAGGGCATTATCTGTCCTTAAGATGACTAAAATATAGTCCACATGTACGTATAGTGTGATTAAACTACCGCCACTCTACCAGGTGTTATATTTTCAAGAAAGACACTGGGTGGCCTAATATAATTGAATAAAAACAGTTTCTCAAAACTTCTTTGTGTATCCATCTAATCATTGACGCCTGTAACAATACTCAAGTAGACGTGACTCAAACAATTGTGTATCACTGAATATTTGTTGACATAAGACGCTGATATTGCTTCGGTTGTAAGCCTGGTGCTTGAGACAAGTTTCGCATTGTCGTAGTTGAATTCATAAAGCTAGAATTTAAGAACGTTGTAAACTTTACCTGCAAAACGCAAAGTTTCAAATCAAATCTTGAAAATCTGCGACGTGGCAAGTATTCTGTGAACTGCACGTTTTGATTACATTGCTCAAACACATGTGTCAACACTTTGTCACCTTAGGACACGGTCGCTATGACCAATAAACAGACATATAGTGTAGATCCATTTCATAAACATAGCGACAAAATACTGCTTCTCTTTCCTTTCCAGTTTTGAAAACAAAGCCAGTTATAAGATTGAGAATATATTCAAACTTATGCGGTCTAGGGAAAAAAACCCAGACAATTCTCCAGCCTGATTTTCAATCCAACTTTTTTATTTTTGAACTTTTCCTTGAATGACCTAGTTCATGGGATTGTGCCCGGCTGGGGGAGGGAAGATATTGATTGAGAAAGATGAAGAAGGCCGCTAGAAACAGGAACTGAAAGGGAGACGAAATTATTTACCCCTTGAATTCGTTCTTTTTTAAATGTATTCTATCAAGTTCTCTGTATCGTTGTAGGCAAAATTCCATGCATACGTGCTCAGATAAAAAATTGCTCTCTAGTACTCAGTACTGTAGACGTTCTTGACTGATTTACCCTGAAACTACGAAAGAAATAAAATGCTAGGTTCTCGTACAAAATGAAATTATTGTATCAAGACAATTCATCTGCGATGTATCTTATAGTTTATCTTCTTTTTTTTTCAGGCGATATTAAAATTAAAAGGATAACGAAATAGCAGGTGCTGTTGAGAACTCAAAAAGTATCGAATGACTTGGCAATCTGATGCTGAGGTAAGACATTCCCGGCCCTCGTTGGATCACTTTACGCATGATTTTCACGAATGGTATTTCCTGAAGGTGCAGTCATTTTAGACGACACGCGTTCCGTTATATTTCAATGTTTCACTGCCTCGTTTATAACCCTGGTCCGTCGGAAGCATCTTAATATTCATAAGCTTTGTGCGTCAGATTAAAAAATGTCTAAGTCAATCTTCCGTCCTTTGTTTGCCCAACAGACAATGCGTCTTGATTAGTCCGAGCTCATAGAAAATCATTATCACATACCATGGTCGTTGGATTTTCAACAACACAAAGAATACACTTATCATATGGTGATTCTCTTTGCTTGCAACTATAAACCGTTTCCTTATTCACTAGATAAAAACTAAAAGGTCCTAGTGTTAGGCGTAAGCGAATTATGAGATTTGAGAAACCATAGATATGTCGGAGATTCAAAGAAAGACGCATACATGATTTTTTTTAACTATTTAATAACTTAGTTGTGATAAAGAACACGTAACTAATGCATTTCAGCATGTCGCGCCTTCTTCGTATTTTTACATGATATAAATCTAATAATTTAACAGGAAATATATTATTTATCTTGTACCAGTGTACGGTTCTATATAAGGTTTCTCATGTACATATGCCAATATCATATTTCAATCTGAACCTAAAAGCCAGGCATAAGAGCTATATCTCAAAATTAAGGTTTACACAATAATCTTAGTCATCATAAAGATACAATTCATTCAATATAGCATAATAAATAGTCTCCTAACGCCTTGGCAACAGACAATCGTACACGCCATCCATAGTAACGGCAATCACTGAGCGTATCCAAAGGCGAGTATAATGAAAAGTTAGTTAGGAATTGCCAATACAGGATAAATCAATATAACTATCACGCCAGCCTTTGAATTCAAACGAAGACAAGGCTTTGAGTTTACGAAATCGTCCTTGTGATTTCTTCACCTTTTTCGGAAGTGTTCGTGGACTATCTGTGCTGTCTAGTTGCCTGAGCTCAGCTAGGCTACCCAGGCTGCGCGAAGGACGACGGTTTGAGAGTCTATTCTGTGTTTCGCCGTCTGTCACATGAAACAAAGAAGCGATGTCGCACGACTCTGTTCTAGCCATGCTACGAGGTGTATCATTGTTCATTGTAGCCACGGGTGACACGCTAGGAGATGCCGTACCTTCAGAGACACCACTATCCGTACTCGAAACTGACAGACTTCTCTCCTCTCTGTACTTGCTGAGTGTGAAACTGGACACTAAGTCTTCTGAGATCGCCGTTAGCAGCGCAGTTAACCAGTTATTACGTTCGTCGTTGGAAAAACAACACAAACAAAATGTTTTAAAATAGAAATGTCTGCTAGCCATACGCAGACAATACTTTGGTTTGCTTTTTGTGTCAATATTATCGATATGAACGGAGAGTCTCGTGAGAGGAATCACCCCTAGGGGAGCTCCATCCTTATCTAAAATACTTCGAAAATACAACAATCCATCGTTTCGTAGCACAAAATATCTCGTTTTCCAGTACTTTCTCATCGACCGACTCTGTTTAAAGAGATATCCTTCCCTGTAGATGACTCCAGTATAGTTCGCTCCAGTTGGAATACTGTCCGTCTCGTCTCGATCAAACATCAAATCATGCAAGTGTTCAATGCTTGCTGATAATGTCTTACGAATATCCCTCATTCTCTCTACACACTTCCTCACAATCTTCCTGAGAAAACACAAGCTTCTATATGATCTTTCTTTATGTTTCAATCACGCCACCGTATCGAACCACCTTCACAAACGCTGAAATACTAAATAACACGATCATAAGGTCGGTGATTTTATACCAGCGGATGACGTCATGTGTCAACATCGTCAAGCGTGACCGGAAACCCAACAAGGGGTCGTCAAAATCGTGTTTCAAAGTTTCATGTTGAATTTGATTGTTTTCAGCTTCGTAGACTTGTTAATTGAGTAATTTCGAACCGTTTTTGAATTCAATATCTTCTTCCTTCACTTGCTAAAGATCACTTGAAAGGCATCGCTAATTCACAGCAAAACAGTGAACGTATTTTCCTGGTAATCTAATTCTTACCTCATCAAACAGCGCAAATTAGCCGTTCTTCTGCGAGTCAGAAAATACTCAATGTTCCTTTTTTAATCTTAGCATCTCGAGGCAAACGTATGGAACAATATGATGCAGTTTGAATGCTGATCTTGTTTAAGTTCTAGTTCCTATAGAACAGACAGTTTCAGCGCGGCAGCTGACAGCTGTATACTCGGCCCTCGGGTACGGGCTCCCACTACACTAAGGTCAAGTAAGGCCACTATAGCCAGTATGTGATATATGTTATATACGCTGCTTCAGTTTCAACCTAAGATATTCCCTATACGTGCGCTAGCTATAGGCGCTGTAATTGACTGCTTCAAAGAGAATGTTAATGGCGTATTTTTTCCCGTCATATAAAAGTTCAACTCAGCCGTTTGTCCCTCAGGGGTAATCCTGCTAATTATGATGTCCGCTGTTTTTCCCAATCAGGGCATTTCCGTTAGATTTACGAAGAAAAAGACGCGTACTTTGTACCGTCACCGACGACTGATGATCCGGCACATAATTTGTAGTATAGGGATCGTGAGTAGAGACCTGCTCACCTCCTACACAGCACGAAGACTCGAAAAGTACATCTGTTTGAAGTTACCCTGCCTCACGTTTGATTGCTTAAATTGACTACATCATGCTTTGGTTGTTATTCTTATCAAGAAAACGGAATCTTTTCTTTCAAACGAATGATAATTTGCTGTTTCAAGTGGTTCCTCTTAGCAAAAATGTACAAAATGTGTCAAACAAGAGTTGAAATCTCTCAGTGGCCTACCAAGAGGTTTCTACCAAGTCTTAGTTTTCTTTCATCCTAGCACTAACAATAACATATTTTATTGGCCTTTTCTCAAATATCGTAAATACCTAAGGCGACTTATTTGGTCTGACGCGCAGAAGACGCCCAAATCATGTAAAGGAAGCGTTTGTTTAACTCGTCATCAAACTACAACTTTGCTCTTACGTAAAAAGTGACATCATAAGTTGACAAAAACTCTCATTTAAATGCTTATCTTTCAGCTTTTCGTCAGGACTAACTAACGTTTCCCTAGAATTTACAAAAAATTCACAATATGCCGTCCAACAACTCTCCTAGCTCTCCACTTTCTTAGTTATTAGATCAGTTTGACCCAATAACGACGTTTAACTACGTTTATCGGATTATTTTCTTAATTTTTTTTTATCTTTTCAATTTACGTCTTTTGTGAAGTGTCAGACCTGCAGACGTGCGGTATTATATATTTAGCAGGTATAAACAGCTGCTCATATTCATCCTATGACGATCTTAGCTAAGACGTCAATAATACAAACTGAGGTGGCACTTTCAGCAGAAACAGTTGATATAAGACACGATCCTCGTAGGTATTTGATGTGTTTTTAAAAGCAAATTGTTTTTAGAATATTTTTAGAAGCAAAGTTGAACCGCGCTCTTGAGATAAAGGGTTTCAAAGGTTATATTTTGGCATGATATTTCAAACTTGGGTTTTCAGTATAAACAGTTTTCTTTCCGTAGTTCTCAAAATGATGACATATTTAGACCTAAAACGAGATGTGTAATGCAGCGAATGATTTAACACACGCATTGTCAGCGATTTTTTCCAAGTTCTCTTTATATGACATTGAAAGAAGCCATTCATGAGATATATTAAGAGCATCAACCAGGCAACCACTTCCCCATATTCATCCTTGCCAGGGATATATTTAGCAAGGATAAACAAGGAGAATATCGTGTTGCTGGTGCCAAAGAACTTTTCCGCTAATCGTCTTTATTTTACTATGAGAGAAGCTCACATGTCACTTCATTAGACATTCGTCCGACCCGAATGCGACAATGTGCTGGCAGGAAATCATGGGTCAGGTTTTGTTTTTTTCACACGAGTTGTTTTTAGCAGAGATCTTTATTCCTTTCTTATAACAACAGCGTAACCATTCAGTGCTTTAAAGCCATCAGTAGCATCTTAGCAGTACAGTGTCTATGTGAGATCAGTGGCGAGGAGAACGAGCACGCTAGGGGGCTTGGTGTCCCCCCAAGCTCCCCCCTGTACTATGCACTACTGTACAGTACTGTATATTCGCTAAGCCCCCCCCTGTATAATTATTCAAATTCATCCAAAATGCGTGTACCCACGCAAGAGCCACGCAATGTGCGTGGTTGGAAGCGTAACATGATGTAAAGCCTGGGTACGAGCTTGAGTCATTGTATTAAGGTGGAATGGTGGACTTTGTGATTTGTTTCTCATGATTCATGAAATTCCCATAACTTAGATAGTAAAAGTGACTGGTTCTGGAAGGGGATAATGGAAGACAGTGCTGGTGCTTCTAAGCCAGGCACAAGCAAGCAGAAATCAAAAGGGAATTATTCTGGAGGTGGAAGCCAGGCCCAGGGAGAAGGAAAGTCGAAAGCACAACTAAAGGCAGAAAGAAGAGCAAAACAGGTAAAAAAACCAACTTATGATGGAAACAATCTTTATAGATCAGTCTGTACAATATTATATAGCACTTTAAGTTAGACTAAATATTGTCTTAGTACTCCAATACTTCATCTCATCCTAGTGTTGCATATTTTCATGGTTAAATTAGAGTTTTCTCCAGTAAGTGGCATCTTATGAAGAAGCAATTGTGTGATCCTCTGATCATACGTGACATTGCTATTCTTTTTAGTTACACTTGGAATATGAAGCCTGTGGAAATAGGCTCAGATAGCAATGTACCTTGTGTGATTGGAGAGAATCACCCAACTTGATTGTATTTAGCTCCATTAAATTACTAAATCTGTTGTTAAGGAGGCTCAACGTGCAGCCAAAGGTAAACATCCGAGTGGTCAAACAACTTCAGAGGAACTAAAGCCAGTTAAAGATGTGGTGAAAGATGCAACAAAAGACACAGCAAGTGATTCAACTAAATCAAAAGCAGAACTGAAAGCTGAGAGGAGAGCTAAACAGGTTTGAGATTAACAGCTGAGAATTTGGCTCTTAGGATGGAAGATTCTTAGGGGATCAACTTATGTCCCTGCATGTCAAAATCAGATGGAGAAAAAACTGATCATCACAATTAATCAAACTGTTTTCATAGGAAGCTCAGAGGCTAGCCAAGAGTCAAAAACAAGACACAACCACCAAGACCAAGGGAAATGTTGATGGTAAGATTTAAAACATGCCAAGATCTTAGAAAGAGATGTGGGGAGCCTTTGAAATGGTCATCTAAATCACAACTAACTATTAAATCTCTGTTATATTCTCTATGAAAAGCTGGAAGAGCAGAGATTCGAGTCTTATCAAGTGTTCAAGCTGATAACGAGAAGCTACAAAAGAGAATTGCTAAAAAACTTGCAAAAGAGAATGTCCCACAACGTACATCAGTGCAGAAGAAAGTTGGTCTTTTTTCACATCTTCATCAGTATGAAAGACAGCAAACTTTGACTAAGGAGATTAAGTAAGCTTCAAGATTGCTCTATCTGCAACTAGATTTGAGATATTTTATTTAAGATTTTTATTCATTAATTGATAAGTAAATCTTATGAACTGTTCTAACATTAGTTTATCAAATTATTAAGCTTCAGATCTGGCAGCATCCATCCAGCTATTATAAAACTGGGTCTACAACATGCAGAGGGGATCATTTGTGGCTCAAATGCCAGATGTGTCTCACTTCTAGCAGCCCTAAAACAGGTACATCATGTCACTATTAATATTTCATCTTTAGTACCATCCTTGTATTGACAAATTATACCACATTAGACTGTATTTGACTAAATAGTTCTACTCTTGATGGTACACTAGGTGATTGCTGACTACTCAACACCTCTTCAAAAAGAGTTATCAAGAGACTTGGAAGCTAAACTAAAACCAAATATTACGTGAGTTTGAAGTACCTTAGTCATCTTATTTTAACATCTTTTTGTATCTATATGAAAATGGTGTGCATTTTTTCATGTTTTCTTTTTATATTTAGGTTTCTGACACAATGTCGTCCGCTCTCGGTCAGCATGGGAAATGCAATTAAATACCTTAAGCTGCAGATTACGCAAACACCACCTAGCATGTCTGAAAAACAGGTATATGATAATTCCATACCGTAGCCAATAAGTCGTGCACTGCGGCCAGTTGTATAAAGGTTGGTCCAGCTTCTGTACAACCAGGCTCTGATGTTAAAATGATAGTGGATATATTGTACCACTTTTGTTCCTGAGCATGTATGACTGGACTCACTAAATCGATGATTAAAAGATAATCATGGTTTTGTCTAATAGCTAAACTCTCTTCCATTTTTTAGGCAAAGGCAAATTTGATAGAGAAGGTTGACAAGTTCATCAAAGAGAAAATATTTCTTGCTGGTGAAGCAATTTCTAAAACCTACTCCATTCAGAAAGTCCATGATGGTGATGTCATTATGACATATGCCTGGTAAGATTCATGTGTACGACGTGGTAAAGCGTTTGTTTTCTACCTCACCATCATTCAATTTAAATATTTCAGTTCATCTCTGATCACAAAGATTTTAAAAGATGCGTTTCACAGTGGAAAGAAATTCAGGGTTATAGTTGTAGATTCAAGACCAAAGAATGAGGGTAAGAGATTATAAGCTGACCAGATACACAACTGTCTCTTTTCATTAACCTGGCTGTTCCTCTGAAGTTAATTTTTAAAAAAAAATTTTTGCAGGAATTCACTGTCTTAAACAATTGTTGAAACATGGCATAAAGTGCTCATATGCACAAATAACATCATTGGCTTATCTCATGAAAGAGGTAAATATTTTAAAGTTCACATTGGATACCTTTAGACATGTGTGTTAACCACTATGTTCATCTAGGAGCATGACATTGTAAATCTAAGGTGAAAACACATCAGTACTAATATTTTCTTTTCTTCTTTTATTTTCTACAATGTAAGGTTTCAAAAGTATTCCTTGGTGCTCATGCTCTGTTAGCTAACGGTTGTGTGATGTCCAGAGTTGGTTCAGCTATGGTAAGCTTGGTAGCAAAGAGATCCAATGTTCCTGTTCTGGTCTGTTGTGAGACTTACAAGTTTTGCGATCGAGTACAGACAGATGCATTTGTGTTCAACGAACTAGGTAAGTCATAAAACTACTTTGTGTTGCTTCGAATGTTGACAGTAGAATTCAATGTACCAACTACATTTATTGGCTGGCATTAGTTTTTATAATTGCTTGGCCAAATTTATCACCTAAAAATATGCTTGCATAAATGCATGGCAATGTTATACAGTTGCAGTGGTTAAAGGTTGCTATAGATTTTGGAATTGTTAATGCTACTGCATCGAGATTCAGTCCTGAATAAAGAAGATAGCAAAGCTCTGAATACAGAAACTAGAAATCATAGTTTCTTTTGTAATATCTTATTCACCCAAGGTGATCCTGACGATCTTATTCCAGACCGGAATGCAGTTGGGTCAGAGACACTTCAAAACTGGCGACAACTAGACTCGCTCAATCTCCTAAATTTAGTATATGATGTCACTCCTTCTGACTTTGTTTCCATGGTGATAACAGAAATTGGAATGATTCCTTGCACTTCTGTACCAGTCGTATTACGGGTAAAAAATGTGGAATATCAGTAGACGTCAGGTTATAATACTTTAATCTCACATTTTTCCTTATTCAACCCTTGGAATATTTTTCTCTTTTCAAACACTTATGAAACATGACATGAAAATATTGGTATTTACACTTGCTTTGAATTCTGCTATGCTATCGATTTTGTTTATCACAGAACCTCAGGTTGTTTTTTTTGTTCAGAGTTTGACAACTTTCAGCTAAACTGACTTTATTATTTATTTTTAAAACAATATGAATAGAAAATTTGATGTTTTTCCAAAGAATGCCTAATGCAATTTTTCATACATGCTTTACACTATAACTATCCAAATTTCTAATAATCTTTATTTCTTTTTTGCTTTTTTGGCAGCAAGCCTTGAGTTGTGAAGATTAATTAATTCTTGCATTTCATGTTCAAAGTCTGTACTTGAGACTTTAGTATGTTTAGAGATGGCTGCAGTCTTATCTTCCTTGGAAGCTGTTTCTGGATTTTTTGAGGTGGATGATTTTTTTCTTTTCGTGTTGGTTCCATGTGATCTATGGAGACTCTTTGCTTTCGTTGGTGTTGTCTGATCTGAGTGGGACTTTGGCTGAAACAGTGATGAACATGCATCTCTTTGAATGCTGAATATGTACTGAATCAGGGTAGGCTGAAGGGCTGGTGAATGGTATGATGTAAGTATTGCCTACCTTTGATGTTGGTGTAACAACAGTGGTGTTTCCTCTTCGTATTCGTCGACCATTCAAATCATACTCTGATTTTTCAGCATGTTTCATCCGAACACGATTGTTGTGCTTTTCAATTAATTCTTGCAACTCCATGTCTGTTTCAATCGACTGAATCTCTTTACTAGTACCCGCTGGTTTTATATTTTCCTTCTAAATAATATAAACAGGTTTTACTCCAGTATGTAGATAAAATCTATAATGTTAGTCAATTGAACATTGTTTTATATACATAAGATTCATAGCCTAACCCACTACCATGTGCAAACATACCCGTGATGGTTTCACTGGCGTTGTAGTCTTCCTTGTCTTTCTACCATTTAAATCATATTCTGATCGTTTGCTGAGGATTTTTCTATTGTGCTGCTCAATAATCATCTTTATCTCTTCATCCAAAATATCATCATTTTTGTTTTTCATTGCATTTTCATTCTAGACAAAAGCATTCACCATGATTCTTTACTTCACAGTTTTTCACTTAATACCAATTAAAAAAAGGTCAAATTTAATTTCTTGGCTTTACCCATGCAGGACGTTGCAATCTTTGTGGACAAGAGCGTCTTGCTGTCTTCAAAACTTTGTTTTTCACTGGATATTTCTTCAATGGTGAGGTGACTGCTGCAGGCGAAGCAGAAACACCTGCGCTGCTTCTTGATGGTAATTCAGAGTTCTTTTTTGATAGACTATTGGAACTGCTTCTTTGTGGCTGTAAATCTAGAATAATGAAAGTTGGTATATGAATGCAATATATCACTATCTATTTTGGAAATCATTTCTATTTGGAAATTACCTTTCGGTATACTTGACAATGGCTGTGGTGAAAAGCTGAATGAGCTTTCTCCTTTCAGCTGCCAACATTTCCGAGGCCTTTTAACACTTTTATCTCCTTGTAAACTGCTGGTTTCACCAATACTGTTGTGATCTTTATCTACTAGGCACTCAGAATCTCCCACATTAGAGGAGGATTTACCAATAAGATCACTCTTACCACCAGCCAGACTGGATTTTCCTGTTGGTAAGCTACATTTGCCAATTTTTTTATCACTTGATAACTTTGAGCTCTCAAAACCGAGCTGGGCAGTTTTTCGCAAAACTGGTTTCTTTTCGGGCGAGTTAACATGGGGTGAGTGAGATGGGTGAACTTTCTGAAACCACCAATCATACTGATCACTGAGGAAAAATGTCAGATCAGACAATTAATATCGTACATCACTGTATTCAATGAATATTGATACAAGTCATAACAACACATTGATTGTACAGAAATTATTTATTATGATACAAACACATAGTAGGAACGCAGTTAACACACAGTAGGAATCTATAATTCGCCAAATTGGGTATAAATATTACTCGTTTTAAGTTCTTAAAAATCCAATCGAAATCTCACCATCTCTTTCATTTTCTCTATTTGGTCTCGTTCGCTTTCAAAGTCGATCCACTGCGGAGCATCAAACTCAAAATCCCCATCAAAACTACGCTCTTCGGTCAGTTTTAGCGCCATTTTCCTTTCCTCAGATCAAATATGATATCATATGTTGTTTATTTATACATTTTCTGTTCAAAAATGATTATTTTTGTGTGAAAAAAAATCCGAAGATTTTGGAAATTTAAATTTTGCCGCTTTGTTGAAACACAAAAATTACTAGTGCCAGCACCCGTGCACTGCCTCGGTCACTTCAAAATTTGGACCAAACTACCAAAGCTTCCTCGGGTAGGCGGGAATTTTTGCGTCTAAAATGCAATTCTAAATTACCATTTTAATTTAAAACCTTCCTAAATTACTGCAGTACTGCTAAGTGTTCATGTCGAGGCAAACTAAAGGTCGTACTTGGCGTCAAAGACAAAAGAGACGACTAAAAGGAGCCAAGATAATCTCACTCTCTCAGAAACCAGAGTATATTGAATTGTTTCAATGGGCTAAGGAGAATGGTGTTGTATTTCATAAAATGCGACCTGCCATCTTCCCTGGTACTGGTAGAGGGTTAATGGCTACACGACAGATAAATGATGGTGATTTGTTGATATCAGTTCCAAGAAGATTGTTGATTACTGGGGATGTGCTGAGGTCTGATTGAAAAGTTAGATTGAAAATCATTACTTTGTAGGATCAAAATATACTCAAACATCTTCAAAATATTTCAGGAATTACTATACTGATGGAATAAGTCAAGTGAAAAGACCAAACCTCACTACCATTGATCTGCTTTGTCTCTTTCTCATTGTGGAGAAGTCCCTTGGTAACAAATCATTCTGGTCACCATATGTTACCATGCTGCCGTCACAGTACAATACCCCTGCATATTTTAACCATCATGAATTAAGTCATGCGCCAAAATTCTTTATGGAACATGGTCAAGCTCAGTTGAAGAGCATTAGGGAATGTTACTTGTCGTTAAAGCAATTTATTTCAGATGAGATGAAGAAAAATAGTGTGGAATTATCATTCAATGATGTGAGATGGGCCTGGAATGCTGTTAATACAAGATGTGTATACTTGTGTGGAGAATCAAAGTTTGGTCTTTCTAACCAAGGAGAAATGGCCTGTTGTTTAGCACCATTACTAGATCTTCTAAACCATTCCTCTGATGTACAGGTAAATAATGCTGCATTAATGAAATATCAGAGCCTGTGATCACCCATCATACTAAATATCAGAGCCAGCTACCAAGGGCCCACACTGGGCAAACCAGCCCACCTTATCTAACCAGGGTCTAGCTCCGGATGTGGAGTGTGCCATATTGATTGGAGCATTAATGTTATTGGCAGATGCTATTAAAGGACTCTTACAAAAAGTCTATCAGTCTTTTATGCCAGTGTTGCATGCTTTAAGCTTCTTCTGATTGATATTGAATACCACAAATTCTTATTTGTAAGAAAATAGATATGCAGTGTGTACACAGGTATATGTACTTATAAGCAATTGTTGATTTATGTAGATTCAAGCAGGATATTTTGGGGAGAAACAATGTTATGAGATATATGCTAAAACAAGGGTGAAGAAAGGTGGTCAGGTATTTATAAACTATGGCCCTCATAGCAACAGGAAATTGCTCATCGAGTATGGCTTTATCCTGGCCAACAACTGCCATAGCTCTGTCAAAATTGAGTCAACACTTGTGTATGACACGGCAGCAAAATTTAACAGATGTTTATCAAAAAGGATGTGTGATGTTGTGAGCAAATATAACCTTGAAGCAACATTCTTTTGTTCACTAAATGGGCTGTCCTGGAGCCTAGAGACAGTTTTGAAGCTGCTGTGTTTAGAAGATGATTCAAAAATTGACTTAAAATCTCTATGTATTGAGAGCCTTGAAGTATCAGATGAAAACAGAGTTTTAATGCACATACTGTCCAGAGAAATTTTGAAGTCTATCTTGGATAATTATCAAAAGGATATTGCAAGGATATTATCTGAGAATAGCAATGGTTTGTCTGACAGAATGAGACAGTTGGAAGCATTGTTGAAGGGAGAAATGAATGTTGTAAAAAATGCTTTACTCTCTTTGGATTTAAAAATATGACAAAGATTGTGTTCAACTACTTCAGGCAGAAATATGTTGTTTTACTTCAGTTCACAATTTGACCTGGTAAAAAGTTGTGTTGTGTTATCGTGAATTCCTTCTCAATACTTTCAATCAAGTGTTTATCATCTTCATTGTAGAAATCATCCTTGTATGATCCTTCTTCACCATTATCACTGGGGCTATAGGAAGGAAATCACAGTACAGTGATTTAGGTATTCTGTCTAAGATAGCCAATGTGGCTAATAACTCATCCTACTAACCTCTACAGACTAACAGGAAAAAGCGTTTGACTCAGGTTTAAGCGTAGAGGCACTGCAATGACTCCTGGAATCAATCATGAAGATAAATTCTACAAAATACCTGTTCAGTTTTTGAACTTCCCCTGACAATTTCCTTTTACCATTGTTATTGTCATTATTGTCATCAACATGAATGTTGGCTGCTCTAAATTTCTCCACGTCGATTATTTTTGAAACGTCAAAACTCTCCTCCTGATCACCCTAAAGACATCAATCGCGAGATATCTTTATTGAGGAATCCAACCAAACTCTAGCATGGCTAAACTCTCCTTTAAAGGTCAATGCAAGCGGAAAACACGTCACGTCTTTCATGATCAGATGAAGTTATCTTCCAACAAATATTGTGGTAATCCTAGCAACCATATTACAGCTGACAGACGCTAATCACGCTAGTACAAGGTGACAAACCTCTCTCCAGCATGTCTATAGTTCTGTCATATTCCAAGAAATACATAAACCAGCACTCACCTCTCTGTTAATCTTCACTGGCTGATTTGAAGAGTCGGAATTTGAAATCTCGCTTACAGAATCATCATCTATGATCATTCCGCTGTCTGCTCCGATGAATCTCGACGTTTCATCCACTTCTCTTAACTCGTATTCTCGCTCATAAAAAGGATTATTATCACTACGCTGTATTCTTAAATCTTCGAGAAAATTTGTTTCGTTTCTTGAGCTCTTTTTCCCCCACGCCTGCACTTGATTGAGTTCCTTGGGACGCTGCGATTTTGTTGAAGTATTCTTAACGATAATAGCGTTCTTTGGCTTAGTCGGTTTCGAGATCAAAACTTCCAGTGATACTTGTGAAATGACATCGTTAACCTCGTTGCTTTTTTTATCACTCTCAAAGGTAAGATTGTTTGCTTTATCTGCATTTATAGTTTCATTCAATTTCTCTACATCTGCATTCTCCTTATTATCCCCGGACACTTTTTGAGGTTCCTTCGAATCCTTTCTTTCAGTTGAGGCGCCACAACCCATAGTCAAGCTTCATGTCGACCAGTTCTCGTATGCGTGACAACAAACGTGGTCACAAACTTTCGTCGTCTAGACAAACAACAAAATTTTAATAAAATTTGCTTGAGTTTTGTGTGTTTGATGTTCGAAATTCTAATTGCACTAATAATTAACTGCGTCAGCAAACGCCAAAAGCTCAGAGTTAATGCACACGTAAACACAAGTGAACATTTCTGACAAATTTATTATCCAACCAAATACTGCTTCATTGTGTTTATGGTAAACACCGGATTTCTCTAATTCTTGCAACTTGAAGAAATCTTAACACTGGTTCTCCACTCTTTACCTCTTCCGTTTCGATTGCACTGTGTGATAAGTCAGGTGTATTTTTAAAAAATTTTGCAAATTAACATTTTTATTATATCTAGAAGAAATTTGCATGAAACTTTATTAATGTTCTTTATTTGATTATTTTATGTGTTTGCTTTCAATTTTAACCGTGTTAGGGGAATTACAGAAGTCAAACCTTCGGAAACCACTTGTGCGTCACAGTCAACTTTAAGATTGTGATGTTGTGACAGTTCAACATTGGCAAGTGAACGGTGTTAATTTTCTTGGAGAAAAAGATCTTATTCACAAGTGTACACTTTCTTCAATCAATTAAAGAGAATTACTTCTTATAAAACTATCTTTCTTGTGAGTAAAAAATGGTGGAACATAGAAAGACGTACAATATACGTCCTACAAGGATATGCAAATTAGAATATTTTCCGGTCCATCAAAATGATGTAATAGGAACATGCAATGATGCATTCTCAAATGACGTATCATACAACATCAACCAATCATAGAGCGTTGTATAATTCTTTCGGGGTGGCCTGTGGTATATTAAGGGGCGAAAATCACGCATTCACTTCCCTTGTTCGCTTTCCGCCATTATCGCGTAGTCATTTTAACCTGGCGCAGTTGGTTAGTCTAAACCGTCGTTAATTTTAAGAAAAACAAACAAAAAAAATCAGAAAATACAAGAATTGTTAGCCGAAAACTAACAGAAACAAAAAATAAACCAAAAAAATTGAAAAACCATTGAAAAAGCTAAAAAAATCAAGCTCTGCTGCAACCGAAATCGGAAACGTGTCGCATTTAGTAAAACGAAAGCCGAACTAAAAAGTACAAGATGAATGCTGCAGCTCCAAGTAATTATCCTATGGCTACGCTTTATGTTGGAGATTTAGCTCCTGATGTCAACGAAGCTGTCCTTTTTGACAAATTCAGCCAGACTGGCCCCGTGGTATCGATTCGTGTTTGTCGTGATTTGGCAACTCGACGTTCTTTGGGTTATGCTTATGTCAACTTTCAACAATCAGCTGACGGTATGACGGCGATTTGAGCACTCTTTTTATAAAATTGAACAAGTAATACCCCTAACCTAAATGATGAACTATTCTTCACAACTGTTTGTTTCTTTTTCTAGCTGAAAGAGCGTTGGATACGATGAATTTTGAACCTATAAAGGGGCGGCCATGTCGAATTATGTGGTGTCAACGCGATCCCTCTCTTCGAAGATCTGGCGTTGGGAACATCTTTATCAAAAATCTCGATAAAGGAATCGATAACAAAGCTCTGTACGACACTTTCAGCGCTTTTGGCAACATCCTTTCTTGTAAGATTGCGTTAGATGAGAACGAAGGATCCAAAGGTTTTGGTTATGTTCATTTTGAGACTCAGGAAGCTGCCGATCAAGCTATCGAGAAAGTCAATGGCATGTTGTTGAACGACAAGAAAGTGTGAGTATTGTTTTAGGCCTAGATGTTCTTTTTTTTGGTAAAGCAGTACAAATCTGTGGCCAAATATAGAGTGTATTTTTTAAAGGTAGAGCAAGAGTATTGAGATGTTTGAAAGAATTTTTTACTACACGTGTCATTGTGTGTGATGCAATAGCAGGGAGTGGCCAAAAATAGATTTGTTGTGCTTTGACCCCCAATGTTACAAAAAGCAAAATAAATTACCAAAACAATCTAGCCAGAATACCTTCATAGCAGGCGAAATTGTGTATAATAAACTTAATGATTGTGTCATTAGCATGTTTATTCTGGAACCTGAATTCCAACAGTCAAAAATTAAAGCTGATTCAAAGCTTCCTGACCAAACCATGATATTTTTTGTGCATTTTGTATTTAAATGTTGCTAGTAGAATTTCTGGTAACCGAATCTTCACACTTGACAGGTTTGTCGGCAAATGGATGTCAAGGAAAGAGCGTATTGAGCAACTTGGTGACGCACCGAGGAAATTCACTAATGTTTATGTGAAAAATTTTGGTGACGATTTCTCCGACGAAGATATGAAGAAACTCTTTGAGCCGTTTGGTGAGATCCAGAGCATGAAAGTCATGAGAACTGAAGATGGCAAAAGCAAAGGCTTTGGCTTTGTCAGTTTTGCTGAACCTGATAGTGCTGGCAAGGTATGGTAACCTTTTGGGTAATGGTAATCTATTGAATATCAACCAATATAGCAGTGTTTCTTCTTTGTTAGGCTGTAGAAGAGATCAACGAGAAGGAGATGAACGGGAAGATCTTGTACTGCGGTCGTGCACAGAAGAGATCAGAGCGACAAGCGGAACTTCGTCGTCGCTTCCAGCAGCAGAAGATGGAACGCATCAACCAGTTCCAAGGTGTTAACTTGTACATCAAGAACCTTGAGGAGACCATTGACGACACTCGGTTGAGAAAGGAATTTGAGAACTATGGTACCATCACCAGCGCTAAGGTCATGAGAGATGATAAGGGCAACTCTAAAGGTATGGACATTGTTGAATTTCTGTTGGCAGTAAGCAAATGTTTGTGCAATTTCTTGAAGTTTGTGATATGAATTTCAGGTTTTGGTTTTGTTTGTTTCCAATCTCCGGAGGAAGCAACCAAGGCTGTGACCGAGAAGAACGGTCAGATTGTGATGACCAAACCTTTGTATGTTGCCCTTGCTCAACGCAAGGAGGAGAGACAGGCACAGCTTGCTGCACAACACATGCAGCGTGTTGCTGGTAGAATGATACCACAAGGAACTCAACCTGTTGGGCAAATGTTTACTAGTGGGTTCTATCCTGCCATGGCAACATTCCCACCTGTAAGTAGCTTGATCATCCTATTTTGTATTTCCTTTTATTGGAGTATTTTCTAGCTATTAGCTGCTATGGAAATGTGAGAGCTTAATCTGTTTTCATTTTGCAGGGCCAACGTCCAGCATTGTTTCCACCTCAAGTGGTCCGAACAAGGTTCCCCACCCAGACTGTACGAGGCCAGCCTGGTGCGTACCCAGGCCCAATGGTTAACCGTGCAAGGATGCAGCGAACGCCACGACCTGTCGGTCACAACCAGCAGCAGTCACGAGTTGGACCTGCGGGTGCTGGTGTTCCAGGACGGGTCAACCCTGTGCCTGCTGGACCACGTAACCAAAGGTATCGGCCAGCTGTCAATCAACCTGGTGCGGGACAGCAACCTCCAGCTAATGCTGCTAACGCTGCTCAAACTGGCATTGCTATACCTGTAAGTAAAGCTATGAACTTCATTCAAAATTGTACATGAATAAACCCAATGTATTTATCAATAGTTATTGCATTTTAACAACACATGTGTGTGTTTAGGGTCAAGAAGTGCTCAATCCATCAGTGCTGGCACAGGCATCAGCTGCTGATCAGAAGCAGATGTTGGGAGAGCGTCTCTTCCCTCTCATTCAAACAACCCACCCTGATCTGGCTGGCAAGATCACTGGCATGTTGTTGGAGATTGACAATGCAGAGTTGCTGCATATGTTGGAGTTCCGTGATGCACTCTCTGCCAAGGTTGATGAAGCGGTCAATGTCCTCCATGCTCATCAAGCTCGTGAACAGACACCACAAGAACCAAAGAAGTAATTTGTCAAGAGAACATTGAAGAAAAATAAACATGGACACGACGTATTATTATGTTTTTCCTATTGTTTTAAAACTCCTATTTGTTAAAAGGAAATTTATCATATTATAAAAACTTTATGTGAAATCTTATTGTTTCTTGTGTTCATTACTCTGTCTGCATTCTGAAAACATGGGATGGGATTGTGAATGTGAAAACTTGTTCTCATATGCATTTAAAAACTGTTTCTTATCATTTTCCTAATTTAGATGCAAAACAGTGATTTCAAACTAAATTCTTAGTGTTCTGGATTAATTGAGTGATAACATTTGCTACAATCATTACACAAAAAAGTCAAAGTGAGTGAATTTAAAACTGGATTTTCGCATTTCCTGTTTGGCTTTAATTAAATAAGCTGCCGCTCTTCTGGGGTTAACAAATAATATATTCCTAAAATTATTTGAATATTAATTTGTATAGAGTTTTGAACAAAGACGCTTGTTAGCGCCATTAACGAGGTCGTTAATTTCAATTTGTTGAATAATTAGCGTCCTTTTGGTCAACGCGGGAAAATACCCCGCGGGTTTTTGCAGGCGCAGTTCCTGGGTCTCGATGGCTTGCGGCATGCGCTACATTCTGATTGGTTGTTAGAAGGACATTCTCGTATTTGATTGGCTGACAACTTTGGCGGCGGTTTACGATGTCGTGATGAGGCAAATTTTAAAACTTGGATTCAACTCATTCAAGCAATTTACGTTCCAACAGAGAAGTGGTTGCTAAAAATTTGTCCTTTTTGCTGTTTTCTAAGTGTTTTCAAAACCATATCTTGGCATACGAGAGTTTATTTATCGTAGAATGGCAGAAGGAGGTTTTGCGGGTGAAACACGCGGCCTTTCTCGATCTTTGGAGAAAATGTGCATGAACACGCCAGTCGGAAAGAAGGCATCGAAACGCAATGCCGACTTGGAAAACTATTCATCGGCACCGTTGAGCCCTCCACAGACTGTTGACATAAAGCAGAAGCGAGAAAGAAGTGAATCGTTGATGTTATGTCAAACAAACCATTTGTTGGCTACAAAGCGAAGGTTACGAAGCCGATCCAGGCTTGGATTGGGACCTGAGGAAATACCTTCAGCGTTCATGAGTCCGCCTTGCAGCAATAAACCTCGAGAACGAACCCACAGCCGATCTCAAAGCCAGAATGAAAGATTGTTTGGTTATCCTGAAGACTTTGCCAAGCATTTACCGTTTAATGTCGAGGCTAGCTCGGTTTATATGACCCCATGCACACAACCAAGGAAACCATTGCAAAGTAAAGATATGAACACACTAAAAGAATCTGAAAATTTCTCGATAAATGAAGGTCGTTTAAGCGCAAATATCGACTATCCAAGCGATGAAAGTAGTGATGAAGATACATGCTCAGGTCTAGAAGATAACACTAGACTCAAGCTGAATTTTGACCAGTGTGCTTCTGATGGCAAGATGGAGGGAAACCAGGGTAGCACACCTTACCCTTTCAAGATCATTGGTAGACGTATGATGGAAAAGAAAACAGATTTTATTAAAGAACTTGTAAATATGAATTGCGAGGAGATTTGCAAGCAGATCTTCAGCTATTTGGAGCCACGGGATCTGCAAAGGTGAATTCTGGCTTGGTAGCATACTAGCCTTTTTGTCATATTTTGTAAATGCAGATGTAAGGGAATATAATCTCACCAGGGTGAATTTTAATGCCAAGTTAACTTGTATTTCAGGGTTGCTTCTGTGTCAAAGCTGTGGAGGAAAATTTGTAAGAAAGATCGGATCGCCTCACCAAGACTTGATCAGTTCATTTCTGGTCGAATGCAACATGTGATGCGCAAAGGAAAGGTGTGTATTTGCTTATCTTGGATCCATATGCAGGTTGCCTGAATTATTTGAAGGTAACTTTGTCTATCAAAAGAGAAAATGATGTTTATAATTTATTTTTAGGAAAATCTTGGCCATCACACTAAGTTCGATTATTCCGTTCCACAACGGACACCATTTTCAGTGAAGGACCATAACACAATATGGACTCCAGAAGATAAACAATCAACTGCGGGAATTGGGGCAGTGAAAACTAACATAATGTCAACATTTGAACGCATGAAATGTCCCATGTGTGGTTCACCTTCGAGAAAGACTGACAACAACACGTGTGAGTGTGCTGAATGCCAAGAAATCTTTTGTGCCTTATGCCAGAAAAAAGTTGATAAAAATCACAAAACAGGCAAGTGTCAGATGAAAATAAACAATGTGAAAAAGAGAAAACAGGCTATTGGATCAAAAAAGAGCAAAGATCGACTAAAAAGATTCTAGTTATATCTATTTGCAATTAACTTTATGTTAGTGTAGGTAGGAATATTTAAAAATATTATTTAGCTGTACTGTAGGTAGAATTATAGTTATATTTTTGTAGTTATATTTAAAATTTGCCAAACAAAATTAACTGTCATCGTTCAGATGTGTAGCATACACCCTGATTTAGGAGTCACAGAATGCTTGAATGGTGAAATATTCTTTTAGAACCTGGTGAATTTGTTGAACATTTGTCTATAAAATCCATACTATTATTTTATACAAGCAACTATTAGCATCCTGCAATTTCTAAATCAGTGTGTGTGAAGTGGTTAGTCTCCTAGTTTCATATCAATTTTTAGTATCATGGGGTTTATTTATTAACATTTTGTATATTTGTATGTAAAATGATGTATATATTGTATATAATATTACATACTGCTTTTGCAACAACAGTAATATGGCCTTTGCTTTCAAATACATTTCATAAAGATCAACAAATGTGTCAGTTCCATGTTGGGTAAAAATTATAGTTAACTCATAATATTATACAGGCAATTAGCCTGAATAATTCATTACCTAGCAATCAAGGTTTCTCTAAATAGGACAATTTACTTTTTATCTTAAAACCTTTATTTTTATATCCATCTGTGAAGTTTCTCTCAACAAAATCCACATTTTGTTCCAATATTGTTACATTAACTGCGCCTCATCCCGCGCTGAATATTTTAGCCAATCAGCGCTCAACAAATAAGAAACCGTTCAGGCATTCTGCAGTACTTTTTCGATCATTTTTTGTTGTTTTTTTTTATCAAACCCGTCGAAATTTTGTGGTTATGTTCAGTTATAGCTGTTGAAATTTAGTACATTTCAAGTAATATTTAAAAATTGTTTAAATAAAAAAATTGATTTTTTCTTAGGTCCGCGACTAGTCCCAGTTCCTTCCCGCCAAAAACACTTTCAAAGTCATGAAAATTGAAGGCAACGAGAAAGTAAAACGTAATTGTTGGGCTCGTTTTTCATCCACTTTATGAGACTAAAAAACTGGAATACTTCAAGAATATCACGCTACTCAGACAGAAAATATGGCGACAGTTGACCAGGTGTCGTTCTGCCTGTTCTGCAAACGTTTTTCGCCTGTATTTCAGCCAAAGATATTAACAACATTTTCATCCAAAGGATACTACAAACGCGACTTAAGAAGTAAGTTTTACTTTCATTTAGGCTTATAGTATGCCTATTTAAACAATTTATTTCAATGGAGACATTGTTCTATGACCTTTCTTCATATTCCCTCAACTTTACACCATGACTAATAGTATAAAATTATTAGTTTGCAGACTACGTTTCCCAATTTAATATCTTATATGCCAGGACCTAATTGATAGATACGCTTCTACCTTGTTTTTAAGGTTCTACCTAGTTTTGCATGAAGATATTGTTTAATTTTTAATTAACAATACTACAAATTACAATTAAATAAGGTTCGATGATTAATGATATGCATAGTGTGGAATTCCTATGCTAAACTATTTATTCTACAAAAACTCATTTCAAAATTATTCAATTGAGTTATGATCTCAAACACTGCACCTTACAAAAATAAAAAACAAACTACAAATTTCGGAAGTCTTCAAGTTTGAAACTGGATTAACCAATTATTAATGGTGCGTAATATTATTGAACTTTTAGCATGGAGCTTCATTACGGAGTAAATTATCATCGGATGCTGCGGAAATCAAACTCAATCTTCTGCCATTTTCATCATTTGTTTCATGATCAGATCCACCATCAAGTAAGTCATCATCATCATCTTCATCATGATTAGGTAGAGATCTGTACATACTTCGCGATCCTGCTGTTGTATTCCTTCTACGTCTCCTAAACATTCATTAGTAATTATGAATGTAGTTTCAGTCACAGAATATTTGTGAGTGATAATCTGATATGAATATAGAAGCTATATTCTGCTTCAACAACTGTAGCCTGCAAGTTAGGGTTCTTTTATCTTGGATGGAAGGATGGAAGAGTCAACCTCGTTAATCCTTTTCATTCTTCAAGCTAAAAGCTGGCTCACAGGGTACATCAATTAATAAAAAATCAATCACGAAATTGTCAACTTACCATCTCCAAAACAGAACACCAACCAGTATAATTACAGCAATGCCACCAGCAACCACACCAATAATTAAGTGTGTTTTACCAGCATCACTTGCGTCTCCTGTTTTAAAAATGAAATACATGAGTTCATGCAGTCTTGTGCATGGATCATAGCTCATAATTCTTCATTCACATTCATGCATGCTCAATTCTATGATGAGTTACATTCTATACATACAATTTTGACGAATTTGGCTGTTGAAAGGCATTCCAGGCACGGGATGCCAAAGGCATAGAGGGGACAAATAACAGGGGCCTCCTCAATGCTGGTCAATTTCATCTGGGGCCCACCTTTGGTTCCTACCGACTTTTGATAATCATAATGGTTTATAATTACCAGTGCGGTGTCCACTGTGGGCACCATGCGTAGTGTTGACACGAGGTGTAGTGTGCAGTGCAGGACCATGTTTTGGAAAGATTTCAGTTTTAACTTCAGCAGTGAGAGCTGGTATCCCTTGATCCTTTGCTACAACAGTTAGTAGGTAAACCACATCACAACAATCTAAATGTCCGATAACTTTCAATATTCCACCATCAGGTGTAATTGAAAAAACTCCGTAATCTAAAAGTAAGAAAATACGAAAATACTCGATATAGTTTTTCTGTTAAAAACTTCATAACAACTGGGACTGATTGTACAATGAGGCTGGATAGCGTTATTCACGGGGTAGTGAAATTACAGCTTTGGAGCAAACAATTTTTAAAGAATTGTTGTATATATTCATTCAGATGCGGCCCTGATCAGAAATGTGTCTTCGCCACTTAAGGCTGCCTAGAGGGGACAGTTTGAGCACTCCAGTTTCCCTACAGGAGGTCCGAGGACAAAAAAATTTCAATATCACTGAATCAAAACACGAACCCTCTTTCAGATAGTATTTGACGATTCCGTTTTGTCCTTGGTCGTCATCGTGAGCGTAATAATAACCAATTTCTTGTTTCCCCTTGACCTTGCCCTGCAAAAGCAAGAAGGAAATGTCGCTGAAAGAAATTGCAATAAAATGCTTCCAATGGAAGATTTCATGCTGGCAAGTTAACTGAGCTGGCGTTTCGTTTCCAATCTATTAAGACGGAAGTCTTAATGGTATTAATATACAGCATTTTGTACTAAAATGATTGTGTAAAAGTCAGAATTACCACATCAACTGTGATGTTCCTTTCATAATGTTTGAAAACTGGTCTGTGGTCATTAACATCTGTAACATTGACGTTGACGGTTGTTTCAGTGGATCCTCCGCTCTTACTGGCATATGCCACTCTGACAGCAAACGTATACGCTTTTTGTGTCTCGTAGTCTAACTTCCGAGCTAATGTTATCTGTCCATTATCTTTGTTGATTTTGAAATTCACGAGATTACCAATTATAGAGTACACCAACGAAACATTAGGGTCACTGAATGCTTCAACTTTTACAACCTAAATGACATGGAAAACGGTAATGGAAGTGGAGAATAAAGAACACATACTACTCTATGGAAACAAGGATGTCGGACTCTAATCCCAAAGGATATGGTTATTCCTATCAGTGCGTTGTGTAACTTGTGAATATTGTCTTTGATAGAGTGGGTGCCTACCTTTGAATTAACTTTAGCATTTTCAGGTATTCTAACATCATACTTTGTTTCCTTGAAATAAAGTTTGTTTTTTTCTCGTGTCTTGACCTCAATGGTGACGGAAGCTGTGTTGTCATCGTCATCCTTTTGTTGATCATCACCTTCATACTTTGCTACGATCTCCAGCTTGTATTCAAACTTTGTGAGTTCACCAGCTGTACTTATCCTACCTTTTTGAGTGTCTATCTTAAACACACCATCGTCACTGCTACTTTTTATGAAGTACCGAATCTTCTTACGGTCGCGGCCGTCAGGATCGTAAGCTTGAACGGTTAGGATAAAAGTCCCACTAGGTGATCCCTTTATCACCGTACCCTCGTACGCTTTACGGAAAAATATAGGATTCTTGTTCGTGTCATTCTTCCCGCCGCCTGATGTGAAGTCAACTTCTATAACGACTGTCACAAATGTAAACCTCGGTGGCTTGCCCTGGTCTGTGGCTTTTACGCTCAATCTGTACCTAGGACACAGAAATAAAAGAAGGCACATCATGGCTTTCTGGCCATCTCTTGAATTCATGGATCAGTACACGCAAGACTACAAGGCATTTTTAGAACGTTATAAGAAAACTCTTGTAACCAACTGATCCATGCAGTCCAGGTGTCTGAAATGGCGGGAAAGAACTAGTACTATTACTAGTTAGTATAATTTCAGTATTGAAAAATGGCCTTTGAGCATTCTGATTGGCTCCCTCAGCAGTAACTATGAGGCAATAGTTACTGCTCAGAGCAGTCTGAGCAGTAACTATTGCTTTTCCCCAAAAAAACATGGCTGAAAATACTCAAAATCAAAATTATATTCATAAAATAAACACGTGTATCAGTTGTATTTATAAATAAAACTTTTTCAATACTGAAATTATACTAAAACAATTAGTCGCCTCAGGCTCGGTGATTACAAACCTATATTCACTTCGCCTTCGGCTCAGTAAATATAGGCTTTTAATCACCTCGCCTTCGGCGACTAATTGTTAATTGTCATATAAAAATCCATTTCTCGGTTGAAACAACTTAATATCTCGTAAAATATACTTTATTTCGGTTTCAAATTTATACCAGAGCTATAGTTCTTATAACTAAACATAATCACAAAATTTCGAATGGTTCCATCAAGGATAACAAAAGATATGATCGATTAAACACTGCAGAATGGATTTCTATTTTCACAAACTTTCTGAGCGCTGATTGGCTGAAATATGAGCGCGAGATCACCTGACGTTGCAGTGAAATGCCACAAGTTCAACTTACTCTGATTCGGTCAGTTTTTCGTCTTTTTTCAGCGATATCACCCCCAGGTCTTTTACAATATGAAAGATGTAACTTTGTTGCGTGTAGGCCAACGTGTACGTGATCTTTCCATTTTCCTCGGCATCATCATCCGTTGCTCTTACTTGAATTATATCTATGCCAGGTTTTAAAGTATTTGGGACCTTGATCTTATAGATATCTTTATCAAATACTGGTAAATTATCATTGGCGTCCAGGATTTCAACATGAATCGTTGTGGTAGCTGGTTTTGCGTCCAAATATTCAATATTTCTACAAGTGATTTTCAAATCGTATTTTGGCGTTGTTTCTCGGTCAAGTTTTGAGAGATTTGCTTTAAGTTTGTAGTAGTCGCCAGCACCATAGTAACCATAGTCGTGTGTTACAGAAAAGGTATTGTTCAAGTTACCTAACGATGGTAAAAAAGAGATATCAAATTCGACTTCCTATCCTGCAAACGAAAACTATGCACAGTATAAACTTCGAGACTATAAAGCCCGTTGAATCAATGATTTTTTAACCGTAGTAAAAATGCGAGAAAGCAGTAAAATCACATTTATCCAAAGACGAAAATTGCGGCGAAAATTGCAGGTGTAAATGGTCTAATAAGCGACAATAGAATCGACAAACCGTCTGAGACAAAGCAGTAGATTCGCGTAAACCACCAGTACCAATACCAGCGATAGTATCCATATTTCTTTATCGTTGCTCCAAACACTAAAGCTTCTATATATCCAGAATTATGTGTCTCATTCTTCTCTGGCAAAAAGTACGTTCTGTTGGAGTAGTCATCATTGAATATTACAGTAGGATCTAAAATGAAGTACTCTCGTTAAGGCATCACACTACTCGGTGTTTTCCCATGCAGTATAACGAGATTACATTGAAAGCTTTCTCTTGAGTGTAGCACTGCATGAGATGCAACTTGGCACTTGTAGGAGCAAGCATTCGGAATATTTTTTTATTGAATAATTTATTTGCTGCTGGGTAGAGTAATAATGAACGTTATTTTCTTATCCCAGATGGATTATGACATGCTACTCTTACCAATTGTCCTCACGTGAACGAATTGTGTTTCCTCTACGAGTTCTCTCATCGTCACAACACATTGTACTTGTGTCGAATTCCCAAGCGTCCGGCTGTCTAGCTTACTAGTTGTGCTTTTAACAATCTACATAAAAAAGGGATGATTCGTTTCTTCTAATGATTTATATAATTCATATCTTGAATGCTTCATGATAAAACTAGATCTTACGCCGTTATAGTCTTTCCACTCGTACTTGACAGGATATTTTCCAACTGCTTTGCAGGTCAAGATGGCTGACTCGTCCTTATCTTCACGAACATATATTGCGTACTCTGATGGAAACTCGATAATATGAGGTCCAATGTTAGGCCAGAGTGTAAATGCTTTCTTACCACTGTCTGAATATGAATAAAAGAAAGTTCAGTTTGTTTTCTCTCTCAACCTCATGTCCACCTCCCATTTTCTTTCTCTCTCAACCTCATGTCCACCTCCCATTTTCTTTCTCTCTCAACCTCATGTCCACCTCTCATTTTCTCTCTCAACCTCATGTCCACCTCTCATTTTCTTTCTCTCTCAACCTCATGTCCACCTCTCATTTTCCTTCTCTCTCAACCTCATGTCCACCTCTCATTTTCTTTCTCTCTCAACCTCATGTCCACCTCTCATTTTCCTTCTCTCTCAACCTCATGTCCACCTCTCATTTTCTTTCTCTCTCAACCTTATGTCCACCTCTCATTTTCTTTCTCTCTCAACCTCATGTCCACCTCTCATTTTCCTTCTCTCTCAACCTCATGTCCACCTCTCATTTTCTTTCTCTCTCAACCTCATGTCCACCTCTCATTTTCTTTCTCTCTCAACCTCATGTCCACCTCTCATTTTCCTTCTCTCTCAACCTCATGTCCACCTCTCATTTTCTTTCTCTCTCAACCTCATGTCCACCTCTCATTTTCCTTCTCTCTCAACCTCATGTCCACCTCTCATTTTCTTTCTCTCTCAACCTCATGTCCACCTCTCATTTTCTTTCTCTCTCAACCTCATGTCCACCTCTCATTTTCTTTCTCTCTCAACCTCATGTCCACCTCTCATTTTCCTTCTCTCTCAACCTCATGTCCACCTCTCATTTTCTTTCTCTCTCAACCTCATGTCCACCTCTCATTTTCCTTCTCTCTCAACCTCATGTCCACCTCTCATTTTCTTTCTCTCTCAACCTCATGTCCACCTCTCATTTTCTTTCTCTCTCAACCTCATGTCCACCTCTCATTTTCCTTCTCTCTCAACCTCATGTCCACCTCTCATTTTCTTTCTCTCTCAACCTCATGTCCACCTCTCATTTTCTTTCTCTCTCAACCTCATGTCCACCTCTCATTTTCCTTCTCTCTCAACCTCATGTCCACCTCTCATTTTCTTTCTCTCTCAACCTCATGTCCACCTCTCATTTTCCTTCTCTCTCAACCTCATGTCCACCTCTCATTTTCCTTCTCTCTCAACCTCATGTCCACCTCTCATTTTTTTCTCTCTCAACCTCATGTCCTCCTCTCATTTTCCTTCTCTCTCAACCTCATGTCCACCTCTCATTTTCTTTCTCTCTCAACCTCATGTCCACCTCTCATTTTCTTTCTCTCTCAACCTCATGTCCACCTCTCATTTTCTTTCTCTCTCAACCTCATGTCCACCTCTCATTTTCTTTCTCTCTCAACCTCATGTCCACCTCTCATTTTCTTTCTCTCTCAACCTCATGTCCACCTCTCATTTTCTTTCTCTCTCAACCTCATGTCCACCTCTCATCTTCTTTCTTTCTCAACCTCTCGTGCTCCAACCCCCCCCCCTTTCCAACCCCCCCCTTAATCGTTTCACATTTGTCAAACCTCATTTCCATCCCTTTCACATCCCATTCCCTACACATCCTCTCATATTTCCGCGCATATTGCACCCCTCTTAACAGACGAGTCATCATTACCTAGATAAACAACAGCAAATGTACTTCCAGCTACGATCTCCATATTCTTGCATTCAATCCGACTTCGAGTGAACCTCACCGATACACTCTGCCATTTCTCCAAACGCAACGTGGTTGTAAATGACAAAGTGTTAACTTTTCCATGAAAATCTTTCTCAAAAGCAAAATCTAAGGTCTTCCCATCGACAGCAAGTTTCAGCGTTATTTCACAAGTCTCGTTCCATTTCCCCTCTCCCTCCACACGAAGTTTCACTAAAACCATGTACACGCCATTCTTCGGGGAAACAAAGACAGAATCTAAAGGATATTTCATTCCGCGTTTGAAGAACATCTTTGTATTTGGTATATTTGTTTTCCATCCTTGAACTTCAAATCTGTCCACATCGTCATCGTCATAGTAATGATGGTAAAAACCATGTCTTGAACTGCGATCAGGTAGTTGCCGTTTTGGGGCCTCTTTTGCCGTGATGGCTGAAGACGCGCCTATTATAGCCCCGGCAGTACCGATATAGAACGCAGAAAAGCTCGACCTCTTTAAAATAGTCACACCAAGGTTCGTGTTAACTTCAATCGACAACTTCTTTCCAGCTTCGAGATGAAGAATTTCAGCGCCACTGACTGTGGTGATATTAGATTGATTCACCAAACGTTGTTTAAAACATCCTACGTTTAATCCGTTCACCTCACCCCCATCTTTAAGTGTCTTCCCGTCAACGGTAAAGCAAAACTCGAAATCACAATTGTCCTCGTGATCTATGACCAGATTCACAGCAACGATATAAAATCCTGTGTACAAAACTCCGTAACTGCCAAAATTTTCCGGTACATCTTTTGTTGTGTATTTGCCGCACTTTTTTTCGCTGGTCCAAGACTTGTCTTTGAGTTTCTGCTTTTTTCCTGCATTCAAAGCCGTATCTTTTGGCAACGTTGCCGCAAAACCACTTGAGCTCGCTATATCGCCCATAAACTGAATGGACATATAAAGACGCGAATTGTAGTTCAAGCCTAGAGAATTGTAGCGTCCCAGAAAACCTGAAATGTTGTGTTTGTCGAGCAAAACAAAGCCAGTCAACGCTAGTGGTTTGTCAAGATCATCACTCGTTCCTCTGAAGTAAAGAGGTGAAGAATCAAGGGAACACAAAGCATTCTTGGATTTATTTGCAGGGCTGGTAAAACCGAGTTCAAAATCGTCAGTTTTGTATCGATCCCACCACGACCAAGTGCTATCTTTCACAAAACCAACAACAGAGACAAGATAGACTCCACTTCGAGAGACGCTGATTTTCCAGTCGTCATAAGAAATACCCTGAGTAAACTCCTCGAAAGTGTCCGGATCGTTATACCAATTATAGGGATAGAAAGTTCCTACTTCCTGATTATACATGCTATTTGCACTAAATCGTCTTCTTATTTGAGGTCCAGTCTGAAGCTCATCGACTTTGTAAGCAAAGATTCCACCATCTTCTGCATACGTCAGCTCTATGGAATCTGCACATTTCACGTGGACTTCAATATCTTGGCCATTTCTTAGATCAAGCACACCCTGAAGAAATACACTGAACCTACCATCGCTAGGACTTGTCTCTTTGGCAGATAAAATAATATCCTGATTCCTTAAAATCCCAACATTCACGATAGCATCACTCTTGTTAGATGTAACGGCAAAATTCAGGGATGTTAAATAAAATCCACTTTTAGAAATTTTCATTCCACTTTTTGTGATCGTTGCAGGATTGTTCAGGAACTTGGGGTTGATCCAATCATGGAGACCAATACCTCTCCATTGTGTGTTGCATTGAAACTTTCCTTTGGGTCTAAGTTGAGCTCTAACGTAAGTCACAGTGGTGCTTGTGCCTGTGAAAACACCGGAAACAACGCTTCCACTTTCGGGCTTCCAATTCATATCAGATTTCGATGCTTTTGCTGAGACATTGAAATAAAATTGGCTGTCGACACTGATATCCGAAGCGGTGACAGAAAATTTGGACTTTTTATGATCCTTGCTGTACGCTACCATTTTCGTTTTCTCGGATCCAACAACAGCAGACAAATAACCATCGTTTTGCAAGTCAAACTGTAAATTATCAAGTAGAAAGAAAACATTGTTTGTACCAGTGTGAAAAGTGTTCTCATGATTCGAGTATATTGCCGCGCTTTGGAAGAAACCGTTAATCGAGGTCGTAAAATCATTCAGTTGTTTTATATCCGTGGCTTTTGTGACATACGTGTTGGTGGCTGGTTTCACGTTCAACTTAAAAGCCGGATGAGATCTTGTGTCGCCAAGCATGGTGACTGTCATTTTGCTTGAAGTTAAGACGTTAACCTTTTTCTTCCCACTCTTGTCTGTCATCGAGACCTGAACAGCAAGCTTGTCTCCTTCATTCAGTTCTAACATTGTTGATACGGTACATGTGAAGTATTTTGGAGCACTTCCTCGTTTACATTCACTGCCATCAGCAACCGTGCCGTTTTTAGTAAGCTGTGAACTAAACTGACCGCCTGCTGAAACAGGTTGGACAATCAGGTTGTATGAAACAAGATACAACCCATAACTTTTTATTTTGATGTTTTCTTTTTTCACATCAAAGAACACGTCGTTCCAATCGCCTTCATTTTTGTGTGACCAGTCGTGAACCTTGTAAAGATGGAAAATTGTTAGTATCCTGCCTAAGTATAAAGACTTCTAATTTATAATAATAGTTCCAATTCTAAGTCCTAATTATTCTAATACATTCTAATTTGGTTAATCTATTGGGCTATCGGCTTACCTTGGTCATTGCTGAATTCGTGTTAAAAGTGAACGTGTTGACGAGTGAGAGAGTCGTAGAGGGCCAAAGATTGTATTTTTTTTCCAAGACAACTTGATACGTTGTTTTAGAAAGGACTTTAAAAACTTGGTCCGACTTGACAGACAGTCGTAGTGACTCGTATTTATCCATTTTCAGCAGCAACGAATTCTGTAAATAACAATCATCATTCTCCTTTGCTAGAAATAATTCTGGGCCCGTGGCTCTAAAATAATTACTACTTGAGCTATTCATCGACAGCTGTGCTTTAGCTGATGTACAATTACTGATGTATATCGCCATGATGATTTGGTAAACGCCCTGTTTTGGAGCAACAAATTCCCCATTTTTCAGTTGAACACCGCTGATGTAATGATTCAGGTTGTGCGTTTGAGGAATATTCCATTTATTTAAGGTTGAGTATTTGTCGGCGGGTAACGAGGCTGTTGATTTATATGAAGTCGACAGCGCTGGGGTTGATTCACTTGTTGCTCCTTTTGAGAATATGAAAAATCGCGAGGCTGAGTTGATATAGACGTGGGTATGCCTCCAGCTACTGGTGACTCCTAATGTGACTGTTTGGTTTTCAATAAGATTTAAAACTCCGTCTAGGGTGATGGTATGAGTACCATATTGTTTTATTTGTACTGTTCGAGTGATGGCCTCTGTTTTGTTGTTTATCACTACAGCGAATTTCAGCTGAATACTGCTGTAACGACCGAAATTAATGTTGGCCAAGATATGGTACAGGCCACTGCGTGGTATCATGAAGCTACCTGTGGAATCAAGTGAAGGATGATGGTCAATGTTTGGAAACAGTGGTTGTGGTTGTGGTTATGGCAATGGTAACAGGGATGGTGGTGGGTACAATGATGGTCAATGTTAGGAAACAGTGGTTGTGGTTATGGCAATGGTAACAGGGATGGTGGTGGGTACAATGATGGTCAATGTTAGGAAACAGTGGTGGTGGTTATGGCAATGGTCACAGTGATGGGAGTGGTTACAATGATGATCAATGTTAGGAAACAGTGGTGGTGGTTATGGCAATGGTAACAGTGATGGTGGTGGTTACAATGATGGTCAATTTCATACCTTCTGACTCAGGAAATGCACTTCCTTCATCAATTTCATTCCAATCAACAATATCAGCGGAATAACTGGGATTCCTCAGGTGGAGATATTCATAATTATTCTTCAACATCATTCCAGGAAACAAGGATGCTGAACTAACATGAAGTATTGACAGTGTACTACCAATCATAACCTTGGTATTTCTTGAGTAGCCACTACTTATTTGAATAGCAACTCTCCAGCCTTTCTCAAGCTGTATGTAGCCAGAGATCCTCAGATTTTTCTTCTCACCGGAATTCATAACCAGAAAAGTTTTTATTTGCCGATTGTTATAAAACGAATTTCCTAAAACGGAAGACGACATTCAGTGTGTGTAAAACCCTCTTCATTTGTGAGTACCTTGATTCGGTGATTTCATGCAATGATCCAACGAATGCTCCTAATCACTACCAGTTCCCCACTACCAGAGCCCCACTACCAGAGCCCCACTACCAGAGCCCCACTACCAGAGCCCCACTACCAGAGCCCCACTACCAGAACCCCACTACCAGAGCCCCACTACCAGAGCCCCACTACCAGAACCCCACTACCTGAGCCCCACTACCAGAGCCCCACTACCAGAGCCCCACTACCAGAGCCCCACTACCGGAGCCCCACTACCAGAGCCCCACTACCAGAGCCCCACTACCAGAGGCCCACTACCAGAGCCCCACTACCAGAGCCCCACTACCAGAGCCGCGTGCCGTTAATCAATGCGACCCGAGCATATTTTGGTAGCCCAAAATTTCGAGCTTAACAACAAGAGTAAATATTAAAAGTTAAAGTTGTCTTTGAGTTTAATGAAAGTTCATTAAGAATTAATATGATTATCTCAGCCTCGTTAGCCAGATAATTTTATATCACTTAACCGAAGCTGGCTTTGCTGCCTTTAAACTGCCTTGCAAAAAATCCAATGATCGAACCATTCACCGATATGGAAGAAAGACAGAGGAGCCTGATATATAACTTCCATCTCAACTATCAGTCCTGTTCATATCAATGTATTCCAAAAAACGCTCAGTATAGTGAGCTTACCTTGTTTATTTGTCAGATATGTTTTACCATTTAACGAAATGCGGTTACTGTACCAAGAATACCTAGTCGCCTTAACGATCAGATTCGCTGAGATGTAATATACCCCGGCTTCATTGATAAGGAAAGAAGTGTTGTCCATTTTATCAAAACCAGTCATGAAAAGACCAGGTCTGCCAGAGTGAACCCAGTTTTTTACCACTGAATCATATGAGATGATCTGATCTTCTTCTATCACCGCGGATAGGCTGTTCCCTAACTCCTCTTGAGCTGTGAACACAAGAATGATTGATATTTAATAATACATGTTAGTGCATTCCGTTTATGACTTATGTGTATGACTGGTCGCTTTAAGAACAAAGCTGCGAATGATTCAACAAAATGAACCCGCGATTTGTGCCAGAACGGCTGGAGAAACTTCAAACGTGGACTTGTGCTGCAGAAGAAGCTATTCAGCTGCACAAGAATTGATACTCACAGGCTTTTGTTTTGAACAACTACCGCGTCACGTACGATTACGTAACGTTGTGTAGTTTAATGTTTGTCTTCAAAACTATTGCCGGCATACGTGCCGGGAAGTTGGGGTGTGTGCAAAAACCTGGCCATTTTAACCGTTTTATACGTGGGTCGAAAAAGACAGTCTTTCTAAATTCACTGGAAATATGTTGTTGAATGCAAATTTAGGTCCTTAGTAGAACTAAAGAGCTGCATGAGTACGTTTCATCTCCTCAAATAACTTTTAGAGCGAAACCGCCGAAACGCCTTCCGAGAAAGTCGGAGATGCTTCTTTTCGCACAGCTTTTGGTGAAATAAACCATAAACATTGTGTACGCTCCAAATGACGTTAAAATAGTCCTAGACAGTAATTGTATAATCAAATAATAACAAAATAAATTGGTCGAGCGGACATTTTTATTGCTGGATCGTATTACCTTTACTAATCATTCTCGTTTTGAAACTGCCAAATCTCGCTCGTTCATTTAGCTAATCAGCAATGGCTATGGTATTTACATCCAAAGCTACTTCTCGCAAGTTTTAGTTGTGTTATAGTTGTGTAGCTATGTTCCTATATGTAGTTAAGTGTATCTCACAGGTGACAATTTTCTCTTCATTTCATATCTTGAGCTCAAATTACATTCCCTTCAATCTACACTCACATGATGCAGTCTATACTAGTCTATACCTACGTTTTACTACTATTTGAGAGGGGATAAAGTCTAAGTGAAATAAACTAAGGTAGAACAAGCAAGCGTGTTAATTAGGGGAAACGCAGATCAAACACAAGGATATCCAGACATCTAACCGCTGATATAAATGATCTGACATACCCTGGCAGTACGAGGCTATGAGAAAAATTATCAGCTAAAATAAACTCCTACCTTTAAGACCTGATGCCAAAGTTGCGATGAAAAACAGCCACGATATAAAGCGATTCATTGCTGCTTCGTCTTTTGTGATAACGCTCAATCGTCGATTCAATGCGGAACTGTGTTATAATATATGTATTTGGAATATTTAATTATGTTACTAAGTTGCTACTTTTGACTGTATAATTAATCAAGCCGCTTATTGCTTCGACAGCAGTATTGTTGTGTGAATCACACTAACTCCCACTCCTATTGTTAAACTTTCCAATGAGTTTCCTCACTTTTTGCTATCGTTGATGTGCTACTAGATATTTCAAAGATTGTGCATCAATGAAAATGTCATCATTATCAATTATGATTTTGGCACTTCACAGTCTTCACTCGATGTAGGTGAATTCTAGAGGTTGGAAGGGTCTTAATTTGTGTGTTGAATGCAAATTTAGGTCAGTTTGAAGTGTGTATAATTCCACTCGAAATTAAGACCCTTTCAACCTCCGTCACCATTATCATCAATATAATCATCACACTAATTATAAGCAAGGACAATTCTCGTTCTCGGTTGAATTTCATTTATTAATATTTGCTCATCTTTAGTGTGGCAGAGTTTTATCAACATAATAATGCCACCTGCGTGTTTGAAAGTCCCTCAAAAAATTGTGCAAAAATATAATTATCTAATGTAATATTTTTTCACCCTGTTCATCGTCTGAGAGTGTTTTCTCTTCTATTCTAGAGAAAGAACGACAGTTGCAAACTTAAAGATGACGTATATACCATCATGACGTATCCCTCAAGGTATGTTTCCTCTCACCAGGCTTTAGCGCGCCGTTAAGGGATCGTCTTTTTTCCAGCATTCTCCGGTGTCCTGCGCTCGTTTTATTAAGCAGCAACCCACATACTGATTTTAAGCCTCTAAAAGGCGGTACTTTTTGCGGAAGTTTGATATAGGATCCTTGTAAAGGACAGGATCAAAACGTACATTAGTATACACAAGAGGCATATATCCAAATCCATCCACAAGTTTCTCGAAGCACGCTTTTCTATTTTCCAATCTCGTAAAATGATCCTTGTTCGCTGAGTTTTTCTTATATAAGTTCGCTATGTCTTCCTTGTACGGTTTACGCTCCAGGACCTTTATCGCAGGCTGCCGTGTGATGTGGGAGGTGATGAAATTTAGGACGATGTCTTGACATTCTTTTGATGTTGAAATGAGCTCATGGATTGATGTAGGCAGATTGTGCGTATAGTAGTGATGGTAGTATCTTTAAAAACAAAACCCAGAAATTTTGAAGATTTTGAATATTTAAACTAGTACAGATCTTTATTCAACTTCGGATACCTTGCAGACACTAAGAACTGGCAAATCTTGTTAAATATCATCTCCTGAAGATGATTCAGATTTGAAGCGAAATATATATAGAGTTTAAATTCTATTGTGTATTTATAAAAAAACTTTTTAATTACACAATGAATCTATTCGAAATAACCTTTTTCTTATATCTGCTGAAATTATCAGCTGAAGAAAATGGTTTTAAGAACTGGTAACCTTGTCCAATTGTCACAGTTGGAATACTTCAATCGTTAATTGAAGGACAATATTTCAGGAAACGAAAGCAGTGATTTACACACGGAGTTATTTCAACTTTACAAATCTTCTACTAACTCTTCAAAACTCAGGATTTACAACTGAAAGACACTCGATCCCAACCACTATCACATGAACTTTGCCAGTGTAAACCAAACAATACCAAAAAGCCTACTTCCTAATAATACCTGTGATAAAATGCAGCATTGGTTAAAACCATCGAACATTCGTTGCTCCAACGTGATGTATAGAACCACTTTGATAAACCTCTGTCCCAGTAATGACTACGACACGGAAATCCAACAATCCTCTGTGGAAATTTTCGCCACACTTGAAATGCAAAGTTAATCTAAACAAATCAGAGTTTATTGAAAGAGGAAAAATGTTGAGCGTGTTTTACACGATCGTAGACAGTCTAATTGAAACAAAATCGTACTTCGTCGACATTCAAGGTAACATCTTCATCCAGGGAGAGGATAACATCACTTGAGATCAGAGATCTTGGTGACAACCTGCTGTTACCATTCTAAAGATGAATACGACGAACATCGGTAAATGCGTGGTTGAAAGGATCTTGTGTCGAAAAGGACAATACGATACGTACGGTGTTGTCAGGCCTTTGAATCGCTATAGTGACATCAATCGAAGGCCATCTTCTTTTGGAAGGAATGTTCTCCTTTGCCGTCCATAATACCACAATCTACAATTGTGACAAACAAGCATTGGATAAATTCAGAGATTCAGAGATCAATGGATTCAGGGATTCGTCTTCGATTCGGTAGATTTAGAGATTTCAGTGTCTAATAGGTGGATTCAAAGATTTAACTCAATGGGTGGATTCAGATATTTATCTCACTGGACGGATTCAGAGTTTCGTCTCAACTAGGTAGATTCAGAGATTTATCTCACTGGGTGGACTCAGAGATTCATCTCACTAGGTAGATTCAGGTGGATTCAGAAATTCTTCTAGCTGGGTAGATTTAGTGATTCATTCATCTCATTGTGTTACCAGCTATGGTAATATAAATCATCTCTTATTGATGCAATGTCCCTTAAAGAGGACCTAACCGAACCAACTCTGTTTGAACTGAAAGCTCTATCAGTTGTCCTAAACTATTGTTTCTTAGAAGCAGTAGTGAGGTTCAACAATGTAGGTATTAATCCACTTTACCTTTTCAAGATACTGAGATTTAGCAACAGTTTGTATCAGAGTGTATAGTGGTGAGGCAACTCTTAAATATGATGATGTAGCATATATAACAGCAGTAAAGCTTGATGCTACCTCATGCCCTGTGATTTGGTAATAAAATGGATAGTCCTTAACACTTCTGGAATAGGACTGTGCAATATGAAGACTGCCAGGGAAGGTATTCCATACAAAATATTGGTTCGCAATCTGTTTGTCTATACGAGATTGGATTATCTGAAATAAAAAAAATTCTAGAAATTCCTTTCTGTGTTATCTATTCAAACAGCAAATTATTATAATTGAAAAATTATAAAAGATGATGAAGAATTAAGTGGTATAGTAAATATTTCAGCAACTGCTCATGCAAAGCTTTGACTTCTGTCAATTTAATTACCTTGAAAACTGTGTTTACAATTTTATCAATTGATGAGAAATAAGCATTCCACAGGAATAGAACTTGTTGCTTCATTTGAAAAATTTGTTCGTGTGTGAACTCTCTAATGATTGTCGGTATTAATGTCAGTAATCTTTCATCAGCAAATACTGCAGCCTTTTTCCAATCAATATTGTCAGAAAAGGGAAGAACCCATCCATTGCTGAGAATGAGTGGTATACAGCTAGATTGTAAGGCTTCAAGGAAACGGTAAGAACCAAGGCGTCTTCCTCGTGGAATAAGACAGAATGTAGCATTACCCATTAGCTCATCATAGTCGTATCTAGGATGAGAACAATAAGTGATTAGAAACATAGCTTGGAAGTAATGAGAGGTCAAGAGAAGAAGATGTGAGGTGGTAGACATTGCAAAGAAGATGAGGGAGGCAAGGTTGTGATAAGATGGACACATAATAAGAAGAGATGAAGGAGAGCTGGTCAGAGATATTATGGAATAAAGAGATCACAAGATGTGAGGTGGTAGACATTGCAGAGAGGATGAGGGAAGCAAGGTTGAGATGATATGGACACTTTATAAGAAGAGATGAAGGAGAGCTGGTCTGAGATATTATGGAATAAAGAGATCAAAAGATGTGAGGTGGTAGACATTGCAGAGAAGATGAGGGAAGCAAGGTTGAGATGATATGGACATGTAATAAGAAGAGATAAAGGAGAGATGGTCAGAGATATTATGGAATGAAGAGATGAGAAGATGTGAGGTGGTAGACATAAGTTGATGAATCTGGCCAAAAATTCTTGTGTTATAGAATGAGTGATCTCAACAAGATGTGAGGTGGTTGTTCCATACCTGTCAAATAACTCATTATCATGGTCACATCTAAGATCTTTCATATCTTTCCAGTTGCGGCCATGTTTACAGGTTGTTAGCATTATAATATCCTCATTATTATGTATATGATGCAGAGAGCTACGACTCTCTCCTCCTTTACCATTTAAATACCTTTTACCTTTAAATGCAAGTTTGTATTTCTTTAAAATTGGAAATACTCTGTCAGAATAAGGCAAATTACCTCCACCAAACATTGGCTGATCCTTGTCAAATAATGGAAAACTCACATCAAAGTTTGGTCTAAAATGTTGGGCATTAAATGAAGCTTTCACTAAGATTGCTTGGCCTATATCAATGTCTAATTTTTCCCTATAATCTGGCCAAGTGCCAGAATATAAATTGAATAAAATATGGTTTTTTCCTCCATTCCAGTAAGGAAGATGTGATATTTTATATCCCAATTCTCTCACATAATCTTTGCTTAACTTATCCTGATCCGTCGTGTCGAAAGATGAGACAAACAGACAAGCATTGCCAGGATTATCTGTGTAATATGCACTCTTTTTTATAACACGGATGATCTTTGCGTAATTAACAGAGATTCTCTCGCCATTTCCAAAAGGATAAACATATACTTTAAAGCCATTGATACATTTTTGAAAATCAAAACAATTGTCCATTTGACAATCAGTTGCAAAGTCGCGTGGTTTTGTTTTTTGTTTTGGCTGAGATTCGGCATATTCGTCCTCCTCCGATATGCTATGAATTAGGTCCTTTTTCTTGAAAGTTTTCGCTGGTAATTTCGTAAAATTCCATTGAATAATAAACCATGTTATCGCAGTACCAACAATCACCAGAAATGACAGCAATAAACGAATTTTTGCTTTCATTGGTTTGATATTTTGCTAAACTGCGCTAGAATTAGCGACAATCAGCGCATACAAAGAGAAATGTAGAACAATTGTAACAATGATATAGTTCTACACGTCTTTATTTTGCTACAAAAGCACAATATTGCAAATATATCAAGCATGTCTGTCAATAATGTCTCCATCTATGACATGCATCATACATAAATACATTTGAATTTTAATTTCACCGGAAATGATGATTGTGTATATTATCATAAATAACCCGATCCATTGATAACTAGAAGGAATTTCTTTCTATTCGACAATGAATTTTATTAATGCATTATAATTACCAACATTATAATTTTTTACAATGCATTCAGGACTTTTCTTTTCTAAGCGATTGATTCAAAAAGGATTTCTGATTCATGAAACATATTTTGATCTATTTTTTATAAGTTGGATTTTATATATTTAACCCAGGATTTTTAAACTGAATTGCTTTGTTCCCAAGGTTCATGTTTTCCATTATCCCAAGTCCAGCTGTGATAACTTGCATACGTCAGCTGATATTGTCAAATTCAATAAAAATATTATAGTTGCACAGTAGATAAATCATGTTTACTAATATGAGCAATTGTACCTGCTAGTTTAGTTTGCGAATGATTTTTGCTTGCATCACTCACTACACTCAAACACAAGCAAATTATGTAAATACCATTTTGCCATCTTCGAATACTTCGAATACATGTTGCAAATTTGTTAAAGCTTTTAACAGGGTTTCTGTCCAATAAGAAGATGAAAGCTAGATCAGCCTGGCCGTATTCAGTGGGTTTAACTGTTTTTTGCTCGGCTGTCATTCGATGTTTACGACTGAACCGTTATCGCTTCTTGCTAATATTTCTCGTGTGTTTCTTGGTTGTTTACTCATCAAAAAACCGGTATATAATATATAGATTTCTCCCTGAAGAAAGGGGTTTTCTACCTAAGATGACAAAAGAAACATTAGTTTGTGAACGGTTGATAAAAGTGGCGAAACTTATATTAGACGGAGAGCCAATTTCTTTACCATTTGGTAAAAAAACGCTTTGGAAGTTCCGGGGAAGACCATCAAGACAGGTGTTGAAGAGAAATATATTTCGGCAAGGACGAAATGACAGTGCAGAGGAACATTTAAAATGGGAAAAAATGTTCAATTTGAGTTCGAGTGATATTAAAGGACGAAAAATCCTTATAACATTTGGTCATAACTGTTAAAGTATGCTCTATTATATTCCAAATATTCCAATATATATGTATCAATCAACTGTAAATAGATTTAATTTAGATTTATGTGTGGTCAAATGATTCCATAGATTCCATAGATGCAAGTGTAGTAAATGTTTCTTTAATGAAAGCCAAATATGGTAACCAAATGTAAAATGAAATGTTATCCGCCCTAAAGAGATTATCATGTAACCACTTATATATAGATGTAATTTTCCTTGTATACATCAGAGTGAATAAAACTGTGTAACCCTAAAGTTGTGCTGTGAATATAAAGGAGTGGCAAATGGCTACCCAAAACTCAACAGGTTATGGGCCCAGGAGAGCTCTGGTCTTCGATGGAAACGAATCGAAGTACGAATTATGGGAGGTAAAGTTTTTATCATTTATGCGGATCCAAAAGCTTTACAATATTTTTGTGCCTAGCAGCGATGAGCGTGAGCTAGATGAGTCGAAGAATGCCGATGCCTTCGCCGAACTTGTACAGTGTTTAGACGACCGAAGCTTGTCCCTAGTGATACGGGAGGCAAAAGATGATGGTCGAAAGGCTTTAACCGTGCTGAGAGAACACTATCAAGGAAAAGGAAAACCCAGAATTATAGCTTTGTACACTGAACTTACTTCGCTGAGAAAAGGAGAAAGCGAGTCCACAACGGACTACATCATACGCGCGGAGACCGCTGCGACAGCACTCAAAGCAGCAGAGGAAATAATAAGCGACGGTTTACTAATTGCCATGGTTTTAAAAGGTCTCCCAAGGAACTATAAAACATTCTCTACTGTGATAATCCAACGAGAAAAGCAGATGACATTCAGCGAATTCAAAATAGCCCTGCGAAACTACGAAGAGAGTGAAAAGAGTTGCCATGGTACGGAAGGCAAAGACAACGTGATGTATGCCGCCAAGACGAAATTCGACGGAAAATGCTTCAAATGTGATAAGAAAGGTCATAAGAGTTCCGAATGTTGGCTAAAGAGCGAAAAATGGTGTGCCAAATGTCGAACCAAGACCCACAATACAAGAGATTGTAGAGCCGCAAAGAAGGACGCAGCGAAGCTTATCAACGGACAAGTGAAGAATCAAGATTTGGATGAACATTCATTCGCATTTACGTTAAAAGATGGTAAAGGTAGGAGTACGAAGAATTCGAAGCTTCTCGTGGACACTGGGGCGACCAGCCACATAATTAATGATAGGTCTAGGTTTGTAAGCTTTGACAAGAACTTTGATCCGAACAGTCACTTTATAGAACTTGCCGATGGGAGCAAGGCTAACGTAGTTTTAGGGAAGGGAAATGCAATGGTTAAATTGTTTGATGTAAGGGGTAATGTACAAAATCTAATGCTAAGCGACGCACTTTATATACCGTCCTACAGTCAAAATATTTTTTCAGTTTCGGCAGAAATAGGTAGAGGAGGATCGGTTGCTTTAGGAGAACAGGTAAGTAAATACACTACAGCTGAAGGTCAGGTATTTGAGATAGAAGAGAGAGAGCGTTTGTACTATTTAAATAGTATCTCTTCTTCGTGTAACAATGCTACCTCCATTAATGAGTGGCACAGGATTTTAGGCCATTGTAACTTTGGAGATGTGCGTAAATTAGAGCAGGTAGTCAAAGGTATGAAAATCATAGACCACAGCGAGAAAGATTGTGAAGTATGCATTCAAGGAAAGATGTGTCAGAATAGAAACCGAGAGCCAGATCAGAGAGCTAAAGCACCTTTAGATTTTGTCCACTGTGACTTGGCAGGGCCAATTGAGCCCGTTGCCAGAGACGGATTTAAATATGCATTGTCTTTTATAGACGATTATACAGGTATCAACATGATATATTTCTTAAAGCGAAAGAGCGACACTTTAGAAGCCACAGAAAAATTTTTGGCCGATGTTGCGCCTTATGGTAAAGTTAAAAGGATACGAAGCGATAATGGTGGTGAGTTTACGAGTCAAGAATTTAAATCTCTCTTACGAAAGCAGTCAATAAGACACGAGACGAGTGCCCCGTATTCCCCTCACCAAAATGGAACTGCAGAAAGAGCGTGGCGAAGCCTTTTTAGCATGGCTAGGTGCTTGCTATTGGAGGCAAAACTACCAAAACGGTTGTGGACCTACGCTGTGATGGCTTCGGCCTACATAGAAATAGATGCTTCAACCAACGCTTAGAGAAGACACCATTTGAGGCGTTGACAGGTAAGAAACCAAATTTAAATAATATGCATGTATTCGGCACAACATGCTATGCTTTTTTGCAGAACACCAAGAAAATAGACGCAAAGAGCCGTAAAGGTATATTTATAGGGTACGACAGAGGTAGCCCATCTTACTTGATATACTATCCGGAATTAGACAAGATAGAAAAGGTACGTTGTGTCAAATTCATTGACAACTTCCAAGGCAAAGACAATAAACTCAACGATCTTGATGAGTTTGTACCCGACAGAAAACCTTCGAGTACTAGCAATGAAAACCCCAAAATGCCGAGTACAGTTGAGGAGAGCTCGAATAATCTCGAAACAATCAGCGAAAATGTAACAAACAACACCGAGGTGGTTGCCGAGGGAGATAGGTATCCAACAAGAGTTCGCAATAAGCCAAATTATTTCGATCAAAGCAAATTAGATGACACATTAGGTGAGAATGTTAATTACACTGTTGATTATTGCTATAGAGTTGCGAACATTCCAGTGTGCTATAAACAAGCACTTGAGTTGCCTGAGGCAAACAAATGGCAAAAGGCAATGGAAATTGAGATGAAAGCGTTGACAGATAATGACACTTTTGATTTAGTACCGCGACCTAAGGATAGACAGGTAGTGGGGGCAAAGTGGGTTTACACTATAAAAACAAATCAAGAGGGTGAGGAAAAATATAAAGCTAGATTTGTAGCGAAAGGGTATTCTCAAGTTTCAGATATAGATTACCAAGAAACATTTGCACCAACTGCACGCATGAGTTCGATCCGAATGTTATTACAACGTGCCGTGCAAAACGACATGATTATTCACCAAATGGATGTGAAAACAGCATACCTTAATGCGCCAATTGACTGTGAAATATATATAGAACAACCTGAAGGTTTTGAAAAGCAAAATGATAGCGGTGAAACGTTAGTTTGTAAGCTGAAAAAGTCGCTATATGGTCTAAAACAAAGCGGCAGGAATTGGAATAATCTACTCCATCAATATTTGATTAACGAAAACTTTATTCAATCTCTTGCAGATCCATGTGTGTATGTGCGTACAATAGATGATGAACGATGTGTGATCGTAATCGTTTGGGTAGACGATATCATAATCGCCTCGAGTGATTCAAATTCACTACAGAGCGTGAAAAAGTCTCTTAAAGAAAGGTTTAAAATGACCGACCTAGGGATTCTAAAATGGTTTTTAGGCACTGAATTTCAATGCAGTGAAAACACAATTAAAATGAATCAAACCCGGTACATTGAAAAGATTCTTGAGAAATTCAAAATGACCGATTGTAAGCCAAAGCCGACGCCGTGTGAGTTAGGATAGACAAAGTTTTGGAAGTGGAATCCTGAAATGGAGGACCCCGGGCTTTATAGAGCTATAGTAGGTAGTCTCATATATGTAATGACTGGCACTAGGCCAGATCTGTGTTACATCGTGACAAAATTGGCACAGAAAATGTCAAAACCAACCCAGGCAGATTTAACTAAGGCAAAGCACGTTTTGAGATATCTAAAAGGTACTTCAAAATTTGGTCTAACGTTCACAAAGTCCATTAACCCCCTCATTCTTCAAGGTTTTTGCGATTCAGATTGGGGAGCATCTATCGCAGATAGACGGAGTATAACAGGATACAACTATCAACTAGCGCAAAAGGGACCGTTGATATCATGGAAGAGCCGCAAACAGCCGACAGTGGCACTATCCACCTGTGAAGCGGAATATATTGCATTGACAAACGCGATGCAAGAAGCAAAATTTCTGAAACAACTCTGCATCGACATGAAGGTAAGTATACATGAAGGTAAGGCTTTCATAAAGATAGATAACCAGGGAGCGATGAATCTGGCGAAGAATCCTATTCATCATCAGAGAACAAAACATATAGACATCAGGTACCATTTCATTAGGGAAGAAGTGAAGGAAGGACGAGTTAGTTTAGAGTACGTTTCAACAGAGGAAAATATTGCAGACATATTTACAAAGCCAGCCAGTAAAATAAAATTAGAAAAATTTAAAGAGACCATATTAGGTAAGTATACATAGGTTCATAATTGCGCATATAATTTTAAAGCGATGGCCCGCCCTGCTGCACGCCATCAAATAAATAATTTACTATAGAACATAAAGAGCAAGTGGGGGTGTTAAAGTATGCTCTATTATATTCCAAATATTCCAATATATATGTATCAATCAACTGTAAATAGATTTAATTTAGATTTATGTGTGGTCAAATGATTCCATAGATTCCATAGATGCAAGTGTAGTAAATGTTTCTTTAATGAAAGCCAAATATGGTAACCAAATGTAAAATGAAATGTTATCCGCCCTAAAGAGATTATCATGTAACCACTTATATATAGATGTAATTTTCCTTGTATACATCAGAGTGAATAAAACTGTGTAACCCTAAAGTTGTGCTGTGAATATAAAGGAGTGGCAAATGGCTACCCAAAACTCAACAATAACTGTTGCGCATTCTCAAAACAGCGAGCGTTATTAAAGGCAAAGACTGTCGGTGGATTTGATTACGCCCATTCCTTCAATTTCGACTCAATACCAGCAAAGTTTGCGGCAAATCATAATGATGTGCTTCAAAGTCGACGTGGTGCGGGATACTGGCTGTGGAAACCTTATATCATCTTGAAATCTTTGGTTGAAAACATGAATGAAGGGGATCTTCTTCTGTATCAAGACGCTGGGGCATATCTTATAAGATCTGCAAGACCATTGTTGAAACTATGTGAACAAGATAAACACGGAATTATAATTTTCAGCCTTAGTAAAATTGAACAGGAATACACTAAACAAGACGCATTCATTCTTATGAACATGAGCATTCCTGAAGCTTCGGAATCATTTCAACGTTTAGCTTCGTTTGTTGTTGTAAGAAAAAGCTGCGCGTCAATACAATTTGTTATGGAATGGTTGTCGTATCTTTCCGATAGACGCATTGCCTCAGACGATCCTAACACGCTAGGCGTGGCCAATCCAAAGTCTTTCAGAGATCATCGTCATGATCAATCAGTAATCTCACTTCTTTCCAAGAAATGGGGTTTGCGTGCTTACCGAGACCCGAGTCAGTATGGTGAGAACGTCCCATCTCATAGTTATTACTCTTTAGGACCTTATAAACAGTTATTTAATCATGATAGATTAAAGTCCTGATTCCTGAATCGCTTTCTTTCAATTCTGTGCTTGTACTAATATCATAATTGATAGTGCGTAATATAGTCCCGTCCATGTTTTACAAACGAGTCCAGTTCATGTGTTACGAAGAAGATCAGTTAGTGAAGCTCAAAAAAAACCTGGAGTGATCATTTTTTAAAAACACTTCGTTTTTTGGTCGACGTTCGTCGGAATTGCTCGGAATGATAATTGTTTGATTTCTTGCATCAATCAAAAGCACACATCGAAGTCTAGAGATTTTCATATTTTTTTATATATATATACTTTACCGTAAATCTGTTTCAAAAAAGAGATAATGTATCGCAGAGGAGACAAATACAAAACTAAACCAGGTCGAACGTATTTTTTTGTGCACAACCCTGGACTAGCTGACGGCAAATTCACAAAGGTAACGTTCAAATGATTTATGATTGCAATCATTGTATTTTAATATCAACCATGTTTTACCATACAAAGCCGATATAACATCAATGCTGTTGTTTTTAGGCTGTTGAAGAATACTGTAACGCTTTAATAAACACCAATGGAGGAATTCTGGTGTTCGGTGTGGATCACTCTGGTATGAGCATTGGTATATATTGGCATTAAGAGCAAAAAAATATGCAAAAGCATCACCGAGTTTATATATTTTAGAGCGAGTGGTTGGGTTCGATCTCCCAAGATCATATGAAGATAGTTACAAACTTTATTTCGATGCCGCTATCAGACAGATGCGACCAACAATTCACCCACACCAATACAGGTATTGATGGCTAGTATAACCCACTTACCTAAATAACTATAGTTTGTATTCACATTCACAACTCTGAATGACTTGCATCATTGCTGTTTTAGACTAGATGTCATCTATATTAGCTATTCCTCTCAAGCAATCTTCGAGATCAGAATGTCGGCTGGGGAACACGAGGAAATCTATGAGAACTCAAAGCGGGAAATGTTCATTGTTAAAGAAAAGAAGCTCTGTGGACCATTATTTCCATGCGAAATAACACAAATAGTCCTTGCCAAGTATAAAGAGGTAAAAAGATTTGAAGGCGTTACTAACATAGAAGTAGGTATAAGTTAACACACAACTGGAGAGCCAATGGTTGGTTGTTTGATTCCCACTAGGGTCAATTTTTAACACCATTACTATATAAATTCATACCCTGACTCGTATGAATCATCACAGTCACTAACACACAGCTATTAGGAGCTTTATATAACTTTTTTCACGTACAAACTTTTCTGAAAACTAGGAACTTGCATCTCTCATCATTGAAAACAACCAAAATCACATCACATCACCACTTGAGGAAGACAAATCCTCAAACACTGTGAGAGAAATTGAGAAAGCCCAACCAGCAAAGAAATCAAGATGGGATCAAATAACCTGGCCGTAGCAGCATTTTTTAAACAAGTCTTGAAAGAAAAGACATAAAATAGTCAATGCACATATATAAAATAAAGATGGATAGTTGTATTAGTGTATAAAACCTTTGACTGCAAATAGTCATATACATAAATTTTATTATTCATTGTACTTAAAACAAAAAGTTATCTAAAAAAATTGATGTTATGTTATGAAGATACTATTACTAATGTGTTATAGGCAAGTATTTGTAAAATACCATGTTTTTGTTTTTAAAACTGCAAGTTATTATTTGTGTATAAAAGCAAAGCATGAGGTTACAAAATTTTGGCCAAAATATTTGGTATCTATTAACGTTATTATTTTTTCAATATCTTTTCTGCAAAAGGACTTGAAAAGATATGTCTTATGAAGATGAAGTCAGTGCCTTTTTCTGTCTAACCTTTCTTGGTAATGGAGTGCAGAGTTCCTCTAATCTTGGTGTAGCCTGAGCGTGCTTTGCTGCAGCAGAAACCTTGTATGTATTCTCATCATAATGGTCTATATATTGACTCCGGCTTTTTGGTCTTGCTAATTGCTGTACTCTCAAAGATGGCAATGCTTTGAGAGTAGTCTCAGATATTGCCCATCGTACTTCCCGGCATTCTTTATAATTTCCGTGAGTTTTCTTTGCCACAGCTAATTGTAATGTGTGATCTGAAGGCGTTGCTGTCCTAGCGGCATCGCTTACAGAGTAATTCCATTCGCTCCACTCCCATAAAGACTGATTTGTTTGCAAAGCTGCAGAGTTTTTTGGTTTTGCAAGGTTTTCAACTCTTGCAGATGCATTTGCCGACTTAGCTCCATCGGTGACGACAGAGTACACACTCTTTGGTGGTTCATATTCCTGGTGAAATGATTTTGATCTTGACAATGTTTCCAATCTTGCTGTTGGCTCAGCATTCTTTGCTGCTGATGAAACTTGCCAGATTGGGGTTGGTCTAACATGAAAAATTACAACACATAAATTTTTCTCAGTGACTTTGAAGTTGTTGCAGTAGCTTGTAATGTGTCTCAGATGTGTCCTGGATTCCTTTTGCACCATCATAAGTACTGTATATCAACTGTCACTTACCTATCGCCAACATATTCTTTTGATAAGGTTTTAGGTTGAGACAATTGTTCAAGCCGTGGGGTGGAATCTTAAAATGTATAAAAATAAATGGACACTTAGAACTTCGCTGGAAATCAAACTCACAAAAACATTTTGAAAAGATTTTCCTTCACTTACTTGATTCTGTACCAGTCTGAGTTTTGCTCCAGTCTTTGGAAATTTTACAATCAGAGTACACTGAACGCCTATTTAAAAAACCTCAAAATAGTCAAATGAATTCTATCTATTTAGTAAAATAGAAAAATTCACACCAGTATAGCAGGACTTTAGTCAACAAACATGGGACTGGAGGAATTTCATAGTTAAAAACCATTAAAATTTTAGCATGTAATGTGAGAATATGACACATTGTCAAAACATTTGATATTGATCTGATATGCTATGTCGCGCTTGTTTGATTTGTTAATATGAACAATCTGAGCTGTCTGCATAAAAAAACAATCATAAATAACCATGACTTGAAATTGACATTATCCATATAAAGTACATTCAAATATTCATATTGTGACAAATATATTGACATGAAAGAATTCACTTTATTTGAAAACATTCAAATTGTGATAAATTGTAGCCATTTAAAACCAAAAGGAATTCGAAATGAATAATAAATGAATGAACATAAATTTAACAAAAATTTTTTACATGACCGCTTTCCGAATTTTTTCACTCTTAACCAGATATTTATATAACTTTATCTCTGAAACCATACACTGATCCTGTATCAATTTCACAGGATTTATAGCAGCTATTTGGGTATAAAACATGCAATTATCGACTTATTTAGGACTTACTTATCCTCGATAAAACCTTCTGGTGTCTGCTTTGGTCTTGAGAGAATATCGATTCGTCGCTGGCCCGCTGCAAAAGTAGTTTTCAAGTTTTAGTGTCAATGGATAGGTAAGTAATAAAGAGGTTTGTACATTGACTTACTTTCACTAGCCATAGCAAAAAGTCCCGACCGTGGTCTGATATTGTTCTTTGGTTTGTCTTTGTTTATATTCGGTGTCAAATGTCAGATGAACTTCGTCAGGTTGCCATGAACGCTTTGTCATAGCAACAATCACGCGAGCATGTTTTCCATAGCAACCATATTACGACGAGCTCCGACAGTTTCCGCGCGTATTCCGAGGATCGAAATTTGTCCAAAAAAAACAAATATGGCGACGTTGTAGGAGTGAATTTTTTGTATAGAAGTTTTATACCTATAGTTCTTCTCAAAAAGCGCCTATCGTTGTTCTGAATTGGATTTAGTAGACAAAATGGGAGCCATTTTTCCCCGAGTTTGGGGTGAAGCACCGACCTTGCCTAATCTCCACGCTATTGAACAGCTTTCGCCAAACGTAATAAGACTACTTGGTTACAATCCTGGCCCCTTTACTCTGCAGGGAACTAATACATATCTCATTGGCACTGGTTCACGGTAAGCTGGTAATTTTTAACAAAAGAATATTTTCCATAAAAGAATAATTTTCATTCTTGCAGGCGGATATTGATAGACACGGGTGAAGGGGGAAAAGATGAGTACATCAAAAATCTCAAGGATACTTTGGAGAGTCAGAATGCAAGACTACAGAGTATTATCATAACACATTGGCACACTGATCATACTGGAGGAATTAGCGATGTTGTTAATAATTGTCCATGTGGTAAGTTTTAGATATTTAGTGATGATAGTTCAGTAATAGTGTGGTCTGTGGTGGTGCTGCTCTGAGTCACCAACCATGCAAGCTGGAAAATACTCCTGGCCATAGTAGGAGTCAAACTTAACTCAGGATACTTTGGTCTCAAAGACCAATTTTCACTCCAATTTTTACATTTGGGAATTAAAATCTAAAGTTAAGTGACTAAGAATAGGAAATGCATATGTTTGTACATTGAAACCTGAATACTGTAATTAACCACCTAGGCTCTGTGAAATTGTGAGCGCTTTATATGCAAGACAGCATGACAATTCATAATGTATATCTGCATGCCTAAAACGTTTTCTTCTTTATTTAATGTTCAAAGATGAAGATTTGCTGATCATGAAACATCCTCTTGTGCCATTCCAAGAAGAAACTATCCCCAACTGTAGTAAGAAGTACACATATATCAAAGATAATGAAGAAATCAAGACTGATGGAGCCACCTTAAGACTTCTGCATACTCCAGGTCACACTACAGATCATCTGGTGTTAACCTTGCTGGAAGAGAATACAGTATTCTCTGCTGATTGTGTGTTGGGTCATGGAACTGCTGTATGTGATTGTAGATCTAAAACGGTCTAGAGTTTCACTTAGGATAATCTTTTATGGGACTTAGAATTTGTTCTCAAATTAAGTCATTCCCACTTCAACTTGGCTATATTTATGTCTTCCTCTGTACCAGATGGTTTTGTCACAGATCTCATCATACTTGATTGTATTGTAGATATTTGAAGACCTTTATGATTACATGGTTTCACTTCAAAGGATTGTCTCGTTGAACTGTCATCAATTGTACCCAGGCCATGGTGCTGTTGTCAGTAATCCTAAGGAAAAATTAACAGAATATATTGAGCACAGAACATTACGAGAAAATCAAGTAAGATTCTATTTATTCTTGGAAAATATCCACCACTATGGATAACGTAAACCACCATCCATGAAAAATAGTATCTTCTTTATGTGATAGTCTGAATATTTTACAGATCCTTGAAGAATTAAAGGCAATCAAAGGACAGCCACTTACCGCTATGGATCTTGTCAAGAAAATCTACACAGTATGTTGTCATAAGTTTCTTATGTGAATAAGAGTGAATATATGCAATGTAAAGACTCCAAATCATTCTACCTGCAGGAAACCCCAATTCACCTACGAAAAGCTGCAGAGAAGAATGTGTTAGAGCATCTGAAGAAACTTGAAAAGGAAGGAAAGATTTGTAAGTAGGAGCATAAATTTACATCACATGGCAAGCTTGAGTTGCAAGAAAACCTTTAAGTTTATGTCAGGTTGAAAAGATGACAGCTGCTGAGGGACCTAGGTCACCTAACAGTTATATATAGATACCTAACCTGATCATTGGGTGTTGTTGCACTCCCATATTATGTAATATTTTGAAGCCAAGCATCTCATGAGAGCCAATGTATGGCACCCCAGGAATTTCAATTTGTCTATCATGGAGTGTGGTACAACAGTTGTTTAAAATACAAAATTTTACCATAATTGATGCAAATAATGCACTATGATTGAGAACTACTAGCCCTAAATTGATAATAATACACACTAGTTGTTAAAAACGTCATCTGGATGCTTTATACTGTACTTCTTATGCAGGGAAGTTTATTTTTATTTCAGGTAAATTGTCAACAGTTGAGGCAATAACTTCTTCAACTCAATGGACAAGTCACCTTTAAAATGCAACAATAAATTTTTAAACAATTTTACAATTTTTACATTATCAAATAGTATAGTAAGGCTTATCCCTTACCATTTTGGTCAATTTTGACCACTTTTTGAACTGTTCAAAAACTGTCTTAAAATGCTAAAAATTGCTTCCTAAGACTTATATCTTTCATTTTAGATCATATTTGGTTGTTTTTGGAACATTAAAAAAGTCGTCAAAATTGACCAAAATGGTAAGGCTTACCCCTTACCATTTTGATCAATTTTGACCACTTTTTGAACTGTTCAAAAACTGTCTTAAATTAAAATGCTAAAAATTGCTTCCTAAGACTAATATCTTTCATATTAAATCATATTTGGTTTGTTTTTGGAATATTGAAAAAGTCGTCAAAAATGGTAAGTCTTACCCCTTACCATTTTGGTCAATTTTGACCACTTTTTAAATTGTTCAAAAACTGTCTTAAAATGCTAAAAACTGCTTCCTAAGACTTATATCTTTCATTTTAGATCATATTTGGTTGGTTTTTGGAACATTGAAAGTCGTCAAAAATGGTTAGTCTTACCCCCTACTATATCATACCGTATCATACTCTATCATATTGCATCATACTATATCACACCGCATCATACCGTATCATACTCTATCATATTGCATCATACTATATCATACCATATCATATTGTATCATATAGCATCATATAGTATCATACTGTATCATACCGTATCATACCATATCATACCGTATCATACTGTATCATATCGCATCATACTATATCATACTGTATCATACTGCATCATACTGTATCATACTGTATAATATTGTATCATACTGTATCATACCGTATCATACTGTATCATATCGCATCATACTATATCATACCGTATAATACTGCATCATACGGCATCATTCGACACCGCGGAAATTGGTAGACTTAGCCGTAATTCTCAATACTTAGACTTTAAATTCGGCAAGCTAAAAGATTTATAAATACTCAACAAAATATCTCTTGCACAAAAGATTTGAAGCTTGCACACGGCAAAAACAAATCATCTGAAAATGTCTGAAAATGTCTCAAAATGGCCATTTTACGGTGGCAGATGCGTACGAAGAGCCTTCAAAAGTTTCCAAAACCGATATTGGAAGAAAAATTGAACTTGTTTTCAACTTATTTGATAGTATTTTCTTTGACAGCAGTTTCTGAATACTAGGATTCAAATGTGAGCAACTGATGAGATATTTGACTTCCAACACCAATTTCTGTGGTGTCGCATCATTCCCTATTATATCGTATCATATATTTTCGTTTGAAAAAGATGGTGTTTAATCATTGATTATGGAGCACTTCCGACTGGAATTTTGGAGTATTTTCAATTGTGAGTTATAGGGAAGATGCAAACATTTTTCCAGAGCAAGCAATTTGAACTTCTTTGGAACGATGCAGGTGTTATTCATCATGGGTTATGGGGCAAGCCTTACCATTTTTGGTCAATTTTGACGATTTTTCAATGTTCCAAAAACCAATCAAATATGATCTAAAATGAAACATATTAGTCTTAGGAAGCCATTTTTAGCATTTTAAGACAGTTTTTGAACAATTGAAAAAGTCGTCAAAATTGACCAAAATGGTAAGGGGTGGTTGCAAGGCCAACGCCATCCAGAATATGGAGTCCTAATCATTTTGTTCTATTATTGCTAGCCAAGGAACTGCCAACGATGTCATTTATTGTTATCAGTTAACTGGACTTTGTGAGAGTTTTCTTGCAAAATGTTTGCCAAGGTAATTATTATAACAGATCATAAAGGCCTTTTAATGTTTCTCATGGTATACTGATCTGTGTTGTTTTCTGTGATTAAGTGATGTTTTTCTTCATGTTGTTTATCACTGAAGCTAAAGAATTGAGATACAAAAATCTTTGACTGACTTTAGGTGTAAGACGTTCGCCCAGCTATTGTAGACCGCATGGAATCGATTCAAGTCCTTTAAAAATTTGTGAATCAAGATGAGAATGAACTTAGTGAATCTGTAATTGCTGCTATATGTTTTTGGCTAAAATATAAAAAAACTGTTGTATGTCTCCAAAACAAAGGAGCTTATATTTATGATACCAAAAAGTACAGGATTGTTTGACATCAGAAATACAAAGAATTCGGCACACAGCGACAATTCAAAAGACAACTTTTTTCTAGGCTTTTAGCGATTCGTTTATAGTAACATCGCTCACGATGATGTTCGGAGTTGATCGGCATGTTGTCGTACATTATCATACCACGTGATCTGCTATGATCACATGGTAATTATCGCTTATAAAACTAATCTCAACGTTAAAAAAAAATTTCTTTAATTAGGTGGCGATCGAAGGTGGACAGCAAGATCGAAGCTCAACAAGATTGAAGATTGTTCGAGGAAGAAGGAGTTCGCCGTTGACTAAAAGGTGGGTTCCGGCGATTATATGCGTAATCTGCGGTTGCTTTGTCCGACCCCAGTAGGGGGACCGTTTGCCTAGAGCGTTTTGGTCCCCCGCACGCTGCTAGTTGACTAGTTCCCACTTGTAGGCCTTTACACTAATCTACGGGAAGGCCGTAGGCCTTCCTTAAGGAGTACAGTGTAGCTGAGCCGAACCCTTTTTTTTCGTTGTATATAGGTTTATCTGAACAGCTAGTTGTCAAGATGAACGTGAAGAGAAGAAAGATGAAATAGAAGACTCGCCCGGCCAAATTCAAAATGGCGATGCCGAAGAAAACCATCCACGTGGACCGTTCGCGGACCTTTCTGAGCAAGATTGTTGTGCTGTCTGGTCAAAGTTAAGTATTTTACTTTGATGTTTGTGTGCCTTCTGCTAATTGTTGGCCAGAAATAACAAGAAGCCATATACAATATGAAATATTCTGCGTACAAGGTTATTTAAAGTTTCTAGCTTAATTCTGCCTGCAATGATGATAATTTTTTACTGAAAATTTATGTCATGAGCAATTTCCGCACCCATAGACTGAAGCAGAGCTGAACATTTTGTCATTAACGTTTATCTCAACAGCCAGTTATCAAGACGAACGTCAAGAGAACAGTTGAAATAGAAAATAGAAATCAGTTCAAGACTCGCCCGGCCGCCGAATTCAAAATGGCGATCCCATCCATGTGCACCGTTCGCGGACCTTTCTGAGCAAGATTGTTGTGCTGTCTGGTCAAAGTTAAGTATTTTACTTTGATGTTTGTGTGCCTTCTGCTAATTGTTGGCCAGAAATAACAAAAAGCCATATACAATATGAAATATTCTGCGTACAAGGTTATCTAAAGTTTCGAGCTTAATTCTGCCTGCAATGATGATAATTTTTTACTGAAAATTTATGTCATGAGCAATTTCCGCACCCATAGACTGAAGCAGAACTGAACATTTTGTCATTAACGTTTATCTCAACAGCCAGTTATCAAGACGAACGTCAAGAGAACAGTTGAAATAGAAAATAGAAATCAGTTCAAGACTCGCCCGGCCGCCGAATTCAAAATGGCGATCCCATCCACGTGGACCGTTCGCGGACCTTTCTGAGCAAGATTGTTGTGCTGTCTGGTCAAAGTTAAGTATTTTACTTTACTGTTTATGTGCCTTCTGCTAAAACTAGACAATAATTAAGATAGTTGAAAATGCAATTTTATATTAATAATGTCTTCTTATATTCAAGATTTTCCTTGGTCAAGAGTGCAACCCGAGCTGTGGATATGATCTTTACTGTCAGATGAACATTGGGAGTGAACAAGATTTCTGCGCAAAGGTAATTCGATTGTTTCTTCAAAATTTATATTAGTCTTGCAGCTCAAATTCTTGTCACTACCTTGTAATACATATCAACTGCCCGGGTATATATTTTGTTATTTCAGTAGTACTGTATAAGAGGGAATTTGCTGCAACTAGGATCTTTTTTTTGGAAAATCGACAGGCAGTCACAAATTTTGTTAAGATTACTAAGTTAACATTGCTTCTATGGTCACTATGTGTCACCAGTAATAAATTCCTGTGCTGGTCTTTAAATAAATATAGCAACCATAGTTATATGTAGAGAGATGAAGTAACCATAGAGTACCTGACCAAAAACTAGACAATAATTAAGATAGTTGAAAATGGAATTTTATACTAATAATGTCTTCTTTATATATTCAAGATTTTCCTTGGTCAAGAGTGCAACATGAGCTGTTGATATGAACTTTACTGTCAGATGAACATTGAAAATGACAAGATTTCTGCACAAAGGTAATTCGATTGTTCCTTCAAAAGTTATATCAGCCTTGCAGCTGAAATTCTTGTAGTGACCTTGTAATACATATCAACTGCCCGGGTATATATTTTGTTATTTAGTATAAGGGGGAATTTGCTGCAACTAGGATCTTTTTTTGGAAAATCGTCAGGCAGTCACAAATTTTGTTAAGATTACTAAGTGAAATTGCTTCTATGCTCACTATGTGTCACCAGTAATAAATTCCTGTGGTGGTCTTTAAATAAATATAGCAACCATAGTTATATGTAGAGGGATGAAGTATAACCATAGAATACCTGACGAAAAACTAGACAATTAAGATAGTTGAAAATTGAATTTTATATTAATCATGTCTTCTTATTTATGTATCTATATTCAAGATTTTTCTTGGTCAAGAGTGCAACATGAGCTGTTGATATGAACTTTACTGTCAGATGAACATTGGAAGTGACAAGATTTCTTCACAGAGGTAATTTGATTTTGTCATGGATGATTACTAAAATTCCTGTGGTGGTCTTACAATAAATATCCACGAAAAAGTGGGAGAACTTGGGAGAAATTTTTCTGATTTCCCTGTGATTTATATTCTGTAGTACTCAGAAGGGTGATACCCAGTTTTTCTGTGTTCAAATAAAATAGTGACATATGTCTGGGTTGAATATATGCATGTGACACATTCTTTTTATTGAAAATGGCAAAAATATAATTGGCATTTAAAACAGATGACTAAAGTAAAATAATGAGTAATATCTTTTAATAATGATGTCATGTTGAAATACAAACTTTGTTGCCACTTTTTGCCTAAAAGGATTGATGAAATGCTTTTTCTCTTTAGAATGAATGAAGTTGAAGAAAGTTGAAAGGCACCCCTGAAGAACCTGAATTATTTTAGCCCTATCCTAGATTCATTAATTAATATATTTTAGTGTGTGATAACATGTGTGAAATGTGATCAATTATGTGACAATTTTCAAAACTTGGATTTATAAAGAGAAATTATTCTTTGTAAAGTTTAAGAAGTAAACCTTTTTTGTCTGGTGGTGTTAGTGTTTTGATTTTGCATGTTTTTCCATGTGCTTTCACAATTGAAAAGATTTTAGCAGTTGCTTCTAAATGTTTTTTGAAAAGTTTAAGAAAAAACTTGATTTTTGACCTGTGGTGTTAGTTGTTTCGATTTTGCATGTTTTTCCGTGTGCTTTCACAATTGAAAAGATTTTGGCAGTTGCTTCTAAATGTTTTTTGAAAAGTTTAAGAAGAAACTTGATTTTTGTCTTGTGGTGTTTGTTTTGTTTCGATTTTGCATGTTTTTCCTTGTGCTTTCACAATTGAAAAGATTTTGGCAGTTGCTTTAGGTTTTTCTTATACTTCTTTTCTCTTTAATTTCTTCTTAGTATTAGTTTTTGCTCTAAATATATTTTCTCTTATTATTTTTTTTGATGAAATTCTTTTTTTTTACTTTAGTGTTGAAGAAAGTTGAAAGGCACCCAGATTCATTAATTCATATATTTTAGTGTGAAATGTGATGAAATATGTGACAATTTTCAAAACTTGGATTTATAAAGATAACTTTTTTCTTTGTAAAGTTTAAGAAGTAAACCTTTTTCATCTGGTGGTGTTAGTGTTTTTATTTTGCAAGTTCTTCTGTGTGACTTGACAATTCTAAATTAAACCTCTTAATATTTTTTAGTATTTTTTCTAAGTTAAAAAAAACAACCTGTTAGTATTATCTTCCATTTATCTATTTTTTTCTCTCTAGTTTTCTTTTCTAGTTTTTACTTCTATTTATCTAGTTTTTTCTAATTAGTTTTTTTTCTCTAGTTTTTTTTCTCTAGTTTTTTTTACTCTAGTTTTTACTTCTATTTCTCTAGTTAGTTTTTTTTTCTCTAGCTTTTTTTACTCTAGTTTTTACTTCTATTTCTCTAGTTTTTTTCTACTTAGTTTTTTTTCTCCAGTTTTTTTTCTCTTCTACTTTGTTTTTTTTTCTCTCTAGTTTTTTTCTCTAGTTTTTACTTCTATTTCTCTAGCTTTTCTTCTATTATTTTACTTAGTTTTTTTTCTCTCTAGTTCTTTTTACTCTCTTTACTCTAGTTTTTACTTGCATTTCTCTAGTTTTTTTTTCTATTTTTCTACTTAGTTTTTTTTCTCTTCTACTTAGTTTTTTTTTCTCTCTAGCTTTTTTACTCTAGTTTTTACTTCTATCTCTCTAGTTTTTTTCTACTTAGTTTTTTTTCTCCAGTTTTTTCTCTTCTACTTAGTTTTTTTTCTCTCTAGCTAGTTCTTTTTACTCTCTTTACTCTAGTTTTTACTTGCATTTCTCTAGTTTTTTTTCTATTTTTCTACTTAGTTTTTTTCCTCTAGTTTTTTTTTCTCTCTAGTTTTTTTACTCTAGATTTTACTTCTATTTCTCTAGTTTTTTTCTACTTAGTTTTTTTTCTTTAGTTTTTTTCCCTGTAGTTTTTTTTACTCTAGTTTTTTTTTCTCTCTAGTTTTTTTACTCTAGTTTTTACTTCTACTTTCCTAGTTTTTTTTCTCTAGTTTTTTTTCTCCAGTTTTTTTTTCTCTCTAGTTTTTTTACTCTAGTTTTTACTTCTATTTCTCTAGTTTTTTTCTACTTAGTTTTTTTGTCTAGTTTTTTTTTGTCTAGTTTTCTTCTGTCTATTTTTTTTTCTCTAGTTTTTCTTCTATTTCTCTAGTTTATTTTTCTAGTTAATTTTTTGTCTAGTTTTTACTTCTATTTCTCTAGTTTTTTCTATTTTTCTAGTTGTTTTTTTCTAGTTTTTCTTCTATTTTTCTAGTTAGTTTTTATGTCTATTTTTTTTTGTCTAGTTTTTTTTCCTCTAGTTTTTTTTTCTAGTTTTCTCTATCTATTTCTCTAGTTTTTTCTATTTTTCTTAAATTTTACAAAGTAAAAGTCAAGCCAGACACAGGTAGCCCAAGACAGACACAGGTAGCCCAAGACATAATACTTCGTCTAAAAAAATTTTCGGAGAATTTTAAAGAAATCTTTTTGAGAACGAAAGTACTATGTCTTGGGCTACTGTGTCTGTCTTGGGCTACTGTGTCTGGAGTGACCATTTTGGCGAATTTTGACCACTTTTTGATTCTTCCAAAAACCAACCAAATATGCTCTAAAATGAAAGATGTTATTCTTAGGAAGCCATTTTTAGCATTTTAAGACAGTTTTTGAACAGTTCAAAAAGTAGTCAAAATTGACCAAAATGGTAAGGGGTAAGACTTACCGTTTTGGCCAATTTTGACCACTTTTTGATCGTTCCAAAAACCAACCAAATATGCTCTAAAATGAAACATATTAGTCTTAAGAAGCCATTTTAAGACAGTTTTTGAACGGTTCAAAAGGTGGTCAAAATTGACCAAAGGGGTGAGCCTTACCATTTTGGCGAATTTTGACCACTTTTTGATTCTTCTAAAAACCAACCAAACATGCTCTAAAATGAAAGATATTAGTCTTAGGAAGCAGCATTTTAAGACAGTTTTTGAACAGTTCAAAAAGTGGTCAAAATTGACCGAAATGGTAAGGGGTAAGACTTACCGTTATGGCCAAATTTTGACCACTTTTTGATCGTTCCAAAAACTAACCAAATATGCTCTAAAATGAAAGATATTATTCTTAGGAAGCCATTTTAAGACAGTTTTTGAACAGTTCAAAAAGTGGTCAAAATTGACCAAAGGGGTAAGCCTTACCATTTTGGCGAATTTTGACCACTTTTTGATTCTTCCAAAAACCAACCAAATATGCTCTAAAATGAAAGATGTTATTCTTAGGAAGCCATTTTTAGCATTTTAAGACAGTTTTTGAACAGTTCAAAAAGTAGTAAAAATTGACCAAAATGGTAAGGGGTAAGACTTACCGTTTTGGCCAATTTTGACCACTTTTTGATCGTTCCAAAAACCAACCAAATATGCTCTAAAATGAAAGATATTAGTCTTAAGAAGCCATTTTAAGACAGTTTTTGAACAGTTCAAAAAGTGGTCAAAATTGACCAAAGGGGTAAGCCTTACCATTTTGGCGAATTTTGACCACTTTTTGATTCTTCCAAAAACCAACCAAATATGCTCTAAAATGAAAGATGTTATTCTTAGGAAGCCATTTTTAGCATTTTAAGACAGTTTTTGAACAGTTCAAAAAGTAGTCAAAATTGACCAAAATGGTAAGGGGTAAGACTTACCGTTTTGGCCAATTTTGCCCACTTTTGATCGTTCCAAAAACCAACCAAATATGCTCTAAAATGAAAGATATTAGTCTTAAGAAGCCATTTTAAGACAGTTTTTGAACAGTCCAAAAAGTGGTCAAAATTGACCAAAGGGGTGAGCCTTACCATTTTGGCGAATTTTGACCACTTTTTGATTCTTCTAAAAACCAACCAAACATGCTCTAAAATGAAAGATATTAGTCTTAGGAAGCAGCATTTTAAGACAGTTTTTGAACAGTTCAAAAAGTGGTCAAAATTGACCGAAATGGTAAGGGGTAAGACTTACCGTTATGGCCAAATTTTGACCACTTTTTGATCGTTCCAAAAACTAACCAAATATGCTCTAAAATGAAAGATATTATTCTTAGGAAGCCATTTTTAGCATTTTAAGACAGTTTTTGAACAGTTCAAAAAGTAGTCAAAATTGACCAAAATGGTAAGGGGTAAGACTTACCGTTTTGGCCAATTTTGACCACTTTTTGATCGTTCCAAAAACCAACCAAATATGCTCTAAAATGAAAGATATTAGTCTTAAGAAGCCATTTTAAGACAGTTTTTGAACAGTTCAAAAAGTGGTCAAAATTGACCAAAGGGGTAATTAAGCCTTACCATTTTGGCGAATTTTGACCACTTTTTGATTCTTCCAAAAACCAACCAAATATGCTCTAAAATGAAAGATGTTATTCTTAGGAAGCCATTTTTAGCATTTTAAGACAGTTTTTGAACAGTTCAAAAAGTAGTCAAAATTGACCAAAATGGTAAGGGGTAAGACTTACCGTTTTGGCCAATTTTGACCACTTTTTGATCGTTCCAAAAACCAACCAAATATGCTCTAAAATGAAAGATATTAGTCTTAAGAAGCCATTTTAAGACAGTTTTTGAACAGTTCAAAAAGTGGTCAAAATTGACCAAAGGGGTAAGCCTAATTACCATTTTGGCGAATTTTGACCACTTTTTGATTCTTCCAAAAACCAACCAAATATGCTCTAAAATGAAAGATGTTATTCTTAGGAAGCCATTTTTAGCATTTTAAGACAGTTTTTGAACAGTTCAAAAAGTAGTCAAAATTGACCAAAATGGTAAGGGGTAAGACTTACCGTTTTGGCCAATTTTGACCACTTTTTGATCGTTCCAAAAACCAACCAAATATGCTCTAAAATGAAACATATTAGTCTTAAGAAGCCATTTTAAGACAGTTTTTGAACAGTTCAAAAAGTGGTCAAAATTGACCAAAGGGGTGAGCCTTACCATTTTGGCGAATTTTGACCACTTTTTGATTCTTCTAAAAACCAACCAAACATGCTCTAAAATGAAAGATATTAGTCTTAGGAAGCAGCATTTTAAGACAGTTTTTGAACAGTTCAAAAAGTGGTCAAAATTGACCGAAATGGTAAGGGGTAAGACTTACCGTTATGGCCAAATTTTGACCACTTTTTGATCGTTCCAAAAACTAACCAAATATGCTCTAAAATGAAAGATATTATTCTTAGGAAGCCATTTTAAGACAGTTTTTGAACAGTTCAAAAAGTGGTCAAAATTGACCAAAGGGGTAAGCCTTACCATTTTGGCGAATTTTGACCACTTTTTGATTCTTCCAAAAACCAACCAAATATGCTCTAAAATGAAAGATGTTATTCTTAGGAAGCCATTTTTAGCATTTTAAGACAGTTTTTGAACAGTTCAAAAAGTAGTAAAAATTGACCAAAATGGTAAGGGGTAAGACTTACCGTTTTGGCCAATTTTGACCACTTTTTGATCGTTCCAAAAACCAACCAAATATGCTCTAAAATGAGAGATATTAGTCTTAAGAAGCCATTTTAAGACAGTTTTTGAACAGTTCAAAAAGTGGTCAAAATTGACCAAAGGTAAGCCTTACCATTTTGGTGAATTTTGACCACTTTTTGATTCTTCCAAAAACCAACCAAATATGCTCTAAAATGAAAGATATTAGTCTTAGGAAGCCATTTTTACATAAGAAATCGTACTCAAAAACTTACGTTATGATCAATACAGTGACTTTAAAACTGGTAAAAAAATTATCTTTCATCTCCACGTTCGTCTTGATAACTGCATGGCTGACGAGATAAATCTAAAACGAAAAAAAACTCTTTAAAATGAAATCTATCACAGCACTAATCTACGGGGAGGGGAGAGAGAGGAGGGCACCCCTGCAACATCATACACCTTCGAATAAGACCCGCCAAACAAGGCCCCCAACCAACCATGTGTATCAATGTACTGGGTGCCAGCTCTATCAATCAGAGACCTATCTATCAGAGACCTAATTTATTTGGGCAAATTTTCCCACTTCTAAGCGCAAGCTTATTTTGACGTTTTTGTTTGTACCCTGGTTTGTACAGTGAACTGTAATAAATAACACTGGGTTTGTATGATATTCAATGATTATGGGAAAATTGGAAACCTGCGTTGACTGCGCGCGCACGTCAATCGTTTTGCGCACTTCACACTTTAAATAACGCGAACTCGTTTTCTTTGATTCTTTCACAAAATTAGCAGATATACTTCTACCCAAAAACGAGCAATTTATGCAGTGAGATGGTATAAATATAATGTTAAATGTAGTAAGTACTACAAGGTACCCTAACTGCTAAGCATCATGGGGCGAGCCTAAGCAAGAACAATGAGAGTAAAATAATTAATAAAACATACAGATAAGAGTTATTAAAACATATCGTTGCATCAATGTTTTGTGTTCAATGCCGTAAATTAACATCTTCAAAAACGATTCAAAATGGCAAAGAAAAGAGAAACGAATGGTTTTCGTAACGCGCAGGCAAAAATAAATGATCCTAATCATGGCGAAAAGCTGTTTAGAATAGATGAAATGCCAGATCATTTACGTTTCAATCCGTTTGTAAAGCATGGTTATCGGCGACTGATGAATATCAAAGAGTGTTGTCAAAGTTTATTATTTCTCCATAATGAAACTGTCAATATCTATACCCATGGTTAGTATTTTGGTTTTTTTTACTCAACTGCATACAAGATAATGATTGAAGATTCGCTTTTTTTCACCGACACTTACGTTTATATTTTCATCTAGCAATATCTGGTATTTTTATGTTATTATGGATACCCTATGCAAGTATTTCATCTGTGAATGCAAACTACATCCTGTATATTCTACACTACATTGGCTGTTTGTGCCCATTCATTGGTAGCACCATATACCATTTATTTATGTGCCATGACAGTGGAGCTGCCACCTATGATTATTTACTTAAATTCGATATGCTTGGTATTTGGGCAATCAACACTTTTGGTGGAATAACTATCATCAAAGCAACCCTTTTCTGCTCTGTAAATATTAGCCAATTATCTCTCGCACTGTATATGGTAACTGGATTTATCATAATGTATTATATCCTGACAGCGAAGAATGTAAAACAGCGTTTCAGACCAATGATTTTGTTTGGTGTATTTCGCTATGGATTTCTAGCTATAAGAGCTGCAATGATATATTGCAACATTGGTGCTGGTGATCCGAGTGCAATATTTTATTATATACTAATGGATCTTGCTGCATTGATTGGTGGATTACTGAACGTAACACGTTTTCCAGAATGTTTAGCACCTGGAAAACTGGACTGTTGTTTCAATAGCCATAACATTATGCACATTGTTGTGACATTTTGTCCAATACTTTTACATTGGGGAACAATGTTAGATTTCCAATGGATGGCAAACTATCAATGTTAAGATATCTTTGTTTGTTATAGTATTTAAAATTGGATGTAAGGTGCAAGCAGTCATGAGTGATGTGTCACATATAAGTGACTCAATAAGTATTACTATTTAATAAATCAAAGAGATGTTAATGACATGTACTAACCTTCTAAATGATACCATCCTTACTTTCCTTTTGTAATATATATAATATATATCTCCTTTTGATATATTTGGATTTTCCAATGCACCACAACCATTTTTATCCTTTCAGTTTAACAATTCTATTTCAAAATAATGAAATTCAGGCTAGCATGCATACTAATCATGAGCTAATCTTCACATTAACTATTTGTTAAAAAAACAGGTGCACAATGAGGACAGTTTTATCTGGACACACACAAAACTTTCACACAATAAACTATTTTTCTACCTCAAATTTCTATAATCTTCCTCATTTCTTCCTGTATCTTTCATTCAATTCAATCTAACTTCTATTTAAAAGGAAATAAAGGGTCACAACAAACAATTAAAAAAAACAATATATTTTCTATTCCTCACACAAATCCAAAAATATAATCTCAATTTATGCAGTCTCACTAAAGAATTGACAACTGCAGATATACAAAACATCACCTACAATTGTTCAATTCTTACAGTCAAACTAACCGTAATTTACACTACATTCTTGTTTCCTGAATATGATCATGATATGTTCCAAAGTTATTACCCTCTGACTTGTCCACTGAACTCCTATCCATTTGTTCTGAATCTGATGATTGAGTAATCACCTCACCACACAGATCATCTTCATCATTTCTATTATCACACTCCAAAAATGCGCTATCAAAGGTCTCCTTCATCTCAAGAGTGTCACTGTTTGGAGAAGTTTGTCTTTTAGGAGATAAAACTTTTTCATCATCAGCAGACATATTCCTCTCCTCCTGTGAACTGACTGATGTCCGTAACCCTTGTTCCAGTTTACAGTTATCTTGATAACTACTTTCCTGTAAATTCTCATATTCTGGATTCAATTCACTTTTCCCTCCATGATTTGTGAAAGGATTATTTTCCACAGTTATTTCATCCTGATTAATGGATGGTACTTGGGAACTATCTGAAGCACAAATTTCAAGTGAGTTAAGTCTTTCTGATGACATTAAACTTGATGAAACCAAATTCTGGTCAGGATCTGCGATATTATGGTTTTCTCTGTCTGATTCATCATCAGTTTCACCATCAGACAGCACTTGAGGACAATCACCTTGATTTTCTGTCAAAATAGAAACAGGTGAATTGATCTGGTGGTAAATATCATTTGATAATTGAGATTTTAGTCCAGATTTCCTCTGAGCCGGTGCTCGGTTGGCCCCAAAATTATTATCATTTACAGGATATGGTGATAATAGTGTTGGTATTCCTACAGAGGAATGGTCGGGATCAGAGTGGTCCTGTGGTGATTGGTAGTTGAGTCCAATTATCTTACTATCACATATCTGAATACTGCTGGCACCAAATACTGATGGTGTGGTTGAAGAAGAAATGTCTGTTGAAGGACAATTTAATGAGCTACCATTACTTGTCTCTATATAACCAGGATTGGAAGTGCCATAGCTTTCATGTGGAATAAAATGTTTCCTACCATACATGTTCTGCTCACCATCTGGCAATGCAAACTGGAACACAGGGACTTCCATCTCTGGTTCATGGCAACCTTCACTATACTCAGGAGCTATACTGTCATTACTTTGTATGTGATTGTTGTCATCTTTCAATTGGTAAGTTTCACCGTAGAGAGGTAAAATACCATTATGCGGCATCTCACTGCCATTCTGATAGTCATCTTTTGACTGGTAGCTTTCATCAGAGCTGCTGGAGTTTGGTGAAGGACAATTATCAGAAATACCATACGCTGATGACTGCCGAGACAGATAACACGAACCATCATCATAATTAGGCTCTGGTGATAGATGCTTGCTACCATTTGACTCAAAATTCACAGGAGTTCCACCACTTAAACATGGTTTATCTGTTGCTCTATTTCTTGGGCTCATTTCTTCACTAGAAACAAGCTCATCTCGTTCGGATAAACAAACGTGTTGCAAGTTTTGACTGTTTGTCCCAATCTTTCGCCTTCGCATAGATCGCCTTATTTCTACGCTTGGCAGATTTTCTCTCTTTAGTTGCTCCATGGTTGTTCTCTGTTTTGAAGAATGGTCATGTCCACAACAAAACTTTCGCTCTTCCCTTTCTCTTTTCGAGTCTTCCAACAAAGTGATCATTTTATCTACTTTTGATTCTAAAGTTTTCACCTGAATAAACAAATATACACACATTCGATGGTTTAATGTTAAGATAACAAATCATTAAAAAATATTGAATATTTTAAAAACACCAGCTAGGAGAAGCAATACATCGCCGACTGTTGGTGATAACGAGAACCAGCGGTTTTACCACCACCCACAAAATACATCGCCGATAACGGCCGATTGTCGTCGGCCGCATAAGCTTTGTTTGGAGCAAATATAGTCGAAGCAATGATCTATCGACTACCGACAATGGGTCCTGGAACATCGTCGATGAATTACGACGTATAAAAAAAGTATTAAATACTGAGATAGATACTGCCCAAAGACCAGTTACTTGAGGTCTTCACTACTTTGTGGGTACTGTGATGTTTATATTATCAAAGAATAAAGACGTTTCTCTTGCAGACAAAACTAGAATAGGTACCTTGACAAAACTACCTCAAACTCAAACAGCAATTGGTAAAAATTTACCTGTTTCTCAAGTTTCGATAGTCGATGAACCACATTTGTTCTTCCTGCTGAAGGAGTGTCATTCAATTTGTCTGAAAAAAAGATTGAGATATAAGAAAATCTAGGAAAATAAAATACTGTTTGCAATAAAAATATGTTAACCTTACCTGTGCCTACTTTGTAGCCCAACGCTTCATCAATTCTGTTAAAAAACAAAAGTTTGAATGAACGTTTTCCTAGTAATCCAATCATTGTAAACCTGGATGACGACAACGAAAAACGTACAAGGAAATACGAGTGATGAAATCCAGCCTTTGGGAAATGAAATTTGGTGTCGGGTACTTCGCTGAATATTTGTACAATACGTGACTTAAAATGATTAATTCACCGTGCAAATTTCAAGCATATTAATACGTACTTATTTCCAATGCTTTTCACTTTTCCAAGAACTTCTACATGACCAGTGCTATACTGCTCGATAACATCTTTAACATCATAGGGTTTCTTTGCTAACTATTAGAAAAGATACGGTTTAAATACAGCTTGAAAAGGTCTCTTTACACCATCCAATTTTGACGGATCCAACTCACTTCTGATAGATATTTTATTGTCTGCTGACTTGTCATGTATATGGCCAGTAAATCAAGGAAAGCCAATGCAATACTGCTTTATCATCAACAGACAAGTTCCATACGTCAGAAGTGAATTGGACTCTCCTCTTACAGCATTGAAGCACTTCCAAGTGCAAAACGTTAAATTTTAAACGTTAAATACATGCAATGATAGAGACGAAGCCGAAGGTAAAAGTTTTTCGCTGTTCGTCTCAAGAAGTTCATTAATCGTTATTTCGTTTTCTTGGTACGTATACAGTTGCTACATCCGTTGTGCTCAGTAAATCTAATAGTGCATCTATCATAAGATCAATGACAATGAATATGATCTTACCCTGAACTTGCGCAAAGCAACAAGAAACTTGAGATAACGGGTGAATCTGATGCTTCTTTTGTACGCTGGTGGCAAACTGAAAAAAATTATAAACTAATGAATCGCAAGAAAGACATACGAAACACAATGTGGAAAAGTTTATTTTCTCACAATTATCAAGAATAATAAACTACGTGAATAGGTTGGTTGCACATGAATGGGGATTTTTTTTGGAAATCGAGTGCCCTCTCTTCTTGAAAGAAGAGATCTTATCGTATCACTAACGTCAGCGGTTTCTAATATTCTACCAGACAAGTTGACAATCTTCTATCCTTATAAATATAGAGACTCACCTTACGTTTCCACGACAATCTTTGATTAAAATGGGTCTAACATGATTAACACCTGAAAAACACAAAAGATAAACATGATCGAGCGGATTGCTTTAGTCCAAACAAATGTCATTTAAGAAGGTACTCGAACTAAGATGTGAAACGGAGACTTGTCTTATCTTCTAGCGATAATAATTGGCCCTTCTTAAAAGAAAGGAAAAGAAAAGGAAGGGAAGGTCTAGATGTTCTTAACAGAAGTAGTTTCTGTCTTCAATATATGTAAATAGCGTAAAATAGCAGGTTCCCTTCCGGCCTCGTCTCAGGCAATCCCGCGGATAACCCACTCTGCACGAAAGCCTTCAGAATTACTGGAATTATGGTTCCTACCATGTTCCTCATCAGTATGCTGCTCAGCCGTAGAATGACCATCGTGTAGAGAGTCATTTGAAGGAAAGATCTCGCTTCTCAATCCCCTGCGAGTTCTTTGCCCCGTTTGTTCAAGTGTAACACTCTCGGCAGGTTTGTGAAGTCCCTCTGAGGACTGTCCTGACGCTTTACGACCAAATATAGAGATCTTTCTAACACGTCCCACTGACTGCATTGGTTTCTCTGGAATGTTATCTTCTTTCTTTGTACTGGTCTCCTGCAGGTATTTGATATAAGGTGACCACGTTGCATTGAGTTGCGAGTTCTTTCGTGAAGCATAATATCGCCAGTTACTCTATAAAATAAGAAAGAGGTCCAGTAAGGATCATCTCTTATTGATCGAGTCAGTGTTACTCTAGGAGGAAACCTAAACTAAACTAACTTTATTTATAATGGATAGCTCTATCATTTCTAAACTGTTCTTCCTAGAGGTCCAGTAAGGATCATCTCTTATTGATCCAGTGTTACTACATGAGGAAACCTAAACTAAACTTTACTTATACTGGGATGTCTAAATCTCTTCTGATATAGTCGTTTATTTATACCTGAATCAACATTGCAGCTGGTCGTCGTCTTCTCTTCACATGTTTCTGCCGCTGATGTTGAGCAACTTTAAGAGCAAACCCGGAGCCGAGAATTCCCTACAAAAAGTATATTTTTGTTGCAACTGAACGTGAATCCGTGTAACTGAAATTTCAGAAAACTGAAAGTACACTGAAGGTATTGCATTGAAAACTACGTCCTGACTATTTGGAAACTCCAGAAAGTATAATAAGTTCGATCGACTAAGATTAGTCGAGATTACAGCTTGTCTAAACTGTATTTTATTAACTAGACTTACAGCAGGCAAGGCGAAGAACGATATCCCCATAATGGCAAAAAAGGCAGCAACACCACGCCCTGCCCAACTTTTTGGAACCTTGTCTCCATATCCGACGGTTGTGAGAGTCACCTACATCATGAAATACATCACTTCAGTATATCATCGAAGAACCTAGAAGACCACTAAACACTTAAAACTTCTTCTTCTAAAACGAAATTCCTCCTCGTTTTGCGAGATCTTCTTTATTCGGTGTGAACGAAAAATTCGTTTAAAAAATGCATGTATTATTTAAACTATCATCTGCCTTAAGGACCTCTTTTCAACCAATAGAAAGTAAATGCACATAATTTGAAGGAAAATTGTCAATTTGAACAACCACTGGCCTTATCGCAAGTGTGAACGAGCCTTTACAGTATATTTAATGACAACTTCTATCTTTTTTGACATCCGGGTAAAAGTAAATATCAAGTGGTACTTACAACTCCCCACCAGAACGAGTCAGCGAATGTTTGAAACTCGATATTTTCAGAATTTTCAGCTTGCCAGACAAAAAACGATGCAAAGATTAAACTGCAGAATCCTATGTAGAACGTTGTCAACAGTTCCTGAAAAAGAAGACGTTCAATCAATCAGTCTTTTTTCTCGCGAAAACGCAGCGACATGGACTGATTTTCACGCATCTTGCCAAAAAATTATGAAAAGAAAGGTTTACTGTACGTGCCATTGTCCTTGTTGATCGCACAGAGATCGTAAGAAACTCAAGGTGTATTTTATTAGTTTTTGTAGAGAAAGCGTCCTTCCCCCAGGTTAAATCAATTTAATGAAACACGACTAAAAGGAGTTGTGCATTCATGTAAATTACCTGTCTATGAAGAAACAAAACTGAGCCCAACAATTTCCAAGATCCGCCTTGTCTATCAAAACGAACCATTCGAAGCACTTGGAAAAATCTAAGAATGCTGTAAGGAGAATAACGTGATTTAATAGCTACACAAGCTCTCTAAGATCTGTTAACACCACAACACCATCCAATTTTGTTTGATCCAATTCACTTCTGAGGTATAGAATATAGTGTAGGATTTATAAAGCAGTATTTAGTTGATTTGCTGTCCAGATACATTGCAAGTCAACAGACTGTAAAACGTACATCAGTGACTTGGATGCGGCAATATTGGATCGTGTGATCAGACGTTTAGATCGTAGTTAAAGGTTTTCATATTTACCCAATCGTGGAAGAAAGATTACCAGAACTCGAGGAGTAGGCAATGACTCCAAAAGTGGATGCTATGACAATAATATCTAGAAAACACATTGCGATAATTTATTTTACGGCGGGATGTTGATAGTGGCATTGGAGGATGTCAGGAGGTAATGATGGTGATAAATGATGGTAGGGCTTAGGGTATCAAGTGATATTGATCGTAGTGCTTAGAGTATCAGGCATATTAGGTAATAAAGATAGTGGGCTTAGGGTATCAGGTGATAATGATCGTATAACTTAGGGTATCAGGTGATAATGATCGTATGACTTAGGGTATCAGGTGATAATGATCGTTTAACTTAGGGTATCAGGTGATAATGATCGTATCATCGCGGGGTATCAGGTGATAATAATCACAATGATCACGGTACTTATCTGATAATGGGACAAAGCTTACCTACAATAACAAAAGGCTTAAAAGCAAACCGTATTCGACCCAACACTCCAGAGTAAGTACTTCTACAACCAGCAGACCACATACGGAGAACATACTCAGACGTAAATACGATAAGTAGAAAAACTTCCTGAAAAAAAAACAACTTATAATTACTACACGATTTCGACACATATCTTTCATAATTTGAGAACTAACCAATATATAAGTCGCCATGATCAGACCATCATTGTCTTTAAATTCAGCCATTGTTTCCAGTATGGCAAACACCAAACCCACAACCACCAAACCAAACCTAAAAATATTTAAACATGAATTCGTTGACAAGATATTTACGAAGACAGATCTTCAAAAGGAGAACTCCATGTTTTTATCTACGTTCATGCATGCTACGCTTAGGGCTGAACAGCTTTATTCACGGTTTCGCAAGGAAAGATGGAAATAAGAGATGATTGAAAGAAAGTGCGCTGATGAATCAGGATTTTGGTTATAATTTTGGCAACAGGCCCCATAAAGACGACGCCGCCTAAAAGAGCGATACTCAGTGAGATATTTACATCAACCCAGCATGAAATCCCGAGAACCTCTCAAGCCTGTCACGCAAGAAAACTGCAGGAGAAGAACTAACGATCTCGAGGGACAGTGAGCTCAGCAAGCTCTTGTTAGTTGCACGGTTTGATGAGCTCGTTAAAAGTACGCAGGACCTCGTTAAACTGAGCTACATTCAACGCAAGAATTATACAAAGACTAGAGAAGATATTGCAAATGAACTCGTTTTCAATTACTCTTCTCTGTTTCAGTAAAAAAACAAGCATCCATTAACCTTTCAAAACTATTACCGCAATACAATATATAATTCATGACACTTCACTGTCGGATGATTTTCTGTCGCGATAAAAACACATTTGACGCAAAATGTTAAGGCAATAAACCCTATAATGTCTTCTACATGAATAATTAACGAAATATTTGTATACCGCCGTTGCCTTTTAGCTCTTAGATCTGCGCAAAAGTTCGCCTACGCAAAACTTTGCGCAAGATCTGCGCTGGCGCAAGTCCCCGCAAATTTTGACACAAAGGCAGCAAAAATCCGCGCACACGTCCTCCTCACGTAAGTTTACGCAAAGATTCGCAACAAGTGTCTGCGCAAATTTCGACAGGAACGTTTGCGCAAAATTCGCGAAAAAGTGCTCGCAGGTAGGCAACCGTTACAACAAGAGATTTACATAAAAATCGTTTCCTCAAAGGTCTGGGCAACCTCGTCTACAACCTCAACCTCGATTTTTCTAGGAACTACACAAAGGGCTACAGCCTGCTTGGCAGTGTGCACATAGGTTTCTCTGAATAGTTTGCGCAGACGTCTGGGTGCACAAGGCTGGGTAAAGACCAAAGATTTGTGCTCTTACTAGCTACAAGGCCACAAGGCAAAAGAAAAAGTGTTTTAAATAAAAGAATAAATACATGACTGTGGGGTATGATATGAATAAATTCAAACATCAGGAAGTTATCTCCTCATACCACTTATCATAGGATCCCATTAAATAAATATTTATATTTTCAGGTATTGACATTCACAGCAAATTGGTACAGATAAGTGTAAAATATCACATGAATGGTTAGAATACATCCGTTCATAAGAACGAGTTATAATTTGGCAGCAAAACATAGCCTAACGGTGATCGTTTTCGAGAAAAAGTCAAATGTCTTTTGATAATTAAAATGATATGATCCTATCAGTCGTCATGCGGCGTTGTTAAAGACAGACTATGTACGCTGTCTGTTACTTTTTGCCACAAAAATAATTGAAAAATTATGTTCAATTACATGCAAAATTTTCGCCTAAAAACATACAAATGTCTTTTTCAAAATATTTAGCGACTTTTTTGACGAGTTATATGCATATTTGAGAGCAGAAAAAAATACTATATGCAACTGGAAATTTCACAGATCAATAGTACATGATAAAAATTGTCTGCGCAACAGCAAAATGTGACAGTTACAATCTTATTCTATAGGTATGGGTATTTTTTACTTCAAAGGAGAAATATGAAGGTCATAATTTGACTAAAACTATTAATATTAAAGCGCTACGCAAATTTTATAAGCTGTTCCTAAATTCATATAATCAATTATGTATGAGCACAATGCAAACTTATTTATACCTATTCTAAATGACAAGAAGGGGTACTCGAAAATGAAAACACGCATGTATTAAACAGGAAAGAGACGACAGTTACAATGTGTCATATTTAATATTACCAGAGGGAAGTATTCATAGTTATTACCCTATATTTAAAACAATAGGCTAGATAAAAAACAATATAGAATTATAACCCGCAAGTTCAATAAATCATTAGTGATGTATTCAGAACGGCTCGATAGAGATCACAGCATAAACGCATTAAAATGACCGCAATTTGGAAATTGAGAACATTTTACTCCCTTAAGTAATAAGGGTCTTCTTTATCGCATTGCGTATTTCTGTGTTGAACCGTATTTTTGTTGAACAAAGCAACTACCCGGAAACTTTTAAATTAATGCTTACAAATAAATACATGTTAACCCAGAATTATAAATGAGTGTATAGTAAATTTTTACTCACAATGCGAAATGATAGGAGACACTGAGTATACCATTTGGTCGTTCCAAAAAATTGTAACAAATTAACTGGATTCGTTTGTAGCGTGTTCGCGTTTTCTGGTAGGATTCAACGCTGCATATTCGTAGATGATTTCTCCCCTCATAATGGTCAAACCTGTCTGCATATTTGCTATCCATAGTCGAGCGCTTTCGCGGGTCAATAAATATAATAATAGAGTCGTTATTTGGACATGTCCACAGATGTTCAATACGTCTTAAAATGTTCTCCCCAGCTACCATTCCTGGCCATTCTCATGTAACAAAAACGGCATTTCACCCTTTAATGTTTCCTAACTCGAAGCAAGCTTTATTTCATTCAAAGTAACTATAAACTTCTACAACGCCGCTTTAAAATGTTCATATGCAATGTTAACTAACTTTGCAAGTAAATAAACGCGTTCGGCGTCAAGGCAAAGATCACGTGAACATAATTAAGGAAAGCGACGCATTTGATTGGTTGATATGCCATATCTATTTATTATTTACTCACTTGCCTCTTATCTGAAATTACGGGTGCAGTAAGCTAATAAGTACCGCTGATATTATATGTAAAACGGAGATAATATGAATACCCCTCTCGCGTATATTTCATATTTACCTATGATAAAAGTGTGTACTTTACAAAACGTCCTAAATATATTTTCATGACTTAATATAAAAGTACCGAATATTGAGACAATATACTATACAAACAGGATTTAGTGACAGGGTCTTTTCCGTCTCTAACCAATTAAAATAGAGACCTATTATGTGTGGAAACTAGATATATCTTTCAAGTTGTTACATAGCATTGTTCATTGGAATCTCTCAGCTCGTGTACAAGTATTTTTTAGAAAAGTGTTTAGTTTTTAATAATAATGTTTATAATCATTTGATCTGCGCGGTTTATCGTCTTATTATTATGATAATTTTTTCTCTTATGTGATATTAAAATATCTTCAGTTTTTGACATCCCGCCAAGCAAGGTTGTGGGAAAAAAGAATTCATTTTAAAATAGGGTAAAATTACTTTATATCATCGCATTTACTATTGACTTATATCATCTCATTTCCTATTGACCAGTGTACCGTGTACGTGATTCTTTAGTTCATACAAACATTTTAGTGTAGGTCAAAAAATTCACCTACGTGGCCATTTTATTGATATACACCTGAAAGACACTTAGACACAACTGTTATTTGTTATAACTCCACCTATCCTACCCGCCCTAAGGAAGAGTGTCACATTCTTGAGAGACATCTAATGAGTGATGACGTCTTTAACGCCCGCACATGAAAGCGAGGCGAACACAATTGGGCGATTCTAGAACGTTCTGGAATTATCGTGTATTTGTGCATTGCGCTTTCACTTCTTTCACGTGTTCATGTCGTCACATTGACGTAGAAGGCGAAGGAGCGAGAGGATGGTAATGATTTAGTGACGTCAGAACAATTCTCTCAAAGGTAACCCCCCCCCCTAACGACACGAGGAAGGATCACTCAATTGAATAGCCAGGGTGGGTGAGAAGCCGGATACGAACTGTGGGTTAAAGGGGAAGAGCAAAACCACTGCGCATAAAATATTCATTATCGAGGAGTAATTTATGCCGTTTATCGCAAGTCATTTCTTTTTTGCAAGTCATTTGATGGTTCTAATATTATTTATGCAACAATAAAAAACTTGATATTACGGACATACATTTTCTTTTATGTCGGGTTTGTCGACCAATGATTTGCCCCTCCTCTTTCAAAAACGCGCCTGATAAGAATACTTTCGAATAGTGCGTTCTGGCTTGGAGATAAGCAAACTTTAATCGAGGAAATAAAATTGACTTCATTTTCTACAAATACAAAAGCTTTAATCTAGTGCTAATTAGCTATCTGATTGATTACTAGGTCATAAAAATCCTATTCCCCAGTCCGTGCCTATTCTCACACTTCACCTGTCCCAATAAAGGATAATCATTATCTGTTTATTCGTCCCCTGGTTACGATATCCGCGTGCACATATTGCTTTAGACTGAAATGCACATGTGCACGTAATAATACACGAAACACGCAATAACCTTTGAAAAACAAAACGTAACATTTTTTCACATTGTGGTTATATTTTTAGGATACCAAATTTTTCCGATTTCCGGTGAAATTCATTCAGAACACTATGCAGGAAGACGGTAATGAGAACTTTTACTTTGAAAGACTTTAGTGGTTTTTTCCTAACGATTAAAAGACATTTAAGACTGAAGTTATTGCCAAGAATATAGTATATAAGTCTAAATTGTTTCCCTTTCATTCAATGTTATTGTTTTGGCAAACAAAAAAGATATGTTGTGAAATCAAAGAATTTCAAAGATATTGCGACATCAATGGCGAGAGTTTATTGGTCATTATAAACCTAGGAAGGATATCGACCAATCAAAACACGACCGGAAATAGATACAGCCTTTGAAAACATCCAGAGGTGGTCACTAAATAAGGTCATGTTGCCCATATATGGGGGATAACGCGAGAGAGTTATGTGAGCGTCGTGGCGTAATCGTCGCAGAAAAATTTTGAAAATTGCGTCAGGCGGCCATTGGGTTATGTTGCATTAGTTGTGTTGTTGCGACACAAGCAGTTAATAGAAAGGTTTTCGGGAGTATGGCTTTATTTTTCTTCGTCTCGGTTTGTTGAAGGGATTGGCCGTCGTTTGGCCTGCCCTACAACCAAATTACAACACTTTTTCGCCGCGAAGACATCGTTACCGATTGCGTGTGCAAGCTGGAGAAAGTGCAACGTCATAAGAAATAAGCGAGACAATCACGAAACACACAGACACAGAAAAGCTATTTCTTCATCGGATCCGAAGAAACATAATCACTTTTAAGACACTCCACTGTTCCTGCTTAAATGCTCTACCATCGTCGAAGTCATCCATATAAGAGAAATGGGAATAAAAGGACTACAAATGAAACTAATGTGGCCGACTTGACAGGAAAGCAATCAAATGTGAAAAGCAAGGAACCCCGACTTAATGTGGCAACGATCCGACCTCGGGCAAAAACTCATAGCAACCCAATTTCAAACGGACAAAATGTACATAAAATCGGGCAATATTTGTTACTAGATACAAACCCTGGCAGTACTTTTAGTCGCGCGATTGATTGTCAAAATCGTGCTGAACTTACATGCAAGATTATAGAATCGAAAAAATTAGGTGATGTATTGGCACCGTACACGCGACTTGAATCGCACGAAAATATAAATGATATTGTGGATGTGATTGTTGGCGAGAGTAAGGCATATTTGTTCATGCCAAACTCATATGGTGATCTACATAGTTATGTTAAAACGAAGAAACGATTACGAGAAGAAGAAGCGGTTAAATTGTTTCGACAGATTGTGAAAGCAGTTCACAGTTGTCACGAAGCTGGCATTGTGCTACGTGATCTGAAATTAAGGAAATTTGTCTTCAAAGATAAAGACAGGTGAGGCATCTTGCATTTCCTCAATCGTGGCCATGTGCAAAATATATTTCTTTGTGCATTGTTTCCTCCAAATTTCCCAATGAATGAAGTAGAAGTGTTGGTACATTGTTGTGACTTTGCTAGTCTTTTGTGGACCTTTTAATGTGTACTTAATCCTTTGTTTCTGAGTATTTCCCGCCTGAGATAGCCAAAATACTAAGGTAGACTTAAAGTTTAGCCGAACAGATCTTTGTGGTAAAATTTTGGCATCAAATGGAGGTGATGTGTTGGTTTGCACCGGATATGATTTTGAATGATGAAATCGCATCTCGTGAAATTTTGACATCTTATAAAATCGCGAATTGCATCAGAAAATTTGAATCGTATGTGTGTATATTTCGTGTCGAAAAGCAAGTAGATCTAACTAGCAACAGATCAAATAACTAAATTTCACCGCTCTGCGGTGATTTCTGCGTGGGAGCTGATGTATTTTGATGAAGTTTTTGAAGAGGCGCGTCTACAATTTTTGGGCGTCATTGGATACCGCTTGTTCCAAATCATTATTTCATGATTTCGTCTTCGTTTAATCCTAGAATTTTGATTCTTAACGACAGATATACGTTTTATGGCTAAACGTTATACAAAAGATTGCACAATTGTTGCGTAAGCAACATCCAAATCGGTAGTGAAAGAAAACATAAAATATTTCGCTGATTATGCTATATTTCCTAGCCGGAAGTCTGAGCCTTTTCCTAGCCGGTTTTAATTGAATTTTCGTCATTTCGTGGCGACATATTTTCGGCCATTTCCTTTTACATAAAAGATACAAAAATAACAGTTAATCCGGAGAAAAAACAGGGAATGTGTGTACGAATTGATAAACGACGCAAGTGTAGATCAGTCTAGAAATATTCCCTCATGAATATAATTTGTTTTCATCAGATTTCAGATCGTATTTTGAAACCTGCTCCACTCTTCCTGTCCTGAAGAATCCACACTACCTTTTAGTGATGGTCTTACCCAAGGATCAATTTCTTCAGTGACGCAGGTGGAATAATTTCTGAAAGGAGCAATATGCTTTCCCTTGGCATATACAATTGTTTGCTTTTTGGCATTACGGTTAATGAAATGAGGATAAAAAAAATATTTTAATTAAATTATATACATTTCATTTTCAGAACTGAACTGAAGCTGGAGTGTTTGGAAGATGCATGTGTGTTCGATGGACAGGATGATACGCTGGAGGATAAACATGGTTGTCCAGCGTATGTGAGTCCTGAGCTCTTGCACAGTTCTGGTGGATACTCCGGGAAACTGGCAGATATCTGGAGCCTTGGGGTGATGCTGTACACAATGCTTGTTGGCCGTTATCCCTTTCAAGATGTTGAACCTACGGTAATGTTTTCAAAAATCAGAAGAGGACTTTTCATAGTCCCAGAATCTTTATCTTCAAAGGCAAAATGCCTGATCAAGTCGATGATGCGACAAGATCCGTCCCAGCGGTTAACAGCAGAGGAACTTCTTGATCACCCATGGTTTAAGTCAACCTCTCAACCAACCAGCTTGTATCGTTTTGACAAACGGTCACCTGACCAAACTGTGCCAAGTGTAAATGTAGATGAATCTTATTTTGTGCCTGTGAAGGGTCGTACCGTTGTGTAGCATAATAATAGCTGTTGCTTAGTAGAAGTTAGAAATTTGCAAGTTACATGTCAGAAAAATTCTTTACCACTAGTCTGCATGGCTGATGAGCTACTACGAGCTCTACTTTCAAACAGACTGTCACACCTTTAGTTTTATGCTTCAATGACGCTAGTTAGGTGAGTGTTTTTAGATTGTGGTGATTTGCTTCATCTTAAATTAGTTGTTCCAATCTATTGCTCTTGTCACTTCTGAATTACTGTGTCATTACTTGCAGCTTTATGCTTGTGATACAATGTATCTTCAGCTGTATATTAGAGCAATATTTTGTTTTGTGACTCTAGTATTTTACTTTGCCAAATACTGAGTGATCTACTTCAGTCACTTCGCCTGACCTAAAACGTGTAAACCTAGTTTGAATTCTTACTTATAACTTGCAGATTCTGAAATTTTGTAAATTCTGTTGTTTGTGTATATTATTCAAAGTGTAAAATAGTTGTGTATCAGCTCACATATGTTTACAAATGTATAAATTATATAAAAAAGACAAAAATAGATTTTTGTACATATTGAGCTAGTTGAACAATGGAAGAAGGAACATGAATCTGGGTGCTTTAGAAATGATATAGAATTAAAAATATTTCAGTCAGAATTTTTCGTCACAGTGTTTTACTTTACTGTAGCTAGTTATATACATTGGAACATGCTTGAATTGCCAGGTTTTGAACAGGGAATAAAAGTTGACTATTTATGGAGAGATAACTTAGGTTATCATTTCATTAAAAAATAAAATGTATCAAATAAATATTTCTGCGTCTTATATATTGATCTTGTACAGTGCAACCCACTTATGAGACCCTGTATCAATTACTTCAGGTTTTACATGGATTATCATAGTTTGCGTTTTTTTGACGAACATGCGCAGTCAACATGGATTCTGATCCTCCCACAATCACAACCTTGTTACCACAATAATAAACACGCGTGTAGCGTGGACGGTGGTTGAAAGCAAAGATGAAAGCTACTAAGCCAGCAAAGCCTCGAGTAAAGCGACCCCCAAAAATTAGCGCAAGTATAAAATTTGATTATTTTTTATGCTATGAACGCTTTGAACACCAACGTGTCCATTCTTTCATTAGCTTTCCTTCAATCTTATCAAAAGGAGTCTATATTTTTCTTCCTTGTTGGAAAACTGTGGAAATTATAGCCGTATTACTTCACGTCTGCGTCATAGATTTGGTAGATTTCTTAAAATCACAATTATTTCGCTCGGAAGCTGAATTGCCCGAAAAGGAAATAGGAATAATTAATGAAATGATTGAATGTTCAATCAATGGTCATGAACCAACGGTGAAATTGCGTGTTTTATGCTAAATATCATTTCGTTCAAAACATTGCGTACGTGTTACAAATTTTACAAAACGAAAATGAAATCAATTTCAAACAAATATACAAACAATTGTTTTTTTATCGTACTCTAGGGAGAGCTCCCGAAAATCATTTTGTCCTGCCATTACCATATAAGGAGAAGATGACCATATTTGTCGCTAAGGTCTACAACAGGCCGGAACTCTGTCAGTTTGTTGTATTTTTCCAAAATGAAGTGTATTTGGTTGTGTTTTGAAACCATTTACGCTATCTAGAGTATAATTTGGACAGACAAGGGAACCATAATGCCTGATCGTATTACAGTGAAACGATTTATCGAGGAGACAAGAGCTGATCTGAGTTCGCCCGTCACATCCAATTTTGCTGAACATTCAACTCTAAACTCATGTCGAGCCTCTATTACGAATTTAGAAGAGGTAACATTCACAGTATACTAAATATTTGAAGCCTTAAAAGGGAATTTTACTGGTTGCAACACTGTATAGCCTATATATTGTATCAGGATCGATAATATTTGAGTACTTGTGACAAGATCTAGGCCGAATGTAGAATGACATTTCTTGTTTATATATACGCTCGTGACAAAAATGGAAACATTAAAAGCTTAAACATTAATCTATTCCGTGATATATATCAACGTTTCTTTAAATCTACTCATTTTCTTTACTTCCTGTTAAATGTCGAGAAGTGTTTTTTCCAAGCCCTATTTTTACTTCATTACTTATTAATTTTGTTTATCGCAATGTTTACGTTCCTGCTGAAAAGATCGACGAGCGTTTAATGTCATTTCTAAGACTGTTATAGCTGTACAACTGGTACACTACTGTACAATTATCATTGAAAATTTTATCCAAATTATACGATTTTGCTAGCATATGAATAATATGTGATAAAACCTCTTTTAATTTCACCCTGTTTACAAATTATAATTATGACAAACAGGAACTTAATGAATTGTATATCACGTTTTGTTACAGTAGGCTATAATTTTAACTTTTTAATACATAAAAAAACCCTACATTTCCCAGTATTGCAGCCCAGGAAGTGGCAAATCACAGACTAGCTAAGAGGAAACATTTCCAATCTTGATCTTAGCTTTTCTGGAAACAACCTTAGCTATGGCTGACTGAGTTGAGCTATAGCTATACGCATCCTCTGAGAACATTTTAGTATACCACATAGAGGACAGCCAAATTATTTTTCTGAATATATTTCACCTTGCTATATTTCATGACTGCGTGAGCATATGCACTATAGCTTTTAAAGTCTGACAAACAGTTAATGGGCTGTTCTATAATGGAACAGGTGCACTGTTAATAAAGTTATATATTGTGTTATTGATTGAAGTCGTTTAATTTCATTGTATTTAGATTCTAGATGACAATCGAACACATTTACGCAACTTGAAAAAGTCTGTCAAAGGCCTAATGGAGGCAGGAAAAAGTAAGTAAAAGCAAATATTGCTTACAATAATTGCTAGCTATTAATCTATGTTTCTTTCGCTTTATCTAGCTTATGTCACAAATGAATGTTTACTTGCTGAGAATTTAGAGAGACTTGGGATGTTTGTTTTGTCAAAAGAAGCTGAACCAAGCATAGGTAATTTGTGTTACCACACTGTTTTATTTTGTGCTGGTCATTTATTTAACTTCTTAGATGTGCACATGTTTGCAATTAATGTATTTTTGATGTCTGATGATTCTCTTCTTAATATTTAGCAGTGCTAGTTCATGCATGTAGTGTGATTGTAATAATATTAATGATATATAACATTCTTTTCAGGAACAGCATTCTTGAAATTTTCTGTAGTTGCAAAGGTAGGAATTACCTATCTTATCCTATCCTATCCTACCTATTACGTATTAAGCTATTTATGTACATTAAATTTTATTCTACATTTCCAGGAACTATCTGCAATCATGAAGAATATGGTATTGTAAAATGCATTCAACTTTTTGTAACTGTAGAACCTGACCCTGTGTTAAAAATATTACAATATAATATTTTGCTTTCATGCTTTATAGCTTAACAATTACAACAACATTGTTTTATTTCCTCTGGAATCAATTTTGAAAGGTGATCTGAAAGAAGTGAAAGGGGTAAGAGACCTTTCTTTAGCAGAGTTAACAAGTCTGTGTATGATATGATATACAACTTGGCTATGCTACACTGCCTTCACATTTGTATGTTGCTATTCTGTTTGCAGGATTTAAGAAAGCCATTTGATAAAGCCTCAAAAGACTATGATGCAAAATAGTAAGTATAGATTACTACTTGTCTATTTTTGGTCATTGAATATATTTCTCAGATTTGATAAAAATTTGTAAATTTCATTTCAGTACAAAACTTGAGAAGGAGAAGAAACAACAAGCAAAGGAGTCAGGATTCACAAGAACTGAAGTTGCGCCACAAGAAGTAATAGTCAATAATATTAGTATTACCTTAATCTCAGACTTAGCAATAGCAGGTTACTTGATCATGTTCTCTGAAGTTGCGCCACAAGAAGTAATAGTCAATAACATTAGTATTACCTTAATCTCAGACTTAGCAATAGCAGGTTACTTGATTATGTTCTCTGAAGTTGCGCCACAAAAAGTAATAGTCAATAACATTAGTATTACCTTAATCTCAGACTTAGCAATAGCAGGTTACTTGATCATGGGTGTAATATTCAGTCATGTACTTGCCAACATCGCACTTGAGTTATATATATATTGGCATGCAATCTGTTCTAATGCAAAGTACACTTTGGAAAAACCTTTGCAGATAGCTGAGGAAATGGAAAAGGAAAGACGTTACTTTCAGTTACAGATGTGCGAGGTGATATTGGATTCAATGTGGACAATTTGCATATAAAATATCAGCAGAATACTTATTTACTTTGTTTTTAATTTAGTATTTGATTAAAGTTAGTGAAGTGAAAATCAAGAAAGGGGTTGATCTCGCTCAACATTTTGTGGATTACTACCATGCACAGAATACGTATGTCCAAATACTAAGAAATATGTTTGAAAATATATTATATGTGGTGATTAATGATAACTTTTTAATTATAGGTATTTTCTAGAATGTACTGAGTCGTTAGACAACATAAGAAGCTACACAGAAACTCTTGTCACTGAATTGAAACAGGTATAAAACTGCAGGCTATGGTCTGTGGATAGATTTGTTTGTACTGGTTTTTGTATCTGTTAACTTGATTTGTCAAAATATGTTGTAAATAAAATGAAATACTTTTTAAGCTAAGAATCAATCAGGAAGATGAAAAAAAAAATTTAATTCTGCTTCGTGATGAGGTGAAGGAAACCTTGCAGATAGATAGAGAGGTGTGTAATCCATTATCATGTAACTTTTCAATCTTGTACTAAGGTATAATGATAAATATTGTATTGTAATATCACAAAATGTTACACATTAAATGCAACTTTACATTAAATGTGGCTCAATATTCTGATAATTTTTGTTTCAATGCGACAAATAAAAAACTATTGAAAATACCTCCTCAACATGTGTCTGTAAGACAAAGCTGGTATACTGTACCTAGATGCTATGGATGTATGTGTCTATATTATTTAGAAAAGTCTTGAAAGAGCTGGTTATACTTTGCATGGTCAACAAGGTGATATAAATCACGGAACCATGATCAAAGGTTATCTGCTTAAACGAAGCGAAGGGTAATATTTTGTACTTTCCGTCTCTGCTGATGGTATCATGTGAAATTCTGATCAAATCTTTTATCATTTTAGAGTACGTAAAGTGTGGCAGAAACGCTACTGCGTTGTGAACAACGGGCAATTAACCTTAGCATATTCCCCGGTACGATATGACGCGCGATAGTTGTTCCTCTTTTAAGATTATCCTCCCTTTTTCGTCCATTAATTGCGCTTTTTTAGCTACCTCACAGCGGAATATCTTTGCCTTAATTGCTCTAAACCTCCTACACTCAGATTTCAGTATCAATTCGATACTTTTTCCTTTGTGTTACATTTCAGTATCAATTTGATACTTTTTTCTTTGCGATTCTTCTAGAACAGCGCTCCGAATCATACATTAAATCTTCTAACATGTCAAGTCAAGGTATTATAAATATTTTTATTTTTACCTTTAATTCCGTTCCATTCTTCATTTCAAATTTATCCTCTTCATCTTACAGGGATCTGTTGAAAAAGAAGGGAAAAAAAGTCCAATATTTATCCTGGTCACACGTATGTAAAATATACTTTAGTATCAACTGCCTTTGGATGCAGTTTTGTGGATGAATAAATGGCAGTATCTAGTTTCGTCCGCCCAAGAAGATGAACTTTTTCTCTTTTTAGACAACCGAAATTACCTTTTCCAAGCGGAAGATCACTCAGAGATGGAGCGGTACAGTGTTTAGCATTGTTTAATTTTGCCCTAATACCGTGTACGTTAGTTTATTTGAGAGAATTATCATTATTTTAGATGGATGTCCGTTCTGAGTAACAGCAGAAAAGAAGCGTTAGAGAAAGCTTTTGGCGAGCATGGGAACGGCCTGGTACGAGCATGATTGTTGCTGCGTTGACGGTTTATATTTGAAGATTGAATGACGAATATGTTTTCAGCAAAAAGACAATTCCACAGATGAAACATATGACCTGAGGCAGAGAATCGTTCGTGTTGTCCAAAGCTTGCCTGGTAATGATATCTGTGCTGACTGCGATGCTGTTGGTAGGTATTATTGTAAAAGATGATACTTGATACGTTACAGAACATTTCAAGCTTATAGTTGTGAGGTTCAGGTTTGACCACTACTATCGCTACCTCCCGCTGATCTATTGCGCTTTGTGATTGGTTAATCCGATAGAATTATCGCATTTGATTGGTTCAAAGTTTCCTCCTCCAATCCTAACGTGATTACCCGGCCTATACGTGTGATCATCAACTGAACTGAATGATCTTTTTCTCTAGATCCGACATGGTTATCAACAAACTTGGGGGTTTTAACATGCATTGAGTGTTCGGGGATCCATCGAGAAATGGGAGTTCACGTTTCTAGAGTGAGGTCGTTAACTTTAGATAACCTGGGAACAGCAGAACTCCTGGTAAGAGAATGAAATTTTCATCGTGCTTGGACGATCAACCGTGTTTGTCTATTTGGGCCATCGCATGCGCGGTCTTGCCCTAATCATCTTTTTAACCTCCTCCGAACAGCTCGAACAGCAATGTTTTATATTCTGTAGATTGCAAAAGCTATCGGAAATGGTGGTTTTAATGAAATCATGGAAGCAACACTTGATGATGATTTTGTAAAACCAAAATCAACCAGTAAGATGTAAGCAAGCACGTTGCAATCAACCAGTGTACCTCATGGATGCAGATACTCGAAAGGTTGTGGATTCATGATCAAAGTTTTAAAATTCTTCTTTACTTTTAGGGAAGAAAGAAAGCAATTTATAAGAGCGAAGTATATTAATCATCAATATGCACAAAAACTAGAGGAAAGTCCATCAGCGCTTTCTAAGGTATGTTCCGGGGAAATTCTATTTACAGTCAGCCTAAATAACTCTTTTAACTTAAAGGAAAGTCTTGTTGTTACTTATTCACTCACTCATTGTGATTTGCTTTGTGTTTAGGGCCTGGCCAAAGCTGTGCATAAGAAAGATATTTTAGCAGTTTTACAAGTTTTTGCTGAAGGTGTGGACCTTAGCGCACCAATGCATGATCAGGTCAGTTTGATGCTAGGAGAAGTAGTGTTGCGTCGTATGTAACTACAAAGTGTCTTCGCGTGTGGCTGCAATTTTGCTGCATGTTACTCAATTGATGCTTCGTGTTACTCAGACACTGTTTCATATTTCAGGATGGTAAACAAACGACTTCACTTCATTATTCAGTAAAAAATAATGAAGAGGACACCTCTTTGCATATCGTAGACTTTCTTGCACAAAACACGTAAGTTAAACACCCGCTATTTCCTATCTTACAAATTCAGAAATGATCGATATCTCAATCATATTTTTGTCTCAATTCTAGCACTAATATTGACGTCTTATCTGATGGTAATTCTGCTCTGCATCTTGCCGCAAGTCTCTCTAAGAGCGAGTGTATAAAAGTTCTGGTGCGAGCTGGTGCTAATTCCACTCAAGGTTAGTTCAACGACGACGCAGTAAAAATCTTCTGCTTTTAGAAAAAAAAAACTGTTCAAATTTGCAAGCTGGCGTGTAGTTTTCATCCTCGTGATTGATGTAAACGAGCTGGACAGCGATTTTCATTGCCAGCCAACAATATTAGGAGGTTTATTACGTATGATGTACAATTCTTGCTTCAATGTTAATGTTATTTTGTAGTGAATATTCATGGTAAAACAGCTCTTGAGATTGCCATAAGCGAGGGTCACAGTGACACCACAGAACTGGTAAATAATATTGCCTTTCATGTAGATTATTCGTGCCCATCCAGTTCACTTAGTTTCGTTGTTTTAAATGATAATAAATGCTCATCTTAATTTTCTTGTTCAGTTAAAAAGTGTTCAGGGAGGCAAACTAAGTCATTGTGATAACGTCAAGATAGACTGGGGTCTAGAACAGGTGCGATGGAATCATCGATTTTCGTAAATTCTCTGGAGTTAAAGTTTACTGAAACACTTTCTAACTTCAGGCGGAGAATATATACGAGGAACCTTGCAATTTTGGCGACCTACGCATTGATTTACAAAGTGAGGACGAAGGGATTGAGGAACCGGTGAAGGTGACAAGACCATTGCATTAGTTTTGTAAATTACTTGAGCTGTACTTTTACTTCATGAATATTACTCTATTATTCTACTTACTCGGTCCAGGTTCCCGCCACCCCACCGCGTAGCAAGCGTCGTCCAATCAGCATCGCTGCATTTCCAGCACAAGTCCCCCGCAATAGGACACCCGCAGGCAATGACGTTGACGTCGCACCACCTGCGTTTAATTCTGCCAGTCCTTCCATGAACGTCATCGGTGAACTAAAGAAAAGACATGGGTTAGGGGAGGACCTTAAAAAGAATCTAAGAAAGGTCGCACCTCCTCCCCCTCCTCCCACGTCAACTATACCAATGGCATTTACCGCGGGGACTGTTTACCCCTCAACACAACATTCAACGTTCACGAAATCACATCAACGCAGGTGTGTGGCTTGTTTGCCGTTTTCCTCGAGGTTTTTAAACACTCGCAATTCTGGTCGACTCGCAGAGGAAAGTCCTCCGCTTGAAACAATTTACAATCCTTCTTAAATATTTCAATCATAATCACAGTTGACTTAAACATAATTTTCTTTAGTAATTCAACACCTCACGAAGACTCTCCCCCTCCAACTCCGCCGGTCCGCGGGGCCTCAGTCAGTCGACAGTCGCGCACACCCGCTCCCGTCCCTAAAACACGTCCTATGTCCCCACCAAAGTTGGCCTCTTCCCAGTCTACTTCAGCATTAAATAGAAAACCGTCTAAAAAGTCTACTCTTGAAGGGTAAGTCTAGAGACAAGTTTTTGATCGTGGTTTGGTTAAACACTGAATCAATAATATTAGACCTCTAGGAAGAACAGTGTAGAACTGCATGATAGAGCTATCCAGTATAAATAAAATTGATTATGTCCGGCTAGAAAGAACTCACAGAGATGAAAATGTTCTTACCTCATTTTTACCATCTGCTATTCAATATAGACGTCCAAAACCTCCGATGGTCCCCAAACCGAAACTAGAAGATTTAAACGGTAATAATTAGTCTAACATCGCGAGATTCTAAACTTGTGCAAGAAAGATAACCATTTTGTTATTCTGAATCATGGTAAACATTTGCTAAACCTTTCTCTCAGATTCTAGGAAAGTAACCCGTACTTTATCGTCTTCCCCACCTTCCGTCCCTCCCCCTTCAGCACCACCACCCATAGCTCGGCCTATATCTCCTCCCACTACAACAATACGCGCCAAATCCCCCCCATCCATAGCCGCCACCCAACCTACAATAACGGCTGTACCCGTACCGACAACACAAGCCCAGATTCCTCTGAACACAAGAGTAACATCCCCTCCTACCAACCGGGTAGTGACCCCTCCTGCAAAACAAGAAGCAACCTCCCCGGATCTCCCTCCTCCCCCACGACCACCAAAGGATTTGAAATCTAAGGGTGACGAAAGTAAACCTACAGGAAATACCCCACCCCCTGAACTCCCCCCCAGGAATATATCACCCGCTGTAAGTAACAAAATCCTTTGATCTGGGGTAATAATAAAATAACAAACATCTCGCTTTTAAGTTTATTTTTCTTTTGTCCAATCATGAACTAATATTTTACTCTTTTGTATTCTTTCAAGTCATCAAAACCAAAAATTAAACGTGTTCAAGCAGTGTATGACTGTGACGCTGATAATGATGACGAGTTATCATTTACGGAGGGTGAGATCATTGTAGTTTCTGGTGAGGCAGACCCTGATTGGTGGGTAAGTTACACGTGATACACTTCACGAGTTCAACTACTTTACAGCGAGTAGGAGGATGTACGTTATTGAACCTCTAGGAAAAACAGTTTAGAACTGAAGTCCTAAGCATTTATAATCTTTTCAGATGGGTCATATTGAAGGAAATCCCAAGAGAGAAGGCGTGTTTCCGATAACATTTGTTCGTATCTTGGAAAAAGAGTAACCCCAGGTGTCATCCACTCCCCTCTCCTCCCGTGTGATCCACCTACCCCCCCTCCCCAACCCTACTATTTCTCTTATGGCGGTTATGAACCTTATGAAAGCAATGTTAACTAGTTACTAACAATTTATATGAAATCAAAACAGCAGAATATAATAATACAAGAAAAGTGAAAATAATGAAATGCTAAGAATTTAATATTTAAATATGACACTTCCTGTTCGGGTTGTAATTTAAATAAGACTGAAAACCGACAGTTGTAAATGAACAGTTTTAAAGATGTAGTGAAATGGCAAATAATTGAAACAAATGGAAGGTTGTAATGATAACTAAATACGTAATGTAAGATTAGATAATAAATATGACAACTCAACCCCATCCTGGTTTATCTACTTGAGGGTTTAGTTTAAGACAAAAGGATAATGTGTTTTGAAGCAGAAAGATACAACTAAGAAATATATCTTCATGTTCCCGTGGCAAGTGAACATGGATGTTTTAACCTTCATGTTCACTTCTCTAAGTCTAAGATTGGAGTACAAGCATTGCAAGAGAGTCTTGTCTTAAATAAATGAACAAACAGTATTTTCTGTCTTAAGAATAGTATATTACTACACTGGAAATGCTTGTCCATTTGAACCTCTAGGGTCGGTTGAAATTTATAAGAATTGTCAGAATTTAGAAGAATAAAGAAGAACATTTTGTACAATGTTTTTGTCTGTGCATATTTTAATTTGGGCTGTGGGGTTTGATATGATCAGTTCGATCACCTGGAAAAGGTAAACTGGATTTCGATGCTTGGACAAAAAACCCTTCGTTGAAACGTCGAAATTCAGGTGTTCTTTCTCATCAACTCATCTATCGAAACACTCAAGTGTCGCGCATCTGGGGTCGTCTTAAATTGTCAGTACAATTCGCATAATATACAGGACAGAGATGTTCTATCAATTGATCCCATGCATCACAACTTTGACTACTCACGAAAAATGATTGTTCTGACATCCACCGTTCCTCTGTCGTTCCTCCGTCGCGATTTCGTCATTCCTCCGTCGTGTTGCATGAGTTGACAAATAAAGGTAGAACTTCGTAACCGGCTCACAATTGCAACCTAAAAGGTAGTAAATTCCATTAGATTGACTATAATTATCGTACCACTCTCTCTGTACCAGCGTTATTGTTGGATAACTGGCTTACAAAAGGAGTTACAAAAAAGAATTGAACTAAGAGATGCAATGGTACTTCATTTAAACATTCTCGCTTTAAAAAGACGTAGTAAAACAAGCGAGTTCTTGAGATTCTTTAAAAATTCTGACGTTTGTTTTCTAATGTTTTCCGGTAGAAGAAGTAAAGCCCCCTTAACAGGTCTGCAGGTTCCCATACAAGGCTCCCAGCTTGACCATTGCGCGTGACATCGTGCTGACGTGAGACGGATGGAACGCGCGCAAAATAAACGAAAACACGCCTAACATGCGCAGAAAATGTTAATTTTAGTGCCTATAAACGTATTTTGAGAATAATGCTCTTTGGACTTTGAAGTATGCTAGTAATTCTATTTAGTCAGCATGCGCAACTCTCTGGCTAAATTCTAGTTAAGACGGATGAAAAATCGACTGAAAGATGCAAAGTACAACTTAATACTCTTACTGTAATCTAGTCAATTGCAAACTCAAAACTGTTCAGTAATTAACTGTAATTATGTCTTCAAGGATTAATTACCAAACGGGAAACACTTCCTATATTCCACTGAGGCAATTATCGTTGTAATTTTCAATACACACGCAATAATATTGCTGAATAGCGGCTGACGCATTACTGCATAATCAGTGATGAAATGTGCTAACAAGATACATAATTTTTATCATACTCATATGTCCGAGTGAATATTATCAAGCCTGATTTACCCACTGCACCATTTTTTTGACTGAAAATGTACTTATACACAACGACCTCAGAGAGAAAGAAGCACGCAGTGCTGATAATCGCAGGCTACATTGATTGCCTGCATGCTACAGGGAATTCCTCAGAAGCCACCGCAAATTAGACGTCAAGCAAATTATATATTAATTAAGACTATACCATTGAACTAAGAATAAAACTGTGAATGCATTGGGTTTGGTAAGAGTGGGAGAAACAACGTGCTGAATCAGGGCGTGGCAATCATGATATGTTTCCCCTACAACAACAATTTATAATCTCATACATATCCTGAGATTATCTTAATCAATCGACTTCCCAATTTTGTTTTTATTTCCAGAAAACAGGCAGGTTAGCTTAAGAAAGAGGAACCCTTTAACCAGCTAATCAAGTCTTGCTCGACTCTCAAATTATTCGTGCTACTTTTGGAAGTAAAACAGTTCTGTCTCTGAGATGAACTTAGGAACGAACCAATTATTAACCATCTGCCGTATTTCAGAATGTGTGCATTCCGTTTAACAGATGAGAAAAGAGGAAATTTGCACGAAATAATTTGTTACGTTTGCTCTTATTAAGTTCCTTAAAAAACGGGCGGTGCCGACTTCCGTGCCAAACGTTTAGAAAGAGAACTAATTCACCTGTCCATCTTACAAGATTTAAACATGGTTTCTCCCGCTATGAAGGTGCTGGATATATAAAATTATTCCTATCGATTAAACCAGGCAAACAAAAGCATCCTAATTGATTTTGAAGACTATTTTCAGCCCAACTCATTAAAATTTAAGGAAATAGACTGGCATGCATTTATCATGCTACTGGTGGTAAAAAATTGAGATTTGGACTTGTCATATACCCTGTTCTAACCACCTCAAAAAAGGCCATTTTGAACAGTTTGTTGACGGAGAAAAAATACATACTTTTCATGACGAGGTCATGAAAAATCCACCGAGATGCATTAAGAAAGATAACTAGTTTTAGATCATTTTGAGCAATTCAAAGAGAAATAAAACCAATACTTGAACAATCTGTTGAGAATTCCTATTAATCGTATCTTAAAAACAAACATTATTAGCAACAAAATTGAGAAAAAACCTTCCAAGACATGAGAACTAAGGGTTCGGTTTGAACTGATACCTGAATAAAGCCTGGCTTTAGCACAAACACGGGAGAAAACCAATCAATTTCTTGCGAATATTTCTATCAACGCGATGATGACAAATAAGGGAAACATGTGGGAGATTAAGTTGTGCTAAAATTCTTCCCATACACGCTAGGTTTTTGACGATCCTAGCTGTGCAATTAAGAATGAAAACATCGTTTCATTAAAAGGTTTTGCGTACTTTAGCACGGAGAGTTTTTGCGACGAACTAAAAATACAGGGTTCTACGAAATATTCTAGAAGTAATCTGGGATACATTGTTTGCACGGAAGTGATTTTTTACAAGAGGTGAACGTATTTGTGTGGCTGACATGCAGGGTAACCTCCCGAGAACCAATGTGTTGAATTGACGACCCCATATAAAGTGCGTAGGTTCCGGCGATAGGTTAATTATCCAAAAATAATTTCATGATCCCAAGAACCGGTGGTATTGCTATGTCTAACACGATGAAGAGAACATGCAGGTTTTGCACGAGTATTTATGTGAGGCACAGAAGACTCCTTACTTCACTTCACACAGAGAAGACGAGGGAGAACAAACAAGAAAATTTAAGGACAAGAAATCCCGTGAATTAAAGAAGATATCTGGGGAAGAACGAAAACTTGGTTATAGAAATATGCTTTTTCTTTTCACAAAATCCTGGTTTTCAAAGTCTGTGCTATTACAGATCTTCAGTCATTTAATAATGAATACCAAGCCACTGCATTTTCTACTACTGGTTCTAATGTGGGAACTAACCTGCACAACAGAGGCAAAGCCAGTGGCAACAGCTAGGAACGCATATAAAAATGTCACCATGGTTAGCAAGGCCGGACGATATCTTACCATTGGTACACAAGGGATCACTGGAGAGTATTCCTCGAGTGTTTACGGTAGGAATAATATCTATATATAGAGAGAGTTTTCTTGCATTGCTAGATTATTTTTGAAGTGCAAAGGAAACGAACGTCATGCATTGCCTTCATGCTACAGAAATAAATCCGAAACAAATCTCGCATACCTCTGCAATGATTAGAAACTAGTTGGTTTAAGAAGGCAGAGATATTCCTCCATGCCACTGATCCTGAAGACACGAGTCGTGTGTATAAAAGAAATTCTTAGAATAAAGGAATTTGTGTATTTGAGGTGAAATTCCATTTGGGGGATCTTATTTCGTTATGAATTTAATTTCCTCTGCGCAATAGAGATGATTAGAAAATTTACATCGCTGAGTATAGGAAGCACTTTGTCGATTTTTGTGAGCTTGAAAAGATTTATAAAAATGAAACCATTGGGATTAGGAAGATTTTCATCCCTTGCGTGTACCATCGTAATGCCGGTTTGTTATCTTATTGGACTGGCGTTTGTCGTCTGATCTAATGTTGCAAAAACTTCATTGTGATGTATTGGAATATTCCTCAATTTGTAACTTACTCTCACATTGAATTCTGCGGCATGGACAGTGTTTTCATTGCATTTATGCTTTATTTCTTTTAAATTCAGCCAAACTTGAATTACATACCATCGGATTTAACGGTGAAATATGGATAAAGGGAGTGAAGACAGGAAAATATCTGGCAATGAACAGCACCGGACGAGTATCCTTAGTCGTAAGTGTTGTTGAATTTAATAAAATGTTATTTCAAGATTCGTATGAGCGAGGATAGAAGAGTACGAAATGATGAAGGTGTTTACTCTAGGAGGAAGTTTACTCTCGTCATAAAGATATTAGTCGTTATACTTTTCAATGAGATCATTTCACTTAATGATTGAGCCATAGTGTCACCGGCCATGAAATGCGATGTCAATCACAAAGCAGAAATAATGCTGTTCAATGCAATAAAACACAGAGGTAGTGCACTGTAGCCTATTTACTAAGAGTGTACCAACAAGTGATCTTAATTTGTCAGAAAAAGATCCAGACATTAATTACCGTAGTTTGTTGTGCTTTGAGAATTTTGACTCTCACATCTCCCCGACAAATCCAAAAACTATCCTGACAAAACTCCTGACAACTTTTTTTTCTCTAGACAAGCGCAACAAGTGAAGCAGTGTTTATTGATTTACGAAAGATTACAACGCCGTTTAGTTTCATTAGATCAAAATCACACCCAACGAGATATCTGTCGATTTCTCGGACTGGAGCAGTTAAAGGGATCACGAATGCAAAGAGCGATGATGTAAAGTTTGCTCAATTTCCAGTTCTGTAATTTCCAGTTGCGTCATGAAAGATGCACAATTATAGTAATTTTAGAGATAAGTGAAAACAGATAACTAATAGTCTACGGGTATTTCAACAAGTGCATATCAAACTACAAGGTCACCTAATATCGCTATCAATACAAACTAAATATAAATTTCCAAATGGAGTAGAAATATATAATAAAACTTTCAGTCCTAGTTAATTCACCCTGTTGTTCTTGGTGTAATGGCATAGTCAGTCTTTATTGTCTGTAGTCTTAATATATACCCAAATATCTCCTCGTATAGATTATTATATCATATCGATTACTTTAAAACAAGTTACTACGTCATATAAATAATGATTTTTCTTTTGGTAGAAAAAGATAATCGCATTAGTATTTATAATGGAATATAGAAGAGGTAGATATATACACAAACTCTATAGATATTTGCTACATTTTCAGAGAAAATTTAATTAATTTAATTAGGCCAAACTAATTTTAGTGTTAAGTTAATAAAGAAAAATCATGAATGAATATCTACTGATGTCACCGCAGTCTGCTCAGTCCTAAATTAATTAGTTAGACTGATGTCAAAATTATAAAAAATTCCCCCAAAGGTCAGATCCCTGAGCAAAACAAGCGGCATTTTGCCGGCATGGTAATAACGAATAAGTATAAGCTTAAGTTTCTCTGTTAACAATTGTAAACAGCTTATATATACGTTCGTAATGGCAAAAACTGAATCAGCCTTTCTCACAAACACGCCGCCATTTTGAAGATACTTCTAATTCTTTTTCAAAATCCACGACGTGCACGAGACCTGGTAACGGGAAGGGTTTTTTAAATTTAAGCTAAATTTTTTCTGTGACATCTGAGTAAACTCAAGGTTCCTAAATCCTAAACATTGCTGAAAGTACCCAAAAATGACGGACATTCGTCGTTGGGAGAAAGGCTGATTGGCAAAAAGTATAATTTGTTTGTTGAACGAAATATACTTCTGAACATTCACGGTTCCTAAGTTTTTATGGTAGAAATAATTTGGCAAAAAAGATGCCAAATTGACGGTGATAATCCGATATTCTATTTAGAACTAAAAATATTACCAATATGAAAGCAGGGCTAAGTCCCAATTCTGGGGCAATAAGGGCTAAGTCCCAATTTTGGGGCAACCCATGGAAAGAGACGTGCTAGTGCTCCTGGGAAAACATACAATTAAGCTGATATTTTTCTACAACAATACACTCACAGTCTTTCAACCTCAATCTTACTGCGTGCATATATTTCTGTGTGACTACATCGAAATTATAAGTAAACAACCCTCGTGTTAATGGGAATACTTTGTATCCGTTTTTAATTACGCGAGCTAAAATAATTTGTATTGTTTTGGAGTTAAATTTCGGTTCTCACACTATGTTTTCCTGTGAACTTTGGATAGGAAAAGGCTGAACAGTTTTCTAGAAATACTTTATTAAAAGGATCTCCTCATTTCGAGCAAAGTGGATCCACTAGAGCGTGTAGATTAATGATGTAACGATCAAGCCATGATTATACAACCTGCTACTTTAGACTTGTCAATTTGATTTATGGTTTCTTAACTTGTTTACATTAGTGCCAAAGTAACTGCCTTCAGGTTCACAGTCAAGCCTGCTGATTCAGTGTTGAGGATATTTCACACATATTAGATCGTGAATGATTTTATAATGGTGGATCAACAACCTCCAGGCCAGCCATAGCCATGAGGCAAATCACACAGTGAGAAGTAGGTTGTTCATTTGAGAACGCCAAAGGGCAGTTAGAAAACACAACTGAGTGAAGACTTTCAGGCAAACATAGGAGCCATGGACGCGATTTTTTATGATGTAACAACTACTCTATGTAATGATATTACCACAATGACGATAGCACAGATATGGTAGAAAAGATTGTGACATATTTCAACAGAACTGATGAAGATATATTTACTAATTATTTGCCTCAGCACACGCAGATTTTACTAAGAAATACCTTCACAGTACCGATAAATATACATATATCAGTTTCGCACAAATAAAAAATATCACACAAATAATGGCCTTATTCGCGTAAAAAGACTTCCCATATTTCATAATTATCTCGTGGGAAGACCAGTTATGAAATACTACAAGTGGCTTAAATCCCTCTTAAAAAACTTTCAAAGTGAATGGTAGAAAATTTGGACTGTCTATCACAAGACGAAGGTAATTACTAGAGAGTTACCCAGGATATCATTCCAGACGAATGACATAATCCAAGACTGTGACTCACAGAAGATATGGGCATGTTGCCAGGTTTTTAAGATTGTTATTCACGCAAAGACCGTGCTGCGTTTACGAAATTAGTTTTTTTTATAGTGCGAATACTTCATTGTCACACGTATGTCCTTAGACGCTGCGTAAGGGAGTGTGACCCAAACGGAACAATATAGACGTAAATCACGTAATCTAGAACTAGGGAACCATGTTTTTACTGAAAAAATGCAGTCACCGATGATAAAGCAATGAATTAAAATAATTAAAACTAATATAGGCATGGTGTGTGGGTGACATTGGGTCCTGCAGGTACGGAGAGAAAGTCGCTGTCCCAGGGACAAAATCTTCAGTAATACTAAAGTATAGTTGTTGTATAGTTGTTGCTAATCGTGGATTCTAATGCCATATTTGGCTTTTTTTTTGACAAATTTTTAATATCTTTCGTTTCAAATTGGGCAGTCAAATGGACATAATTCTTCAGGAATGGTCGCACAAAAAAATTCATAAATGGACCTCTTCCATAATAGACCAACTCATTATCCAGGTGACAAGGATGAAATAAATCACCACAGTTAAAAAGAGCATACCGAAATTAGTATAATTGCCAAGTTTGGTTTCAAAATGTCAAGTAGCACGGAAAATATAGCCATGCGAATTTGGCAATTTTGTATACTTTTCTACTACGGCCGGAAGCGTGTAACTAATTTAGTTACACACGTCCGGCTGTAATAGAAAAGTATACAAAATTGCCAAATTCGCATGGCTATATTTTCCGCACCTTACAATATTTCGCACCCAAACTTGGCAATTTTACTAATTTTTGTATGGACTTTTCGGAAATTCTCTTTTTGTCTTCAAACTCAAAAGTTGGTCTATTATGGAAAAGGTCCATTATTCGCATCAGTCCGCCTAGAAAAAGCGCTCGTGAAATCCTGAATTTCTATCATAAATTTCGCAATTATAACTGCAGCTTGAAAACAGAACTGTATTTTTAAAATAGGCATGTTCTAAGCAAAATTAGAACAGAAATTTTGAATTATTTGTTTCAAATTATTGCGTTCAAGTCAAACATTACATTTCTCACACGCCAAATGCATTGAAAAGATGAAAACAATAGCTATTGTTTTAGATAGCAATGATTTTGAATGGTTTATCAAGCCCTGTTTACACCGAAAATCCTCCACAAATTTCATGAGACAAAGTTCTTTTGCTATGTGCAGGAGGAAGTTGAGAGATTATGTATTAGAACGAAAGAATAAAAGCTAATTTTTGATATCAAACACTGAGAATTTGCCAAGGAAAACATGCTCAAGTAATGGGAACTAACAGATAAATATATAACTCCTACTGTTTCAACTGTTAAAATTAATACGGCTAACCGCTACCAGAAAGCTGTTTATTTCAAGTCACATTTAAAAGACGATTTTGAGGACTTTCTGGGTAATAATTAGTCTCAATAGTTACCTCAATTTTAAACAGAAGCTCTCTAGTACAAAATGTACAAAATGGAGCAAGTAAGCACCATTTAAAACATCCCTACCGCTCTAAACGCTTACTATATTTAACAAATGAAAAAGAAATTTACCTTCCAAATGTTTATTGTGGCTTTTCATTGCTTCCTTGTCTTGAAACAAACAAAAATTCAAACAAAATCTGCCATTTTTGTCCTTGGTGTGTAAATTGTAATCCGGACTTCAAATTTTCCCGCCGTGCCTCGAAGCGGGAATCCGGGACATGGAGGACAAAAGATAGCCCCATTAGGGGTAGGCTAGTGTTGTAACTAATCAGTAATTAATTAAACTGTACTTTTATTACAAAAAAATAAATTAAAAGTCTGAAATGTGATTAGAAATATAATTTGAAAAAGGAAGCAACCATTTCTTTAACCAAAGCTGTTCAAAATCTAGTTTGACTGAGTCGGACTGACCCCTCCTCGTCGATGAAAAGTTGAAAGGAAGCACTACTTGGTCTAAACTTGCCATAGCATTTGGCACGCCTGGTTAGCTGGGCTAGCCCCATAAACAGCTTTTCAATGGGTACTTATAGCTAGTGCTGTTCATATGAGGAAGGACATGTTAATAGATTCACATTCAGTGGCCATAAGAACAATTCACTTCAAAAAGAAATAAGGTAAAACAAGAGCATATGATACTGTGAGAAAATTATTAAATTTACTGATGTCTATTTCTTTCTTAATTTCATATTTTATGATTTACATATTAGCTGACTCCTTTACAGACTTTCTAAATTTAACTACAAGTTTTTTAATTGTCTTCACAAGTATGTCGACATTATCAAGGTATATTGTATTAAAATCATTATCAACTATAATTCTTTCACTATTTGGGAAGGACTTGGTCACCAACATCTGCTGGTACTGATACCATAGCTTATTAAATGACCATGGCAAGAAATTACTGTAGTTCTTGCTGCTTATTATGTTGACACTTATATTTTGAGGAAAAGGTTTTAGTTTCTGCAAGATCTTTAGTTGAGACAAGCTTTCATTTGTGTAGTAATGTTCCATTATACCAGCACTCAGGTGTTGCGAATTACAGCACAAATATTTCAGTCTTACAATAGCGTCAGTTTTAAAGTTATCATTTTCAAGGATTCTTGGTTTATAAAGTCTGGTTATTATTCCCAAACGTGTCACTCCAAGCAATGCAAGGAGCTGATTGATTTGCAAAGATGGAATTATGTGGTCATACCAAAGTCCCAACCAATCTTTGTCCATAAACATATTTTCATGGAAAGGGTTTACCAGAACCACTGCAAAGATATCTTCATAAAATCTTGCATAAAATCTTGCATTTACAGCGCCTAATCCTCCACCAACTAAGAGAATGTTATTTGTATTGTTTGACAAGGTTTTAAGTAAATAGCGAATGTCAGCCACCATATTCTCAGTGGTTGGTCGCAGTTGCTCGTATTTTAAGTTGGGTGATTCCGATGTAATATTACTCATTTGGTTGTCATGGAGGTGCTGTGCAGCTCTTTCACTGAACCCAATACCAGCGCGGTCATATACACAAACTTTTGTGAACTTTGCAACTTGTGTCTGCACCAACGACCACATATCCGAAGAGTACCCGCCCGGTGCATCCATCATTACCACAGGCAGGCCTTTACCCATACAATGCATAAACAACTTTCCACGTGGTCCATCATGCATCTTGCCATGTGATTGTAAACTAATGGCTTCTCTTTGCAAAGATGCATAATTCAAAAATGGTGGAATAATTATAATCAAAACAACTACTTTCAAAATTCCTAGAAATGGGCCACGACAGAACGATTTACGTGTCTCAATTTTCACCACGTTTTCAGCATTCGACGCGGACGACGTATCAACACGTTGTGTCTGTTGTTCATGACTGTTCAAACCATTTCTAGTTCCATTTTCTCCTGTTTTCTCTTTTGCAACATCGAGTTGTTCGTCCCCGACATGATTCTGTCCAATATTTCGATGTTTCGCGGAAGAATTTTGCTTAGCTTTTCGCCTCATTGTTCCAGAAGTGTATTCAACGAAAAACGGCGCTAGATGATAATTATTACAGCAATGGGCGAACCCGCTGTACGACTGCTTGCAGTTAATACTACCAGAGATCCAGGTGTCTCAGTGTCTGGTATGTAACCTACCAACCAAGTATATAATACAACACATAGAGTAGACACAATCAGGTCAGAACATTTAAGGTGACAAACATCATGTCATTGTGCAGCATTAGGACAGTAGTTCCAGTTGGCTGAATTTTTCGATCAAACAAAAATTTTTTGGTTCATGTTCTTTTTGATTGTGACAAGGTGAAGGAAATCTGCTACGCTCAAATTCTCATAATTGAGAAGATGGTAAAGCAAAAAATTTTGTTCAATTGAAAAATCCAGTCTAGCTGACCACCCATATTCTGGTAAGCCAATCAACGGATTTAACTGGCTTGTTTGCCATTACTTTAGCCAGTTAATAAAACATTAATTTACTTCCTGCCCAATCAAAAAGCTAGAAAGCAGCTTGCCCACCATTTAAGTTCATAAAAATCAGGGAGACTTTGGACCACAGTATCAACTTATTTTTGCTATAATTTTCTATTCTTCTCACTTGAATTTTCCAAGTATTCTCTTAGATTTTTCACATCACCAAACACCTCATGCCAGTCTGGAAAAACTATGGTCAAATCCGACAATTTACGATCTAGAATTGGTATCAATGCTTGCGAGACAAATCTGTTGCCCTCAACTGAAAGATGTAGACCATCTAATAAAAGTTTTTTCCAATTCTAAAAGTTCATGGTGATAATTAGTGGCAAAATAACATGGTTGGTGACTCTTCAGTTGAATTGTGAAATGGAACCCACAAAGGATAAAAATCAAATAATTACAATTTTTAGAACTTACTTCAACTTTTTGTGTTTCAGTCCACAAATCAAGAACTTCAACTCCTAGTTCAGATCCTATCTCTAGACATGCTTTGGCATATAGTTCCATAGTACTGTTCTTCAGTGCCATTGTGTACCCTAAAGAACAATCACAAGAGTTAAATATTTACTTATTGAAAGCTGGTATCATCATCTCAGCCTCTTGGGGCCATATCACAGCAGGTGAGAAAACCACAGGCAATTGAAGCGTTAGTTCTCAATTGAAGCTTGATCACTATTCCTTAATTGCCATCAAAGTACTTTCAGGGGATCCTGGGCTCCTCTGAGAACAGAATACTTCCAATATCTCCCCCCCTCTGTTGCCAGCCGTGGTGTCTCCCTTACCTTTGAGTTTACAATGTTTTGTCCAAGCTTCTTCATCCATAACTGGAGGTGTTATTAGAACTTGACGATCAAATGCCACTCCAACATTTTTGAACTGACCACAAATATTCTTCAGGTTTTCCTTGTACTCATCAACCGGAACATGTCTTGAGTTTTCAATGCCGGCATCTTCACAATCATTGCTTCCAAGTAATATTGCAGCAGCAACGATACTACCTTTAGGATTGTTATCATTCGACAGTAGTCTGGGTAAGATCAGTTTGTTAGCTCGTGTCGTATAACCACTAAAACCACGATTTATCACATCACATTTCCTGAAAGACGGAGATGACTATTAGAGCGTTTTAAAATCATCTTCATTCACTTCATTGAAATAAAGTTGGAATGACCTAGCTAAAATAATTGACACACAAAATATCACAAACCTCTGAAAATGATCTGCAACAGCAGAACCAAATCCACCAGGTGAAAAGGAAAACTACACAATGAATATACTTGTTTATAGTGGCTTTTCTTTACAATTTTCACAATTTTGCACAGTCACCACAGTGGATGTGCGGTTACTGTGGTATTTATGTCATATAATATGATCTAAAATAACAAGATGCTATGATTTCTCAAAGTTAAGGATACGTTTAAGTTATTACCTGTGTTAAGGAGTCACCAAATAGTATAATTTTTGGAAAATAATCGATAAGACTAGAAGCTAAATTTAAACTTGCACTGCCAGCCGCCATCTTGAATTTGATCGAATGTACAGTATACTGGAATGCATAGAATTTTCCTCTTTTGATGGATGTGAGCAAGTAATTAGTAACGAATGCTATGATGGATAAGAACTCTTATTTGAATATCAGTAACTAATTCACTCATTTACATCTATCAAAAGAAGAAAATCGCAACATTAAAATAGATATTACGTAAGACTGTAAACTTTCCGCTGGAAACTCACAGGACCCACGCGCGCGAACTTTACGCGCGATACATCACGCGGGACGGCAGATGTTTACTTTCAACAAGAATGCATAATTGCTACTGTTTGTTTAGCTGACCTTACACTAAATGAGTCTCTAAAATGGGTTTTACAGAAAAACTGTTTGATGATCTCGCGCGATCTAGTGGAATCCCAGCGGACCAGGTATTTCGATTTTTCTGATTCGTGCTTCTTAAAATATAAAACAATATTTATCTATCGTAGTCGCGTTGTTTACAAATGCTAATATTCAATAATTAGAGTACATTTGTAACATATTTGTAATATATACGAAGGAAACGAAGCTGCTTGATAGTCTTCGCCAAGAGAACTTGAGATATTTTCAATGCATAGAATCTAAAAATGAAAATATTTCCTTAAGGTATAATTTATGTATGTTTCAACATGTTAATGTTTAATACCTGATGTTTAATAACTAATCAACAGGCTGATCTGAGCAGCGATGATGGTAATTTCGATTGACATTGACAGCAGTCACAGCACTTGACCATGTCATGACTGTGTGAATGTTACTTAAATGGGGGGCTTCCAAATGTTTTTATAAACCACTCCACTTTGGTGCATTGTTTTGATTATTTATTCAACCTTGAAATGGACAATTATTTTTTAGGCAACCACTCCCTTTCTCATTTCAGATCAGTGTCATTGTGGGAATGCTGGTGACATTATTTCTTTCAATATTATATAATCTATTTTTGTCACCTCTAAAAGTTGGTCGAACTACAAGACTCGCTTTTGGCGTTGTCTGGGGCATTGCAATTGGTTGGTTTTGTTATACTAGGTTTGTGGATCATTACTAAACACGAGAACCAGTCTACAATGATTCTTCCAGCCACATTGTATTGAAATATATATTGGAAAATACTTCAACATTTTCTTATCTTCTTCTAGTGATATGATTCAATTAGTTATCTTATTGCTGTTATCTTACTATATTATACAAACCGTTTCACCTCAAGTAGTTCACAGGTAATACAAACATTGATTAAATCCCATTGAGAGCCCCACTTATACGGTATATTGGACCATCCTGATGTAATATATATATTTTTAGGTATATTTTCACCTTGGCAATGTCATGGTTGTCAATCAATCATATCTATAGACAGGTGACAGACTATGGTGGCTATAAATTAGACATAACAGGGTATGAACTAGCTTGTTTGCATAAAAGAAATAACAGTTTGTCAGAGTAATGTAAGACTCGTCTCCACCTACTTAAAGAAAGTGTAACTGTAGCACATCTCTAAACTTCCTATGCCCTTATCATCAATGAAAGAGTTTGCTTGTTAGAATGCTCTTATCCACTATTTAAATATATTTTGCAGACCATTAATGCTTATCACTCAAAGACTCACTTATGTTGGTTTTGCTGTACATGATGGTAATATTCAAAATTTATAGCAGTGATGATGATTGATGATTTTGATTATCCCAGCAGAATTTAGATGGGATTCAACTAATTTCATTTCATTAAGGTCTTGGAAGAGATCCAAAAGAGCTCACTCATGAACAGAGACAACACAGTATAAAGTACTTCTATGTTCCAATAGAAATAATGCATTTAAATATAGTGACAAAAATCATTGTGAAAAGCATTCTTTACCTTAAATCACAATTGTTTTCATCTGTTAATCTTGGGAACACTTCTTTCTGTAGAAAAAGACCAAGTTTCTTAGAATTTTTTAGCTACATCTTACACTTCAGTATGCTGTTAGTTGGACCTTCATGTAGTTACTATGAATTCATGGAATTTGTTGATGGTACCAACATGAAGGTAATAATAGTCAATAATAACCATGTTGGATAAATGTTGCACCTGGACAAAAATCTTATTTAAATAATGATGGAACATACTACCTTTACTGCCTTCACTGCTTTACTGTAGGGCTTTAAACAATCTGGCAAAGCATATCTTCCTATGGTGAGTTTATTTCCAATGATGCTGAAGAAATAAAATGGAAATGTAGAGGATAATTGAGATAACATATCCCCATTTTCTTTTATGCAGGTGACAGCAACCAAGAAAATTTTACTATCATATGTATTTCTTGGAGGTCTTGTATTAGGCAATGCTCTTATATCCCCAAAAACATGCATCGGTAAGAGATTTTGCACATATACCAACAAGGGTTAATAGGGGTAGATTCCTAGGGATGGTTGTTCAAATCATTCCATGAATAGTGCTTATCCCTTGGATGATATGTTTTACCCTAAGCTAATAGTTAGATAAAGACTTACCCATTATGTACGGTATTATATCAAATGTTTTCTTTCACAGATCCAGAATTTATGTCCAAGTCATCATTGCTCACTAAAATAATATTTAGTTATATTGTAATTGCGGCAATAAAGATGCGTTATTACTATGCCTGGACATTTGGTTAGTGAAACTTGTGGTATTTATGACACAATTAAGAGTTGGTTCTTCCACTGATATTCTCTTTTGTTCAGCTGATGGTGTTATAAATGTGGCTGGCATGGGTTACAATGGGTTGGATGAGAATGGGGAAGCTCAATGGGATAAATTCACAAATGCAAAAATTAAACAAATAGAGGTAACTTAACTTCTTTTCATTCATGCACAAAGCCATCTGTTAGCACAATTACTACACCCAATACAGTTCAAACTAGCCTATGAAAGACTAATTTACAATCCTCAAAGGTGGACTACCACTCATAATTAAGTTAGAGTATAACTTTTAATTATTATTGTGCTTAATTCTATCAGCTTGGCACAAACTCTCGCACAATCCTTAAAAATTGGAATATTGGAACTGAAAAATGGCTGAAAAGGTACCCAGTTAACTTATTTTGTTATTTTGAAAACCTCAGTGTTTTCAGAACTGTCACTGAGTACCAGAACTTGATAAGTTATATAATATTACAGGATAATATATGACAGATCAAATGATAACCTGACTGGTGTCTTAGCAACATCAGTTACCTCCGCATTCTGGCATGGTTTTTATCCTGGATATTATTTATGTTTTGTTACTGTTGGTTTCCTAACTCTCTCTTCTAGATTGGTACGTTATAACATTATTTACTCTACCTTTGAAGTTTGTGTCTACTATTTTCCACTCCAAACATTGTACAATCTTTTGACATTTAGGCGAGGCGTTCATTCCGTCCCTATTTTCAAGAAAGCAAGGAAAAGCAGATATTTTATGACATTTTAACATGGTTGATAACCTGCAGTATGGTGGTTTATTCATGCATTCCTTTCGTGTTGCTTGACTTGAATTCAGGATTCATTTTTTGGAGGTAAGATCTCTTTCAAATGACCTCGTTGTTATCATGTGTTGAACCAATTAAAAAACAATGGATAATAAGTTCAGATGTCTCAGATGTTGATGTCTTCAGCAAATTTGAAAAATATTTACAATTTTCATAGAAGATGAAGTTAGCCTCAGGGAGAACTTAGAGCAGAAATCCACGCATGCACATTGACCAAGTTACGAGGCTTTTACCCAGTTTTTTTTTCAAATTAAGGTCCTTGTACTTCTATGGTCATATTGTGGTACTACTGGGATTCGCCTCCCCCTGGATCAGTGCTGCCCTTGGCATGAAACGTGAAGAAAAGAATATAAAATTGAACGGACCACGAGAAATGACGGAGGAGCCGATCAATAGTCGCAGGATAGATGGTGGACTCAAACAAGAATAACTGTAATAATTGTAAATTGTAATAATAATTTAAGGGTATTTATTGTTGATGTTTAAAAGGTTGGGTATATAACATGGCTTATATTGTAGTATGGTAGTGATGCACTGGTAGTGATGCACTGGTAATGAGACAATCCATTATGGTTAATTTTGCACAATGTTTCCTAAGAATATTCATTTCACAATTAGACTTTAATAAACTATTTTAGAATGGTCGTCACAATTACATAGTTAGGTTTTATAAATAATTATATATATTGTATAAATTATTAATAATAATGTACGTAGTTAGTTAGGTTCAGGGTAAAGGAATTACATGTATAAAAAGTATGTTTCGTCTCAATTTGTAATAGTCGAAGGCTTGTTTTCCACTCCGTACCATGACGACAGGTAGCCTATATATCATTCTTGCCTGCCCCCTCAGATAGAACTAATGACTTTGAGACAAAGAAACACGCTATGGTTCGCTGCGAAACGGTTGAAGTGGAAAACATGCTTAGAAAGTGAATAAGAACGCTGGTAGCCCCGAGTGGGAAACAGTAGCGTTAGTCGCTTCTGGTAGCCCACGTCATGATAAAATCAATTTCTGATAGTTCTCACCTGTTAGGTGTCTGCCACCAGTAAACTGTTCCTTTCAAAATAATCTTTATTCACGTTTATTACCACCTGCATAAGATACAAAATAATGTATTTGAATTTCATTGTGTACATCCTAGCTACCAGTTTAATTTGTGTTCATACTAAAACACATCGTCTTGTAAACTCAATATTCAATGCACTATCATGGATGTTCATGGCTTTGAATATAAATATTATAGAAACGAGAAAATTTGTACTACTTTTAGTAATCTACGGAGTGTACTTGCTAAGCGGTGCTGCCATATTTAAAGCTTTAGAGACAGTTAACGATGTTGAACAATCGACAGATATTGGTAAAGTTAGGGATCTGTTTATTTTGTCGCATAATTTAACTGAAGAAGAGTTTGATTTTATGGTAAGGAAAGTTTTAGAAGTTGTGAAAAGACGTTGTCAAAGAATGGACGAATGCGGAGCTCGTTGGGATTATTATTCCTCCGTTTATTTCGCTGTCAGCGTTGTTACGACAATCGGTAAGTTGAGATTTGTGCAGTGTAAGAAGTATTCTATGATATCGAGGGTGTTCTGGCTTGTGTTTGAGCCTAAAAGTTCTGGAATATTCTTCTTCAATATTCTTGTCTGTGTATGTAACTACTAAATTACCTGAGAAAGCATCTCCTGGGTAGCGCTCATATGTTCTTCGGTTCTTGTCGGAGAAATTGATCCTAAAGAAATAAAGGTATCATTCCATCTCAACTGACATTGATATTATTTCTAGGTTACGGTCATCTCTCGCCTGAAACGACAGGAGGGAAAATATTTTGTATGATGTTTGCTTTATTTGGAATTCCTTTAAACATCATGATCTTAAAGCTGGTTGGAGATCGTATCGTTAGTTTAATTCAGCTGACATTACGGTGTATTGAACAAAGATATTTTGAGAAGGAAGTTACAAAGTTAAGAAGCAAGACAGTCACTATCATATTGTGTTTAATGGTTCTCATGTTGGTTCTAGGAGGAATATTGTATAATTTGACAGAACCTTGGACATTTCTTGATGGATTGTACTTTTGTTTTGTCACTTTCACTACGATTGGTTTCGGTGATCTGGTACCAAATGAAGGTAGGTGAATACATCATGTAATCTAAGACGAAAGCCGTGGCTGGGATGATTGTTGAAAACATGATCAGCGCTAATCTTGAGTAAAATTTCATCAAAAATGTCCTTTTAAAAACTCTTACGTTAACCTACGATTAAGTTCTTAATGAGGAGAAACTGACCTGTGAGAGGTGTTGATGTGGCTAGTTCCTGCCAGTGATATTGCTGGTAACTCGTTCCTTGCCAGTGATATTGCTGGTAACTCGTTCCTTGCCAGTGATACTGCTGGTAACTCGTTCCTTGCCAGTGATATTGCTGGTAACTCGTTCCTTGCCAGGAAATCTTCTTCTTCTCTTTCTCTACAACAATGAGGTTTTAGTTAGTTTTCACACCACAATTGACAAGTATCATTTGAGAATGCAACCACACGCTGGTCTCTGGTTATGATCGAGATATTCACCTTGTCATTCTGTCCATTATTTTCTTTCTTCAACCAGGCAGAGCACCAAAGGGCCACTACCAAGTGATCATCGAAGTGGCACGAGCAATCGTCTTAGTTCTCGGATTGTCAGTGATTTTTGCCTTCGTTCATTTAATTCTTGCGTTCGCTGAAGATTCAGAGAATATCACGGAACCGGCCGTGATACCACACGAAGAAATAAATATAGAAAAAAATTCTGATGAAATGTCCCAACTACCAGACAAAACACATAAATTATGTGATGAATAAACTCCTAGGTTATAAAAATATATTTTCAATATTCATATTTTCCTAATTGCTATAAAAAATTATCAAAATATTGACATATTTTTATACTAGAATTAGATGAATATTAGGTATTTTTGATAGTAGATAACGCGTCCTAACTAACAGTTACTTATCAGTGATACCAGCACTAACTAAAAGGATATATTCAATTGTTCAATTCCAATTCAAAATTGTCTTGTGTGTCATGATTCATTTCAGTTGCTTTTCTTCTTCGATTTTTCTATGAAAAAACAGGTTTCTTAAAAAATGTTAGAATTCGACGAGATTTTTCTCAGACTTTTGATAAATGTGAACGAGAGAAAAGTAATAATTTTCTTGTATGATTGCATGGCGACTTTAGTAATTATAATAACTTGTAGGTACACCACGTAAGTATTAAATACTGCAAAGCTTTCGGTCCGTTAACCCGGACCTTCATCAGTGCAATTACTTGAATACACGTTTGCGCGTCACTTAAATATCATGTTAGTCGTGATTAGTTTGCTCGCGCTATTAATTAAACGGTTTCATTTAATTAAGTTCTAATTAATGCGCGCGCCCTAGACAAGTATTTGACTAAGAGACACCGAAAAGAGCACGCCACGTACTATTAAGTGGCTTTCCCTCTTGGACGATAGTTTGATGTTTATAAATTTCAATAGAAAAAACAAAGTAGAAAAGAAAAGAGAAAAGAGAGAAAAGTAGTAAATTATTTGATGCATACGTGAATTTACACGAATTCCGTAACTAATCCCCTCGTTTACATCCATCAAAGGAATCAAACTCCCAAAAATTGCAACGATTATGCTTTAACGATTAGTTTTACGTCAAAGTTTGTTTGTTTGCTCGTGGCTAGCTCCATCATCGATGCCATGGCGTGCGCGTATTCTCTTGCGATGTCTATTACTCCAAGACTAGCAATGATAAACGAAGTGAAACTTTGAAAACTCACCATCTGAACACGACGTGACCATTGTCTCTCTAAATTTCACACAGTATTTTGCCAGAAAATAAAACGAACATTGAAAAGCAAAACAAATGAGAATGAATGCCAAGTGATGCAGCACAGTGAAGTCGTCAAGAAATGGATAAGGCCACTCCAATAGAAAATATTTCTGCCATACCATCCTAAATAAGAAAAAGATGTAGTTATAATGATAAAAAAACAAATTGAATAATGAAATTCTTGTCATATTAGAACTAAACATGATCATTTGAAGAACTTACCAGAAAAAATAAGACAAACCAACCAGCATGATTCCTGACAATGATGTTGTGTTGTCTGGAAATCGATGACGAACAAGAAAGGTCTCTAGTATCAAGAATATGGCCACAGCTGTATGCTAAATGATACAAAGAATGTGTTGATAAAGAAAGGGGAAATAACTATGGAATGCACCAGTGAATATTATGACATCCTGATAATGAAAGTGTTTTCAGATACATTACCATGATATGGTTGCATAATTTTGGGATAATTGTGTCCAATATCTCAGGGTATATCAACTCCCTATCGATGGCATAAATTGACCAGAATACAGAGCAAACAAGCTAAGAAAAAAACATGATCAGGGTAATTATATTGACTAGTATAACACATCAAGATATTGTGTGCTCTGTTCTACCATGTTTTCATTGATATTTTACCCTAATTCTGGTCAAAAATGAAACAAATTTCATTTAAACAAATCTTATTTCATACCATTCCAAGCGGTAACACAACCACAGCAAACATGAAGTCTTGTAGCTTCACAATTCCTAAATATTTGTCCTGATTTGCCTTAATCTTCAGCAGTAAATAAATATCAGCAACAAATGACAAAAGGAAATACAAGCTTTGAAGAACCTGAAATTGGACACAAAACATATTAGGACAAGATGAAATAAATATTAATCTATTGGTCAACTGATGGTAGAAAACCAACCATTGGTGTGGTGAACAAGCTTGCTTTATGAATAACAATGCAGAAAATGTGTAAAAAGATTAAAAAGAAGAACTCAGTCTCAGATATCCAGATATATTTATTTATTCCTCTTTTTTTTAAATGTACTAATAGGTCAACAGGCAGCGCAATTTATTATAACAATAACAGACTTGTTCCACTATAATTGCCTCTATTGATCCCTCTGTGGATGGCTGTAGAGGAAATTCAAGCTACCCTGCCTGTTCTGACACATAGAAAACCTACGGTCTGTGGTTTAAAACTAAATCATGGGTTATTACACTTATTAGCCTCCTCAGCAGGGTAGGGGGTGTTTGGTTTGTTGATAACCAAGGTTATTTTAAATACCAACCTCATCAATGTAGGTTAGATATTTCAACCGACCAGCCCAGGTTTGCGATCCTACCGTTGCAACATTATAGCGTTGATATAAGATATCTCCAGCAAGAGTACCGAATGCTAGCAAATGAAATAACAAAATAAATACATTGCTTTGAGTTCTAAAACCTGACTCCATATTATACAGAATAAATATACCCGAGACAATATATCTGACATACATAAAGTATCTCGGAAGTGATGAATGTGCGCGCGAGGGCCCCACGCGTTCCCGCGTGTGTTTCTTTCAAAGGTAAAAAATGCTAATTTTTGCGAAATTCTGTTGAAATATTTATTAAATTTCTTCCAAATTTAGGTATTAGGTGAGAGTTCATTGATTTGACGCCAGAATTTAGTTCTACGATTTTGTCTCTTCCCAGTGTTTGTGTTCTAACGTTCTGTAGCTCAAGCCAAGTAAGCCAAGTATTTCGTTTTATGAAACAGGAAATTATCCGTCCATTTCTGGTTTAAGTCCACACGCCATTAAACACGATTAGGATTTGTTTAATCCCGCGTTTCAAGCCGATCATAATCCCCGATAAAAGGATATGATTATCCCAGAGACTATCCATCTTCTTCAATGGACGTCATCTGACTTTCTTTCCCAATTTTGCTAAAAAAATACAAAAAATGCTGGTGAACACCTTCTTCCTTGAAATCGCCTTGTAAACGAAACATGTTTAGTTCTCACTTGGCATTGTCGTCAGTGGCTGTTCCGAGTTTCATGGACTGCCAAGTATACTCTAGAAACATTGATTGCTAAGAAAGAGGAAAAAAGCGTCAAGTTGGATTGTGGAAAAGAAAGATGGTTTGGATGTTCACGATGATGACAATATCTCTCAAATAGTTAAGTGAATCCTTACCTGCAGCAGTCGGTTCATCCTCTCCAAGTGTCGTTCTGAAAGAAAAGAGGGTCAACAATTGTACACTTTACAGATTAGCTCATTTACGAGTCACGAAAGAGCGCGAGATATCACAGCATCGTCAGCAGGAATGAAACGAAACTACTGACCTGTATAAGGAAGAAGTGCCTGGATTCTTTCCCTCATCTCAGGCCGCTCCACCAGCCAGTTGGGAGGATGTTGTTTTAGTATCATCGATAACACTAGAAAAAGAAAAGTTTGAAAGAACTACCGACCACCTTTTGACAAAGAGCGTCTGTGACGCAGGCTATAGTCGATATCAAAGGAAAGATGATCATTCAACTCACCAAGTTGTGAAACGCGACTGTGTTTAGCATTCGTGTTCCAGTCACATAAAAATTTCAATAAAGCATCTTGAAAATCAAAAGTGGATTTCATAAGCTGTTGTATTAACATTTTACATTAACATTTTAAACTTCAGATACAATAATTTATCATTACCTATTTGATAATCTTTTAGGTTTTGCAACGTTCTTGAAAGCTCATCTTGGCCTTGATCTTCAAAAAGAATCTCTACGAAAGAAATACGTATGATATTGTGAAATGGTGTGAAAGGTTTCAGGTGTAACAAAACTAGATGAAGGTAGCAGCGTCTCTCCAGGTCACCTTTGATGACATTCAGAGTTCTTAATGGTTGTTCAAGAGTCAGCGCCAGACTGATTGCTTTTGTGAAGTGTTTCCTTTGTAGAAGATTAGACAACTCTTGTTCTCTACGAAATGATTCATCGCAAAGTTACTGACTGGTAATAAACGATGTGTGGTTATACCGTTAATCCCGAAGCATCTTTCCCACCTGGGAACAAACGCCACATAGTATGGAATGATGCTACTACTGTTGATTGCTTGATTAACAATAGAACGGGGTTTATTATTTCAAGATCTTATCTTACTTCATCAACTGATCTTCAACCGCCATCCTCGCTGTCTCCTCTTCTTCTTCAGTCACATCCTACAGATACAATCGTTTTGTTTGGGTCCATTGTTCAGTTTGATCTTTTGAAAATATAAACATACCTTCCAGATATTGAGCACTGAATCAACTCCACCAGATAACATTCTTTCTTCAGAGTTACTCAAAGCGAGTGACCAAATCTAAGATATCACGGATGAGATGTCATTTGAGAATGCAGGAGGATTTCACTGAATCTCTTATTAACAATATCTTGGTTAAATAAAGCGAGAACTTCGTGGAGTCACAACACAAGACAATCAATACTTACTTTATCATTATGTTCGTCCAACGTCTTCAAACATTCACTAGTTTTGATTGTCCATAACTTAATTAAACCATCTGAATCACTACACAAAATAAAATAGTTGTTATCACAAGATCACAATATACCCTGCTGCAGTTGGTTAAGTCAAACTGAATCACTCAGATGAAACTTTTTGTGCAGTTGAACCTGGGAGAGTGTTATCACTGAGGTAAGCTTTGTTGCAATACCTTGACATGAGTTGCATTCCACGCGAGACAAACACGATCTGTAGAACAGAGTTACTATGACCCTCGAGTGTTTTGAGACACGTGAAGTCAGACAACGCCCAGAGTCGGATCATTGCGTCACCAGAACTTGAGGCAAGACACTGATCTATAGGAGAAAACTGGACACACCACACGCCTCGTTTATGACCACGCAATGTACCAAGCAAGGTCAGATCAGAACGACGCCATATCTGGAAGATTTGAAAGTGTTTGAGTCAGTCATATAGTAGTAACCTTAAGATCTACCACACCAATGCAATATACGATTTTGATTATCCAAGCTAAATACCTTTTATTCAACTGGTGACAACACATAAGAAGAAGAATATTAGATCTTGTAAGGTTGACAAGAATTGATCGAGAAGTTTGTACAACACAGACTCACCTTTACAGTTTTATCTTGAGAACCAGATGCAATCAATTTATCATTCGGTGAAACTGTGATTGAATTGATATCCTGCGCAGAAGAAACATGTGTGAAATTACGGAAATTCAAATGTAAAGTATATGGCCTGGGTGACAATCCAAACCTTATCATGTCCTTTCTCCGTCAACAGGACACTCAGATTTGAAACGTTATTATCCTGTAAAACGAATTTCTTGAATTACTCTCAAATAATTTCTACTATATCGCTTGATATGATCCATCACAGTACTACAGTATCATCGTTCATACTTCACTGACGATTTCCGTTGACCAAACTTTGATGGTCAAATCTTGACTCCCACTGACAACAAACGACGTTTTTATTCTGAATGTTAGAAACAGAAATAAGGAGACAGGTCACACGATGATGGAGGAAACAAAAGAAGACCATTACTGCATCCAAAATGGTTAATTCACAGATGACAGAGCTGTGCTGTATAAATAAACCTTTCTTTTCTACCTTGGTAAAGACACACAGCTGACAACGTGGGTATGACCCTGACCAACTGCAATACATTTCATTCCACGATCTTCATCTTTCTTCCACAGACGAATAGTATTGTCCTTAAATGACCCGAATGAAATCCATAGATTAGGAAACACTGGTAAGCACATTGCACAGCTTCTTAAAGAGAAAACGTCGTACCTTTGAGCCAGTTACCATCATCTCTCCTGAAGTGTGTGCATCCAAGCATAACACAATATCTGAATGAGCTGAGAGGAGATGACAGTCCATAGTTTTCAGATCATAAAGACGAACTTGACTGCTGTTTGTAGCCACAACTGCCATGTCTTCTGATGAACCAAGGAATTGCATGTCAAGAATTTCATCATTGTAACCTACGAACTGAAATTTAAGGAAATAATTGCAACCAGAAACACCGCACGAATATTGTGATTTCTATCCTGAATCCATACCGAACTGAATCCGTACCTGTTTCACCTTCTTGAGTCCAGCTTCCAAGCTGAACAAGATAATGTTGTGATCCGCAGTGACAACAGCAACACAATTGATGTTTGGACAAAGTTCTGCATGAACAATAGCGTATGTACTTGCTTCTTTCTCCCCATTCCTTAGACCATCGTGTACCGTTGTTTCATAGACACATTTGTGGGTCATAAAATCATAGATTTTTATAATGCCTGTTGATATATATATTAAAAAACAAACAGTTATTTTCGGACCTGAAAATGAGGCAATTCCAAGTGAAGTCCTGGCAATCTTACCTTTGTGTCCACAGGTTAAAAAAGACTTCTCCATTTCAAGTACATTAGGAATATTAACATCTTCTGGCAGCATTAATACAGACTCAATGCTCTAGTGGGAAGATAGAAAGATGAGAAACACAATAAAATACAATAAAATAACAATTATTTACAAACCTCAAATAATGGTATTGTTTTCAAAAGTTTTCTGTTTGGAAGATCCCAAATATTGATGACATTATCTCGACCAGAACTAAGAGGAATGACAATGAATTATTGTTGAACTGTTATGAAAAAATCATGGAGCTGACTGGGCATAATTTTATATATTTCTTTAATCCTAAGTCACTATATTGGAAATTTATTGTAATTAATGAACAGGATTCATATTTTAGTGCTCTGATGAAAATGAGTTCATGAATTTACTGCTTTATAAAGAATGAAAGAGGAGATGATTAAAATGATGATTACTTGTTAACAAGCACGAAGACAAACCTTATTAACACATTATCTTCTGGGAAAGCAAGTGAGGTTATCACACTGAAATGTCCTTCCAAAACTGACACACACCTGACAAAACAAAATTGAAATAAACACATTTTTAGTATAAACTTATTTGTGAAGAAAACTATTTTGTTCTATTTTGAAAAATTTTGCCAGCCACCTGTACTAAAGGTTGAGCTACACAGATAAATCAAATCAATCAGTTTCAGTCTGTCTTACTGCACCTGCTTTTTTGAAGATCCCAAATACGGATCTTGCAATCATCAGCAGCACTGAATAATTGCAGCTTATCATTGATCTTGTGGAAATAAATCACACTAAAAATACAAATTATGTTGGATTTCTAAGGTATTAGACAATTGCAGTTGAAGCAAATGCACTATGAAAATTTTGGTTACCTGATCACACCTTGCGAGCCTTTAAAGTTATGAGTGTAATACTGTTTTTCCACATCCCATATCTTGATAGTACTATCGCTTGATCCTGGAGAAAGAAAACCCAATGTATTAATACAACTATCTAACAGTAGCACTCTTTGTTTCCTAAGAGAATTGAAATAAAACTATCATCAAAGATTTCACAATCACCTGCTGCTAAAAGTGTGGAAGTTGCATCAAATTTCATACAGGATAACGGGCCTTTGTTCACAGCCTAAAGATCGAAGATAATGTTTATGTAATAACTACAGATGTGATAACTACAGATGTGATAACTACAGATATCTCATATGGCTCATGAGAAATTGGCACTGTATCTGACACACTGTACCTTCCATGATCTTGTACATCTCTCATTTTTCCAATCCCATTGCTTGAGAAGCAGATTCTTACTGCAGGTTATTAAGATCTGCACATTAAAAAAATTCAGGAAAATTACATTAAAATGTATTTTGAAGCCTACAATTCATATCTTAAAATGAATACCTCGTCATCTGGGCTCACAGCAAAGCATGAGATCTCATCACTTTCCTAAATTGTAAAATAAACTGAAAATGAAAAGCTTGAAGAATCTCAAGCATGCAAGAAATCTAAACATCCATTACCTCAGATATTGTCTGTGAGACTTTTCCACTCTCGACATTTATTATTTTAATCTTTTCACCACAGCTACAGAACACAACATCTTGAGTTGCTGAAAACTGAAAGTAAGAAATATTCTAAAATGGCCTGCATGGTCATGTTTTAATGAGCACTTGGAAGTCTTTTAGGCAGTTTTCCACAAAAATACCAGTGGTATGTGTCCAGGCTGTACCCTAGATGAAAATGGTAGCTACAAGGTCGCAATTGGTCACTGCAAGGTAGCAATTTATATCATATCCTTCAAGGGCTCAGACTTAGAAATTAAATTATGATTTATGAGAAATACACACCTGAATTTTTCCTCCAGTGTAAAAGGCTTCATGTTTGGAGAGCACATTGAAACTGCAAATTATTTATATATTTTCATGAGAGCTAACAAATAGCAGACACTGTATTGCTTATCGCTTTCACTAAACTAGTTTTTCAAACTTCATTTTCTTACTTTGATTTCAGCTTGACAACGTTGCTTGCTTCTGTCTTATCGTTCATTTTTCATCCAAAAAAACACAAGGAACGTCATTTAACCTTTCCCATTCCTTTGAATAAAATCTCAGACGCTAAGTTTTAAATAACACATACAAAACTACTCGATAATCTTCTTTATTTTTCAAATAAAAACAAAAAAACTTAGAAACATTTATATTTAGTAATTTATTTTTCAAATTTACCACGTGCAGAAATTTTTTTCTCGCCTTTTCTCGTGGATATTTTTGGCGGCAGGAAAAATATAATTTTGAAAATATTTTGTGATTATAATTGTAATTTTTTTTATTTTGTGGTTAATTACGGCTCAGTAAATTCACTTTTTTTATACATGACAAACTAGGTATTTAGGGTACATTATTTTATAGAATAATACACTATTTCTCAAAAGTAAAAAATGTCGCCCGAGCTAAAAGACATGGGAACTATCTATAAAGAAGTTTAGGCACCGTGGTTCTTGTGGTCAACCATTTAGCGAACCTGAAAAAGTCATAATCGTGGGACATTTGCACTCAATGTAAACCGCCTAAAGTATTTTCTTTCTCTCAAAAAAAGATTCTTCAACGCACTGGCATGCAAGAAAAAAATAATTAAAACAGTTCGAATCATAATGTATTCAAAATAATTGTTTACCATGTCACAGTTGAACACACATGAACACAAACCATGGACCATCAAGCATGAAAAGATTTGTCAGTTCTCTGTCAACTCTCAACATTCCTATGATAGTAGCAAGAATTACGAGGAAATCATAATGTAACAAACATTTCTCAACTGAAAAGTTACAATTACCAACTGAGTAGCAATTTGTGGTTGAACGAAAGAGAAGGTTCTTCCTCGAGGAATACCGAAGAAAAGACAGTGTCGGTGTATTGGACGCGTTCATGCGTAGTCTTGAGAGAAGCATTCTCAAATTGTTGAATATCTTGTATTCAAAATAAAGAAATAGACAAGTTATATTCAAACAGCACTAAGACAGTTGGTCTTAGCTGGTCAATTGAATGGCTGAAGCTGGTCCTTGTAAGTAATACAGTTACAGCGTAATTTGTTGGTAGCAAAATCAATATATGCATAATATCAGCCCTTACCAAACGGTTTAGTAATATAAGGGATAGAATGATTCCTTTCAAACAATTGCAACTTGAAAGCGTATGTATATTCAATTTTTGGTAAGGTAATCTGTCTTATCGGATACGTGCCTATTACACTATGAATTTTCGTCAGTTCATACATAACATACACCAGAGCCTCCTTTTGAGTCAGTGTTATATAATTATATCAACGTCTGTTATATCAGGAGTTTAGCACTTAGCAGGGTTTCTAATATTTGACACAGTTCCTATCTAATATGCCGTTAAAATTCACCTTAAATTTTTGTCAGATAAACTAGTAAGGAAGGAAGGAAGGATGGAAGGAAAGGAACTGTCTTAGAATGTTTAGAAATCAACGCTTATCACGACAATCTGTCTAAGCGTTTATCGGGGAATGAGGGTTGAGTTTTCCAATTATTGGAATTTGAAGATTGTATTCGTGCATGATGTGATGTGATGTGGGTGTGTTATTCTTTGTGATCGTACTCGCTTCGTGGGAAATCATTCAAGATAATCTGCGTCAGTCATGCAGGTTCGATAACACCACGCCAAGAAACTTGCTACCAAGTGTGAAGACACGAAGCGTTTCCTCGATACAGATGACTTGTTTTGCAAATTCTATGTCATCATCGCCACGTATGAACGAAGCTAGTCTGCAAAATCACTGAACCTGACTGAAAGCAACAGAAATGTCAAGAAACATTACTACAACCAATCACTACTACAATCTAATTTTGTCGGATGTAATTCAGTGCTTCCAGCGTATGGAATTTAGTATTTTATTCAAAAACAGTACTGCATTGGCTTCAGTTGATTTGTTGCCTATATACATGATAAGTGAAAAGACAATAACACATCCATCAGAGATGAATCGGACGAAATTGGGGCTTTACCATGTTACTTCGTCCTGGTTTTCTGGAAATTGCCGCCAGTTTGGTTTCAAATTAAAGTTTACAGTGATTTCAATGAATGCGCTTACTACTTTTATTTAATTCTGCCATTAACTAGAAATAAAATAAAAAAATTTAGACTTGTATCTCCATTTTGGACTCGATACCTGACAATAAGAGGGCACAATATCGGAAGAACTATTTTAGATTTCTTACAAAGCTCTTATTTCTATTTATTTCAGATGTTTTTCTTTTATTCATCGCTGTACTTATTGTCTTGTTGTATCTCCTGAACAAGAAACTAGACACCATTCCCCCACGTGGGAACTGGAAGACTGATCCAGAAGATGAAGAATTTCTGACGTCAGAGTATACCACGGAATATACGTCAAATGACGTCACGCCTTATAGTAGTGAATATAGTACAGAATAGGACAATCTCTGATTCATGTTAGACACAGAGCATCTTTGAATGGCCCATGTAAGGCTTATGTTTACACAGTAACGTCTCGAGCCTTTTTTTGTTTATTTTTTATTACAAGCAAACATGCACCATGAATTTCGATAGAGATTGGAGCAAATTCAACATTTATCATGCTAATTAAACATCCACAGTGGAAACAACGAGTCAATGTGCTTTAGACGAAAACGCTTTTAAAAATCACTGGAAAACGACGCTCGTATGTACATAGCCTTGGAATCACCAACACGAACAGGACTTTATCCAATTTCTCATCAAACAGGATTGGTACAATAACATCCTGAAAAATTGACGAAAATCTTGTCTGGAAGTTTCCATCTCAGGGTTTTTATCTCACAAACTCTCCAGACAAAAGCCCCCAGGTCGAAAAAACGAGAAGTTTCTTGTGTATATTCTAAATATTTTATGCTGCTTCCTATAGTTATTTCAAACAAATTTGATCTTTTTTAACAGTTTATCTAATGCAATCCAGAAGAATGCTCATGCATCCGTCTCTAACATGAATCAGATAGATTATACACAGTACACTAGCTGTAATATTCTAATTTAAAAACATCACACTTAGTCAGCTAACACATACATGCACGGCGTATAAACGTTTGCCACAAAAAGAGGTGAAGCAGTTTCTCAGTTACGGTGATTCTGGATTATGTAACCAAGCATTGAATGACATTCAGTAGTCTAATATCAACAACAGGAGTTGAATGGCGTGGCAGGCATGACGCATCCTGACAATGATACGAGTTATCAATACTGTACGTACTTTTTCAATGACAGAAGCATAAACTGTATTTTAAATTTAGGTTAGTTATAAATGATAGAATTGAAGGTATATATGTATATTTTTTTGTTTGCAAATTTTACACGTGTTCCAATTGTTCAACTGCTTCCTATTTACCTAACCTGGTTCAAAATTACTCCTGTATCAAATTGCAAATTTAAAATAACACAAATCTTAAAGATAAAAAAACAAGGTAAGGACGAAGGTTAAGGAAAGTTTTTTTCAGAAATTGCTTTCTGAAAACCAAGTTTAGAAAATTCTGATGAAAGTATGTAAAATTACCCACTGAGATCAAACAAAGTTTGATTATGTAAACCCAGCCTTAATGAATAGATTGTTAAAAAAAAGTAATTATTTGACATCGGTTTCTAAATTAACGAAATTTTAACTTACGTATAAACTTTACAAAACATCCGTCAGTTCTATATTTAAACATGAGAATTCATCACGAATTTGTCTTTATATATTGTTTAGCATCACGATATTTTTCAACCCGAGGGAAATATACAATTAGAGATTATCTTTTAAACATCATCTTGTCTGGACTTGGCAGTCACAAATAATTAATAAGTATTGTCTATATGAATGTTCTCTATACAAAGCAGGTGTCCCAGATCTTGAAAGATAATAATCAGTTTATACAATAGCTCGTATTGGCCATATTGTCTATTAGAACGAATTCATATTGGATGAATTCATAACTGATCATTACAAGATAAAATCATGGAGAATACACTATAATGGTGACTAAGGTGACACTAATGGAATTAGAATGCAAATAAAAAAATAGAACCCGAATTAGAATGTGAAAATTGCAATCAGTAAAATTAGAAATCGAGTGGACGAAGTTATGGAACGCCAATTACGCACAAAAGACGCAATGTTCCTACATAAAACATAACAAGCTTAGGTATATATCACAATATAGGATATTTAAGATCATGGCGGAGATTTGGCTAATTATAACAGCCGTGATGCATGCACTTACTCCGGGGGGAAAGGGCGTGAAAACAATCATTAAACTAAAAACGGTTCTTTTCCTTAAGTTCCAGCTAACTTCGTTTATGCCTGGATAGCGCTACACTGTTCTTCCTAGAGGTTCAATTTAAACTGTTCTTCCCTGAGATCCAGTAAGGATAATCTTTTAATGATCCAGTGTCACTACAGGAGGAAACCTAAATTAAACTACATAAACTAACTTAATTTATTTAATTTAAATTGGATAGCTCTATCAGTTTTAAACTGTTCTTCCTAGAGGTCCAGTAAGGATCATCTCTTATGGATCTAGTGTTACTACAGGAGGAAACCTAAACTAAACTAACTTTATTTATACTGGATAACTCTATCAGTTCTAAACTGTTCTTCCTAAAGGTCTAGTAAGGATCATCTCTTATGGATCTAGTGTTACTACAGGAGGAAACTTAATTAATCATACGTCTACTGCATGAATGTTTCTATCAGTTCCAATCTGTTTTTTTTCGGTTCAAGCCATGTCAATGCTGAATTGCAGTCAGCAACGGTCTAAAAATTGAAATCGAACGGTCTACCGTATGGCAAGTAGCAATCAGTTATAGATTGAATATAAAGTTAGTTAGAAAACGAGGTTTACAATTTAGGCTCCCCCCTGGAAACTTTGCAAACATTTGCAATCCTAAGCAAAACAACGCAGTTATGATAGTAACGTGAATATAAGAAAAAGATAAACACCCTTGCGAGTATTTGTTAATCATCAGGAAAAATCAAATAAAAAAATATCGACAAATATTATGCAAGATTATATATCATAATGCTATTTTGCGACACGAGTTGCCCTTGGAAAGAATTGCGAGGGCGTTGGGAAAAAAATAATTGTGGATGAGATAAGATCAATGCATTGTTGACCCAGGGATTAAATTAAACCGAGGATCGAAATGAATTGACAGAGAACGCTAAACCTCCTGGTAGACAGATCTTCAGAGCACACACACCTGAGACATCTTCAACAACTTAGGTAAGTTGGATTTCTAATGTTCTTCACTGTATAATGAGGTCAACACAGCATTGACATGAGAATTATAAAGAATCTCATTTCTTATATTTCTCAACGGGAGTCTCCTCTGTTGTAAATCACGGTCAGGAGAAGGTCAGAACTTAGTACATAATATAACAACTTAAGTTATTTTGCCGAGTGAAGTAAAGCTGTCGCAGGGATGTGCAACAGACGTCTAAGATTTCTACATTTAGAAATGGTAGGTTAGGAAAACGTAAGAATAGAACTTGTTCAAAAGATGAATCTTCGTAAAGGTGGAGTTTATCAATTTCGTCTCTGCATTTGTGTGCGTTGTACCTGGAGTATTAGGAAAATATTCGGGGGAAAATTAGCTTCTAAATTATTTAATAAAAGATGACAAAATGTTTGGAATTTCCTGAGATCCGCACAGGACTGAAAAAGATCCGCAAATGATCGAAAATCAACATCATCATGTTGCGTTTAAACTGGTGCGCCACAAGCTATTTCTCTATAGGGAAGCGTAATTTTTCTTTTGTATAAAAAACAATAGAATAAGATCGCTTCGCAAGAAAAATGGTTTTACGAACGATATTGTTTAAGCTCGGACAACGTGTGCATGAGGCAAATATAAATGATTTATAAAGATCTCAAAGATTACATCGAAATAATTTCCTTCAATCTCTCATTTTAAGCCGCGGTTAACGGTAACCTCAAATTAGTGCGATTATATTTCACGTAAACACGCAAATACAGTCGATTTTTTTCCAAATACCACACATGACACACACACATACATACACGCCAACTTCCTTAACCAACTCTATAACGACGATGTCATTCCAAACACACTTTTAGATTTTGAGTTTTATAAAAAAAACAAGAGTTAAAATAATACAATATTTAGTATCAAGAAAATTTATCGCACTAATAATATAATTAGCATAGTTTAGAGGTGTTATTTCCTAACCAAGACATTACTAATAAATGTACTTCATATTTATCACCCACTCATTATGGCCTAGGACCTGCAGTGTGTATCAATATTATACGTTAATTTTCTTTTTTTTGCTTCGTTTAGATTACAACATGAAAGTTTCACATTTATTTGTCGTGTTTTTGGCAAACTTTTGCTTATCAGCGCTAGCACTTCCTGCTATATTGGAAGGTAAATACATATGAATATTTGATTTAATTTCTCCTATCAATAAAGAATCATCAGTGGCTAGTCATAACAGCTATTATAAGAACTTTAATCCTCCTGATTCAATTTACTTCATGGTTTGCTTGCTTGCAATTATCCAATTCCGGGAATTGACAAGCTAGGGTGATCGAAAAAGAATCCCAAGCAAGCTAGTGTTTTGGCTGATTGCAGGAACCTTCGGAGCTACGTTTTGTATTACTTGACTTGGGGCTTATCTTTCTTCGGGGTTTCAACGAGGCATAAGGACGCTATTGAATACAAAGATCTACTCAATATTATTTTGGAAGAGATATGAAATATAGCATTTCTTACTTCGCTTAATTTCCTAATAGTTTGTGTTTTACTTTTGTGTTGATTTTTAGATTATAAGGACGAGGGTGAATTAGATGGAGATTTCCAGAAACGAGATGAAATATCAAGACGAGGCGTATCGTTTGGCACAGCTCTGGGACACGGCACTGGCGGGAACAACAAAAACAGCCAACAAAGAGACGAGGCTTTCAAGAAGATTTTTGGTGGCAAACGGGAAATAAAAAATTTGAAGAGAAGCTTGCAAGATGTCGCAGAATACATGAACGATTTGGAAAGAGCGTATATGTCACTGGCCGGCAGTGAAGAGAAACGAGAGCTTAACTCAAAGAGAGCTCCCTTCACCTTCGGCACCGCTCTAGGTCACAATCAAGGAAAAGATAAAGGAGATTACCTCAGTTCATTGAATGCAAAGTTCAACGAGTTATTTGGAGACTCGTGAGGAGACTGGGTTTAACATATCTGCGGAATTATTTAAGGACATTAGGTTTAATATTTTAGAAGTAGTAATATATGCCTGATGCATACAGTATAACATAAAGTAAATGTGCTGTTATTGGTCACACACACTGCTACAGTATTTGCTGATAAATAAATCATGATTAACCCGCTATGTTTCTGTGAGTGATGTTTTCCCTCGATTTCAAACAAACTTCATGCAACTATATTAGAAATTTAACTCTCGTTCACTACACCACCATTAACACAACATCACGTCTGCCGTAATTAACCAACTCATAACTTGGTTATGAAAGAATATTAACTTATTGTTTCAACAAAATTATACCAAAATTAAAATGATTAAAGTGTATATATTTCAACTTAATCAAATTTCTTTCAACAAAGTAATTTAATTCAAAGATAACCTGCTTCTTAACAAAGCGAAAATTAATCAATTCATAACATAACCTAACCAATTACTTGAACATTAGTCGCCCTAGAACTATGAAATCATAAATATTTCCTAGTCTTTGCGAATAGCTTTTGCCACTCCTAACTTTTTATAGATTAAGTTTAAATAAGCAATATTTATTAGATAGAAAAAAAGTGCAAAGAAGGCTCACGATACCTTTATCTGATATATTATCTTGCTTTTCTCTTATTTACAAATGAACATATATATTTCTAACCACTAACCATCACGCTTTAATCTTCCATACCTGCAACAGAAATATTTTATTCAATCATGCAATAATAATCAGACAACTGCATGCATATTGCAGAAATTAAACCTGGACTAACACATGGACTAACACATGTACTAACCACTGTGTTTGGTAGAGTCAACCTGCATGGAAGCACTCTTCTCACATGACAAAGGTAAAATTATACAATCTACGTTACTCACCTTCAACCGAAAGCCCAGTAAATCAGACATAACGCCAGATATCAAAGAAAGCACAACAACTCTTGTAATATTATATAATAATGGATTCGTTGCCAAGCCTGATATCTTGTATGGACTTTCTAAATCCTATAAAAATTTGAAATCAGATTGAAGTTATATCTGGTTACAAAAAGATTGTTCTATGGCGCTTTCCTCTTCTTTGTCTTCTTTTTTCTTCTTCTGTGTATTCAACAAATCAAGAATGAAAGGCAGATACAAGGTCGAACTAGGCCTTGAATCTCACCTTAAGCAGTTTTGTGGCAAGTTTTAATACATTATTTGCAATCATAAGATCATCCTTCTTCGCTGGATTTTTCTCCATTTGTAAGTAAAGATTCAACTGTTCTGTCATCAAGACGGTATTATTAAGAAATTTTCTGTTGATCTTCGAACCTAACGTGACGAATCGTAATTGATAGATCCACAATACAAGAGACCTGTAGGAAGGTAAGAAATATGTAGTTTGATCTGATCCCAACAAACACTTGACTTAGTTCATTCAAAACTATATGACTTTATAACCAGTTCTAAACTGTTCTTCCTATAGAGGTCCAGTCAGGATCATCTCTTATTGATCCAGTGTTACTACAGGAGGAAACCTTAATAGCTCTATCATTGCTCAACTATTCTTCCCTATAAATCTAAGGTAAAAACTAACAGTATTATTACCAAATAAATACTTCAACGTTGAATAATTTTGATAGAAATCTTTCTTTCTCTGTTCCTTTCAAAAGCTGCAAAAATCAGACGTTCAGTATTAATATATTAAGGAAAAATAATTCAAAGTTAATTGAGTAATAACGTAAAGAAATGCTCACCTGGACGCAGGTTATGACAACTAAACATATTCCTAAGAGAAAAGTGGAGGAAATAATAACACCAACAGAACGCTGAGGACCTCGTCTCTGGAAGAAAAGAAGAAACAAATGTTACACCACTGTTTCGATTTCGTATTTTTAGGTTGAAGATAAAATTTCACAGATAACACTGGATCAATAAGAGATGATCCATACTGGATTTCTAGGAAGAACAGTTTAGAACTGATGGAGCTATCTATGTAGTGTGAAGTTGAACGCACCTTCAACATTGATCGTAGACACAGCCACATTTTAATATTCTTTACTTTATGTAATCGAAAGTGAGGTAGACCATGACGCCGAGCTCGTCGTGATGAAGTAATGGTGCCGAATAACTTAGCACATAAAAGACGCTGAAAAGAGGTAATGTGATAATATGAGAGTTACGAGAGTTAGAGATATACTGTATGATTCTTGTTCAAAATACTCTGATTGCAGAAAATGAAATTTAAAAAAATATTTAGAAAAAAAACTCGTACCTGTCGTAATGTCCTCTCAGCGACGCAGAGGAGAAAGAAAAAACAAAAACTTGAACTTCCGCTTTGAATGAGGCTCATCCAGATCACTAAAGAACTTCTAGCAAACAAAGGTTGTAATACGCTGATGGTTAGTTTCACTAACAGCTAAGCAGCCAGTAGAACCGACCTCTGATCAGTAAAATATCTTGATTCTTACTTGAGCTCGGAGCCAAAACATCGAAGATAGATTTGATACAAACCATGTCTTGATGTCCATTTTGTTTGCTCCTACAATGGACAGAGAAGAAAGGTTGAAATTATAACTTTTAGCAAAAATATTCGACAAAAAATGTTAGATTTTCTAGTGTGTAAACACTATACAATACCTAAAGTTTGTTAACTCACGTTGTGACTATTTTATTTCTACTTACATCACTTTCGTAAAGACGAAATAAGGATGGTGTGAAGGCGACACAGACGGACACCACCAGAGCCAACTGAAGATAACCAGAGCTTGCTTTAAACGCGTTCTTAACAAAAAGGATAAAAAAAACACATTAAAAGCATATCATTATAGACTGCGAGACCTCTCAATTGCCAGTTAAACTATGCACAGTAATATCACTTGAAATTAACAACTATATCTTGTTAACACGTACCTAATTAGAAAAGGATGCTTTTCAACTGACTGTGAGTTACATAACCATTATTAGAAACTCATCATTTTCAAAACAAAATTCTTACCATTTTATTGATAATTGCTGAGCTCATGTCCAGCAACGTTAGTTCAACTCTTTTACATTGACGACCTTCCCATATTGACGCGCTAACTACAATCACAATAACGAACTGTAATTACTAACTGAACACTCGACAATGTCGTCTGTTCTAATAAAATTCTAATTACTATTCTAATTACTATTCTAATTGCTATTCTAATTACTGTTATTCGTACCCATTTCTCCAGTAGGAGCTCCACCCGTCACTCCATTCAGAATTCCATTCTATATTAAAGGGAACCGAGGAAGCGGTCTTAGAAGATGTTAGAAGTTGTTAAGTTTTGGCTTTCTGGATCTTCAATAATGCGAAGCCTCCAACTACCAAATGAATTCCTACATCATAAAGATCTGTTTACACGATCCAACTTTCTCTGATCCAATTCACTTGATGGATGTTTTCTAGTCTGTTTCTAGGTAAAGTAACTAGTAAAGCTGGTCTGATTTTCTTACTTTATCCCATTTAAACGGATCTTCTTCATCAAAATTCGATTTCACTGATTCATTATCACTGTAGGAAGAGGTCGAGGAACTTGATCCATTGTTCTCAAAGAACTCTTCCTCAGTCCTCTCAGACCGTTCGGCTTCAGTCCCCTCGCTTTGAGACTTCTCTGGATGTACGTCATCTCGTTCACCTTCGTCATCGCTCTGGTCAGTGGCGCTCAGTTCAGCTGCTTGTGATGAACCTGCAATATGACAAAAGATCATTCTCATCACCTGAAATAACCGCTGTTACATGAAATTTCATTGGCTCTACTTGCGCAGCCAATGAGGCATCGCTTACGGTTAAGGTTTGTCACTTTCTTCACATTTTCAGCACTTGGCTTCTTTCTGATGCGCTTCCTCACTCCATTTCGTCTTTCCTGCACAAGATCTTCAACGGAACTGTTCAGATGATTGCGCGGTTTGGATTTCTTACGTCGTGACTTTCTGAAACAAAATTTTCTAATCAGAATAATTTCACTTATACTAGATAACTCTATCAGTTCTAAACTGTTCTAAAGTAAAATAAAGATATCTCATTACTTCACTAACCTTTGCCTACCAGATCGTAAGGAGATACCATCAACATTTGAAACTGTGGTTGACACAACTTGAGTATGAAGAATACCTAAAACCACCATGATCTGAAATATAATTAAATAATTAGAGTGATATAATTATATAATTAGAGTGATATAATTAAATAATTAAAGTTATATAATTATATAATTAGAGTTTCTTGGGAAATGAATTAACGTACAATGATTACATTAATTAAATACAACTTAATTTCTTCTTACCAAAACTGGTCCAAATGCTTCTGTGGGGTAGACAAACTATAAAGAGATGAAAAGGATCCAAATAATTTTTGAGGTGAAAAAAATGACTGACATGATTACTATGTGTTCATGACCAACCTTCATTTCTTCAGAATAGCTTGTGTAAATAACAAATGCAAGAAGCTGCGTGGTGTAGAGAAGAAGAAAGAAAATCCATATTGGAAATGGAATGACATTTCTCCACCTAATAAGGGATAACATGTGATGGTTAGAGGGTGGTCATCAGGGATAGATTGGTAAGAAGTTGATTACATACCATTTGTAGTAGAGAGGATAGAAACAAACATGAAGAAGACCTTTTCTCAAAACTGCAAACCAACCATGAACTGGCTTAGCTTTAGAGAACGTTGAACCTAATAAACAAACAGAAGAAACATTAACATGACAATTTTAGGGCAAATATTGCCCGGAATGTATCAAATTAAATATGTTCAAGTGACTAGTAATTCTGGGTCTTATATTAATTAATATTACTACTGGGTCTTATATTAATTATTATTACTTCTGGGTCTTATATTAATTAATATTACTTTTGGGTCTTATATTAACATTGTTCAGTACGAACCTCTTATAAGATCTATATCAATAAGTTCTGGTTTCACATTGCCAGACTTCCTTGGAGCACAGTTGAGGTCCTAAAATTTAAAATTGAGAAATTCCTATCTTTTAATTAAACTTTTTAAATTAAGTTTGGAAAACTTTAAATGTTTTATTTAACAATTGAAAGATATTGATTATTTTAATGAATAATAATTCATTTTTTAATACTATGCATAACATGTACAACTTTAATATTTTATTTCATTTCCATGTTTTTACCAAATCAGGAAGTATATTGTCATGACATGGGTTTGTCGACTTCTTCACAAGAGCTAATCAAATTATTTATATTCTTAAACACCAATACTTACTATAAAGACTCTTTCATATGTATACAGACGAATACAGACATACCTCTAGAACTTTAATTTCTTTTTGTTCAATGGTTCTTTCCCATAATGCTTTATCATATCGGCCAATCTAAAGAGTTGCAACTCAGAATGAACTTATTGTTTTAATGAAGTAAATATTTTTAATACAACACATGTTGACATATTCATTTTTAAACATAAAGAGAGTTAATGCAACAAAAAATATAATAAAACTATAACATATCAGCAGCATTGCACTGAAAGTAATGACATCGAAATTCAAGAGAAAAGTGTATTTTGGAGTCGTAATTTTGGATCATTGGATCAGGTCTAAACTGACTAAACACACAAGTTCTTGTGTTTATTTCCAACTTTGATTGCTATCAACATGATAAACAACTTTAAAATACTCACTTTTTGTTGAAACCATGCTATTGGATCACTGGTGTCCATGAAATATTAACAGCAGATCCAGACAACAAAACGCAATTGTCAAATAAATTGACAAGCGAAAAGTAAAGCAGACATTTGCATAAAATATAGCTCCGTTTGACGAACCTATACACCTCCGTTATAAACCAACATTAAATATAACAGATATCGATCTAACACGGAGTGAAGAAAGAATACGATATAGCATAAAAGGTAACGATATCTTTAACAAAATTTCAAGATTTTGTGCAAAATCCAACCATTGTTTCACCTTCAATATGCATAAAATACCCGCGCCATTGATCTCTACTCTCTAGTCGTTTACTGGATGGTGATACCAAAGGAAAGCTGTGAAAGAGTTTAGATTTATGTGAAAAGAAAAGATGAAAAAGAAATGTTTTTAATGTTAAAAATCTCACTATGCAGACAGCAAGGCTCCACAGAGATTGTATAATTCCCGATATAATATGTTTGGGTTAAAAATTAATAAATATTTTGGGTTAAATATTATATTACAATGTGGTCTTAAAATTTATTGAAACTTCTCTGCATGTGTGCGAATCTCAGAGAATATCGCACATATAAAATATCCTCAGTAAAATTCCTTTAAGGTTTGGTCATTGAATACCACTTTATGTCAATGATTGTCAATGATATTGTCAATGATAGTACTCAATGATTTTTCCAGTTAATTCTGCAAGGTCAAAGAGCAATAATCAAGTGTTTTGATTGGAGCTTTTTACAAAAGCCGAGGTGCGGTGAAATTATCAAAGCATACTCTTGTTAAATATGTACATGTAATATCAAACCGTTTTTGCATCTCAATCTTTTGCGTTGCAGACAACCGAGTTTCGATTTGCTAGCTCAAACAAGGTAAAGTCTAGAAGATTTATTAACATTACTGTTGTTATCTGTTTCTTCATCTTCTAGCGTACTATATAGAACATGATTCAGATGATTGATCATACATATGTATGCATGATTTGTTGTTCAGATTTATTTGTGGTCAAGTTATAAATTCCTGAACTTTGAAGCAATATTTTGGTTGGAAATACAAGATTTCAAGGCTATTACAGTAATCGTCTGATCCTGAAAAGGTAGTCAGTTTTTTATGTTTTTTCGTCTCCAGTATATGAATATGTAACGATGTCTGTCTTACTCGTGAATTTACGTTCCATATTTCACAGGTGAACATGAAGCCACAGCAAGCTAGATTAGCAAAGAAACTTGAAAATAAACCGATATGGCGGAGATATATAAGTTATATCAATTTTCCTAAGCTAGGCCAATACGTTGGCCTCTCACTTGGTATTTGGTTTGCAGGCAAATATAATTTCAGTTCTGCATGGATTGCCATGGGGCTTCTGGTATTTGTCTGGTGGGATTTTGAAAACAGGGAGAAGAGGCTCCGACGTAAACGTATTCAGAAATCAGTCAATGTTGCTGGTGTAAAGATGGAAAACCTTCCTTCTTGGGTGTTTGTTGAAAGTTCAGAACGTGTTGTTTGGATGAATAACATGATCCATCATATGTGGCCGTACATTGGTGCAATGGTTAAAAAGATCTTAAAGGAAAATGTAGAACCTGCCATGCAGGCAAGCTTACCCTCATCACTGAGTAGCCTTACCTTTGAGACAATCTCTTTTGGTCAAGTTGCTCCAAAAATCACTGGTATCAACAGCTACGCCCCTGAAGATGCTCCAGATGAATTCATTCTTGATCTAGATCTTCTCTATGAAGGTGATGCAAAAATTAAGCTCTGTGTAAAATCTGTTAACATGGGTGTATCAGACATCCAACTCCGTGGAGTGTTGCGAGTGATTTTCAAGCCATTTGTTGGAGAACCAAATCCTATTGGTGGTCTCACAGTCTTCTTCCTAAATCGACCAAAAATCAAGTTTGATCTGATCAACCTTCTGAACGTTCTTGATATTCCTGGATTGAAAAGCAAACTCCGAAGTGTTGCCGAAGATGTCATCTGCTCAATCATGGTTCTTCCCAATCGTATTGTTGTTCCAATGTCACCGGAACTGGTTGCTGACGATAGCGACCTACGTTACCCAATACCTGAAGGTGTTGTCCGAATGAACTTAATTGAAGCAAAAGAGTTGGTAAAAATGGATTCCGCATTAAAAGGAGGTGCTGCAGATCCTTATATTATCTTAGAAGTTGGTGCTCAGAAATTTCGTACAAAAACCTGTAAGAACACACTTAAACCTGTTTGGAATGAAGTCTATGAAGCATATGTTGATAATGACGAAGGCCAGGAAATTACAATGGAGATGTTTGATGAAGAGAAGACATCAAAAGATTGCAAAATGGGGACACTTGAAGTTGATATAACCTCCGTAGCACAGCATGGTAGCAGAGATCTGTGGTTACCTTTGGATGGTGTGAAAAGCGGCGTGGTCCACCTTAACCTGACTTGGTGTAAGCTAAGTTCCAAAGCTGCCGACCTCAAGCCAGTTGGCTCATCTCTGTCAAGTGCACTCCTGATGGTAAAGATAAAACAAGGGAAGAACCTACCCAATCCCTTGAAATCCAAAGATATCCCTGCAGTGTTCTGTAAAGTTACCATTGAAGACATGGAAAAAGAAACCTACCATGTTGGCCCGAATGCAGAGACGCAAAACATCGACTGGAAACAAGCTCTAAGGTTTCTTGTAAAGAATCACACAAAAGCCTCAATCAAGATAGAAGTTATTGAAAGCAAAGGGACAAAGAAGATTGGTTCAGTACTTGTTCCTGTGATGACAGTAGCTGAAGCAAATGATATGGTTCTGGAGAAGGAATTCAACCTCACTGACTCCGGTGGTAAAGGAAGTCTTGCATGCAAGTTCACCTTACGTGCATTGGTCCCTGGTGCAAAAGAGATTTCAGGCGGTGTGAGAAAGCGTACTGTAAAGTATTCTGAGCGCTCATCTGTCTCAGATGTTCCCTCTCCTACAACTCCCAAGGTGATGGTCAATGATTCTATGGAAGAGATGTCACCATTTGAGGAAGATCGTCTGTCAACCAGCTCATCTCCCAGAGGAAGTATGTATGACATCAGCAGTGGTGGTGGATCTAGAGACAACCTTGCTAACTACGGCAAGCTTGAGTTATCTCTGAGCTACAGTCATGTACGAAATTGCTTGGAAATAACAGTGATCGCTGCACATGATCTTCCTGCCAGAGAATCAAAAGGAAAGACCAGTCCCTATGTCAGAATGTATCTATTACCAGATCGTTCTAAGAAGTCCCGCCGTGAGACCGCGCCCAAGGAGGGCACCCTTAACCCTGTGTATGGAGAGAAGTTTGAGTATATTACCTCGTTGCAAGAGCTGAGAGATTGCACCCTCGATGTCGCTGTCAAGAATCACAAGTCCAAATTCACGTCTCGTCGCAAACGTAATTTCATTGGGCAAGTCAGGATCTCGTTGTCATCCCTTGATCTGTCAAAAGAGCAGAAGATAATATACACTTTGGTCAAGTGGACCCCACGGTGAAGATCCACACTTGAACTTGACTACACCGAACACGACATCGTTAACTTCAGTTTAGATATTTAGGCTAGAATATTTTTCATTAAACAATTCATAAGAACGTTTGATAGTTTAGCATAAAACATGTAGACTGACTCTTCTCTTCATAAGAACGTTTGATAGTTTACCATAAAACATGTAGACTGACTCTTCTCTTCATTGCTGTATTCTTGTATTACCTACTATTAGTGATAATAAAATTTACCCAAAAATTTCCATGTTGAAATTACCCTTATTTCCTTCGTTCGAAGATTGTATGTGGTGTACCTCGACAAAATAACTTACCATACCTGGTTACCCGAGTTCTTTTAGATCGGAAACATCTAAATTCTATTTGCTCAATGACACAACAAGAGTAAAGAGTTTCTTCATAATTTCATTTTTATTCACATGCCACATTCTCTTGCTCTATCTGAAGATACAGTTTCACTTTATAGATTATATTTTTGGGATCAATGTGATCTGATATTCTGGTGAAAATATTTCATTTGCTCATGTGATATTCCATCATAAGTTGAAGATAAAATAGGGTGATATTATACAGTTATGCTCAAGTGCAAAAACAGATATCTTCAAACGCTGTTCGGGTGATGGTGAAGGATACACACGTAAGAATCACACAAATTGCGAGACTTTTGATGACGCTGGGTTGATGATTGCATCCCATGTCTTCCGATAGAGCTATCTTGTGTAAAATTAGTTCGGATCACAGGATCAATAAGAGATGATTCTAAATAGACCTCTGGAAAGAACAGGTTAGGTTTCCTCCTGTGTTAACACTGGATCAATAAGAGATGATCCTTACTGGACCTCTAGGTGGAACAGTTTAGAACTGATATAGAGCTGCTATCAACCAGCTTGAAACGCTTTGCAAGATGCGTGGATCTTACGTGTAATCAATATTGATACAATTCTATTCACAAGATGATCAAAAATAATTTCTCTTGATATCCTTCACGCATGATGAAACTGACGTTCACGAGTGCTTGAAATGTCAGCCAACACTGTCGACTTCTCAAAATCAATCCTGGAATAATTATCCTCTCTGCTCTTCCTTGGTCTGCGAGGAGAATCTTCCTGGGGGGGACTATCCCTAGAGAAATCCACTGAAGCATAATTCAATTTTCTGGCATTTTTCTCCGCGTTTTGTTTGCAATTTGGCGGTGTAAAATTAGCATAATTCGCATCAGGTTCAGGATATGGCTCTTTCGTCTTCACATTGACATAACTGCTCGGCTGTTCTCGCTTTTCATTGTTATTGGTCGGTGACGTCGGTGGTTCCGGCACTATACGAAACCGTGGCGATTTACTGCCGACACTTTTACTGCGATTCATATCAACATTCATATAAGCACCAGCATTGTGTCGCTGGATTTGAGATTGGCTTTTTTTAAGCTTTGATTGAGGGGCCATATTTACATAGTTTTCATGTTCTTTGGTATTTTCTCCGCGGTTTAAATGATCAAACCTTTCATCGTCAGACGAGGTTGATGACGACACATGACGTAATCCAGGTTTCATGTTGACGTACGTACTTACATCCGGGTCTTGTCCCCCTGCTCCTTCCTCCGCGGACTGGAACGATTCTGAACTACGAGAAGACGAATTACGCGGCTTTTCAGGCGCAGCTTTGGGGCGAGTCATCTGAATGTAAACATCAGGCGTACTTCCGGGAGGTTTAAGAGGCATGTATGAACTGGGATCAGAACTCGAAGGGTCAAAACTCGACGGGTCAAAACCCGCAGGTAACCCCACGTCTTCAATAGAGGAATCGCTTCCTACAGGCCGAGGAGGTTTCATTATTTCATACTGTGGTGGATTGTGTTTAAGGAATGTCTCGCCATCTTCGCGGTCACTGTCGTAGTTATCAATGTGAATATTCTCACTTCCAACACTACGACGCCATGCTGGATCACTGCTGGAGCTGCTGCTACTTCGCCTCGGTAGAGACGAACTCTGGTATTGTTCAACGAAGTTCTTACGAACGTCATGTATGTTCTGTTTTCGTTCGGATCTTCTGCGGGGCCTGGGAGCTATGTTTGTGTACGTGTTTTCATCAACCCTCACTCGGTCACTTCTAGTCTCAAGATCCTTTGAAAGAAAGTCATTGAAATTACATCATTGCACATCTTATTTTAGAGAGAATACTCTGTTCAATCGACGTTCTTGTCTGAGATCATTCAGCAAATAAAAGGAAAGTGAACTCCAACGCTGTTTCTCCTCTGTCTTCCTTCTTCTAATATAAGCTATCTACATCACACTTCAGACGAAGTTGAACTGCCTGTTTTAAACCACTTAACTTGGTTGAAATAAATGGTTCAAGTTAAGCAATGCCGCCATTACTCATTAGGATCCAATCAAACAATTTGATGAAATATGAAAGGACGAAAATTTCAAATAACATCATCTCTTTCATGATTGTGATGCAAACTCAAGATTTGTGTTAGTAAGTACACACTTGTCTTGTGTTTTTTAATAGCTGAGCCTGAAATCTAAACTTTGAAAGACGATGTTATTCGGGCCCGGGTGTTTTGTTCTATATGATTTATGATAATCTGCCTGGAAACGTGAACTGAACTTCAAATAGTTTTATGACAAATCGCAGAACTATAGAATATGATATTTCCGAGAAATACACGCAAGCTCATAAATTAACATACCAGAGATTCCTTCTTCCTTGGGATGAATTGACCGTCTGCAGTGAAAGACCCTGAGGATTGGGATTTTGATCGAGGACCAAACGGGACTGGAGGGGTTATCTTAGGATAATGTCTCTCTTCTGAATCCTCTTCATCACCTGGAGCATGATGGGAATAAATACAGTTATTTCACGTGACATGTACTGACAGGAAATATTTCAGTTCATTTGTTATTTACTCACCATTACGACTCTTTTGCGGGCAGCTGCCATTCTTACTAGTGAAGATAAATGATCCTTCAGCGGAGCTGCCTGACACAGAGTTAGAATGCTGTCGTCCTTCCACGTCTAAACAGCAGAAAATAACACATTAGCACTAACATTCCAGAATTAATTTACTTCCTGGAAATTTGCCTCGCGTTGCCAGATCGCCTCAGGTGTGCGTCGACCTTTATATCACATGATTTCAAAATGATCTCAAAATTATTTAAACTAGTTTCAAAAGAGAACATGAAAGACACAATATGGTGATAAATACACAGAGATTTGTTTCACTGCTGGCCAGTCCTGGGTCTTTTCCAATAGACTTTAGATCAACCAGCGCAATACGAGCACAAAAGAAGAATTACCTTTTCCTTTCTTCTTATTTCGAATCAAATTTGGTATAAATGTGGATCTTCTTGATCTTGGACTATCATTGTTATTATCCATTGTTTGTTCATCATTTCCACCAGAGCCATCAATCATTGACAGTGCAGACCTGGGCTTCACCGACCTGAAATCACACACAGTTGCAAGTGAATATGTTGAGAGATAATGAGAATTACGTTAAATGGAAATACTACACTGGGTGGATATAAGATCAAAGACTCAAAGAGATGCAAGAACTAAGAGCCTTCAGCTCCTTTTGTATGTTTTTGGATGCTTGCAGATTTGTTGAAAAGTATCCAATCTTTCCTTCGACTGTGGCATGGTTAGTTACTATTAAGCAGCATTTCTGGCTTCCAGTTTGGATTAGCCCAAAGTCTTTTTAAATATGTCCTTACTAGATATAAGATCAAGGACTCAAAGACATGCAAAGGAATTTAAGGTGGATGCCTCAACCACATTAGGGCTGTATTTTACTACCATAATTTCACAACACTTGACATAATCATTTGACATCCACCTTCAGAACTTCAACTAAAAAATACAGTGTTGACCAAAAGAATCTTACATCAATCTTACCGTGACAAACTGTCTTCAACTTTCTGCGCAATCAATGGATCATCAACCTCCATCCAAATTTCCCCAGGACCCAATGCTGTGGAGCGACCAAACTCCATAAACACACAGTTATCTGAATAACCAAACTTTCGCACATGATAAAGTTTCTCTTCAATAACGATCTCTTGTGATACAGGATTAATGAAATATAATGTATTATCCTTAAGACATAGTTTGTATGAGCCAGTAACATTTCGCAAACCTCCAAGACCTCGAGAAACTACCTTGACATTCCACACAATGTCTAAATAGGAAAAATATACCATTATAATAAGATTAAGGGAAGATTAAGATGCCCTTCAGCAATAAAAGTGTTCAATAATAATTTGTTCGTAAACAAACTAACCATATTGTAGTTCCTGCAAATTCTTATATTCCATTTGATGCAATTTATCAAGATCCGTAAACCAATCTTCTAGAAGTTCATCAGTATCTGCTTTGAGATGAAATACTGCTTCCTTTGTATACAAGGCCAAAATATTCCCAAATTTCTCATGAACTTTCTTAGTGATACCCAGACAATGCTGCAAAGATATTACTCTCTTTGGAACGGTTTCTGCACTGTACTTTTTGGGATTTTCATAATATAGCAATTGTGCATCGCCTGTTTCCTTGTTGAAACCCAATACAAAGTATCGCTTCTTCTGGTTCTAAACAAGCAAAAGTAGATGGTGTTAGACTTCAGTTTGGTCTGCCCAAACTAAAACATCTCGCATAAACAAGAAATGATATACTTTAATAACAATAGAGGGTGCAAAGTTTATAAACTTGCCCTGGCAAGACAAGGAAGTTGTAGGGAAAATTTCATGCAAATGCTGTGAACTAAACTAATAACAAAACCTATAACCTCTCAAAATTCAATAAGCTCTTTTATCTGTAATTCATTTCTTTAAAATTACATCAACCTTACCCTTAACCTTATCACTTTGTACTTTTCAAAGAAAGACGACTAGAATCATTGTGCTGCTTGCTTTATTGTATTGTGTTTTCCAAATAGGAAATGACACTTAAAAGTGAAATTTTTTGCCCAGCAGGATACAGGATTCACACAGCAAGCATAATAATCAGGGCAAGGAAATTGTAAAAGGGATGTTATTCAGAACCTAACCCTTAAGGCAATAAAATATCAAATTATATTTGACCAAGCAAAATTATAATTCTAATAATATATGTAACTTAATTGTTACCCCACAGTTTGCAAAATTTGTAATTGTTAAAAGGCAGTTCAAAGTGCAAATGTTACACTTGGATACAGATAAAAAGAAGTCAGATCATATAGCCTTTTTTTAAGTAGGAATGTATTCTTTATTTTTTATCATTTATATAAATGCAGCTAAGAAATCCTTGACTGGAGGCAAAGAAACCAGTTCCTTGACAATATTTAACCGGAACAAATTATACTTGTAGACGTCAGAATTTCATCATCACTTTGTGCTTTCTGAGCACGTTTTGAAAAAGAAATAACTGTTTGGCATTTGAAATGAGCTTTTGGCCAAATGCAACGGAGAAATGTCAAAAGATGTAGCATATGAACAGCAGCATAAGCTTAGCTTCATCGGAAAGATAATTAAACAAACTTAAAAATGTAATTTACTTGGTGTCTTGGTCATTTGCTTATGAAAATACAGACATTGCAAATACAGCCATTTTAATACTCTAATTGATTGATTCGCTGACAGGCTTGTAGGAGACTGATGGATAGCTAACTACATGAATGATTACACTTGTGGGTGAAAAAGATTAAACTAAACAAAGCGATTCTGCTTGTTTGCCTTCATCTACAAACTTCAACATCAAATTTACTGCCATTGCCAGGCACGCAAGCATCAAGCTTTCAACAAAAGACCACCCTGAATTATGACGGGAAACATTAGGATTTTGCTCGTTACATTATAGTTTTTGAGAAATTTTCTTTTATAGTATTGAAATTGAGTAAAAGAATTTTAAGATTTCTTTACATTGTTTGTTTTCATAGACCATTTGACCCTATGCTGAGACGTGATACAGCGTATTTTAGCGAAGGTTTCGTATTACATAGTATCCGTATTAATACCCCGTTTGTAAACAGAAATTTTCCCCACACGAAGCATATGTTCAGGGCTTTTATACAAAATTTCCGTGGTTTTCAATACGTCGAACAATATTATCTAAAATCTTTTTGTTTATAATCTTCCAAGGTCGAGTGCCTTGAATTCCTTGTTTACAATCAAGTCTATTTCTTTACGACATGTTTTCCAAATATATACGCTACTCTTGTCGCTCTGTTATAAAATACATGCCTAATAAAATACAATTTATGAAAACTATAACCAAACAAGCTTTCACAAATATTAAGAACAGTCAAAAGAACTTGTAGTTGAAATATTTACACTCGCATTGCAATAACACAAGTGTGTTCGTCGTGTCCGTGCAGATATTTTGCAAACGCGTACAAAGATACAGAAAATAATGATGTATCATAAAAAATACGGCATAATTACCTTCACTCTCTTCAGCCATCCTTCTCGTACTATCCTAGAGAGATTACTCATCTTATTAAAGTATATTTGTTTGACTTTTTTAAAGGTTGTCAATATTGAATTGACTTCCCGACGGAGAGCCTAGCACCTGGTCTTTGCGCAAGAATACATTCAGACGTTAATCTTTTGAGAATACAATCATTTTAGAAGTATTTACGAATGATTTCGAAAAGAGAAATCCATGTTAAGGAGCTTCAAAAGCCTTCTTTCAAAGCCAAAAATGAAGTACGTATTCAAATGATCTGATTTCGTTCCAAAGAGCTGCAATGCATGTAATTAGCCGGCCCACGATAGAGCATGCCTGATTTGCCCGCACCACCTGTCAACATGATTGATGATTTGTAAACTTCGCAAGTTTGTAATTTTAGTTCAACATTTTTATTTGCGCTTTTTCGCTTTTAGAGCTTTCCGATTGATATTTGTTTAATAAAATGCTGCCTAAACAGATCTCACATATTTTGTTTATAATATTTTTAAATATCATTATGCAAAAAAATGGCCTTTTTAGGTAAGCGCGCAAAATTATAATTTCACACGTCATTTTTATTAAAAAGCAGTTCGATTTTCAGAAACCTAAGCCTTAAACGATCATCTACACGCCTTGTGTGGGCCCCAGTCTAACAGGAAACGTTAAATATCTTCAGTTTTAGGCATGATATAATGACAGCCAATTTAACTCATGTGAAATAAACGCCCGCGTTTGTTTTCCACACAGAAGCAATATTTTTCACATCCTGCTACACACCTAAAAACTTAAATTCGCCATTGGTTCATACTATATGATGAACTACTCGACTTTGTCTGTCCCACGCATTTTGAGACAACCCGAAAAACCTTCAAGTGTCCACTCACAACAATGAAGACGGTTTTGAAATGACGTTAATCTAAATGAATGATATTGGATCACCTTGTAAAACAACAGAAATTTATATTGACTAAAAACGCTGTTCTTCATCAAGAGACTGATAGACAGAAAATGTTTTCCTTTTCGCTTCCGGCGTGGCAAGTTTCACGCATTCTTATCTAAATATAAACACGAGTTGAGTGTTACTCCAGGAAGTATTACGAATATAAATAAGACTTAAAGGCAACAAACGAATTAGTTAACAGTAGTTCCTTCTTATACAACCTAATGCATACTTATAGTCACCTATTTCATAGTTTGAGAGAAGTCATTCGCTTAGTTATCACTGTTCCGCCGGTAAACCAGACATTTGCATCCTCAACGAGGAGCCTCGACGATACTATGCAGGTTTTCTAGAAGTCCAATAATACAAGTCCCTTATGAATTTCCCTATAATAATAATATTTAAGCTAAAAATGTGTCTGTACACGGATATTCCCGAAAAATTTACACGCCAATTTAAACGACACCATTTCCATTAACCATTTCCTGAGGAGATGAACCGTTGGCACTTTTACAATGAGGTCCAATGGATCGGCTCGTCCGAGTTTCTGGACAACCAAAAAGTTCAGGACACGGCTGACCTTTATTACTAATCTCGTGACAGGTTTTTAAAAGATCGTATGCAATGTGTTCGCTCACAATTGAATCATGTTTATACTCCGGGTGGTTCATCACGAAACCTCTCATCCACTGGGCTGTTGTCAGATATTCGCCTACAACGAATAAAGGTGATACTGTTTATTCTTTTGAAAAATAGTCCTTTTTTTGTCTGGTATTTTCACTATTTCTCCAAAGGCAGAGAGTTTAATATGAGCTGTGTTGTGATAGGATGCCCAAACGAGAAAATATTGGGCAAAAAGGACGTTTGCAGGAGTTTTCATCTTCACGAGAAATGCATAAAAAACAAAAACCTGAACTAAAAATAATCGTATCTGCTTGGAATAAAACGTTTACCTGAAGCTTTCTTGGAAATGAATTTCAGATATTGGCTTATTGTACAACGTGTTTCAAAGTCAACGTCGACAGAATCCAGGAATTTGTTGATCAACGGAATGAGACCAGAAAACTCGGCATCCTGAAAGAAATAGTTGAAAATCTTTCTAAACTTTCTGCTAATTTTTGTTTTATTTAATTAACAAAAGACCAACTGACCTTTCCATTAATAATTTCATCAATTGTCATCAGTTTGTAGCAACATTCTTTAGGACAAACTTCGACTCCTTTATCATTGCCTCCACCTACAAACCAACATTTCAAATATGCATTAAAATATGCCAGAAACGCCTGAATTTGTACGTGAATTTTAGTTATTTTACAACTCACAGACTTTCAACATCGTTCTGAAATGGAACCGTTCTTTTCTTACAGCATCGCGTTTCTGAGCAGACGCCAGATTTTCATCCACCTGGGGGAGAGGAAATTGAAACATATTGAGAGAAATTGAAACATATTGGAAGAATATGAAACACATTGAAAGAAATTTGAAACACATTGAGAGAAATTAGAACATATTGAGAGAAATTTGAAACAGATCATCAACGGACATTGAAGAACGATATGACGTGTTAAATACCTTGGAAAGTGGAATCAAAAGGTTCAGATTGAACGACAAAATAACTCGAGTGATTAAAACTACAAATGTCGCGAACGCCGCATTTTCAAAATCTGTCAGTTGCACCTGGAGGAAAAGAACGTATCTTAAGTTGAAGGGGGGAGAATGATGATAGAATCATGTGAATAAACACAAGAAAATATGAGCTGTTGCACTGACACAAATAGTACAATCATGTGAACACAAAACATGAATAACATGAACACAGAACAATTGGAGGAATTGAACAAAAGAGAAAGGGATCGTGTTATGTCTAAGTGTCCAGTACCTCAGTTGGTCTAAACTCTACTCTCCAGCCGATAGGAGAGTTTGCCGGGGGAGGTTTGAACCTCATTGTCTGCCAGTTTGTTGATTGAATGTTCTAGAACACAATAAGACCATAATTAAAATGTTTGATTACAGCAAATTGGAATAAAAATGGAGCACTTCGTTCACCTCGAAATGATCGGAGTCTTCTTCATCATTCAAATCAATTTTCTCGCTAAACAAAGTCAGCGGATCCCGGATATACAAATGAGCAAAATGTTTCGCCATTGGCTCGTCCATACCTAAAGAGAGCGAAATTCTTATTCAGCCTCCTCATGAAAGAACCTTACTTTCAAAACACGGGACAAGAAGGGCTTTATAAAAATATTTAGAGCAGAATAATGAAAGATAAAGAAGTTGATTGATGATTAACTACCTTCTTTCACAAGTGTTTGAAATATTTCTTCATCGTAAGCCATTTTGATGTCGCTGTACGGGGCGGCTTGGACTGAGAGATACGAATCTATTGAATCATAACGCGATTTCCTGATTTGAAATCTGTCGTTCTTTAGAGGCTAAAAAACAAAAATTTGAAAATACTAGTGGATCACTCCAGCAATTTAAACTATTAAGGTCCAGTAAGGATCATCTCTTACTGATCCAATGTTACTACAAGAGTAAACCTAAACTAAACTAACTTTATTTATACTAGATAGCTCTATCAGTTCAAAACTGTTCTTCCTAGAGGTCCAGTAAGGATCATCTCTTATTGATCCAGTGTTACCGCGGGGGGAAACCCTTAAACTAAACCATTATTCTTGATGGGTCCATTCCATGAGGTAAAAGCCAGGTTATCATAACTCACCACCAGGCCTCTCTCCTCCTCAGTTCTATCATCAACAGCGGCTGATATGACGTTCCAACGACAATCAACATCAGCAAGGTAACCTCGGAATATTGGAGCACCAGCGGACAAAGCATGCTGGGAAGAATTACAGTGATTTCGGTTAAAACGGATACATAATACATCATAAAACATGCACCTCCAAGAGCCTTTTAATACAGAATACAACATGCATAAAATATTAAAATAAAATACAAACCATGATAGGTGTGAGTACAGCTAGTTGATCATACAAATGACGAGCCTCGTTGATGTTACATGCTTGAAATGTCATCTGCAAATGCAAGTAAAAATTTGTTCAAAATGACCCTGGGCATACAACAAGCAGACACGTTCATGGAGAATCTACCCTCACTGAGCCAAGCCAAAGTATAATAGGTAATTAATTCACCTACACACTGAAGAAAAAACAGACTCTTACTTGTAGACAACAACATCCCATACCAAAGCCCATGGCATCCATGTAAATATGATCTGCTTTGGCTGCTTTTGAACCTTCGCCTTCCTCATCATTGGAAAATTTCTCAATGAATGGTGATGGTGTGTTGACGTCTTTGAAAACTAACAAGTTCGCAAAAAACAAGCAAATGGTTGCCCATTAGTTTTGATCCAGAATGATCAGACTTCACTAACTTAAGAAACACTCTATCAACATAAAAACTTATTTATTGATCAAATGTCATTACTTACTTGGAACATTGATAGCAACTTTTGTCCCTCGTCTCTCCCGAATATTTCTTGTCAGGGTGCTGAAAAATTTGAAATAAATCATAACATATATATGAACTACTTTTACCGATATCATCTCCATCTTCACACATTCGATCTAAAAACAAAAGTTTTATACCTGAATCTTGGATGCTGATTAATGGCTTCCTGTGGAAAGAACAAGGAATGGGATGCTCCTGAGGTTGGTGTCGGTTTGTGACTTGGAAATGTGAATTGAGGGCAACCAATCCTAGCAATATTAATTATCATACAATGTAAATTTTCATTTGAAAGGGAAACATTTTGTGGACAAAAAAATGTCAGTGTTTATACCTTGGAAAACATGTCATACTCAGCACACACTCATTGTCAGGATTTAGAAAATTCATGACTTCTTCACGACGTAATTTCATGTTGGCTTCAATCATGTTAAAGTGTCTCATACATCCTCCTAGGGGTTGTCCAGGAGTGCCTATGAATGACAAGCACATTTCAGTGTATCTGTCTGTCACTGGAGGTGAGAGGACTTTGACCAGTCACTGGAGGTGAAAAGGTACAAAGTATCTGAGAATACCTTCAAGCATATAACTTGCATATTCTGGTTTCCAGGATGTTTCATTTTTTCTAAATTGCAAAGAATATTATATGAATATTAAATATTATATTAGAAGAAATTTCATAAAGAAAGTTCAAAAAGTTAAATGAAAATACCCTGGATTGGTATGTTCCTCTTCTTGTAACTTGGGTAGGAGTGTGGCACTTTTCAGCAACAGTTTAGCTGTCTTTTCTTCATGATCAAATTTTACCAGAACATATTCAACCTGATATTACATTAAAAAACAATCAACATACTGCAAAGTACAATGCTATACATGTTTAACTATCTAAAAACCATCAAGCCAAATTATGCATTAAATTAACAAATTTTGCATCTTAAGTAAACATATATCATTTTTTGAATGTCAGAAAGTGTTTCAACATTCAACATTGGACATCTACACATATTAATTGTTGGCTTTTAGAAAGAACTGGACTATCAGCATGATTCAGCTAATATAAATTAATATGCTATGTTCACTCAGCATGACCTCAGAAGCATGACATTGCAACCCAGTAATCAGTCTAGAGCTCACTAGATATGCTGGTAATGGCTGAATTTTGATAAAAACTACATATAAATTACATAAAAAACAATGGAGAACCACTAACCAAAACCTTGTAGCAAATTATATGTAAATTATCTACATTCTTTATCAATAACTGCCATACTCTTAAAATATTGGACTTCGAAATGTTGAAATTGTTAGCTTCAGCAAAATGCTAGATTTCTGTATAAAAGTAGTGTATATTTCTCAAACCTAAACACATATATCTTTAGGAGTAAAACTATGAACAATCTACCTCTTACGAACAATCTGCCTTAATCTTATTGGGTGGAATTTTATAATTTTTAATCTTTCTTAATTATAATGTCATTCGAGGTCAGTAAGTAAATAATTTAGGCATCATGAAAATGCCACAAAAACCACAATGAATATTACCTTTGCGGGGTTGTCAAACGTTCAGACTTTAACAGTTCAATACAATACACACAATTCACTTGCAAACATGTAAATAGCTTAGGCCAAATCCTTTAAGATTAAACCGCATTATCTACGAAGTATCTGTATGTTATAAGCATTTAAGCTTATTTTATTTAATCATTTAGTTAATCTACACGTTGTCCATATACTCTTTATCACGCGGGACATTACAATATAGGAAATTCAGAAACAATGCCCAAATCTCCTCACCTCATCACCCCATTTCAAGCAGTCATTTTCCCGTTTCTCTAGCCTGTGAAAAATATGCAAAAGCTGTGTAATGCCATGAGAGCGAACATGATCCGCATGCTTCTTCGTTTCAGCCCACGAGAGTGGAGAACCTTCGGTTAGAAGACCCATTTAAAAGAACAATTGCTTTCAGAGTGTCTTTCTTCTCCAAACGACCACAAGCTGTATACAGGTTAAAAAAAAAGAGTTTTTGGCATTGGGTGGGGTTATTTTATTACAACAGCATAAAATTACATAACAATTGAAACAATGTATACTAACCTGAAAATGAACTGTACTTTCAGAACTGTACAAGATTAGTTTGTACTTTAAATGTGCAAAAATATAAACACACTGTTGCATAAATACACTATAATCTTCCAGACTTATCGAAATACGGATCTCTGCATGCGTTTATGCCAAGATGTGAGCATGACTATTTTTAACCTGTTTGTTTTATATATTTCATAGTTGATCTACTCCTTGAGCAGGGCGCCATGTTGACATATTTAAAATTCCAATTTCGAACTAACCAGGGGGGGCGAGCTCAGAGGGATCACGGGGTGTGTGTATCGTGTTTTATGCGAAGAAGATAGCGCTTGTAAATGAAGAAGGAAAATGTTAGGAAACAACATCTACTATACTTTTGAGTCAAAGTGGAACTAAACTTTTATTACATGGAGTGGGTTAGGTATCTTTTCAGTCTTCAATTGTTATGGGCGGTTAAAATGCAAATATCTGACAGAACGCAGCTGATTAAACGACGTTGGCGTCTACTTTAATTAGCAGTTGTCTTTGTTTCATGGTTTGTGTGAGTTGTTTCTCCTCAGGAAATTATCCTCAGCACCAGGTGGATACGAATGTTTTTCGATCGAAGTATGGTTGGGGACTTTCTTAGTTTCTCGTCCGGAGCATAATTTCCTTGACTGTGGCGTGGGAGGATTTTATCCCGCTATGTTAATATTTTGATTCTTATTGACTATGAAAACAATCAATTTGCAAAGAAATGAATAATCATCACAACTTGAAATTTGCATTGCGGGACAAAATCTTCAGCTGGCTACGCCACTGAGAGAGAGAGGGAGAGGTGGATCAGTATTTACATGGGGTAAAACTAGTGTTAATATGTTGTCGTATGTTGTCAATGACTTATCAACGCAATAAGAAAGGCAGCAAGCCAGGACGATCAATGAGAACAAAATAAGTCTAGCTGTACTATCACATTGTTCAACCAGAGTATACCATTTAACACGATCAGAAAACGAAACCCAACTTCTGTAGTTTCAAAAGTTGCTTGGAAAGTTTGCGTATGGATGGTCTTCTTTCTGTTGTCCCAGACGCCAGTGATTTCTCCAGGACTAAAATAAAACAAAAACATGAAAAACGAACATGTCAACTCTGCTCTATCCAGTAATGACAAATCTAAATGAACTAAATGAACATCTGCTCTATCCAGTAATAACAAAACTGTGACGTCGTACTTACTTTCAACCTGTTTTTCCAGTCTGTCCAGTTGTTCATCTAAGAAAGTCTGATCGTCCTCAATCTCTTCAAGAAGATTGACGAATGCTAAGTCATCTCCAGTGTACTTCATGTTATTTCTCGTACTAGTTCCTGTCTCATCATTCCTCAATGATGTATTCTCATCATTACTATCTTGGATAATTTCACTATCATTAAGCTGTCCTGAAGTCTCCTCCAGACTTCGTGCTGTCTCCAGCGTGTTACGTTCTAATGCCTTTCTATCTCGTGCTTCGATATCATTGTCTCGTGTCGATTCCTTCCCATCTCGTGCTGGGACATCACTTTCTCGTGTCGATTCTTTCCCATCTCGCGCTTGGATATCATTTTCTCGTGTCAATTCTTCATTTTCCTGCCCATTGTGTTGTTCTGTTTCCTCCTCCATACTCGACTGTGTTGAATCAATATCTGTTCTTACACAGTTTTTATTCTTCACGTTCTCAACAGAGCCTGAAACCATTTCTTGTGTTTTCTTTTCCTGTCTCAATCCAGTAGTTTCTCCTTCTTTCTGCTGGATCTCTGAGTCACTTCTAATGACTTCAGAACCATCTTTATCATCCTTGTCTCGGACAACCTTTTGACGATCACCAACTACGTCATTTCCACGCGTCTGGAGACTCTCACGTGTCTGATCATCAACTACGTCATTTCCACGCGTCTGATCATCTTTCTCAAGTTCATTGTTCAGCGACTTAACGTCATTTGTTTCATATTCAGAGGCATTTGATTCGTTTTTACTGGAGTCAGCGTCACTCCTCAGACTGTCGTCTTTAAAAACTTCATGTTTATGTTCCCACATTTTAAGATCCACATGATTAGGCGTTCTTGGAAAGGAATCACTGTCGTTAGTAAAGAAATACTTCCTAGATAACGAAGTAAGAATTTCTCAACTTACCGTAGGATGTGAAGTTTTCGTTTCATTCCTTTCAACCCAGAGTTTAGTTTATACAGATCAGATAACATGGAATGAGTGACTTGAGCCTTAACTATCTTTACTTCATTTACATCATGAGGAACAAATGCAGGCAGAATACCACTTTTAAACCATTCGTAATTGTTCTGCAAAAAAAAACAGGAAATGTAAAAGTTATTTTGAGAAGCAAGCACTCTACGAAATCACACAATTTTAAAGAATTTCTCGCCAAACAGGGCGACTCGTTTGTTCAGCAGAAAACTAAGAAAAATTAATGTTATTTACCTTGAATCTTGCATTCTTTCTTAAGCCTATAAAATAGTGCATGGAAGTCAATGAAATGGGAAAATAAAAACACGAGCTCCTGTCTAAAACGCATGTCAATGACGTGATGTAATTATACCTTTTGGATTCCTGCAGACATAACAAATATATTTTGATGGCAATTTTTCTTCACCAGCGTTTACACAGTCGTTGTGTTGCCAAGTAAAACATTGCTCGCACTAAAGAATGAAAAATCACTGTGACAGATGACATTTGACAATAGAAACATGGCAACTTCAACAAGAATGATGGTTTTCTTTCAGGGTTTAATGGATTTGATAAACTGTGGTGTTTTTGTTAATCGTTTAAAGTGGAGATCATGCGGTGGCTGGCACATGCAGCAGTACCTGAATCATTAAACCAGAGTCTTCAAAAACATCACACAAACAACGCACGACATCTTCTTCTTTGGTATCAGAAATATCCATCTCCATCTCATCTTCAAGATCATGTTCAACCTCAACGTGGATATCTGCATTCGTAAAACGTTCATGTTGAAATCAAACGAACTAAAGAAGTGAACCTTTTCACCATGGACGTTTTGCAAGCGAACTAAGACAACCTCCCATCAAAGAAATCAACAACTTCCCTACCTGATGCAGCTGGTGATTGAGCTTCCAGAGAATTATCACCAACAGAACCGATAGAAACATCTGATGTCGACTGTCGTTTTGTTCTTTTCTTAGGAACGCCTGATTCGAAAGAGTCTTCTTCACTCCATGAAGCTGTCATGATAGAAAATGTAGAATGAAGAAAAACAATGATACCAGACAAGATATCACAGTGGAAGAAGGTTAGTGTACATAGTGTATATCATTGGCCTTAGTAGATCATCTTCAGGGAGCAGTTTAGAATTATAAGCAAAAATATTATTAGGAAGAAATCATGCAGAGTTCTGCCTTTATACCTGACGAGCGTTTCCGTTTATCTTCAGGGGAAGTGTGATAATATTTGACGTGAGAATCCAGCAAGGACGCTTTTCGAAATGACTTGTCGCAACCAGAATATTCACATTTGAATTTGTTATGATCCAATTCAATGCGCAGTTCTTTAGGAGCAAATACTGTGAAAGAGAGAAACCCAGCAATTTAGAAAAACAATAATTTTGTCCATCATCTTCAATCATTTTTCAACATCAAATCTACTTACCATGCGGACGTCTCAGACCCTAGAAATAAAAGAATATTTCAATATTTAAACTTTAAAACACCAACTAAAGTCACACTGTTTTCTCGATAGCTCAATCAATTCCTAACTTTTCTAGAGGTCCAGTAAGTATCATCTCTTATTGATCCAGGATACTTATGCAGGAAATGTTAGATAGATTAATAGATACACACTGTACCTTGCCTGGGTGACCATCTGGAGGTAATGGGGTTGACATCATGTCACCTAGAAGAGCATCACTGTCACTTGGGCTGGTCACTGGTGTCTTCCCCCCTGAATTCTTAGTTCCTACCACAGCTTTATCACCTGGGGTACTAACTCCGGGAGTTGTCACCCCCACTAAACGGCTGAGTGGGAGATCATCAGGGTCTAGGTTAAGGCGTGAAGGTGGGGCTTTTTTGGAAGGAGTGCTATCAAAAGATGGGTCATTTGAGGTGAGGTGGGCAGATAGGTGGGTGGATAGATTGACATCCGAAGTGTTGGTGGGCGTCCCATCAATAGGTTTGAATTGACTCGAGTTTAATTTCGACGGCGTATCCGTGCGTTCACCAGTTGATGATCTTGATAAGTTAGTTGTGTTGATGTCTTTGGATGATTTATTTGACGTTGGTAAAGTTTTAGAGCTTAAGTCTTCCGATCTAAGAAGAAAATACAAATTTCATGTCTTGTGCATTGAAATTTATGAAACCGTACAAGGTGATAGTCCCACCTGGCTGTCTTAGTCCCAGAATCTTGTTCCATTTTCTTCGTTACATGAACACGACCAGGCTTTCTGCACTCAGAAGAAATATCCCTCGGAGATATCCCCCTGGGTGAAATCTTTGGTCTCTCGCCTTGAAGCATGGGGAAGAATCGTTAGCTGTTTGCCTGAGCGAAATGTTGGTTGTGAAATATTCAATGTTCTTACCTGAATGTGGCGTCGTCTGTGTGTAAACGACTGATGGAGGCAGTCGTTGATCAACGTGCATTAAACGCATCAAAGAAGGAGCATTTTGAGGAGGCTCGTGAAGGACTGCAGTGGGGTATAACGAACAACAAGAACCTATGAACAACAAGATTATCAGATTAGACTTTGAATTAAGACTTGAGCTATCATTGATCAACATTGGTTGAAATCTTCACGACCCTTGATGACAGTTTTCTCTCGTCTGATTGACCCAAGGCTTCGCAATATCTAGAATTTTAACTCTCACGAGCAAATCTTGTTCCGAAGACATGCGGGTTTGACAAAGAAATCAAGCAATAGGATCGTGTGTAAAAACAGATATCTTTACTTACATGGTGGATGAGCAAGTGTTGGGGCAATGACAGGAAATGACGCCTGAGTTCCAGGTCCATAAACCACGTATGTTTCACGAGGTAACCCCCCTGGACTGAGGTGATAACCTGCTGTACTAGCAGGAGGGTAGGAATTTCCAGGAGGGTACGTACAACATGGTCCAGTACATTGAGGTGGTGCACCATAGGTAAAAAGGGACGGAGGTGGATAGCGTTCGACATATTGAGGAGGTAAACGAGGGGCCGGCGCTGACACACGGGGATATGGAGGGGGGTTAGGGGATGTCTTTTGATAGGTTTGAGGAGTTATGTGTGAAGTTTTAGTCATTTCTTCGGATTTTAGATGGTCCAGTTTTTGTTTAATCTCCTCACGTTTTGCTGTGATTTGAGTTTGTCTCTGGATCGAAAGTTTTCCGGTGATTTGATCTAAACGCATTCTCTTGGCTTTGAAAGATTCAGCTCCTAATGTCTGAGGTTTTCCCTTTGATGATTGATCTGATTTCTGAGCATGCTCACTTGTGTCATCCTTGTCTCTTTCATCAACATTACTTGAAGTATCATCCTCAGTTGCAGACAGTTGTTCAGGAATAGGTTTTTCTACAGCAATCTCCCCAGAATCACCTGTTTTCAGGTTTTTCTCTTCTTTATCCAGTGTGGTACTCTCAATGTCCTTGTCATCCAATGCCTGGTTTTTTATACCCTTCGAAGTATCCACACAACCCACAGCATCCACACTTTCCCCCTTGTTTCTATCCTTTGGCTGCTTTGGATCTGGAGTAGTCTTTGAAAGTTCAGCTTTTTCTTGTAACCTTGTATCTACATCTTTTCCTGCCTGACTTGAACCTTGATTCTTCTTGGTTTTCAAAGCTTTACCATGATGACTAACTTCCTCCAACTCTGTCGTGACTTTTGATGCAATCTTGCACTTGCTAAGCACTTCTTCAGCTGCTGAAGTGGCAGTGGTAGAACCAGCTAAACTTGTACCCAAGATGACACAAGGTTCCTGAACATTCAACAGTCCAAGGACACCAGTAGTTTGTAAGATCTTCATGTCTTTATCTGGTATAATCACTTGTTGAATGTCTGTTCTCTGATCAACCTAAATGATGTTTTGTTCGGTTATAATGCTTTTCTATTTCTTTCTACTTAGTGGTAAAGTTGCCAACAATTTCTTTTAAGAACTTGAATGGTACTAAATCATGTACGTACCTGAACACTCAGTGGTGTTGTGACACTGGGTTTCGTCATCTGTGAGTCAGGTTTGCTTTCTTTGATATGGGTGACACGAATGGTATTTTCTGATGGCAAAGTGTCATCAGCAGAAGAAGTGTTCAAACTTTCAGACATTTTTGAAGGATCTTTTTCTATGTTTTGTGGACCAACAGTTTTGCTCTTGTTTAATGGTGGAACCAGTGAAACAGAATCCTCAGATTGTTTTAATTTATCACTTGACTCCACTTCACAAGATTCATGCTTGGTTTGATTTTGACCAGGTTTTGTTTCAATTGCCCTGGAAATAATAAATACTAAAATCACCCAGTCAAGAAACACCATAGTCACCTGTCAATTTGAGAACTACAGATCATACTTTGGGGGGTAAAACTATAGTAAAACTAGTTTTGACATGGTTAATTTTTACATTGTGATATGATTCAAGTATACGGTAAACAAGATGATTATAATCATATTTTATCTACTCACTCTTCAGTCTTAGGTCGTTTAGACTCTTGTGGCACATCACTTTCACGTCTATTACGCTTACGCGAGGTCTCTGTCACATCCTTAGATTTCACTTCCACTTTCTCTTCCTCAATCTTCTCAATATCCTTTTCAATTTTCTCTTCTTTCTGTTCAATTGTTTCACTTGACTGCGGAGAAAGCATTGGTTCATCTTTTCCACTTCGTCTCCGAGCCCTCGATGCACGGTCCTGTGCAAGCTTTGCTTTACGTTCAGGCTTGGAAATTACACTTGATGAGGGAGGCTTTTTCCTCTAGCAAAAAAGAATAGGCTTGTTTCATTTTTTTTGTCCAAACAACAAACACATTATTCTTTACTCAAAGACAATTTTTTTGTCAATGGTAGAGTATTCTACAGTCAAGCGTCAATAAATGCAGTTTTCATCAACATATCACACCACCTTATTTGTTGAATCTTGTTCTCGTATTTTACTTTGATGAATAATTTTTTGAAATCCATCATCGTACTCAACTTCATAAAAATCTAAAAGGTTTTTAAGAAGTGTTAATACATAAAAGTCAACAAATTCACATGAATTCTGGAATATCAATGAAATATCATCACACCTTTGGATATAACTTTAACTATTTCTGCAGGATAATAAGTTCCATCAGACCATTTTGCAGACACAATATCACCTTCCTTCCAAACCTGCTTTGAAACAGACAAACCAAACAAAAAATATGAAAACCTACTATAACAACACTGGTAAGCTCTAACTAAATAAGAAACATTCATCTCTTATTGATCCAGTGTTACTACAAGAGGAAACCTAAACTAAACTAACTCTATTTATACTGGATAGTTCTATCAGTTCTAAACTGTTCTTCCTAGAGATCCAGCAAGAATCGTCTCTTATTGATCTATTGTTTCTTCCTGTAGAAGAAACCTAAACTAAACTAACTTTATTTATACTGGATATTTCAATCAGTTCTAAACTGTTCTTCTTAGAGGTCTAGTAAGGATCATCTCTTATTGATCTATTGTTTCTTCCTGTAGAGGAAACCTAAACTAAACTAACTTTATTTATACTGGATATTTCTATCAGATAGCTCTAAACTGTTCTTCCTAGAAGTCCAGTAATCACCGGCAGAGGAGAGCAACAAAACTAAACGTAGCTCTGATACCTTGAATTCCTTTGCTTTACTTTTAGATTTAACTTTTTCTTTTGGTAATGGTCTAATCTTTTTACTATCAAACGAAACCCACTCATCATATCGAGAATTCCATCCTTCAAAGTGGATTAAAATTTTCTTTTTCTTGTGGTCAACTTTTGCAATTTTAGACACATACCTGATATAAAACATTTAGATGTGTTAGTACACATACCGAATCTCCCAACAGAAGTAAAGTAAAAAACAAAGTCCGAATAAACACGACATCTTGAGAGTCAAAATATGAATCAAGCAAGACACAGGTTGAGTCTCAGGTTGTGGTTGGTGTGGGTTTTTTCTCCTAACAGTAAGTTTGTATAATTTGGAAAGGGCAACTTTAGGGGGAAGGTACGTTGCAAAATAACCACGGAACAGCTTGGCAGTGTCTTCAAACAGCTTCGCTTCAAATGTGCTATCAGACAAAGTCCCTAGGAAGGGGTCGTTGGGAAGTGTTTTTGTCTATTTTAGGCAGTTGTTATACCACATTTGAAGCAAAGTTTTTAGGGGGAGGATTTAGTTTTTTTAGAGAGGTGATTTAAGTTGGAAAGAATGATTTGAGATGCAGGGAAAACTGCAGGAGGAAATGTTATAGTCTGAAGTAGCTAAATTGCAGCCCTGACATTTCTGAAGATATCACTTGAATACAGCATCAGGGATAAAAATTTTGCTGGCACATTTAGACTATAACATTGCCTTAAGAATATGGATGATTCAATTTCTACCAGTTGCACATATAATCCATAGCCTCGATTCTATTTCCAACAACAAACTCCAGCTTATTTGGCGAGTTATCTTTACTTGATGTCGGGCTGGAAGATGCACTATTCGTCGACTTGCTGGACATCTTGAAACCTTTTCTTATCAAAAACCAACAACTTGACACGAAAACACCACGTTAACGAAGAAAAAATACAACCTTTAACACAGATAACCTTTCATTTCTTTTGTAACCGATTATTTACGGCCAAAAATACGGTAAATAAATCATAACAAAGTATATTTTTATGATGCACAAGGCATGCTTTTTTTGTTTCGTCTCGAAAGTTTCCGAATATGTAACGATTACGGCCGATAACGAAGTAACGGCGAACCTCAGTGCGTGCAGCCCACGCAGTGGTTAACCAATCAGAGCGAGCCAGCTCATAAACTGCGCGAGTCTTTTGAATCACTTTTGCAACAAATTCAGCTCATTTGTCAAATATCGTGTTTAATTGTCGCTGTGTTTCAAGTTTAAAAGATGTTTTTAACGATAAATTGTAAGTGTTTTGCTTGTTTAAAGATTGCAATACAAATTACAAATATAGACCCACATATATATGAGAGAATCAGCGTTTTAATGTGTTTTTTTTTACTTTCTTTTAGGCTTAGTTACCATCGTGTGTAGTGTAGTTTTAACTGAAGCTCTCTATGGATCTAACACTGATGTGGTAGAATTAACAGCTGGAAATTTTGACGGGAAAGTCATACAAAGCGACGATATTTGGCTTGTGGAGTTTTACGCACCATGGTAATAAGATTTTTGGAATAATGTCTGAAAACCAGGGACTAAAACAAAAATAAACATGGGTTTTGCTAGCTCATTAGTATGCGCCTCCTGGTTGAAATGTCACAGATGCTGTTGACACGTGTATTAATTTAAACGTAAGACTGATGTAAGATGAGGATACATCCAAAATTTGCTTCCCAGAATAGATATGAGTCATAAGTCTTGAATGGACAAAAGCCTTTGAAAATTTTTTTAAAGGCTTTTGTTAGAAAGTTAATAATAAGCATGCTTGCTTGTCTTGGGTACGGCCCCCCCCCCTACACACTTACAATTCTGGAGGCAAGTTGAAAATTTCCATTGATCCTTACAAAACCATTTAATAGGTGTGGCCATTGCCAATCTCTGGCCCCTGAATGGAAAAAGGCTGCATCAGCATTGAAGGTGACAATATATATAGTTCATGATACTGGATAAAGTTTAGTTCTCCTGTCACTCAATACAATATTCTCTCTAATTCTTAGGGAGTTATCAAAGTTGGTGCTGTAGATATGGATGTTCATAGCTCAGTGGGTGGCCCTTACAATGTCCGAGGATTTCCAACAATTAAGGCAAGTCTTCATTGCAAAACATCACATGGAATATCTGCATCATTTGACTGAAAAATACTTCTTTCTTGTAGATTTTTGGTGCAAATAAGAACTCCCCAATTGATTACAATGGTAGGCTATGAGCAGTTTTAAAAGATACGTTATAAAATAAAATGATTTGTTGATTTTTTCTGAATGTTATTCACAGGCCCACGTACAGCTCAAGGTCTAACAAAGGCAGCAATTGAAGCAGCTCAAAGTGCTGTGAATCAAAGATTAAGTGGTGGTGGTGGTTCAGGGAGCAGATCTAGTGGTGGTGGAAAGGTCAGCTACTGAAATGAATATATTGTTTGACATTGAAGGCAATTCATTCTTGTTATAGGACTTACATTTGTTATTTTATTTAGAGTGGAAGTGGTGGAAGTAGTGGTGGTGGTGATGCAAAAGATGTTATTGAACTAACAGATAGCAACTTTGAAGAGAAAGTTCTTCAAAGCAGTGAGCTCTGGCTGGTTGAGTTTTTTGCACCATGGTAAGCATGAGAACTCCAAAAACTAGACTTTCACCCCTAAAATGTAATGTGGTATAGAAAACTTACTGAAAAGGTCTTGTCTTTCACCAGGTGTGGACATTGTCAACGTCTTGAACCAGAATGGAAGAAAGCTGCAACCGAATTAAAGGGGAAGTTTAATCTTGGAGCACTGGATGCAACAGTTCATCAAAGCATGGCACAACGTTATGGTGTTCAAGGCTTTCCAACCATCAAATTCTTTGCACCAGGTAGCGAACCTGTTGACTACCAGGGTGGGAGAAGCGCCTCAGATATTGTGCAGTTTGCTTTGTCTAAAGTTGCTGAAAATGTTGCCCCACCAGAGGTTGTCCAGTTAACCGACAACAAGATCTTGACGGACAACTGCAATGAGAAACCCCTTTGTGTTGTTTCTGTGTTACCTGATATCCTAGACACTGGTGCTGATGGTAGAAATGCTTATCTAAACATTCTCAAAGATATTGGTGAGAAATACAAAAGCAAGTTGTGGGGATGGGTTTGGACAGAAGCTGGCAGCCATAGTAAACTTGAAGAAACTTTAGGCATGGGTGGCTTTGGATATCCAACCTTGGCTGCAGTAAATGTTCGAAAAATGAAATTCTCTATTCTGAAAGGGTCCTTTGATAAGGCTGGAATTGACGAATTTCTTCGTCGGTTAGCAGTAGGACGTGGCTCTACCGAACCAGTCCGTGGGGCGGCTTTACCAGAGCTCAAGCCAGTGGAGGCCTGGGATGGAAAAGATGGGCAGCTGCCTGAAGAAGATGATATAGATCTGAGTGACTTTGATATGGATGATGATGCAGAGAAAGATGAGTTATAGTTAACTGGTGTGACAAAACGTGACTATATATAGTCTGAAATAATGAATTTTGGACATTGTGTGTTTTCTTCCCTTTGTAAAGATATTGATGAATTTATGGCTGAAATTATGCTGCTCACAAAACTCAGTGTAAAGATTTAGGAAATATAATAAATTGAGCTTTCGTGTTATTGCTTGTTTTTAAGAAAATATTCTTTTGTTCAAATGCAATGGTAGTTAAACAATTGCACACTTGGCCGTAAAGAAAAAGATCATCCACTTTGAATGCTGCTGAACTTCAAGCTACGTTCTCAATTTCATAATGTTCATTTTCTAATATATATTTCATAAAAAAACATTCAACTATGCAAAAATCTTCTATATTACTCTATATGTACAAATTATTTCATAAAAAATTCAAATCAATGTTTAATACCAGCCAGGTATTGATGATATAAACATGCCTTAATCCAATCTAATTTCTGATGAATTTATGGGAATCATATCTGCATAAGTAGGTGCATGAATCATTTGTAGTGTGTTTAACTTACAATTGAGAATTGTTGTGTTCCAGCAATTTTCAAGAATAATAATTTGTTATGGTAATGCAAGGATTTGATATTAGATCATTTAGAAAAATCTAGTGACATCTTACTACAAATCTTCGTCCTTGATATCTTGAGCAAAAATCTCGTTTTTGACAGAAACAATTTTCTTTTGTTTTTTCTAAAAAAATTGGTGTGAAAATTGCTTTTAAGAAACTTATTTTCAACAGTTTTAATGAGCCAGGTGTCTTTGAAAAAGTACAAACATCATTAAAAGACAGAGCACTGACCTTCTTTGAACCCCTTGTTGATGGAGAGTCTTCATTCCCATCTTTAGGGCCCTAGAATTGCAATAAGTGTATGACTTGTCAAGGATGGATCATGGATATAGCACGTCCAATATGTCATCTACTGATCCAGGTAAGATTAATATGAGATAATGAGAAAGTTAATACTTTGCTGATACACATGAGAATAGGTCTTAAGATGAATTTGGAAAGCATACGTATTCTGATCACATACTTCATCAGAAGATTGTGCTTCTTGTTTTTCTTCTTTCTGGGACAACTCTTTGGCTGCTGCAGATTCTTTTGCAGCTGAAGATTCTTTTGCCACTGCGGTTTCTGTTTCTTTTTTCGTCTGTTTTAATGCCTCTGACTTCTGCAAAAAATGATGGGCACTTAAAAAAGAACATATTAAAGTACCATATATAAATAGTCTGTAGTCTCACCTTGGCCTTTGCTTTGCGTTCAACAATTTCATCAACCATTCCTTGCAAACAAAGACTGACTAACATTGCCTGGAATGATAATTACTAAAATAAGTTTTATGTCTTTTCTCCTTTGCAAATTAAACAAGAAATGCTTTTTATAATCCACAGACACATTGAGATTACCTGTTCACTTATGATTGTAACCCATTGCAGTTTTTCTTTGGAAAATAAATACTCAAAGGCAATCTTTGTTACAATTTCACCCTTTTTGTTGTCTTTCTAAACCAGTATAGTTACAGATTAGTTTAAGCCCCATCAATTGAAAATACAAAGACATACAAATTACATGAATACTCACAGATGATACAACTCTCCAACATTTCATCCGTGTCACTTTAAAACATCCTTCTTTAGCTTTTGTATCCTGGGAAAATCATCATCCTCATGAAAATCCACAATGTGTGCAATCATACCATTTTGACAAGAAATAAAATGCATCTATTCTCTTTTCTTAGCCATTAATCTGACGAGATTTACCTGTGTTCCAATCAGTCTAAAGTTCAGTTCATATCCACCAACGTTTAAGATTACATGCGAGTTCATATGAGGGAAGTCCATCTTGCATGGTTTGAGCTGAAGGTAGCCATAAAACTTCTGACTTCTTGCCAGCTTCAGGTACTAAAATTCAAAGTTTTAATGAACATATTAATAGCAAAGTGTTTGAAGAGCCTATGAACTGCAGGTATCTGATTATAATTTAGATAATAACATACTCATAATATACCTTCTTTCTTTCATTCTTAGTTTTTAAATTGCCAAGTTCTTCCAAGGTTTCTGGTGTGGTTATTACCCAATCTCTTTCAACATCATTCACTGCCTGATAGAGAGAAATAAAAATATATAAAAAAAGATATTGTACATATATCTGGATACAATAGTACACAATACACATATTATACGGTACAGTATATTACCTGGACAAAGAGAAGATTTAGAGCAATCTTATCTTTGTAGAGTTCATCCTCTTTTGACAAATCCCAAAAACTACAAAGAAAACAATGAAATTACTCAGGTAGACATATACCTATATACGATACATACTTGGCTGAGCCTTTTGTTAAACTGCCTCAGCCTATGTCATACTAAAACCTATACAAAAAACTAACTTTTTTCTTATCACAAGTCGATGTGTCTCCTTGATTGGCATAAGGACCAGCGAAGGCGATTCAAAACCTTGCAGTTTGCGAATAACTAGAACAAGACAATGTTGCTATGTCAGGATTTAGATTTCACTAGCACAGCCGGGTTGTCTTTATTAATACAAACCTGCCCAGTCAGATTCCTCCTCTTGTTCAATTAAAAACAACGAGAAATACTGTACCATATTCTGAGGCAACTTTATCTGCGACATTGCTTCCTAAAACGAAATGTATTAGTTTAGCAGCATTGTGGAAAAATTATCACTACGACATTGTCAGACTTACAATACCTGTATGACATGGTCGGTAGAGTCTGTGTTTCGAATTTTCACTTGAAATTTTTTGCCATTCATCAAATATATATCAAGTTCCGTATCTTCTTCTTCAACATTGCTACTCTCCTAAAAATCATTGGAGGTATTCAGAGACAATATATTAAAATGTATACAAGTTCAATATCTTATTATTCACCTTTTGAGCTTTGAGTAAAAACTTGAGGAAGGTTTTTGAAGCAACTAAGACAGGATCCTGACTTATTGCCTGCAAATATTTTTCCAGTTGTTCTCGTCTATCCTCAAGTTGTGTTTGGTTCAGCGTCAGAAGCTTTTTAGGAGGAAATCTATCTGGCACTCGTGCACCAAAATCTTTTTTCAACTGAAATAATTTTGGAAAAGCAGTTATGAATTAAAGTAGCACAAAATGTTAAAAACATTCTCATTTTAAGGAATCCTCTTTTTGAATAAACCAACCTGATCATGGAGTTCTCGCAACTGTCTGTAGCGAATTGAACTATGAAAGCCACCATTTATCGATACGGCATAGCTCTGAGATTATATGAAGATAAGAACTATCATTATGGTGTGATAATGGTACATGCTACTGGCACTGGTGATCGAACAGTAGGAATGATGGCGACATTCATTTTTGACTATGTTGATAAGAATGGTAATGATGGTTAAGAAAAAGAACTAATTTAATGAGTAATTTGTTATGGTAGTCATTCACTATTATACAAGTTATAAGTGCCTTTCTTATGTTATTTTAATGATCACAACAAAAGAAAGTACAGATATATGCAAGTTATATTGCCCAATATTGTTCATGTGACGTCAAATATTATTACACGTTTGTGCCAAGATGTTGATATTCAAATTTTGACACACGAAAAGTCAAAACAAGTCAATATTGATTAACAATCGTAGTAATAAGCTATCAACTATATTAATCGCTAGACTTCGAAATACAAAGCAATGTGTTAATTAAAAAAATATTCAAAATCTATAGTTACACAATTTCACGATGTGTCCCCAAATTACTTACAACATAGCTTCCATGTTCGTCCGTCTTCTCCTCGATCTCAAGGATAGCAAAATGCATGTTGAAATATTTTAAAATCCTTAAAAAAATATTTTAAAAGAAATATAAAATCGACTTTTACAAAGGGTAAATAAATAGTTTCAGCAAACGTAAATTGCCATAATTTTTATAAATTCATGATATCGAATTGCATTTGAGCCCGACAGATTTACGAGTAATGGACAGTGGTGAGTCACAATACTTCATGTTCGTTGGTTACAGATCAGATGTAGACGTATGGATCAATTAACAAACGATAGGCCATATTTGGTCGCAATGCAAGCTGGTTAATAATTACCGCAATGACAATGGTCCGATCTGATTGGTTAAAATTATTGTATAAATACAGTTACTCATATTAGTAACTGTCACTTTAAGTGTGCGTTACAAGATCTAAGTTGGCTCTTCCAGAACTGCCATTTAACATTCCTGTTGCACTGGTTTGGTCAAACGAAGAGTTACAGGTCGTATCCAATCCTTCCCTTCTTCCTGGACCAAGATGGTAAGAAATTCAATATTTCACTCTGGCGCAACTGAGTTTTCTTTGCGGGATTGCGTGCGTAGAGTAATTAACTTATTTCGTGATGTGCCTAACTTTCTTGAAGTGCTAAATTGACAGGGCACTTGCACAACCTAATGTTGGTTGAACGCATCTAAACAGCCTGTCTTGGATGTTTGTGCAAAACAATTTCATGTTCAACACATTTGATGTTCATAAAGAGGTCTGACTTTTCTTTGCAAGATTTATCATTTTTCCAAGATCACCAGGAATACTTCCGAAATAAATACTCATTTTCTCAATTTTCTAAAAATCTCCTCTCAAGACTGAGACAGTAAGGATAGACGCACTTTAAACACCTCCCAAACGTATATAATATTAAAAACAAACGTATATAATATTACAGAATCACTCAGAGACGCGTTCAATTCCTAAGTTATGGTGTGTGAGATAGCTAAGCTAGAATCAGATAGCGTAGTTTTGTAACCAGAATATTCTTTGTCCACTTAATACGACAATAGACAGATAATGAAAATAAGAAACTCTAAGTATATTGGCTTGTTTTCACATTGTATTTGCCATTGGAATAACATATAAGTAAAGAAGGATCTTGAACGTCGGCACTACTATATTGCACTCGAAATATCCAACATTTTTTATCTGCAATTTCAGCTGTCACACAATTGACGGCAAAGTCCATAATGGCGCGGCAATCATGCACTTCAAATCTTCCGGTGATGATAGACTGAGATCAATATCATCATATGCTGGGTGCGAAACGTTTTAACAAATCAATTCAGCCCTAAGTTAATCCAATGAAAAAAATGGGTTGAGAACAAAATCCTTGGTATTCTTTCCTGGTATAAGCTAGCTATTATATGGATCATATAGTATGGCTCAATCTTATTGCATGAAACAAAACTAACCATGCTGCAGACATTGTACAATTTACCCTAAGGGCGATACCATTATGATTTAAATAAAGAATCTAGTTTCACATGAATCAAAGTCTTGTCTAGTGTGTGTTTGGCCTCCCAGCATGTTATGTAACTAGGCGGGGTTTCCACCAGACAATGCGTGGCCTTTGATCTCGTCTCCTTCTACGAACTTGAATTTGTTTTTTAATAGTTTTCATCAATAGCAATTCATCGTAAGATATTCTTTGTCGGTAGTAAGTGGCGCATAAAATACTTCGTCCGTCAGAACAGAAGTCTTTTTCATTGAGTACTCACACAGAATATCCATCGTATAAACAATCAAATAGCAAATTATAATAGCAAATTATAACACTTCTGTAGTCATATTATGCGAGATTTAAACATGCCAACAAACGTGCATCTTCTCAATGAAGCAATCACTCAATCAGTCGCTTGGTTATCTTGTTATCCACTTATAATATTACCTCAGCAACCTGACAAACTGATATTGATAAAAAAAGATTACGTTATTACTACCATAACTTTCCCTAGAGACAACGCTTGCTTGCTTTAATTACAAATATCACCGCGTTATCAAATAACCGTTGAACAGATACCAACCCATGATTTCACACGCGCCATATCGTATAAGAGTTCAATATTCTTATTACGTTCAATTTGAATTTTTTGTTTTGATTCACAGCCAATGAAAATGATACTGCTGCTGTTTCTTTCAATAAATCTCCACCAAATAAAGGCAATGTATACAGAAGGTACGTACTTACAACACTTTGAGGTTTTGAAGACCCGACATTCTACATTTGCAATTTTTACTTAGATTTTTACATTAAATTGACCTGAAAGAGTGGACACGGTATTAACGTTAAGCTGAGGGCATGTGAATGACCTAGTTTCATTAATACGAGTCTACCAGTTGTTATTTTTGAAAATATTTTATCATCTTGTATCACACAGTGTCTAATATTTTTCTAAAACGAGGCACAGCAAGATATACCCCACATGAATGCAGTCATCAAAACAATCCAAATATTTTCATTCCTTGCAGTCAAGTTGTTAAAGAAACATTTCGTTGACGATACTTGCAACAAAAAACACGTGGTTTTAAATTTTCGTATATCGCGGTGTATTAGATAGAAAGATTAGCATTATTACTACAGACTTTCTATTTGATATTCGTTTGTGCAGTGATCACAACAAACAGTGGTAAAGTACGTGGTCTAATACAGTCAAGCAGTTTACCAGGAATCAAAGTTCAGAAGTTTCTCAATATTCCTTATGCTGAGGCGCCAGTTGGTGAACTAAGATTTGAGAAACCTAAACCAAGAAAACCTTGGAACGGTAATGTAGCAAATTACAATCAGAATTTTCCATTATCTATGATTTGATACAAGACATTCCATGATCCTTTTTTTCCTTCTGTAGAAACACTAAACTCCACAGAAGTCAACATCGCATGTTTTCAGAAATACATTCAAGGATGGAACTTAACAGAAGATTGTTTAATTCTCAACATATGGACTCGATATCCTCAGCCAAAGAACGCCACTGTCATGGTAAGATGGAGAAATTTTAATTATCTACGGGAGACACTTCATAAACTTTCTATCTCATCATTTCTGTTTTCTAAGGTATACATCCACGGTGGTTCATTTCGAAGTGGGAGCTCCAGATCTCGACGTCATAATGGCGCCAATTTTGTCGCTGTCGGTGACGTGATCCTGGTAACCATCAACTATCGACTATCTGGGCTGGGATTTTTAACCTCCGGAGATGATAGAATTAAAGGTATGGTGGAATGTTGCTTACTAGAATCAAATTATTAGAGCAACAAATTTTGCTTTTATCTTCTTCATGAAGTGACGATTTAAAAACGATTTTCAGGTAACCTCGGTTTGTACGATCAGCGTTTGGCGATGAAATGGGTTAAGGAGAATATTGCTAGTTTTGGTGGAAATCCAGAGACAATCACGTTATTTGGTTTAAGTGCTGGAGCAAGCAGTGTGTCAGCTCACACGATATCTGAGGAAAGTTGGCCTTATTTTGACCGAGTCATACTCCAAAGCGGAAATATGCTTATGCCTTGGGCAATTCTTTCAGAGGTAGATATGAAATGTATCTAATTGATTTCACCAGACGATAGCAAGAATTGTTCATTCTTATATTTTATTTTCAGGCGCAGATAAAGAAAGGATTTGATTCGTTCCTGAAAGCAATCGACTGCAGAAATGATGAAAATTTGTTAACTTGTTTGAAGACTAATATCACACATGATAAACTGCAAGATATTTACATGAGCAAACCTTACATCTTAAAAGACCTCTGGCTTGCACCTGTGGTTGATGGCGAGTTCATCAAAGATCAACCATACAAACTATTTAAATCAGGCCATGTCAAGAATTCCACCATTATATTAGGAATAACGAAGGATGAAATGTTTTTTAATAACCAGGCTATAATATGGCAGACACGAAACATCACAAAGATCCAGCAAAAATTTAAGGATATTTTAAAGGAACATTTCAAGAACAAGCCTGAGAGAGTCCAAGAATACGCGTATAAACTTTATTATCCTGAATGCACCCCATCATTCATAGAAGCATTTAGACCTATAGTAGATATTTATTCAGATATCGTATTTACCTGTGGGACAAAACAAGAAGCTCTTCTTAGATCAAACATGCCAACATCGGAGGTTTATCTCTACCGGTATTCATACGCCACACCTTCACCGTATAGTGCTTATCCCCGGGGTCAGCTGGGCTTTGCAGCGCACGGTGCTGACTTCTTGGTAAGTTATGATTATGATACTCCTGATCATTATACTGATAGTATAATCTCCCTACTGTGAACTGGGGGGGGAGAAGGTCTTGTTTTTCAAATCTCTCACTTTCTTTTCTTTCTTTTAGTCTTCATTTGGACGTACAATAAACAACCCAAGTTTCCCAGCTGAGGATCAGATATTATCGATGAGAGTGATTCTTTACTGGACGAACTTTGCTAAAACTGGGTAGGTCACGTTAAATCCATACACACATGACGTATATCGATGAGATAAGAAGAATAACTCCTCTGTCGTTTATAGTAATCCAAATAAAGGAACAACAACTCTACCACTGGTTCTCAATCAAATCAACAATCTACCAACATGGCCGCGACATACTATCACTACACAAGAGTTCCTCGACATGGGCAGTTTATCTCAGATGAAGATTGGGACGAAATTACGTGAGAAATATTGTGAATTCTTAAAGGACCCTGAAGAGGTTAGTACTAAAGCTAGGGTTAACAAAGCACCAGGGAATCGTAGAGGAATCTTCGTGGTTGTAATGGTGTCATTCTTCGCAATATCACAGATGCAAGCCTAATCATCGTTGTAGCCAATCAGCGTTGACGACAACTAACGGCAACTAACGACGATCATTAACGACGATTTTACAAGGCTTCAGAGCTAATGAAATTTCATATATCACTATTTGCATTGTGGATTGCGTTGCCCTCAAACTAATCACGCAACTTTGAACAGCATCGTTCATATTATTTGCGCTACTGGGTAGCAATATTTTATTTTATAAGATTTTGATATAATATATCTTCAGAAGAATGCCAACTGAGTTGTAAAAAATCTTATTTGTGCAAAATATTGTATTGAATTTCCTGTTTGTCATTTTCTCACATTTTCCATCAAATTCTGGTATATCTGAACACATGATGATTACTTCGCGTACTTTATATTACTTTTATGAAAACTTATATGTTTGCTTTTTGCAAACTATTTATTCGTAACTAGTTTGGCGGGTTATTGTCTGTCATGGTTGTATTCAAAGAGAAGAGGTAAACTTACAAATTGAGCTTGACTCTTGAATGCCTTGCACTTCATTGAATCCGATATATTATCCACTTTAGTTTTTATTCACCCTGAAAACAAATAAAAAATGAATTTAAATTCTTTCAGCTGTTACATGCGACGTCCTACTGTCTGATTTTCGCACAATTCATACAGTTCAGTTCTGATTTTCGCACAATTCACACAGTTCAGTTGTGATTTTCGCACAATTCACACAGTTCAGTTCTGATTTTCGCTTAGTTCACACAGTTCAGTTCTGATTTTCGCACAGTTCACACAGTTCAGTTCTGATTTTCGTACAATTTACACAGTTCAGTTCTGATTTTCGTACAATTCACACAGTTCAGTTCTGATTTTCGTACAATTCACACAGTTCAGTTCTGATTTTCGTACAATTCACACAGTTCAGTTCTGATTTTCGTATTATTCACACAGTTCAGTTCTGATTTTCGTATTATTCACACAGTTCAGTTCTGATTTTCGTACAATTCACACAGTTCAGTTCTGATTTTCGCACAGTTCACACAGTTAAGTTCTGATTTTCGCACAATTCACACAGTTCAGTTCTGATTTTCGTACAATTCACACAGTTCAGTTCTGATTTTCGTATTATTCACACAGTTCAGTTCTGATTTTCGCACAATCCACACAGTTCAGTTCTGATTTTCGTACAATTCACACAGTTCAGTTCTGATTTTCGTACAATTCACACAGTTCAGTTCTGATTTTCGTACAATTCACACAGTTCAGTTCTGATTTTCGTACAATTCACACAGTTCAGTTCTGATTTTCGTACAATTCACACAGTTCAGTTCTGATTTTCGTTTAGTTCACACAGTTCAGTTCTGATTTTCGCACAATTCACACAGTTCAGTTCTGATTTTCACACAGTTCATACAGTTCAGTTTTGATTTTCGTACAATTCACACAGTTCAGTTCTGATTTTCGTATTATTCACACAGTTCAGTTCTGATTTTCGTACAATTCACACAGTTCAGTTCTGATTTTCGCTTAGTTCACACAGTTCAGTTCTGATTTTCGTACAATTCACACAGTTCAGTTCTGATTTTCGTATTATTCACACAGTTCAGTTCTGATTTTCGCACAATTCACACAGTTCAGTTCTGATTTTCACACAGTTCATACAGTTCTGATTTTCGTACAATTCACACAGTTCAGTTCTGATTTTCGTATTATTCACACAGTTCAGTTCTGATTTTCGCACAATTCACACAGTTCAGTTCTGATTTTCGTACAATTCACACAGTTCAGTTCTGATTTTCGTACAATTCACACAGTTCAGTTCTGATTTTGTACAATTCACACAGTTCAGTTCTGATTTTCGTACAATTCACACAGTTCAGTTCTGATTTTCGTACAATTCACACAGTTCAGTTCTGATTTTCGTTTAGTTCACACAGTTCAGTTCTGATTTTCGCACAATTCACACAGTTCAGTTCTGATTTTCGTATTATTCACACAGTTCAGTTCTGATTTTCGCTTAGTTCACACAGTTCAGTTCTGATTTTCGTACAATTCACACAGTTCAGTTCTGATTTTCGTACAATTCACACAGTTCAGTTCTGATTTTCGTACAATTCACACAGTTCAGTTCTGATTTTCGTACAATTCACACAATTCAGTTCTGATTTTCGTACAATTCACACAGTTCAGTTCTGATTTTCGTACAATTCACACAGTTCAGTTCTGATTTTCGTTTAGTTCACACAGTTCAGTTCTGATTTTCGCACAATTCACACAGTTCAGTTCTGATTTTCACACAGTTCATACAGTTCAGTTCTGATTTTCGTACAATTCACACAGTTCAGTTCTGATTTTCGTATTATTCACACAGTTCAGTTCTGATTTTCGCACAATTCACACAGTTCAGTTCTGATTTTCGTACAATTCACACAGTTCAGTTCTGATTTTCGTACAATTCACACAGTTCAGTTCTGATTTTCGTACAATTCACGCAGTTCAGTTCTGATTTTCGCACAATTCACACAGTTCAGTTCTGATTTTCGCACAATTCACACAGTTCAGTTCTGATTTTCGTACAATTCACACAGTTCAGTTCTGATTTTCGCACAATTCACACAGTTCAGTTCTGATTTTCGCACAGTTCACACAGTTCAGTTCTGATTTTCGTACAATTCACACAGTTCAGTTCTGATTTTCGCTTAGTTCACACAGTTCAGTTCTGATTTTCGTACAATTCACACAGTTCAGTTCTGATTTTCGCACAATTCACACAGTTCAGTTCTGATTTTCGTACAATTCACACAGTTCAGTTCTGATTTTCGCACAATTCACACAGTTCAGTACAATAAGATACAGTACAATTGAGTACAATAAGATCTTAACACACGGTTAGTTCACTTGAACGCCATATTTGATTGTTCAGGAAGCGTGAAGGATTTAACAGGTGACGGTAATATTAAAACAGGATTATAAACGACGTTTAATGATATAATTGCTTTTATATCCGTTTTTTAAATGATATGCCGTTAATTTTGTTCTTTAATATTCCCCAAAGACCGCTATAAGCGCAAATGACCTCAAATGACTGAAGAAAAAGGTAAGATGGAAACTTTCTATTTTTGTTTAAACTGTGTTCCTGGAGAAGATGGAAATATTTCAAATAAAATGACTACAATACGATATTTGAATAACTAACATAAGGAATAATTAATTGTTGTAACCAATTACGTAAAGTATTGCTTACTGCGTTTAGTTTCCTTATCAAGAGCAAAATATTATCAAAAAAGACGATATTTTCAATCACATCAAAACGGCACACTTATGCACTTCGCAATATAACATATGCTATATGCGCATTTCTTAAATTCTTACTATTGATCATTAAAAAAAAATTAGATAAAGCAAGAGTTGATATGAACACCAGATTAGAAAAAGATTATCAAGAATTGGTGAAACAACATTCTAAAGAAAATGGATTTATTGTTGAAGACAGCTTTCCTCCACCATGTCACAATTACAGGGTCACAGTTGAACCTGTTGTGTTTTGCTATGCCTTTGGTATATTACTTCATGTACCCATGATTCAACAGTACATTTTTTATCGAGTTGGAGAGTCAAGGGGACTGGTCACAACCAGAACTGAACATCATAGCAACTGTGACAATCATTCAGCACATGATAACCCTGAACTTCGGAGGATAATGAAGGATATACAGAGTGAGACATCATTTATCCTCTTAGCGACCATAATTACCTCCACTATCCCAACACTAATAATGACACTCATGCTTGGATCATGGTCAGATAATGTTGGTCGTCGAACTGTTATAGCTATTGCCATATTTGGAAGCATCTTAGAAAGCTCACTGATATTGATCATAATATGTCTAAAACTACCCATATATTTCCTGATGTTATCCAGCTTTGTAGGAGGAATATGTGGTTATTTTCCCACAATAATACTCTCTGTGTTTTCATACATAGCAGATATAACCCATACATCTCAGCGTGCATTCAGACTGGGTGTTCTTGAAGCAGTTGCATTCATTAGTGGAATGATAAGTCATTTATCAAGCGGATGGTGGATTGCAAAGACTGGATATGTTTCGCCATATTGGTTAATAACTTCACTACATTTCTGTGCATTTCTCTACACAATATTTATACTGCCTGAGTCACGTCAAGTGGATGTGAAAAGGTTTGGAGCAGGCTTGTGTCAGTTCCAACATATTCAATCAATCATTCAATTGTTTCAAGAACCAAGAAATGGTCAAAGATGGAAGCTGGTTTATTTAATGACAGCCACAGCATGCATGATGTTATCATCCACAGGCTTTGGATGTGTGTTTGTACTTTATGCATTAGACTTTCCACTTTGTTTTAACTCCTTATTAATCGGCTATTATCTTGCAACAAGTTTTTTCATTCAAGCAGTAGGAACTGTTTTTGGTTTGAAATATTTATCATTGCTGTTACCACAAACTGTTCTGGCACAGATTGGAGTGGTTTCCGTCATTCTTTCACTGTGTTGTTTGACTTTTGTCACAAATAAACGTCTCCTATTTGCAGGTGAATTATTCTATCTTGAACTCTTGAAGTAATTAGCGTTGACTTCATTCTGGAGTGTTTCAAAATATGCTAAATTCCTTATATACTTTCAGTCCCTCTTATTGGCTGCCTTGGAGGAATTGCGACACCTGAGGTCCGTGCAATGATGTCAGAAATTGTCGACAGCAATGAACAAGGTGACTAGTCACTTAATAATCCTTAATCGCATTATTCGCATAGAAACCTGAGCAATCCTAATAAATGAGCAATCCTAATTTGACTAATATTTTTCAATTTCCTAGGAGCGTTATTTGCTGCAGTTGCAGCTGTTGAAACAGTGTGTACATTACTTGGCGCTGTGATATTTAATTGTTTATATTCAATGTCAATGCATTTTGGCCTCAGTCATTTCATATTTATCGCAATGGCATCCGTCCTTCTTATTCCATTCACAATACTACAGTAAGTGCCGCAGTCCTATACCTACATTATTGCAGTAGTAACTATTAAAAAATAAATTGTATCGCAATACAATTTATTTAAACTAATTGAAAACTATATAAAAGTGCTTACCAAATACCAATGCCTTGTGTGAATATTTGTGACATTTGTCATCGTTCTGACAGTCGTTCAGATTTTCAATTTCATCTTTCCATAAAACAAAGCTGTTTACCAATGAAATCTTTTCCATAAAACCACTGTATATATTTTTCAACTCTTCCTTACTTTTGCATCGGTTTTTAACGTATTAAACACAATCCAAGCGGCAATAAAAGTGCAAAAATGAAGAATGTAAACCCGCCATTTTGAGTTTCCCGGTAGCACTGAGCTATATAGTTTACTGGACTGGGGTTCCTGGAGTAACCAAAATAAAAAATAATTTTCAATATTTTTGTAAAAAAATGTTTTCATTGAATTTTATACAGAATTATCAGATGGAGAGATGAAAAATACAGCAAGGAAGATCAAGATCGTTAAAATAGTTAGAAAATAAATAGGAATTGTAAGAAAGTAGATTTATATTTTAAAAAAATTACGTCATTTGAGACTTGGGCGCATGCTCATTGAGCAGCGCAAATTTCGTCAGGAAAATAACTTGTTTGATGATCCTGCAAAAATTATTATTTTTGCGTCTGTAAAAAGTGTCCTTTTTATCTGAAAACTGTCAGTGGAATTAACGATGTTTACTGTAAGTTTGTGCTCAAAATCAAGTTTACAGATATTAACGGTAAGAACATTCACAACAAGTATTAGACAAGGACACAAGTTGTTGTCTTTGAGATCAAACAAAAGTACTTCAGTTTTAAAACGATGTTACCAAACGAAGACCAATGCATGGAGAACCTGGGAGGCAGCAGAAAGACCTAAAGGCATCACAGGTAATGACACACAACATCTTGCAAAAACTCACTGATTACCATCATAAGTGAACTCAACTTAACATCCCCCCCCTGGGCCCTGACCCCCTTCCCCAATTATTTGCCTCTCCTTTCTATGCCCCCTCTCCAGGACCCCAGCAAATCTCTACCATTACTTTTTCCTTACATACTCAGCTGATGCAACTGGTCGTATCATTCTTGGTGGCGCCTCTGTTGCTGGTATTGCCGCACTTTGTTACTATGGTTTGGGCCTGTCCAATGAAATTGGGGCAGTTGATCGTGCAAGGTAATAGAATCGTTGATGTATTGATACATCTCCATTGCTACATGCCACATTGCCATTTTGAAAATACAACTTCTTAATCCTATAATTTTTTTTAAGTTTATGGCCCAAGGTTGTACGAGAACGTATTCAGGCAACGTATGGTTATTTTGCTGGAAGTTTAGTTATCACAGCTGCTTCAGCATATGGTATAGCAAGATCAAGATTTATCCATCGTTGGATGGCTGCTAGCCCATTGCTGGTATGAAGATAGACTGTAAATTAAATGACCTATTCTATCTGTGTAAGAGTACTTAGTGTACAATATTTTCTTTGTAGACTGTTGGTGGAGGTTTAATAGCAATGATTGGAACATCAATGTTGAGTGCAGCTTTGCCTTATGAACCAGGAATAAATGCTAAACACCTGGCATGGATAGGTTAATGTTTTACTTGTTATGAGATATGTTTAAGAAATGTATTGTTCTATGTCAAATAAGTTGGGAATCATTGAGACAAGGTCTAGCTTAGTATAACCAGGTGTAATTTGCCTTGACTAATAATATTGTTATGTAGGTCACAGTAGTGTTGTTGGTTTGGTGATTGCACCTCTCATGTTGCTTGGTGGACCTCTTGTTGTCCGTGCTGCAGCCTGCACTGCGGGTGTGGTTGCCTCTCTATCTCTTACAGCAGCGTGTGCACCAAGTGACAAGTTTCTATCCTGGGGTGGACCCCTTGCACTTGGGTTAGGTGGAGTATTTGTTGCATCAATTGGTAAGAATCTTTTTCATGATTCAATATTTCATGGAACAATTGGCAATGCCACCAGATATGCATTCTGTTCCTCTATTCATGCATTTTTGGATGTACAATATATCATTTCAATCATAAGAATTCTCTCCTTTTCGCAAGGTACCTTGTTTCTACCAGCTACAGGAGCAGTTGGAGCAGGCTTACAAGCAATTGTCACGTATGGTGGTCTTGTAATATTTGGTGGTTTCATGCTCTATGACACACAGAAAATAATAAAGATGGCTGAAACTTACCCTGTCTATGGTGAAACTGTGTATGACCCTATTAGAGCGTAAGTAATCTCATCAGTTTAAAGATGATACAAAGAACTATGGGTTTCCCTTTCAACCAAATCAGTTCAAGATTCACATGTTGCTAATTCTATTCTAGGTCAATGGGCATCTACATGGATACAATAAATATCTTCATTCGAATTTTGATAATCATGGCAAACAGTTCAGGAAACAGACGCAAATGATTGAGTGATGCATTGGAAGAATGAACTATTTTCAATACCAACACTTCATGTTCCACATATAGTTTTGGTAATTTAAAACCAACTTTTACACACCAAATACATAAGAACTAGTTATAGTTTTAAATCAACATTCAGGGATATTCTATAATTGATAAGTAAATATTTGGCACAGATGTTATTTAAATTTTTGAATAAACCTTATGAATCTGGATCTATCTGGATCCAAGTCTATTTGGATCAAATGTACATATATTGTATACTTTGTCAACATTTAAACTATGATGGCATTGCCCTAAGCTAAATGTTATTAGAAAAGAAAGCTGACTTTTGCAGTGACAATGTCTTCCCATAACTTTAATACTTCTTATAAGACCAAAATATAAACAGTATGTTATTAGAATTCTGCGTATTTGTACCATATCAAAGAAGTCAATTCTGTTTGAATGCAATTTTGTGTTTTTATGCTTCCAAAGAACCTATTGGATATTATCTTGCATCAAAGACAATCACTATAAACAAGTTAAGGAAATAAACATATACAAATTAAAGTACCATGCATCAAAACTACCAAGAAATACATTAGACAAAGTGACTAAAAAAGTGGCAGCAAAGACTGCAGAGTTTGGCATTACTGCAAATGAAATACAATCAGTTAAAGTCTTGGTGCAGTTATGCAATATACTTCTCACACGAAGACCTGACACACTGCAATCTGCCAGCCATCTTACACAGTTAGCAACTGTCTAAATTATCAGGATATATATTCAACAAAATACAAATAACTGACAGCTTTTCATACTTGTAACATCTTTACCATTAGTGTTAGAACTATGTCGGTCAAAATACAAGGATACTTCTTTTTGTTCGTTTCTTATACATCATTCGGTAACCACATTCTCGACACCTGATTGGATCACGAGCTTTAATTTCATTTTCTGCATGACATTCTGCAAAATTAACAACAAAAATTAATCCTTGTGCTTATGTACCTTTTCTGGTGGCATACAGCAATGATGACCACCCTTCTAAACATAAATATAAGTCAGAAATTGAGTTTGCAGATTATAATGACTTCAATATAAACATCCTTGAAATTTTTGCATCATGAATTAATGACATAAATCATTTATTTTGTAGAGAAAGACAAAAAACCCTGATTTAAAAAATAATTGCACTGATAAAGGCCCAGGTTAACAGACTTTACATACAACAAAATCTACACGTGGTGTTCTTACAAATATAAAATATTGACAATTCATCAGTTTAATAAAACAATGACTTTACTCGTAGGAAACTAAAATTTCACTGCATGCTACACTATCATTTTGAATAAATTCAGTTATAAGCATGTATAAATGACTTAACAACAAATAAATAAGGCAATAATTACCTCCACAGATATATATCATTGCTTGTTTTTGAGAAGATGCACTTTGTGCATTGGCCTCCATATTGGATTTCACTCGGTTTTAAATAAATTATAATAATTATGCACAGTGTGACCAGGTTTTGTCAGCGGTTATTACCAAAAACGGTGCTGAAATTTTACCAAATCGGATTTTTTTTTACCAAATACGGCAAATTCCGCTTTTTTAATTTCTGCGTACATACATTGCCATAACAATGTCGTCCCCCGCTACACTCTTTTTTTGCCTTAATTGATTTTCATGGCGACAGTGTATAACACATAAGTTCAGACACTTTTCCTATAAGTACTCTTTATTGCCTTACTATAAACAAGTATACAAACAAGCAATTTCAAACAAGATTTATATTAAAAGGAATATAAAAACTGTCAAACTAAAACGCTGTTTCCATGTGATTATTGTGATATGTCACAATGATACGTGTTAGGCTATTTATGGCTAATATATCATTCAATTCAATTCAAATCATTTCATTCATTTGAATCCATTAATTCAATCTCCATAGCGTCAATTGTTTCCAAATCGTCCTCGCCAGCGTCTGCTGCGTTCGCCGACTCTTCTTCAGTCTCTTCTTGACCTCCATACACAGCTCTAACGTTGTGGTAAATGTCCTCATTAAATAATGCCAGCATTTCGTCAGATGGTTGAAAAGTAGTACACGATTCAGCAACGTTCTTTACGCCGTCTTTGACAAAAAGAATTGAAGCAACACCTTCCGTTGAGAATCTATTTCGTTGCTTAGTTTTGATTAGGTTAACCTGGGAAAAGGTACGTTCACAGTCTGCATTGCTAACTGGTATAGTTAACATAGCCTTTGCGAATGCTGCTAAATTCGGGTACTTGTCGGTTGGAACTTTTCCCCAGAATTCTTCCGTCGGTAGCGCAGAGCAACGATCGGCCAAGGTTGAGATTTCCTCGTCGTACATAAATTCCCTCCACTCTTGGTCGAGACTTTGCAGATTCTCTTGACGAACAACATTGGGAAATCTGGAAGCAATGCCGACAATACTTTGAATGGAACTTGACGTTGCAACCTGGGGATCCAGGAATGCCAGTTGTTTCACAACTACGTTATTCAATGGCAATCGGTTCTTCAATTGGCAACAAAGCTCTGTGTAAAACACTTGCACCTCCTAAAATATTCCTTTAAAGCTTCTTTATCCAGTGTCTTGTATTCGTTATTCGCCAACATCTTTGCAACTTCAACTCCAAGATACAGCTCCGTCAAAGGTACATGGTTAGCCGGATCAGCAGGATCGGCCACAGTGGCTTGGCTTCGGACAATGGTAGGCTTTACAAAGCAGCTTAATAAAGCCTTGTAGGCTGAAACACAATGCGCATGAAAGTTATGGACTGATGGCGACTTTGCCTGGAAAATAACGTTTAGTTTGTTAACTAGCGGAATAACGTAAGTTAGAAATGCGAAATACAATTTTGTGTAAGGATTCGACAGTTGTTCGTAGAGGAAATGAGACGCTTGTAGGCGATCAACAAGATACTGGCTTTCAAAAAACAGCTTTAGGGCCTGCCATTGACTGAAAATTCTTTCTACACAGCTGCCCAGTGATAGCCATCTGACATCGTAGAATCTAAGCATTCGGTGTGGGCTTGAGTCCGTGAAATCTTGAAATTCTTTAAACTCTAGAGATCGCTTACTTGAATAAGCAAAGTAGTTGTAGCATTCCTTGACGACTTGCTCTAAGTGTCGGGGCAACAGAGAACATGCGTGGCTGACAGCAAGAGCAACAGAATGGCAAGCACATTTAATCGCCAGGCAATGAGGATTGGCTGCCATGATACGAGAAACAATGCTGTTATTGCTGCCAAAAATGACATTTGTTGTGTCAGCAGCAAATCCAACGAGATCCTTGACCTCAATATCATGTTTTTGTAGGTCCTTCTCCATTGTGTCAAAAAGTTCCTCAGCTTTTTCACCGTCAACACGTACTAAATTCAGTAATCTAGTATCTACCCTCAGTAGCTTCTCGCTAAAGAATTTTACGACAATTGACATACACTTTGTTGTTCCCTTATCAGTCGATTCGTCAATAATCAGGGAGACAAACTTTCTACCAAATTCCCCGGTTGCCTTGATTTGCTCTCGCAGCTCAGTCTTAAATGACTTCGCCAGAACATATACGTCAATGCGGCTGCTTTTGTTCGTTTGCACGAGAATCCTTTGGCGATTGCAGAGTCGTAGAAAGTTCCCGAGATCAGTTTCGAAAGATGATCCATTGCACGAAATGGAATGTTGTGCTCCGCCATAAAAGCACAGAATTTTAACTCGGCCTTCTTAGTTTCTATGGTCAGTTTGCTATCCGATACGAAGAATTTGGATAACTATTTACATGTAAATAAAACAAAAAACATGTAACTGCAGCTTTAGTGATACTCTAAAACATGAAAATTCTGACATTGCCAATACTTTTTTAGTAGTATTCACATGCTGTACATTACATACCTGAGAGCTTCCTGACATACTACTCATTAAGGAAGTATGTTTGGCACTCTTTCCATGCAAACGAATAGTTACCAAACGAGCTTGCAGTTCACAACGACATATTTTGCAAAAAGCAAAATTTTGCGATGAATTGCTTACACTTAGCCACTTCGAAAATTCTGGTTTCAATTCCCACTCAGAGCGATATTTTTGTGTATACTTTGGTCCTTCTGTTCTTTTTTTCTTTATCGTGTTGTTGCCAGCAGAATGAGCCATTTTAAACTTAAACAAACTTGATTTAAAAAGTGTTGAGTCAAAACTCAAACTCAAAGCATATTTAAAAAAACACAGCGTCGACAGCGAGACGAGCGAGTCAGGCCCTCAATCCGGTTGCCCGGTACCGGACACAGCAAACCGTTAAATACTTCATGTAGACAGATTATTACGTCCCAGCCAATGTCATTTGTCATTCAGTGGCAGTCACCAAATTCGCCAAGATAATAAAGTACAACATCTTTATATTCAATGTTTTTTGTTTTTACCAAAAAAATTACCAAATTACTTGATTTTTTCCAAATTTTACCAAAAATTTTACCAAAATTTTATTTTACCAAAACTTTCCCAAAAAATGCCAAATTTTACCAAAAGTAAATTAATTTACCAAATCTGGTCACACTGATTATGCATCAACCGCATGATGATGACATAATCAGAGGACATAATTATGTATGATATTTTGTTTTAAAATAACGGGTAACTCTCTGCATAACACTGTGCTAAAAAAACAACAAAACTGTTTTTATATATTTTAATGATTAATTCCACCAAGAGACGGTACAGTAGATCAGCTGCTATACTATGCAGTCATCAGTTAATATACTATACTATACAGTCATCAGTTATATAGTTCCGCAAAAATGAAAACACCCGCAAAAAGAAAAAAAAAATCGCTGGAATATGCTGAACCCCCAGTTTCTAGTTGAAACGCAATATAAAAGATACTACAGAGACCACGAAACCACAACGATAACTAGTGATTTACTATTCACACGCATGTCTCACGGAGACGATCGAGATCATAGTTCGAAGTTAAAGAACACCAAGGTTGAGCAACACCAGCACTGGTACAAGTGTTGTAGAGTCTGCCACGATAGATGAACGGGAAAGAACAACATTTGCCAGAGGTCGTGCGTCTACGACATGGTTCTAGAGAGAATTATTTAGATTTACATTTAAGGCATTTAAAACGTGAAAACGTCAACAAAAACTAGGATTTCTATTTAACATCATTAAGTAAAAGGCTCCGCAAATTGTTTAAAATAAAACGTCCCCTGGTGATTGCTAGAATACGGACGGTATAACGATGGTATATTCTTACCCTCACACTCGGCACCTTCACCATCCAAGTCATAATTGCTTGTAGTGGAACACCACATTCGTCCCTTTTCATTTGGAATGCATTCATAGTAGGATTTGCCTTTGTATATGAATGGTATGGCGCAATACTTATCTTCAGTTGATGTTTTATAACAGTTCTCTATAAACAAATAATTATATCTTTCATTACAATATATCACAAGAAAATATCGCAAAATCAAGTCAGATACAATATAAGGTCTAATATAATCCTCGGTATTTTTCCTGTCTAAAATAAAATGATATATACCTTGCCAATAAGATGATGCACTCGCGCGCAAACTATACTAGCTAATGTACCAGTTAATATTTAATACCTTGACACATATCTTCACAGCAGACTTGAATTTTGGGTGCAGGTTTTTCATTTAGGTCACATTGTGAATTATCTGTTAGCAATTTGTCATCTTCAACACTGTAACATGTCGGGGTAGGCAACAATACTTTGCCTGGAAAGATGAAATTGAAAGGAATTTCGAAAAATATATAAACTAATTAAGATGAAAAGAATGACACTATGCTAGAAAATATGAAGCCTTTTATTCATAGACCTTCATAAATAATAAATAAAGTTGGAAATGAAAGAAAAGGATGGCACGAAAGGAGCGACGTTACAGATAATGTTGTTTCCAAAATCTTACCATTGAGAGCATAAACATAAACAGAATCTTCACCACCAATGATATTCCCTGTACAATCGCTAGCCTCGCCACCTTGAGAGAACACACGATGTGCATTCATTGAGCCATAACAATCACCATTACCAGAAACAGCGAACATACGTCTAGCTCTCTCCCAAGCAAGGCGGCCACAATTTTTTACAACGTCATTTTTATTGTTAGTATCAATGGTAAAAGAATTCAACGCGGCACCAAAGTTTCTGTTTTTTATTTTGTAACAACCAACAGGCTTATATTCAACCTTTTCTTCGCCCCCAAAATAACCTAAAAAAGAATATCAAGCGCTGCAGACTCCTGACATAGTTCATAAAGTAGAAATAATTCAGTACCTCGACATTCAGAGCAGTTGGGGTAAACATGTTTCCAATCATAGCATTTCACGCCTAAATTACATATCAATTCTGTTATCGGTTTTGTGCTCGGGCAATCCGAGTCTGTCATATCTTTTGTTTGACCCGAAACCAGGAGTTTCTTGCACGACAGAGTTCTTGTCCTAATACCTTCGCATTTCTCTTTTGAACACTGCAAAAATAGAAAAGTATTTTGATAACTATCATTTAAAAAATTTGGCATAAATGCTCAGTAATAAAAGAGGTTCCAGGTGGCGTATGTCATGTGTTGAATTACTCAGAAACATGCAGGAAGAGCATCCTGAAAGCAACAATTTGAAAGGAAAACTTCGATAAAAAGTTACTAAGATGTTGACGTACCGCTGACCAAGCTGCTGGAAACCATTCTGGCGCACAGTCCTTACGATTGCAATTTTCAGAATCAATTGGTTTGCTTCCACTGCACTTATCATCAGCTAACACTTTTACAACATCAGCACTGACTTTCTGACGACATTCTACGGTTCTACTCCGAGTACCGTTAGGACCACAGTCAGCACTACAATCTCTCCAATTATCCTCTTCCCAACTGCAAGAAGACGGTTAAGAAAGTTGTAGAGAAATATATAAGATTGTAGTTACTGTATTGTAATTACTTATATACCTTGGTTCACAAGGGTTCGTATTACAAGCCACAGTATCAACTGGTTCTGTCGAAGAATCGCAATTATTTTTACCCACTTCAGTACCATCATCTTGACGATGGCAAGTCGTTATCTTTGTTTTCACACCTGAAAAAAATCCATATTAGACCGATTGGCGTTTGCAAAACCGCTAACAAACTTTGCGTTTTAACGGCACTATCTTAGAGTGTGATTGCTGATGTATTTAGTAAAGCTGTAAATTCAGCTCTGCAGTATGTGTTTGTTACATGCATGCACGCTTGCCGTATAAATTGAACGGGTTGAACGGCTGTAAAGGTATCGAGCCGTCGAGCTGTTGATACGCTTCAGTATCAACAGCTCGTATCTTGGGATATCTTAACAAGACAAAATATACACTCATCATCAAATCTCAGGTGATATACATACCTCCAGCACACACAGCATTACACTCACTTAATGAATACCTCCAGATGAATGTAAGTGGTGTTGCATCAGGCGTCGATAGACGTTCATAGTATTCGTAAAGAACTCCATCATTATTCTCATAGAAGTAAATAAACTACAAAAAAAATAAAAAATAGATTCTGTGAGAGAGTCAGAAAAGACAATACCTCTCTACCACAGTATTATGTAACGCTCGCGGTATACTGATCAACCTATGGCCAGCTCTTTTTACAAACACTATCGATTTAGAAAAAGCCGCGGTTACGGGGTTATTTTCGTAGGTAACAATAGATTGTTAAGAAATGATCCTCACTGGACCTCTCTAGTAATTACAGTTTAGAACTCACAAATCAGTTCACAAATCAATCCAATAAAAAGAAAGTTAGTTTAGAATTAATTTCCCTCGGCAGTAAAATTTTGATCAATAAGAAATGCACATCCGGGAAGAACAATTTTAAACAGGTGTCTTTAAGTGACAAAACATCATACCATAACTTTTAGTGGTTCAGTGGTTGGTCCATCAATAGCCATGGTCTCCAGAGAGCGTGATGCAGAACGTTCAAACGTTATCCTGGAACCAGCGAAGAATTTCACTGAACTACCCGTTTGATCATGGATAATCCAATTATCGTTTTGATCCTTTAAACCTACATAAAAGATGTTTAAATTGTAAAATAAAGTTTCTGGATAACGCAATTATTTCCCGTTTATTCTGATGAATATCGCTAATGAAAGGTTTTGTTATTTATAAGAGAAAAGGAGAATTTAGGAAACTCTCTAGAAAGAAACAGTCAAGAAAGAGAGAAATGAAACAGTATAATAAACAGGTGACTAACAGTTGTGTTTATCCCAGGGTTTTACCAAGAGGTGAGGTGTTGATCCCAGCGTTATAATAAACGTCAGCAGTAACAATCTTCTTTTGTCAATACTAGAGCCGTTATGAAAAGTAAAATGTGAAGAAAAGACAAACCTATGTTATTCCAAGTCTTTAATTTCTCCTGAACAAGAAGATTAGCGGAGCCAGTTGGTAAAGTAAACATTACCGCAGCTGCGTTCTTTCCTGTAAGATTTAGAAATATTCGCTCAATACAATGTGTTGTTTGATACATCACACGTAAAAACTACTAACCGTAGCCTTTGTGAACTGTATTATACGAACTATTCACCAATCGACATGTTGACCCATCTCCGGAACACACTCGGCAACGGTCGTAAGATTTCCGAGCAAATGTTCGGTTACACCCAACTTTCTAACAATATACAGCAATAATGTTGTAGTAAATAAAACCTTACAGTGCGCTTTAAAATTGAACTAAGTCTGGTAAAACGTTTGTTCCTGTTTATTTAGATGCGTTACGAAATGAACTTACAGTACAAACGCCTGAGACACAAACATCTCTCTCATCTTGATATTTTGAACATAAAGTTCCATCAACAACTGTTGACTGGTAAGAAATAACAGATCTGCCTGACAGACAATTCAAGAGACATGATGAACGTCCTATAGAAATGAGAACAAAAAATGTCTCTGATACTGGTTAAGATGGTCAGGATGAGATGGTGAAGATGAGATGGTGAGGATGAGATGGTGAAGATGAGATGGTGAGGATGAGATGGTGAGGATGAGATGGTGAGGATGAGATGGTGAGGATGAGATGGTGAGGATGAGATGGTGAGGATGAGATGGTGAAGATGAGATGGTGAGGATGATACTGTAGGATGAGATGGTGAGGATGAGATGGTGAAGGTGAGATGGTGAGGATGATACTGTAGGATGAGATGAATGGTGAGGATGAAATGGTGAAGATGAGATGGTGAAGATGATACGTAGGATGAGATGGTGAAGATGAGATGGTGAAGATGATACGTAGGATGAGATGATGAGGATGATACTGTAGGATGAGATGAATGGTGAGGATGAAATGGTGAAGATGAGATGGTGAAGATGATACTGTAGGATGAGATGAATGGTGAGGATGAGATTTTTCAGTCAAAATGTTTACCTGTGTACGGAGAGTACGATTGACTTTTTTCTTTACATTGTTTTGTAAATAAATCATCCGTGCCCGCGGGACAATCTTCAGTATTGCATGTTTCATAGTGACCTTTACTCTCCCCCACGCAATTTTTGCCAAAATATTCAGGTCTAAAAAACACAAAAAGTACTTTTTACATTCTTTTCATGAATCTTTAGCGGAAAAAAGTTAGCAGTCATATGACTTACGGAGGGCTGTCACAGGAGCGTGTTCTATAGCGAACTCCCATACCACAAGATGATGTACAACTTGAAAATGTCTGAGACCATGAACCCCATTGACCATCAATTGGATCAGGAATTGGTTTATCCACACATTTACCATTTTTACACCACTACACACAGAAGAAAAAATATGAAGAAAATGGCGCTTGCCAAGATCTCTAGAAGGAGCAGTGTAGAACTGATAGAACTATCCAGTATAAATAAAGTTAGTTTAGTTTAGTTTTTCTCCTGTAATAACACTGGATCAATAAGAGATGATCCGTACTGGACCTCTAGGAAGAACAGTTTAGAACTGATAGAGCTATCCAGTATAAATAAAGTTAGTTTAGTTTAGTTTTTCTCCTGTAATAACACTGGATCAATAAGAGATGATCCGTACTGGACCTCTAGGAAGAACAGTTTAGAACTGATAGAGCTATCCAGTATAAATAAAGTTAGTTTAGTTCAGGTTTCCTCCTGTAGTAACACTGGATCAATAAGAGATGATCCTTACTGGATCTCTAGGAAGAACAGTCTAGAACTGATAGAGCTATCCAGTATAAATAAAGTTAGTTTAGTTTAGGTTTCCTCCTGTAGTAACACTGGATCAATAAGAGATGATCTTTACTGGACCTCTAGGAAGAACAGTTTAGAACTGATAGAGCTATCCAGTATAAATAAAGTTAGTTTAGTTTAGGTTTCGTCCTGTAGTAACACTGGATCAATAAGAGATGATCCTTACTGGACCTCTAGGAAGAAGAGTTTAGAACTGATAGAGCTATCCAGTATAAATAAAGTTAGTTTAGTTTAGTTTTTCTCCTGTAATAACACTGGATCAATAAGAGATGATCCGTACTGAGAGATTAAAAAACACGAGGAAAGTCTTGTACCTTGTATGTTCCGCACTCTGTGCCTTCCAATGGTGGGGTTGAGCGATGTCTACAAGTATTCGTACCAGACTCACGGCAGTATAATACTGTACAATCACTCTAAAATAAGAAATCTTTACATTAAGCAAATTGTGACGAAAAGTACAAATTTGTAATAACAAAACTCAAACCTTATAAGGTCCACAGTGAGAAAATTTATCTCCATACATTAGTCGACATTGCTCATCACCAGAGAAATTCTTGGCAAGATTCACAACACTCAAATCTTCTATGGTTTCAAGTCCAGGAGGAACGTCATTCAGGCACGAGAATTTATTGCTAAATGAACAAAGAACTGTAATTACTGTACCACCTCTAGCATCGGGTAAGATAAAATTTCTGTGGCTGCAACGTTTTGAATGGTTTTAACAGTGAAGTATCCCTGAAGAAGATCCCTAGGAAGATTATTATTCGTAGAACAGATATATCATTTATAATCACAGAAGAAAAATGGACAGAAGTCAATTTCAGATGTAAATTGTGCTGAGTCAGTTCAATTTTTGAGGCTGAAGAGGCCACCGAAGTAAATTTAATGTTCATACCTACTAAACGAAGATTGAAGATTCGTTCGACTGCATGAGGACCAACTAAACGCATTTTTTCCAGAAGCCAGAATAGAATTCATGATGTAACCTTTTGAACAATCACCCGAGTCATGACCTAGACCTAAACTATGAAAATAAAAGAAAGTTTTAAGAAATTCAAAAGAAATATGAAGAGTACGAGAAAGGCAATATGAAGACGATACAAAACAGACTTCTCTAGAAATATTTCGAAATATTTCTATAAACTTTGACATACTTGTGTCCACTCTCGTGAGCCGCTGTTAGCGCAGCACTCAGACCAGCGGCTATGGTTGTGGCAACTGACCGAACACTGTGGCACATATCATTCAAATATCCACGACCATTCTCAGGACAACTAGAACCCTTGCCGCAAACTTTTTTTGTAATTAGGATAGCTTGATCGAAATGCTCAGGACTACTGTCGTCAGGATTGTTGAGCGTTGAAGTCCAGGTTGCGAATAAACTAATATAACCCATAGAACTCACTATATTATTCTTGTCGACGTCAAAGCCTTCCTACGAAAACATGCAACAGCTAAAGTCATTTCAATAGAAACTAATGGCTTCTATTTCGTAAACACAACCGTCTTACCTCTTCACCAGATAGGATCATAAGCTTTACGACTGTATAGATAACTTTAACATCTCCAATCGAATCATCTTGCATCACAGCATTCAACTACAGAATATTATGCAATGGTTTCATTATTACTATTAACTTGTATTAGTTACTCTAAACTGTTCTTCCTAGAGGTCCAGTAAGGATCATCTCTTATTGATCCAGTGTTACTACAGGAGGAAACCTAAACTAAACTAACTTTATTTATACTGGATAGCTCTATCAGTTCTAAACTGTTTTTCCTAGAGGTCCAGTAAGGATCATCTCTTATTGATTTAGAGTTACTACAGGAGGAAACCTAAACTAAACTAACTTTATTTATACTGGATAGCTCTATCAGTTCTAAACTGTTTTTCCTAGAGGTCTAGTAAGAATCATCTCTTATTGATCCAGTATTACTACAGGAGGAAATCTAAACTAAACTAACTTTATTTATACTGGATAGCTGTATCAGTTCTAAACTGTTCTTCCTAGAGGTCCAGTAAGGATCATCTCTTATTGATCCAGTGTTACTACAGGAGGAAATCTAAAGTAAACTAACTTTATTTATACTGGATAGCTCTATGAGTTCTAAACTGTTCTTCCTACAGGTCCAGTAAGAACCATCTCTTATTGATCCAGTGTTACTACAGAATTAAGGAAATCTAAACTATGGATTTGTGAATTCCAGGTACATATGAACTTACAAGGTAAACGACAGACATAAGATATTGTTCAGTGAAATTTCCATAAGCCTCGGTTGTGTATCGATCAGCGACGACCAGGACTTCGACATAACGATTGTCTGATGCCGAACGTTTTTTCCTTGTCACATGTGGAATAGCGTTGGGTGATGAATTATCTAAAACGAGACAGATTTAAATTTAATTAGAAAGGAAAACATGGTGACGTGAGGGTGATCTTCCGCTCGTGCACTGCTGCACATAATCCTCTAGTTTCTACGTCTCTCTGCCTTTTTTTTAGACAAGGGTATACAGTTTCGCCTGTATGCTTGGACGATGTCCAAAAGGGTCATACACGGGTTTGATTTCAAATAATTTGGACCCATGCAGTTTTGACGGAGTAATAATTTTAAACTATCCTGAACAATTTTTGGCATTTTTGGCATCCTTTTTAGAATAAAAGGGACACATTTCAACCCGTAGGTTGGTCCCTTTGGAGGAAGTACAGTATAAGGGGTCAAAAGCCCTCGGATAAGGCAAAATACTTGAGGGGTGGGGGTGTTTGAGAGTGTCACAGGATGTGAGGGAGTGTCATTGGTGATGTCACGCCCGGGGTGAGAACGGAATAATGACAGAGTTTTGAGTCAACTCGTCTTGAACGACACAGAGGTGAACGCAGATGTAAAAAATTGCCAAAATGCGTCACGTCGTTTGTGGTGGTTGCCAGAGAGAAAATAAATCAAAACAAAGGAAGTGGAAACGTCTTTGAGAAACATTCTTCCGGAGGAAATCAAGAGAAAAACGGAAACACTTACCACCGCCTTGACGCAATGCACTGTCCTCGTGTTCTTGTCTGGTTATAACATGATGAAGACTTTCGTTTACGCCATGAATTGTTATAATATGACTGTCGGTCATAATTACTCCGGACTAAACAGAAATTGAGAGACAGAATTAAAAGAGGAAACGTTCACAGCAAGCGCCCAATCAAAGTGATTGCACTAGGTTGCTCGCAAACAAGAATTCGCCACATACCAGGCAACCATTATGGATTTTAACAGCTAAATTTGACCCAGGCTTTCCTTCGATGTGCCCTGTGTAATAATCATCTAGATTTTCCCGTGATACGGTGCGGCCGTTGTCACGTCGTATAACTTGAGCATGGGGTATTGCCAACTGTTTATTTCTGAAGAGATTCAGTGTGAGATCTTCACCGAAAATATGAAGTTTGTAACGAAGTGTTGGAGCATCACTGATCTTTGTCAATTTCGCTTCGACTTGCTCTGAAAATGAAAAATGAATATCAAACGTCGAGGTCTAGTCTGGTTTTATTGAAATGCAAATAATCATTTATCCCACCTTTGATCCCATGTCTTGGCTGTTTTAAATGCGCAGGATTTACTCCCTGCAAAAGATCCCAAAAAATTACGTTAAAATTCTAGAAGCGTAATCATAGACATTTAAAACAAATCAGCTCTCGAAACGGCCGAATAAAATGCACCGGCTATAATCATTAAAATTCTCGCGCGCCCGATATTTAAGTACTAAATATCTCAATATAATGAAGTTGAAAATATTAGATCAACTATGAAAAAGATCAATCAAGAAGCTTCATGAAAGATAATCAGTACTTTGAGCCTCTCAAGTAAAAACTTGCATTCTAAAGCCCCGCGCAGGCCGGACATGATTTGACAACGCGAGGCGATTTTCTATGACGTTTTTCTCTGCTCCAAGGGAAACAAGTAAATTTTTATCCCGTCGCAAAATTCGTGAAAATCAATAAAATGATGGTACATTTAACTGCTCGCTGCATCCCGTGCAGAGCACATGTGATGTCATGTGGGCTAATATTGAAGAATAAATGTTCTGCGAACTAAAGAGTAATGGCGCTTGGCGCTAACAGTCATCAAGAAACTGTAACATGCTACAATATTTTCAGATCAGTGGTTACAATATGTTAAAAATGATACAATTTGCGCAGTTACTATTCTTACACAACTAAGTTAGCTTCCAGATGTGAAGATGGCGTTTAGAGTGAATAAAGTAGCCCGACAGTTTGGTGAAAAAATAATCATTGTTGTATTAAAATGTCAACACCTGGCCGCGTGATCACTCAACAAGACTTTGCACACCGGATGAAGCAAGGCAGGATAGTTCATGGGCATTATAGCATACGCTTATGGATAGAAAAACAGTGAAATATCTGAAGCAAAGCTACCAGAAATTGGTGAAAATCAATTTATCAAATAATAGAGTGGTCAGAGCATGGTAAGAAAGCACATACCTTTGAATACAACATCGTAATCACGGCTAACAATACGTGGAAAACTCTCATTGTTCAAGTGTATATTGTCACCCCTCTCGTAAGAACTGCAGATAACAACTAAAGGTCGCACAAGGGATCACTAGTGACTCGTTGTGGCGAAACAAGGAACAGGAATACGACACAGGAATTTCTGAATGCCAGGAGTCGATCAAAATGAAGTGTTTATTAATTTATCCTGGCAACCCGTGAGATAATAACGATATTAATCAAAGATCTCGGGTTACCGCACGTATTGACCAATTCGGAAGTATAATCCATAATCTTAAATGTCAAAGTTTAAAATTTTTTTTAATGATCTTCGTGATTTTTGAAACGTTCCATCATAAGTATACCAAAGTAAAAACACACAATTTATTACTATAGTCATAGGAAAACGTTAAGAGAACATCATTGGAAAACATATAAATTTTCGCTGGGTTAGAGAGGTGAAACATTAAGATTATTTTTGCCAACAGTCCTCATATTACGGACATTATCTGTCTGGCGTGACGTCATTATGGTCTGAGGAGAGCACAGAATATTTCGGAATGATTCACGAAAATTCCTATATCTTAAACTATAAACAACAGGATTACAGAAGGAATTACAGAATGCAAGCCACGTGACTAAAGACATGACGTCAGCAGAAATCGTACCAGACCCCTTCGACGATACGTAAGTACCGAGAAGAAAGAACGGAGTGTAACACAGGAGAAATGTTCCTATAACGAACGCGAATGTTTTAATCGACTTGACTTGTTGTCTAGCAAAAAGCCTCAAATGGCGATGAGAAGTCTCATGTACATTATTAACAGCAGCGTCAACGATACGTCTTGCGTGTTCACGAACAACCTTGAAGAAATACGCGTAAATATAAAATAGAACAGAGAACGGAAGAATAACAAAGATTATGACGAGAAGAAAAGTTGATGAGGGGTTTCGGTGTGAACTGTCTTTCAAACAACCATACACTGAAGACCGAAACTCGAAGTCTGCATATGGTAGATTCACCACAAGCGATGGTACCAGCCAGATTAGTACCATCAATACTGTTACAGTACGTTGTGATATGAGATGTTGATAACGTAATGGTTTCTTTATACGGATATATCGATCAAAACTTAACAAGCAAAGATGTAAAATTGATATAAAACACAACGTGAGGGCAAGACTTGAGACAAGCTTACAAAGAATATTACTGAATCTCCATTCACCATCCATTATCATGATGCTATTAAACAGCATTGAAACCACCATTAATAAATCACTGACTGCGAGACTTAGTAACATCATATTGGTTCGTGATCTAAGCTGTTTATAAATAATGACAGAAAAACACACCAGCAGGTTTCCGAGTGTTGTTAAAAACATTATCAAGAAACAAAGAACAAGACGGAGATACAAACCAGCACCTTTAAAATGTTCACTGCTTTGTGTCGAGTTATCTACAGATATATTCAGGTGCTCCATGGCGGTATTGATGTAACGTTGCTCTATATACACAATATTATATGAAACATATGAACAAAATCGGTCCACATTCAGGATTTTTCCAAACACCTTTTATGCCAACTGGTCGTTCAATTATCTTTAGTTTTTTCACACAATGCAACACAAAACTATACACATGCAAATGAACTGTGTATAGAACTCTTTGCGACTAAACTTATGACATACTGAGTAAGGCTTGTTTTTTGCGCCTATATTTAAACCTTTTCGGAAAAATCTGTTTGTGATATCGTATCATATCTTCCCCCCCCCCCCCACGTTGTTCGTCTTTATAAACATTTGTATTGTCAAAATCATCTGTTCGGCAGAAGATAATTTTTTAAGAACTACGCGTACGCCCATTGCAATGAAAAACAAAACCTGATCCAGTAAAATATCAGTAAAATAAAGTAAGCAGAAGTACACATATCAACATAATTACTTTCTTCCTTCGCAAATCCATTTGATTTAAAACTATTCCGTTAAAAAGATGAACCAGAACGTCAACATTTGTCAGTTGTTTTTTTAATTATATTTTTGCTTTTTGTATATATTTATTTGTAATCAGCGAACTGTAATCTTAATAATAATATTAAACGAATATATTTCACAATCTCAGTAATAAAAAAGATTCAGAACACACTAGTTTATTTAATTCGCAGTTGGTGGTCAGCAGGTGCATGCTAATTATTAGTTTCAAAGTAGTATTGAATTCACAACGTTTTACAAAATAATGCAAGTACATATAAAGGTGCATAAATCATTTATACCAAATTCCTTCAAGTTCGCTTCTAAAACTATTTCGTTGAGGCTAAATATTTCTTGCCCTGTTCATATCTTTTGAGATATATTTATCAATGAATGTCATTGCTAGAATAGAAATCAAATACCCCTTTCTCGTTTGAACCAGGTCATGAGACGAGGGGATGAAAAGCAACATTTAAATTATATCAAGCAAAAATATTCAATAAATCATAAACTGTCTGCTAAATCACGCGAGAGATACCCTAAAACAACATCTCATTCATATTCAAAATAGGCATTTAACATTTTTTTTAACTGGAGGCGCTTATTCGAGAGGCGTATTTAAAGACTGAGGAACAATTAATAAGCAGTCTTTGAACAAACAAAATGTCCGTAAAATTACCGTATTTCAATCGTGTCAAATTTCTGAAGAAAACTCCAGTTCTATAAAATGTAATTGTCTCTTTTTTTAATGAAATTCGTTCGCAATTTTGTCGGAATATTTCAATATATATATAAAAAACAATAAAAAAGTCTTTGTTTGAATATGAGATGAAATTAATCTCACATGAGTCGGCAACATGGCGCCGACTTAATCACAATGTTTGTTTTTGATAAATGATTTTAATAAATAAAGAACATTACCTAACGTTCATTGATATAATAATATTGAATTATGGGTTATAAGTTGGACGAGATGGGAAACACAGTTTGTTTCACTGCATGTGGTGAAGCCATGTTCAGTTTTTGCTCTACGACAAACGATGAAGAATTGTCTTTAAAGAAACTGCGAACTTTGTATTTCGCGACATGATCTTCTGTAACATCGCAACGTTTCATTTTAACTGCATGGGAGAATAGTTCTAACTCAAGATCAGTTGATATCCAAATGTATAAGAAAGTATTAAATAAAGTTAGATGAGATTGTGAGATGAATAAAAAAACCCAAATTTCTAAATATGTAACACAAATGGACAGTCTAAACGATGATAATTAGCAGAAAAGCGTCGAAAATCTTAATTAAAATATTCATTTCTGCGCATTTGATCTTTATATCGTTCGTGATATTTAATCTAATGAAGATAATGAAGATTGCTTGTATTCAGATAATGCAGCGCCTCAGATAATGACTTCCACGTATCTTAAGAAATATTGAAATTCATATATACAATACTGCAAACAGTACATTACTTCCAAACAGCATTTCTAAAACTATACGGTTAACAAGATGAAACTATATATCGCGCTTTAAAGCTGTATGTATATTTTAATTTAGGAAATGTTCTAAGACATTAAAACAATTACTTTGCAGACAACTAAAAGCACACAAGATGTTGACATTCGTTTCATTTGCAAACATACATCTGTTTCAATATATAACCGCAGAAAAACGAATATTATTCTATCCAGACTTGAGACGCTTTTGATGAGGATATGATATTGAAACAATGTGTCGAGCAATAAATTAAGCCTCGATAAATTATATTAAATTCACTAACATTAATTCTTAAACTGCGAACAACAAAATATCGTTGTTACGAACGACATCGTTGTAACGACTGCCAAAATAATGGAGCAAAATCATAATCCAATTTACAGGTGAAGGAAATATTTCCTTGACGACTCAAAACAAGAATATAAACCAGGGGCTTAAGCAATTTAAAATGACGTTGACGTAAAAATAAACAATTAATAAAGTAGTAATTAATTTTTCGCTGGTTCCGCTGGGCACTGGCGCAAAGCCAGCCATATCTAAAATATTACGAGTGAAAAACAAAACTATTCCTACCTCAGTCTGAGGAGATCTTTACTCTTTTGCAGAAATCTCGTTCACAGATAAACCTGAAGAATAAAAAACCCATCTATTTAACTTTCGGACCTTGTCAATCAATATACAACATTCAACCTTACTATTGCTTAAAAAATGAGTCATATCACACTATAATATGTTATATTCTGCAGGAATACGATAAGAAAATATCGAGGTTATCGACATTCACCCTTATTATTGCTTAAAAAATGAGTCATATCACACTATAATATGTTATATTCTGCAGGAATACGATAAGAAAATATGGAGGTTAACCATGGAGGACGCTGGACGCTATCTAACCATGACACATGTTTGCATGTTGAAGTATCAAGCTTTAATTTTTACATTTTTTTTCTCTCGAGATCTTATCAAGTTATTTTGATAAAGCACTCTCATTTTAAGCAATTCTAATCCATCAGGTTAAATTGCACCAGTTGAACGAAGTAATTAAAATATGATAACGAAAACAGACTAAAAATTTCTAAAACACAATCAGTTTCCAGATGGCACAACAACACTTAATAAATAAAGCATGCACCAAATATAAAAAACACAGTTGATCGCAGTGACATTAGATATAAACAAATCCCCAGGAGATTTAGCATGCAACAAATTCATATGCACTGAAAATGGGAATCAACGCCAGAAAGCAGGACAATTAGAACGTAGAATGAGTGCAATTAGAACGTATACATCAGCCCTAACCACACAATATCGTTATAACTTTGAAGTATTTACACAGCATAAATCATATGAGTTAATTATTCATATTTTGAAACAAAGTCAAGCTTCATCCACAGAAAACTGATTGGACAGTCATGCAGGTGAAAACATATGAGAAGACACAACGACATCGCAGTATTTAGAAGACAAGACAGACGAAGGACGAGCAAGATATTCACATGCACCATTTTATTCAGCAGAAAATACTTGCTGAGGCTGAACAAGATACCCTCTCACTGACCATTGCATTCTCAAGTTAGAAAGGAGAGTTTACTAAAACGATCCAACAACATTTTCTGGGTTGTTTCATCAGATAACAATATATTTGGTTACGAAATAAAGAAACATCTTTACCAACAAATATCTTCTCTCTACATCCACGGAAATTTTGATTGTATTATCAAGTTGGGCAGGCAAGTGTCAAACAAGAGGTAGTCTTATCAGGTTATAAAAAGGATAACGCCTTCTTCAAGTTAAAGATCTGGTTACAACTAGAGAAGCAAGGAACAAACAAAGAAAACAAAAAGACGAAATCTTGTGTTTAGTCAACCTTCGAGATAAAGCCGGTTACCAAGGATTGCTGTTCGGCCAGTTCATTCAAACGAAAGGGAATGCGAACCAATCTGGTTTAATAAAACCTTCTTGCCATGTTAGCAAACTACAGTTCTAACCAAACCTATTTCAACACAACTAGTTCAACCACAAGCAATACAACATCTTTGATAGTAACAATCATACAACTGTTAGCATTTACTACGGTGATATTGACCGCCTTCGTTGGTAATATTTTGGTATGTATTGCCGTCTACAAATTTCGCCAACTGCAGACAACAACAAACATAGCTCTGGTAAGCCTAGCTGTGACAGATATTCTAATGGTTTATGTCATAACTTTGCATGCTATCATGGTCATCCAGGGAAGGTGGACATTTGGAAATGCTTTGTGCAAAGTTACCGGAAGCGTTGGTCTTACCCTCAATCTAATGTCATTACTGCATTTGGCTTATATCAGCCTGGATAGATTTATTGCAATCATTAAACCGTTCAGATATCAAGTTTGGATAACTAAACAACGCGTTATAAAAGCGATGTTTCTCATGTGGTTTATCGCAATTCTACTTTTAAACGGTCCTTGGGGAGACTTTGAATACAGAGCCAACGTATTTGGTTGTTTAAACGGAGTGAAACGAGGAGAATTTAAGTTATCAACGTTTATAATGCTTATAGTATTCGTTAGTCTTCCGTCTGCTTTCATACTTTTTACACAAATATGGGTCTGCAATGTCGCGCGTGATCATGCTAGGAAAATGAATAAACAACAGACGAACTTGAGGATATCTTACAGTGAACCATCACCCCCCGTGATGAGCAGAGAGAAAGAAACGAGGTATAGTAGAAAGACAACAGCTGAGACAAAATACAAGAGAGAGATGAAATCAGTGAAAACATTTGGGATTTTAGTTGGATGTTTTCTGGTTTGTTATATACCTTTCTACACTGTCGCCACGCTTCGATCATTTAATGGCCTGAACAGCGTTCAATCGTCAATATTAACTACCGTAACTTGGATTGCTTTTGTTAACAGGTAGGAACATGAAGGTGTTCTGACATTGATAGATCCACTGATATTTATCAGCCATCAATCAGTTGCTACAATACGGGGTTGTTTCCTAAAGAAACTCAACTCAATGATTTCCAATAAATAAACAAATTGTTTGCAAATATATGGGAGTTTTATTAGTTCACAGAATTTTCCGAAGTCCTCAAAATATCAGTGTAGGAATATCTCAGACTCAGTAGTAATATCTTGCTTGTTTAACTTTATATTACAGCGCAATGAACCCAATCTTATATTCTCTACGTCATCGGCAATTCAAGACCGCGTTCGAGAAGATTTTCAGGAAAGGACTGGCACGAATTGCGCCAATGCAACTCCCTGAAACAAGTCGAAGAAACTCCGTGCTTGGAAACAGCTCAAGTTTTCAGGAAGGAACGTTGAGAAACGATAACTCGTTAGTTACGATTAACTAATACGTCAAATCACTGACAAAAATAACTAATATGTCACTAATTACATAACATAAATTTATTTAACTCACATTTTCACGGAATCACCGCAAAATAACAGTTCCACTTCTATCACCTTACCAAGATCAATCCATACCCTAGAAAAGTCCAAAAATAACAAAATAAAGAAACAGAGAAACAAACATTAACCCATCAATGTTTCCTCTGACGGATATTGCACACAGACTGCCACAAAGCAGCAGACTCTATCTTTTGAAAACAGCCTTATGAAATGATGGAGGAAACATGTGAACACCAGTGATAAGTTTCACAACAGTTTTTAAACCTTGAAGCAGTTTCAACTATTATAACTCAAAGATTTTGCAAGAACATACTTCTCTTAAAACACTTGTATCCAAAAACTTGCTCCAAGTTGTTGTACTATCTCACCAATCAAAAACCAAATTACAATCAAGATTTCTTAGTAATTATAACACATAAGAACCAAGCATAAATGAAAATCATAAGCTAATGATGTGATGATCTCATGCAGAGGACATTTTTTATAAGATGCATCACCTCCACCATTACACCTGATTAGAGAACAAGAGGTCATAACATTTATAACTTTTTTAAATGAAAAACATAAAATACACTTAATAAAATACATCCACAAGTTGCCCCACCTATTATAACATTCACACACATAAATTAGCTGTAAATCTAATGGTCATCATTAAATGTTCCACCACGACCAGCACCAGCAACAAAGCGTGTCGCACCATTTATTGCTTCCAGAAGACAATCCTCGGAATTTTCTTTCTCAAATCTCAAAGCATCGTCCAATGAGGGTGCATTAAACATAGCATAATATGCTGACTGACGATCAGCAGTTAAACATGCTTGCGGAAAAGCAGCAATCTGTTTTCCTAACTCAAAGGCCTCACTATAAGCGGTACCTTTGGAAACAACTCGGTTGGCTAAACCAATAGTTAAAGCCTCATTCGAATCAACTGTCCTCCCTGTGAGAATGAGATCCATTGCACGAGAAAGACCAATCAGTTTACTTAAGCGGACAGTACCACCATCAATTAGAGGAACTCCTAAGAATGTCAAGATCTATTGTAAGAAATCAAGAGAGTTGAGACCACTGGTAGGTTGTTCTAATATCAATAACTCTCACAAACCGAAAGTACACAAAAATATACATGTGTACCAGCCTAATGATGCTGATCTTTGGACTAAATGTTTTGAAGAGTATTTACCAAATCTTCTGTTTAAAAAGCCCATCTTTGCATCATGTTCAACAACTCTCAAGTCACACAACAAAGCAAGTTCAAGACCACCACCAACAGCATGTCCCGATATTGCAGCAATTACTGGCTTACTAAAATTCTCCCTTGTGGGGCCCTAGATGATCAGGATACCAAGTACCAATTCAAACAATCAGAAAAGATCAGGTCTCATCCTGAGATACCACTTGGCTTTCATGTGGGGGGGATATAAGTGAATACATACATATATTTGCAGTCTTATCCACTATAAGACAGAACATATTTGTCAATTCTCAGTCAAGTCCTTGTTTAGAGTGAATACATCAGAGTAAAAACACAATTACAAGTTCCTATGATCCCCTATGAATTGGTTCAATATTTTGGTTCAGAGATTCAATGCGCCTTTAAAACTTACCATAGGCCCTTGTTCACCCATAAGAATTTCCTTAAATATTTGTTTTTCTTTGTTTGTGCCAAGTTTCGCGACTTCCTTAAGGTCATATCCAGCACAAAATGTGTCAAAACAGCCTGACAAAACGGCTACACGGCAACCATCATCATTTTCAAACTGTCTAAAAGCATGTCTGAGTTGCTCGGCTGTTTCGTGATTTACCGCGTTCCTCACCTCAGGACGGTTAATTTGAATTGAAAACACAGCTCCCTGCTGTTGTTTAACAACAAAGGTCGATGCAAAACGTCTTAAAAATCTCGTTTTGACGAAAAACATCGTGTCAAATTTGGAAATTACCAAATTGTTACACTGTAGTGTGAACGATATCGCGGGAATTAAAATAAATCCAATCACTCAAAAGACGATTACCAAGACACAAAAGAAGACACCACAGACTATGATATAACCATCAATCTACCATCACTACGAATTGTAGTATAGTATAATGTTAATACTGAAGTATTAAATAAGTTTCTGTTATAAATTTTTAAGTTACACTACGTCTTTCAAACAATAAATTAGTACATTGATAAAGAGAAAGAATATTGATATTGGAATGTTGGAATGCAAGGTAAAATATATATGGTGGCTTTCAAAAAACTGTTGCTTAGAAAATGGTAATCAGTACGCTGTCACATGACAGCCACATGCCATATGCTCCATCACGTGTTGTTTTAAATCATTTAATTGATTCTTCAAAGTACTGGCAATACTAGATAACTCAATGTTCCTCTCTCTCAACTGTTGTACTCGGACCTCCAGATTTGCCTCACGCTCTAACTTCTTCTTCCTGCATTTTGAAGCTGCGACTCTGTTTTTTTGTTTCTTTCTCTCGCGCTTCACAATTTCCTGGACTTGCAGGTCAATTGGGGGAAGAGGAAACATCTGGGGACTTGTTTCTACTTGATGTCCAGGAGGTAGTTTTTCTACGTAATCCTTCGGACTTTCGGAGAATTTCACATGAGCATGAAGTTTAAATAACTCAGGATGAGAGTCCAAGTTCAATTCAGGATTTAGATTAGAAATAATAGTATTTCTGGAAACAGTTTGGTTCACAAAGTCTGCGTTGACTATATTGCTATTAGCAACTGAAGAATGAACCAGAGTGTTTCCATTTCCAAGATTATCTGATCTTTGATTATCAGGATAGTTTCCACTATGGTTTGGTCTGATTGTATTTCTATTTCCATCTCTCAAACTATCCATTATTCTGATCTTGTTCTTATTCCTGTCCTCCAAAGAAGTATTTACGACACGTCCATAAACTGGTAGATTTATTTTCATATCTTGAGAACTCTGATTTGGTATGGAGGTTGAAGTACGTACATTGGAACTAATAGTTGTGTTTTGGCCGATTTGATGTGGGATTTTCTGGTATTCAGATGTCAAGATCTTTTTATCATGACTTCTTTCAATGTTTGTTGTAATGCTGTACTTGGTGGCGTCTTCTCTTTGTTGGATTTTTTGTAAAGCATCCACAAAGGTCTTCGTGTAGACATCGTGTTGTGTTTGGACGCTTCTTGCTCTATTTAAATCATCTTTTTGACCAAAGTCTTTATCGTTGTAATTTGAGAAGATTTTTTCAAAATCAGGCGATACCAGGTTTAAGACATTCAAATCAGAACTGTTGATTGTACTTGTATCCCGGCTGTGGGTCGATGATTGAGCGACAATTAGTCTTTCAAGATCAGGAGAGGCCATGTGAAAAAGGTTAAATTCTGGTGAATGAATGTTTTCTTTTAGTAGTTCTTGATTCTTTATCATCAACGGGATCTTGTCTTTTGTGGATCTCCTTTGACAGTTAATATTTCCATCGTAATACAAGAGCTGATGATCGTTACTCGTGTTCGAGAAATGACTTAAAAACGACTCTTCCATCTTAGGAAAAGTAGAAAGATACAGAAAGGAGCTCAGTATAGCGTCTGCCAAGAAGTATTTTAAAGCAAGCGAACACTTCTTCTCTAGAGTGTAGACTGTTTGAACCATTAGATCATCGCTCAATGTGTACAATGCATGCATGACAGAGTGCTACGGTCATGATTCAGTTCATAAAAACTTCCATCAACTATCTCCATCCTCTCCAAAGCGATCAAAACTTCGAGGTAATCACGGTCTATCTTTACCACAGGACAAATCAAAGTAAAATGATATTCCAGCGATCCTTATATTTCCAAAAGCCGCAAAATCGTGTTCGTATTGCTTCATTGAGGCATGGAAAATCATGATCACGAATAACAAGCGTAAAGATTTCACCTGTCACGACCTGTTGATCTTGTTAAAATGTTCACTCAGGATTTACACAACGACAGGTTGTTCAATAGCATCATTTGGATTAATGATTTAGCTTCAGGAAATATTCACTTCCCAATATCTCTTTAAAACATCAAGGCTTCATTGATATTCCAAGATTGATGTCATAACTTCTTGCTCTGAGAATATCTTGTGTTGCATGGATGTTGACATGACAGATAATCATGAGATATATTTAAAACGTCCATATATTTTGTTGTTCATCATAACAATGGTTCAGTTCCGTTCCAATCGATAACCGCATCTTTCCATCTGAAACAAAATATCCTGATGAAAACAATGCAACAGTTCAACTTCTATCCTGTTGCTTCCAAGAGTTGTCAATCTATTTCTGATATAAGTAGCCATCATATAGGGATTTTATGGAATGCGTTCATAGAGTATTTCGCAACTCAAAACTTACTTGGTTCTTATGCAGTGTTCCAGAGGTGGAATTAGATCATCGTCTGTTGCTTCTTTCACATTTTTTTCACATAAATCTAAGAGACAGAACATTAGTTCTACCATACCATGATTAAGTAAATTTTCAAGAATTCTTGTTCGTCAAATCTCACCAATAGTTAAACGTATTTCTTCCGTCTGTCCAGCTAAACCATCATAATAGTAAAGATCAAATTTCTTAACAGACCTCCTAAATTATATTAAAAAAAACCCTTTTTATCATCGCAGCTTACAAATAGGTTCGCCTCCAAACTACAGTAATTTTCATACAGCAATTAAATCACGACAGACCATCAAACATGTTTTAAGGTTACAAATCCACTTAACAAAGAAGAACAGGCTATACTCTTTATATGGACCTTTAATGGTTGATAGTTTATTCAATTACCTTTTATTAACAAGATTTCTTTTTGTTGAAAATATGACGCTAAAGTGGCTCTCACTGCAGACAACCCAGATAGGATATTTTGGATTCTTCAAGTTTGAACCAACCTATTAACAAATGATTTAATATCAAGGGTAGTAACACACTGTGTCAGGTGTAAAAGAAAATCTTACCAAACAAGACTTATAATGTTCAAACAATGACAATAGTCCAATATCACTTTGTTTATCTATGCCTTTCAGGATGTTCTGCAAAAGAAGAAACAATTCAAAGAAATGAAAGAATATATTCCTGGGCTGGAGTGAGGTAAAAATCCAACCTTTTTATCTCCTCCAGTGTCAAGTTGAATAACGTCATCAAATGTGTTAGAAATTGCTTTTCCAGTAAGAAGCAGGTTGACCATATCCTATGAAATGAGACACAAATAAATATATCATGAATAAATACCAATAAATTATACGAATTGATTGGTTATATACCTGGGTACAATATCCATGAGCACCCATCAATGTTCCATTTTCATCATCCATATCTTCCTTTACCCTTTAACAAGATTATATAGTATATTTCATAATATCAGTTAAGAATAATAATTAATCTTATTGATCTTAATCTTACCTCTTTACACTTCTTGACAAGATCACAGAGTATAAGAGCAGAATACACCCACCATCTTTACTGGAAAACTGAAGTGGACAATGCTCTTGTTAATAAAACAATTAATTATTTACTAGTATTTCAAGCAATAAAATCCATTCTTGCCTGTTTTAAATTTTCTTTTATGAACATTTCCAACTCCTCAAATTCTTTGGTTTCAAAGATGATGAGCTAGAGAAAGAAAATTAAGAAGAAATATTACCATCTCACCTAATTGAATAGCTGAAGCTACTAACAGGTCAATGAAGTAATAATTTTTAGTTATAATTAACTATTTCAGCACCTTTTCAGTGAGTCTGTCAGCTTTGTATGTTCCACTTGGTAAAAAGTGATCCTTTTCAGAATGTCTAAAGATTGTGTTAAGATATATTAATGCCACCTACTAAATTAACCAGTTCTGTGGGTTCTGACCTATTATAAAAGATCTTACAAGCAGACTACAGCGGTCTTGTAACTGCCAGCTCTCCAAAGTATTTCTACCAAAGCTGAACACAAACCATTCTGTACTTCTTCAGATGGAAAATATAAATTTCTATGGAAATGCAGAAAGATGGAAAAAAATTACTTTACGAATCATATTTATTGTACGTATTCTGTAAGATGTCCTATTTATTCAGAATTTGAATCGGAAAAATTCAACTGGTCTGATTTTTTATGAACATACAAATGTTTGACGTACTTGTTATCAGAAGACAAATTGTCAGGGAACAATAAATGTTTTAAAACAACAGCTTGAACAGATGCCAGTAAACCACAGGGGCCACCCTAGTGACATAAACACTTAATTGTTTAAAATGAATAAAGAGGAACTGAGAAGACAATTTTTCCAAACCTTGTGTTGCACAATTCCATATTTTAAATGTTCTAAATGGCAAAATGAAAATCCTTGATTTCTCCACTCAGTGTTAAAACTGCTGCTTGATGAACCAAACACAATTGTCTTTAAATCCTGGGAAAAGTCAAGAGTTTGTACAAACGATTTGAGAGTATATTTAACATGATATTTTATAGACATGACCTTCAAGTAATGGATATATGAATAAAACTGCTTTCAAGATTTAGAAAGACTCGCATCTTTACCTTGGCTTGTTGTAATGTTACAGGATGACACTGGACTATAGACATTGTTGATTTATGAAAGCTAGTATCTACAAGTGTGAAGGGAAAAAATATATAAAAAGAGTGAAATATATCAGTGCAGATGCTAATACCTAATGCTTACTAAAGTGAAGGCCATCTAATTCATCAATTTCATCAACATCTTCACATATGAGATCATCCTGCATTATAAAAAATCCAACAAGAGTAAATTTAGTTTGTTTTAAATATAATAAGTCATACATTTTTACTAACATTCTTTGTGGTTTTCAAGTTAGGAGAGAATGTATTCTTTCTGTAAATCAAGAGAATCAATGAGAGTTATAACATGAGATAATATTCAATAACATTCACACATTGTATTATTCACCTTGTTTCTTTCATTATGGCTTTCTTCCAACTAGGTTCTTCTTCACCTGATTCTTTCTAAATCAATAAAAATATAAACCTGCTCAAACTTTGATTAAATCCATGGGTCAAATTAACAAAGTATAAAATACTTGCCCTGTTCATTGTTTGAAGTGTCTCCACATTTTCAACATTTCTTCCTCTTTGAACATATGAACTCTGTTTAAAATCATCTAACAAATTCTTTTCAAAATTCCCACTAGACTTATCATAATTTATTAAGTTGGCAGCTTGATTGTCTTTCAATTCTTCCACAAAATATTTTGGTTTTATTCTTTTGTTCCCATCCTTCCTTGTATCACGAAGGCCTGTGCTTCTTACACTTCCAGGAGCATCACATTTCAACATGGTTTTCTTTGCATTTGCATTTTTAATTGTGGAAGTGTTATTTAACAAGACACCCATTTTTACACTAGGTTCTTGACTGAATATGTTTGTAACATCACTTTTTTCCCCAGACAATCCCTCCGTAGTTGCTGTTCTGGTCTTAACAGGGGTAAGGTTGGTTCCATCACCTAAAAAACAATCCTCAGGTTTTATTCTGTTTGAGAAGAAATTGTCTTCACCATCATGAAGATTACATTGATTGTCATGTCTCAATATTCTTTTATGTCTGTCTGTTATACTTAATGCTAAATCTTTTCCAGATGAAGTTCTATTTCCATCAGTTTCCATCAAGTTTTGACCTTCTCTACATTTAGGGGGATATTCAGATTTCCAGATTTCTTTTGATTTGCCACTTTCATGTTTTACCATATTATTTTCTGTCTTGTTTTGTTTGGCTTTGCAAGGAGGTACTGTGTTATGTTTTCCATTAGTTCTAAAAGTGCTACAAAAATTACAATGAGCCAGTTAGCTTATAGTTCTTAACTTGATCTAACATAAAAAAATACTCATTAGCCTAAGAAACTGCAGCTACATAATTCAAGAACTGAAATATCTACTGCAAATGAAATAAAACTTTGTTAACACTTACGTCATTACGAAATTAAGTCATGGCTTTAGATTTCTAGCACTGATTAAGATATTGCATCTTAAAATTTTTCGTCCTACCTTGGAGAAGAAGGCTTTGAAAAGCTATCAAACTTTTGCTGCCAAGATTTTGAGATCATAAAATGAATAATAACTTCAAGCATAGTTCGATAATTATTCTCACTTTCTTTGTTTTTCTTCATCAATGTATTGATATGAAGTTCTTTAGCAAGTTGTGCACGATTGTTGATGCTAAAAATGAGTAATTTTAAAATAGTTGTCCATTTTAGGCAGTTGTTACACTCATTCATGCATGATGCAAAGTTATTAGAAAATTCTGCCATTTGGTGTCTTTGGTGCCATTGGTACTTGCTACTTTGCTAGGCTAGTAGAGAGTAACCGGCTGGAATGATCAATTGCAAGCTGCAAGTGCATTTGTATTTTGATGCAAGGTGTAAGGTCTTAGCTGCAAGCACAAGCAAGTTTTTCAACTGCGGCAATATATTATTTTTATAGCATCTTTTAACATACCAATTTTGAGTTCTAGGTAATTCTCTGTCTAACATAGCCAAAGTTTCTTTTAAACCCTGCAATGATCATTGTGTTAAATTGTACAGTAAGTTAGTAAAACAAAAGATCGGCAACATTTGAAGATCAACAATAAAAGCACGCGCGTCATACAACGCAATACAACGCAATACAACAAAACAAACCTATTGATAAACAAGTTTACCTTTCTACTTAGATATTCTCTGACAACAGAAGAGGAGACAGCCTCGACATTGGCCATTCAACTCTAACAAACGTTCAAAAAAACGTACTGAACATTTCAAAAACAAAAACTAGCGACGAAAAACCTGAAAATTTTCATTATAAAAAGGCGGCCATATTAGTTTTTACATACCAAATATGATGCAATATGATACAGTATGATACGGTATGATATAGTATGATACAGAATGATATAGTATGATACAGTATGATATAGTATGATACAGTATGATACGGTATGATATAGAATGATACAATATGATACAGTATGATACAGTATGATACGGTATGATACAATATGATACAGTATGATACAGTATGATATAGTATGATACAGTATGATATAGTATGATACAGTATGATATGGTGTGATATAGTATGATACAGTATGATACAGTATGATACAGTATGATACAGTATGATACAGTATGATATAGTATGATACGGTATGATACAGTATGATACGGTATGATATAGTAGGATATACTATGATACAGTATGATACAGTATGATATAGTATGATACAGTATGATATAGTATGATACGGTATGATATAGTATGATACAGTATGATACGGTATGATATAGTATGATATAGTTTGATACAGTATGATATAGTAGGATACAGTATGATACGGTGTGATATAGCATGATGCAATATGATACAATATGATACAGTATGATATAGTATGATACGGTATGATATAGTACGATACAGTATGATACGGTTTGATATAGTATGATATAGTATGATACAGTATGATATAGTAGGATACAGTATGATACAGTATGAGATAGTATGATGCAATATGATACAAAATGATACAGTATGATACAGTATGATACGGTGTGATATAGTATGATGCAATATGATACAATATGATACAGTATGATATAGTATGATACGGTATGATATAGTATGATACAGTATGATACGGTATGATATAGTATGATATAGTATGATACGGTATGATATAGTATGATACAGTGTGATATAGTATGATGCAATATGATATGATCAAATGATTCTACCCGACTCCACTGAGTAAACAAATCCCAAAGCAAATTTCACTAACTGAAAACTTTAATACTAAAGATGAAGAAAATCGTCACCTTCGTAACCTTACTAGTTGCTCACAATATCTCAAATGCTCAAAATTCTGCTGATTTTCTTAATGTAGAAACGTTTGCACAAGTCATTCAACCACAATTTGTACTTTTTTACGCTCCGTGGTAAGTTTTCAATATTCTGCTGTTGTTTGTACTTTAAATGTGCAACTGCAGATGTAAACATTTGTTATTATTTTGCAGGTGTAGTCACTGTAAACAACTGCTTCCAACGTGGAATGAACTTGCAGATAAATCACGCAATCAAAATAAATGGAATAAAATGAAGATAAGCAAAGTACATGAAGTCTAATCATTGCTAATCATGATTTCAATGAATAAAATTAGTCATTCTTTACTTGGGTTGCAGGTAAATTGCATCGAAGAAACAGCATTCTGCTCTGATCAAAATATTGTGGCATATCCAACGTTAGTTTTGGCAGTAATTAGTACATTAGTGATTATATTTATCTGAATAGGTTTTTTATTAAAACTATTATTATACATTAAACTTTTCAAAACAGAATGAAATTGTTTCACAAAGGAGACATGAGAAGATATGATGGCAGGCGAAGCCTTGGACAACTTGAAATATTTATCGACAATGTTTTAAATAATGTAATTATTGTAATTTCCAGAGACACTTGAATAGACCTACGAATGTAATGTGTTCAATAAATTGATACTCCAATTTGGAATTTTTAGAAAATCAATATCCTGGAAGAAGAAGGTTTATTGACACTGACAAATGAAAATTTTGATGTTCACATAAAGCAAGGAGATGGTCTTCATTTTGTTGATTTCTATGCTCCTTGGTAATTGCATTCATGCATGAAATAGACCAATTGTTAATGCAATCAATCACCTTTGCTAAATATTTAGACGTTTTTGTTTGTTTCTAATCCTATTGTTTATGTATCCTAGGTGTATTCATTGTAAACAATTTGAACCAACATGGAAAGCCATTGCTAAACATTATCAAAATAATCCTGACATTACCATTGGAAAAGTGAGTGAAACCTGAAAAGTGAGAATTTTTTATTTGGACAAAACAGTTAGTTTGACAGTTGTTTAGAGTATAATTTGATAATGCACTTGTTAGGTGGACTGTACAATTGAAACGTCAAAATGCAGAAAATGGGGAGTTGATAGTTTCCCGACTTTAACAATGTTTCAAGATGGAAAAAAGGTAATGCGCACAAGCAGAATGAATGATTAATTTGTGAGAATGTTCGCATTTAATTTTATGCATAAATGATTAATTAGTTGGATACATACAAAGGGAGCAGAGATATTGAAGCAGTGAAAAGCTACATCAACAACATGCTATATCAACATAATATCAAAGACAACATGAAAGAATCTGTGGAGACACCATCTGCCCTTAATACAGAAGAAGATGTCTACCTTCAGTCAGACGATCAAGATGCTATTGTATGACATAATTATATGTAGTTAAGATTTTTATTCAACCAGCCCCAGGAAGATATAATAGTTTATTTCTGTTTCAGAACTCCAACCCTGTTGTTCAAGTCATAGACAGGACCTTTGATATGCTTGTTAACCAAGAGACAGTTTTTATTAATTTTTATGTTCCATGGTATATAAAGCTTGTTTATTATATAATGCTTATTTATTATATAATGCTTATTTATTATGTAATGATTAGTTATTCTAAAATCTGTCGGTGCAATGTCCTAGATATAAATACCAAACTGAATTATCCATGTCTATATCTTAGGTCAAAAGAGTCTAAAGCACTCCAGGAAATCTGGAATAATTTAGGAATGCTTTCTCAAAGAGAAGCTTTGGCCACCATAGCTCAGGTGACTTGTTTCTCTACGCTTGTTTGTCCACATGCATTTTGCTGGGTCTTTTTGAAAACAATGATTGTAACTACAGTATAAATATCTTAGGATTACATGTTTAATTGTATACGACATTAGGATCAATAGTGTAACATATATTACATCAATCCAGAAATGTACATCCACTCATACTAAATGTCTCTTTAGATTGACTGCTCAAAATTTTCTGAAGTCTGTAAGAAGCAACAAGTATGATTATCTTTGCACATTTATAGAAACAATTGCAGTCAGAAGTATACTATACTCTTACCTATAATAATTTCTAGATCAAGAATTGCCCGAAAATAGAATAATTATATTTTTTATTCCTTACATTGTTCTAGATCTCACAATATCCAACTCTGATCCTGTTTAAAGATGGCAATAAACATTACTACGATGAAGAGAAAACTTTAAATTCCTTGTACAACTTTGTCAAACAATACATGCATGATGAATTATGAATTGTATTTATCTGTACACGAGACATCATAAGAGGTGTTGATATTTAAGGTGAATACACATATTTATATATTAGATAGCCTTCCCAGACAGAGCAATATTTGCATTGGAGTGGAGGTAATAGTTACATAAAATATATTTTGCACCTTGGTACTTTTTGTCTCTCACATCTCTTGCGAGTGAATAATGACATTCAGATACATACATATACTATTACCAAGTCTAGTATTTATGATCGTCTTTCCACCAGCTGTTGCAAAATGTTCATATATTCATCTCAACATAGCATGATCAATAATAAACACTGGTGATCCGCCTTCCATATGACCTCAACTTGCCTGTTGTAATTATACCCTGAGTGTTCTTATCTGAGTGCCTGCAGTGCAGTGAAGTGATGTCATTCATGTTTCCCTTTCAGAACTGACATCTTCTCTTGAATGAAGACATCTTCTCTTGAATGAAGACTTCTTCTCTTGAATGAAGACTTCTTCTCTTGAATGAAGACTTCTTCTCTTGAATGAAGACTACTTCTCACACTTATGCTGAACTTGTTCTCCCAAACTACTCTTTGTTTGCCCTCTCCTGTATTTTTTTTGTTGCTATATCAATCTTTAATTTAAGTCTATTTTCAAAGTCGTAACTGCTGTATGTATCCTGCAGAAAATAAAAGTGAATTGCTTTGAATGCTCATGCAAGATAGCTGGGTACAGACTAATGAACATATTATCTCATATTGCACGTACTCCTAAATTGAAAGATTTAAACATACCTTGGCTTTTCTCAGAAATTCCAATCCTTTATCAAACTAAGGAAATGAGAGTAAAAAGTAAATATATAACCTGATCATTAATGCCATAGACATAATACAATCAGATTATAATGGATAACATATGCTATCACCTTCATAGTCATACCTGTGAAAGTTGGGCAGAAATTAATCCCAACTCAAAAGAAGCAAATGGTGAGATATGTTTATCACCAACAAGAGTTACATTCGCATTCACCGCTTCTTTATAAAACTAAAATACATTTCAAAGTTAATTACTGTATGTATTATGAATGAAAAATATATAATGATTATTCTTCGATATATAGTTTAAATGTGGGGAACTTGTTTTTAGTTACCTCAATAGCCTCAGATAATCTTTCAAGACGACGCATGATATATGCAGTAAGAAATAACTTCAAAGCAACAAATCTATCATCCACCGGTTTCTCCAAGCCTTTAAAATAAGAGGGGGTTTAAAATGCGACGATAAGAATTGGACAAGATCAAACAGTTACATCAAAAATTGTTTTAGGCTTTGTGTGAATATAAATTGATGCAACCATACCTTCTAATAAGCAAGATAGAGTTGCCAAGCTACATGTTGGCAAACATTCCCATAAATAAATAATTTCAAGCAACAGAACTAAACTTTCAGTATTGTTTGGTGGGGTTTGGATGCAAGAGGAAGCCTGGAAGTAGAGAATTATCATTAAAGAAAAAAAAGATCAATTGATGACTGATGAGCATCTTTGCAAAATTGCATTGATCAGTTATTTTTTTGACAAACCTTTCTAATCAGGAAAACGGATAAAGGAGTTTTTCGCTTGACAAGTGAAGGTACATATCTTAAGTATATTACAGCTTCACTTGTGTTGCCCTGCACGCCATGAAGAACTGTAAAAAAATTGGAGATTAATATCCTAGCTTGAACAAAATGAAGCATTGCATCACCCTAGCTCAAACACCACACAATATTAACAATCTGTTGGAATGTTTGACATATACCTCCAATTAAATAAACATAAAAACATTGTGACCAAATGGCTGCATCTTTTACTCTAAAATTTCAATAAAAAATAACACTTCAAAGGTTGTCACAAAATAATACAAAATGCAATTCTTGTGAAATACCTGATAAATGCCTCTATAGCAAGATCCCATCTCATTTCAAGTAAATGACACCATCCTTGGGAAAAATATAGAAACTTACTCACACTATCCCTATTTAGAAACCTACCCTAACAATGCTTTAGTACCTATTTCATAATCACAGAAAACCATCATTTCTTTATGGGCCAAAGGTTTCTCCAAAGCCATGCTCAGTGACCTTGTAGCTTCACTGAAATTACCCTGCAGTGAAAAAGGAGAAATAATATCTTTGTAACTACATAATATTGTTAAGATGTGTTACAAATATATTGTAGACATCACATGTTGTACCTAGCCATAGAAAAAATGTTCAAAAGTTTGAAAGATTTCTCACCTTACAACGAAATATTAATCCTTCAAAATACAAAGCAACTGGTGATAACAATAAATGTTCCTGTAGTCCTTGTAAAAGTTGTGAAGCTTCCTTTAAACCTAAGATTGAATGGAGGTATGTGTTACAAACTCATGAACATATTCATAGCCATAATATCATTAAATTACTGATCAATCAATCAAATCACAAAATTACCACATTTAACATCATTATCATCAAAAGAATACATTGGTCTGACAATAGCATGATACCACAAAAGACCAAGTCTAGATAATTATTTATTAATTGATAAAATCAAGTGCTCAGTTAATGTTAAGAAACATTTTTTACTGTTATTATTATATTGAATAAGGATCACCTTGATAACTCAGCTTTGACATTCTGACTTTGACAAACATATTTTAAACAAACCAGACCTAGTCCTTGATTACCATGGAAACCAAGCATCTGAGCCAGTTGTAATACTTTAGGAGGAGTCAATGAGACAACCAGATTAAATAAACCATACCCAAATGCAATGGCTGCTTGTACCTCATACAATGCTTGTGAGTTAACAATTTCACTTGAATTGCCATTAGAAGAATTGCATGTTTTTGTCTCTTCAGCAGTAGTTGAAAATGATTCACTTTGTGACAATGCTTCATTTTGATTATTTGATTCTGCAGAGACCTTCAAAAAAGACCCACCAATCTTTATTATTTTTTCGTAGCTTTTCTTATATTGTTTCCACGATTTTCGTATTAAAAAGGCCCCCTTGACATAGTCTTTCAAACCTAAACGGATAATGAAAAATGATGAATTTGCAGCCTACAACTCATGAAAGTTAATATTTTCAATCACTTTGTCTCTTTACCTTGTTTCAAGATGGTCAGAATAGCCATATAGAGCTCAGTATCTGTGCAGAATATTTCATTCATCAATAATCTCAAATCATCCGAACTACATTTCTCCTTTCTTAAATGATTTGATTGCATAGTACAATATCTTTGAGTCTCTTTTAAACTGTCAATTGTTTCATTTATGTGAGCTTCGTCCAAACTCAATAATGAACTCTAAAACATAGTTATAGTGATCAACATTTATCATAACAACCAACCTTTCTATCTAATAATCTGGGAAATATCAATAAAATAATCAATTTAATAATATCTATTCAATAATGGATTCTGATATAATTAATATATGATGAGTTAACAAACTCTGCCACAAAGCAGGTTGGTAGAATAATTGAATAGAGTGGTTTTCACTAGAGCATCAACTTACTAAGAATTCAATAAAACTTGACGCAGAATGCAACAAAGAACTTTTACTTCTGAAAAAGAATTATGACAAAAAATATAAAAATCAACACTCGTAACAAACTACACAAGTTTGATAATAACTAATAAATGAAATCTACTTCCAAAGATGCAGTATTTAGTAACAACTATTCTTTATAAATACCTTTTATCAACGAGGTACTTCCTGGCAGTCAGACATCCTTTGTTTAGTAATATTTCAACACTACACCGTACCATTAAATAATCTTCTTCATCAAACATGGATTCCATAGTAAATATATTCTATTTTGATGTTTTTAATCGCAAAATTTGCAGTAACTATCAAGAACATAAGAAAAATATCAACATTTAAACACACACGTAGTAAATATTTGTTTACCTCACATCAGCGGTTCTCCTCATGAGACTGCTGGCTCAAATAACTGAGCTGCAATATCATTCGGTAACTGGATTAAGAGATTTTGAAGAAGTTGGAACTGCTACCAGGATTGAAAATGATGAATTTTGAGACGTTTTCTCGCTGTAGCTGTTTAATTATCTCGAGCTTTCGCGTACCAGACTGCAGCCTTCCAACGGAGCTGTTTAAACGGCCTGCTGAAGTCTGACGTTGCAACCAGATAACGTCTCAAAATTCATTTCAGACTATTAGCGGAATGAAACGCAAACTCCTTTACAAAGTATTCGTAACCAAACGAGTACGGAATGCACCGCGATTTGAACGAAGAAACTGACAGTCGTAAAGGAAAATGAACGCCAAAATGTTTGGACATAATAGTCCAATTAAACAACGCAATATTCCTGTCCAAAATTCTTTTATGTTAAATGGACACTTCTTTAGAACTTGTAGATACCAACACCTTGCTGCTGGATAAGATTTCGATGACCACGTGGTATTCGTTCGGGCTGGGGGTATCTTGGGTGAAACATTGGTGGATTAGGGCCATGGCTAGGATATATTTGTGGTAGCAATGGGGGTAAAAGGTGGGTATTAAAATACCTTTGAGGTATTCTATGTTGATTACAAGGAGGATTTGGATGTACATCTCCCAGTCGATATATTTGTTGGACTTCTTTAGGGGAAGGAATGTTGTAACAATCCGTGTCTTCTTCTCGGAGTATTTCTTCACAAGGTGGTGAAAGAAGACTATGAAATACTCTAGTAGGGCTTTCACACTCACGAACATTCAATATGTCGTATTGAGAATCTGTGAGAAACGATGAATTGGAAGACGAGCGGGAACCAGATAGACTGTCTGTAGTTTGCAGAGAACAATCAGTGTTTGTTTCTTTATCCACCATTACTACACGTTCAATCATTTCAAAGTTATGTGCAACCTGAACAGCGCAGTCAGTTTGTTGCTTTTCATCAACAAATCTTTTATTGTTATTCTCCCAAGGAAGATTCAACATCGTTTGTTGAAAAGTATCTACGGTTTTTGTTACCGGACTTGCGCATGTCTTTATCTTCTGAACATAAGAAGATATGGAATCGTCCGACGAAGGTGAACTTTGATTTTTGGATACATTGGCCACGCTACTTTTCATTTCATTTTTAACCACACTCTCTGATTCATTCGTGTTTACGAGAACATCGCTTTCTACAGAAGATGAAATAATTACATCACTGAGACTGACGCAGTTGTCAACATCCGAACGAGTTTTTTCGTTAACCTTAACTTCGTTCTTATCAGAAATTTGCGCTCCTTGTTCCTCATTTGTTTCAGTCCCAAAAGGATTATCTTCCAAGCAGTATTTAACACCATCCTTCGTATCTGAGCAGCCCAAGGCATCCTCGGATGGTTCAACAGGAACATAAATAGGCAGGTCACCAACAAATATTTCAAGCCTTGGCCACATTTTTTGCTTTTCGTCTGTCGACTTACGATTAACAAAGACAACTGGTTCACGGCTTCGATTAGTATTTCTTACGAACTTTTCCTTTTTCTGCCGTTTCTCATTTAGATTAGTAACCGTAGGTATTGTTACATCTTGCGTATCTTCATGAAACTGTTTAGTCAGACTCTCTTTACTTCCATAACTTGCTGTTGTTTCTTCGTTTCTCTCTTGTATTATTGTAATCATTGCTTCTTCTTGTTCAGGTGTAGCGTGCTTAAACATTTCGCTCTCCTTGGTTGCATCAGTTTCTTCTGCTATCTTTTCAGTCGCATCACAACCTTTCTTCACTGTTCGCTGTTTGCTTTTTCCTAAAGTTTTTGACACAGAAGATTCAAGTTTATTGCCACTCGATTCTAGTGACTTATTCTTCAACACAGCTTGTTTCACGGCAGATTTTTGTTTTAAAACAACATCTTTTCTCTGTGAAGAGGAAATCGTATGTCGTGAATCTTTAGCGCTCTTCTTCTTGCCATCATTTGATGTAAACAACGCTTGCTTACGTTCGTCATATTTCTTATTGTTTCTGGAATCTCTTCTCGTTTTCCCTAGGAATTTTCTAGAATGATTCTTATAGTTCGTCTCATAATTTTCAGACGTTTTTTTGGAATTTCCTTTCTGGTCGAGAAACTGCGAATCGTTGGAACTTGCAAGATCATTGTTGAAGATTTTCTCGTTTGGACGCACTGGCATCTTACTTCTCTGCTTAGAAACATTTTTGGAAGATTTGATGGGTTTTGATGGTGACACAAAGTCATCTATGGTTAGACTGAGTGGTACTTCTGGTTTTGGCACAGTGAAGGTAAAAGAACGATTTTCATCCAGTTCATCCTCCCAGCATTCAATGCTCTGATTGCTTTGAGAAATTGTTGTTACATTTGTCAATGGATGAACATTCGGTGCTGGTTTTCGTTTTAATTCCTCTTCAGCCAACAGTTGATCGACATTTTTAAGACTGTAATCAAGTTCTTCACTATCTGTTACAGCTGATTCAGGAAGGTCACAATAAGGTTCAGTACCTTGGTTCTTCAGCCCCATGCCTCCAAATTGACATGCAAAGTACTTAGCTGTTTTTCGATCGATTCCACGATTCTGAAGGACAGCGTAAAAATCCATATAGGAGCAACAGTTTTCAAAAATTGATTGTAGAGTGTCATAGGTTAATTGAAGTTGAAAAAGTTTCTTTGAATACACATTTCTTGTGAAAGCGTCAAGCTTTGCCATTTTTTCTTAATGATCGAAAGAAAAAACCCAAATTTAATCAAACACACTAAATGTGACTCTTGCAGCAATAGGTTTGAGACTTGTGCAACTTTTGCAGCAACAAGTTTGGCAAATTTACCTTCAAGAATAATTCTTTGTTCCTTTTGATTATTTTGTATTGCATACCATTCCCATCTAAAAAGAAATATTCATGACTTAACAAAAGCATTGCAATTAATTAAATACCACTATCCAATATCACAAATGCCTGCTAATTAATAAACAGGCTCAAATTAGTTAGTGCATAGCAATATCAATTAAATACTGGTAGCAACATATGAATTTAATTGAAGTGTAAATTTTACTTACAGTGACTTTGCTGTTGTATGTTTAATATTACTGATGGCACTTTTAAATGGCGGCTTTGAGAAAATCTCCACCATTGCATTCACATCTCCCATAGCACGATGTCTATCTACATTAATCACAAGCAGTTTTCTTTGAAAACAGAAGTGAGCAACATTGGAATAAAAAAATTATAATAAAAGCACCTACTTTGAAATTCCTTTCCTGGAGCAAATGCTGAGAATAGTGAGTCCATTGATAACCGAATTCCTTGCAGCTCTGGAACATGATCGTCTCCTTGTAACTTGAATAATAAAAGACCTAATTACAGCTGTGTACCGAATTACAAATGTGGCAAGACTCACAACTACTCTGATTATAACTTATTCAAGATTGAATCAATCTTTTAACATACCTGTTTACAAAATAGAAAGGTATCAGCAAAGTGTAAGTTTTTATTCTTCAACACTTCTTCTTTAACCTGGTATCTTCTCATATTACTCAGTAGTATTGGATAATCAAAGCCATATCCACCGTGAGCACACAATACTGAAACAGAATGTTCATAATTATTGTTGGCTGCATGGCTTTCATCTTTACAAAAGTTTACAATAGATAATACCTGGAAAATGTTTCTTGTCAAATTTCTGGTTTACCCTCAACACAAGTTTTTCAATCCATTTTAAAAACTTTTTAAAAACAATTGGAAATGCTGGCTTTCCTTTCAGATCTGACTCTTTGATACCACATCTTTCAATAGCTGCATATATATAAGTATATACATTAATGAATGAAAAACAATCAATGAGTTAACAAATCTAGGTAGATATTTAGAATGACATATAGTTTTTTAAAAAAACTCAATATATTTCAAAGGTACATATCAGTGGATTTAGATTCAAAATGTCTGGAGGAGTATATAAAAGATATTAGCGGATTTAGTATGGTTGGAGCTGGCCAGGCAGAGATGGGAGTCATTGACACCCACACTTTTCTACTCAGCATTTTTTATTATAGGTAGTTGGTTTGAAATTTTAACCAAAGGGGTGACAGTGGGTCACCAATGACCTTTACACTGTTAAACTATTGTTAGGGGATAGGGATGAAAATCGTGAATATTATGAAATATTACAAGATTAATAGATATTTGGTGAATTAATAAAATATAGTATTATAAAAATGCAAACTTACTAAATTTTCCCAAATCTTGCGAGGTAGAAATTAAACTTTCAAAATTTGCACTCAGTACTTCAGGAGAAGACCTCGCAGCAATCTCGATAATATCTGCCTTTAAATGCTCGCTACTAGAGCATTCACAGTCGTAAAATATCAAAAATGGTGTTTCATCGGAGTTTAATTCATTCAAACCTGCCATTTTCAGAAGGTTATATTCTTAATAGTATGGTATGTTATGTTTACACGTGCAGTTGGTGAGTGGTGGACCCCGGGGTGGACTTTGTACACTTTGTACTATCTCTATTTTCCATCTGTCCTAAACAAAATTCATTTCGTAATGGAAAAATACCTATCTATGCATGCCTTTGACACAATGTAATTCGACATTTTGCGAGAAATATATTCATCCAAATTACAGTAAAGGTGACTTTGGGGAGAAATTAGCAAAGAACTAGCTAAAAACATTGAAAAAATATCTTTCGATCATCGATATGTCAAAAATATAGCGGGTGAAATAAAATTATATGTCAATAATTAGGTGGAAGCGTCGCTAACTTAAAAGGAAAATAGAAGCTTCGTACACTAGTCGTGTCCCATTCGTGTTCGCTCGTCTTCGTCGTGTGTGGTTTTTTCGCGCCAAAATTAAGGCTATCTTTAAAAGGGGGAACGGGGAATCAGGGAATGGGGGAATCGGGAAATCGCCCTAAAAAATGTGATATTTCATTATTATTATTAACTACTTTTTTACAAACAATAGCCTTTCAGCTTATTAATTCGGCTGCTTTTAAATAAGTTGTTTTCTAACAAAATAATACTATGACTAATACCCACGCTTTTCTTTTTGTGATCTTGCTCCTTCCGTCTCCACACAGAGCAGAGGGTTATTCGTGAGGTTATTTGTGAAGTAAAATAAAGTTACATTCCTTTACGTTTAGGGCATCCAGCCTCGACGTCGATCAAGGTAAATAAACTGTTGATGACATTGATTATATTGCACGATTTGTTTTAAATAATACAAAAAAAATAAAGGCCGACAAATAGACATATTTCGATTGTTAAATCTGATCCACAAATTGTATAAAGCTTATGTTCTCAAGAAGCGATTCTCTAGGCTAATTTTTTCCCTATGCTCTTGGGCTGTTCATAGTAGCTAGAACCGTTATTAAGAATGCTGAAAGTACCAGCCTTGGGAAACTTCGTGTTTGACTGAACACTTCAATAAAGGTTTCATCCTTTCTTTCATTTACAGATCCCCCAAACACGACTCCGACTACCCTTCCAGTTAACCTCCGATCCATCGCCACATGAAAGCTTGGTAATAATATGTTACAGAAAAAGAGGGCCCTGGTAAAAAAGGGGCCGAAAAAATGGTTATTTAACAAAGATTTTTGAAGTGTATGCTGAACCGTATGAAGACACATATGATTAATATATAAATATGATTAATAATTCATTTTAAATTATCATTTGATGCATTGTATTGCCGGCCGTTTTCTCCATGTTATGCAACTATACAGTGCGTGGGTATAATTTAATACGAGCATATTTTTGAACATATTTGAGTGCGCGTGATCTTCTTCATTTCTGACGTATTGTAATTGCAAGAATCTTACTAGGTGTGAAATGTTCTTACACATTTTATTCACACTATTTTACTTCTCGAACCTTTGTGAAAATGTTTCGTGGAGTCCTTGTCCCCCAATTCGCTCTACGTTTAAAGATTTCCAGATGGATTACCAGGGTAGGATTCGTGCTAACTGTGTCTGTAGGAATGGATTGTTTGGTGATCAGTGTCAATTCAAATGTAAGATTGTTGCATATTCTTTACCTGACTCGTTAGTGTAACTTTTATAGCTATATCTTTCAATTTCTACAGTGTACGTTCCTTTTAATGAGACACACAATTACGATCAACCAGGTATTCGTAAAGATTATAATGCCAGCTAAATTTTACAGTCGTTCTTGAAACTATTAATTGTCATCTAAACTTTTCTTTTAGTAAAGAACATCTATCCTATTGACCAGCTCAATCTTACACATTCCAATGACAGACGGATATTGATATCTTGGAGGCAAATTCACATGTTGGATGTTCAATATTTTCTTATTCAACTTCGTGATCTCCAAAGAGGCATGAACCATCCTTGGCGAACGATCGCCTATATCACAAAGCAATATTTTGTACATAAAGACGTCATCTCGTTTCAATTTCGTCGATTTCACAATTTGACGATGTACGAGTTGAACCTTGGCTTAGTTAGCAATGATCAGGTCATTTTTTCCCTCTCACTCATTCAGGATACATGGAGCATGGAGTCATTTCAAGGTTATATAGTCTATACATTTCAATCAAATTATCACATAAATATTGAATTTATAACATATGCGAGCCTGGCTTTTTAGATATCTCGTTACATGACATCATGTTCTCAGCAAGTATCACCTGGACTTCGTGGAGTAAATGGGGAAAATGTGAAACACAACATGATTGTGGCAAAGGTGAACAACGACGTAAAAGAATCCTGGTGAACAATGATTGCGTACGAAACAAAACTGAAGAAACAAGACCTTGTAAATTAAAAAGTTGTCCAGGTATTTCTCATTGACCATGCAATATTCATACTGATTTCATGGCATGCAAGTGAGTCCACACTCCACACATGGTCTACAATACCTCTTCATTTCCATATAGGTCCTCATAAAAACATAATTTGTACTTGTGAAAATATTATCAATATTTTATGTCTTAAATAATAGCCAAAAGTCGACCAACAAATTTTCAATGACCACCCCTAAAACAACCATGTATCTCTGAACATTTAACCGACCGGCAAAGCACTCATATTTTCCATTTTTATAGTGAACGGTGCGTGGTCTTTATGGTCAGACTGGTCTGCTTGTTCTTTAACTTGTAATAATGGTACGCGTTCGAGACTAAGAACATGCACGAACCCATCTCCGAGATACGGAGGTCAAAACTGCTTTGGCATTTCTCAGATCATCAAAACGTGCGTCAATGAGGCATGTAGTGTTTGTAAGTAATTTACTTATCCACGGTCAGTTGAAAAGAAAAGACATGCATATACTGTGTGAATATGACAAACATGAAATTCGTAAATTTTAGTGCCTGACGGAAGTTCGTGGAAGCCTATTGAAAAGTTTAAAAGTTTGGAATTTTCTTCGTTGATTGTTGGTTTTGGTGCGGGTTTCACGCTCTGTTTAATGCTAGCCCTCTCGCCATATATGCTGAAGAGGTACGAAAATATAACTGTCGTTTCTTAAAAACATCTCATAACTGTTTTTATTAACAAAATCTTTTTATAATTCAGGTGCAGAAGAACTTTAATGAAGAAAATTATATTACTGAAAAACCGAAAGAATTTAAACACTGCTGACCATAGGCCTACGCAAACAACACCCAAAGATACAAAAGTCCCATCACCTCCTCCAGTACCTGCTATAAATTGGAGACCAATCCCATTAAAAAATTGTTTCTTGCAAGAAGATAAACAGAAAGGAGATGTTTCGTGGCCACATGTTGTAGCAACGCCTCAAACACAAGCGGCAAACAATGCCTTTATGGAAGAACTGTTGAAAGCATTTACGATATTCAATGTAGATGCAAAAAAAACATTTAAAAATACTTCAAGCGAATGAACTGCCATGTTCTTGTGATATTATTTGCTTTCGAATGAGTAGCTTGTAAGTAAGATTTCAAAAATTAACATGAATAACATTGTGATGTCACTCTGTGTTTTGATTGGTCGAAGTTAAGGGGGGGGGGGCACTATCTCTTCCTCCCTTCCTAATCTCATTAAGCTTCATTATCATTGCATTATCTCTTGTAGTCTAGGACCTGTAAAGGAGTTTGTATGCATTTCATTTAGGACAGATTATCTCAACTGTTTTAGGGTAAAATGACCATGGCGGTCAACATGGCATATGTGCCAAAATGCGAATCCGGAAGAAAGTCCTGAAAATGACCACACCCAGAAACGGCATAGTCGACATAACTCTAAATCCTGAATTATCAAAGCTAAAGTCTTTCTGAATTGTTTATATGGTTCAGAATGGTTGCTTTTAGGGGTGGTCACTGGAGGGTGAAATTAGCCTAAGTTTCATATTTTACACCTGGCAAAGTCTAATTTTCCCTATTTTCTAAAAATGTTTGCCATTTGATGAAAAAACATGCTTATTTTAATATATTTATTATAAATTTCCTAGGAAATAACAATGTTTTGTTGCGATACGACATATTTCATTTCACTTACCCCCCGCCATAACACGATTTCAGCCATATTTTGCAAATTTGATCGCCGTTTTTCGCCGTCCGTCGCAAGCACCATCCAAATACTGTACTTTAGCACGATTCTAGTGGACTAAAGAATTATTCAACCAATTTTCGATGGGTTTTGAAGTAGTGGCATGTAATATTTTTTCATTTATGTGTCCCTTGACATTTCATCAATTATGTCGCCATTGCCATGTCTCGTCGCTTTCTGCACGATAAATGCCAGTTCTTGATCCCCAGCTGTATTTTTTTCACAGCATCGATAAATAATTGATAGTACAATAGAAGCTACCCAAAATTTAAAAGCATTTGTCCCACTTGGAAGTAAAAAACCACCCCTCGTTTATCGGGAATGAAATTCAAGTTCGAAAGATTCAAAATAATTTGAAAGTCTCGCGCAAACTCCACGACAAACGCTCGTGGGCAACAATGCAGGGGGGGGTCAATTTCACGAATACATTTCTGGTTTATTTTTTTAGCTTTGTAAAAGCAAGAACATGAAATTTAAACGCGGAGACTTGTTAATTTTCGTATGAGAAATATTAACAGCAAAAACGGACAAATTTTACTCGGGTTGTTGACTGATTGTGGTTGTGAACAAATGTATGCTTGAAATTTCGTCCCGCCGGAATGCTGTCCACGAGGGCTCGTCGCGGAGTTTGCGCGAGACTTTCAAATTATTTTGAATCTTTCGAACTTGAATTTCATTCCCGATAAACGAGGGGTGGTTTTTTACTTCCAAGTGGGACAAATGCTTTTGAATTTTGGGTAGCTTCTATTGTACTATCAATTATTTATCGATGCTGTGAAAAAAATACAGCTGGGGATCAAGAACTGGCATTTATCGTGCAGAAAGGCGACGAGACATGGCAATGGCGACATAATTGATGAAATGTCAAGGGACACAAAAATGAAAAAATATTACATGGCACTACTTCAAAACCCATCGAAAATTGGTTGAATAATTCTTTAGTCCACTAGAATCGTGCTAAAGTACAGTATTTGGATGGTGCTTGCGACGGACGGCGAAAAACGGCGATCAAATTTGCAAAATATGGCTGAAATCGTGTTATGGCGGGGGGTAAGTGAAATGAAATATGTCGTATCGCAACAAAACATTGTTATTTCCTAAGAAATTTATAATAAATATATTAAAATAAGCATGTTTTTTCATCATATTGCAAAAATTTTTAGAAAATAGGGAAAATTAGACTTTGCCAGGTGAATCTGTAATTTTATGCATAATTAGCAGTTGACCTGGAATAGTAAACATTCATTTTCTTGTAAAATATGAAACTTAGGCTAATTTCACCCTCCAGTAACCACCCCTAAAAGCAACCATTCTGAACCATATAAACAATTCAGAAAGACTGTAGCTTTGATAATTCAGGATTTAGAGCTATGTCGACTATGCCGTTTCTAAGTGTGGTCATTTTCAGGACTTTCGTCCCGGATTCACATTTTGGCACATATGCCATGTTGACCGCCATGGTCATTTACCCTAAAACAGTTGAGATAATCTGTCCTAAATGAAATGCATACAAACTGTTTTACAGGTCCTAGACTATTGTTCAAATTGCGTTCCACGCGACCAAAATGCCAGGAATAAAGGGGCACTGAAATCTGCCAAACGCATTCAAAACAATAGTTAATCAATTGAGATGCCCCATTAGTCCGGTATTACCTATTGTTGTTGGATTATAATGAGAAGCATGACGTTAAAAACAAGCCTTAGTATTATCCATGCATACAGTCATTTGTCCGTTCGAATGTTTTTCAGGCTATATAAAGTGACTAAATTCGATCCAAATGTCATACTTGATCCAGGAAGAATCACAGGAAGAAGTCACGCCGGGGAAAAGTTTGAAGAATCTTGCTGAGGTATATGAAAGAATATCTGTCAACTTGATCTTTGCCTTTGGCTTTGCAGATGAATTAATCGCCGTGTTTTTGAATAGCCAGAAGACAGCCAGTGAAGACATTCTTGCTGAATTTCACTGCTATATCTTGTATATTTTGATTGAAAATACGAAATGCAAGTGAGCTGTTAACTTGACATTGTTTTTTCTTTCTTATTTCAACTCAGGATGAACTTCGGCGGCGAAAGATGAGGAAGGCGAAACACAAACGCTTGCTCGCAGCGAATAATAGGTATTGTTATATTGATTTATCAAAATCTGAATATGAGCTGAGTTCTTTCAGCATGCTATTATAGTTCAAAGTTCGGAACCAAGATATCATAGAAACCAAGTCACTTTAGCTAGACTTTTCTTTTTCTAGAAAGAATCGTCGGAGTCGAGAGATGTTGGACCTGCCTTGGGACATAATGCACGCAAATACAAAACTCGATTTCGACGATGTGCATGACAGCATGAGTAATATATGCATGATATTTCGCATTTTGGCTGAGATATGCTGAACACTCTTCTGTTTACCTCCTTGATTTTCAACTTTTCGGATTGCGATTTTTGCATGCTATTCTGGTCGTGTCAAGCGCATGCGGAGTTAATACAAGTGATTCTGGGGCCCCAATCACTTGTATTTTCTCCATCTTGAACGACAATAGTCCGGAACAAAAATATCGCTCACAGAGCGCCTAAAACATAAAAATGCATGAGAATTTGTATTTCTAGAAGGAGATAATAGTCGAGTGTTTTGGTTTTCTCAGAAGCATGAAGAAAACGATAATTATTTCGTACAAAACGTGCATGACAATTTTGTATTCGCGTGCGCAATGCGAAGGCCTTGGACGAGTGGCGTTGGAGATGTCGAAGGTCAAAAATCGGGTTTTGAGTGATCATTTTATACTGAATGTTTTATACCTAAGTTAATATTGTGAATTGGCAATTAATATCATATTTTTTGCGATAAAGGATCGTCGCAGGATCAGATGATGAAGGATCGTCTCAGGATCAGATGGTGGTATGGTATGGTGTGGTATGGTATGGTATGATACTGGTACCTAAGTGATATTTGTGACTTGGAAATTAATATCATATCTTTGTTCTAAAGTATCGTTGCAGGATCAGATGTTGAAGGATCGTCGCAGGACCAGACGGATCATCGCAGGATCAGTGATGAATTAGATGTTGAAGGAGCGTCGCAGGACCAGATGGATCATCGCAGGATCAGATGTTGAAGGATCGTCGCAGGACCAGACGGATCGTCGCAGGATCAGTGATGAATTAGATGTTGAAGGATCGTCGCAGGATCAGATGATGAAGGATCGTCTCAGGATCAGATGGTATGGTATGGTATGGTATGGTATGATACTGGTAGCTAAGTGATATTTGTGACTTGGAAATTAATATCATATCTTTGTTCTAAAGTATCATTGCAGGATCAGATGTTGAAGGATCGTCGCAGGACCAGACGGATCGTCGCAGAACCAGTGATGAATTAGATGTTGGAGGAGCGTCGCAGGACCAGACGGATCGTCGCAGGATCAGTGATGAATTAGATGTTGAAGGATCGTCGCAGGACCAGACGGATCGTCGCAGGATCAGTGATGAATTAGATGTTGAAGGATCGTCGCAGGATCAGATGATGAAGGATCGTCTCAGGATCAGATGGTGTGGTATGGTATGGTGTGGTATATTGGTATGGTATGGTATGATACTGGTACCTAAGTGATATTTGTGACTTGGAAATTAATATCATATCTTTGTTCTAAAGTATCATTGCAGGATCAGATGTTGAAGGATCGTCGCAGGACAGACGGATCGTCGCAGGACCAGTGATGAATTAGATGTTGGAGGAGCGTCGCAGGATCAGTGATGAATTAGATGTTGGAGGAGCGTCGCAGGATCAGTGATGAATTAGATGTTGGAGGAGCGTCGCAGGATCAGTGATGAATTAGATGTTGGAGGAGCGTCGCAGGATCATTGATGAATTAGATGTTGGAGGAGCGTCGCAGGATCAGTGATGAATTAGATGTTGGAGGAGCGTCGCAGGATCAGTGATGAATTAGATGTTGGAGGAGCGTCGCAGGATCAGTGATGAATTAGATGTTGGAGGAGCGTCGCAGGATCAGACGGATCGTCGCAGGATCAGTGATGAATTAGATGTTGGAGGATCGCCGCAGGATCAAGTGGAAGCTGGTTGAGGTATATACTATAGGTATGCATGATTAGTGCATGTGCATGCTGCATGGCATTGGATCCTCCTGGTGGTCTAACCTAGTATATTCACACATCAAGTGACATTTCAATCTTTTCAACTATGCATGATAACAGGAAATTTCTCACAGCTCTTAGGAGGGCATTTTTTTAGTTTTCTCGATAAAAAATTCCTAGTTTTGTCACTTGTGTGAATACGTGTGAATTCCAACGACTTAGCGGCTGCGAAAAGATGCATGATGGCTTTAAAGCGTTCAAAAGAAACTAACAAAATGCAATTTGCATTGCATTGGCGACGCGCACGCAACGAGAAAATATCGAATTCGTATTGGCCTAATTTTAGATTAATACGAAGGTAATCGCGAGTAACTTATATGATTATATAAGTTCTCTGTCCAGCCTATTGAAATGCGATCGTTTCGAAAGACGTTCGTCAGTGGCATAAAAAATTATAAGTTTACTTTTTCAAGATTTAAATTCGAATTATTGATGTTTGAAATGAAGAAAAAAAGACTGATGTTTAGACACTAACACTCTTCTGAATTAGATGATATATTACAGTACATTGCATGATAACTACACTGAAATAATGGGGGGACCCATGGGTTTAGAGTTTAAGTCAATATTGTACAGTACCCTCTTGCATAAAAAGCTGTCTAAAGATCCTTTCCATTTTGACACACTTACTATGTTGTTTAATTTCTTACACGCCCCAACGTCGAGATGCTGTTGAAGAAGAATAACTCAAGTGTTTGTAATGAAGCAAAGAAGTAAGTTCGGTACACTGTTTGCCAAACGTAGTTATGAAGGTGAGAAACATTTCATTATAGCCATAATAAGTAAATTGCATGTTCAGCCCTATTAGGTGCATGTCTTAATAGAAGAGAGTGTTGTCTACTACATCAGTTTTAAATGAAAAAGCATGCCAAGCATTTCTTTCCAAAACAAAGCATGATCATACAATGCATGAGAATTTAAATAAATGAAATAATTTTTCTTGCCACTGTCGGACAAAGCGCAGTTTGAATAAAATTTGTAACAGCCTGCTGTTCGCAATTGCCGATTTGCGCGCGCTGCGCACGTTAGACCACCACCAAGATCCAATAGAAGAGGTTCAAGAATTGCATGATCATTCCTGGGACTCGGTTCGGATGAGCGGAACTGAAACGGTGAACCATAGGGAAAAAAATTGTCAATGAATAACCAGAATGACCGTCATTTTGGGCGATTTCTAAATAAAAATACCAAATTCGGACCGCCGGTCAGGTAACCTGAAATTCAGGTTACCTTGGAGGGTTTTTCTCCGGGAACTCCGGTTTCCCTCCTTTTCGTTTGGCTTTAGAAAACAGTGTCCAGGTCTGGGGCCAAACGTGTTTGGCCTCTGGGTCCAATTCCCAGAACACTGTCGTATAAAAAGAATTGAACATGTTTAATCCGGGTCTGACAGAACGAGATTGGCAAGCCGAACATTGGCCTTGTGACTTGCGGCAGCATTTCTACCTACGGGTAACCTAGTTTTGTAGGGATTTTAATACTTATCTAATAGTTATTTTCGGATTATGCTCGTGATATTGCTCGTAATATGTCGTAAATTACGACCCCGACCCGAATGTCAATGCCCGAATGTTCCAAGATTTCAACCTGTTCGTGGGCTGTGGACTCCTATGGTTTATAGTTTGGCCCTGGCGACCGAGCAGGCTGGTTTATTATTGCAAATAAATTGCTTTTTATTTCATATTACTTTGGTCATACCTTGACAAAATGCCTCGGAAAGCCATGAAATGTATAGTGGAATTTGATATACATACGGTAAGCAATGTTCTTGTCAATTTTTAAAGCTCTCGCTTGGTTGCTAATGACGCTTGTTTAAAGTTTGACCGTCATTCTTTCAACCATTTCACATTTTAGGTGCTTTGTCCGGGAACATACCTACGAGATTATGGTTATATTTATCTGCGAGTATCTTGCATGGGCTTAGATGTCTCTACTAAAGCTGTTCCCCCGACATTTCCTCTATTTTTTCACGAAAGACTTCGATTTGAACGGGTACTATAAATCTTTGTTTACTATTTCAACCATACTAATATTCCATTCTGTACATAAAAATTGTTTGCTAATTTCATGTTTCAAACAACACATAGTTCAATTTTATTCCTTATTTTCTTTTCAAGACTTTTAAAAATTGTCAAGATCCTGCTTATGTGTCTGTCTTACTCAAAGGTATGCCAGCATAAAATATAGCATGTTTATATATTTAACAATTGATGGAAAGTCTAAAACCATCATTTTCTCTTAGGTGAAGATTTGACAATTGAACTGAAGCAGCATGATGATTATATATCAGGTATGTTTAGTGGTATTAATTGTAACTAGGAAGACTATTAAAATATGCAGTTATATATTGTCTATCAGGTTATACCACTGTTTGCATATGTACTTAGAAAATAAGCTTTATTCTGTTGTTCTTTGTCATGTTTGCTTTTATGTGTCAACAAAGCAAATTCAAATTCTTTTTATGTCAACTCACTAATGTTGCAGGCGAAACTAATCGATCTTATGGCTATAAATGTCCTTAGTAGCTGGAAAAATGCAAAAGTAAAAAATGATCTTGGTATATTTCAATATTACATTAGGGCTAAATGTGCTTTCTTTCCCAGGACATGTTGTGTGTCTCTTTTTCAGTTAAATGGCTAAACCTTTTTAGTAAAACTGTACTAATTGCACTCGAGCTTGTCTTATAATTTCACAATTAAACTAATATGCTTTCAAACAAATTGCTTCATCCTATAAAACTTCCATTTATATATAAACAAATTATATGTTTGATTATTATATGTTGCAAATAAATTTTTACAAAAGCTTAATTTTTTAGATGGTTATGTGATTGCACATTATTCTTCCAATGTGAAAGATTTTCTTTATCCAACTTCTGTGTCTTCAAATCTTCCTGGTCGAGATGTAACTCTTTACAAAACATCACTTTTTAATCCAATCAGGATCACAGTAAGTTCTTATTTTGTAAAATTAAAGACTGCTTCAGAATAATCCATAACAACACATTATTTATTTCCAGGGTGAACCTGTCCGTCTAGAATTTGCAACAAAGACAACGTTGAAAGAGGTTCCTGATCCTAATGACTTCAGTAAATCGGTAGGTGGATTATTGACTGAGTGTTAATTAGTTTATATGAGGTGGTCCGTCTGGTAGCATCTTGTGGTAACATCTTATCTGCATAGAAATCTGACCTGTGGTTGTAATACATTCACAATTAGTAATTTTTTGGCATAAAAAATTCTACCACACTCTATATTGCATAGTCTACAATGCAAGAAAAAGTTCTTCTTGCTATTTCAGACTGAATCTGAAGAAGAAGTGATACCTTATTCTAACAGGCCAAAGTCTTCTAGCAACCACAGGTCTAGGTCTCCTCACAGACTATGCCAGGCTGACGAAACAATACATAACAATTCAGAGTTTGTTGTTCGTCATAAAGATGATAAGTTATTGGAAAATCGTGACTTTTCTACTTTTATAAATCCCAAGCCACGACGATCAAGATCACCCACGCGAAGATCAAGGTCTTTGTCTCCATCAAAACGTTTGGATGGAAATGCTACCTCTCAGTCTATACCAGGTACTGAATTTCTTCATTACCTCTCAGTTACTACCACTGGTACTGAATTTCTTCATTACCTCTCAGTTACTACCACTGGTACTAAATTTCTTTATTGTGTATGACACATGGCTTGACTATAGCTTGGAAATACTCAGTTGACTTCCCAAGAAGCAGTGAAACGCGGCGAAGACCAAGACATAGCCGCTCTGCAACAGAACCAGCATCGTTTGCATCATCATTTCGATCTCCTAGCCCTAGTCGCAGTCTCAGATTTGCTTTGGATGATCTGGATATAACATCAGGATTATCTCGGTCTTTTACTGATGCAACATTACGTCATAAGACAAGATATTCACCTCATTTGTCTGCAGCACTGTCAGCATCAGATAGAATACAATCTCGTGTTGACAGGGTGATGAGGGTATGTATCTAACATATAAAGTTAGATTACTTATTATCGCACCAATGTTTCCAGTTAAATGCACTTATTCATCATCCTTGGTATAGGTTGCCCAAGACTCTGATACAGAAAGTGTGGATTCTTTGGATGTGCTGAGGTGGGGAGTGCATCAGTGGTTTATTACTGCCGTATGAACAACTGAATATAAAAATATTTTATTTTCAGGGATTCTCTGAGAGAAGAACGCAAAGCTCTTAGTGATGCAATACGAGAGGCTGACAGAAAGTAAGTCTCCATTGGGCACATTTGATAAATCATGAGTCCTGTCCTTCCTGACCTGAATAAGATTTAATATGAATTAAACTATCCACTGCCATTGTGTTGACAAATATTATAATTTCTCTGTTACAGGGCATATTACAAATCTTTAGGAATTGATCTATAAAAGGTATATTGCCATCATGAAATTTGTATATATATTATATAATCATTTCTAATCATTCGTGATTATCATTACAATCATTTTGCCTTGTAGAAGAGCCTGGCCTGTGAGGTTGCTATGTACTTTCCATGCAAGATAACATGATTTATAAAGCTTCCTGGTGTTTGACTTGTAACACTAAGTGTATATTACTGTACGTATTGTTTAGACTCTTTTTAATTTTTGTACTTTTCTCTATCAATTTTTATCTAGTTCTTTTAAGGTAATTGACAGGCACTTTCCAAAATTGAAGTGTTGTTATTCTAACATTTGAAACTGTCAAAGTTTTGATGGTCTATATATTGCATGCAATTTTGAACTACCTTGTACTAAATTAGATTAATTTTGCCACTAAATTTTTAACTTATATAACAAATTATAAAAGTATGTTAACCAAGTTACATTTGAAGGGTGTCCCGAAGGAATAAAATATATCATTCAAAACCAAGCCTTCATTAGAATTTGAATGTCTTATAAAAATGCTTAACTATATATTATATGTTTGCAATGTAACTTTATATTTCTACTAAGTATGATGGGGACTTTACAGTTGACAATTCAAAATATCGCTGAGATGTTTATTCTCTTTGTATGTTCTTTGGAAGAAAAATTAGAATATTTTAGCAGGTATACTTTTTCGAGACGCCCCATGTAAAGTCCTCACCTGTTACTATATAATATGAATACATCTTTTTTACAAAACACTCTGTAAAAGAGAGCTGAGCACAATGTCTCTAACCTCTTGAGCACAACCCCAGAACAAGCTTAAACCAGCACCACCATGACCATAATTATGAACTACCTACATGAACACCAAAACATTAGTTCTAAGAGGATACCAAGAATGGTACATTTGGAGTCATCTTACCAAACATTATTACAAACCTGAAGCTTCATTCTTGTTCCATATTGGGTGGATACTTTCATCACTTCTTTTTCTAGACGAATGCCATTTCTCACTGGTCTTAAACCCACCATAGCTTTAATCAGTTCAGCTTTCTGACAGAAAGATATATAGCAACTTAGATTAACCACCATTATCCTGTTGCATGTTCATTTTGATTGCAAATATATTGAACTTGGCTATATTAAATGCCATTTTGACTGAAGACAAACTGGTCAATAATAACAATACCTTGATGGTAGGTTCCAATTCTGCAGCTCTGTCAATTATTGCCTGTATTTCTTCTTCATTATTACAAGTGTCCCAGTTGTCTGACTGAATAGTTCCTCCGACAACTACATCATTGAATCTTTATAGGAGAAGGAGCTCATTAGTGTTGTTAGTTCATGTGTAATGACATTTGTAGAGGAAACCTGAATACCTTCATTACCTTGGAAAAATGTAAGTAACTAAACCTTGTTTTTCTTCATTTTTTTTTGTACAAATGTAGGCATGTTTTAACCAAGGGGCTTTCATCTGAAGTATTAACAATTGCTGATTAAAAATAAAAAGATAAATATCTTTTTAAACAATAATAATCAATGACATACCTTCAAAACTTGTCCTCGCCATGGGATAAGGGAGGCATCCTGACACAAATTATATGCGCCAAGACCTGTACAATTCACAACAACATCATATCTACCTGCCAACTGCAGAAATTACAAGTCTGCGTTACCATTGATAGTGATACCATTGTAATTGTGACAATGACAATTGTTAATGTCATGATAGCAGTGATTGCAATGATGGTGCTTGACAATTTTGATGATGGTAATAATTATCATTTAAATTATGGTGATTGTAATGGTGATGATTGATCATAGTTTGTGGTAATTAATCACCTCATCAAACGAGATTAATTTCTTTTGAACAACATTCCCTCCTTTCTGTTGAAATCTAATAAAACATACCACTTAATAATTGAATGGACTAAATTACTTAGACACATACTAGCATACATATACTCACTCTTTTAACTTGATAGTTATGTAGGGTGTTCCAGGGATCATAATGGACTTCATTACAAAGCCATTGCTAAATAATTGTTTAAATATAGTAAAAATTGTTGTATGCAAATGAGGCAAGCACTGTTATAAAGCTAGTCATACATTATATCATTGGGAAAGTTCCGCTGTAGCTCTTCCTTTGAAAGGCGTTTGAAATACAAAAAAATGTCGCTGAAAGGAGATTCCTATTAAATAAATGTGGAAATCCATAGATTGGAGTGTTGTAACACGTCAAAGCTACATAGATCACTTGAACAGGTCATTTACTTTAGCTGGTTCATCATAAAGTTCATAAGCTGTTACATAATTCATTTGATATTTAAAAGCTTCTTCTGTGTCTACAATGGTTCTCAGATAGTCAAATGTTGCTTTGCCCCATATTCTAAACAAACAAATATATCATCATATATATGAAAACCAGATGTGGTCTGAAAAGTAGAAATACAATACAATACAATATAACTTTATTTAAAACTTGAAAAATGAGGCTTATTAGGCCTCTAGCCATCGGCTAGTACAATCGAGCAGCGTTCAAGAGAGGCTCCATTAAAAATGATATCAAGTCGTTATGTAAACAAAGAGATTTTACTGTTACAGTTTATGAAATACGACGAACGTACTGTTACATCGTCATAAGACTAATGACCATAATGATTCAGTTTTTTTCACCATACCTTTGTTTCTCAAGTGGTGTATTTTTCAGAAACACAGGGTCCCAGAATCCTGCAGCAACATCACTGGTAAGGTTTGGAGAGAACTGATCGGCAATTATGGTCAAGTCCAGCGTAGGATCAGCATCTTGTAAACAAATTGCACTGGAGATTCCACAAATACCTGCTCCGATAATTGCAACTTTTTTACCTGACGCCATTTCATGAACGCTAAGTGGCTACACTATAGCTTTAGCAACATGAAGTTTCACCTTGACCGCCATGATCAACAGCGAATGGCGAGGTTCAGTTGTTCATAAAAATTGGTAAACTTTATATCCAAAGATTTCGGTAAATATAATGAAAGGAATGATCAGATTACGAGATATAGTTACCCTTCAAAGTTTAGTAAGATGTAGAGGTTTTCATGATACATCAATGGCGAATATTATCAAGTCAAAAATTGATCGATCTAGTAAAGAATTTCTGGTGAGAGTTAATAAAGTATTCAAATATTAATATATTAATACTACATCAAGCATATTTTTCATTCTTATTTTTACATGGTAGGAAAATAAAACGAGCATGTCGAAACTAGTGAATAATCTAAAGGATTTAACAGATGTTATAAAAAGAGGTTAGTACAATATCTACCATCATGATGATCATGGTGGTACATGACCCATTTTCATCTACCTAACTTATCTGAAATATCCTGGTTCCTGATTCCTGGACAATCATTTTTGCATTAATCTTCATGGCTGACCCAGATTAAAATGTTCTGGTTATATCTTAATTGCAATTAGGTGGTGACGACAATGCTAGACTTCGGCATACCTCAAGAGGAAAGATGTTACCTCGTGATCGAGTTAATAATTTATTAGATCAAGGGTAAGAGAAGACGTTTTTTGACATTCCAGTTATCAAATTTCTTTACTAGACCACAATTTCTTTTCAGGTCACCTTTTCTTGAACTGTCCCAACTTGCGGCATATAAACTTTATGGTGAAGATAATATTCCAGCAGCTGGGATAATAACTGGCATAGGACGAGTGTCAGGGTTGGTACTACTTTCCAAATAACTACACTTTGTTTGAAATAAATAAAGCCATTAATAGCAGAACTTTAGGACATGTTGTGGAGTGTTATACAATTGCAAAAAATGACAGAGCAAGTTTTTATGAAAAATGTATTTGTTTGTTCCAGTGTTGAATGCATGATTGTTGCAAATGATGCTACTGTAAAGGGAGGTACATATTATCCAATGACTGTTAAGAAACATGTTCGAGCCCAAGAAATTGCAAAACAAAATAATCTACCTTGTATATATTTAGGTAAGTGCATTGTGATTATCATTAGTATTTAGTAAGGCTGTGTTTGGATCCCACATGTGTGATACGGCAATTAAGTCTAAAAAATTTTGGCTTCTAGTTGATTCTGGTGGTGCTTTTCTACCATTACAACATGAAGTGTTCCCTGATAAATATCATTTTGGAAGAATATTTTATAATCAGGCAAGGATGTCTGCCATTGGAATACCGCAGGTTAGTTTTTCTAAGTTGTAAAGTGAGCTGAAAACATGTACATATATTGTGAGTTAAAACCTAAACCACTGCTTTTATTCTTTAGATTGCTGTTGTTCTGGGTTCATGTACTGCTGGTGGAGCCTATGTCCCTGCCATGGCTGATGAAAGTATTATTGTTAAGAATCAAGGAACAATATATCTTGCAGGACCTCCATTGGTAATTGTAAATAATTTCATGAAGTGTTTATTATATATTCTAAGGTGTTCTTATGTCATATAGGTTCAAGCAGCTACAGGTGAGGTTGTTTCATCAGAAGAACTTGGTGGTGCTGATTTGCATTGCAGGTATGGTGTTAAACTATTCAAATAAGAAATTTAGACACTGCACATGTCCTATAAGATATTTATATTGCTTCAAATAGGTTGAAATATATTTTTAATTCCCAGGACATCAGGTGTCACAGATCATTATGCAATAGATGATGCACATGCTTTACACATTGCAAGACAATCGGTCAGAAATTTAAATCGATCCAAAACCTTAATGGTAATATATTTTGTAGTATAATCTATAGATCCTATTTTCAAATGAATTCATTCAATTCAAGTTATTTATTGCTGAAGAGAAAGTAAAGGAACGTATACAGAGTTAAATTGTGTTTTTACTAGACAACTCTTGAACCAAGTGAAGAACCACTTTATCCAGCAGAAGATATTTATGGAATTGTTGGAGATAATCTCAAGAAGTCCTATGATATTAGACAGGTATGAAAGAATGAAATAAACACTGGTAATAACTTTAATAACTTTAATACTATGATTACCATCATTCAATTTTGCAGGTTATTGCTCGCCTAGTGGATGGCAGTAGATTTGATGAGTTTAAGGAAATGTATGGAACTACTTTAGTTACAGGTCAACATTGTTTTATTTCTTTCTAAAGTTAACCCAGTGTTTTTATCTCCCATGTTTTTATCTCCCATGTTTTTATCTTAAACAAGATAAACTTTATATCTTATTAGATTGTTCTTACAGGTTTTGCACGAATCCATGGATATCCAGTTGGTATTCTTGGGAATAATGGGGTATTATTCTCTGAATCAGCTCTAAAAGGAACTCACTTTATTGAATTATGCTGTCAACGTAATATACCGCTTATCTTCCTGCAAAATATCACAGGTACATATATCAGTACATTCATTATTTAACAAGTCCCAAGATTCAGATATCTCTACAGTTTTGATCAAGTACCGCCACATATGGTACACAGTAAATGATTTGATGTTTCAATGATAAAGCTTGTGCATATTGATTGTGCCGCTATCATTATCAATTTAGCTAAACGGTTACCAAAGTTAAATTTCGTAAAATATTTTGTTTTATAAAGTTTTGTGTTGCAGGTTTTATGGTCGGACGAGAATTTGAAGCAGGAGGAATTGCAAAGAACGGCGCTAAGCTGGTCACTGCAGTTTCTTGTGCCAAAGTTCCAAAATTAACCGTCATTGTTGGAGGCAGTTTTGGAGCTGGGAATTACGGAATGTGTGGTCGTGCTTACAGGTGGAGCTTTGTGATTTATTGCACTCTGTGCAACTAAAAAGACAAACATGAAATACGTTTTATGTGTTTTTAGTCCTCGGTTTTTATACATGTGGCCAAATGCCCGGATCTCAGTGATGGGCGGAGAACAAGCTGCGACCGTGTTATCAACTATTACTAGAGGTCAAAGAGAACGAGAGGGGAAAAAGGTTACTACATTGCTTTTGTTTAACTTATGACAAATATTTGTCATGTTAATAATGAATTTTTTTTAGTTCACGGACGAGGAAGAAGCAGCTTTAAAAGATCCGATTTTAAAACGATTTGAAGAGGAAGGACACCCGTATTATTCAAGTGCAAGGTAGATTTTTTCTTAGCTGATGTTAACCACATTACTAACATAAGACACTAATGATATTTATCGTGTGATTCTTCAGGATATGGGACGATGGTGTCATTGATCCTGCAGATACACGAACAGTGCTCGGTTTAAGTCTAAGTGCTGCATTGAATTCTACCATAAAAAGAACATCATTTGGTGTGTTCCGGATGTAATACTTTTTATGTTACTAGCGTATTTCATAATAGGAAGCGAAATATTATAACTATTTCATATTTTAAGAGATATAAATATAAATTGACCAATAACAGTATTTATTCTGCAAGGTTTTACTTGGAATGTAGACCTTTTTTATCTCTGTAAACTCAATCAGGATTCAGGATATCTCAATATCGATATTCATAGTCGTAAATTGTATACTGAAAAGATCTATTTAGATTCACTGATGGTTCATGATCACCATTTGATCACTAATGAGTAAACCACCATATGTGCGTTTATGGTGAGTTTGAGATGATCAATAATCAATATCTCTATGATCAGTAATGATTGATGTGTAAAGAACAAACAAAAGTTCATATAGGGCTATCTCTACCATTTCTCGTGATAGGTGACACTCAAATGGTAGTAATATATTGGTAGTAATTGTAGTCTGTCAACTCATCTGTCACCATTCGTCGCTCATTGGCAAGCTTCCCCCCCCCTTGTTCAAAATGGCGGAAAAACATGTCGTGCGAAGAATAAGGAAGAAGCATTTCATGTGAAATGTAAATATTTCGTGCTATCTTGAAGCGCTAAAAATGCTTCGGATTGATTTTAATCAACGATTTTTGGATCATAGAAGTATTTTAGTCTTTGTAAAGAAGCTTGGAGCTATTACGGAAGCTGACTTTAGCGAATTATTTAACGACATTTCACAACTCCGTACATTGGAGCTTCCTAATGGACGCACGGTTCATCTCAGATATACTAGACATATTTCACATCAGTTCATAGAATGGGGGAGTTTTCATATGCACAGGAAGTTACTGGGTATATTAAGTGTGGCGAAGACGTTGGATGAAGATATTTATCCAATAAAAACTGCCCACGAAAGTTTAAAAACTTGGTATGGTAATACTGCACTACATTGCCGATGTTTTATCTTGGGGGGCAAAAATACAGACGAAACTAAAGATAGAGAACTTGTGTTTTTAAATCAAGATAATGTTATGAAAGAAATCGAGAAACAAATGGCAGATTATGCATTGTCGCTGTTTTTAGTCCTTGAAAGCAAGAAAAAGGATAAATCGTTAGAAAAACCTGAAAAGTTTGCATTCCTTAGGTCTCCTCTAGATGGTGAAATTTCAGCTGACACTGATAACAGGTGAGAACAATAAGTCACCAACATGTATTTATGAAAATGAGACACCTTTGGACCAGGCTGATGATATTGCATGTGCATATGACAGCAGTGTGAAAAAAAGTTTAGTACATTTATTAGTGGAAACAAAAGATATTTTATGAAACTATTTTTGTGTTGTTTTGCAGGAACAGAAAACAATGTATTGGTCGGATGAAAAAATACATTGGTGATCTCTGTCTTTTAACAGGAGTACCAGAAGAAGCAATATTTCACTACTCCGTAGCAATAGATTTTCTTCGTTCTATTGGTGATTTGTTGTGGATGTCAGGCTCATTGGAAGGATTGTGTGCTGCCTCTTTGCTATGTCGGACTGAACATAAAATTGTATCCCCAGAGAGACCATCATTACAGCTTGATATCAGTCAGTTATCGACAGCTGGTTCTGATGGTGATGAGAACAGAATTGTCATACCACTCACAGATATGGAAATAGTGGAAAAAGCTGAAGAAATATTTCAAATTTATGAAAAAGTTAGTCCTTTATTTTTGTGGATTGATAGTAGTGAAAGTGAATTCTAGAAAAAATTATAGCTTTCATTTTTTTAAATATTTAGCAAAAGGAATCAAGAGTGTTATCTATTGAAGCTAGGTTTAAGTATGCAAGATTCTTTTTGTCAAAAAAGGTGTGTGTTTAAATAATAAATAATTTGAGGATAAAAAGGGTTTTTCAATCATTCTGCAAAAAGCGTTTGGCTTTAGTGTATAAATTGCTTTATTAGATGCTGATTTGTAGCCTTCTTCTTTAAATTTGCAGAGACATAGAGATGTTAGTATTGCTCTTCAAGATGTGCTGGCCACTGAACTTACTTTTAAATTATCTGATGCAGAAAAGGTAATGTATCATGACTTAGTGAGATTTCAAAAAATAATTATCTGTAAAGCTGTAACTAATGATTTCTTGTAGATTCAACTTTATAGTGCAATGGCAATGATATATGAAGATGTTGGTTACATGAGAAAGGCAGCGTTTTTCACAAGGGTCGCTGCTCGTCATTGTACATCGCAGCATTTGCCTCCACAAGGATGGACTGCTGTGAGTTTAATTTATCAATTCATTTAAAACAATTAACAAGATAAATTTTGGTAATTTTTTTCAAATTGTAGTTTGTACACCTCATTTTATTGGTCAAAAACTTTTTTTAGTCTTACAATCTAATGCGAAATGCTTTGGATGGGTATAAAATCCACTTTGATGACGGTACAGTTTCACCATCACAGAGTAATTATTCATATGCATACCTGTTTCTTGAACTTCATTTACTTGCTACAATTGAAACAATTGAATTAATAATATACATTACAACAGCAATTCATTAGGGAAAAATTTTTATGATTACCTGCTTTTTAATTTAGAAAATGCACATGGCTGGCCTGAACTAAAAATTCAGTTGATGAAAGAATTAATTGAAATGTCAAAAGAACTACAAAACAATAATATCCCAATTAGGTAAGTAGCTTTTAAAACTTTGGTTTTTCATCATTATACATTTTATTCATATACAATCTACTCTTTCTAGGCATATATTGTACTTATTACAGACTATGCATTCTGATATAAACGAAAATGACATGCAAGAGTTGATAAGCTTATTGGAAAAGTTAGCATCAACATCACAGGGTCATTTTAATCTGGTTGATGATCTTCATCTTGACAATAATGATGTTTTACCAGCACTTTCTCTCACTGAGTTACCAATTGTAAGGTACATTTAGAAAGAAATTTTTGACAGAGTAATGATTAATCATATGACCTAAAACTGTTTCAGCTTTTATTTTGTTTCAGATCAATGAAAGTGAATGTTCTTGCAAGTCATCTCAGACCAGTTCTTAGTCCATCCAGTTCTTCTCCTGTCAAAACACCTTTTATTTTCTCAACATTGAACAAAGGACCTCGTAAGAACAAGAAAACAAATCCTGGTGTGTAACGCTGTGATGATAGTTTCAATAATTCACTGCAGACATAATTTTTTTTAATGAATAATCGGTTATTTTTCAGCAATCAGATGGGTTGAAGGTGATTTTGGTGAAGTGGCCATGCAAGTTTTTAATCCAATGCCATTTGACATAAAAATTAGTAAAATGGTGAATTTTCTTCTGTTTTTTCTGTTGATAATTAAAGGTCTGAGATTTAGTTTATGCATATATACACCACACTTGCCCCTTAGCAGTGTTCTTGTGCTTCATGTGGCTTCTTAGGTCACTGTGGTGATTGTCTTGATACAATATTTAAGAGTGAGTTGGTTTGTCATTCTTTACCTGTTGTCCATTCCTGTATTTGAAGTGGACCCTCTCTTATTTGAGGTGCATCTATTGCTAGATATATAATATATATATATATTTCTTTTTTACTCACTTTTTACTAAATTGTAGACATTGCTAACAGAAGGTGTTCCATTTCAAGCCTTTCCCTCGTGTCTGGCTTTATCCACTGATAACATGTCACATCCATTTATGTTACTTGGTATCCCTGAAGGATCAGGACAACTAGCAATTACAGGTATGATCACAGGTTTATATGATCATTTACAGGTTCATAAGATCACAGGTTCATAAGATCACAGGTGTATATGATCACAGGTATGATCACAGGTTTATATGATCACAGGTATGATCACAGGTTAATATGATCACAGGTATGATCACAGGTATGATCACAGGTTAATATGATCACAGGTTTATATGATCACAGGTATGATCACAGGTTTATATGATCTCAGGTTTATATGATTACAGGTTTATATGATCACAGGTTTATATGATCATAGGTTTATATGATCACAGGTTTATATGATCACAGGTTTATATGATCATAGGTTTATATGATCATAGGTTTATATGAAGTTTTAAGTTTAAGTGTGAAAGTTTTTTTTGTTTTGTTTTTTAGGTTATTCAGTGGAGCTTTTTGGTATCCAAAGTAACTGTTCTATAACACAAACAATTTTAGACAAACAGTTTAGTCTTCCATTGATTGTTGATGTGACGCCAAGGCTACCTCTGATACAGTTCCAGTCTGATATAAATGATGTCAAATCATTTGTGAACAGCAGTCATAGAGGGTCTTCATTGACTTTGGAAGTTAAAATGTACAAAGGACAGACGTATGTTTCTATAGTTTAACCAAATTTATTTACCATATCCTCTTAGCAACAAGTTTACGGTAAAGAACAGCCGGCGAACATCCCAAGACCCCTGTCACTGTTTAACCTTTTTTGTATGGTGTTTTATATAATGACTAAGAACCGTTCAATCTTTACGATGAATTAAATATTTTTCAGCATATCAGGACCCATCCTTGTTGAAAATGTTGGTAAAATACCTGTCGAAGATCTTGCCATCACAATTTTGAGCTCTTTTAAAACTGGTAAAATTATTTGAATTATAATTAAACCAAATTTAATCATAATGTTCAATTATTTATTCCAGAGAAAAAGGATCGCGATTTATAAAATGTTCGAGCTTTTTGAATGTTTGCGTTAAAAGAGAGCGTTTTGAATATAGGCGCTAGTTTCAATTATTTATTTTTGATTTAGATACACTCAACTTAGTGACGTTAGATAAAGATCATGTGACTGAATCTCTTCCGCTGTTGCCAGAACAATCCAGCCACTTCAACCTAAAATTTTGCGCTCTTATGCCAGACTCTCTCCAGAGTGGTGGCAAGTTGAACTGGTCAGGGAAACTGAGGATCAATTATAGTGGTGGAGAAGCGTGGAAACTAGGAATCAGTCGTAATGCTGTAGTAGATATCCGTATTGAAGTCGTACCCAGTGTTCAGTTACTAAATTACTCCTTTGTCTCCGTGGAAAAAAGGTAGGCTTGTATAGTTGTATTACCATGAGACAAAATGAACTGTCTACATCATTTTTAATACAATATTTTTTTTTCATTTAGTGATGATGAACATTTTGAAATATGTATGGATATCCACAATCAAACCAATCACGATATTGACTGGAGATTTCAAATGAATTCAGGTAAAAACACGATTTACTTATATCATAAAAGCAACCTTCCTAGATTTCTAATATTTTTCAGGTATCGCGTATCCAGAAGAAGTAAATCGTCTCAAGATTGATCAATCACTCAGGTTCCGTTTGTAATTTTTACATCTTTATCTTCGTTTAACACCAATGTTCTATTTAACCTTATTATATTCTAATTATTTTCCATTTAACCTTATTATTTTCTAATTATTTTCCATGGAACCTTACTTTTTTCTAATTATTTTCCATTTAACCTTATTATTTTCTAATTATTTTCTATTTAACCTTATTATATTATATTGTATTATTATAATTTTCAGGGCCACACTTGAGTTGGAAAAGTTTGATTTATCTGATGATGATAAGGTGATTTTCTTGAGGTGTTATTAAAATAGTTCAATGTTTACGTGCTGTTTAAGCATTCGTTGTATTTCAGAAAACACAGCATGAACTGTGCTTGGAAAGAATTCTTAATTTGGTCAAGTTGAGTTGGCAAATTATATCCTTACCCTTACTGTTTTTTTTTAATGTCATATATGTGAAATTATTTATTCAATAAACTCGTAATTTAATTGTACAATTTTACAACGAGGAACATTACGTTTCTTTAACTAAGTTTTACCCTGAACTGAAAGTATTTGGAGTTTTAAATCTGGATGGTTTAAAAATCACGGAAGATATAATGAAGGTTGTAAAGAGAAATGGATTTATATTTGGTAAGAATATGGTTATTTTTCTCCGTATTACGACAAATAGATTAGGACATTAAAGAATTTTCTTATTTCGTTAGAAATGTCAGTAAATGATGAAAAGATAAAGAAAGGAAGTTGTGTATCTTGTGTTGCGTCAAAACCAATATTTCTCACTGTTTCAGTTTGTAATTCAAGTGGTAATTTTACGGGATTTTATAAATGCAACTCACTGTCATTATCGTACGGTTAAAAGAAGTGAAGGCTGTGTGTGGATTGTTTAGGAAGTTTCCAGTATCTGGATAATATTGATCTTTATTCTTGGCCTTTTTTTAGATAAAGACGCTGCGTCGTTTATTTTAAACATTGAGCCGTTTGAAGTTGACGATAATGGCGTGCAAAATTTTGATGTGAAACAAAGAATCTGTTGGTTAGGAGCTACGAGTACTTTGCAACCAAAGGTATATCACAAATGTATTTATTTTACAAAGCAGTAGAGAGTGTTTATCAACAACAACAAACTTAATCTTTTTAGATCCCTGCTAAATCCAAGCTGGAACACTCCTTTGCACTGATATTTCTATCCCCAGGACAATTTTTTATGAATATCAAGTGTTTTGAACGTGTTCATACGGATAATGATCAACCGTTCAGAGGACGTGCTCATGTTATAAAAGACGTTTCTTCCAACCGTCGTTCTCGATCGTCTCGCACTGACAGTTTCACAGAAAGTTTACTATTGAGACAAAGATCGCAGTCGACGCCACTAGCCCAGTGTGCGTACTTTATCAGCTTTGAAGTAGGAGAAGATCCAGATACCATCATCAACAATGATTGTTCAAGTGACGATCCACAAGTGAAAAAGAACTGTGCATCTCTAGCAGGAGCAGATAATATTTCCTCAGATCAATGTAACGAAGAATTTTCTGAGCAGAAAAATACAGCGAGTGAAGTGAGCGATGCGGTTGAGTTTTATACTGAGGTGGAAATACTTCCTACCGTGGCTAATGTGGCTTTGAATGACATAATAATTCCTTCTGAAGAAAACAGCAATCGTGGGGAGTTATCATCTTCTGTCATGAGCAGCCAGGAACAGCTAATATCAGATGATGAGATTGGCGGGTCAAAGATGGTGGATAAACTGGAGGTAAAGATGGACGATGTCGATGAAGACGAGGGGCATAAATCTGTTCTTGAAAGAAATAAACATTGTTCTATTAACGACAGACAGAAAACTTCAAAAAATGATGGGGAGGATATTTCTGAACAGTCAAAAGATCGGACGTCTGTACCAGGTGTAAGTGATACAGTAATACCATTTGATGATGTTTCTCAGAACAAAGAGTTTTATAGCAATAAACCTGATGACAGTTGTCACACTGAAAATCAGGAGATTGATCTAAATTCTGCGGAAACTCAAAATGATTTAGAAAAACAGCACAATGTCACACCTCAATTGAACAAGGTTACGATGGCTGAAAAAGGAAAATCAAATGAAATTTCGAATGAAGAAATGTCTAAACCAGACAACATGCAAGAAGGAGACGATCAGAGAACTGATGTTTCAAATAACTTTAAATTTCATCAACGTTCGGATGAAACGGAACTAAGAAGTCCTAGCGTTAAAGAGAAAATTATGTTTTTTAATTCTGGTTAATTCCTCGTGTCGACATGAACTTTCGTTAAAGGAGGAGATGAGAATCATGTCTTCTTCGTTTCAAGATAAATCTTTGAATAGCTTTTGATGTAAATAAATGATTATAAATTAAATCTATTAAATGACTTTCTATGTACAACCGTTCACCGTAACTATCTAAAAAATAATCAAGAATAGAAACGTGTTCATTTTCACCAATTAATCGCTTGCATTTTGGTAATTATATGACCACCATGTAATATCCAGTCATTATACAATTTTATAACATCTATGGGGTTTATACAATAGACATTGCTAATTATTTTTGCTTTATTTCAGTCGATTAGAAAGAACGGGTATTTTAAATTTGGTTGGCAAGGTAAATGGGAACCCCAATGAAACAATTAGACGACGGACTCACTATCACTATACTGACGTCGATATGGTCGTTCATACGATGGTTAACTACGGGTGTACCGAAAATATAGTGTTTGACTAGTCTTGAGCAGCATTTTCATACTATCCCAACCACCCATTTGACAACCAAGATAAGGTTTTTGCATGCCAATTTAGCCTGGATCTGCTTGTCTACTAAGGTCTGTTGGGTTGTCTTTCTTTGCAAATGGCAGCGGCTGCTGTCCAAATACAACAAGGGCGTGTTTCATTTTTCGAAAAGATGTTAAATATTTTAATAAAATACTTGGCAAATTTTGTCAACATTCATTTGAATTTACAGTTTTAATATCCGCGTTTGTACGACAAATATGAATAGATTTAGAAAGGACGAAGTGGAAATTACTTCTCAACTATAAGAAATGTCTCGGAAATCGCTGTCTAAAACAGGCCGATCAAAATCGGCTGCGTTTCTGGAGGCTTTGGGAAATAATGGACACTCTTTCTCGAAGAAGACTTATCACAGGCCAACATACTGTCACCACTGTACTGATCTTTTGTGGGGGTTTACAAACCAAGGACTTCAATGTTCAGGTATAATTTCCCACGATGATTTAAGAGTGTATAGGAAATAACTTAATATTATAATATTTTTTCAAATGTGCCAATATAAGACCCTTCCCCATTCCCTGTACATATCTTTTGAAAAAGCAAGGGTAGAAATATTATCCATTTAAGCTTCCTTTATACTGTATAAACCTTTTAGGTTTTAAAGCCTTAAATTTTGCTTAATAGCTGTCCCGACCCTAATGATGTCATAGATTTTTTCGAGCTTATTTTCAATCTAAAATTTGAAGACATCCTGATCGAGTATTCAAAAGTTGTACGACACTATAAATTGCTACGATATATTTATTTGGAGGTTCTTGAAATAAGATGGCCGATATTTTTACTATTCCTATTTTTTTGTTTGACTTGGCTAATTCATAATTTATCACCTCTCACTGGAAATGTGTTGTTTTAAATTTCTACATTTATTACCTAACTGCGAACTTAGATAACTAAAGAACGTACTGAATGTACATTTTTGTCCTATGTTTGTAGGATTTGTTATTTACTTTATCAAGCATTATCAAAGACACTGTCTAAACTGTCAAAATAACTTTATAAACCACTTAGGATTTAACTGTTATTCTAGTAACCTAGGTGAACGTGAACATTCAATACTTTATTTAAAAATACTTTCCTTTAAAAACACCTTCAAAAGTTTATAATATAAGGTAACAGAGGGAAGTTTAAAATATTCAATTCTCTTTGAACATGTCATATTTTATCCTATTATTAATATTTAATCTGTTTCTATAGAGCTTATTTTATGCAAGTCTCAATTTTTATTAATTATATAATTGATCTTCTGGAATAAGCTGCTTACCAACATTTAGAACTTGTCTTTTTCTACCAAAATATATTCTAATAGCAAATGATTAAATGGTATTAATCATGCAATGTATAAAATATATAAAATATGATATGAGATGATGATATATTGTTAATGTTAATTTGCAGGGAAAATGGGTAATAAATAGCCTAGGCTAGGACTGGTTCAATAATGTAACCTAATATCTATCTGGAATAAAAAGTTTTCAGCAGTTCAAACACTTGAAAAACTTTTTCAATTTGAGTTTGACAGACAAAGTTTTTCTTTTCTAGCTAATATGCCTTGAAGGAATAATAAATAAATATTAATAAAAAAAAATATAGTATTATTTAGGTGTAGCTATGGAACTTTAAGTTAATTTTTTTATTGTTTTAGTGTGTAATTTTGTGAGTCATGAAAAATGTTTGTTCCTAATTACAATGCCATGTAATTATCTTGCCAACACAGATATAAAGGTCAGTATCATTAGTTAAAGCTATATAATGAGAGTTTAGTTTTTCATGTGTGATTTCTGCTAATGAGGTCCTTATTATCTAACCAGCATCCTGTGGCTCACAGCTGGTGTCCATTAACTTCACTCAGACGAAAATTTTGTAATGTTTGTCGAAAGTTATTGAATGATTCCTCTGACTACAGTTGTGAAGGTCAGTTTATGTTGATCATGCATAAGTATGAAAATATAGTGGATAATATATGTCAAAAAATGCATGCTCATTGTTCTAATTTTTTGCCATTTTTACATCTTTCTATGAAATATATATATATATATATATATATATATATATATATATATATTCAATTAAACTACACATTCAAACTTCTAGACAAGTTCAAACTTCTAGATCATTACATTTTTTTGTGAGTTGAGACAAGTCATGCAATAATTAGTGTTTGATATGATTGATCGTAATAATTTGTGTATTTTCTCTAGTTTGTGAATATTATGTGCATAAAAGTTGTAAAGATTCAGCTGTAAACAATTGTAAAAGAAATGCAACATACAATCTGAAACAAACAAAGGTCATTCATTTTATTAGTCATATATATGTCAGTGTTATTATTGTTTAAAGTTATTTGCATAGAACCTGCAATAATTTCATTGAATATTTCAGGGGGAAAATAAACATCATTGGCAAGAAGGAAATCTTCCTTCAGGATCGAAATGTTTTTTGTGTAAAAAGTCTTGTAGTAGCTCAGAATGTTTGGCCAGTGTTAGATGCAAGTGGTGTTCAAAAACAGTAAGTTGTCATAATGGCCGGCGCATGATTTACAATGAATGGTTTGTAAAACTGACTGATGTGTTATTTTCTTATTAGGCCCACTCAGGATGTTATGTTGAAATAAATAAGCATTGTGACTTTGGTAAATTCAGTCATCTGATATTGCCTCCATATGCTGTATCTCTTGCAAATATTGCTTTATGGAGAAGAATGTCGAGTGAACATTGCAAGAATTGTAAGTTGAAATTTGTTTTCTTCTGACACCAACTACATGACGTTAAGCTTTTGTCTGGGTTAAAGATTCAAATGTTTAGATGTTTCTTCAAAAACTTTGTGTTATAGTTGGAAAAACACACAACCCAAATGATTGTTCTGGTGATATTTTACTGAGTGAACATATTGATTCTGACGATGAGTCTTTGGTTGACTCTCCTTCAGATTCAGGTGGGTTTTAAACAAGATTAGACAGGAAATTGGTGAATAATTTCCGGTAGTAAAGTTGTTTATTTCAATATAGTTCACAGTTCTGATGCAACAAACTCTATCAAAGTTTATGATGGTAAAATTGACAGTCCTCGGATGTTTAAAGTCGTTCATGCGTCAAGAACTTCAAAAGCCTCACAAGTCTTGGTAAGAAAATTTATTTTGGTATAGACTGTTAGACTGTGATAGACAAGCCCAGAATATCATGTTATTATGTTTAGGAAGAAGCATTGAGACTTTATCAAATCACTGATGATCCAGACAACTATTATCTTATAAAGACACTAGATCAATGTACGTTTTTATACTAACTTTAATTGTGTGTTTTGTTACCATCTGTTGAGATGGTTTTGTGGTAATTAAGATGTGATGATCATAACATTATATTATATTTCAACAGTTAGTGAAAGAGCACTTGATTCAGATGAGATGCCTCTTCAGTTTCCCCATCGTAATAAAGAAGCGATGATCTTTTTAAGAATAAAAGTAAGTTGTATTTTTTTATACATCAAAGATTGCGCATGCATTTACGTCCGGGGCCGGCCGGGCCTAGTGCATCAATTACAATTTGTTTGCGTCGTATTGATCTAGAAACGCCTGAGTTAGCGTCAGTAGATTCTTCTCATAATGTGAGAGAAGAAATGTTGCGACTAACTGGATATTTTTATAGATGTTATTACTAACTGGATATTTTGTCTGTTTTTTTCAGAATGCAGATAAGAGTGGCAATATTCGCGTTTACCTGGCCATGGATAGGTTGGTGGAAAGCTATGCCAATTCTGTTTTTGGGGGGTTTTGTTTAAAACGTTTCTCTTTTCTAGGGAGGGATCGTCTTTTAAGACGTTTAAAGTTCAGTCTACAACAACTGTTGAAGAAGTCGTCAAGAATGCGATAACTAAATTTTCTTTGGAGGTATCTACCGTTCCAAGTAACAAGGAATGTTAATGCTTTTTGTGTGTCCATTGATAAGACAATGTCAATCAACGGCATTTTTTTTAACCAGAACAAAAACCCTGAAGATTTTTCACTCATCATTACACATTTATACGATGGAGGTTAGTCGCAAACATCGTCTGTATTTGATGTCATACTCGCGGGTATAGCTATCTTTAATTTTTGTTGTTTAGTAAATGAACGAGTGATGGAAGAAGATGAATGCCCTTGGAAAATTTTAACGGAGATGAAAAGGGTACTCATATATGTTAAATATTACTTTCATTTCTTTCATGATCCATTAACTACGTACCTTGTGCTTTCCCAGAGATCAATTCGTGAAATGAAGTTCACTCGATTCTACTTACGACCAGCATACGAGCCTTCAAGCAGTGTTGTATTGTGTGTCAGTAATCTTCCAATGATGTTAAGACCAGACACGTACCCAAGCTTTCTCAAGGAGCATTTGCAACATGGTAGGATTTTCTCATTACACGCAACATTGATAAGACAATTAGAGAGCCGGCGCATGGCTGCATGAGCTTGGTAGCTAAATTAGGATTCTGACGGTGATTTCTGGTCTTAATTCAGGTGATTTCACGATAGAAGCTTTATATCCAAGTTCTGGTAAGTCGTTTGATTTCCATAGAGAGCTTATTTCTTACGAAGATGTAATCTTCAGGTAAATTATTCTTATCGTTCCTCGTTTTTTTCTCTTCAGGTACAGCGTTTTTATCTTTCACCTCAACAGACATGGCATCCAGAGCTATGAATGAGCTTCAGACTGCAACATTGAGCGGCAAAAGTTTATTTGTGAAGCTCCTTCCTGATATTCACGTATGTTTGTCGTCATATCTTTATTACATACATACATACATGCAGTGTGTCAGTTTATATTTATCATAAACCTCCATTTTCAGGTTGACGCACTGGGCGACAAAAGCAAGCCATTGTTGGTGTTGGTTAATGTTCGTAGTGGTGGTGGCCAAGGAAACGAATTGCTATTCGATTTTCAAAAATTGCTGAATCCTCATCAAGTCTATTCATTATCTGAGGGTGGCCCTTTACCTGGGTGAGTTTTTTATAGTATGCAGTATTCTCACAATATTGGTTCATTAAAGACGTCTATTAATATTTCCTGAAGCCTGGGGCACACTACTACACTGTCCACACCCACATGTCACTCGTGACAATTTTTACCTACAACGTATTCCTAATTTGCAGTGACGACATCATTATATTTTTGTCGTAAAAACGGAACAGGAATGTAGTCCCGTCAGACTAGGAAAAGTTGTTGGTCAAAATTGTGACGAGTGAAATGTGTGTGTGCAAGGTGTTCAAATATATGCCTAGGGTTATCATGGTTAACCATCTTGAATGGACAGTGTTTTTTCGCCAGTGTGAATATTTGTTACATTTTTTTAGTTTGTATGCATTTCGTCATCTGGAGTCATTTCGTATTGTTGCTTGTGGTGGTGATGGTACTGTTGGTTGGGTCTTGTCATCCCTTGATGAATGTTGCAAAGACTTGAAATGTCGTGATCCTCCAGTATCTATTGTTCCACTTGGAACTGGTAGGTATTATATGCGTTAATATTGTTGTATGCGTTAATATCAGTGGCGGATCTAGGGGAGTGCAGAATAAATTACACAGCTTAATTTTAGATTCAACACCTTAATAACAACATAGTTATAGGCTTGAAATCTACCAATGCGGTAATGCCTCGATTAATACTGGTATTACCTTGATTAATATTGGTATTACATGCGTTAATTTGGTATTACATGGTTTTGTGATGTTATCAGATGCAAATGTTAAATAATTTTTTGTTAGGAAATGATTTATCTCGTGTGTTACGCTGGGGTGCTGGTTACACTGGAAATGAAGATACTTCATCAATTCTTATGACAATCGATCAAGCTGACATCACTTGTTTGGATAGGTAACCCTCGGTGTTGTTTGGTCACAAGTTAATGAATTAATAGATTAGTGGATTAATATAACTTTGAATGTTATCTTTTAGATGGTTGATAATTTTCGAGTCATCCGATACGTCAGAGGAACCATCAACATCTGGTGAAGACTTGCCAAACAGTTTCGTTATGAATAATTATTTTGGAATTGGTTGCGACGCTGCCGTATCTTTGGATTTTCATCTTGCAAGAGAGGAGTCTCCAGAGAAATTCACCAGCAGGTATTTTATTTGGTCTTTTTTAATTCAGATCGTTCTGTAGGCTGGAATGACTTGTATTTTAGTTATTTTCGTTCGTAGTCAACTTCGTAATAGCGCATTTACATGTAGAGATACTTATTTCTTATTTCCCGTGGTTCAACATTTAGCTGTTAGATCCATAGCGATATTAATTTGACCTTTCTCTCTTAGGTTGCACAATAAAAGTGTTTATTTTCGGGTTGGTTTGCGGAATATGGTGAGGAAATCTTTGGACTTTAATGATAATGTATCATTGCAGGTGAGGATTTGATTTGGAATATATTTTGCTTGTTTTTTCTCTGATTTATTTCGCCTTTTTTTAGATTGATGATAACGATGTTGACCTGCCAACCATTGAAGGAATCATTCTTCTCAATATTCCCAGGTATTTTTTCCTAATTTAGTTTACTTTTTACCATTCTTTTTACACATGTACCCAGAAATCTCATTCGCTACAATTTTTCTGTTATAGCTGGGCAGGAGGTTGTGACATCTGGGGACAACACAATGATGATGTACGTTTTATTGTTACTTCTCATACTGTCGCAAGAACAGCACAGTGACTAAAATAACATACAATAAGGTCATCCCTTAATGGTTACATAGGTTATAACCAGATATGACCTAAAATAACCTCATCTCTCAATGGTTAAATATGTTATAACCAAATATGACCTAAAATAACGTCATCGCATGCTGCAGATTTCTCTGATCTAATGTTTTAATTTTTTAGAAATTTTCTACCTCGTCACCATGTGACAATTTACTGGAGGTCATAGGAATAACTGGAGTGATGCATATGGTATATAATAAAAGAATTACCATGGTTTATCATTAAACATTGTGTTATGACAGCTTTTTTTTCCCATCAGGGTCAAATAAAGAGCGGCATTAGAAGTGGCATAAGACTTGGTCAAGGATCAAAAGTATATAAGACATATTTTTCATTGATCTGTTGGCATAATATTGAGAGTTAACTTCACATTATTCTTGTTCACATTTAACTTAGATAAATCTAAAACTGAAGTCAGAATTTCCTGTTCATGTTGATGGTGAGCCTTGGTTCCAACCTCCAGGAAATATTGTCATACGACCAACACTTCGTCAGGTTTGTCATTTCCTGCTAAAACCTTTATAAACCTTAACTAATCTTATTGATCTTCCAATAAATAATTGCAATCAGTAGACGAGGAAAGCTTGTCCTTAACTGAAGCCACCTTAAGCTGGTCTTGAGCTTATCATTGACAGATTTTTTCATTTTATAGGCTAAAATGTTGCAGAGACATTCAAAATCGAGATCCATTAAAACAAACGAGCCAGGCAAAGCCCTTGTGAGTAGCACATTCTATAGTTTTGATGAGAGCGGGAATCTAGAAGATAGTTTTAGAGAAAAACATGATAGCTTGTGAAGTATTTATTAGTTTGTACATGTTAATTAACTAGAGCATGACATGTTCATGGATAAAGTCAAGATATTATAGATGTGATCAGGGAACACTATTGTGTATTGCTATATGCTGTAACTTGTACATGGAATTTCAACATAGTTTTCTCAAGAGATGATTAACTCCAAAGTTTAAGATATTTGATTTTGTACAAAAACTTCAAACAGTTGAATAGCAATGTGTTGCACACATAGACATAGAGGGATATGACTAAACTGTTCTAAAGAAAATGATAACACTCGTGACACAATAAAATATGTACAATATGTAACAAATATTATTTATTGATCTGATACTATATGTATATTATTGAAAAAATATTTGGTAAATGTATGTTGTAAATGATACCAAATGTTGTCGTGTAATAATGTCCACCTTTATCCAAATAGGAAATTTCAACATTTGTCCCACCTTAGTAATATAAATTAAAAGAAAAATCTCAGAGTATTATGAATAGAGCCAAATAGAGCAGCTCAAGAATGCCACCGTAAACTTTATAAAGAAACAAAAAACCAACAAAGTAAGCAAATTTTGGTGATAAAAATTGCGATCTATCAGTATTTTGTTATTGAAAGTATGATCATTTACAGGGTTGTAAAATTGTTTTATTTTTAATGTTTCCTCTTTCTGTGTTTCTTTTCATATTTTTCAGATTTAATCTTCTCCTCAGCAGCAGTCATCCTTTTGTAAAGCATCACTAGAACACCTAAGATAATTGCTGGCCAAATAGCAAAGTTTATAAATTTCCAAATGTTGTTTGCATTGAAAGCAGATAATTTGTCTAAGCCAACTAACTCTGTTTCAAATACCAAGGTTGCATCAGCTGTAAAAAAGAACAGAAAGTTTGCTAGGCCAATGTTTTGATAGACAAGTGTAAATTGAGATATATCTTTCATACTTACGTGGAATGGCGCCTTGAACTCCATTGGATCCATATGCAAGATCTGGTGGAATAATAAGCTTGCGTTTCTCCCTAACATAAAACAGTATGAATGAAAGAGCAATGTCAGGTAATGAAAATATTAATTAATAAATTAATTAAAACCTCACCCTACACACATCCCTTGAATTCCTGTCTCCCAACCTAAAAAAATTGAACAAATTTTGGTATTGGTTTCTTCAACCATTGTTTGCTGAGGAGCCTGATGACTTCTATGCTTCTGGCAATGGTAGGTGACATGATTCTGAAATGGTGTACAGTGGCATTTTTCTTACCTTTTATGACCTTACCCAGACCTAGCTCAAACTTTATTGGCTCTCGCTTGGCTACAATTGATGAATCAAATATCTGGCCATTTTCCAGCTTACCCTAAAATAAACACAGGAATAAAATAAGGATATGGCGATATGCTTTGTAATTGAATACCATAATTTCTCATGGTGGTAAAGTTACTTATAGCATACAGTATAATGCACAGCAACTGAATCTCCGTTTTCTGCTGTTTTTGAACAATCGACAGGTTTTGACTAAAGTAGAAAAAATAAAACGGACATTGCACTATCAAAACTAACATAGTTTCAGGTTCCAGTAGGAAATATATTAGATGGAAATTGTTGAAACATCATACCACAGATATGATTTCAAGTTTTTGTTTCTTCTTAGCAGCGCAAAGGCATGAAAGAAACAAAAGTATTAAACAATAATCCATGTAAAATTTCATGTTTGGAAATATATAAATATGAAAATTATACTATATATAGTCTATATAAACAAGATGAAACAAAGCAACAGGGATTGTTTGTGATATTTATGGATAGCAATTGTGAATGAATCAAGATAAAAGTTTTGCATTTCAACATTTTTTTATAGTAACCTCTGGGATGTATGTTTAATAAACTTCTCGAAGTATTTCCATCGAAATATTTAATTTAAATTCGACGTTTTGAAAGAAGTGAAAACTTTGAACCACTGAGCCATTACCACTCAACCCCTTATTATCCCTAAATACCCATTTAACAAAATGGCGGTCGAAAATGAATTTATTTGTAACGAAGTAAATGAACAGTTTTCTCATTCTGAGTTTATTGCTTTAGCTCTGAACACTGTCTCTGAGATTGTCAAAGATCCTTTATTAAAAGACTTACACAGTGAACCAAGTGTAGAAGAAGTAAACTCTCAAATAGCTCTTGAACATGGAAAAGCAATAACTGTTAACGTTTTACAACAAAACGAAGAAAACAATGTTTTACGTAGGTTCCTAGATTAATGTACTGGTAAATATGTTAACGTGCTCCAGTTCAACTACTCGTCTAACTCATCTTACGACTTGTTCAGTATCAGGCATGAATGGACGAAGGATCTTTCGACGAAGTAAACTTTTATAAAATAATAAAATCAGGGTTTTGTTCATTTTGTAGCTGTAGTTGTTCCTTTAAAAGCTAAAGTAAAAGATCTGAAAAAAGCAATCCAACGACATTTAACACTGAAACAAACAAGAGAGGGTGGAACAACGTATATAAGTTGGTATGAATGTTTCTGTTTCCTAATTTCATATATTGATGATAAATTAAGACGTTTTTATATCCTTAGGAGGCATGTTTGGAGAACATACTGGTTAGTCCATGATGGTGAAAAATTAACAGACAATGAAAAAACTATTAAAGAGTAATATTTTCATATCTATTTTTTCTTTTCAAATATGTTGTTCCACCTTGATGCCTGACTGGAAAGTATGCAAACTGCGCAACCTAGATTTCAAAAAAGTACTAGTAAATGTATAGGAGACATCAAATTGCGCGCCCAATATCTAGGTTGCGCGATACAAACTTTTCACACTGGCCTTGATGTGACCCCTAATAACTTGTACATGTTATCAGTGCATTTTTTCTAAGCATTAATCTAATAATATTAACCTAATAACATCTCGGGATTAATACTGATGTATAATTAATTTGTTTTTTTAGGTATGGGATCAAGAATAAAGCTGTGGTAACATTTGGTAAAAGATTAAGAAGAAAATGATATTTGTGGTCACTATATATTATATTAGTTTATTGAATTTCTCAGTTTGCCATATAAACGTGTCTGTAGCAGGGCAAAGTTTACTTTCCAGGAACCTGAGAGCATTCTTCATTTCCTCATATAAATAATTTTAACAATGAGCTATAATATTTGAAAGATTGCAAATAAAAAATTATTTGACTAAATGCTGTCTTTCACATCAATTCTTCCTACAGTAAGTCTACAATATTCAATACTTTGTTATGGGAAAGGCAGTGGCGTAGCCAGCCTGAAGATTTAGTCATGCTATGCAAATTTTATGTTTTTATCATTATTCATTTCTTTAGAAATTTATTGTTTTTACAGTCGATGAACACCAAAATATTAGCATAGCTTGACTAAATTGTCGGGCTGGCTACGCCACTGGGGACAGGTATATATTTTCTGATTTGAAATCAGTCCAGCTTTTACAGTGCAAATGAGGTTAGACTGGGACACAACAGGATAATAAAATTGTCTGATCTATTTAGCATATTCAATCACATTAGAGTTGAGAAAGTGGGTGCTCTTTTTTCAAGTCTCGTTCTTCCCACAAAGTCATCCCAGTACATGCGCAGAACTTTTTCGTGTTTTGAAATAATCCAGCTGACCTTGCAATAATACCACATGCAAGTCTAAGAAAAAACAATGTTTAATGAATTTGGGCATGCCTAAGATTTCTCTGTGTACTTTTTTATAATTATGGTACAAACCTGAGTCCAGAGTTGCCATCAATTTTTGATTGTGGATTGTTTTCCCTTCCTAAATCATCTTCATGTTCACTCACAACAATTGATCGACCAATTACATCCCACACCTAAAAATATTAAACACAATTAGTTCTGTATTTCTATCTTGATGCTTAAAGCTTTTTGATTACAGTAATCAAGATTATATTCCTGTTGACATACCTTAACATCATAACTTTCCAAACGAAACTGTGCACGCTTTTTTTTATCTGCAATTATGTTTCCCAAATCACCAATATGCTGAAGAATAAATTAAATATGATTATATTTATATTATGAGGAGCTTGAAATTTAACAAAGATAGGATTAGAAATATTATCCTTTCACCTTTTCTTCATCAAACATTCCTCCATGTTCGCAGTTGTTTGGATTGTAATGATCCCCTAAACTAAAATAAAATAAAAGTATTTGAGCAAATAGCTTACTTTTAAAAGATGTTATGTGGTTTCATAGGTTGATTGGATTTAACCAGTTTCACTACCTTTCACAGCCATTAGAAATATCACCCAGCTCATGTATGTGTAGTCCATGTGCACCTGGTTGTAGTTCATCTATAGTACCATCAATTATACATCTTTTGTTATCAACCTAAAAGTAATAACCATAAAACCATGAGTTGCAGATAATGATAATAGAGATATTCCTGTAATCACACCTAAAATAATCATGCTTACTTGAACAAACCGTATTACACCTTGAATGTTATTTTCACCGGACATAATTGCAACAGCGGCTCCAATATGGAATGTACTCCTATCTATTGAAATATACTTGCAGTATAAAATGCAATTGGTTATAGATATTATAGAGACGATTCAACTTGTACAGCTTCATAGCAGGAGTTTTGTCATAAACAATTAATTATCACCTTGTGTTGCACCATGGCCACGCAATATCGCTTTTCTTCCTGTCTGCTCAAGGATCTGTTGTATCAAACCAGAAGGCAAGTTTGTTTCTACTGTTACTTGTTCATCATGTAAATTAATGTTGAAAGATTCAACTCCTGTAATAATGGGATACATTGGATATATATGTATGTCTATTTCAGCAATTAGATGTCAAATATATATTAATACCTTTTGCTGACTCTAGTGCTGCCTGAATGCTCAAGACACAACTTTGGCAAGTCATCTGAACAGCAAACTCCATCTTAAGACAAAACAAGCACTAATTTAGCTATAGGACTGTTGAAATTTCTGAAATGACCCCTAGCACCTCACCCAAAAGATCCCTAATATGTAGATCTACCTAACCTTACCTTAGTTAAACTGTTGCCTTCTGACCCAGCCATTTTCCTTGTTTGAAGTTAGTAAAGTCTCCTCTATAGTTACTGATAGTTACTGCATATTAGCAGTACTAATTGCAAATTAACTGAGAAGAATGGACCAATCAGAAATAGTATGTTTAATAAGGTTGTAGATTTATATTATTTTTCACACAAATTATCCAGCTGTCCAGTGTATATTAAGGTCATTGGGCCCCACTGACCTATAAATGTGGGTAGGGGGCCACTGAGCTATATAATAATTCCTGGAGGAGCCTGTTCTGCGGGCAGTGAGGCTATTTCAGATCCGCCTGAGCACCAATTATTGCGAGGTTTATCAAGAATTTGCTTAAATTTGTTCTGTTTTAGGTTGCAAACACTACCAAACAGTGAAATAAAAATATGAAACATTATCCCACTCAAAAATAGGATATAGTCCAGAAGAATCGAATTCACTGGTCATAATAAATACAGGTCAGTGGTCTATTGCATTGTGGGCAATGTGGTGTGACCAAATTAGCCAATCACAAGCTGCAGTTTCGGTCATGTGACAGTTTTTGGCAGATTGAGTGATCGACACTCGACAGTCAGTTTTCAAGACCATGTGGACGATGCGGTGGAAAGGAAATTCGCTCTTCGTTGCAAGAAAAGAAAACCAGGTGTGTATATCTCTGAATACTCTGCATAAAAAGAACGCAGATATTATTCAAACAATGTTTCAAATATTTAAATAGTTATTAAACACTTTTTTGTCTATTTCATTTTAGGCCGAAATCCGTCGACGAAAGCTGGATTCAATGTTCCTGAGTTGTACAGTATGTATTATTGTGTCTTATCTGTTAGTTATTGAACTAAAACGTTTATCAGCAAAGCTAGAATTAATTCTCTTGTATGATAGAATAAAGCTAGAATTGTTCTGCCTTCAGTATTCGTACCAATAAGTGTCAATTATTAAGTCAATAAGTCTAATTTTTCAGCCTATTGTGCGTTCCGCTTGCACGTGTTTTCACACTAAGCGCCGCCGTTTAGAGCATATTGTTTTGATTTTTTAAGTTTCCTTTGTTGTAAGCAAAGCTAGAATAGCTTCAGCATAGTATTCGTAATGATTTCTACAAATTTGCAGAAGAATTAGGTCTAAATTTTCATTTTTTCTATCGAGTTTCCATGTTGCGACGCCGGTGTCCTTTTCAACTGTTGTAGTCGCCGCCGTTTGACTTTTAGACCGGCAGTAGCGTAGCCAGCCTGTCGATTTGTTCCGCTATGCCTATGCTGATATTTTTATGTTCACTGACTGTGAAAACAATAGATTTTTAAAGACATGAATAATTCTAATAACTCGAAATTTGCAAATTTTCAGCTTTTCTTGCGAATATCCATGACCATGTGTGTGTTTTTGCAACGCCGCGGTGTCGGCTTTTTTAAACTGTTGTAGTTTTAACTTTTAGTTAGTTTTTAAGCTTTCTTATATTGTAAGGAAAGATAAAGTAGTTCTGCCGGAGTATTCGTATCAACCCACAGAAGAATTAGGTCCAAATATTCAGCCGGTTTCTAGCGAGTTTCCGTGCGTGTTTCCGTGCGTGTTTGCAACGCCGGTGTTTTTCAACTTTGTAGTCACCGCCGTTCAACTTTTAGATCATATTGTTTTGGTTTAAAGCTTTCTTATATTGTAAGCAAAGATAAAGTAGTTCTGTCTGAGTATTCGTATAAATTTGCAGAAGAATTAGGTCCAAATTTTCAGCGTTTCTAGCGAATTTGCTTGTGCGTGTTTTTGCGACGCCGGTGCTGGTGGTCTTTTTTACTGTTGTAGACTTGAGTCGCCACCGTTTAACTTTTAGTCTTTTATAGCATATTGTTTAGTTTTTCAAGCTTTCTTATATTGTAAGCAAAGATAAAGTAGTTCTGTCTGAGTATTCGTATCAATTTGAAGAAGAATCAAGTATTTTTTGGTGTATTGGGGCCGCCATGAGGGGCTTCTTACTGTTTAGATCTCGCCGCTCGCCGTCTTTTTTCAAATGAAGGTCTTGAGCACGAGGCATTTATAGCTATACGATAAATAATAGACGTTTGCAACTGATATCACTGCAATAAGAAATTAATGTATTATGCATGTTTATATAAATAAATGCGTTTGATTTAAAAGCATTCATAATCATTCAGCTATTTGATCGCGTAAAAATGTGATTTTGCATGCATGTGCTTTGACCTTTGTGCCATTTTCCGGTGTTCAGTAAAGGCAAATTAGATTAACAATATTTAACTAAAATTTGCTTGGTGTGTCAAAAGGTGAAAAATGGGCGTTCAAAAACCCCAAATGACATGCGCCTAATCAAAAGGGGGCTTATTAACAAGGCCAAATGACAGGTGCCTATAAATCGTTTTTAACTGACCCAGACAAACGTAAGAAACGATTCTACTTTTTCGCGACAAATTTTTTTGCAAACCAATCACATCACCAGTGTTTCTTAAACGCACCTTTGAAATGTCCTTAATCTTGCATTGCGGAATATTCTTTCTATTTTATGTGAAAAACCTGATGTTATGTTTAGACTGATTTGTATTTCTGAAAACTTACATTTTCTCTACTTTGTGTTTTGAGTGGTATACCAAATCTATTTTCTGATTTGAAACGAATACAATAAACCAACATAGAAACACTATTGTAGTATTCCTACTTGAAACTGGGAGTATTTATTGGAACACCCTACAGTAAATAATCCTGTACAAACATATACTACCATCAGAAGTATGGATTGATAGGTACGTACATAGGTGCTTATACTGTACTTATTATCACTCTTTCATTTATTAATTTTAGTTGTGATGATGGAGAAATGTTACCATTTTGCATGCAAATACAAAATCTAAAATTAAATTCAAACCAGACATTTTATGAAATCAAAATCAAACCAAACATTTTATGATATTTCCAGACATTTGAGGCTCCTCTGTTTTTAATTTTCAATTTTTGGATTGCATGCAGTACAGATCCCAACCCTTGGTTATATCTTGCATGTTTTGTCAGGAGTAATGAGTAAGTATAATTGATCAGGGGCCCGGGTCATTTATACTTTCTGTATGCTCGACTGACCTAGTCTGGCATAGGCAAAATATTGCTCTTGGAGCACACAAAAAAAGAGATGCATGTTGAGATTAAAAAGGGGGTATAATAGTCGAGTGTTAAATGTCTGTCTCATTTTTGAATGAATGCATGTGTTAAATCTTGCTAAATTTGCATGTAATTTCGAAAATGCATGAAAATTTTGTATTCGCATGTACAATGAGCGTCGTGGTGAAGATGATGTTGGTGGAGCTCATGCAGGTAACATACCATAGGTGAGCTTGTTTCATATCATTTCAGATGTTAAGAAATGAATCATTTCAGATGATGATGGACCAGCCGATGATGACAGATGATGATGGACCACCTGATGATGATGATCAGCAGACGATGACAGATGATGATGGACCACCCGATCAGCAGACGATGACAGATGATGATGGACTGCCCGATGACAGAAGATGATGGACTGAAGACTAGTTTGATGGGTGGTATTATTCAGTTTTCTTGCATTCTATCCTGTGCATGCTTGTTTTCTTGGTGGTCTGCACTGAATGTGTAATACATTAAGTGAAATTACTATTTACCATTTTGACATTGATGACAAATAAAAATTCCGGATTGCATGCAGAACAATTAAATTAATATATACAGCATGTTTGATTCTTATTTGAAAATGCATGTTCCTGTTTTATCACTTAATGTGTAATGCAATTGGTGAAATTAATGCATGATATTACTGAAGTATCCAATGGTGCGGCTAAAAATGATGAAGCATGAACTCAACTTGAAGAATGGAATTCTTACAAAGGTAACTGTGAACAAGAACCAGGTACGAATATGATTGTATTTGTTTGTTGGCACATAAGGCATTGGCATCAAAAATTTGCAACAAAATATCACAGCTAGTAATGCGCCACAAGATTGATTTCTGTAAGTGCATGTGCGAATGAAAATAGCCAAAATAATAGCATGAATTATAGGTGGTTGATGTATTTTAACAGGTATCAGATCCAAAATTAGCTGTGAAATATTTCGGTTATGCATGCCATAATTTAACATAAATTACATTGTTCTAATTAGGGTAATTGGCTTTCTAAGTGCATGTGACGGTAAAAATATTTGCTAGAGTAATTTATAATAGCATGATTATAGACGACCGTATTCTTACATGTATAAGATCAACAATTAGGTGTAAAAATATTTTGTTTATGCATGCTACAACATAGAACACAATAACACATTGCTCTAATTAGGGAAATTGACTTTCTAGGTGCATGTGACAGTAAAAATAATTGTCTGAGTAATAGCATGATTATTTACGACCGTACAGTTAATTCTTACATGTATAAGAGCAAAAATTAGCTGTAAAAAATTTTGTTTATGCATGCCACAACATAAAATACATTGCTCCAATTAGGGTAATTGACTTTCCAAGTGCATGTGATGGTAAAAATGATTGCATAACATGTATAAGATCAAAAATTATCTGAAAAATATTTTGTTTATGCATGCCACAACATAAAATACATTGCTCTAATTAGGGAAATTGACTTTTAAGGACTTGCAAAACCAGTTAAGTAAATTATAAATACAATATATTACAATAAATTTTTATTTATTTCTATATATCAAGTAAAAATAGTTGCCAAATAGTTAGCAAGTTTAGTTAAATATTACCGGCCGGTATAGACAGCAGATTAGTTTAGTTTTCATAGGATAGTGAATGGTAATAGTTTAGTTTAGCTATGCTCTATAAGGATTTTTTTACTTCTAATCTATCAGAGTGCACATTGAAACCTGGAACTTTAATAAATGAAATAAATTTTTATTTATCAGTTTTTATTTTCGAAGTTCTTGGGAAAGCATGAAAATAGCATATAGAAATAGAAATTGATGATATTTTGATGGTTAGAATAAATTCGAATCTTGAATAGAATAAAGTTTGTTAATTAAGGGTGAAAGTTAATTAGAATAAATTTGTGAATGGAATAATGATCTATTATTATTATATATTATTATGTTGAAATATCACCGTAATTCTTCTAAATTGGATTTCTGGAACTTCAAAAAAATTGTTCTGGTTTTTGAAATGTTGCTTGCAAAATAATCAACACAATAGAGAGTAATTTGACTACGTCTACAATTGTACTGATCTCTATGTAGTATTATTACGTTTGTCAAATCTTTGCAACTGATCTCTAACAGCTAATTAACTGAAATAGTGAGAGTTACACGCGCTCGATTTTTTTGCCACTGATCTCTATACAGTCACTGGATAACATGCTTATATTTCTGCATCTGATCTCTATGTAGCAACTGAACAACGCTATTGCAACTGATCTCAATAGATTAATAGGAATATCGATTTGACCAGGATAAATAACGATAGTCATCGATTGTAACGATGGATTTATGATGATATAGATTTTAATGATGTTTTACGTTGGCCAGGTTTTATAACAATGTTAAGATATTACTAAAATTTTCTAAGGACTTGCAAAATCAGTTTGAATAGATTGATGCAATTCACTTCGGCCAGGTAAGGTTTTATAACGATGATCATATTAATTACCAAAATCCCCATTACCCATAGGTATATTTTTGATGCCATTGCGTTAAGCATGTTATGTCAATTTCAATAAATCTTTGTGCATGTTTCAGACCACCAGGATCATTTGACGAACCCTTAAAAATTGTGTGGCAATTTTTAAAGATTGGTCAGATGAAAAACATTGATAATGTATAATGTAACACCATGAAAAATAGTCCACATGGTTGCCAGATTATCTCTGAAAATTGATAAAATTCAAGTACAAAAATAACTGGCAAACCTGCCCCAATTAATTATTGCGGAATTTCCAACTAAAAATACCAAAATGTCGGACCAGACCAGTAACCTGAGATCCGGATTTCATGTTGTGGTCAGGAGGGTTTTTCTCCGGGAACTCCGGTTTCCCTCCATTTCATGTTTGGCAAAAAACAGTGTCCATGTCTGGGGCCAAACAATGATCTATAGTGAATTCTATTTTTTCATTAAACAGTGCTGTTATGTTTGGCCTCTGGGTTAAAATCCCAGAACACTGCCTTATTGTGTTAAAATACAGGGGCAACTGCTCTCTGTCCTTTTACTCACAGGTGCAAGGGGGGATGCACCCACTTCTATTCAGATTGCTTTAAAACTTATTAATAAATTCCCTAGAAATGGCACAATCCACTTGACAACTGTCCCAGTGTAGCGTATATTTGGATATACATACTGAGTGGTCAGCATGGATCCTGAAGATTTCAAGTTTAGGTTGATGAAAGTATTTTTTAGACCAGGAAAGTTAAGATTATTGTATCATTGTTAAAGTGATTGATTTATTGAAAGGTTTCCACTAAAATATGGCTAAATTCATTTTCATTTTTGTAATTTGCAACATTTGATCATATAATGTAGTCAGATCCTGAGAGTCTAAAAGCTCTTGTATCGAAAGTTTCAAGGTGGATCGTTGTCAACTGCTGGAAGCCTGTCGAAGCGTGTCAAAAATTTGCAACAAAATATCACAGCTAGTAATGCGCCACAAGATTGATTTCTGTAAGTGCATGTGCGAATGAAAATAGCCAAAATAATAGCATGAATTATAGGTGGTTGATGTATTTTAACAGGTATCAGATCCAAAATTAGCTGTGAAATATTTCGGTTATGCATGCCATAATTTAACATAAATTACATTGTTCTAATTAGGGTAATTGGCTTTCTAAGTGCATGTGACGGTAAAAATATTTGCTAGAGTAATTTATAATAGCATGATTATAGACGACCGTATTCTTACATGTATAAGATCAACAATTAGGTGTAAAAATATTTTGTTTATGCATGCTACAACATAGAACACAATAACACATTGCTCTAATTAGGGAAATTGACTTTCTAGGTGCATGTGACAGTAAAAATAATTGTCTGAGTAATAGCATGATTATTTACGACCGTACAGTTAATTCTTACATGTATAAGAGCAAAAATTAGCTGTAAAAAATTTTGTTTATGCATGCCACAACATAAAATACATTGCTCCAATTAGGGTAATTGACTTTCCAAGTGCATGTGATGGTAAAAATGATTGCATAACATGTATAAGATCAAAAATTATCTGAAAAATATTTTGTTTATGCATGCCACAACATAAAATACATTGCTCTAATTAGGGAAATTGACTTTTAAGGACTTGCAAAACCAGTTAAGTAAATTATAAATACAATATATTACAATAAATTTTTATTTATTTCTATATATCAAGTAAAAATAGTTGCCAAATAGTTAGCAAGTTTAGTTAAATATTACCGGCCGGTATAGACAGCAGATTAGTTTAGTTTTCATAGGATAGTGAATGGTAATAGTTTAGTTTAGCTATGCTCTATAAGGATTTTTTTACTTCTAATCTATCAGAGTGCACATTGAAACCTGGAACTTTAATAAATGAAATAAATTTTTATTTATCAGTTTTTATTTTCGAAGTTCTTGGGAAAGCATGAAAATAGCATATAGAAATAGAAATTGATGATATTTTGATGGTTAGAATAAATTCGAATCTTGAATAGAATAAAGTTTGTTAATTAAGGGTGAAAGTTAATTAGAATAAATTTGTGAATGGAATAATGATCTATTATTATTATATATTATTATGTTGAAATATCACCGTAATTCTTCTAAATTGGATTTCTGGAACTTCAAAAAAATTGTTCTGGTTTTTGAAATGTTGCTTGCAAAATAATCAACACAATAGAGAGTAATTTGACTACGTCTACAATTGTACTGATCTCTATGTAGTATTATTACGTTTGTCAAATCTTTGCAACTGATCTCTAACAGCTAATTAACTGAAATAGTGAGAGTTACACGCGCTCGATTTTTTTGCCACTGATCTCTATACAGTCACTGGATAACATGCTTATATTTCTGCATCTGATCTCTATGTAGCAACTGAACAACGCTATTGCAACTGATCTCAATAGATTAATAGGAATATCGATTTGACCAGGATAAATAACGATAGTCATCGATTGTAACGATGGATTTATGATGATATAGATTTTAATGATGTTTTACGTTGGCCAGGTTTTATAACAATGTTAAGATATTACTAAAATTTTCTAAGGACTTGCAAAATCAGTTTGAATAGATTGATGCAATTCACTTCGGCCAGGTAAGGTTTTATAACGATGATCATATTAATTACCAAAATCCCCATTACCCATAGGTATATTTTTGATGCCATTGCGTTAAGCATGTTATGTCAATTTCAATAAATCTTTGTGCATGTTTCAGACCACCAGGATCATTTGACGAACCCTTAAAAATTGTGTGGCAATTTTAAAGATTGGTCAGATGAAAAACATTGATAATGTATAATGTAACACCATGAAAAATAGTCCACATGGTTGCCAGATTATCTCTGAAAATTGATAAAATTCAAGTACAAAAATAACTGGCAAACCTGCCCCAATTAATTATTGCGGAATTTCCAACTAAAAATACCAAAATGTCGGACCAGACCAGTAACCTGAGATCCGGATTTCATGTTGTGGTCAGGAGGGTTTTTCTCCGGGAACTCCGGTTTCCCTCCATTTCATGTTTGGCAAAAAACAGTGTCCATGTCTGGGGCCAAACAATGATCTATAGTGAATTCTATTTTTCATTAAACAGTGCTGTTTATGTTTGGCCTCTGGGTTAAAATCCCAGAACACTGCCTTATTGTGTTAAAATACAGGGGCAACTGCTCTCTGTCCTTTTACTCACAGGTGCAAGGGGGGATGCACCCACTTCTATTCAGATTGCTTTAAAACTTATTAATAAATTCCCTAGAAATGGCACAATCCACTTGACAACTGTCCCAGTGTAGCGTATATTTGGATATACATACTGAGTGGTCAGCATGGATCCTGAAGATTTCAAGTTTAGGTTGATGAAAGTATTTTTTAGACCAGGAAAGTTAAGATTATTGTATCATTGTTAAAGTGATTGATTTATTGAAAGGTTTCCACTAAAATATGGCTAAATTCATTTTCATTTTTGTAATTTGCAACATTTGATCATATAATGTAGTCAGATCCTGAGAGTCTAAAAGCTCTTGTATCGAAAGTTTCAAGGTGGATCGTTGTCAACTGCTGGAAGAAAGTGATATGGTGCGTCTCAGTCCAGAAATGGGACAATGCTCTATGCTTGACTTAGCTGAGAGATCTTGGATATAGTTAACGTCAAAAAGCTGGTTCTAACTCTCATGTCTTCCTTCAGCAGTGGCAAACAAGATCAAGTTCAGAGCAAAAGCTTGGGCCACGATTCAGAAGACCGTCAAAATGTTCCTCGTGTGGAAATAACACCAGCCAAGGTATATCAGGAGTTTACAAAATTCTACCGAGGGCAATAAAACTATTCCACCGAAATCTCTTATAAGGCCAACTATTTCAAATATTCATAATTAGTTAATGAACCACAAACTTATTAGACCATGTGTTTTGTTTTTCACAGATATAAAGGAATGATTATGATTAAACTCAACCTCTAGGAAGAACAATTTAGAACTGATAGAGCTATCCAGTATAAATAAAGTTAGTTCAGTTTAGTTTTCCTCCTGTAGTAACACTGGATCAATAAGAGATATGATCCTTACTGGACCTCTAGGAAGAACAGTTTAGAACTGATAGAGCTATCCAGTATAAATAAAGTTAGTTTAGTTTAGGTTTCTTCCTGTAGTAACACTGGATCAATAAGAGATGATCCTTACTGGACCCCTATGAAGAACAGTTTAGAACTGATAGAGCTATCCAGTATAAATAAAGTTAGTTTAGTTTAGGTTTCTTCCTGTATTAACACTGGATCAATAAGAGAGATGATCCTTACTGGACCTCTAGGAAGAACAGTTTAGAACTGATAGAGCTATCCAGTATAAATAAAGTTAGTTTAGTTTAGGTTTCTTCCTGTATTAACACTGGATCAATAAGAGAGATGATCCTTACTGGACCCCTATGAAGAACAGTTTAGAACTGATAGAGCTATCCAGTATAAATAAAGTTAGTTTAGTTTAGGTTTCTTCCTGTAGTAACACTGGATCAATAAGAGAGATGATCCTTACTGGACCCCTATGAAGAACAGTTTAGAACTGATAGAGCTATCCAGTATAAATAAAGTTAGTTTAGTTTAGGTTTCTTCCTGTATTAACACTGGATCAATAAGAGATGATCCTTACTGGACGTCTAGGAAGAACAGTTTAGAAAGAACTATATCCAGTATAAATAAAGTTAGTTTAGTTTAGGTTTCTTCCTGTAGTAACGGTTGGGGGTAATTCTACAACACCTCCACTGGCGGTTTCCTCATTGTTTCAATGTAGTTTCAGGTTTAAAAACCGACAAGAATGTTCTGACCAAACAGATTTTTGATATCGAAAAGGAAATATCAGCTGCTATGCAGAAAATCAAGGTTAGAAGACGTGTTGCAATGCTGCCTCAGGAACTTATCAAGGAGTGTTGTTGAAGGCCCGTCTGTTATGTATCATTGTTCATCTAATAATCTCTTGGTGCTGCATTTTAGAACACGATAATGAGCCGTGATCAGATCGAGAATCTCCACCGTGGTCTTGTGGCGAAGGTGGACAAACAAGTCGTAGATTTACAGAAGCAAAAAGAACTTCAGAAGAAGAGGGAGGAAGAAGAGAAGTTGAGGAAAATCAAAGAACAGATGGAACTGGAAAGAAAAAGGCGAGAAGAGGAGGAAAGGAGAAGAAAAAAACTCGAAGAAGAAGCGAGAATGTAAGTTTAAAATTATCAAGTTTTACATTCAACGATATCCTCTTCTTTTTCCTCCCTCGTCGAGTGAAGATATGATAGTTTTTCTCGGAATAACTATCACACAAGATGATCCAAAATGGCGGAATAGATTTTGACTATTTGTCAAAGAAAAATCAAATTCTCGGTTGAAACAACTTAATATCACTTGAAGTATATACTAAACATAATCACGAAATTTCGGCTAGTTTCATAAAGAATAACAAAAGATATAATGGATTTTTGAAAACCCTGCTGAGGACTGATTGGCTAGAATATGAGCGCTGGCTGTGTACCATATTTAAATGTTTACATCTTGTTTTTTGTGTGTTTTAGTAAAGCTGAAATGGAAGCCGAAAGGCGAAGGGCAGAAGAGGAAGAAATGAAACGACGGGAACTTGAAAAAGCGAAACAGGTTTTGAGCATTACTACGATGAATAAATATAATTATTTTCAAAGCTTTTTATGTATTAATGTCGTACCATACTTCATCACCTCTGACAATATTTTTACCGTGAATCTTTCCTGGTTTTTTTAGAAAGAAATTGAGGAACAATTAAGGAAAGAAGAAGAAGAGGCAAAATCTCGGTTTGAACTTATTTTTGTTACCATAAACATCTTTGCGAGGTTTTACAAAAAAATTCCCGAGTCCTTTTTATAGACTCACACGTAATGCTTTAAATCTGATATTTTTTTAAATGTAAAATTTTATTATTTCAGACAAGCTGCTCTTGAACAAGAGAGATTAGATCACGAACTGGCCTTGCGTTTGGCAAAGGTATTATATCACAATATTTTTTCAATTTCTTTGGCGATTAATACTACAAAATGCTTCAGTTTATTCAACTGTGCGGAGGTTTATTTTCATTTTCTGCTAGACCGAATTAAGCCTATACTAATTTTTTCTCATTTTAGGAATCCAATTTGAATGTAGAACCCATGGAGGAACAAAAAGCTATTATAAGGTAAATTTATATTTTATAATATTGTATAGCTCTATCAGTTCTAAACTGTTCTTCCTAGAGGTCCAGAGTAAGGATCATCTCTTATTGATCCAGTGTTACTACAGCAGGAAACTTAAACTAAACTAACTTTATTTATACTGGATAGCTCTAACAGTTTTAAACTGTTCTTCCTAGAGGTCCAGTAAGAATCATCTCTTATTGATCCAGTGTTATTACTACAGGAGGAAACCTAAAGTAAACTAACTTTATTTATACTGGATAGCTCTATTAGTTATAAACTGTTCTTCATAGAGGTCCAGTAAGGATCATCTCTTATTGATCCAGTGTTACTACAGGAGGAAACCTAAACATACTTTATTCTGATCAGCTATCACAAACAAGATACTAAAAAAATGAACTTGTTTTGCTACAGAGCAGCTTCCTTGAAAGATCCGAATAAGAAATATGACCTGAGTAAATGGAAATACGCTGAGTTAAGAGACACCATCAACACCTTGTGCGGTATGTGTTGTTGTCATTACTTGGTTCCTGTGGAAAGGTTATTTTTAAATAAAAAAAGGACTTCTGTTTTTGTTTTTCTAGATGTCGAGTTATTACAAGCTTGTAAACAAGAGTTCCATCCCCGTCTTAAGGTTTATCATAAGTGGAAAAAAAATACGGCATCGAAGTCAACAGGTCAAAGTGCTGGTGATCAAAGAGCACCTCAAGAGGTGTGGAAGAAGGTTAGGAAATAGTTAATATCAACATTATATGCTTTTATTCTAACAAGAAGATTTATCAGTTCTGAACTGTTGTTACTATAGGAGGAAACCTAAACTAAACTAACTTTATTTATTCTGCATGGATAACTCATTTAGGAAATTCAGCATTGAAGAAATCAAAGGAAAATATTTTATATCGATCGTCAGGTAAACAATTATTGGTAACCAAGGATGCATGTGGTAAGACTTCCCTTATTGATACATTCAATGCTGGTAAATTTCCATCAATTACCTCTGTGTCTTGTTACTCTTGAGTCTTGTTACAAGCTAATGACTGTGAATAATATTCCTGTGGAGTTTATGATATAATTGCGGTAGAAGATTATGAAGATGTTAAGACAAGATCTTTAATGTAATGTTATTCGGTTGAGTCAAAAGAAAGTTTTGAAAGTCTTTCCAGTGTATGGTGGCCAGAGATCAGTGCTGCTCACATAAGGAAACCATTATTATTAGTTGGACTAAAAAAGGAGCTTCGTCCTGGCAAACAAACGCATGAACTGAGTACGTAAAAGCTATTGAAGGTAAAAAACTTGCAAAATATATTGGTGCTGTATGTTTTTAAGAGTGCTCATCAGTTACTAATGAAGGAAACAATGAGATTTTTGAAATGGCAGTAAACAAGTGAGAGATTGTAGTAAAAAAGAAAGGGGAGCTCAAAAATCAAGCTTGGGTGTATATCTGTTCTTGCAAGACAAACTAATGAAGTATTTGAAATTTAAATCATTCTATATTTCAAGTTTGCCCTGAATACCTGAGATGTTTGGAATGACACTGGAAAAGGATACAATTTTGTAGTTAGGTGTGCAATTTTCCACGGGCAGAGAGGGTCGGCTGACGGCTATTTTCCATTTACAAAACACTCAGAATCTTATAAAGGACAAAGCAGACTGAGAAAATAAACAGGACCCTGAAATAACTCAAAAACTAACCAGGTATTTTCGGTGGTTCAATTTCGGCGTTTGCAAATATCGAAAAATAAAAGAAATGGTAAAAGAAAATTGCTACCGGGAACCGAGAAAAAAAGTTGTTATAGTTTTAGTTTGAAAAGATTAACGCGAAAAGAGAAGGCTTTTATATCAAGCTAAGAGTATTAATTAAGCATTAATCGCTTCACGGAGAGGAATTTTGCTAATCACTTACAACGGACAATAGAAATATGCGAAACATATTTATTTGGCTAATTTATATCCATTCCGGGCAAGTCTGGCATGAGTTAGTTGATTATCTATTGTTGTCAATGCGTTAATTGTCCGTTGGAATGCTAGACTTCCCTGTCCTTTTGTTTTACCGAAGTTCTGTTTTTGTAGAACGAAAGAATCGTAAAGAGATGTCGGACATGCCTTGGGACATTTATGCACGCAAATACAAAACTCGATTTCGACAATATGCATGAGTAAAAATTGCATGGAATTTGGCTTTTTTGACTGAGATATAAACTGAACACTCTTCTGTTTACCTCCTTCATTTTCAAGTTTTCCGCCTGTGCATGATTTTTGCATGAAGTCTGGTAGTATCAAGCGCATGCGGAGTGAATACAAGTAATTCTGGGGCCCCAATCACTTGTGTTTTCTCCATCTTGACGACTATATAGTCCGGACAAAAATATCGCTCAGAGAGCGCCTAAAACTAAAAAACATGAAACATGTATTTCTAGAAGGAGATGATAGTCCAGTGTTCTTGCTTTCTTGTACAAAAACGTGCATGACATTTTGTATTAAAACGTGCATGACATTTTGTATTCGCGTGCGCAATGCGAAGGCCAGTAGTGACTTACGTTGGAGTGTTGGAGGCTCGATATAATTTTTCCTGAGTGCTTTATACATAAGTGACATTTCTCTCTTGGAAATTATTCATATCATACTTTTGTTGTCAGATGATGAAGGATCGTCGCAGGGTCAGGAGGATCATCGCAGCATCAGATGTTCAAGAATCGTCGCCGGATCACATGGTATGGTATGGTATGCTATGGTATGGTATGGTATGGTATTGCTACCTAAGTGATATTTGTGACTTGAAAATTAATGCAATATCATTGTGATAAAGTATCGTTGCAGGATCAGATGTTGAAGGATCGTCGCAGGATCAGGCGGATCGTCGCAGGATCAGATGTTGAAGAATCGTCGCAGGATCAGTGATGAATTAGATGTTGAAGGAGCGTCGCAGGATCAGTGATGAATTAGATGTTGAAGGATCGTCGCAGGATCAGTGATGAATTGGATGTTGAAGGAGCGTCGCAGGATCAGTGAAGTAGTAAAGCTGAAATGGAAGCCGAAAGGCGAAGGGCAGAAGAGGAAGAAATGAAACGACTGGAACTTGAAAAAGCGAAACAGGTTTTGAGCATTATTACAATGAATAAACATAATTATTTTCAAACCTCTTTATGTATTAATGGCTTACCATACTTGATCACCTCTGGCAATATTTTTACCGTGAATCTTTCCTGTTTTTTTAGAACGAAATCGAGGAACAATTAAGGAAAGAGGAAGAAGAGTCAAAATCTCGGTATGAACTTATTTTTGCTACCATGTAAACATCTTTGCGAGGTTTTACAAAAAAATTCGCGAGTCCTTTTTACAGACTCACACGTAATGCTTTAAATCTGATATTTTTTTCAATGTAAAATTTTATTATTTCAGATAAGCTAGTTGCTCTTGAACAAGAGAGATATATCCCGAACTGGCCTTGCGTTTAGCAAAGGTATTATATCTCAATATTTTTTCAATTTCTTTGGCGATTAATACTATACTAAATGCTTCCGTTTAACTGTTCAACTGTGTGGAAGTTTATGTTCATTTTCTGCTAGACCGAATTAAGCCTATACTAATTTTTTCTCATTTTAGGAATCCAATTTGAATGTAGAACCCATGGAGGAACAAAAAGCTATTATAAGGTAAATATTTTATAATATTGTATAGCTCTATCAGTTCTAAACTGTTCTTCCTAGAGGTCCAGTGAGGATCATCTCTTATTCATCCAGTGTTACTACAGCAGGAAACTTAAACTAAACTAAGTTTATTTATGCTGGATAGCTCTATTAGTTCTAAACTGTTCTTCATAGAGGAACTACGGCGCCGAAAGATGCGGAAGGAGAAACGTAAAGGCTTGCTCGCAGCGAATAATAGGTATTGTTCCATTAATATATGTGTATTTTGCATTTGTGATCTGAAAAAACACGTTTGCACTTTGTTTACGGACAGTCAGGGTGGACGAAACTTGAATAGTTTTGATATATAGAAAGGAATTCGAACTTTATGACTGTAACTAACTTTCCCGGCTGGCCTATTCGTTTTTCGGAGAGGGTTGCCCAAAGGATATGCTCGTTTTGAAAGGGAAAGACGGATTGAAACTCAATGCCGATATAATTTTTCCTGAGTGCTTTATACATAAGTGACATTTCTCTCTTGGAAATTATTCATATCATACTTTTGTTGTCAGATGATGAAGGATCGTCGCAGGATCATCGCAGCATCAGATGTTCAAGAATCGTCGCAGGATCACATGGTATGGTATGGTATGGTATGGTATGGTATGGTATGGTATGGTATGGTATGGTATGGTATGGTATGGTATGGTATGGTATGGTATGGTATGGTATGGTATGGTATGGTATGGTATGGTATGGTATGGTATGGTATGGTATGGTATGGTATGGTATGGTATGGTATGGTATGGTATGGTATGGTATGGTATGGTATGGTATGGTATTGCTACCTAAGTGATATTTGTGACTTGAAAATTAATGTCATATCATTGTGATAAAGTATCGTCGCAGGATCAGATGTTGAAGGATCGTCGCAGGATCAGACGGATCGTCGCAGGATCAGATGTTGAAGAATCGTCGCAGGATCAGTGATGAATTAGATGTTGAAGGAGCGTCGCAGGATCAGTGATGAATGAGATGTTGAAGGATCGTCGCAGGATCAGTGATGAATTGGATGTTGAAGGAGCGTCGCAGGATCAGTGAAGTAGTAAAGCTGAAATGGAAGCCGAAAGGCGAAGAGCAGAAGAGGAAAAAATGAAACGACTGGAACTTGAAAAAGCGAAACAGGTTTTGAGCATTATTACAATGAATAAACATAATTATTTTCAAACCTCTTTATGTATTAATGGCTTACCATACTTGATCACCTCTGGCAATATTTTTACCGTGAATCTTTCCTGTTTTTTTAGAACGAAATCGAGGAACAATTAAGGAAAGAGGAAGAAGAGTCAAAATCTCGGTATGAACTTATTTTTGCTACCATGTAAACATCTTTGCGAGGTTTTACAAAAAAATTCGCGAGTCCTTTTTACAGACTCACACGTAATGCTTTAAATCTGATATTTTTTTCAATGTAAAATTTTATTATTTCAGATAAGCTAGTTGCTCTTGAACAAGAGAGATATATCCCGAACTGGCCTTGCGTTTAGCAAAGGTATTATATCTCAATATTTTTTCAATTTCTTTGGCGATTAATACTATACTAAATGCTTCCGTTTAACTGTTCAACTGTGTGGAAGTTTATGTTCATTTTCTGCTAGACCGAATTAAGCCTATACTAATTTTTTCTCATTTTAGGAATCCAATTTGAATGTAGAACCCATGGAGGAACAAAAAGCTATTATAAGGTAAATATTTTATAATATTGTATAGCTCTATCAGTTCTAAACTGTTCTTCCTAGAGGTCCAGTAATTAAGGATCATCTCTTATTCATCCAGTGTTACTACAGCAGGAAACTTAAACTAAACTAAGTTTATTTATGCTGGATAGCTCTATTAGTTCTAAACTGTTCTTCATAGAGGAACTACGGCGCAGAAAGATGCGGAAGGAGAAACGTAAAGGCTTGCTCGCAGCGAATAATAGGTATTGTTCCATTAATATATGTGTAATTTGCATTTGTGATCTGAAAAAACACGTTTGCACTTTGTTTACGGACAGTCAGCGTGGACGAAACTTGAATAGTTTTGATATATAGAAAGGAATTCGAACTTTATGACTGTAACTAACTTTCCCGGCTGGCCTATTCGTTTTTCGGAGAGGGTTGCCCAAAGGATATGCTCGTTTTGAAAGGGAAAGACGGATTGAAACTCAATGCTGATATAATTTTTCCTGAGTGCTTTATACCTAAGTGACATTTCTCTCTTGGAAATTATTCATATCATACTTTTGTTGTCAGATGATGAAGGATCGTCGCAGGATCAGGAGGATCATCGCAGCATCAGATGTTGAAGAATCGTCGCAGGATCACATGGTATGGTATGGTATGGTATGATATTGCTACCTAAGTGATATTTGTGACTTGAAAATTAGTGTCATATCATTGTTATAAAGTATCGTTGCAGGATCAGATGTTGAAGGATCATCGCAGGATCAGACGGATCCTCGCAGGATCAGATGTTGAAGGATCGTCGCAGGATCAGTGATGAATTAGATGTTGAAGGAGCGTCGCAGGATCAAGTGAAGTAGTAAAGCTGAAATGGAAGCCGAAAGGCGAAGGGCAGAAGAGGAAGAAATGAAACGACGGGAACTTGAAAAAGCGAAACAGGTTTTGAGCATTATTACAATGAATAAATATAATTATTTTGAAACCTCTTTATGTATTAATGGCTTACCATACTTGTTCACCTCTGGCAATATTTTTACCGTGAATCTTTCCTGTTTTTTTAGAACGAAATCGAGGAACAATTAAGGAAAGAGGAAGAAGAGTCAAAATCTCGGTATGAACTTATTTTCGCTACCATAAACATCTTTGCGAGGTTTTACAAAAAAATTCCCGAGTCCTTTTTACAGACTCACAGGTAATGCTTTAAATCTGATATTTTTTTCAATGTAAAATTTTATTATTTCAGATATTCTATCTGCTCTTGAACAAGAGAGATTAGATCCCGAACTGGCCTTGCGTTTGGCAAAGGTATTATATCTCAATATTTTTTCAATTTCTTTGGCGATTAATACTATATACTAAATGCTTCCGTTTAACTGTTCAACTGTGTGGAAGTTTATGTTCATTTTCTGCTAGACCGAATTAGGCCTATACTATCCTTTTCTCATTTTAGGAATCCAATTTGAATGTAGAACCCATGGAGGAACAAAAAGCTATTATAAGGTAAATATTTTATAATATTGTATAGCTCTATCAGTTCTAAACTGTTCTTCCTAGAGGTCCAGTAAGGATCATCTCTTATTCATCCAGTGTTACTACAGCAGGAAACTTAAACTAAACTAACTTTATTTATGCTGGATAGCTCTATTAGTTCTAAACTGTTCTTCTTCTTCCAAAGTACTACAGAGCTCGTAAAATAATGTAATACAGAAAAAAACATCCTAGCATTTTTTATTTGTCCGACAGCTGTGTTCGAATTTTTTGCTATTACATATCACAGTAGGTCCTGGATTTGTTTCAACATCATTTGATAGTCTTAATAACTGAGGCACATAGACTTGGTGATAACAAACCATCTTAATAAACCAAATAACAGCCTCATTAGATTTTCTTTCATTCTCATTTATTTGTTTTAATGTTGGGAAATAAAATACAGTTAGATAAAACCGCATCAACATGGTGTTCCAAAATGCACCTGAAAGACGCTTAGCTGCATCTCTCTGTCTGAGAAAACTCACATGAACACCTGCTCTGGCTCTATATTGTTCAATTGTTATCCCCATACAGATACTGTAGTTTCTTTGATATTTTATGCAATACACTTCACAAATAATTATTCACTCTGGGTTTTCTGATAGGATTTCTTATTATTTCACGATAATTCAAGATAATTCAATATAATTCACTCAAAATCACTCAAATTCAGTCAAAATCACGATAGTTCACGATAAATCTCGATAAATCACTCAAAAGATTGTGATACAACACACAATCCGCCTGACCAGTGGCTTGGGTCAGTGCAAACACAAGTTTTTACACAAGATGTTTCTCTGAAACAAACAACACAACCTCAGCGAGGTCGTAGGAGCTGAAAGAAAGAGATGAAGAAAGCCATCATCGATAATATTCCATCACTTGTAATACATACTCATACACATGCCAGACAGAACATCTGCCTGCAAGTACAAGTACAAGTACGCAGAGTACGGCACAAGACAACTAGACAAGGTAAAAAGTTGCGACTCGATCGCTGGGATATTACAAAAGATGCTACTATAGAAGTTATTACTATACCTCAAACTTGAAGTAATACCCAAGCTGAAAGAGACAAATTGAAATTCAGAATCAATGACAATGGGTCAACATCACTGAATGAAACTGCTTCAATACGAAAGCTTACAAGTGAAGATATAGATAGGAGAGGATTTTGATGGCGAGTATGGTTATCGAATGATTGAACTTTCAAACCTAGCAAGTGCATTTCAGTCCTTGCATAATTGGGAATTAGGCGGAGAGTTGAAAGTTACCGATGATGAGTCTCCTAGATATGGAAATAGCACAGTCATTGTTGAGTCAGATATTGCAGAGATTGCTGTGAGTTATGATAGCACATGGTCTAAGTGCGAGGGTTCACTGCAAACTTTGGAATTGATTTTGTTATTTCGGTTGACACAGGTGAGGTTCTTGACTATAGTTTTGAATCCAAATTATCGAAGTTTGACATGTATGCATTATTGATAATTGGTGATAAAGTTGCCAACCTTAGTATAAATTAATATATGCTAATCACTGAGTAGCATGTACGCACACAGAACACGAATGTTGGGCTACCTATCGTATTACATGATGTTTCACCATTCGTTCTCTCACTTCTCAGAGCAAGAAAAAAAAATCCTGAAAATTCAACCACATTCACCACAAAGAAAAACCACGCCTTGTGTTTTAATTAGTCACTGTTGGTATCTTTTTCTTGATTTACTCAACTATATGGATCGCTTCTGACACTTCACCCTCGCAAAATTTCGTAGATGCTTTAATATTTGTATAGTTTGGTATGTTCTTGGTTCAAAAGTATCTTCCACATTTAGTGGTTGCCATAATTTTATAATAGAGAAAACACAGGGTATGTAAACATGTGAAATAAACATGTTATTACTTGATGTGTTTCAGGTAACTCCAATCTTGGGTGTGCTTCTTATCATCTTGGGCTTTATATCTGTTGTTTGAACCTGTCTAGGGGCAAATTGAAAAGAGTCAGGGTGATATTGTTGCAGACAAGGATGTTATCATTCGTCGTTCATGGTTGAATGATGCGAAACATATGTTACGCTGGTAGGTGATTTTTAACAACAGATGTTGCTTACTGCAGGATGAACTGTTTAGAACTGACAGAATTATCCAGTGTAAATATAGTTAGTTTGTGTAGGTTTCCTGCTGTAGTAACACTGAATCAAAAAGAGATGATCCAGTATGCCATTCCTTGTTATGCCCTTGATCCTAGCTTCAAATATATTGTTCTTTCTTATGTAAGTTAAACATGTATATCTGAAATTAAACATATATTTAATATTTCCGTAAAGACATTTCTATCATATATGTGTTAGCAATTGTCTTCTTTCTTTGTAGATACAGACAGAGCCACAGCATCGGCAGTCCTTATATTGTGGGTTTGGTATGTAATATACAATTTCTTTTACCTAAAACAATGTATCACCGACACGCCCACTGAATCTAATTATGATGTAACTTCCGGTCCGCAGGTCTTATTTCGTTACTTCCTTACGCTTTGACTCTTGACTTCCCGTTTTTCTATGGGCGTGGTCGGACACGCCCACTTAATCTAATTAAGACGTCACTTCTGGTCCGCGGGCCTTATTTCGCTACTTCCTTACGCTTTGACTTTTTACTTCCGGTTTTTCAATGGGCGTGGTCGGACACGCCCACTTAATCTAATTATGACGTCACTTCCGGTCCGCGGGCCTTATTTCGCTACTTCCTTACGCTTTGACTTTTTACTTCCGGTTTTTCGATGGGCGTGGTCGAACACGCCCACTTAATCTAATTATGACGTCATTTCCGGTCCGCGGGCCTTATTTCGCTACTTCCTTACGCTTTGACTTTTTACTTCCGGTTTTTCAATGGGCGTGGTCGGACACGCCCACTTAATCTAATTATGACGTCATTTCCGGTCCGCGGGCCTTATTTCGCTACTTCCTTACGCTTTGACTTTTTACTTCCGGTTTTTCGATGGGCGTGGTCGGACACGCCCACTTAATCTAATTATGACGTCACTTCCGGTCCGCGGGCCTTTTTTCGCTACTTCCTTACGCTTTGACTTTTTACTTCCGGTTTTTCAATGAGCGTGGTCGGACACGCCCACCTAATCTAATTATGACGTCACTTCCGGTCCGCGGGCTTTTTTTCGCTACTTCCTTACGCTTTGACTTTTTACTTCCGGTTTTTCGATATGCGTGGTCGGACACGCCCACTAAATTTAATTATGACGTCACTTCCGGTCCGCGATCATTATTTCGGTACTTCCTTACGCTTTGACTTTTTACTTCCGGTTTTTCGATTGGCGTGGTCGGACACGCCCACTTAATCTATTTATGACGTCACTTCCGGTCCGCGGGCATTATTTCGCTACTTCCTTACGCTTTGACTTTTTACTTCCGGTTTTTCGATAGGCCTGGTCGGACACGCCCACGTAATCTAATTATGACGTCACTTCCGGTCGGCGGGCCTTATTTCGCTACTTCCTTACGCTTTGACTTTTTACTTCTGGTTTTTCGATTTGCGTGGTCGAACACGCCTACCTAATCTAATTATGACGTCACTTCTGGTCCGCGGGCCTTATTTCGCTACTTCCTTACGATTTGACTTTTTACTTCCGGTTTTTCGATGGGCGTGGTCGGACACGCCCACTTAATCTAATTATGACGTCACTTCCAGTCCGCGGGCCTTATTTCGCTACTTCCTTACGCTTTGACTTTTTACTTCCGGTTTTTCAATGGGCGTGGTCGGACACGCCCACTTAATCTAATTATGAGGTCACTTCATGTCCGCGGACCTTATTTCGCTACTTCCTCACGCTTTGACTTCTTACTTCCGGTTTTTCAATGGGCGTGGTCGGACACACCCACTTAATCTTATTATGACGTCACTTCCGGTCCGCGGGCCTTATTTCGCTACTTCCTTACGCTTTGACTTTTTACTTCCGGTTTTTCGATGGGCGTGGTCGGACACGCCCACTTAATCTAATTATGACGTCACTTCCGGTCCGCGGGCCTTATTTCGCTACTTCCTTACGCTTTGACGTTTTACTTCCGGTTTTCGATGGGCGTGGTCGGACACGCCCACGCAATTTAATTATGACGTCACTTCCGGTCCGCGGGCCTTATTTCGCTACTTCCTTACGCTTTGACTTTTTACTTCCGGTTTTTCGATGGGCGTGGTCGAACACGCCCACGCAATTTAATTATGACGTCATTTCCGGTCCGCGGGCCTTATTTCGCTACTTCCTTACGCTTTGACTTTTTACTTCCGGTTTTTCGATGGGCGTGGTCGAACACGCCCACGCAATTTAATTATGACGTCATTTCCGGTCCGCGGGCCTTATTTCGCTACTTCCTTACGCTTTGACTTTTTACTTCCGGTTTTTCAATAGGCGTGGTCGAACACGCCCACTTAATCTAATTATGACGTCATTTCCGGTCCGCGGGCCTTATTTCGCTACTTCCTTACGCTTTGACTTTTTACTTCCGGTTTTTCGATAGACGTGGTCGGACACGCCCACTTAATCTAATTATGACGTCATTTCCGGTCCGCGGGCCTTTTTTCGCTACTTCCTGACGCTTTGACTTTTTACTTCCGGTTTTTTGATGGGCGTGGTCGGACACGCCCACCTAATCTAATTATGACGTCACTTCCGGTCCGCGGGCCTTATTTCGCTACTTCCTTACGCTTTGACTTTTTTACTTCTTTACGACTTTTTACTTCCGGTTTTTTTCGATGGGCGTGGTCGGACACGCCCACTTAATCTAATTATGACGTCACTTCCGGTCCGCGGCTTATTTCGCTACTTCCTTACGCTTTGACTTTTTACTTCCGGTTTTTCGATGGGCGTGGTCACACGCCCACCTAATCTAATTATGACGTCACTTCCGGTCCGCGGGCCTTATTTCGCTACTTCCTTACGCTTTGACTTTTTACTTCCGGTTTTTCGATGGGCGTGGTCGGACACGCCCACTAATCTAATTATGACGTCACTTCCGGTCCGCGGGCCTTATTCGCTACTTCCTTACGCTTTGACTTTTTACTTCCGGTTTTTCGATGGGCGTGGTCGGACACGCCCACTTAATCTAATTATGACGTCACTTCCGGTCCGCGGGCCTTATTTCGCTACTTCCTTACGCTTTGACTTTTTACTTCCGGTTTTTCGATGGGCGTGGTCGGACACGCCCACTTAATCTAATTATGACGTCACTTCCGGTCCGCGGGCCTTATTTCGCTACTTCCTTACGCTTTGACTTTTTACTTCCGGTTTTTCGATGGGCGTGGTCGGACACGCCCACTAATCTAATTATGACGTCACTTCCGGTCCGCGGGCCTTATTTCGCTACTTCCTTACGCTTTGACTTTTTACTTCCGGTTTTTCGATGGGCGTGGTCGGACACGCCCACTTAATCTAATTATGACGTCACTTCCGGTCCGCGGGCCTTATTTCGCTACTTCCTTACGCTTTGACTTTTTACTTCCGGTTTTTCGATGGGCGTGGTCGGACACGCCCACTTAATCTAATTACGTCACTTCCGGTCCGCGGGCCTTATTTCGCTACTTCCTTACGCTTTGACTTTTTACTTCCGGTTTTTCGATACGTGGTCGGACACGCCCACTTAATCTAATTATGACGTCACTTCCGGTCCGCGGGCCTTATTTCGCTACTTCCTTACGCTTTGACTTTTTACTTCCGGTTTTTCGATGCGTGGTCGGACACGCCCACTAATCTAATTATGACGTCACTTCCGGTCCGCGGGCCTTATTTCGCTACTTCCTTACGCTTTGACTTTTTACTTCCGGTTTTTCGATGGGCGTGGTCGGACACGCCCACTAATTAATTATGACGTCACTTCCGGTCCGCGGGCCTTATTTCGCTACTTCCTTACGCTTTGACTTTTTACTTCCGGTTTTTCGATGGGCGTGGTCGGACACGCCCACTAATCTAATTATGACGTCACTTCCGGTCCGCGGGCCTTATTTCGCTACTTCCTTACGCTTTGACTTTTACTTCCGGTTTTTCGATGGCGTGGTCGGACACGCCCACTTAATCTAATTATGACGTCACTTCCGGTCCGCGGGCCTTATTTCGCTACTTCCTTACGCTTTGACTTTTTACTTCCGGTTTTTCGATGGCGTGGTCGGACACGCACCTACTTAATTATGACGTCACTTCCGGTCCGCGGGCCTTATTTCGCTACTTCCTTACGCTTTGACTTTTTACTTCCGGTTTTTCGATGGCGTGGTCGGACACGCCCACTTAATCTAATTATGACGTCACTTCCGGTCCGCGGGCCTTATTTCGCTACTTCCTTACGCTTTGACTTTTTACTTCCGGTTTTTCGATGGGCGTGGTCGGACACGCCCACTTAATCTAATTATGACGTCACTTCCGGTCCGCGGGCTTATTTCTACTTCCTTACGCTTTGACTTTTTACTTCCGGTTTTTCGATGGGCGTGGTCGGACACGCCCTTAATCTAATTATGACGTCACTTCCGGTCCGCGGGCCTTTTTTGCTACTTCCTTACGCTTTGACTTTTTACTTCCGGTTTTTCGATGGCGTGGTCGACACGCCCACTTAATCTAATTATGACGTCACTTCCGGTCGCGGGCCTTATTTCGCTACTTCCTTACGCTTTGACTTTTTACTTCCGGTTTTTCGATGGCGTGGTCGGACACGCCCACTTAATTAATTATGACGTCACTTCCGGTCCGCGGGCCTTATTTCGCTACTTCCTTACGCTTTGACTTTTTACTTCCGGTTTTTCGATGGGCGTGGTCGGACACGCCCACTTAATCTAATTATGACGTCACTTCCGGTCCGCGGGCTTATTTCGCTACTTCCTTACGCTTTGACTTTTTACTTCCGGTTTTTCGATGGCGTGGTCGGACACGCCCACTTAATCTAATTATGACGTCACTTCCGGTCCGGGCCTTATTTCGCTACTTCCTTACGCTTTGACTTTTTACTTCCGGTTTTTCGATGGGCGTGGTCGGACACACGCCCACTTAATCTAATTATGACGTCACTTCCGGTCGCGGGCCTTATTTCGCTACTTCCTTACGCTTTGACTTTTTACTTCCGGTTTTTCGATGGGCGTGGTCGGACACGCCCACTTAATCTAATTATGACGTCACTTCCGGTCCGCGGGCCTTATTTCGCTACTTCCTTACGCTTTGACTTTTTACTTCCGGTTTTTCGATGGGCGTGGTCGGACACGCCCACTTAATCTAATTATGACGTCACTTCCGGTCCGCGGGCCTTATTTCGCTACTTCCTTACGCTTTGACTTTTTACTTCCGGTTTTTCATGGCGTGGTCGGACACGCCCACTAATCTAATTATGACGTCACTTCCGGTCCGCGGGCCTTTTTTCGCTACTTCCTTACGCTTTGACTTTTTACTTCCGGTTTTTCGATGGGCGT